GCATTGCCTTTAAAAATATCTGTTAAACTATGCGCTAATGGTAGTTAAATCCATAAAACAAACTTTAAAAAGAGTCAAATAAAGCATTTAGCTGAATGTTAAAATGAAATCTGATTTGATAATATTGAAATTGAAGCTATTCTTACCATTCAAAACTTTGCTCAATACTAGCTTTTTGAATTGAAATTAAGTGTCGAACATTAAGCCACTGAAACTTGAATTTTGATATTTCAGAAGTTGAAGAAATTCATGTCTCCTTTACTTGATAAATCATCGTACATACATTAAACAAATCTCAATCAAGCTGAACAATTATTCACTGCTCATTCATCTTTCTCTCCGTTGAAGTAGCTCTAGAACGCTTTTTTAATACCGATTCCTGCATTGAAAAACAAATTAATGTGTTTGACTTAATATGTACAATTATGAGTTACTACTTATGATATTTTATCAACCAAATGGATTATGTGTTATGCAGTTCTAAACACTCGTTAAATTGGTTTTTGTTTATCGGTCAATATATTTTCAATGCAAGAGTTTACTGTCGCTTAAGTATTCCTGCATTCGTAGTTTTTCAACCAACCACGAAGAAGACTTGATAAAATCTGCTTGATATTTTGCCAAGATCTTTAATGGACGTTGGGAGCGATATGATTTCCCAAACATGCAGGATCGAGAGTATTAAAATACCGAAGACAAGTAATAATATTCAAAACTGTTACCGCTCAAACAAGTCTTTAGACCACACAGCTAGAGAGTAGAGCTCAACCAACATAGATTTTGTAACTGAGAATGGTAACTCTCACCATGATTATAAATCGAACCATTTCGAAAACTGGCATATATACAAGAAAATTTCGGTAGGTTTCACAAACAACTATACCGTAGACAATAAATTAAAGATTTAAGAAATTACGATGTCTGAGGCAGCTAGCGGATATGCATCGAAGTATGCCGAGACCCTGTAATCAAGTTTGTGTAGAGAATGTACACCGTCGATTATCGAATGATTGTTGTTTTTCTTGGAAACTTCGGAGAAAGATGCTGCAGAGAAGGAATTTTCACTGTTTGTCCTAATTCATAACTTTCAGGATCTGTAAAAGTTTGCTTAAAAGGAAAAAATGATTGCAATATACTGATTTTTCTGTGTTTGTCTTTTACCAAGTTTCTGTTTAATTTCGACTACAAATATTTTATTACTAGTATTTATTCAACTTATTTCATATAAACTACTTTGTTATACCGAAAGTTTGAAAAATAAGAAAGAAACCAGCCGCATCGATTTGTTAACTTCCACCTGCACATAATTAAACTGTTTTTGGAATCAAACGTTTTCATTTATTATTCCTGATTATTATTCTCAAAGTTATATTATGTTAACCTGATACCTAATTATTTAGTTAAGAATCTGTCATTTACCCTATATTTAAGGGATAAAGTTTGAGATTGATAACTACATTCCAACTCCTGGTAAATTAGTTACCTCATACTCTATATATTTTTTTCAATATATTCATTTCCTCCGGAAACGCTATAGAATAAATACCTCTATATCTTACAGATTCAATTTTGAATATTCCAATTTCAATGATTACTCTATTTATTTGTATTATAATCATCATCATTCCATTTATTGAACAGCAACGAAATCTATTCTCATTAATCTTGCTTATGTGAAATATACACTAAAATCAACATCCCATAATTTAATTGAACCATCAAGACCAATACTAGCAAACTTTCCATATTTATTTTCTGAATCATATTTCAACCATTCGAGACCTGAAATTCCTATCTGATGAGCTAAAGGAAATTTCAAAACCTTGGAAGGTTTTGCAACAGAATATAAAAACAATCCAGTATCAAGACCACCACTTATAACAAATTGAGAATCAGGTGTCCATTTAGAGTCAAATACTCTACTGCTGTGAAAAGCCCAACGAGTAGTTATAACAGAAGCATTTGAAGTATCATATAAAGTATATTTACCAGTAGCATCGGCAACAGCAACATATTTACCATTTGGAGAAACTCTTGTAATAGTAGGTGGAGATCTTAATGATGCATACAGCTTACTTGAAAGTTTAAAGTTATCACCTTCTAAAACATACTCTTTCAAGCTATTAGTATTTGAATCAGTAATCAATACTTGTTGATCATCTAATATATCAAAGTCACTTGCTGAAAATCCAAGGGTATATTCTGAAATTCTAATCAAATCAGATGAATAAAGTTCGATTTTCTTTTCAAATAATACCAAGAATTTATCCTTAATTCTCTTTAAACCTTTTGGTTGTTCAGATAATGTTACATTGCTTACTTCTTCCAGAGAATTCCATAATCGAAGTTTATCATCCCAACCAATACTAAGAATTTGACTTCCAGTGCTTAAAATATCCACCACGTAATTGGAATGTCCATCTCCTAAACTTGAAGAAAGTTTATTTAGCAGATCATCTGATGACTTGTTCCATTGATAAATACTACCATCAGATCCACCTGTAATGAGAGTGTTATTTGCAAAAATCAAAGCAGTTAAAGGAGATTGATGACCAGGTACCACCAAAAACGGAGTTACTTCATCAAATTTAAAATAATTAAGATGGCCACTAAATGATAACGATATAATAAATTCCTTAGTTACCACGACTCCAACTTGTTGATTTTTTACAACTGTACTAGTGGTACCAAATCCTAATTCACTTTGAACTTCTAAACTTTCAGCATCCCAAACCTTTAACTTATTATCAGCAGAAGCAGTAACAAATTTTGAAGAATCTTTAAACCATGAGATTGAATATATACCTCCATCATGTGCATTGTCTAATTTTTTGATAAATTCTCCAGTTTTACCATCATAAACAGCAATAGTTCTATCTGATCCAACACTGATTAACCATTTACCATCAGGTGAAAATTTGACGCTTCTGACTGAATTTGTATGATGACCACGAATACTTTTATCAAATTTAAAGGGAGGACCTGTGAAAAATACTAATGCTTTATCTTCACTAACAGTTGCAGCTCTATAAGGTCTTTGAGGTTTTATATCAACATCATAAATAGTTCCTGAATGACCTTGGATTTCACCAATAGAGTTACCACTATCCCAAGTAAAACAGTGACCGAATTTCTCTTTACCTTGACCAACGGCAATAACTCTATTACCATCAGCATCCCAAGCAATTGATTTGATAGGACCAGAAAGAATTTGAAATTCACTTTTTATCTTTAATTCTTCAGTACCATCATCATAATTTATGGCTTCCCAAATCTTAACTTGTCCAGATTCATCCCCAGAGGCAACATAATTACCAGAAGGTGAAAACAGAGCTGCCGTAGTAAGATGAATATGTTTAGTGAATTGTAATACTGGTTGACTTGAATTAGGATCCACAGCCCTAACCACAATAGACTTTCCATTAGGATATACTAATCTATCATGAACGGAATCATAGGAAAGATGGACTGAGTTTGCTCTCACGGTGGTAGGCTGAGGTGGGAACAATTCAATTGGTTTGATAGACATGTTGATGAAGGACAATGGAATGGTTAGATCTCTAGTTATACCCCTATGTTATGATAACTTTGAGATCAGATCTTTAGATTTTTTGATACAATTTCCAAAACGAGGCATAGCCAAAGTCATGTGACCAGAAATAAACAAAATTCATTGGATTTCGCATAATGAACAATTTTCCATAAATTGGTTTGTTTAGAGGTTAACATTTGAAGATCTATATAGGTAAACAAGACTCCATAGACAACAATGTTGAGGTCATATTCTATCAATTCGTTTGCAAGATCTAATGCGTTAAGAACGCGTAACTTCAGTAAGATGAGTCGTGTTCTTGAAGTTAGCAAAGCTCCAATCACTCCTGCTCCAACTCCACCAAAGGTTGTTAAAAAGAAAGGATTTTCTGTATTTAGATTGTTATTTAATACTACCATTTTAGCATCTGTATTATATGGAAGTACTTTGTATGTTGCTACTAAGAATGAAAAAGTTATGGATTTTGTTATTGATAAACAATTGCCATATTATGAAGAAATCATTGACTTTATTGAAAAGGGATCTATTGATGATATTAAAACTGGATTTGAAAATCTTCAATCTAAAGTATTTAACTTTAAAGTACCAACCACTGATGAAATAGCTAAAACAGGTGAGAATATAATCAACGCTACCAGAAAAACTGTTAAACATCAAACTGGATATGATTCAACTACCCCTGCTGAACAACTTCAAAAACCAGTTGCTATTGAAAGTGTTAAAAAAGATATTGAACATTTACCACTTATTAAAGTAAATGAAAATGTGGCTTCTTCAGTTGATGAAACTATTAAAAATACCATTGAATCATTTAATAGTCTTATTCAATCGATTGATGCTAGTCATGTTGGACCAGCCAAAGCCAATTTTATAAAAGCCATTAATGATAATATCAGTGAATTAACTTTAAAGTTAGATGCTTTAACTAAAAAATTTGAAGAAGAATTACAATCTAAACTAAAATCATCCCAAACAGAATTATTATCATCATATACTAAGAAAGAATTAGAATTAACTGAAAATTTATTACATCAATTTAATCGTGAAAAATCTCAATTAGAAAAAAAATTAAATCAACGTTTGAAACAAGAAGTTCAAGCTACTAAAGAAGCTATTTCACAAGCTGCTGTAAATGCTGTTTCCATGGTTCGTATTGAACAAACCAAGAATTTTGAAAAATTAATTGCTGATAAGATGAATGAAGAAAGAAATGGTAAATTAGCTAATTTAGAAAGTTTATCTTCTAGATTATCTGAATTAGAAGCTTTTGCTGAAAGTTTTGAAACTCAATTAGTCAATAATCATAATAGATCTATTCTTCAAAAGTCTTTAGCTACTTTCAAATCTGTTTTATTTGCATCTGAAGTTGATGAAAAACCAAAATCCCTTAAACCTTATATTGAAAATTTAAATGATATTTCTTTTAAAACTAATGATGAAGTGATAGATTTAGCCTTACTGGAATTAAATCATTTATTAGCTAAAGAATCTTCTCAATCAATTTTAACTACATCTCAATTATTATCTCGTTGGGAACAACTAACTCCAGAATTAAGATCGGCTTCATTATTACCACCAAATGCTGGTTTATTAGGTCATTTTGCTTCAGCGATTTTCTCTAAATTATTACTTCCAGTCAAAGGTAACAAACCAGATGGAAAAGATATTGAATCAGTCATTGCTAGAGTTGAAAATAGTTTAATTAAAGGTGATTTAGATGTTGCTGTTGAAGAAGTGGCTAATTTAAAAGGATGGTCAAGAAAATTAGCTGATGATTGGGTTATTGAAGGAAGAAAGAGATTAGAAGCTGAATTATTAGTTAACCTTATCGAATCTGAATTAAGATTGTTGTAATTAAGTTTATTTATATGTATATCTAAATATCTATTCCCATTAAACATTTATTTAAAATTTTGAAATCGTTCACGTGATTTGTAAATTAATTTTTTTTTTTTGTTTGTTCGAGTTTTGATATATTTTTCAAACAAACATAAAATGATAAACTAAGAGTTGTAAGGAACATACATACTTATATCATTGTCATTATACAATGTCGACGAATAATAATAGCAACAATGTGTATGGTGGGGATGAAATAAATGCCATAGTGTTGGATCCAGGATCGTATCACACAAGATTGGGATACGCTGGAGATGATTTTCCTAAGGTTATTGTTTCTTCCAATTATGGAATTCATGAAGATGATAAATCAAATAAGAAGAAGTTATTTGGAGAATCAATTAATGTACCTCGATCTAATTTCGATATAAAACCGATTATGAAAGATTCATTAATTGTTGATTGGGATGCAGCCACTGAACAATATTCTCATTATTTTAAATCGATATTAAATATTGATTTTAATGAACAACCAATTTTAATTACAGAACCTGTTTGGACTGATAATAAATATCGTCAAAAGTTTGTGGAAACGTTTTATGAAACGTTTTCATTTCCTGCTTTATATTTGGCCAAAGCTCCTACCTGTGTATCATTTGAACAAGGTAGACCCAATTGTTTAGTGGTTGATTTAGGACATGATTCAGTAAGTGTTACACCTGTTATTGATGGAATTTGTTTACTTAAAAATTCCATGAAGACTAATTATGGAGGGAGATTTTTAGATGATCAAATTAAAGATTTTGTTAAATCAAAAGAGAATTTAAAAGTTGAACCAACTTATAAGATTAAAACCAAAGTTCCAACTCTTTATCCTGATGAAGAATCTAAATTTGATTTGAAAACTTTACCAACCGATATAACTGAATCATTTGAAGAATTCCAACAGAATAAAATATGGCATGAATTCAAAGAAACTGTGTTGGAAGTTCCAGATCGAAAATTAAATTCATCAAATGGTCAACAAGCAGCATCATTAAGAGAATTTTATTCGCAATCTAATTATAAGAGATTATTTGAATTTCCAACTGGACAATCATTAGAATTAGGGGTTGAAAGATTTGAATTAGCAGAATCTATCTTTGATCCTCAAGTTTATAAATTCAAAGATGAAAGTTTATCAGCCAGATATCCTGCTAATAGTGGAGAACTTTCAATTAAAAGTAAGTATGATGATTATAGACCATTAAAGAGAGTTCGTAAAGCGGAATCAAATCAATCTACACCCCAACCAGGAGCTACAGGAGGAGAAGATGATCAATCACAACCATCACAACCAGATTCTAAATCATCATCATCCGTTGAAATACGAGGATTAACACAATTAATCAGTCATACCTTATCCAGTATTGATATTGATTTAAGAGCATCCGTAGCCCATAATATCATTGTTACAGGAGGAGTATCATTAATTCCTCAATTGACAGAACGATTATATAATGAATTATCTAATTCAAATCCAGGATTAAAAATCAGATTACATGCCGTTGGTAATAGTAGTGAAAGAGTGAATCAAGCATGGATTGGAGGTAGTGTGCTTGCATCCTTGGGTACATTCCATCAAATGTGGGTTAGTAAAGAAGAGTATGAAGAAGCAGGACCAGAAAGAATCTTAAATCAAAGATTTAGATAGATAGATGTATAGTATGTATTCAGTTGTATAATAATAATATTTAAAGATAATTTTTAACATAAATGATGATACTTTTTGTCAGTACTTAAAATGGTGATGGGTTTATAAAAGATTGTAACCAACACAAATATATTAAATGGTGGGGAACACTGTCTGCTGTCTCCTTTTTGTGAGAGAGCCCAGCTAATTTTAAATTGTTTATTGTCATTAATATTTTTTTTTGTTGGTGCGGTGTCTGTGTGTTTAAAGTCAAATGTGGGAGAAGGAAGGGAACGTCAGGGAATGAGGGAGCGGAGTGGGTTGATTCACTTTTGGCAATTTAAAATTTTATATATTTTAAATTTGATGATTATCTATCACCAATTTCATCAATTGATATTTGTATAGTATCAATTGCTTTGATTTGGACTAGAAATTATCTCAATTCAATCGTATCATCCTCAATGTCTGATCTTAAGTCAACTAATAGTAGTGCCGCCGAGCCAGCTACTGATAACAGAAGCTTGATTAAAGCCGCATTGGATATCGATCCTTGGTTAGAACCCTTTTCTCAACCATTGATTGATCGTCAACTTGATTTTAAGAAATGGTATGCTGATTTGAATAGTTCAGAAGGTTCACTTGTTAAATTTGCTTCTTCTTATCATGAATATGGTTTACATGCTGATTGGAATTCAACTTCAATCACTCTTACTCAATATATTCCTGATGTTTTAGAAGTATCATTGGTTGGAGATTTTAATGATTGGAATGTTAATAGTCATAAATTAAATAAAGTTAATAACTTTGGTTTATGGTCTTTAACTATTCCTTCTATTAATGGTGAATTTGCTATTAAACATGATACAAGATATAAAATTGCTATGAAACTTCCATCTGGTGAAATCATCTTTAGATTAGATCCTTGGCTTAGAAGAGCAACTCCATCAACTGAAAATACTTTATATGAAGGTAGATTTTGGAATCCACCTCCTCAAGAAAAATATCAATTTAAACATAAAAGAGCTCAATTTAATGATAGAGAAGGTATTAGAATTTATGAAGCTCATGTTGGTATTTCAACTCCAGAACCAAAAGTTGGTACCTATAAAAATTTCACTCAAAATGTTTTACCAATTATTCATACTTTAGGTTATAATACTATTCAATTAATGGCTATCATGGAACATGCTTATTATGCTTGTTTTGGTTATCAAGTTACTAATTTCTTTGCTATTTCATCTCGTTATGGTACTCCTGATGATTTAAAAGAATTAATTGATACGGCTCATGGTTTAGGTATTAAAGTTTTATTAGATGTGGTTCATTCTCATAGTTCAAAAAATGTTCAAGATGGTTTAAATATGTTTAATGGTACTGATTATTATTTATTTCATGGTGGTCCAAAAGGTAATCATGATTTATGGGATTCAAGATTATTTAATTATGCAAATCATGAAACTTTAAGATTCTTATTATCAAATTTAAAATTCTTTATTGATGAATATAAATTTGATGGATTTAGATTTGATGGAGTTACTTCAATGTTATATAAACATCATGGTTTAAGTTTTGGCTTTAGTGGTGATTATAATGAATATTTTAATCCTGATTATGTTGATGGTGATGCTATTAATTATTTAATGTTAGCTCATAAATTATTAGATGATATGAGTCAATTAGAAAATAATTTTAAATTTATTTCCATTGCTGAAGATGTTAGTGGAATGCCAACTCTTTGTTTACCACTTTCTCAAGGTGGTATTGGGTTTGATTATAGACTTTCAATGGCTATTCCAGATATGTGGATTAAAATTCTTAAACATTTATCCGATGATCAATGGGATTTATCTAATATTGTTCATACTTTAACCAATAGAAGATATAAAGAAAAATGTATTAGTTATTGTGAATCTCATGATCAAGCTTTAGTTGGTGATAAAACTATTGCCTTTTGGTTAATGGATAAAGAAATGTATACCAATATGTCAAAATTATCCGAAAATACTCCTGTTATTGATAGAGGTATTGCTTTACATAAATTAATAAGATTATTAACTTTCGCTCTTGGTGGTGAAGGTTACTTAAATTTTGAAGGTAATGAATTCGGTCATCCTGAATGGTTAGATTTCCCAAGAGAAGGTAATGGACAATCTTATCATTATGCTAGAAGACAATTCAATCTTATTGCTGATGATTTATTAAGATATAAATTCCTTTTTAACTTTGATAGTGGTATGTTATCCTTAGATACTAAATATGGTGTCTTAGATACTCCACAAGCATATGTGTCATTGAAACATGAAAGTGATAAAGTTCTTATTTTCGAAAGACATGGATTATTATTCGCCTTTAATTTCCATCACAGTAATTCTTATCCTGATTATAAGGTTGGGGTTGAAACTGCAGGTACTTACGTTTTAGTCTTAAGCTCGGATGATAAAGAGTATGGTGGTCACCAAAGAGTTGAAGAATTAGATGAACACGGTAAACCTTATGAATATTTCACAAACAATGAGAAATGGAATGATAGATCTAATTCTTTACAATTATATCTTCCTTCCAGAACTGCCATTGTATTACAACTCAAAAGTAAAGTTTTTTAATTGTTTCCTTTTTAGTTTAGTTATTTCCAAAATATATATTATACTCTTATATATAAATATTTACACACATATACGTATATAAAGAGTCCTTTCCAAAAAAAAATTTAAATCAATTCATTATTGTGGGAAGATTTTATCTTGCAAACGTAAATTACATGTAAACAACATTCTCTCAATTAATTCTTCAAGACCATTAAATGATTCTGGTTCATCAAATACATAATGTGCAACTTGTCTAATGCTATGCACATTAACAGGCCATATAAAAAGATTAGCATCATAAGTCATCATTATTCCAATAATATCTTTAGCTAATTTTTTTGCATAATTTGATGGATATTTTGAAAGTTCTTTAATAACAATTGGATTGTTAATATCATTTCTCAGAATTAAAGATTCATATAAAGCAATCTTTGAAAGTTTAAGATTCAATCCGACAATTGCTGCGGCTTCATCTTTAAAATAAACAATAGGGTAAATTCTTTCACTTGAAACAGGTCTATATACTGTAGGCTTCAATGCCATTGGGATTACTCTTTCAAAATCATCCAACAAAGTTTTTAATTTCAACCAATCTTGGTAGGGTTTATTTGATTCAAAATCTTCTCTTGAAATTACATTCACTTGATTGTTGAATTCATTTAATTTACAACACTAAAATTAAGTAATGATTTTTGTAAAAACCATATATCTGATTCCTTACTTAATAATAAACTTGTCAGTGTATTTTCATTGTCTTTATTCAGACTTTGGTAGCCCTTATCAAAGTAATCAAAGAATAATGGATCCAATGGTCTCCAAAAACTTTCAGTTGAGTACATACTTGGTAAATTATATTTTAAGGATAAAATCAAATCACTAATAAACATAGCCCAAAAACAAGTTTGATGAAATGGAGAATTCCTAAGTAAGCTTTGGTTTTGATTATTACACTTTTGAAGAATAGATGATAAGATACTTGAAGCTCCTTTCACATAGGTACTGTCAATGGCAACAAAAAACAACTCATAGATACATAAAAGATTTGTACTTAACAAGCAACGTGAAATAATTCCAGTATTATCATTTTCTATACCTGGAAGACTTAAGTAATGGCTAATAGATTTGATACATTGGTGATAATATTTGATTGGGGTTGAAGGGTCTACTTTATCGGGGGCACTTCTTTGTAACATTAATGAACTCAAACAAAATATAGAATCAATAATCATATTTGTTTCATCATAAAGTGCCAAATGTGGGATAATCTTTTTGAAAACCTCCTGAGGCAAGAAAATATCAATTGATGCAGACACTCGATTGATGAACATGTCGAATAATTGACATTCTAATTCAGTTTTCATCGATAATTGGAATGCAACTGATGACATATCGATACCATTAACATCAATTTTAAGTTCTTCACGAAAATGGTTAAACAAATCATCAATTGATAATTCTCCCAAGATATTATGTTGAAGTCGTGGTGAACCAGATTCTTGACTTAACTTATTTATTCTGGGTCTTGAATTCTTCTTTGTATGAATAGGAGTGAAATTATTTTGTTTTGGTTCTCTTTTAATCTCAATTGGCAGATTAAAAAACTCGGGACCTCTTTCCCCAGATCCTCCTAAATTATGGGGGAAGCTATAATAACCACTATTATTAAAATATTGAACTCCTACTGGATTTCCCATGTAGTGATGTTGATCCATTCCAACGGGGATATTTGGAGGGTTTAAAATGGGGGGAATGTCTTGATAAATGGGGGAGATTCCTCTTTGTAGCTGAATTTGATTGAGTTGTGCTTGATTTTGAAAGCCCATTGATTGATCATCCTTGGTAAACCTTTCTTGATTAATAGATACATTAGGGATTGGAATTTGATACTGAGGCATCTGGTGAGGAGGTACCTGTGGTAACATCATTTGAGGTTGTCCACTATAATACATTTGAGGAACAGTATTGGACTGTTGAAGGTGTTGAACCAGAATTTGTTGTTGTGGAGGTTGTAGTTGTTGCTGTTGTTGTTGTTGTAATTGTAGCTGTTGTTGTTGTTGTTGTTGTTGTTGTTGTTGTTGTTGCTGCTGCTGCTGAATCTGATCCTCAGAAACTGGGACCATTTGTCCCTGCATCTGCATAGAGTATAAATGATTGAATGGTAAAGCCATACTTTGAATTATGTATGATTATGTAGATATATTGGTAAAAGACAATTGGGAAAAAAAAAACGATAATACGTTTTCAATTGATAATTGTAATTACGTTTTTATAATTACAAAGAAAAATAAATTCAAAACGCGCTTAAAGATATCATTTTTAATAATCAGTGTTATTGCCAGCACAGTCATGCTGAACTCAAAGGAATATACTGTTTTCCTTGTTGATTTGTCCCCTTCTATGGGATTGAAACATCAGAGAAGGTCAATTACTGATTTGGATTATGGATTGGAATACTTGTATCACTATATAACCGATCTTCTCCTCAAAAATAGGAAAAGTGATAGGATCGCCTTGGCTCTTCATAACCTGTCGACGGGAGATGATTTTGAATTATTATATGATGACAGTCAATTCACATACGAAACATTACGTGATTATTCAAAGAATTTGAAAGTGAGTAGAAATATCATTGAAAATAATGATTTGATAAGTTCTACGTTTAAAGCTTTGGATCAATTCAAAGAAAAGATCCATCTAAAATTTAATCGTCAGTTGATCATCATTACGAATTTGGATTCATCTTCGTTAAATTCAATGGAACTGGCAGAGGAATATGCTAGCATGGTGGCTACCTACAATATTAAGATAGTGATGAGTGGAATTGACTATGATCAACGTTTTGAAAAGTCATCAATAAAGAACAAAAATGAAAATGATTGGAGAATATTACAGCAAAGAATCCCAAACTTAACTATCAGAGATACATCTTTATTCAGCATCAAATCATCAAACAAACGAATAGCCCCACGTTCAAGTTTTGCAGGCGAGCTTAAATTTGCGGCTGAGATTCAAGATCCTTCTGGTGAGGATGAAACAGCTAACTTGCATGGTTTAAATATAAGAGTGCAGGCTTTCCCAGCTGTGCGACCAGAGACCGTGTTAAATGGTCATGACTACATAGTTGAAGATGACCAAAATCGTATATCTATGGTTAAAAGAAATACTAAATACTTTATCAAAAAATATACTGGAAGTAAAGAAGATGAGGAAGGTGAAGAAATTGATATGGATGAAAACGAAAGTAATTTATATGAAAAGGTTGAGATTGGTGATCTGCATGTTCCTGGATTTAAATTCTCCCAACGTGATATCATAGTACTTAATAATGATTTGAAGGAATTGACAAGATTGATTTCCGATGCTTCAATTGATATAATTGGTTTTATTAGAGTCAAGAACTTTCCCATAGCATATTTCACCGACGAATCATCATACGTTATCCCTCCAAGTGACTCATCATACCTGAATGTGGTTGCATTTAACTCACTTGTAAAGAGTCTAATTGACTTGAAGTCTCTAGCAATAGCTAGATGTGTATTTGTTAGTGGAAAAGAAATCTCAATTTGTGCTCTTATGCCGAGAGTTATTGATATATCAAGTTCAGAAAGCATTTATCTGCTCATTGCAACGCGGATCGCCTTTAAAGAAGATGAGAAAAAGGGTCGTTTTCCTTCTTTGACTGAAATTGAAAAATCAGATTTGTTTGATTCTAAGGATGCTTCAAATGATTCTAATACTTTACCATCAGATGATATAAATAAAGAAATGGAAAGTTTTATAAAGGCTAACTCATTTAAGGAGGAAGGTGAAAGTGATACGAATCGAATTCACAATAAAAAGGTATCGAATTTGGATGAACTAAATAATGAGAAACTTAATACTTCTTCCAAATTATTAATAGAGTCACCTGCTATTGATAAGTATATGTATTATTTGAGGAGAATTATTACCGGCTCTTTAAGTGAACCTTCACTTAACGAATATTTGAGCAAGGAAGATTTCGTTCAGAAGCATATGGTACAGGGTCATGTTAAAAATGTCTTTAATTACAAGAAATTTATTAAAGAAAATGCATTAAGTTTACAATCACCATTTGATGTTAGTAGCCAAAGTCTATTTAAAAAGCTTCAAAGTAACTATATAACCAAGACTACGAAGAACAAGAAGAGAAAAATTGGTAGCACTGCATTTGAAAGATTCTTTAATAAAGATATTAAGACCGAGCAAACTGATAAAGAAAACTTTGGAGAATATTTTGATGTTAACGACCTTTTATCTTAAAATAATCTATTTCTAAGATCAAATTCTCTATCTTTAGCAGTTCTTTTTCTATGTTTACTATCTGAATCTAAATTTAATATTTTTTCATTTACCTTCATTGATTGAATTCTTTCATTTTCTTCCTTAAATATGCTTTTCAATTCTTGTCCATTTATCTCTAATATGGCTTCCAAATCGAATAAACCTCTATATTTCTTATACCTTCCTTGACGCCAAAGACTAACCCAGTGTTGCGCCGTTCCCATTTCATCATAAGTACCATCTGCTTTTAATTGATTTCTGTACTTGGCTATACTCAATAACAATTCATCTATACTATTTGTTGGATGATCAATATAATCAGCGTATGGTGCTCCTGTAGGATCTTGTAAGTTTAAGATATAAAGCAAGTAATCAGCCTGTATTACCGGATCTATGTATGAATTATGAACACATCCCACCAAACTTAATGCTAACATGGTTTCACAATTTTTAACAGTTGGAAGAAACACACCGGGTGTATCATAAACCAAAATATCAGGATCTTTAGAAAGTCTAATGATTTCACTAGTACTTTTTGTAACACCCGGTTGACCCCCAGTTCTGGCAACTTTTCTATTCTTAGTAGATATTGAACCTTCCAAATCCGCTGAATATCCCACAAACCTTAATGTATTAACAAGAGTTGACTTACCGACATTAGGCATACCTATGATCATTAATCTTAACCCTAATGGTGGTGGCATCGTCATGGTATCATATGTATCTTTTACTTGTTGAATGATTTTTCGAGCATCATTTTTACTTCGACAATCTATAAACATAACTTTTTCATTAAGTGATTCATGCCATTTTTTGATAGTATGACTTTTCAATATTGATAAGTCTTTCTTACTATAAAGGACAAGTTTTTCTTTTCTTCCTAGTATCTTGTCAAATAGAACATTTGTAGTTGATATTGGTGCTCTTGAATCTCTGATTTCTAGTACTAGATCGATTTGAGGTGCTAAATGACCAAATCTCGTTAATGCCTTCTGATGATGACCTTTGAAGTTGGACAATGGGATATTATAATCGGGAAATATTCGTCTCGGTATAAACTTCATATCTGATTTTGGGGTAATGATGGTATAATAAAAGAACCTGTTGATATATGAGAAGAGATTGAAAAAATAAAAAAAAATTCAGATCAAAAATATAATTGTGCAAACTATACAGACTGCAAAATTCAACTTGATAGCATGCCACTTATAACGTTTTCAGGTTACCCTTCGTCTGGAAAGACTACCTGGGCTAAGAAATTACAAGCTGCATTAGAGAAAAGAATAGCGGAAGCTCAAGAGAAAGATGAGATTGGTAAAAACTATAAAGTGATATATCATTCTGATGAAACTCTCGGAATATCACCAGAAACCTATAAAGATTCTAATTTAGAGAAACAAGGGAGAGGGAATCAATTATCTGCTGTTAAGAGAGATCTTTCTCGTTCAAATTTTGTGATTTTGGATTCGTTGGCTTATATTAAAGGATTCAGATATCAATTATTCTGTGAAGCTAAAGGTGTGGTTACACCTCATTGTGTGGTTCATGTGATGAATCCAATAGAGAAATGTATAGAATGGAATAAACGTTGGGATGAGGAATTAATAAATCAATTATGCATGAGATATGAAGAACCAAATGGAGATAGTCGTTGGGATTCACCTTTATTTACGATTATTGCTGATTCAGAAGAAGAAACGTTACCCATAGAAGAAATTTGGGATGCATTGGTGTTAAAGAGACCACCACCACCTAATGCTGCTACATTAATAAAGTCCACCTCAGGGAACGATTTCCTTCAAGAATTGGATAAACAAACTCAAGAAGTTCTTTCCAAAATCCTTCAACATCAACAATTATCATCGATTGGAGGACGTGCTATTATAGATAAGAATCAAGGATTATATGTTGACATGCCTGCCATATCGGTTTCGACAGCTCAATTACAGAGAATGAGAAGAACTTACATTAGTTTAAATAGAATGAGATCAGTTGATATTCCTCGAATTACACCATTATTCGTCGAATATATTAATAAGAATCTTGAAGATATATAGATTATAATAAAATATATTTATATATTATAAACAGTTACTTACCTTTTTCTTTGATTTTTCCATTTAAATTCTGTTTTACCACTAGCATTAATAACTTTCTTTTTACTACCTTTTTTCATTAATTCTTTAGTATTTTCCATTCTTGATTCAATCAGTTTTAATTCTGCTTCTCTATTGATTCTCTTTTGGAATAATTTTATTTGTTTTAGTTTCTTGACATCATTCTTTTCTTTTAAGACTTCATCTTGAGACTCTATTATCTTTTTATTAGTTTTTAATTGATCTATAGTTAATCTATTTTCACGTCTTTCCAATAATGCAACATCAGTATTAAAATGTTCTGAGGCATCAAAGTTATGCAATTGTTCCTTTGAATCAATAAACACGGTATGTTTCCCATTAGCTTTAAAGTTCAAAAGTTCTTTTTGTTTATTTATTTTCAGCATTTCATTCAAACGTAAGGTCCTTATATAGTTGACATCTTGGGTTTTTAATAATTTCACCTCATTAACCGATAAAACTTCAGTATCTCTATCTGAAATTATTATACCATTATCATCAGTTCTCTTCCTAGTCATAGAATGATAATATTCATCAGGATTATAGGTAGCTGCTTTAGCTTTCAATGCTGCAAGAGCAGCTTGTTTCTTATGATAATCATTGGCTCTTAATCTATAATCTTTCTTCTTTTCAAGTAAACCAAACTTTGATCTCTTTTCTGTTTGAGAACGTTCCCTATGTTGTTTCTTCTGTATATTATGAGTTAACTTAGTCATATTGTACTGTCTGATTAACTAAAGATGGGTAGACTCTGATATTACACTGTAGATATATATTTTTTTTCTTCTTGTTAGATGAGCTTCTCAAAAATATTCAAAATCAGTAAAAAAGTTGGTCATGTGATTGATTTAAAAAATAAAAATTTGGCAGCTTTTTTTGATTTTTTTGGTGCCTTATCATCGCTTACAAATTATAGAGACACACGAGAGATGTTTTGATTTGAAATATATATGACATTATCATTTATCATTTTAAAGTGACACTTTTTTTTATTTGTTAGACATATTTTTATACTATTCATATCCTTCTTCATCCAATCATTGTACTATATATGAAATATTAATAGACAGTTAGTCAGTCAGTTATAATCTTATCTTCTTAGTTTGGGTCAAAACTGTGGCTCACTTCATACTTTTTAAGTCAATAATCCTATAATGTCAACAAATCTCGAAGTTGAAGATGATGATAAGATCCAGGATATAACTAATGATGAATCTGAACTCTTAATACCGAGAAAAAGTAACGCATCAACTATCAAGACTTATGAGAGTTGTGGTACATACGAAGAAGTTTCATCATCTTCATCTTCAAATTCAGATCTTGAAGATTTAGATCCTGATGTACTTGAATTACCCAAAGTTATTCGTGAAATAGTCCCCTTGCATGATGATCCTTCGATTCCCGTATTAACATTCCGTTACTTCTTATTATCAACTATCTTCATTATTCCTGGTGCCTTTATTGATACTATGAATTCATATCGTACTACATCAGCAGCATATTCTATATTCTTTGTACAAATTGCAGGTCATTGGGCAGGGAAAAAATTAGCAAAGCATTTACCCAAGAAAGATATCAATCTCTTTGGTTTGAAATTCAATTTGAATCCAGGACCATGGTCTATCAAAGAAGCTGCAATGGTAACCATAACGGCAAATAGTGGAGCAACTGGTAACTTGGCCACTAACGCTATCTCATTAGCAGAAATTCATTTTGGAGAAACAGTTCCAATTCCAGTTGCTTTAGGTTTCATGTGGTCTATTGTATTTGTGGGATATTCATATGCTGCCATTGCTAAAAACTTTTTACTTTATGATCCTCAATTTACCTGGCCTCAAGCTTTAATGCAAACTACATTATTACAATCTCAAGCTAAATCTGATGAAGATTCCCAAGAAGGATCTAAACAAATGAAAATATTCTTTATAGTTATCGCTTCTATAGCGGTATGGCAATTATTTCCGGAATTCATATTCCCATTCACCTCGTCATTAGCTGTTTTATGCTGGATAGCACCAAATAACCATACCTTAAATTTCATGGGTTCAGGACTTGGAGGTATGGGATTATTAAATTTTTCATTAGATTGGGCTAATATAACATCTTCTATAATGTTATATCCTTATTGGATTCAAGTGATTCAATTCGTTGCATTTGTACTTGGAGCTTGGATCTTGATTCCTTTCGCAAAATGGAGTAATAACGGAATATTTAATGGAGGGTTAATGTCAAATGGTTTATTTCTTAGTGATGGATCTCCATACCCAGTAGGTGAATTATTAAATACAGATTTAACTTTAAATACTACTGCATATGAATATTATGGTCCTGTACATTTAGGTGCTCAAAGAGCTTGGAATATGTTTTTTGATTACGCAGCTTATATAAGTGGAATCACTTGGGTAGTATTATTTGGGTATGATAAATTCAAATCATCATTTGAAAACTTCAAAAACAGTAAAGATAATCGTACTGTTTATACTGATAGACTTAATAAATTACATTCTCGTTATCAAGAAGTTCCAATTTGGTGGTACGCGGTGTTATTTGGTATTTCCTTAACTACATTAATGACAATCTTCTTATCAGGGAATTTGTTTATGCCATGGTGGTGTTGTATAGTGGCCTTGATTATGGGATCTATTATTGTCACTCCATTGGCTTGGCTATATGCTTTATCAAATTTTCAACTTGCTATAGGTACTTTTAATGAATTAACTTATGGTTATATGATGCAAAATGTGACACAGAAACATCCGGCTGGAGCTTTAGTATTTGGATCAATTGCTGGAAATGCATGGTATAGAGCCCAATATCATCTTGAATGTATGCGACTTGGATTTTATAATCATTTACCTCCTAGAGCGGTGTTCTTTTCTCAATTATATGGGGAATTAATTGGTGTTCCAATCAATTATTTAGCTTTAAGATGGGTCCTTGCAACAAAGCGTGAATATCTTAATGGAACTAAAGTTGATCCATTACATCAATGGACAGGACAAGCAATCACATCATCTCATACTAATGCAATTCAATATGTTGTATTAGGTCCTTCCAGATTATTCGTAAATTATCCATTATTACCGTATGGGTTTGTGCTTGGTTTACTTGCTCCATATATTCTCTTCAAGTTACACCAAAGGTATCCATCATCCAACTTCAACTTATGGAACACAACAGTATTCTTCTCAAGTATGAGTAGATTCTATGGTAATATATCTACTGGTTACCTTTCTAGATTTGTGGGTGGAACCATAACCATGTTTTGGGCTTTCAAATACAAGCATTCATTATGGAAGAAATATAATTATATTTTAGCTGCTGCTTTCGATACAGGATACAACTTAGCCATCTTGATTATATTCTTATTATTTTCAGTTATAACCACTACTAATATGCCCAATTGGTGGGGAAACAATTCTCAAAGTATTGAAAGATGCTTTGCTTTATAGATGTATTATAAATAGAATAAATGTACAATATTATATACAGGAATGGACGAATTTTTTATTTTGTTGTATGAGAAAAAATGGAAACAAACTGATATAGAAATAAAAGTATATTATTGAAACAACAAGGAACAATCGTCGTTCCTGGAAATCATCATATATTAGAAATCAATATGAATAATGAATCAATAAGCAATTCCAGCAGTAAGGAGGGAACTCCTACTGGGAGTGCTTCATCCTCACAAAGGCCGATTTCTACAATGCAACCGCATGAGGTAAAGCTATTAGCTCAAAGAATGTCAAATGAGTTTGCTCTGGCCAAGGCAGTTGGGGTTGATACAGAGAAGGGTAAACAACATATGCAGAAGTTCAATGCTATTAGGAATATCTTAATTAAATATAAGGAGAGTCAAGGAAAACTGGGTGTTGTGAGTAATAGTAATACAGGCTCACCTGCTCCTTCTCCTTTACCATCATCAACATCAGCAAATGCAACACCAAATCAATCATCTCAGCCAAGTCGATCACAAAGTATTGAACCTAATTCATCACAATCTGCTAATTCAGCTCCAGCAACTATAAATTTCAATGCTGTGACAATTGAAAAATATAATCAAATAATACTAAGAACTCAAGAAATGGTCAAACGAGTGAAGAATTTAGAGGAATTGAAAGTGAAAGAAGCTAATACTTCAAAAGTTGACGAATATAATCAAGAAATTCAAAATCTTAATCAACAAATAGTAAAACATCAAAAAGCAGTGAACTATATCAGAGCTCAATTAGAAAAACAAGGGAAATTACAAGCCATTGATGCGAATTCCGATAAAGCAACCCCACCACCATCAGCATCAACTATTGATTCCACAAAGGCCAATCCACCAAATAGTGTTAAAGCTCCTTCTGTTGTTTCAATTCCAGCTTCTGTAAAACCTTCGGAACCAATTTCAAATCCATCCACGGTAGCCGCAAGTAAACCAAAAGGAAAACCTGTCCCTCCAACTGCTCCAGTAGTACAACCACCAATAAAGACTACTACTAACACATTCCCTCAATCAAAAGTGGCAAATGCAAATGCACCATTATCAACTGCTATCTCGGGTACAACTAGTGTAACTGTACCAACATCCATTCCACAAACAAACAACCTTAACTCCCATAACTCACAATCTACTACAAACTTGCCAAGTATGGTCAATCGAACAGCTAGTTCAATAAATGCAAGAGGTTTAACTGGCACAGCTGGAGCATCGAAATTAAATGGTAATGCTAGACCAGGATTAGCCGGTGGCGCTACTCATGATGCTGGATTTACAAGTATGCCAGCTTTTAATCGTTTTGAACATGGCGCTGGTGCACAAATGCCTAATAATATACCAAACAATGGTGGTAGAGTATTAACCAAAAGGAAGTTAGTAGAATTGGTAAATAGTATAGGGGTTGAAGAAGGTGATCAGAAAACCATTGTTGACAACGATGTTGAGGATATATTACTCGATTTAGCTGATGAATTTGTAACATCGGTAACTGGGTTTGCATGTAAGTTAGCCAAACATAGAAAAATGGATAAGCTTGATATAAGAGATTTTCAATTACATTTAGAAAGAAACTGGGCGTTACGTGTTCCAGGATATGCTCTAGATGAAATTAAATCTGTTAGAAAATGGCAACCAAATCCAGAGTATAAAGAAAACGTTGCAAAGATAGAAAAGTCGGAGTTGGAGAATGGAAATTCAAAATAAACCTAATTTGTATTATTATATCATTAGTATGTTATTATTATTTACTTTCTATAGATTAGTTAATTCATAATTCATAATATTATTAATTCTTTAATTTGAAACTACTACCCTGTAATTCCAACCTTTCTTGTTCTATTAACCAATCCAAATATTCTTCAAAGTAACTAGGACTTAACGCTTGTACATCAAAAGTTTCTTTAGGTACTCTTAATTTTAATAAAGTAAGAATCTTTGAAGATGTAAGCATCGAAATATTCTCCAACAAGATTTGAATGAAGGGCCAAAGCACATATAGATCTTCGAATGGTTTGGTCTCTTCATATCTTGATGTTGCTGAACTAGGACCTGTAGTAGTTGCACTTCTAAGTCTTAAATCGTTATTAGTATTCAAGTTATTATTTTCCTCATCGTCGTCATCATCATCGTTCACAATGTATAGCGACTTAGTAAGTTCAATTAATACTCCTTCCTTTACCCAAAAATTCAATCCACTGGATACCATATAAGTAGGCATATTTAATGTCTTGCTTATGTATTCGACTGATAATTCTTCATTTTGGTCATTAAATAAAGATATTATAGATGCCTTATCTGGACTAACCTCAAATTCTTTGGAAATATTATTTTTGAATTCAAGTTGCAATTTAACTGATCCTAAACTAGGTAAAAACTTCAAGCTTCTACCTGATTTTTGTTCATTGAATTGACCTGACATACTTTTAAAAGCCTGTTCGATAGCACTAGGGACATTAAAATAATCTCTTTCATCAGATAAATTTTCAATAACAGTTGGCCAATAAAGATGAGATAAAATTGAAGTATGAAAGTGACTAAGATTACCATTCATATTATTCTGGATTATTTGATTCATGGTTTTACTTCCTTTTATATCTTTAATCATTATATCCAAAGACGTGAATTCATCTTTACCGAATCTTACCTTCAATAAATCAAGATAAGTTTCAATTTTTTGGACATCATAATCATGAATATTAATTAATCGTTGACCAAATAATTTTGTAAATTCACTTATGAATATCTCGTTGGAATCAAATATTGAAATTAAAGATTCAATAATATCTGTTACTTTAGCCTTTTTGAAATCGGGTAATGCATCAATTGGATCAGGTATCCAATTCAAATCCAATCCATCATCTATGCTTGTTTGTTGTTGTTTATTTGGTGGATCAACTTTTCTTAAATCTTGAGCCAACTCCACTAAATCATTTTTGGAATCATCTTCTTCTAATAAACCATGAACAATTTTTATAATGATATCTTCTCTAGTTTTCAAATAAGTTCTGATTGGTCTTACCACCTTGTCTAGTAAAACTCCCTTCGGATCTATGATTAAAAATGATTTTATAGTTTTGATATAAGTGGTTATTACATCGACTGTATTTGCACCCGAATGTAAAATCTTTTCATGACTTAATTTGATGAAATTTTCAACTAATTTAGTTCTTTGATAGGATTGAGACTTTAAAGAAAAGTTTACCAAATATGAGAAATTAGATAAATGAGATACATCATTGATTAGGTTAGTGGAAGAAGAATTCGAATCTTCTAATTGATTATGTTGTTGTTGGTTGTAATTTGAATGATTGAATTTTATCAGGAAACACTGATATAATTCATACAATGCAATTGAACTTGTAGGATAATTTAGAATGATTTCATAAATCTCTTTAATTCTTAATGACACCAATTCATCATGAGCGATTTTAATCAAATCATAAAGATAAGAATTTGCATCGATATTTATAGTTGAATATTTCAAACTTATTAAAAAATTAGGATATATTTTATGTTGAATATATTGATTGATTAATTCGAGTAAGTACTTATTCCATACTTTTGAACAATTTTCAACTATAAATAATTTGATCTTTTTAATCGATAATTGAATCATGATATGATTTACTTCATTAATTAAGTTGATTGAACTTAAGGTATGTATGATTTCATTGATTGAGGCAACGGAATAAGGAGGGTTGGTTCCCGCAGAAGTAGTATCTCCATTATAAAGTGATTCATCTAAATAATTCAGTAATAATGGTAAGAAATGCAGTTTATCATCTTTAATAAGATTATTATAAAACAATGAATTTAAATTTCGTCTAAATAAATCTTTTGATAAAGGTGACATGTTAAGGTATTGTAGTATGGAATTGAAATAACCATTGATGATCTTGATCAAGTTGAAATAGTTTAAAAACGTTAAATTTGAACTATTGGTCAAGTGATTAAAGAAACTATTCAATTTGATGGTGATTGAATTATTGTATAATTTGACAAATTCCAATTGATTGGCATCATCCTTCAAACAACTCCTGATGGCAGCTTTCACTCTTTTTGAAGGTTCAACCACCTTATTGAACAACTTATGACTGCTGTTATTGAATTGAATCCAATTATTATCTTGAATCTGTTGTTGATTGATCAATGATGGCGGGAAATAAGGATGCAACCAATTTAAAAGATAATCAATATCATTCTCTATATCAGTAGAGTTATGGGAGAGATCACCCAACGTCGGTGTCGGTATCACCCATTCAATTACTTCCTTAGACAATGGGATTGATGTCATTTGGTCCTTGATTCAAACACAGAGTTTGGTTAAATGATATTTGGCTGCCATTTTTATCAAAATCAAAACAAGTCTGCTTGGTTCTGTTTGTGGGTGTGATCTGAGGTGTGGATGTTTGTTGATACTAATTTTTTTTTCTTCTGATACACTTCAAAATCAATTTAGAGTCAATGGATCAAAAATAGACGTGAATTGGTAATAGATAATAGAAGTTGAAGACTCATCGATTGTCAAATGGTATGTATAAGGATATATTGGATGTATTTTCAAGAAGTAATTACTAACTAATGTATAGTTTTCACGGTCAAATAAAGGAATCAAACAACAACAGGAGTTTGTGGAGATCACTCAAAGTTCTCTGATAATTGCAGCTAGTTATTTAAAGAATAATAATAATAATCTAGAACGAGCCATACAGCAATATTTTGAAAACACGAAGAAGAGTCAAAGTCAAGATAATACTAAATATGATCCTAAATTAATCAAACTTTATGAATCATATCAAGATTCTGAGAATAATCAATTGATTAGTATTGAAGGTACGATTCAATATTTAGAAGATTTACATATTGAACCAGAAGATTTAGAAAGTTTAACATTAGCATATTTATTAAACAGTACCAAGATTGGAGAATTTGAAAAACCCAAATTTTTAAAATTTTGGACTAGTTATAAAATCAATGATTTGAAAAAAATGTCAAAATTCATCAAAGATATCCATCATAAATTAATAACTGATGACACAGTTGAGATAAAATCAACTGATTCAGATGGTGCTTCCACGGCAAGTTTCAAAAATGTGTATGAATATACTTTCCTGGGGTTATTAGAAGTTGCAAATCAAAATAAGATTGATTATGTGTTATGTACTGAATATTGGAAATTATTAATCCCCATATTAATTAATAGAGAACTTAAGCAAGAGGGGCAAGATTCAACTATTGATGAAAGAGAATCCCTAATATATACCCGATTAAATCAATGGTATGAATTTCTCGATATTGAATACAAACAACATGTTTCTCATGATAAATGGACCATGTTTTATTTATTTGTCAAGGATATAATTATAACTGATCCATCCACCTTAAAAGATTATGATGAAATGGCAGCATGGCCTAGTGTATTTGATGAATATGTCAATTATTTACGAGAAAATGAACTACTTCAATGAATAAAAATACTGACATAAATAGGTTCTATTATTAGTAAGCGGTATATATATATAGAGTACAAATGGTAATCTAGAAATTATTAATTATATATTTTTATAGATATATCAAAAATAAAAAGAATATAAAAAAGCAAAAAAAAAGAAAATAAAATAAAAGAAAAGGGAGGTAGGAGAATAGAATCATTAGGAATTAAGTCAAACTTAGAATGGTTGACAGTAGAATTGAAGTATATGGAATTAAATAAAACATTAACGGTAGAAAGTAAACAAGAAGAACTAAAAAAGTCTGTACCTTTTTCTAATTTAATAAGCTATCGATGCTTGATTTTCTTAAGGCTAATAATGTCTTTGAAGCATCTTGTTCATCATTATCATCAAGATCAGTTTTTGATTCATCACCATTGAATATAACTATATTTGGAATTTTTGATTTGAAATATTTCTTTTTTGGTAATTCTGATAACTTCGAAGCAGGATTTATAGCAGGATCAGGTAAAGCAAATTTATTTTGAGATGAATTAGATGGAATTATACTTCTTTGTAAACTTACCGGAGGAGAAGTTGAAGAAGCTTTTGATATTGGGATTGATGAGAATGAAGATTTTAATGGATTTGTATAAGGAGAAGAATTTGTTGAATGGAAAGCCATAGTATTTGGACTAACAGGGAAAGAACTTTTTCTTGATTCACTTGAAAGTGATGAATTCATACTTGTATTATTATATTTATTTAATAAAGTTAAAATGGGAGCCATGTTTGGAGTAATATCGGGAGATGGTAATTGACTTTTTGAATTATTATCTTGAGGTAAATTAGTTGTATTTTGAGATTCTGATTCTTCTAATTCTTCATCATCATCTTCATCTTCCCCTTCTTCTTCTTCTTTTATAACATGAGTTCTAAAATCATAATTTCTTTTGGTAGTATTATTTACAGTTGGAGATACAGTTGTACCATTTTCATAATCATTTAATAAATCTTTAAAGTTAAAATCTTTATCAATATTTCTATATTGATTTACATTTAAAGGAATCTTAGCAAAATCAATATTAAAATTTTTATAAGGTTCAGTACCATTTTCAATATTTGATTGTTCAACTTTTAATAGTAATTCATTTTGTTTTTGAATGATATGATGTAAATATAAGATATATTCCACTGAAGATTTTAAAATGGTTAATTTATACATTCCATCAATTTTATTACCATTATTATTATTTGAATTTGATGAAGAAGGAGGAGGAGTCTTTTTTGAATTTATAGCAGTTATATTTGGAGTTGAAGGAGCACTTGAGCCACCAGTTGAATTTCTACAAGCTGGGATTAAATATTTCAAAGCTTCGAATTCACGATTAATTTTAATTCTTCTTCTCTTTTCAATTATAGAATGTAATTGTTTTGTTTCATGTTTTCTTTTAGCTAATTCTTCTGAATCGATATTAGCAGATGATCTTCTTCTTTTTTTCTTATTAGGAAGATTTGTAGCTGAAGATAAACTTGATGAAGGAGAAGATATGATTTCAAGGTTATTTAAAGGTAAAGAACTTTGATTATTGGTGGTAGTAGTAGGATTAGCATCTCTTGGAGTAGATGAATCAGCGTCAGTTGATCCATTAAGATATTCATTGGTTAAGATTTCATAATTGTTATCATCTGAATCCAATTCTTTGTTTAATTGGATTATAGTTGTTTTTAAAACAGGTGGGTTTGGGAATGAAGAAACCATGATTGAAATTATATAATTAGTATGTGTATGATTGACTGCAAAGAACTTTATTTTGTCTCAGCAGTTTTTCTGTCTAATTGATCTAATGTGAGGGTAATTAAGAGGGATGGATCAGTAGTTGTTGAATGATGATCTGATTGATGAGAGGGTCTATAATAAATAAATGATAAACGAAACGAAAGGAACAAATAAACAGTTTTGAACAAAAAGTAGAAAATTTTTAAGAATCTTGTGGTGTCTATATATTTTTATGATTGATGGCTGACAGCACAGAAGAAGACAAAATAGACTCAGACAGACCCACGTTTAATTCTTTATTTTTTTTTTTTTGCTTTTTCTGTTTTTTATTTATTTTTATTTTATATGTCAATTTATTTGACTTTAGTAAGTTGCAAGTATATACTAGTTAGTCTGATTGATAATATGATAATCGTAAAAGTGTTAGGGGGAGAAGGAGAATTAGTAAGTATATATGTTGACGCAAAGTATTAAGATCAGTGTCAAACCTTTGATGCTAAAAGTTAATATGTCAATACTATATAGGAGTTCATTCATTCATTCATTCATTCAATTCAACTCAAATCAATTTTAAAACGTTGATCACACATTATTCAATTGATTTGAATTGAAGTATATAGATAATAATAATTATTATTATTATAGAACAGTCAACTTTAAATGCAAAATTGATAGTTAAAAAACGTGTGAAATTATGAAAAATAAAATAAAATAAAAACTTAATACTTGTCACACGAGATTAATTAATAATTCCATTTCCACAAGACCACAAAATGACTATAATTCTATTATAATTTTGTTTGCCCCATACTATACCTTTTTAGTAAAAGTTTACGCTCTGCGCCCCACGTGTCTACCTCTTAAAAGAAAAATATTCTATTTTTATCTTGTGAGCGATAAAAATAAAACATAAAAAATAATGACAGTGAAAAGGGTAGTGTACTTTTGCTTATCGATTTAGTAGTTAGTTTTTTTTTTCACTTCTCTCTCCCCCAGCAACCAAAACAACTAAACAACCAACTACCACCCCCGTGCATAACCAAATAAAAAAAAAGCAACCCATTATTTATTATTAAAAAACCTATCACGTGGAATAATTATATACAACTGAAAGCTATTGTCTTAAAAGGGGTATAATTCGGTAACTTAACCCTGATTCTCACGTTTTATCAATTCAATTCAATTCAATTGAATTGAATTCAATTAATCCCATTTAATTAAAACTCAGTTTAAATCGAATCATTTATTTATTTTATCTGATTGATATTTCAAAAGTAAGAAATACTGATTTAGTTAAAATGTTTTGATAATACTTTTAAGCACCGTTTTTTAATGGGTATATCCCTAAACTTAATCAAAAAACATATCAAATCAAATCAAATCAAAAGTTCTATATGATCATTTTAATCATTTACTCTAAACTGTAGTTGATATGGTATACCATTTGATTGATTGATTGATGAGTAGTTATCTTCCTTTGAATGATATCATAAAATGTTTCAACTCTAGGTCATTGCAACGTGCCAATCAATCATCACATCTATATTGATTATCATTTTGAGTATGAAGATTGATTCCCCATTGTCATGAATTGATCCCTAGATCAATCATGATCCAATAACATTCATTATCAATCTCCTAGTAGAAAGATTACTTAACTTATAGTAATAATTTTGGCTGCCTTTTTGGCTGCCTTTTTTTCTTTGTATGTAAACTTCAATTTTTCCATTCTCACACGACAATTTTTTTGTGTTGTTGTCTTTCAATTTTTTCGCAGCCTTTCATAACAGTTAAAAATCGGTTTGGAGACTCACCAAAATTTAAGCAGGACAAAAGAAAAAAACACTTTTACAACAACCCTTACTGTCTCTCCCTTACACATTTGTTTTACAACACATTCTTACCAGTATCCATTTGACATTTATCAATCAATCTATCTATCTATCACCATCAATCCATCTCATCAGCCCATCAATCTATCAATCAAATCAATTCCATATCTTTGATATTACCTGACTATATTAAAACGTATCTATCATTTCTTTTATCCTCCCTAAAAATATTCCATCTTAATGGGTTCAGTTAAACATAATCAATCTCATCGTAATCAACACAATCCATCACCAGTTGATGACCTGCAACTCATCTACATCTCTGGTGAAGTTCGAAAATTAAGACCTGCTCCTCCTCCTTTAGTAAATGCTTGGAATTCAAATGCTTTAATCTCATCTTTAAATGCGTCAACTCCTAAATCTTTAAATGATGATACAGCCGCTGAAACAATAATTAGAATCGATGATGATACTATAAATGATAATGAAAATCAAATCGAAATTCTTTCATCCATGGATTTATCATCCCCAATAACTACTACTACAGATGTTAATCCAATGTCAACTGTTGAACCTAATGATAGTAGTAGTACTACTACTCTCACTAATAATACTACAAAAACTATCATAAAAAAGAATTTAAAATCAACTCCGGCTTTAATTCAAGTTGGTAAAAATATAAGTATTAGAAAACCTCTTTTTCCAAAACCAACTATTAATGCCACTCAACATCGTCATTATTATCGTCATCCCCCTCATTTCAATCCTAAATTTGGTAATAATTATTCTTATTATACTACTACTTCGAATTATAAATATAATTATAATTATAATTCAAATTCAAATGAAAGTCTTGTTAATGATAAGATTGGTGATAATGAAACTAATAATGCTGAAAATGAGAAAATCATTAATGATAATAATATTGTTGTAGATGTTGAACAAGTTGAAGAAAAAAAAGAAATCTCTCCTAAAGTAACCAAAAGTAAAGCCAAAAAATCAAAACGTAAGAATGCAAATAAATCAGAAATTATTATTAGTGAAGATAAGCAATTAGCTGGTGATCTGGCTATGAAAATTGATGTTGAACCCATAACTAATCAAACCAATTCTTCAAATGAAATGAAAGCTGATAGATCTAATATCAATGAAAATAATAATAGAGTTGATAATTTTAATCTTCATAAATTTTATGAATCTTTACCAATCCCAAATAATTCTCCCACTTCAAGTTATTCATCTCGTCATTCTCAATCTCCAATTTCACCCATTAGACAGAATAATCCTGTTGATGAATTATACTATGCTCCTCATATTTATCATAACTCTCCTTTATTATTAAATTCATATGCTTTACTTCCTCCACAACCACAATCAACTTTAAGATTTCCAATTCCATTACCACCCCCTCAAAATTATCCAGTTTTAGATGGTTCAACTCCACTTGTTTCTCCATTATCATTTCCAACAACTCCTATTAGATCAACATCTCCTATGATGGATAATGCTATGGGACCACCAGGACCACCAGGACCACCAGGACCACCAGGACCACCAGGACCACCAGGACCACCACCACAAATGTATCCCACATCATACTACTCATATTATCCAATACCTCCTCCTCCTCATTTTGGTCATCTTCCACCAACTCAATACTTTCATGAGCTTCATTATGGTAATCCAATGCAACAACCTTTCCAACAACCTATTAATCCTCCATTACCAAATATTGATGAAGTCAATAGAGAAAAATCGGAAAAAATTAAACTTCAATTAACTTATTATTTCTCTACCGAAAATCTTTGTAAAGATACTTATCTTAGATCTTTATTTAATAAAGAAGATGGAGGTATTGAATTAAAAGAATTACTAAAGTTTCAAAGATTGAAACTTTTAACTAATAATGGAAAAGATGTTAATTTATTGAGATCCACTATTAGAGAAAATTTACCTCAATTAGAATTAATTAATAATGATAAAGCAGTTCGAATCAATGATTGGAAACAATGGTTACTTTAAAACTATAAAAGAAGAGAAAGCCAATTCTGGGTTAAAAAAAAAAAAGGTAAACTTATATTAGACCTTAACTAATTAGAAGAACTTCCATATTTATCCAACAAAGCTTTCTTTTTCAATAATTGAACTCTTTTGTTTTCTTCTTGCTTTTCTTTAGCTTTAAGCATCATTAAGGTTGGACTTGCTTCAAGACTAAAATCTAAATTAGTCTCGGTAATGTTATCATCATCATTATAATCATTAGTTGCTTCTGTTGACAATTTATTAATTAATTGTTGTTTTTGCTTATCTTTTAAATCATTTTGATCAATTTCCCAAGCAAATTTTTGCAAATCTATTAAATCTTTTCCTTCACCATTTAATTTTTTAACAAATTGATTTTTATCATTTAAGAACCCCTTTTCTAGATTTTTAGCTAACCTTGATTTTGGATCATAATCAATTCTAATTTTATTATTTGGATCACTTGATATATTATAAATATAAGAAGGAATATCTTCTCTATCTCTAATCATTTTTTCAAGATGATTTTGTTTATTATTGGTTGAGATATCTTTTCTCTGTAAATTCAATTCAATTAATTCCAATTCATAATCAGTATCATCTGAGGATACTGAATCAGATTCATCATCTTTATTTTGGTTTGAAATTTTTCGTTTTATTTTTTTTGATTTTTGTTTAATTTTTTCCCAATTTTGAAATATTTTATCCCATTCTTTATTATTATATCCATACCATCTATCTCGTTTAATATCATATATATTTCTATCATTATTTTTATCTGTAGTTGTGTTGGTGTTATTGTTATTGTTATTGTCATTATCATTATCATCAATTTTCTTTATGTATACATTATTTTGAACTATGAATTCATCGTTAATCCCAGATCCTGAAGTTGGCAAACTATAATCCACTATAACATCCTTGTTCTTTCTCTGATGGGATAAGTAATCTTCCTTTGGCTGTTGTTGATCTTCATTAACTTCCACTTCATCTTGATGATCTAGTTTTTGTTTCTTCAAATCCGATTCTGTCGATGATGTTTCTTGATACCATGGTTTCTCAGAGATATATTTCGGTATATAGGGATTGATATCACCTGGTTTTAGATCGGATCTATATCTTGGTTTTGGTTTTACTTCCTTGTCTTTATTCTTTGATGACATTGATTGAATTGCTATATCTTAGAAATGTAGCTGTTTATATTTTTATTTCACTTTTATTTTTAAATTTTGGTATTTTGGTATTTTTAGTGCGAAAATATTTTAACTATGCAAAAAAATCTATGGATTATGGATTATGGATTATGGTATATATTAAAAAATCTATAAATTATTTATAAATGCTATATGATATGACATGATGATATGGCATGATTTTGCTATTAAAACCCAGTCCATTCATCTTCATCTTCATCTTCATCATCTTCATCATCTTTATTATCTTCATTATCACTATCACCATCACTATCTTCTTCTTCATCATCATCTTCCTCAATAACATTCCAAGTTATTAATCTTTCATCGTCCAATACTTCTTCTTTACATTTTTCTCTTAATGTCTTTAATGGTGCTTGTTTGTTTAAGGTTTCAAATGGTGATATCAATAACTTAATAGGTATTTCTGAACAAATATTTATTTTTGTAGTTATTGATTGTTGATATTTTTCAAGATAATCTTCATCATCTTTATTTAATGCTTCTTCTTGAATATCTTCAAATATGATTAATTCTAATTCATCTAAGAAGATATCACAAATATGATAAGGTAAAGCCATGGCAATTGATTTATCACCACATAATATCCCATTATCTTGAACCAATATATTAACCCAATTATTTACAAGTTCTTCATCCCAATGATTTAATTTTAAAAATTTGAAATTATGTCTTAATACTCTTCTGATTAATAAATAATATTTATCAATTCTCCATTGATCAATACTTGGCCATTCTATAATCATAATTTTAAAGAATGATTGAGCAAATAATAAGAAATTCTTTGGATCTTTAATACTTTCAGAATATAATTTTCCAAGGTTTTCACTTAATCTTTCTTGAGCTTGTGGTCTATCACAATACCACATAGAAAAGTATAATCCTTTCCATAATTTTTCGTAATCTAATACAGTGATTTTATTTGATAATGATTTGGTAGATAAATATTTCTTTAATGATTCCAAAGCACCATCTCTGGTTTTCTTATCATTTGATGCCAACTTCTTCACAAAAGTGGATGATGCAGTACCGGTTGAAGACATATTATTCTCGGTATAAAGCTGTTGTTATGTATATTAATGTAGTTTAAATACTCTTTTTATAAATATATATGGTTATAGCTTTTATTTAAACTGAAAAAAAAAAAAAATTAATAGAGAGAAATTGAAAAATTTGAGAAGAGCATTAAATCACGTGCAAAGTCACATGATTTGATTTTTAGGTCTAACTAGAAACTACTATTACAACAACTTAATAAACAATGGATCTATAAATACATTTTACATATATTAAATAGGATTATAAAATAGATATGGGTGATAATATGAACATCCATATGCACACACTAATATAGAAATAAAAGACGATAAAAATAAAAATACATGATATCATTAATGTATTTTGAGTTAATGGGATGAATGATACTTCATTTTGTTTTTATGATTTGATTATACATGATTGCCACTTGGGTTCAACTAGTGGTGATTAGTTATTGTTGTTGCCTGAACTTAGTTTGATGATTGATACATTTTCTTTCTTTCTCTTATGATTTAAAGAATGTTACGTTTAAACAATCAAGTATCTGATTGGGATATGGACTAATTTGACAGCGTATCCAACAACACCCATCATAATGAAACCAACACCAACAGCTCTAATGATTTTAAAGTATTCTATAAATATTATGTTAGTAAAATAGTCCTGGTTTAAGTTAAATCATCAATGATAATTAATACAACATACCTTTAAGATCTGGTTTTTGACATTTCTTAACGAAAGCAGTACCATCTTTAAAGAATTCAACTGGAACTTCAGTGAATTTTTCTAAACCTTCAGCAGCCATATTATCTTTTTGTTTATATATCTGATTTTGATTATATCAATACAAAAGGAATAGATATATATTGGTAACTTTTCAAAATTGAAGTGTTGTTCAGTTTTAAAAATTGTCATTCTTTTTTTTGGCCCCCTTCGCACGACCTTCCTTTAATTACGTGTTACAAAATGAGGACCAGCACACGACTACTTCCAGAAGGTATCTACAACTTCAGTTTATAATGGTATAGTTTCCTTTATGATTATGCTAATAAATAAATATATGCTATATACACTTGTAGTGGGTCTATAATAAATCTAATAATGATTCATCATCTTCCTTATCTTCATTACGTAAGTTGGCCATAAATTCAACTCTCTTTTTCTCGATCATTTCTCTATATCGGGGAGCTCTAATTGTCTTCCACCAATTCATTAATTTATCATTCATTTCTTCATCAAGGGACCATTTATTTATTAATGGAATACATTGGCCAGCATATGTTGCCTTCCATTTATAATCAATTAAACTTTTCATGGTCTGTTCATATAGTAACCCTATCGATTGATCGATTTTATTTTGTTTACCAAAATTAAATCCATCTCGAGTGGTAAAACCTTGTTGATCATGATTAATAGCAAACTTATGATATTGATTCAATAAACATGTTAAATATGAATAATATAATTCTTCCGTCTGTTCTGATGATTCATTCAATTCTTCTTTTAAATAATCAAAATAAAGCTTATAGATTCTTAATGAAAAATGACCTCCAGTTTCTTGTTGATATAATGTCCATAATTGATTGAAGGTATTGATACGTTCACTCTTTAATTCATCCATAAAGGTTAAATATCCTTCATAATCAAAATTAACATCTTGTTGAACTTCTTGTAAGGTTTTAGATGATCGTCTAACTTTATTAGAATCTGTTTTTGATGTTTGTTGTAAATAATATGCAAGTGATCTTCGTTGATTATATTTAGTAGAAAGATCACACCCTTTAAATAATTCTTCCCAAAATGATATTGATTTTCGATCATTAATACTAACTCCATAATGATCTTCAAAAGCAGTTATATATTTTAAACTCTTAAAAAATTCTTGATGACTTGATAAAGATACTATAATTGCTTTTAAAACTTTAATATTTGGATATCTAGAATCATCTTGATCAAAACGTTTGAACTCAGGGTTTAACTCTCCCTTGGAATTGATGCCATATGTCAACTCTATGAATTCATACAATTCATTTAATTCCCCACTATAACTAATTGAATATATCAAAACTTCAGCAAGTTCATTATTTAATGTGAAATCATCTATCGATTGGTTTGTACCTATTAAAAAGTCATTCAAGATAGATTTATAAGATCTGGCTTGTTTAAAACCCGAGAATTTAGGATCACGATAATATTGGAATGTATTGGTTGATTTCGATACCCAACCAAGTGGAGATCCACCGGCATGTAATTTGAATTTTAATAACCACATATTAAATGTCATTAATTCTCGATAATTCTCAGGATGTTCAAGTTCAAATCTATGAAACCATTTGGCAGCTAAATCAAATTTTAAATTATGATACTCCATAAAGATTAAATTCTCATAATCTTCCACTTGTAAAGTATACCCTGTAAGATTTGGTGAATTATATAAATTTGATCGTTTTGATTTTTGATATATGTAATCTTGATGATCGGTATAAATCAAATTACTATAGATTTTTCTGATGGAGTCTAATAAAACTCTTGATTCAGATACTTTATCATTCAGACGAGTATCATCATGTAATTTGGAAATGATTGGATTTGAATTTTTGGTCTTTTCATTAATGGTATCCAAAGCATATCTTTGTAATAATCCAGTTTGACAAATTATGATTCTTTTGATAATATATGAAAACTCTTGACGAGTTAATGATTCTAATAGATTCGATAATGACTTTTCACTCCATTGTAAGAACAAATCAGCTATAGCTTTCACATTATTGGATTCCAATAGTTTATATATCTCATGCTTTAATTTTAAAGTTTTACTTAAATCTTCAAGTTTGAATGATCCACTGGAATATTCGACATACACTTCATTATTAAATCTTTCAGACGGCAACAATTTGATAAAGTCATTCACTTTTATAGACTCAGTATTAATGGTGGAAGTTGACTTTGCCAGTATGGTGGTTCTTGAATTTGTTATAATCCGATCGGACTCATTGGGTCTTAAAGCATCTTCATGTAAAGATAAGGCTGGTGACGAGTAATTTCGAGTGATAATTTTCTTTATTTGAATGTTTGGACACCTCCTTATCCTTAAAACCATAGTGATATTTGTCCAAACCTCCTTTAATAGGGATCTTATTGAATTATTATTTGGTATAGTATTTTGCAAGATTTGAAAAATTTACTTCACTTCATTTGACTGAAAAAAATAAAAAAAGTAATAGACGAAAAACATCCATACATCAGATTTACCCGGAATTTGGATCATTACATACTAATTACTATCAACCTACAACAATTAACTTCACCTATGAATATCATATTATAAACTATGAAGACAACTACTTAAATAAATCGTAAATAAGCCAGGAGAACCACCTAAAGTTTAACTTGACCAATAGCTTCACCAAATTTTTCATCAATATTAGAAGCATTATATACCGCAATATTTCTTAATCCATCATTGACTGAAGTACCATCAATAATATCTTGAAGACTACTTTTGGTACCTTTAATAGCCCATTGTTGATGTCCATTGATATCAGAACCAAGATTCTTACAATATTCAATACCAGAGGCAAGGTCTGGCAATATTTTACTCACCAATCCAAGTTTCAAGGCTTCATCAGCATTGAAAAATGCTCCTGTTAAGGCATATTGAAACAATAATGATTTATTATTAACAAGAGCAGGTAATCTTTGTAATGAACCAATATCAGCTGGAATACCGATTTTAATTTCTCTAATTGAAAATTTAGCATCTTTAGTAGCAATTCTAATCGAAACAGTAGCAGCTATATCCAAAGCTAAACCATAATTAATACCATTTAATAAAGCAATGGTTGGTGTATTGATACGAGCTGGAGTACCGATAGCACGTTGGAAATCACTAATATGAGAATGCATTTTATTATATTGTTGATGTCTCGATAATCCTTCTGATGCTCCAAACATACTTAAAGCAGCTTTTAAATTAAGTCCACTAGTAAATGCTTTGGCAATTGGAGATGAAATAAGAATAACATTGGTTTCAGGATGTTGATCAACTTTAGTCAAGATAGCTTCATATTGTCTCCAAGTACTTTCTTTGAAAGCATTTAATGATCTTGGATTATTAAATTGAACATGAATAAATCCTTCTTCAATCTCACTAACAATAAATTCATCATATTGTTTATAATCATCGGCATTGAAAGGGGCTATTTCGTCACTCATGGTTGGTAGTATTCGTTCTTTCTTTAAATTTATCTAATCTAGTCTAATATAGGACTGAAATACAAAAGAAGATGTAAATAGTATCATTAAATTTAATTTAATTGTGGATTTCCATTATGTTTTAAGTTAATAAATTATCACAGTAATTATACATTAGTTACCGAGGAATTGCGCACCCACTCAAAAAAAATTATTGTGGGGAACACATTATACTATACACTATAATAGTTAATATTTACCAGTAGGTAGTTTACTCTCCTCTTTAGCAGCTATTTCTAATCCTTCTATCATCTTTTGTCGGAGGAGCTTATTAGCTTCATGGACTGACTGTTCGGTCAAACCTTCAACAAGTAAATAGAGTTTAGCTGGTGCCGGTATTTCCTTACCATTTTTAATAGTAGGTTCAGGGACTTTAGTTCCTGGTGGATAATATTGACCCTTACTTGTAATTGAAGCCCCAGTGGCTTCAATGATTTTGGGTAGACTATCTCTATTCACAACCGTCCATCTGGCCTTTTGGGGTAAATCATTAATGGTAATTCTTGAATGGAAATTTCCTCTATCTGGTCCAGCAGTCTCTGGAGCTCCTCCTTTTATGATGGTGAAATCAGGAAGTTTACCTTCATCAATATGAACATCCGGGGCAGGGCTAGCATTAGAAGAATCATTATCTTTGGATGTACTGCTATGAGTTTGATCTTCAACATTAAATTCCTTTCTTTGGATATCACGAGCATTCTCACGTATTTGCTGCAATTTCTCTAAACCTTTACCTCCGAACCCGAAATTATACTTAACCTTCCCTTTTGTGACTTTTTTCAAAAATTCATTACTGATTTCTACCATCCTTGAAGGTATTGATTCTTCTGCAACTTTACTTAATCTCATTGCTTTAACCAAATCAGTTATACATCTTTCTTGACTTGAAGATACATATGTTATTGCAGTGCCTTTAGCACCGGCTCTACCTGTTCTTCCCACTCTATGCACATAATCTTCCATATGATTGGGAGCCTCATAGTTGATCACTAGATTCAAACCCTTCACATCCAATCCTCTGGCAGCAATAGAAGTAGCTATCAATATGTTAACACCACTAGTCTTAGACGAGAAGTCCTTAATGGCATGTTTTCTATCTAATTGATCTTTACCACCATGTATAGCTAGGCAAGGAATTTCCTCAGCTAATAGTTTCACCAATAATTCATCGGCATATGACTGCTTTTCAACAAAAATCAAGACTTTTCCTTGTGGATCCTTCTCTTGAAATTCTTTCAAGTCATCAATTAACTTCGTAAACTTTACATCTGCTACTTCTTTTTCTTCACCTTCAAATAAATATGCCTTTTGAGTAACCTCTGGAGCGACTATACTGATTCCACCTACAATAATTTCAATAGGATTTTGTAAGATTTTCTTAGCCAATAATTCCATTTTTCTAGGAAAGGTTGCTGAAAATAGGACTGTTTGTCTATCAGGTCGTACTTGAGTAAAAATCTTAGACACTTGTGGTTCAAAACCCATATCAAACATTCGATCAGCTTCATCAAGTACAAGATATGTTACTCTCTTTAAATTAGTTACTCTACCACTATTAGCCGCCAATAAATCAATCACTCTACCAGGAGTACCAACTATAATCTCAACACCCTTTTTAAGCTCAGCAATTTGATTTTCAATTGGAGCACCACCGTAACAACAACAAGCTCGGAGATCAATCTTCTTTAGGAAATTACCAACCTCTTTAAAAATCTGAAGAGCAAGTTCTCTCGTCGGAGTCAAAATTACTGCAATTGGACCATCATCTTTTTTTAATGATTCTTGATCTTGAACATGTCTCAACATTGGAAGGACAAATGATAGTGTCTTACCTGAACCTGTTTTTGCAACACCAATCAAATCACGACCAGACATTATAGTAGGAAGAGCTTGAGCTTGAATTGAAGTTGGACCGGAATAGCCTAGTTTGTTTTCGATGATGTCCATGTATACAGAAGAAAGAGCTAAATGAGACCATTTTAAAATAGGTTTAGGAATATTCATCCCGTGAACTCGTATACCATCAAAGTCAAACCTTATTGCTTCGACATCTTCTGTACTTAAGTTTTTAATTTCAAATGGTTCTGTATAAAAGCTTTTCCTGAATGATTTCACATTTTCATTAGAAAAGTCAATAGCTCCTAATTCCTTCTCTTTATTTTGTAATTTTAATAATTTTGATGATAACAATCTTTGTTGCGCCTCTTCTTCATCTTCAACTTCCTCATCGTCATCTTCATTTTCTTCATTTTCGATATCATTAGCAATGTCTTCCTGGTCATTAATTATTTGAGCTTGATTTGTTACTGGTGCAACCTTGACATTGTCATTACCTTCTAACAGTTTTATGAAATCATCTAGCTCATCGGTCTCATTATCATTTTTCGTGGAATAATAATCCATAGAGTCAATATCTAGATTCAAGTCTGGTTTCTTAAACTTCAATCCCAGATCTTCTTCTGGAACTTCGTCATCAAACAATGCTCGCTTAGCAACTTTCTTCGGTAGTATCTTCCCTTTCTTTATAGTTGATATTTTTAAAGTAGACTTCTCCACAGATGCTGGTTTTGAAGTTTGTGATGACTGTTGTTCCTTTTCCAAGGCCTTTCTTCTTTTCCATACCTCTATCTTGGAAAGACTGCCTTCACCATTGGCAGGCTCTTCTGCTTCTTGACTCTCTTGTTTCTTAGTTTCCTTCCATAATGCTAAACGTTCTCGCCTTCTTCGTAACTTTTCTGCTTTCGATAATTCTTCATTGCCTGATATGTTAGTAGACTGATTATTTAAACTAGTTTGCCCTTCATCGTTGGGCTTTTTACTTTCAAATGAACTATGAGAAGTTTCATCACTAACCATAGCCATCATAAAACAGTACACACAATTTAACTTTCAAAAGTTTGTTTGATGCTTAAAGAAATAGTATCTTTTGATTGTAATTAAAAATGTAAATAGATCTCATCTTTTAAATTTTGTAAACAAATTTCTTACATGCACTACCATACAAATATTAATCTTTTTATGCAAATAATATGGGGTATATTAGAATAAATATATAACTATAAAGCTGTAGTAACAGTTACTGTTTGTGAATTAAGCAATAAGATTGGTGGTAAATCATGCAACCAAATTGCTAAATTATTTGTATAATCCATAGAATCATTTTCATCTAAATGAGTTCCAATTGATGGTGCTGGTAAAGTTGAAAAGATAACTGCCGTATCCTCTTTGGGAGAATACACTTTCATTAATTCGTTAAGAATCAAATGTTGTCCCTTGGCTGGTAAATCGTTAAAACTAAGGTTCTTCAATTCCTCTTGTAGTTGCTTTTGCGTAACTGTAGCTTCATCATTAGAGTTGGTAGCGGCGTATGATAGCTTGGATTTATTTTTATAAAATTCTGATCTTGAATTCGTAGGTCCTGAAGAAATAGCTTGTGGCTTAATAGCATTCAATGCACTGTCATTGATAGAAGGGATGTCATCTATATCATCATCGCTATCACCTTGAGCTAAGAACTGTGGAGTCCTCATTACTTTAATGATATCATCAGTATTGGCAATAAGTGAAGGGGAATGCATTCCGTTGTTACTTTTCTTTGAAGAATTTCCTTTGATCATTTCAACAGGCTTATAGTTAAAATAGTCGTTTGGTTTTTCAGATTTCTCCTCCGGATCTCCATTTGTCGAGACTTTGCTGCCATTTCCTCCAACTACGATATCTTCTCCTTCTTCAGCATCAGCATCAGCATCGTCATCATCATCATCATCAACAAACTTAATAGTAGATTCATTTTCGTCATCTCCATCATCGTCACCATCATCTTTAATTTGAGATTGAGGAATTTTAACTGACAGGAAATTCGGTCTTAAATTGGATATTGATGATTTTATAGAAAGTTGATCAACAGACTTAACTCCAGAAGGTAAGTAGAATTGATCTAATTGGTTTGGCTTAGGAGGCTTTCTAGCCGCTACTTTATCTCCAATAGGACCACCACCTCCAGAAACCGGACCCGATAAGGGCGAAGGAGTAGAGTTAGCAGTACTTCCATATGTTGGAGTCCTCGATGCACTATCATTTGAATCACTTTCTAAATCATCTTCTTTATCACTATCACTTGACTCACTACTTTCAAATGCATCTGAATCGAAGTATTTGTTACCACCATTTTGATTTTTCACATTAAAGGAAAGTGATAAACCTTGTTCATGTAAGTTTGAAAGTGTATAACGTCTATTTTTTTGAAAGCTAGTAGAAACCGGAGGACTAGTGGACGTCAAATTAAGTGGAGAAAATGTTTTATCTGGAATTAACAAAGAACTCTTTGAACTACTCACCGATTTAGTTAAGTGATGTTTATGTTTCCTAATCATTTTTTGTTTATCCAATTCTTTCAAAGTTTCTCTTGCATCACATAAATTCTTCCACCATTGATCATGAGCCAAAACTCTATCCAACCTATCAAAATCATCTTTATTTGTAGCAGTTTTATTGTAACCTTTTACTAGGAAGTTATAGGTATTAAGGTTTCCTTGGTCCAAACATACAACTTTCAATTCGGCATCGATTCTCAAATTAGCTAAAAGCTCTTGAACTCTTTTCAATTCATCTACGGCTTCACCTGTCGTTTCCACAAATGCTATCACTCTTAAAGTATATAAACTAAATTTCCATTCTGGAACTGTTGATAAAATTGAACCCAATTGAAGAATTAAAGTATATGTATCAAAATTCGTTGACAATATTGATCTACCATCTTCCAGAGTATTAATAGATGACATCTGAATAGGATATAAATCAATGTATTTCTTCAGAGACTTTTCCTTTGGCTTAGGCTTAGACCAAAAGAAATGATAAGCATGATCTATTTTTGGAATTGTAAGTTCTGAAAAATTAGCACCCACTGCAACTGTTGCTTGTAAAATAATCAAATCTTCCACAATTTGAACCCATTGTTTAATTGACACCTTTTGTTCCTTACGACAATCATCAGTAGGTAATTCATTATAATTTGTGGTATCATTAAAAGATTTAATAGCAGGCAATTCAAAACCATGCTTTTCAGCTTCATAAAATCCAAGTACAGTAATATTTGGTTTCATTCCACCTAAACCGGAACCCAAGTAAACATTCCTAACTCCCCAAGGCAATGTTGGACCCAATGCGATTTGTACAAAAGCTTTAATTTTTGCCATATCTCTTAATTTTAACCATGCTTGACGTTGTTTTTCAACCTCTTTATAAGTTTTAATATTGAATTTTTCACTATCATTACCTCCCACTGTAGTATCATCATTCATGATAACAACATGTCCTAGTATGTATAAACCACCTTTCTTTAGATGATTACAAAACCCTATTAAATTCCAACCTGATCTTGGATCATCGGATAATAATAAAATTTGAGGTCTCCAATATTTGACATTCATTTGTAATTTTAAACGTAAAAGATATTTTCTAACTTGATGATAGATTAATAATTGTGAAATATCACCAAATTTGGATGGTGGAGTCAGATAATGAATCATTAAGATTAAGAACATCAAACAGAAAATAACTAAAGTGGCAGATAAACCATCGACAATAAACATGGCAAAGAAACATGCCAATACACCGGTGAATGCAGTTCTTGAACTGAAATATTTAAATGATGGTCTAAAATTTGGAGCCGAACCTACTTTTAATAAGAAACAAGCCATATTCGTAACAATAAATGTCATTAAGAATGCCATAGTTATAAAGGTAGCAATTTGATTAATATCGGCAAATAAGAAAACTTGAGCAATGGACCAAGTAGCGATAATACTTAAAACTTTTGCTACATCTTGTTGTTTTGGAGTTTTCTTTAAAGTTGTGAAAAGTGATAAACCAGGAATAATCTTATCATCAGCAATGGCATTTAACATTGAGGCTGCACCAACGATACCCATGATAACTGAAAATAATGAAGTTGAAAATTCTCCGAGAAGGACTATAACTCCAGATAAGTTAACTGTTTGAATAATTTTAATATCAACATGTAATAAATCACGAGGGATGGCAGCACCCATTGAGATTATGACGGAGGAATATAAAATAAACGTAATAAACAAACCTTTTATGGTTCCTTCTGGGATAGATTTTGAAGGACTCTTTAAATCCCCTGACATTGATGCCCCAGCTAAAATACCAGCTGTAGCAGGGAAGAAGATTCCAAATAAATTTCTAAAAGTTTCAGGAACATTTGGAGGTTGGACTGAACCTGCAGCTCCACTAGTGAAATGAGGCCATAAATTTTCAAAAAACGTTTTATAATGAAGACCACTATATAAGATATCATCATAAGGAGGAGGTAAAGGATAAAATGGTTTAACAAATAATGTAGATACAGGAATTGATAATGTACTTATGGTTAAAGTAATGAATAAAAAGAATGCAGTTTTAGATACTAATTGAGAACCCACTAATGCAACCCCAGTACAAATAGCCAATAAAATAGTTGAATATAATACTTGCCAAAAGTAACCTTCTGGTAATATTTTTGTAATTGAACCATCGAATTCTCCAAAATTGACCATTAAAGGTTCAATAAAACCCACCACATTTAAAGAACTATTAAGAATTTGGCCAATAAAGAAGATAATTCCAATCGCACCACCGAATTCAGGACCTAATGATCTTGAAATCATATAATAAGCTCCACCACCTCTTACTGTACCATTAGTAGAAATAGCACTAATTGACATGGTAGTTAAAATATTAATGGAATAAGATAGTATTAACAAGAAGAATGTTCCTATGATACCCATTTGACCAATGATGAATCCAAATCTTAAGAACATTAAAATAGAAAGCACGTTCAATGCGGTTGGAAGGAATACCCCTTCAAAGGTACCTAATTTAGCAGACACATTTGCTGGATTAGCTTTCTTAGCTTTAAGTTTTGAAATTGACTTTCTTCTATCGGTGGTAACTAGTCGTCCAGATTGATTTGGATTTAATTTACTTGAAGGTTGTTTCTTTTTATGAGTTGATGGTAAGAGTTTAGCATTTTCATTGTATGATGAAGATGACTTGTCGCCACGTAGTAGAGATTTATTCTTACTAGGATTGGCCATTGATACTATAAGTTGAAAGAATTCATATAAAAAGTCTGTGTAAATTATGAAATTATGCTAAATTGGAATTTAAAATTGATCTGTTCCCTTATCATAAATTATAAATTACACAGCAAAAAATAATAATTTATTGACAGCAGCACTGCACATACTAATTAATTTAAATTATGTATAGAGAATTAAAAAAATGGCAGCCAATTCTTCTTTTTACAACCCTTAGTGTTTAGATCAATTACATAGTAAGTATCAATCAATCAATCAATGGTAGAAAGAAAGACTCAGATGGAAACAAGAATGACGATCATTGAATGATAGAGTCGTTCAAATATCAAACTAAGACTTTCCTTTCAAAGGTACGTTTTATCTTCTCTCCATGTAATTTGTCGCCTGATTCAAATATTCCTTATATGACTCTAATTTGATTTAATCAATCCAACAATCAATTCAGTTTGGTTAGTTAGTTAGATAGGGCTATGGCTAAACGATGTGTTGTTTACAATCAAGGGTTGGTTGGTTTTCCACCAAATCAACCAACAATCCAACAGTCTGGAACAATCTTATCAACATTAGCTGATAGTTTTTTGTCGTATAAAGTTTTTAAGTCAAAAATAGTAGCAGCCATAACAAAAGTTTAAGAGTCAGAACCATGTTTGATCAAACCCCGATTCGGTCTTGTTTTAACCCTTTATCTAAGAGAATCAACAATATAGTCATGATATTCTGACCCTGATTTACTGTTTGGTATGTTTATTTTCCATATAATTCGATCATTTGTGCCCCTTATTGTGCCATTTTGGGTTTATTTAAATTTATTGTTGGTATCGTTGTTGCATATCTAATTATTTTTTTTAGTATACTCGAATTAATTTTGGCATCACATCACGTAGTATTTAATTATATTTTTGGTGTTTTGTCCCAAACCATTCTATATTCCTTTAACGAATCTGACTCCTATTTATTATTTTTACGATCAAGCAAGCTTTGTTAACCATCAGGTTTGAATTACCAAGTGGGGCAATCCAACCGGGATGTATGTTTAATATTTGACACAGTGACTGACTATAATATCTACTATAAATATCAACTAGTTTCCTCCTCCTCCTCCTCTTCTTCTTATTTTTGATATTAAGTTGCATAAACAGAGATCTATCTATTTATTCATAGTTATCGAATATTTTCCTAACTATATTAAATCATCATACGTTTATTATTCCAGAATTGTCTTATCATTAACTAAACATCATATTAACGTCATTCATAGACACTATAATAAAAGTGTGACACAAAACTTTGTCTGATTTTTATTTTAGTTTCTTTTTTTTTGTCAGGTGACAAGAAGCGAAAAAAAAATTTTCGATTATTTTATAAAAGCAATTTGCCCTTCAAAACCCATTTAATTAGCAACAATTCTATTCAAAGGTTATTGATAAGTTAGATTATACTATACATCATGTTTCGTTTGATATCGACTAACGCCCAACAAGGGTTCAGACCTGTGATCTTACTGAAAGTGAGACCCAATAAGGGTAGTTTAGCCTTGGCTTCTAATCCATTACAAGGTAATACCAATAATGGTCAATATAGAGTAACTCAATTTTCAAGATCAAATTCTACTAATGGAACTATTTCTAATAATAATCAAACCAGTTATAAAGTAGATAACTTTATTAATAAAGCTACTAAGGATCCATTAATCAAAGATTCATTTGAAAACTCTGAAGTTGAACAAAAATTAAATTATTTTAGAGAATTATTATCTTCAACTCAAAGTAAAATGTATAATAAATCTTTAGAAGGTAGAATTGCTTTCAATGATTGTGTTAATAATTTATTTGAATTATTTGATGATGAAGCAATCAGATCAAATTTAACTGGATCTGATTTATTTCATTATGCTCATGCTTTACAAATTGCTGTATTTTATAATAGAACTAATAGATTATCAGGTAATAAGAATAGAGATAGAGATCAACATTCAAATAATTATTCTGAAGAAATGTTATTAAAAAATGCCGTATTAAACTTGGCTGAATTAATTATTGGTAATGAATTCCAACCAATTATAACTGCTCCAATGATTCAAATGTTATTTTATTCAATGTTACAATTCAAATTTAATACTGAAATTATTAATTTATGGGAAAATGGTATTAATGATAAAGTTAATGGTAAAATATATTTATCTCAAGAAATTTTAGGTATTGTATTACCAACTTGTTTTGAAAATAATAGATTTACTTATGAAGAAATTTTACAAGTTTATGAATTAAATACTAAAGATGCAAAATCAATTGCTCATAATTTAGCTGCTTCAATTGGTAAGATTGCCATTACTTCAGGAGATTATTCTCGGGCTTTAGATTCTTTAGAATCTTTATTACAACTTTATGAAAATCAATCAGGTAAACCAAATAGAGATTTATTACATTCTTTAAGTGAATTACATTTAACTTTTATTGGTCATTGTAAAGATTATAGAATTGCTAAACATTTCTTTGATAAAGTCATAGAACATACCTTACCTTATAAAGTGATTTTAAAAGCTCCAAAAGTGGTATCATTCTTACAAAATTGTAATGAAGCCAATGAACCAATTGATAATATTATTTATATTTGGAAATCAACTATTAATTATTATAAAGATAATGGAGCTGCTAATGTTATTAATGCCAGATATTCCATTTTAAATAATGGATTTTTCCAATTATTCTTTAATAGATATCCAAATTTAAATCAAGAATCATTTATTAAATTAAGAGAAGTTATTTCATCATATTCTGAAATTAAATTGATTGATGAAACATTTTTAAATACGATTATTTCCAATTATTCATGGGCTGATAAAAGTGTATTAAATCAATTGATTGAAAATTATTCAATTTATGAAGTTAATAGAACTCCAGTTTCTTATAGAGTTAGTTTAAAAAAAATGGGGGAATTAAAAGATTATTCAAATCAAGAAATTTTAGAAAAATGGAATGAAAATCTACAATGTTTAGAATCAAATAGGTATAATTATATTCCAGTGGCTGATTGGGCCGCTTTAAGAGATGCAACTATTGCTTCACCATTCCCTGAGCAAAGAACTCCATTATATCTTACGGTGGTAAATGCTTATAAGAATTACATGCAAGATAGAAAATCATGTCTTAAATTCTTAGGTAATTGGAGTAAAAGACCTGATAATTATCCTCAAATTGCAAGAATTACAACCGAAGAAAATCCTGATTTTAATTGTGATGTTGAAGTTGTAGTTCCTCAATTTAAATTCTTAAGATCAAATGTGGATTATAAATTAGTTACTAAAGAAATTACTGATAATAAGAAAAATAATAATGATATTTTAGTTTAATGATGCTATGATAGACTACCTATTCACTACCAAGCTTTAGTTATACACAACACACAACACACACACACAGACACATATATATAGACGGATGACTTCCTGTACATACTTTTTTTAATGATAAACAGATACCTTAATTAATAAATAATGTTCCTAATTTATGCAAATCAATATGGTAGTTCTTGTAGTATGATAATAATTTAAACTGTTGTCATAAACCAATTGTTTTTCTTGTCAACTTGTGGTGCGAATTCAATTTTTAAAACACTAATAATTATCACCACACCCATCTTTAGTTATACAAGTTATATACTCATATCAATTGAGTGTGTTGTATCGTTAACATCGCCAGCTAGCAGCAATGGGTTGTTTTGCTTCCAAACCAGAAAAACATCCTGTTTCCAATGCCAGTAAGAAAGTCACTACTGGGAAATCAAGAATTGAATCTTCCACAAACAGATTAGGTTCAGCCAATGATAATACTACAGCCAACGAAAAGATAGTACCACCATCCAATGGTCATAGATTAGATGAATCAATAACATCCGAAAAGAAAGGAACAGCTGGATCTGCTTCTGATAACGTTGCCAAAGCAGCAGCTGCTAGACAAGCTAAATTTGATGAGAAAATGCAACAATCGAAAGATAAATTGAAAGCTCAATCTAAATTATCTAAGGCAGAGAAAGGACTTTGATCAACATAAGTGTATAGAGACTGTATTGATATTTAATAAATAAAATTGATTTCATTTTAGTATGTTTTCATTAAGACTATGAGATCTGTAATTTATCCTTGATGAGATTAGTCTAATATTAAACATCACAAAATATCAAAACTCAATTGTAATGTAGTCAGTTACTTATAATCAACTAGATTACTTAGACTCCATTCAATAGACTAAAATAGATCCAAAGATGGATGGGATATTCTATTGTAAAATATGGTAGCCATAATAATCAACATTCCTGCATACAGCCACGATTTTTCATTTCTGAGTCGTAAAATAAAACAAAACTTTTGTCAACTTATATCCCAATGGTATAGATTATCATTTATCATCAAAGACTCCATCAATCATAATGGAAGCTGGATCTAAAATACCATTATCACATTCTTTGTGGTCACCTAATGATACAGTCAAGGATGCTGCTGAATCATTGGGAATAAATTTACCTGAAGAAGCGGCTAAGAATTTGGCTATGGATGTTGAATATAGAATTCATGAAATATTAGAAACTGCCATAAAGTTTATGAGACATTCAAAACGAAAATTATTAATGACTACTGATATAAACCATGCATTGAAAGTATTGAATATTGAACCATTGTATGGTTATGACAATTCTCAACCTTTGGTGTTTAAAGAAGCTCTTGTGGGTGCTGGTGGTCAAACTTTATATTATATTGATGATAATGAAGTTGAATTTGAAAAATTAATTAATCAAGAATTACCAAAAGTACCAAGACAAGCGACGTTCACAGCCCATTGGTTGGCAATTGAAGGTGTTCAACCTATGGTACCTCAAAATCCCTTACCTTCTGAAATTAAAAGTTTACCTCCTATAATAAGAGGTGCGACTTCATCAATGCTTGGTAATGATATCTTAACTGAAGATAGTAAAGATTCGGAAGGATCTAAAGAAAAGAAAGTAACTGAAAAGGAATCACAAGTTAAACCATTAGTAAAACATGTATTATCAAAAGAATTAAAATTATACTTTGATAGAGTAGTAGAATTATTAATTTCAACCGATCCAGAAAAAGATACTATGAAGAATTCAGCTTTGAATTCATTAAAGACTGATCATGGTTTACATCAATTAGTACCTTATTTCATCCAACTTGTGGCTGAACAAATTACAAATCAATTAAGAAATATAGAAATTTTATCAACTATGTTAGAGGTGATATCGGCTCTTATGGGTAATAGTACCATTTTCTTGGATCCATACGTTCATGCTTTAATGCCATGTGTATTAACCTTATTATTGGCTAAAAGAATAGGTCCTTCTTTAAAAGATTTAAATGATCCTGAAACTCAAAGCTTATTTCAGCAACAACTTGCAGTAAGACAATTTGCTGCTATCTTATTAGATCATATAATTAGATCATACGGTTCTTCTTACTCAACCTTAAGACCAAGAGTTACTAGAACATTATTGAGAGCATTATTAGATTCATCTAAACCAATCGGTACCCATTTTGGGGCATTATTAGGTTTGAAAATAATGGGTCCAGAAGTTATAAAGTTAGTATTGGTTGGTAATTTGAAAGTGTGGTGGAAACTGGTGGTTGAAGATGGAACTAAAACAGATTTTGAAAAAGAAATCTTATTGAAAGAGATTTTAGAAATTCTTAAAACATTAGAAGTTCAAGATGATATGGAAATTGATAGTGAGGTAAGTGATGAACTTAAAGAGAAGTTAAAAGATAGACTTGGTGATAAATTAAGTGAAGCTATTCTTGAACAAGCTGATGCTCATGAAATTGTTAAAGGTTTATTTTTTGGAGAAAGTGCTGTGTAATATTAATTCTATAAATGTTGAAAAAAGAAATCTTATGTAAAATAATGTATAATTATTGAAATGAATGATTTAAAGAATGTAATTTATCCTTCATAGATTTAGAAACTATCGGTTTATTGTTTTCTTTAGCGTCTTCAAGACGAAATGCAGTTGGAGAACCATTTAATGCAGGATTGTAAAATGGTGAATCTTGTATAGAAGCAGGAGCACCTGGTCTATCTTTTCTTCTTGAGGAATCAGTTCTACCAAAGGGAGATGAATTGATTACTTGAGTTGGAGTAGTATGAATCATAGTTGTAGGAGACGTTATGTTTGCACAATTAAGCTTCTTAGGTGATCTGAAATCAGAAAACACAAATGGACTATTAGACTCGCTTTTGACATCACTAGACTCAACAAGTTTGTTGTATAATGAAGGACGAGGTTTCTGAGTACTATCAGGACGAAGAAATCTTACATCAGGTGTATCGATAACCTCCTCAATTGGTACGGTCCTACTACCTACTGTTGGTGTAGCTGCAACTTGAGAATATGATGTTGCTGATAAATTAAACGGTACTGATAACTTTGGAGTAGCTTCAACTTGAGTTAAAAGAGTTGTAGATTTTGCTTTTACCGGAGTTGCTTCGACCTGCGAAACAGATATCTTGTCTTGCGGAATTACTTGAGATTTCCTTTTTATATTCGTGAAGATAGATCCCTCTGTTGAATTCAATCCAGATTTCTCTGAAAGACTCTTCAGTCGTCTCAAAGTTTCAGTCAGCTTATTACTGTCATTGTTATCATTGAATGACTTCAAGTTGACTGACATATCAACAACTCTTTTCTTAAGATTTTTTGAAGAGAGATTAGATGCTGATCTCTTTAACGAAAATGCTGGCATCAAATTGTCATCCTTGACTAGACCACTAGTAGAAGCCTTCTTTAGGACTGGTGCAGATTTTCTGCTCAACAATACCTTCTTGAACTTGGTACTCTTACTAGAAGATGTCATACTGTCTTGAGATGGGTCAGCTTTACCACTTTCAGCATCGGCGGTATCCAGTGCGTCTGCCAGTTTACCCTTTTTACTCTTAGATTCTTTAATAGGTTTTGGTACTTTCATATTCAGATCCTTTATTCGATCAATTATATGCTTTATTATAACAGGAAGCTTTTTATTATAATATGGCACCAATACATATGCCAAAAAACCCATTGTACCATTATTTTTACTATCGTTTGATCTTCCTAAAAGTGTATCCCAAAGACCAAGTCTATCCAAGACCGCATTCATTGAAACATATGCCATATACTCATTTATTGAACCTTTTTCTTCTGAAATCATATTGCTGCTACCTAGCTGAACATTAACTCCCATTCCTAAAAATGTTGGAACTATCTTTTTATTTGATTTCTTTTTACGAACCAATGATGGTTTTGATTCTTTTTCTTTCTTCTTTACTTCTTTTCTTTGTTTCTTTTCATTATTACTAAGGAAGTCACTTTCAGCAATATGCCAAATATTAAGCAATTCACATAGTATAATCAACTGTAATTGAGCTTCTCTTATTTTCAATTCCAAGACTAGTCTTTGCAACCTTTCCTCTCGAGACATTACTTTCTTTCCATTTGCAGGAGATTCTTTCTCAGGTATGACTTCTTTTTCAACTTCTACTGGAGATGATTGTAGGATGTACATGAGATCTTGATTCTTCTTTTTGAAATCAACTTGAATTGAGCTTTCTATGCTATCACGAAGCGAAACTTCATCTATATTGACATCCAGCTTTTCTAATGAATTTAATATCCCAAATTTGCCATTATGTCTATCATCAAATTGCTCTACTGAAAGGAAAAGCATTTCCAATACTCTTACAGTACTTTCTCCCTTATTGTTGCAAAGATTTCGAAACCTTGAAATAGTTGATTTTGGAAAGTATGATAAAGGAGTATTCAACGAATATAACATTTCAAAATATCGGTTATACATGAATGTTAATGGATCTTCTTCAGATGAATTGTTCTCTATTTGTTTGACAGGGGATTCACTAGTTGGAGGGGACATATCAAACTGTTCTATAATTGATGCATGGTTATTGATGGGATTCTTTTGAATAGTTGAATCAATTTGAATCTTAGAAAATTCTTCAAATGTCAATACACTTTGAGATAACAACTGACTTGAAAGACTTATACTCTTTAAACTGAAATTAGGACACTTGAATATACCATAAAATTGATCTTTGATATTAAACATTAATCCTGTTTCTTGATGTCTATCTCGTACATCTTTCTTTATTAGAACATAAAAATAATACGTATTCAATGAATTCAATAGATCATGAACCACAGGCAGTTGAAATAATACTGTTTGTTTATCCAATGAAGTTAGGAATGGATGGTTAAACTTTGCAAAAACAATACCATTAGCTTTCTGAACCACAGTAAGTACCAAGGCTTCAGATTCAGATTCCAACAGTTGGATTTCAAAAGTCAAGGGAAGCTTCACTGGTGATCGCTTTCTCTTAGCATGATGTTCTCCATCACCATCCTCCTCCATGACTGTGTGAATTATAACAATTGTACTGATTAAAATCCAATAGATCGAATATAGATATCTCAAGATTTCAGTAATTTTTTATTTAGTGCAAGCAGCGCGTCTCATAGAGTCTACCAAAAAATCTAAATCTAAAAAAATGCTAATTTCATTAATTGTTCCGTAACTATATATATATAACTCTATACACTTTTAATTTAAATCTGTAACCAAGGATCTTCAACTATATCTGTTATGGTTGGTCTCTTACTCGATTCACGAACTAATATTCTTTTAATTAAATCAACTGAGGCTTCACTGACAATGTAAGGGACTCTTAAATCTCCTTCCATAATTTCATCCACATTATAGAATGGATTCTCTTTATAGATCATGGTATATAATAAGATCCCTAAAGCCCAAATATCTTGAGGTTTACCTTCATATTTTTCTCCTCGTAATACTTCTGGTGATGCGTAATCAATGGTCCCTACGAATACATCAAAGGGACCTTGTTTGGTATAACCTGCACTACCAAAATCAATCAATTTGATAATACCATTTTCATCAACAATAACGTTTTCATCTTTGACATCTCGATGAACAATTCCATTCTTATGGAGATGATATATGGAAGAGGCGATTTGTTTAAAGATGAATTGACATTCCATTTCAGTCATATCTTTTTTGATCTCAATGAAATCAAATAAATCAATGGCAATAGGATCACCAAAAATAGGTGTTTCTAAATAATAATATTTTCGATCTTCAAAGAAATCAACAATTCTCATGATATTAGGATGAGGTTCGGAATTTAAAAATGCCATCACTTGAATTTCAGATGGAATGGTTCCTAATCTACGATCGCGAACCCAAGTATCAACAAGAATTCTTTCTTTATCAATACATTTCAAAATTATCTTGTATAATGGATCATCCTTATGTTGGACAAGGACAACTTTACCATAAGCACCTTCGCCTAATTCTTTAATGACTACGAATTCAGCGAATTTCTTGGTCTTTCTTTTGGCACCTACTTCTTTTGGCCATTGTTTTGAATGAGTTGATAATGCTGTTAATTTCTCTTCTTCGATTTTTAAGATTTCATCTTCAGAAAACTTGAGATATGATGCCGGTATTCCATATTGACTAACTTCAGTTGTAGTGGCCGCAGTTATGGTTGAACCATCCCCACTTCCAGCTGAACTAGTTGGATAAGTATATTCCGAAGTAGTATCTGACACAACTCTCAAATTGGTATTGGTACTAATAGGATCAATTCCATCATTTGAGGTAACTTTTTGGAACACTCTACTGCTACTTAAATAAGATACTGGGATTCCAAATGAACCATTTTTAGCCTGTCTTACTGAATTCAGTCTGGCAATGTCATGACTATTAGGAGAGAATTCCAAAATTCCTGAATCATCAGAAGGAAGTAAATTCAATTGTGATGGTAATCTAGTTCCTGACATTTTGACTGTACTTGATCTTGAATGTTTTGGTAGCATAATCTTAAGCTCTGATTCCGTAAGTGAACTACTTGATTTTTTAGATGGTTTTGGTATAGATGTTGATGATGTTGATTTTGAACCTAATGATGATATCGATGAAGTACTTGAACTTAATCTATCTAATTCTTTGGAGATATTACTTTTACTAGAAGCTCTTGAATAAGTTATCCAAAGTACAAGAGTATCATTAGAAGATGCTCTTAATTGAACATCAACATATAAGCTCTTACCATCTCTATGTATACCCTTTATTCCTTGAGAATTAAAGAATAATTCTTCTTCTGAAATCTGAGGACTTTCGCGTTGGTGACTTAACAAAGCATCATATTTCCTAAAGAAATGTTCAGGTAAAACCAAACCTGGAACCAATATAATCTCATCATTATTATTATTCAACCCAATATTAAGAATGTCAGTAAAATTTGGGATTAATTCATTGATTGATTTATTATGTAAATATTCCGATGATTTACCAAATAAGTTTTTGGCAATAGCATTATTACAAGATAAAATTTCATAATTTTGAGCACTTATAACAAAAATACCGGCAATATAAGGTAAAGAATGTATCTTAAGTTTGATTTGATGACGTTCGTTATTGATTTGTAAAGGATTGGATGTCAATGCACATGGGATATGTTCACCTCGTTTACTTTGAACTGTATAATATCTAGTTCTATTAATCAAGGCACTATCATTAGTATCTTTGGAAGCGAAATATTCATCATCACTATTACTATACCCATCTGAATCATCATCATTATTATCCCAAATATCTTCACTTGAAATTTCTTGATTTAAAGTTCCACTTATATCACTTAAGACTTTAACTTTTGGAAGATCAAATTGATTAGTTAAATTTCCGGCGATTTCTAAAATTGAATCAACGGTATATGTAGTTGAAACTTTAGGAGAAGTTGAACCATTGGTAGTATGTTTTTCACACAGAATAACAACATCAAATGCATCACATGGAATTTGATCAAACATACAAATTATTAAATTACCTTTTCTTTTCGCCCATAACGAAGTCCAGGCATAATTTTGATCACCAGGTCTAGCAATAGCAACAACTTCACCAGCGAATAAGATATTATTATTATTAGTTTGTTTAGTAGATCTTTTCAGTCTAATCATTAAATCTAAATTCTCAGCGATATATTTGGTTAATCTTTCCGTTACGAAATCTCTAAATTGAGGAGCGATTAAATCCATTAAAGTTAATGACCGAATCATCCCTTTCAGAACTCCAAACATCAAACATGCTAAATCATTAGCTGCTTTAACTTGCCAAGGTGATTCTACTTCTACCGTGAACACCGATTGTGGTAATGATCTCTTTCCTGATGTCATGGAATGGAAAGGACGATTACTATTGGCATTATTGGTATGGGATGGAGGTAATTGAGAAGGAGTAGTATTATTATTCAACATATTTAAAGCGGTAGTTGATGGTCTCATTGGGATTGATTTTGAAGAGGGGAATGCTTCACTTGCTAATAATGATGATGTCATTACTGAAGTTTCAATGAATGGTGTTGATAAGGCATAAAGTAATTTATTTTTAATAAAATCATGTTTGAATTGTTTTTGATCATTAAGGATTAAATTATCTTTGTCATGAGATGATAATGATAAATCATGTAAGGTTGAAGCTATTTCAGAATGATTCATTAATGAATCAAGATCATTTTCTAATAAATCGATTATATCCTTCACATCATCACTAAGAATGATATCATCATGACTGATTGAAGATTGGGATGATTTTCTTAATACTGTACTTGTAGGTGGTGGTGGTAGTGGGTTAAATTCATGGATACTTGATTCATGGACAGATTGGGCACTTCCCGATCTTGTCATTGGAGGTCTGAAGAATGCAGCTAATGCAGCAGATGAAGCATTAGATTGAAATTTATTATTATTATTATTGTTATTGTTATTACCTTCAATTTTATATTTCTTATTATTATCATTAAAGAATTCGGAACTATTATTAGAATGATTATAGAAGGAATGCAAGGGAGGAGCCAGAATTGGATTTCTTTGTTCTATGACATTGGATTGAATCTTAGTTAAATTATTATTAGTAGCAGTTGTTGTTGATAAATAAGATAAATTTGGTGATGAATCATGAGGAGGAGTAGTTGAACTTATAATATTAAGATGATTTTCATTATCTAAGAAATGAATTGATTTAAATAAATCAGGTCTATCTTTTAAAATTTCCAATGATCTTTTTAAAACATTTAATCTTAATGCTAAAGAATTTGGAGATAAATGAGCATAAGAATAAGCATGAGATGATTCAATGGGGAATCTTAGAATATCTTCGATTTCTTTAAATTGAGAATCTTTGCCCAGTTGGAAAGGGATTAAAGTTGGACTGAATGCAGATGATGAAGTATTTGATGTAGTTGGAGTTAATAATAAATCAGGTTGCGTAGTTGATATTGAAATAGGTCGTCTTGGATTTGGTCGTTGTTGAGGTATAGGTTGATGGATGGCATTTGGATTTAAGAAAGTAGTTTGATTGATATGTTTTGGATTATTATGATGCAAATGTGATGAAGATGATGGTGGTTGTAAATGAGGAGGTTGAGATCTTTTGGGCAGTAGATTTATTTCTAATCCATGATTTATTTCAATGTTTGGATTTGAACCATCATCATTTTCCAATTCATCATCGAATAAAAGAAACTGAGATGGTTTATTAGGTGAACGGGTGGTATCACCAGGAATATTTGTCATTCTATGACAGTTATGGGTTGATGAGGATAGGGATTTAGATTCTAGGTGGATAATAAAATGACGTTATCCTAAGGCTGACTTATAAGGGTTAGGATGGATATGGATTAATTTGGATTGAACTAGATGAATGAGGTATGGATGAATCTAGATGTAATGAAAGATATGGTGATAGATGGATGAATGGGGGACTCTAGTGATATGAAATGATATGATACGATTGGATATGGTTGGTTAGTAAAGATTAGTTGTGGAAGTTTTCGTAAATTTAATTTTTGGTTGTAGATGGAGAAGAAAGAAAAAAAAAAAAAAGAACTCAATTTTAGAATTGATGATGATGAATTGAAAGATCAGTTCAACAAACCAAACCACGATAGTTTAAAGTGTGTTAAGAATAATAATTGATATGTGGTAGTTTGCGAAAGGATAGTATATAGTATACGTCTACGTGGGAACAGGTGTGGTGGTTATGTTATGAACCAGAGATACAGTAACACCCTTCCTTTGATGGCCTTATTCTTTAATCTTATCTTTGTGTGTTGTCAACAACTGTCTTTAATAATAATTACAATAGACACCAAAACAAGGAGGAGGAGGTTTTATAATCTTATAGATACCAAAGCTTGATATAACGTAACAGAGATGGAGTAGATATCTGTTGATTGTTGTGATCGGCAATAGTAACCCGTTACTCATAGATATACCTCTGATTGATAGTATTTGTTAAGACTCCTCAAATTAAGAACTTGTCTTCAGATCTAAGCTTTTTGAACAACGAATCAAATCATAAAAAATAAATTTTATTATTACCACCACAATGTAATAATATTTTATTGGTATTGATTGAACGTTTTGTAGTTATATATGATTGATTGATCATGGATTGATTGATTAGTTAGATCTACTTAAAGGGTGACCTTCATCTTATGAATGATTGGGCAAGTCCGATTGATCCCTTTTGGCTGCCATTTTTTTTTTTCTGTGAACGGCTGGATCAATCATCTCCACTATTTTTATAACCAATACTGAATGACCACCATGAATAATGATCATTATAAGATATTGTTTATCATGATATAAGGAGTATATTATATGATATATAAACTATATAATAAAAGGGATATATTGTACAAAGTCAGAGAAATAAAACAAACTAATAAAAACAAACAAACAAACAAACAAACAAACTAACAAACAGTGAAGAACAACCAGATGAAAACAATCAAAAATTAATACTTTTAGAAGAGAAGAGAAGAGAAGAGAAGATAAGAGAAATGTCAATCAATCAAACAAATAAACTAGAATAACCAAATGAACTGAAATACATTCAATAAGATACATACCCTCTATTGATTACTAAAATTTCTAATCCAAATATCACTTTCTTCATGACCTCTCCATAATCTACTTATAGTAATTCCTAAACTATATTTCTTCTTTTCAATTTCATCTTGTTTCATTTTTAATTTTTCAATAGCTTTATTAATCTTAGTTCTAGTTGAATAATCAATTTCAACATTATAGGGAGGTAAAAGATTTAATAAAAATTCAATTTCTTTATCTATTTTAATAATTCGTTCTTGATATTGTTCATATTTATATTCTGCTATTCTTAATTTTTCATTTTCTTTAGCTAGATTTTGTTCTTCAAGATGTTCAACTAAATGAACAGTTGTAATTTGAGATTGTTGTTGTTGATGGGAAGATTTATGGTTGGTGGAACTTGTACGGGATGAATTATGATTATTACTATTTTGAAGTACAGGCGATGGTAAAGGTGATTTTATTGGTTCATGAGATACTTTTCTTACTGTGAATTTAATAGGTTTCTTATTGTTAACTTGTGATGTTTTCTTTGGTATATTTAAGGAATTATCTATGGTTTGTTCAGTTGTTAATCCTTTGATTAGTTTACCAGTGGAACTATCACTATGAATGGAAGAAATGGTTGAAGAAGGAGAATTAAGGACATTGAGATGATCATCACCATTAGATGGTGCAATAGTTGTATCTGTCATATCAGTTGGTAAATGGATGGATGGCGGAGTAATATTGTTGTTGATAGATAATAATAATCTGATAAGGTTAGTTGAGATGAAGTAAAGATGAGTGCTTGGAGGTGAGTGACGATACAGATGATGACTTGATGTGGTGGTAGTGGATAGGTAGTAGGTAGTAGACAGTACTGTGTAGTATAGTAGTAATAGTTATAAACCGTTGTCAGTTACTATCAAGAGAATTAATTGATAATTAAAATTTTAATGTAATTAATTTTTATTTCTTGTCTCTTTATTTAATTTGTGGTGTCTGTCTCCTTCTTCCATCTTAATTGGTAAAAATCAAAACAATCAAAAAAAAAAAAAAATAACGCGTCACCAAAAAATATAATTAATTTCACTATGAACTATATAAAGCTAATGGGGTGGATGTAATGGGATGTAATGGGGTGGATGAATTTCAGTTACAACTACTAATAACAGATCTTTAGTATAACTTGATACTATTACTCAATAGTAATATTGATAAAACAGTAATTCTATGTCATTCTTATTCACAGTACGGTGTATCAAATTTGTTTCATAGTTGAGTACTAAAAGTAATACGATTATGATGTAATAATCCTCCTAATACATCCTGAAGTCACCGATATCAAATAAGTTTTATTTCCTATATCATCACAGTTAGTTACTGTAAATGTAAATGTAAATGTTGTTTGTTGTTTGTTGCAATTTCTTTATCCTGGGCGCTACCACATACCACCCCCAATGATGACCATCTCAAATTTGACCTCGAAAAAAAATCTAAAGCTATACCGATTACAATTACAAATTACTCTTGGAACCAACTAAAAATGCCAGAAGTACTAAACCTCTCTCTATCTCAACCGTCAAATCATGTCATAACTCACTTATACAACAACCAAGAATCCCATTTACCTTATAAAAAGAATGCCATTGTCAATTATGATAATAATGTATTCTTATCTTCATCAAGAACTTCCAATGGTCAAGTCAATTATACTCCCAGAGCTTTGATTTATGATTTTCAAGGTGGTCTTGGTTCATTACTGAAATATGAATATCATGATCCTATAGGAACATTCGATCATACTGTGTCCAATTATCAACTCATATCAAATACAAATCATCAAATCTTACCTAAAAATCAATATCAAATAAACCTTGATAAAGGTGTTAGTAATGATGGCGATGATGATTTATTAAATGTTAATAATACAAACTATTGGTCTGATTATAATAAATTAATCTATTCCTCCAAGTCCCTTAATACCCTTCAAAACTTCAAAATTTCATCTCATACAACCTCATATGGTCAACATAAGAATTTTAAAAATTTAACATTTAATAATTATAAAATCGGAAGTGAAGAATTCTCTCAAGATTTAAATCATATCGATCTTCAATTAGATAATTTCCGATATAATTTAGAAAAATGTGATAATTTCCAAGGGTTAAATGTATTAACTCAATTGAATAGCGGGTGGGGAGGTTTCACTAATCAATTTTTAATTTCTATCATTGATGAATACTTCAATACTACTACTGCCAATAATAAACATAGTGTTTGGATATATGGTTTACATCCTTATATTGATACATCCGATTCTCATCCTTCGAAATTGATTAAAACCATCTCTCAGATCAAAACTATGATTGAATTACATAAAAATTGTTCCTTACTTTTCCCCATAAATATGGATGAATATTCCCCAAATTCGTTATTGAATAGTGATGAATTCAATCATCAAAGTCCATGGCACGCATCGGCTATACCGTCTATGTTCATCAATTCTATATGGGGGATTAATAATCAAGCATCATCGGAATCAACTAGTAAATCAATGAGTTTAATCGAAGATAATTTAACAAGAGGATACAAAAATAGAACAATTGTTAATGAAATTAAATTACATAAAGTTGATGATCCAGCAAATTTATCTCAGATTAATAATTTAATCTCCAATGTTGATATAAGTGAATATTATTATGGAAATAAAGCTATCCCATCTGAAACGTTACAACCGTTGGATTTAAGTATGCCGAAATTACTTCCTTCAACAACCAAATCAATGACAAAATATTTCGTTAAGAATTATATCATACCTCAAAAACATCAAAAACAACTTGATGAGAAATTACAAGGGTCAACAGAAGGTGATGGGGTTATTAAAAATGTTTATAAATCTCGAGATATCACCGATATACTTAAAAATGATACTTTCCCTCATCGTATACTTTCTTCCAATGTGAAATCCTTTTACTCAGAATTCAACATCAATACGGACTTCAAACAAGATTTGAAATCTTATAAACAATTAATCTCCAATGTGAAGTTAAATCTCACCGACGCTATGGATATAATGGAAGATAAATCAGAATTAATCGAAGATATCGACGCTTTGATTGAAGAGTATACCATTGATTATGAATTAAGTGATGAACTGGATGATGATGATTTATAGACAAAAATTATATTACGCATATATATATAGAACTAATAAACAATCTATGAAATAGTCTTTTCAACTAAATAAATGTTATATTCATCTTTTAAAGTTTTCATAATTGGATCATTAAGTTTTGAACTCATTGGAGCCAATAAACCTCTAGTACTTAAAGTACCATCTAAAATTTGTTGAGTAGCAACGGCACATGGTACACCAACTAATTTAGCCATGGATGAATAACCACCTGGAACACCATAATCAACTAAAGTAGAAGTTCTAACTTCAGTTTCACCATTGGCCCATTCAATACCGAATTTATGTTGTAAAACAACTAAATCTCTTTCCCCTTCTTCATATTGCATTAATTCTTCTAAGGTGGCACATAAAGTATCTAATGGATTACCTCTTGGAGTAGTTGGATTTTCAGAAAACAAACCTAACCATTTTAAACCAGAAATAATTCTCTTTTCATCATCAACGGATTCAAATTTAGTTAATTGTTGAATCTTAGCAACAATATCTTCTTCGGAAGTTGATTTAGCACCAATTAATTTACTAGTAGCTTCATTCCAAGCAATTGGTTTAGAAAATAATTCAGATGCTTCATCTTTTAAGAATCCAATATCAACTAAAACTTTAATAAATTGGGGGAAACCTTGATATCTTAAAGTACCTCTAATAACAGTTTCAGCTTCTGGAATATGATATAATTCTTTATAAGTGGTTGAATCTCTATTTGGATAAGCAACGAAAGCAAAACCAGGATAAATGAAATATGGTTGAGCAGTAGCCATTAAATCTTCTGATTTAACGTTAACAACATCACCACCTTTCCAATAACTAGCAGAATTTCTTAAAGCTAAAAGAACCCCTCTTGATGACCAAGAAAATTTATAACCTAAAGGATTATCAGAATCTTCTGGAGCTGGTAAACCACCACAATAAGATAAAAATGAAGTAATCTTACCTTTCTTTTCATGAACTTCTTCAATGGTTTTAACAGCATATAAATGATCAATACCTGGATCTAACCCAATTTCATTCATAACAGTAATACCAGCATCATTAATTTCTTTTTCTAAAGCTTTTAATTGAGGATTAATATAAGAAGTAGTAACCACATGTTTCTTATTTTTAATAGCAGCTTTAACTACTAAAACATGATAAGTATAAGGAATTAAAGAAATAACTAAATCAGATTTAGCAACTTGTTCATTTAAAGCAACTTCATCATTAACATCTAAGGAAATGGCACCAGCAACATCACCAGCTAAAGCTTTGGCTTTAGATAAAGTTCTACAAGCAACAGTAACTTTAACATCTGGGGTTTTAGCTAAGATATCAACGGTTGGTTTAGCAACGAAACCAGATCCTAATAAAAGAACGTGTTTAACCATTTTGATTTATGTGATTATCTGAATGATTCTTATTATTCAATTGAAGGAGAATATAAAATCAATTGAAGAAGAGAAATAACCTGATATATGTATAAATTGAAAAAAATGAAATTTTTCATATAAATCAAATCTGGTCAGAAATAAAAATTGATAACGGACGGTTAATTATCCCAATTGGGTATATTAGCCTCTTATGAGTCAACTCTATATACAGGATGTGATATCATCACATCCATACCGCAAATGAACTGGTTAATGGCGGTTCATATACCTAATTAGGATTCACTGAGAGAGGCTTTTTTTATTTTCTAATTTTTCTCAGTCTGTCTGTTTTAGTTTGCACCTTTATTTTTGCGCTTTCTGGTAAAAAAATATATTTGGCACTTTTGAAATTTTGATTAAAGTATATGAAATTGTAATTAACTCTAATGACAGCCGAATTATAAGACTTTTTTTGTTTCATCGAAGATCTCAAATTGCTTGCCAGCCTCAATGTTGTGTAATTGTTGGATTGGGCAAATGCGTTAGAGTATGAAATAGTGGGGGAGGAGAAAGAGGAGGGATATAAATCGCTTAAGCTTGAATTAACCATAATTAAACTTCTTTAGATCAGCAAGAACTCCTCTCTACTTTTGGAGCTTAAATATGTATTTCCTAGTCGAATAACTTCAAACAGAAATATCAGTTTGAAGATCAGATATAATAATTTTGAAATGTGGGGCCACTCTTTGGCTACTCTTTTCAAATATAAACATATCCTGGATAATCCTTCCCCACTTGCGCCTTTTTTTCTTGACCGGACTTTTCACGTTTTACAAAAATGGATCCCTTCTAAAAACTCTATTATAACTTTTGCTAAAACTGCCCCCAACAACAATGATTTGGGGTCATGTATTGTTAAATGAAGGAGGTTATTAGTTTTACCGATATCATCATCATCTTGTTCCTTCCATTTATGACCATCTGCGAGTTTATGCGTTTTCATCCAAACAATTTTAGGTTTCAAATGATTCCTTCGTATAATAAGACAGGCTTATATTGAGAATGGCTTTTATGTTACTTTGTGATATGATATTGACTTGTTTAATAGTTCGACTTATAAGCCTATTGGCTTGAACGGTACGGCTTTAGATGATATGGAACCTGAATTATTTTATAGCGGCAGTAATATTTTTTGAAAAAGACCCCACTAAATAATACCACTAAAGTAAACACTATTCACCCTTAATCAACTCCCCCAACTTAAATTGAATTTTAGGATTTGTGGCATTCATTTGTTTATTGTTGTAATTTTTTATTTTCTTGCCGATTATTGAAAGATTGCGAAAAATAAACCATTTCATCCCCACATTCTTATTATTATTATTATGAGGCAGTCCCAAACTTTAATACTCGGAATGGAATGAAGATGGATTTTATGATAAGTAAAGTGTATGATACGTAGTTTATCGAATGTATAAATAGTTACTATAATTCTATAATTGTAAAAATATCAATCACGTAAAAATAGAAGTAAGACAATCTAAATAAGCGAAAATGGACTTAAAACATCAAGCTTCTGCTTCAACATCAATAAAATCTGCTATTGAAGTTCAAGATGATAGAATCAAACATGATATCTTCAATGATAAACCAGATTTATCCCTTAAAGCGATTCGGAAATATTTTGCCACTCGGTTTTCAACTTTATTTGATATTCCTGTATTAAAATCTGAAGAAAGATGGTATGAAATAATTAATCCTATTCCTGGATTAAAATCAATGTCAAAACAAGATTATAATTTTTACTTTTTAGGATTTTTAGCTTGGTCAGTTGATTCCATGGATTTCTTTTGTGTTTCGGTTTCTGCTCCTGATATTGCAAAAACTTTAAATGTTAGTATTACTAAAGTTACATGGGGTGTTACTCTTGTATTAATGTTTAGATCGGTTGGAGCAACGATATTTGGATTAATTAGTGATTATTATGGTCGGAAATGGCCTTTCATTGTGGTTTGTTTCTTATTTATTATTATTGAAATTGCAACTGGATTTGTTAAGACTTATCCTCAATTTTTAGCAGTTCGAGCTATATTTGGTATATTAATGGGAGCAATGTATCCAATTGCCAGTGTTACAGCATTAGAAAATCAACCACCAAAAGCAAAATCAATACTTTCGGGATTATTTTTACCAGGTTATAATTTAGGTTATATTTTTGCAATGATTTTCTATAGAGCATTTGAAAATAGTTATAAACCAGGAGAAGGATGGAGAGCATTATTTTGGTTTAGTTCAGTAGGGGGATTTTTACTTATGATCTGGAGATTTTTCGTCCCTGAATCAGAAGCATTTTTAAGATTAAAACAAAGTAAAAAGATTCTTAAATCTCATGGTCAAATCACAGGTAAAGGATTGTTTAAATCATTTGATAAAAGTATTCTTATTACGATTAGAACCGAATGGGTATTATTTATTTATCTTGTTATTTTAATGGGAATTTTCAATTTCACAACTCATGGATCTCAAGATCTTTATGTGACGATGCTTACCAATCAATATGGTATAAGTCTTAATCAAAAGACGGTTATTATTGTGGTGTGTAATCTTGGTGGTATTGTGGGAGGTATAACTCTTGGACAATTAAGTGAATTATTTGGAAGAAGATTAACTATTTTAATAGGAACGATTGGAGCTGGAGCCTTTTTATATCCATCATTTTATAATTCAAAACAGAATTATCCCGCTTATTTCTTTTTAAATTTCTTTGTGATGGGAAATTTTGGGGTGGTTCCAATTCATTTATTAGAATTGGTTAATGCTACCCATAGAACATTTTTATCGGGGGTGGTTTATCAATTAGGTAATCTTGCTTCATCGGCTGCTAGTACGATCGAAGCTAAATTAGGACTGAATTTCCCTATTAAAGGTGGTAAGCCTGGAGCTTATAATTATGGGAAAGTGATGTGTATATTTTCAGGAGCTATATTTGCTGCTATGTTAGTTGCTATTATATTAGGACCTGAAAATTTTCATCGTGATTTAAAGATTCATACTGACATTACTGATGAACCATTAGAAGACGATGAATATGATGAAGATTATAGTGAAGAGCACCATCTGATAGAGAAGATGAAAGTAGGTGTTGAACATAGAGAGGAGGTATAGTCTTACGGTGAGTTTAAGTGTATAATTTATACTGGTTTATAAATAATATTATCTATCTATCTATCTATCTATCTATGTCTATGGTAGCGCTTGATCGCATTTTTTTATCACATGCAATTTATAGATTTAATCAATTTAAGCACGACCAACAATAAAAAAACCTGGAGATTAAAATCCTATACGGATCATAAATTGTTATACGGTACAACCAAATACAGACAGACAGACAGACAGACCAACAAATTTTTCAGATTTTAATTTATTTTGACTCGTCTGACATTTACGATTTATTTATTTTAAGATCTTAGTTCTTTTACTTCCATTGATCTATCTATTGATAAGCTAACTTATTCCTCCTCTGACATCATCATACGATCGATCCTTACCACCACCATGTCATACCTAATTGAAGAACTTATTGAATTACCCCAAGATATCATCTATCTTGCCACCAATTTCACTCATTATGTCAAGTTTGATCAACAATTCTATTACACTTTAGGTTCAATTGCTTTCAATCCAATCTTTTGGAATATCGCTGCTCGTTTAGAATATAATACTAGAATCTTAACCAAATTATCATTTGGAAGTCCAAAATTAGGGTGTTATGTCTTAGCTATTACCATTTTTTCATTAGGGATTTATCGTGATCATGTTTATCAACAATTATTACTTAATCAACCAACTTATCTCCCATTTGAAGAATCACTCATCATTAAAGGTTTAGCTGGTATAGTGTTTGGATTTGGAAATATCTTAGTGTTAACTTCAATGTATGCTTTAGGTATTACTGGTACTTATCTTGGTGATTATTTTGGTATCTTAATGACAGAAAGAGTTACTGGGTTCCCCTTCAATATTAATGATAATCCAATGTATAATGGTTCAACTCTTTGTTTCTTAGGTACTGCTTTATGGTATGGGAAACCAATTGGAATTGTGATTTCATTATTTGTTTATGTAATGTATAAAATCGCATTATTATTTGAAGAACCATTCACAGCTAAGATTTATGCTGCAAGAGATGAAGAATTAGCTTCCAAGAATGTTTAACATTACTCTTGATGTTATTGATGGTTTGTTATTTTCGTGTTATGAAAAGATTATAGAGTTTTAAGAAAAATAAAAAGTACGTAATGTTTTTATTGACATACATATATGAATATATATATAAAATAAATAATGAATGTATATATATATGTGATTAAAATTATAAAATGACCATAAGGTATAAAAAAGTAAAAAGCTATAGAAAGAGACATAAATAGAGTGAGAGTGAGAGAATAAATTGGATGCAAAATCAAATAGGTATCACCAAAGACATGTAACAATCATCCCATAACATTCCTTCCATTACCTTAAAGTTATGGGATTTGTGCACACTGTCTGATATTTAAGAAGTAAAAATAAAAAAAGCAAAGAGAAAGGATAGAACTAAGAGAATTGGAATGAACCTGAAGCTCCATGATCATCAATATGGCGAAGACTTAAAGATTGGAACTTTTCTGAAGTTTTATGATAATATAATCCACTTATTGAACCTGGAATCATACAATTATAAGTGTTGCTAGTTGAATTGGAGGAGTTATCGTTTGCATCAATTTCAAACAATTCATTGGATCCAATATTCAATACAATATAATAAAATCCATCAAATGATGCTCCACTAATTTGTTTTATTCTTGAATCAGGTAATAAAAATTCTTCTTTCCATCTCATATAAATATATTGATTATCTTCTTCACCATTTTGAATTTTAATTAAACGTTTCATTAATAAATCATCATCTAAATCATTTAAATTAATTAATTTTTTCCAATGTTCAAAATCATTCTTCATATATGATCCCCATTGTTTATTTTCCGTAATGAATGAATATTTTCTAATTATTTGATCAGGATGAATATTTGATTTAGGATGATTATTTCTCCAATGATATTTATTTAAAGGATTATTAATGATTTCACCTTTAAAACAAGTTATAATTTCAGAATGATCTTCAGTTAAGCCTGAAATTTGTAAAAATCCTGTAACGGTTGAATTTAAAAGATCAACTGTTTTAAATTCAACTTTAATATGAAATCTTGATTTACCTGATTGTTGTTCACCAATGAATTGAGCGTTTGGTCTCAAATAAGTATTTAATAGCTTAGGTATGTTTGAGTTGGATGAGGATAATGATTGATATGAGGATGTTGTTGCAAATGATGATGGAGTAAAAGTATGGAAATAATCAAGTTTATGATGAGTTAAATTAGTATATAAAGTTGAAGATAAAGTGAATGAAGGAGATGCTTTTTGAGTAAATCTATAAGATGACGAAGAAGAATCAGTAATGGTATTAGTATTAGTATTAGTATTAGAATTAGTTGTATTAATTAATGTGGTTTGATCATAATAATTATCAATTGATATGATGTCCGAAACGGGAGATGCAGAACCTTCAGTATAATCTTGAATATTAAACTTATTTAAAAGGTGAGAAGAAGGATATTGAGGAGAAGTGAAAGTGGAGGATGAAGGAGGAGGAGGAGGAGGTCCAGATAGTATGGATGATGGTTGAACGAACGTATCTGGATTAGAATCATTGATATCAGTGTCTTCAACATTATCATCCTCATCTTTATTATTAGTGGAGGATATGGTGCGGGTTAAATTGGAGGCAGACGAATCATTTGAATTTGATGAACTAGACGATGCAGCGGTAGAAGAGGAGGAGGAAGAAGTGGTGGTGATCTTTGGATCCTCTTCTGGTATGGTATGATGTTCAGTCACTGGCATCTATAATGTTATATATGATTATGGAATGAAACAGTTTTGTAAGATAGATTAAAACTAAATGATGATGATGATGATGATGATATTTTTAAATTTTGAGAAAAGGGATAACACAAAATTGTTCTAGTTAAAGCGCGTGATTAGAACCAAAAAAAAAGTGTTATCAGTAATTATGATAAAGAATGATTCAACTATTAAGTAATGAAGATCAAGTATTAGTAGAAAAAGAAGAATAAAGTAAGTAGATATATAAAATGATAGATAATCTAGATGATTTATTACGGATATATGTGAATACCAATTTACTACACAGAGATAGGTAACAGATCAAAATAAAAATAATAAGCGACCACTTCTGATGACGATGAGGTTTTAACATATATATTTAGCCATATGACTACTAAGTAGTATCATAATTACCCATGAGGTAACATATTTTTAACTTTTTCAAATCTGATCTACTGATGATTTCAGTAAAATGGATGAGTCTTAATTATTTAATTTCTTTTTCTTTTAATGTCTGGAATTTCTTTTTTTTTGATTTTGTTTCTTTTTCCCTTTTGTGTAAAATGATCACTTGATCTCATTTACGACAGGACAACGGGAATCAGACAAAATCGAAATTTGGTTCAAATCTACATCTACAAAATGATTAATTTTTAGTATTGAAGTTATATATTTATTTATAGTTTTCTTTTGGAGAGTATTATTAGTGAGTTAATCTGTTAGTTAGTTATAGAAGTATCTAATAAATAAGCCAAAAATTGAACCTATATCTATATATAAAATCATTACGTTTATGAGAAACCATCATTACCATTATCACAATCATCAGTATAGCTTAACTCAGTATAACCATAAGCATTATTTTATAACACCATCTTACCATACCATGACCAATCTATCAATAACTAACTAAAGTATCAATATTATTAACGTTATTCAACCAGGATAAGTAATTGAAAGCTGCTGAAGAGAAAAAAATGAAAAGAAAATAGTAAAATCAAAATGGACATTTAGGGGGCTATTTGTATTGTTTTTTTTCTTCTCCAAATTAAAAGTTTCATGAATTATATTCTATATATGGTTCGAAATCTAAATATGGACTTAATAATGACTCATGCATTCATTCATTCATTGACCTCTAATTATAGACTTCTGAACTATACTCATTTATCAATGTTCCTCTTATTTGGTCATTCTTATTTTAGACTATATTTTTTGCGATTAGTCATTTTCTATTTATAGATTTATTTGCAACTATATTTTCATGTCATTAGAACTATAACTATATATAACCAAAAATAGTATCGGCAACTAGATTAACTTAAATAGCTTCATATTTACTTTTTTGATTGAAAAAATTAATTAAAATTTACATATCATTCAGTCTATCATGTCGGTCTATTCTCCTACTTTTTATGATTATCAAGGAGCTACAGAGAAAGGATTTGAATATTATGATGAAGTAGCCTTTCATAATTTAAATGGATTGTTATTCACCGCCATTGATGAACCTAGACAAAAACATGATACGATATCTCCAGAAGTAGATATTGTCATTATTACATTCCTTAAAATTCTGTTTCAACTTGGTTATTACATTTCGGATGATATAGTTAATACCTTAACTTCAATGAAAAATAGATCAGATATTATTAATCATTGTAAGAAATTCATGAATGTAATGAAAGATACCAAGGGTGTAAAAGCTGCGGATGGGATTGTATTCTATAAAACTTTTCCTGAACATGTTATGAAAGCTTCGGATGCTGAATTATTCGTAAATGCTATTGCTCATTATTGGACTTGGGGGACATTATTGCCTTCTTATGTTAAAAAGGAAAGATTAGATTTAAATGAATTACTTAAAATGAAAACTATCAAAAATGTCATTACTAAAAAGGATTTAATCAACTACTTTTTAAAACTATTATGTTCAAAATCAGCTCCAACTCCTGCTGCTATGGATTTTATTGATCAAGGTTTAGAAAATAAATGGTATAATGAAATTCCTGCTGATTTTGATATTCCATTTAAAGAATTATTGACTAAAGTAGCAACATTTGCTTTAAACAATGGATTATCCATAAATAAATATGTTAAATCATGTACAGATATTTTAAGAATTATGGCTCACCTTTCTGATCAAGATATTACTTTACAAAAGAAAATTAAATTCAAATCATTACCTCGTAAACAAAGAAGAATCATAGTTAATAGTTTAGAAAGAGTTATCAAGGTTGAAGATATAAAACCTTATAGTGGACTTTGGAAATTAGCATTTCATAATTTACATGTGGGAGAATTGAAACGTACAAAAGTGTGTGCTATTGCTAAACAATTTAGAAATACTAATAATGTTCCTACTTTAGATACCAAATACTGTGAAGCTATTAAAAAGAAACAATCAATCATAGCTATGAATTCTTTGAAAGTAAAGCCACCTATATTTGCTCGATTATTAGATAAATTGATAAGAGATTGTTATGAAAATGATGAGGAACTTATAATGATTTTGCAACAATTTACCATATCATCAAAAAAGATTAATCCTAAAATCTTATTGCAAGCTCTTGGTCATTTTCAAAGGCGTAAATATTTATTAAACAATCCTAGAGATAATAAACACAGTCAAAGACTAATTTACACTTCAGGTTCAACTGCTGCCACTCTTATTTTTCCTAATCATAAGACCATATTACCTCATGAAGTATTAGATCGAATCATAATTATCATACAAGATTCTTTAATTGAACAATTTAAAACTAAGCAATTATTAAAGCATAAGAAGGTTTATATCCCATCAGTAGCCAATGGTTTATTATTACCAATACAATTATCAGGAACATCAACTAAAAAGACAATAGCAAGAGCATCAAAATTCCCTTTATTAGATCAAGATGAAGTAGATAAACATAAGAAAACATTCGTCAGATTCTTTACCCATTGGATTGGAAGAATCATTGATACAAGCATACTTTTTGTTAGTGAAGAGGGAAAAGCTATAGATCTTATAAGTTGGCATCATCTTAGAACAGATTATGCCTGGCATTCAGGTGATGTGGTAAATGCTCCACCACCTAATGGAGCTACGGAATATATCGATGTTGATATTAAAAAATGTCTTGAACTGGGGTGTAGATATTTAATGATGGATATTAGACTGTGGAATGGACCAACGTTTGCTAAACATGATGAATGTTTTTCAGGTATTATGATGAGAGAAAATAACGAAGCAGGTCAACATTTTGAACCAAGTACAGTAAAGTATAAATTTGATTTAGTAGGAGATACCCATACTACCATTGCATGTGTAGTGGATTTGAAAACTATGGATTTAATTTGGATAGATGCTGCTATTAAATTTAAATCCCTTTACAATAATCTTATTGATAATTTAGATACAATGCTTCCTGCTATGAGAGAGTATTCCTTAATGCATAAATATAAGGTGAGTATGGGTCAATTGATACGGTTACATTTGGAGGGTTCAGAAGGCGCTCAATTGGTGGATAAGAGAGAAGATGCTGATTATATAGTTTCATTAGAAGATGATGGAGATTTGAATCTATATGATTTTGCTGAAATCAATTCAAACTGGATTTGAGTGGAATGTAATAGAATAGAATGAAATAGAGTATAATAGAATAGTTTGTAAATGTATGAATGGTTGTAATGACCTATAGTATATATATCAAAGCATTGTAGGTTAAGGTCGATCCCACCCCACATTACTTTCCTTATATGGTCCAACTCGTGATCTTAAATCTGGTACGGCAATTATTTATGAGGCTGCCACAGTTAACTGCATAAACTACTGAGGTGTGGATCTTCGTCTATATTAAACGGTGGGCCGGTTTAAAAAATTCATCAGTCGTATTTTTTTTTATTTTTTTAATATGAAATCTGTTAGACTTTTTCAAATTATTAATTCAAATATAAACTAGCTTAAATTCCCTCATCGATTGATTGTTTAGTTACTTTCATTGAAGTATATACTACTATTCCTAAGTCATATCATCACATTTAAATCTATTCCATCTCAAGTGAAAAATAGAAAAGAAAAAAAAATAGAATAATTTCAGGCCATCAGTCCCCGGCATTCAGCTAATTTATTTGTACCGCCCAAAACCGAAACTAATTTCAGATTTTCACACTTTCAGCATCTAATTTTGATTGATTTTATATATAATTGATTTATAACTAACTTAGATCCATCCAACTTAACCTTATATCGTACAATATCTGGTAATGGCTCTTCTTTCAAGAGTTCTTAACCATCATAGTGATAAGTCTGGAAGACGTTCAAGATCTTCAAGTCTTCAATCAAACTCCGGTTCAACTTCCCCCTCAATTAGAGCTTCAAGAACAAGAACAAATTCAATTCAACATCTTAATGGTAATGGTTTAACTAATACCAATGATCCTTCCTTTTCATTATCGATAAATCTAGAATCACCCCCTATTGTATTATATGGTCAACCTCATGAATCTACAGGATCTATTATATCAGGAATATTAAAATTGGATATTAAACAGATACCTGATACTTTGATTACCAATGACAATAATGAGTTAAGACTGGTATCTTCATATCCAACAGTTTCAACCAGTGCTTCGTTATCAGATTCTTCATCAGGTTCATCTACACCCCCACCAACTGGTCCTCCACCTTCATTAGACCAACCTCAACCATCCATTGAGTTTGAAAGTGTTACCATCGCTCTTGTTCAGACTGTAAAATATTCAAAACCTTTCATGATTTCTGCTGCATCAATTCAAAGTTGCCGTGATTGTAATTATCAAAAGACTACTTTGGCTAGATGGGATGTCTTAACTTCAACTTGTTCATTTCCATCTGGAACTCATGCATATCCATTTTCACATTTAATTCCAGGTTCATTACCTGCATCATCAAAATTAGGATCAGTTAATGCTTCAAGTTTTATAAAATATGAATTAATAGCTATTGCAAAACGTCCCAATACTAAACAAACCACTTTAATCTTACCCGTTCGTGTAACAAGACTGATTTTAAGAGGTCCAGATCGTAATTCATTAAGAGTTTTCCCTCCCACTGAAATTACTGCAAGTGCAGTGTTGCCAAATGTCATATATCCTAAATCAAGTTTCCCAATCGAATTAAAACTTAATAATATTGTAAGTGCAAATGGTGATAGAAGATGGAGAATGAGAAAATTAACTTGGAGAATTGAAGAATTAGTTAAAATAAGATTATCTGTGTGTGAACTTGAAAACCATCAATTAAAATTAAAATTTTGTGAATTAGCACAAAAGAAATTAAAAACTAAGGATTCTTCTTCAAATCCAACTTTTCATAATAAATCAAATGTCCATCATAGTACAATTCAAACTAATGTTTCCATGCAAAGAGATCCTGTAATAACTGGTTCACATGTTCCAAATGATTTGGTTCCAATTGATAGTAATGTGAATCCCGAAAATAGTAATGTTGATACCATTGTTCATGATGATATAGTGGATAATGATATGGAAGGAAATATCAGAAGTGGACCAAGTCATGCTCATGAAAATTTCATGGAAGATTTCGGGGTAAGATCTAACGGCAACAATAATGATCTAGAACCAAGCGTCTCCACCCACTCAAATGTTCTCGATGCTGGTGAAACTGAAGATGCAAATGCAGAACATCTTTACGTGGAAGAATTAAGAACTATCAGTCATGGAGATTTTAAGTCAGGTTGGAAATCAGATTTTTCAGATCGAGGTAAAATTGAATTGGTTGCTGATATTAGTGCTAGTAACTTTGATACTGGTTTGAATAATCATATATCTAGAATATCAAGTGATAGTGATAAGGATTTAATAGATCCTTATGGTATATCATCTAGAAATGGCTCTGCTAATGTATGTTGTGATATTGAAGATCCAACTCTTGGAGTTTATGTTAGTCATACCTTAGTGGTTGAAGTTATTGTGGCAGAAGAAATAATTCAAAGTAATGAACGAAGACAACCAAGAAAGAGTAATTCATCTAATGAATTAACCACAGTTCCTTCAACATCTTCAGTATCTTCAATTGGAAGATCATACTCATCGTCATCTACTACAACTCCAGCGACCCCTTCTGCGCAACCAAAAACTCCACAAATGGGTGTACCAACTGGTGCTGCTCGAGTATTACGTATGCAATTTAAATTATGCTTGACTGAAAGATCAGGATTAGGTATAGCATGGGATGATGAAGTTCCTCCAACTTATGAAGATGTTCGAACTTTAAGTCCACCAAATTATCATGAAAATTCTTCAAATCCATCCACTCCTACATATCCAAGAAGTACTCCAAATATTTTATATGGTGTTGGTGATACTCCTATTGTAGGATCATTTGGTCTTAATAGAAGTACCCCTTCTACTTTAACTATTGATGGTATGATTGATTTAGATGAGAGAATTCAAGAATTTTCATTATGAGTTTTTATTTATTTATTTCAGGTTTAGGTTTAATTTTACTTTTTATTTTATTGCATTTATTTGGTATTCAATTCGAAAATCATAGGTTTTTTTTATAATCATTTTTTATTTTAGTTCATTTTCTTATAGATATTTGTAAATAGATTATATTTATTTAATTCAAAGTTCATTTTCATTAAAACTTTATAATGTAAGGATAATCCTGTTTATATTCTAAATCAACCATACACGAACTAACTAATATACATAACACGCTAAAGATATAATATACAAAAAATAACAAAAATAAACTTCAATTCACTCAATTGGTACTACGATCAACAATTGAAGTATCAGCTTCTTGAGTACCATCATGGCCAGTTTCTGATAATCTACTGACTTCTAATAAAGTATTATATAAACCGGTTAAATCAATCAAATCATTAACTGAATCAGATCTTAAATCATATACTAATTGTTGAAATGAATGAGATTTAATCACACTAATAGGTAATTTATTTTCAGTTAAAAATTTCATTAAATGTTTATGAAATTTCATAGCGGAATAATTACTATTATCGAAATCATTTGAAATAAAACGACGATTAGAAAGGAGATTTGAGTAATCACCAGGATTAAATCTTGGTGCTCTTGGTTTGGCAACAGATGGTGATGAGGTTGAAATACCACGAGCAGATGGTCCAACACCTGGTATAGTTACTGATGAAGTGTTGGCTGAATCTTGTTGTTCTTGATAATTTGGAGGATATTCAATTGGTTCACCATTATTATTATAAGTAACTCCATATCCATCAACCGGAACAGGGCGAGTATAATTAATGGTTTCTTTACTAACTTTATGAACTTTTAAATGTTCACTTAATTTCTTAGGAGACCCTTTATCAGAAGGCAATCTCATAATGATCTTTCCACAATAATCACAAGCTGCAATATTTGGATCTTGAGAATCTTGAACAAACCATGACCAAACCCAAGATTTCTTTTTAGCTCCAAATCTTTGTCCGGGACGATTAATCCGAATCGATTTTGCGGCTTGAGCATCTGAAGCTGAACTGGATGCACCTGGATTCGATGCATTTACCGAAGTTGGAGATGTTTGTTGTGGTTGAGTTTGTTGAGGTGGTTGTGGTCCTGAAGTAGATGATGATTCTTGAGATGGTTGAGTTGGTTGAGGTAAAGTTTGTGGAGTTGTTGTAGCTACTGGTTGAGATTGTCTCAATGCATTAGCTTCAGTTGGATTTGATGGTGTACTAGTTTGAAGAGCACCATTATTAGCACTATTTTGTTGTTGCTGCAAATGGTTTATCCCTGTTGTTCTTTGTGGAGGATAAGAATACAAGGAGGCCGGATTGTTAGCAAAATAACTCATTATACTTGACACAATCTAGATAAGCTGGTATGGATTAAGTCGGTTTGATATGACTATATAAAATTCGGTTGATTGAGTTACACCAATGAGACCGAAAGGGGATTGATTGATATATTGATAGTATGAAAAAAAGGTGGGGGTGTTTCAATGTATATCCGGTTTGTGTTTTGATTTCCCTGTTGTTTTTTTTAGTTTGTTACAGGATTGAATATCGTCGAATTTCGACATTTGTATCGCACTTTTTAATTTGTTTTACGTATTAGAATTTGTTCACTCCCGGTAAAAGGCGAGTAGTAAAGAAATTGTTTAGTACAGAAAAAAACTGTGCTGGACGTCGGTATGCCGGAATGGTTTCGAGGGATAGCTAGCAACTTTAGAAAAGTTTGTAAACAGCAACCAGACATCAACCAATAAATAGGTACTACTACTCATACAAATTATGAATCTTACCTCCATCACATCAACTTTTACTGGTCTTACTACTATAACTTTAGACTTATTATTATTAAATCTAATGTGTTCAATATGGTTATTTTGAACAAAAAATAAGTCGCTACCGAATTTTATTTTCTGGTTTAATTCCCGTTCGTCATGATTCGAGGTGGAAATTTGCACTTACGATTCCATTCATTATACTTCATCAATTCAATGTATGATTTCAATAATTGAATAATGAATGGGATTACATCATACTTATATGTAATTCAATTCGTCTACATTATGTAAATCTATTTTAAATCAATGGTAAATAACCTAACGTTATTGTTAGACCATTTCGACTAAATTTTCTTTTGTTCTAGTTTTTCTGTTAAAATAATATGGAAATGCAACGTTTACAGACACTTAGGTCAACTTATTATTCAATACAACATAAAAATAATCTTGAGCCTCCCCGTCAACAAGTGGGCTAACCATGAAGAACAATCAAACATTGGTTGTCAATATCTTTCTATAGCCAGCTCTACTCATAATAACTCAATCGCCAAACAATCGCAACTTGTTTAATATTTTATTATTTCGCACTCAAAAAAAAGAAAAAATTATTTGCTCGCAATTGTCGATTGTCGTTAGTCGCCATTGCTGAACCCAAACTACCGAATATGGATTTCGCAGCCAGCAGAAAATATCTATATCCAGTAATTAATAAATTTTGTACCTTTATTTTTAATAGTTGAAACTTCATTTTAACCCATTTAATCCTATATTAGATGTATTTTTAATGAATTAGGTCACTATTTTACAAGCATAATCTGGAGTGATGCGGGTACAGTTGTTATTTTTTTGCTTTTTAAATGTTGCCGGATCTTGCGTTTCACCATGTCGATAAAGAATGACATACCGAAATCACAAATACATCGTGAATTCAACTCAACTATTTTGAGGCAAGAAATATTAACGTTTAACTACCAGCACTGGTAGTTAAATTTTTACAACCAGTACTTTGACTAATTTCTTGGTGAGATGGTTTCAGATGACGAGCGTTGATGGAATGAGAGATATAAATAGAATTCAATAGAATGGATTTGATTTAAGTTTTAACTTGTTTTCTTTTCTTTTTTGGATTTACCATATACAACTATCTACAACTTTTTCATAGAAGGATACCAGCAGTCAAACAGTCTAGCAAAATATTCCCCTAGTGTTCTCACTCCTACTTCTCTAATCCAACTTTAGTCACTCTCTTTACACTAAATTAACTATAGTCACTCCTTTAACAACTATACTACTACTACTTACTTTCTTTTAACTTCCACTGGAATATTTCTAACTCAATAACTACAACACTACAACTACTACAATGCAATTCTCAAAATTCTTTTTATTGGCTGCTGCTTCAACTTTAGTTTCCAAAGCTTTATCATTACCAACTTCAGAACAATTATTAAAACGTGATGATAGTGACAATGATGATGTGGTTATTCTTACTGTTCAAACCACTGTTCAAAACATTCAAACTAATATTCAAACAGTTGAAGCTGCCACTTCAACTTTCACCAATGTTATAATTGATACTCAAACTACTACTTTCACAAGATATACTGCTACTGTTACTTCAACTATTTTTGGTACTCCATATACTTTCACTACAATTGCATCTACTCCAATTGGTGATCAAAATAAAGAAGTTGCTCAAAATACTGGAGCTATAGTTGAAACTGAAACTGAAGCTTATACTTCTGTTGAAGTTGAAACTTTATCTGCTGGATCTCCATCTACTGAACAAGGTGGAGAATACACTGAAGTTGAAACTCTTGTTTCTACTGGTGTTTATACTAGTGTTGATCCAACTTTCACAACTGTTACTATTACTCCTAGTCCAGGATCACTTTCAACTGATGCTAGTACTACTACTGCTTTAGTTCCAGTTACAACATCTGAATCGAGTGATTTTGGTCCAAATGTTACTGAAACTTCTATTCCAAGTTCATCTGATTCATGGATTTTAGAAAACATCACTACTGTTACTTCAAATAGTGTTTGTATTGTCAATTATGATTATTATAATGCAAGTGAATCTGAAGCTGATGAAACCACCACTTTAACTTCTACTATTTATACTACTGTTACTAACACTATATACTAGACTGATTAAAAAAGTCTTTTATTAAATGTTTAAAGCAAGAAAAAAAAAGTTAATGGTTTAATGGGTTTCACTTCATATTATTGTTGATATGATTATCAACTATCAGCAATATTGTATAATAGTCATTCTGTATAATCAAAAGAATTACAGATGAAAAGAATTTTTAGAAATAGTCATATTTTGTTTTGTTGTTATTTTATTTAAGAATATTATCCCTTGATGTTTTATATTATATTATTTTATTTAATTTATTTATTTTATTTTCCACTTTTTTGAATTCACTAGGGTTTATATGATCATCTTTTAGATTTGTTTAGATAAAATTATTTCTGTACGTTACATACAATACATACAAACATATAGTAAAGCCATTGTCAAATAAAGTGTAGTGCAAAAGTGTAGTACTCATGTGGAAGTAAAGTAGTTTACCTCAAGTAGACATCATATCACTTAATATTATCAATAATTAACTGAGCTACCATGAATGGCTGGTTGTAAAGGTTTAAAGTTACCCAAATAGATATATTGGTACTAGGGTTGCAGCCCTATCCACGTGATACACATTTGAAGGAACATGCTCTACATACAGGACCAGTAAATGTCTCACATATATAATACTAACAAAATATAATATTGTCGCATAGTTAAAGATAAATGTCGTGTATAGTAAAATTTTTTCTCCTCCTCGCACACACACTCACAATTCTGTCATAGTAAAGACCAAAGTAACTAACAAATTAGTTAGTAACAAAGATTGAAGGGAGACAGAGGAAAAAAAGAACGAAAAATTGTATAGGTTTAAAATTTTATTATAATTTTTAATTCTTAGTTCTTACTTTAAAGCAATAGTAATCAAGTCACAATGGGTATGTTTCATAGCACCTTATGAAGAAGATATAAGTCATCATGTATTGGAAGGAATCATGGAGAATCAATAAGTTCATCCAGTATTATTATGTAGAATCAATCCATCCATCAATCATTAAAAGATCAATGACATCAAATTGAAATTATGAAAGTGAAAAATCCATGAAAAATCATTCAACCATAGAATATTGAAGAGAGTAATGAATCAGTTATCATATATGAAGTATTGTCAATGTGTTACCATCGATTTAAGATCAATAGTTCCTTATTTATAAAGTATTATAGAAAGTGAAAACTCCACTATGAGTAATAATTATCAATCCATTACATCCATCAAGAACCATCATAAACAACTCATCAATCAGTTTAAAATGAATCATGAAGTTATTAAAGTTAAATCACATCTACGATGACCCTATATGAAGTTGTATATTTGAATTCAGATTCATAATGATGACTATATATTTTCTTTTATCAAATTAATGATAAACAATTTTTACTAACATTTTTATTATTATAGTTAACGTTCCAAAAACCAGAAAGACCTACTGTAAAGGTAAGGAATGCAGAAAACACACCCAACATAAGGTTACCCAATATAAAGCTGGTAAAGCTTCTTTATTTGCCCAAGGTAAAAGAAGATATGACCGTAAACAAAGAGGTTTCGGTGGTCAAACTAAACCAGTTTTCCATAAAAAGGCTAAAACTACCAAGAAAGTTGTTTTAAGATTAGAATGTGTTGTTTGTAAGACTAAAGCTCAATTATCATTAAAGAGATGTAAACATTTCGAATTAGGTGGTGATAAAAAACAAAAAGGTCAAGCTTTACAATTTTAAAAGTGATATCAATAATATTGAAATTCAAACCATTAATGAATATAGTTTTAATAATCATGATGAATGGAATAGTCAAAATATAATGATTTTTAAATCATTATTATCATTATTATCATTCATTTTTTAACCATTAGGCTTAATTTATATATATATTATGATATAATTTTGTATTCTTTTTTCCTTATAACATTTATATAATAAACATCCAAAAAATATTAACTAACATTTAGTTGTAGTAATGGTCAAATATTGGTTGTAACATAGTAAGTAAGCCTAGCAACCGTCAGTTTCATATTAGACAATGAAAGCACTGTTCATCCATCGTCAAACTTGTAAAAATAGATCACTGACAATTTACACGTGACTGGAAATACGCCAAATGTTTTTCTTATTTTTTTTTTTTTACTGTTGTCTCTCCTTAAACTCTCACTAAATAATAAAAAAAAAAAGGAGTAAACTTCACTATTTTAACGAGTCAGGCAGAGATCAAAAAAAAAAACAAAAAAAACTTCAGTAAAAGTTAACTTAAAGTGAGAGATCGTGTTTTGATTTCGTATGGAAAATTTACAACCATCCAAAAAATATCATATCAAAACAAATACGATAAATCATCAATCATCAATCAATCAATCAATCAATCATTTATTACTTTATATACTTGGTTCAACGATATCATATCTCAATCATTAGTATATCCCCAACTTTGGCTTATATTTAGTTGAACCATCAAATAGTGTATACCGCCCCATTCTTTCCTTTATCTTGTTTACCTCTTTTTTTGAGTCGCCATTTGAATTGGCTTTTTTTATTTGTTGTTATTTTTAAACCAAACCAAACCATTCATCCATCCATCTTCATCTTGGCTCAGTATAGAGATAACTTGTTTAACATTCCTTTCCTTGACATAGTCGTTGATATATTAAGTAAACACTGAAGATGAATTACGATAATCTAACTGATGAACAGAAGCAACAGCTTTACTTTCAGCATTTACAACAACAACAACAACAACAAAAGCAACAGTATAACAATTTTAATCAACAACAACAACAGCAACCTTCCTTGCAGAACTATAACCAACAACAGCAAATACATCAACAATCGATTCCAAACCTACAATACGACCATGATGATAGTTACATGGAAGAAGATACATCACTCACTGAGATACCACCAACTTCAACCATTCATGATTCAACCTCTCCTTTAAGACAACAACAATCACAATCACAACAGCAGAAGGTTTCCCAATTCATTGCTGGGTCTCCAAGATTCACCAACGATAATCATTATGATGATCGCCATCTTGCATATACTGAAAATGATGATGATCATCTTCATCCAAATAATGGCAATAATCAGTATAACAACAGTAATCATAATGGATTTTCCCAACATATCAATCTTAACAACGGTAATAACAATAACAACAACAACAATAATAATAAATTCACTTCCATAGACTCATTGAATTTTAAACCTCCAACTACTTTTACTCAATTAAATAATAATAGTAGTACTAATTTATCAGAAATTAGTAATTCTAATAATTCTTTCAGTAATTCATTAATTTCAAATCATAGTAATACCAATTTAAATCAACCATCTCCAGTTCCTATACCTTCAAATTATGAAAGTCATAATAATAGTTTACAAAATTTAACAGCAAATAATACCATTGCTAATGCTTCTATAGGTACTCAACAACAACAACAACAGCAACAGCAACGTCAACAACAAGAACAACAACAGCTTCTTCACCAACAGCAGCAACAACAACAACAGAATCAAGTACAGGTACAAGTTCAACCACAACCACTGGTAATCATTGAAGATAAGCCATCTAATTATGTTTATTTTAATAGACAACCAAACCTATTAAATAAAACAACTCAAGATAAAGCTGCTGGTATCAAATTGAAGTTAGAAAACTTTTATCAAATGTCAGTCAGTCATGCAATTGAAAGAAATCAAAGACGATTGGATTTAGAACATAAATTATTAACTGAAGAGCTGGGTTCAAGTGAAGAACGTAAAAATCGTCAATTAACAAATTTAGGTAAAAAAGAATCTCAATTTTTAAGATTAAGAAGAACAAAATTATCATTAGAAGATTTTGCTACTGTTAAAGTTATTGGTAAAGGTGCTTTTGGTGAAGTTAGATTAGTTCAAAAGAAAGATACCGGTAAAATTTATGCTATGAAAACTTTATTAAAATCAGAAATGTATAAAAAGGATCAATTGGCTCATGTTAAAGCTGAAAGAGATGTATTAGCTGGAAGTGATTCACCTTGGGTTGTTTCATTATATTATTCATTTCAAGATACTCAATATTTATATTTAATTATGGAATTTTTACCGGGTGGTGATTTAATGACTATGTTAATTAGATGGCAAATCTTTACCGAAGATATAACCAGATTTTATATGGCGGAATGTGTGTTAGCTATTGAAGCTATTCATAAATTAGGTTTTATTCATCGTGATATTAAACCTGATAATATTTTAATTGATATTAGAGGTCATGTTAAATTATCTGATTTTGGTTTATCAACTGGATTTCATAAAACTCATGATTCAAATTATTATAAGAAATTATTAGAAAAGGAACCTCCAAATCAAACACCATTACAACCAAATCAATTAAGTAGAAATTCAATGATGATTGATGCAATTCATCTTACTATGTCAAATCGTCAACAAATGCAAACTTGGAGAAAATCAAGAAGATTAATGGCATATTCTACTGTTGGTACTCCTGATTATATTGCTCCAGAAATCTTTATTCATCAAGGGTATGGACAAGAATGTGATTGGTGGTCTTTAGGTGCTATTATGTTTGAATGTCTTATTGGATGGCCTCCATTTTGTAGTGATTCACCTCATGAAACTTATAGAAAGATTTTAAATTGGCAAGAAACATTACAAATTCCAGATGATATTCATTTAAGTCCTGAATCAGAAGATTTAATTCGAAAATTATTAACAAGTTCTGAAAATAGATTAGGACGTTATGGTGGAGCAGAAGAAATTAAACAACATCCATTCTTTAGAGGAGTTGATTGGGAAACGATTAGAAAAGTTGATGCTCCATTTATACCGAAATTAAGATCCATAACTGATACAAGATTCTTCCCAACTGATGAATTAGAAAATGTTCCTGAATCACCTGCCTTAAGCCAAGCTATTCAACAACGTGAAATCGATGCTATTAATGGTAAAAAGAATGTTAAAGAAGATTTACCATTTATAGGATATACTTATTCTAGGTTTGATTATTTAACCAGGAAAAATGCATTATAGTGTAATCCAGTATTTATTTATTTAATTATATATATACATATTTATTTATTCTTTCTTTAATTCAGAAAGATTCAAATTAAATCGTAATTCGATACTTTTAAAATTGATGAAAAAAATTATGGTTGTAAGTTAATGGACCCATATTAGGAATTGCAGAAAATAAAAATAAAATTAAAATACGACGTCGAAGTTTTAAAAATTTTTGCAGCCCTTTCTTTTTTTTTGAGTGGGTACAGCCTCTTTTTTTATAATACATGTAATCTATATTATCTATGGGGAAATATGAATTGGACTTGTATTGATCTTACGACCCTTCATACATAATTAACTCAGCCTTTATTTGTATATCGTTTGGAATTGAAAGAATCAATAACTACAGACTCGGCATTGCAATTAATTTAATTCTGTGATTGTATGTATGCATTGACATTAGTACAGTTAAGCTTTCACTACAGGTGGAGATTCATGGAGTTAACAAGATTTTGACACGAGGAGAGGTTGAAATAAAGTTCATGAATCAGTGGAGACACTGGTGCAAATAATGGGTTGGCTTTTGTATAATTGTAGAATTAAGGTTTTTAGTTAAAAGTGTGATTACCGTAACGATAGTGTACCGGTAGTGCACCGGGAGTTAGTCAGAGAAATTGAGAAAAAATTAAAGTTGTCGTTAGCTGCAACAAACAATGCAAGTTCGAACAACGGGCAACATTCAACCAACGATTCATTGTAAGATTATGCTCTTGTCATGATAATGGCGAAGTTGTCAATGCAATGTTAATCAATCTTTAAAAGTTACTAAAAAATAAAGCCAGCTGATAAAATAAAGTTTTCAATCTCTAGAAGTATGTGGATGTAAAAGGAGTTAAGTGGATTTTAATGAATTTAGCAGCTTAATATGAATATGAACTATCGTTTCTTACCCTTTTCATAAAACCAATGAAGGAGGGCTATGAATATGGAAGAAGATCAAGAGGCGTAGTATGAATCTGGTTTAGACGAAGGTATGATTTTAGATAAGATATTCTTCAATTCTAGACTTTGGGGGGTAAAGATCATTGAAAACAATAAGTGAAATGTATACAATGGATTCCTGATAATGCTGATTCAATATTTTACTGAGTAGATTAATTGGTTACCATACTATAAAGTAAACTACTAACAAAATCCACTAGTAACTAGGTTCATCATCTTTATACAAAGAATGGTTGCAAGTTTAACAAAAGTTAAGTTAATAGAAACATAGTAAGAAACCTAATAACAACGGGGTTTGAAGAATGTAAAGTATAGATTGTCACATTTACAAATTAAAATTTGAGTATTAGTAATATAAGTATTTGTGGATAATGTAAAATTATTTTTTAATAAATAATTGTGCTGCACTTTTTACCGCTTTCTTCTTTAAATCCACCCACACCAAAATCTACTTGCCACATTAATTTCATTTCAATTCTTGTTTCTATAGTTATATTATTTCATATTTCCAGCATCAGGCTATGTCAATAGGCTATGCCCCCAACTAACTTCTCAGATACCATCAATATACGAACTTGTTATACCATTAAAATCAAATCACATCATAAATCATATTGATACCATTTGCGGATTAATTCCCCAAATGAGAGAAATGGGGGCTCAAAAAATGGGGGGAGGCTCAGAAAAGAAAAAGGAAAAATTTCTTGTGTTATTCCTTTACTTTAGTGCTTGTCCCCCTCAGACATATGGTTTTACGGTAAGGCTTCACATACAATAAGCATTATATGAGATGTTTTCCATTAATAACAAAGAAATCGGTACGGGAATAAATTCGGCGATAGTTGAAAACCATGTTATTTAACTCAATTTTAGCCCTTTACAACCATTCATTTAATTAAGTTAAATTAAATTTTTTTGTTTTTGCTTTTCTGGCTCGTTTTTTCCCGATGGTTCCGGTCACATGACTCGGTCTAAACTATATTGCTTTCCTAATTAGGTATAATTGACAAGTCATTTAACTCAGTTAATAATTAATAATAATAATAATAATAATAATAATGATTGAGTAAATGGATGGATGAGTGAGTGGTTGTAACATAAACTATAAATTTTTACATTCAATTGAAATCGAGTCATTAAAAATAAAAAAAGAAAATTGATTTGAATAACCCTCATTCCATGCCGATTATACCTGTTTATCTTAGTAGCACTGTTATCTCAATTCATAACTAAACCAAACATGTTCCCCTACCATGGATAAGTGAAATCAGTAAAGAGGTAATCATATGGTCTGACGTTGAGATAATATATCAAGTTGAAAAATGGTTTGATTATTTTCACAACTCGGTATGGTTTCGTTAACGATTTTTGCTTATGCAAATAATTTTTTTTTTTTATTTTAATTAGAGTCATTTTTTTTTTATTTATTTATTTTTATAATTTAGTTCTATTTATTTCTATGCATAAATCCAGTTTAAAGAAAGTACAAAATCTGCTAACATCTCATAGCCGTCAAGTGTAAACGGTTTATTTTATGCTAGTAATATAAGAGTAGTTAATTTGCATGTAAATAAAGTGTATATATATACCCTTCGATTTTCTTTAATTTTATTTTTTCCAATTTATAATTCTTTGATTCAGTTTATCATTTGACTTTGCATTTTATTTAATATTGTAATAGATTACTAATACTATATCTTCGCACCCATCACACTAGCCCCATATTCTATTCCCATTCCTTCCTATATAGTCAATTGGATCAAGGATCATATAAAGAAATTATATTTATTTTTGGTCACTACTCCATAAAAACACCCCTTAAAAATAAAGAGAAAAATAGTGAGCCAAAAACAAATTCTCCCTAAATTTTCCTCGAAAAAAAACAGACAGACAGACAGACAGACAGAAAAGACATCATCATCATTTAGACTGACAGAAAAAAAAAAAAAGGATCTGTCAGCTTCCGTTAATTACAAAAAGTTTTTTTACAGCACAACTAATTTATTAAGTCAATTGATCAATTGAACAACATCAACAGTCATGAGAGTATCAATCAATCCATCAAACATACTATTCATAGCAGTCCTTCTATGTCTGATAGGGAAGATCGTCGCCATGGACATGGATATGGATATGAGCGATGACGAAGGAGCCGATGGCATGCTACCCGATAAGGTTAGTGCGGTTACTGCTACTAGTGATTCAAATGCTGCCAATTCATTACCATCACTTATACCTGTTCCTCATGTCGTGATGCATCATCATGGTTTACCTATCTTAGAAACCAATTTGAAACCTGAAGAAAGATTATTCTGGGAAGCTTATAACACTACAACTTACTATAATGTCCCCACATCCCATCGGGCCGCACTCTATGTACATATCATATTAGGATTGATTGCTATGACAATAATTTATCCTATTAGTCTTATATTTAATAATTTGAATTTAAATAGTGGTTATTTAATTACTTTAACCATCCATACGGCATTGATTTTAATATCATTATTGAATTATTCCATCTTTATCAATTCAATTGAAGATTTATATCCTGGTAATGCATATAATAAAATGACATGGATACTTTTATTTTCCACTATTATCCAATATGTTATGGCATTGATTAATTTTGGATATAAATATATCAATAATGAATTCAATGGGATTGGTAATCATGATAAAAGTGGTAATAATAATAGTTCCAATGCCTTGAATGATTATAATATGTTACCATTTGAAGATTATGATGATAATCATTCCGGTTATTCATCTCCCACTATAACTCTTTATGATTTATCAAGACAAGGTACAACTTCGAATTCATTAGACTTAAATGAAAATTCAAATGGTCATGATATGACTTCAACCAATGCTATGTTATTACCTGATTCTAATACTATGAAACTTCATCAATCATCTCCTCCTCCTTCATTCATATCTAAAATATTTTCATTTTCAATTTTCCAACATATTTCATCGTCAATTTATAATTTCTCCCATATTTCATTCAATTTATTAAATTGGGGTCATTTCTTTTATTATCTTGTTTATATTCCAACTGGTGTGGCCACTTTTGCATTATATGGTAAAGGATCAACTGTATTTAATTTATTAGCCCATTTCATTAAAGGTGGAGTTTTCTTTGCATATGGTTTATTATCATTAGCACGTTATTCTGGTGCTTTCCAAGCCAAAGGGTGGGCATGGAATCATAAATTTATGACTGAATCAAATGTTAAATCTTCATTTTGGAATAGAATTCAAAGTAGAGGACTTTGTACTATGGAAATGATTGAATCAAGTTTAATTTTATTTTATGGTTCAACTAATGTGTTTTTAGAACATTTGGCTGATGCAGGACAAGATTGGAGTCCAAAAGATTTACAACATGTTTCAATTGCATTTATTTATATTGGAACTGGATTATGTGGAGTTATAACTGAACTTAAATTAGCAAGTTGGAGATATGAAAAATCAATTGAAAATTTAGAAAAATATGAAAAAGTTAATTCAAAATCAAAAGATCAAAAAGTTCAAGTTCATTTTAATGGTAATGATTCAAATCATTCATCAAAGAAATCAAAATTCTTAACTAAACTTTCATCATTAATTTTAAAAGCATCACCTGGATTTTCTCCAAATCCTTTTCCAACTGTTACTGTTTATTGGACTGGTATTATAATGTCATCTCATGAACAAGCCAGTGAATTATCAACTGCTATTCATGTTCAATGGGGACAATTGTTTGTTATTGCTTGTGCATTTAGATTCATGACTTATTTATTGATGTTACTTACTCGTGCCAATATTAAGAATTTATTAAAACCTTCAAGACCATTTACGGAATTAATTGTTAGTTTTGGATTAATTTGTGGAGGTTTAGTATTTATGGAATCTACTGATCCAGTAGTTTTAAGTTTTGAATATTATGGATTCACTGCCATGTTTACTTTAAATCTTTCATTAGGATTTGTGATGTTAATTATGAGTTGGGAAATGTTATTGTTTGCATTTAAAGATTGGTTAATTGAAAGATATAGTAACAAAAAGTATATTATTAATACTAGTAGTACTAGTAGTAATGTATGATTATATATAATTAGAAACAAAAATCTAATTAAAAAGTGAAAAATAAAAAGTTCTATTTATTTATTTATTAATTTGTTGATGAAAGAGATAAAAACAATTTCATTTCATTTCATATTATTTAATTTTTAATACTTAATTTTGTTTACTGAGTTAGTGCTTTTATTTTATTTGTTTGCTTTTGTTATTTACTGCTTTTTATTGCTTGTGTTTGTTTGATATTTTGTTATTATGTTATGGTTTTATGATTTTACAGGGTTAAGGGGAACTTGCAACTTTAATTAAAATTCTCATGTCAATGTTCTAACCCAATAAAAATAACTTTGTTATTATTATACATATATGTTTACACATGATTTTGCTTTTTTATTTATTTATTTATTTATTTATTTATTTATTATATTATATTATTATTATTATTATAATAATTAATCTATTCTAATTTTTTGCACTTTATTTATTCAATTTAATTATTTTTCAAATATTCAAATGTATGTTCTCTCCCTTGTAGTTTATGGTTGAAACGTAGCATTTATGTTAAAAAGAGCATGTTTATGTAGATCAAGGTGCAACAGTATGAGATCATCACTACTACCCATACAATTGATCCTTCTAACGATGATAAGAATCAGATATTTGTTATAATAATAATAATAATAGTAATCTATTTACGTAAATCATATATTTTTAAACCTTAAAGTTAAGTTTACGATTAGAATTTTTTTTAAAAATCTATAGTTAATATGTATAGAATAATCATATCATCCAAAACCAAATAAAAATACAAAGCCAATTAAGTCAAATAACATGGCTTTTACTCCTCTTTGATCAAATGAGATATGTTTACGTTTATTTAAATCCTATAATGCAGAAACACTTGAAATGAAGGAAAGAAGGAGGCATAGAAGGAACATAAGGATAGAATTGGTAGAAACAGGACACAGAATCAAAATGGGTTTTTGACACAGTATGGATTAACACATTTCACGGCGTTCACCCCCCCTCTAAAACCCTACCAATATCCCTTACTATTACTGATGTATTTTGAATGTAAATGTTATATTATATTATATTATATTACTTTACGAATGGCAACATTGATTTGTGTCTGAATTGTAATCATATTTGTAGTTATAAAGTGAATGAACGCCCATATCATTGAATTCATTATTCATCATTAATGTCTTGGCCGTTTTAGATTAAATATTCAATTTTTAAACTTTGTGTGTCGGTATTTTTTAATATTCACTTTTCACACATGTTCTATTGTTGCTATTCCTCCTCTTAAAATAATTAATTTATTTGATAATATAACTACGATTCGTAAATAATTTTAATTTAATATTTGAATTCAATTCAATTCAATTCTTCCCCCCTCATCCTTCGTATCAATTATTGGAAATGTCGTTAATACCGTGTATTTTAACATCAAAGTTCAGGGTACTAAACTTTTCATATTTCATGCTATTTAGTATGAGAGTACAGCAAAAATTTCATGCAGTCAATTTCACTTCCTGATTTGGAACTGTAATGAGGCACAGAGCGATGAGAACTAAAAAGACAAAAATAAAAAAATGAGACACTAAAAATTTGTGATGCTCTGAGATCTTAAATCAGACACTCACACTTACACACAGATACAAAAAAATCAGACACTAAAATTGTGAACAAAAGCTTAATATTTATTATGGCAATTGTAACCAATTAGAATATTTTTAACCTTTTAGATATTATTATTTATTTATTTATTGTTGTTATAGTTATTATTATTATTGTTGTTGTTGTTATTATTATCAATGAATGAGTGTCTGTCTGTGTGTCTAGGGGTTCAATTTGAGGCACAACAAGTCCCATTTAGACCTTTTGGGATGTTTTTGCCGTTATCGCTAGCCCCCTGATTCCATCTAACTGAATATATATCAACGGGTAACTATGTATTCATTGATGAAAGTGAGTCAATACCTTACAAGTTTTGTCTAAATCCCATCTTAAACAACATGAAATATGTAGTTACATGGTACCAGAAATTTATATTATTATCTCATCATCTAGGGGTATCTATCTATCTATGAATCTATCTATATATATCTCTCTCTATATATATAAATCTACAGCCCCCTGGTCTGATTCAATTCAATTTCAAAATCATTTCTCTCTTATCCTTTGATTCTTTTTACTTCACTATTTAATTACTCCATTATCATCAATCTTCCCTTAGAATCCTGACTTGTCGTCGTTGCTCGCATCTGATTGAATTTCGTACAATTTACGCATAATTACATATTAAAAAAAAGTGACGACATTTTTATCCCCCCCTACCAAATCTTTTTTTTTTACTGTCCGAAGGGCTTATCTTTTGATCACCAACATAGGCTGATCTTGGCTTAAAAGTTTTGCAATAACCATCAACCCATCTATCCAATATGGTAAGATACTCAAAATAGATCCGTTACTCCCATTGCATTGTTTACCATAAATTAAAAATAGCACAACTCATCATAAAATAAAGAAGGCTATATCATCAATTAATACCATCCCAATCCATTCAGATCGATAATTAGTGAGATTTGAAATAAAATAAAAAAAAATAGTGGTAACTAATTACTACTGTCTGATTTTTGTCATTTGTCATTTGTTTGTGTTTGTTTACTTATTTATTTGTGTGTGTTTATTTTTCTTTTTCTCAGACTAAAAAAAGAAATTCAATTTGATTTTTGTCTGTCTGTCTGAAAAATAAGGGACCTCTTTTTCCTCACTAAAAACTTTTTATTGCAAATTCATCACTAAAATAAACCACGCACTGGAACTGACAATCAGTAAAGTAAAATCAAGCTTATTGCCTGCCTCCCTCCCTCTCCCTAATTCCCCCCTTAATTTTAACGCACTTACACACTCCCTCCCACATACATACACACAAATATTTTTGGTGGAGCTTTCAGACATAATTTCATATTCCCTTACACTAACCAACAACTATAATATTTTTATATATATAATTAATTTTTTTTTTTTAATTTTTAATTTTTGAAATTTTTTTGAAATGGTAGGGGTGCTATCTTTTGTTGATGGATATATTCAAGTTCTACGAGTTCGTGATACAACTACAACTTCTTCATCTTCATCAGTTTCTAGTTTAAATTTTAATTCAACTTATCAATCTTCATCTACTTCGCATATTTCTACCACAGATAGCAGCAGCGGCAGCAGCTCCAGTTACGACTCCGCGACATTATCAGATCAGACATTTTCTACCACGATCCCTAGTACTTCTAATTTTAACTCCCATTTTTCCTCAACCCCCCCTTCCTCAAGTTCTTCCATCCTGTCGTCTCCAACCACTATATCTAGCTCTACTAATAGTAGTCTGCTATCGTCGTCCTCGACAGAAGAATCATCCTCATCATCATCAACAATATCGTCTTCATCTTCATTATTGGAAAGTTCAAGTTTAGTGGCCTTAACTTCCTCATCCGTCATTTCTTCTGATACTTCTTTATTATCAGCCACTAGTACACAATTGTCTAGCGAGTCAAGTTCACTGTTTCTGGCTTCTTCAAGTATGGCAAGTAGTACCAGCTCTTCATTTTCAAGTGAAGAGTCTTCTTCAAGTATTTCTTCTTCGGAACCATCTTCATCTTCAGCTATAGAGTCATCTTCAAGTTCGTCAGGGTTTTCCTCGTCTTTATCATCCTCATCTGAATTTTCTAGTTCTTCAAGTTCTTCAGAATTCTCAAGTTCTTCAAGTTCAATAGAAAACTCTTCTAGCTCTGAGTTTTCATCATCTGCTTCATCTTCAGAATTCTCATCATCTTCAACTTTAATAAGTTCGAGTGAATCCTCATCATTCTCAGCCTCGGAGTCGTCATCTTCTATTTTCTCATCTTCAGTAGAAACTTCGAGTACATTTTCTTCAGAAGTGCCATCATCTAGTACAGATTTTTTTGCATTCACTTCTTCAACAACCACTCCAAGTACAAGTTCAACTATAGAAGAATCTACTTCATCATATACTTCAAGTTCATCATCTATAACTGCAGTATTATCAAGCTCTCATACCACTTCATTTTTAACATCTTTTACTTCCACTATTAGTATTTCTCCAGATACTACTATTACAACTGTAATTACGATTCCAACCTCAGCTGTTGAGCCAGTTTCATCGCCAGCTGAGTCTACCACAGAACGAAATTCAAAATTAATTGGAGGATTAGTAGGGTCTATTGGAGGTACTATTGTCATTGGAACTTTAGTGGTTTTATTTCTCTTCCTTAAAAGAAGAAGACAAAATTCATTCAAGAATCAATCTCCTGATTTTGATGATTCTCCAGAATTACCTGATAGAAATGGTGGTTTAGGATTACTTTCAAGTGAAAGTGATGGCTCTGGAATGACTGATTCCAAATTTGGATTTAAGAAATTATTCGGATCTAAATTATATCCAAATCCATCTACAACTGCCATTGGTGATGGAGTTGGTATTGGATTAGCGGGAGTTGGAGCTTCAAGGGCTGTAACTCAAGCTAATTATGGTGGTACTGGAAATTCTAATCAATTCACTCATCCTACTGATTTTGGTCAAAATGCTAATGGAGATTTCGAATATAGAGGTGTTGCTAGTAGTAATTTAGATTCATTATTTAAAACATCTAATTCATCCCTGGGTTCAACTACAAGAAGAGCATCATCAAATCTTGGTAAATCAAGTTCATCAGCTAGTAATACACCTTCTGATGGTAGAACCACTCGATTAAATTCATTTGGACATCCATTAGCGGCTCCTGATCATTTCAATTTTAATGAACATGATGATGAAGATCAAGCTCAACATTTAGGTTCACCTGATGAACATCATGAAGATGTGTTTAAATCAGATAGTTCCAATTATGATACTGATTCTGATTCTCATTTCAATCAATCCGATTATGATTTTGATCAACATGGTTTAGCCAATACTACCGGTAATATTCTTAATCCTCATCATGTCTTTGGTGAGACTGAACAAGGAAGTAACAATTCTCGATCTTACTTTGCTGAACAAATTGATTAAAATCAAATCAAAAAAATCAAAAAATGCCTAAAAGAAATCTCATAAAACTTTAATCAAAGAACGATAATAACAACAACTACAATAATAATATTAATAATAATAAGTAATAATAATCATCATGGCATATGCATATACACCTTTTTTATTTGTTTCTTTAGTTCTAACTTTCATTCATTCCTTAATACTTTTCACTTCTATTCGTTCCTTTCTTTCTTTTCTATTCGTTAGTTAATTTTCAGTTTGTTTGGTTAATTTTTTCAAAGTTTAGTTTGCATTTCATACAAACATCGTCATAATACTCAAGTTCCTAGTTGTCTAGTTTTAGCATATAGTGTTTATTTATATAGCTTTTTTAAATAAAAGACATTAGCATCATAAATTTTGCAATTTGTAAAGGCTTTACAATGATTCGCAGTTTTAAGAAATTTTGACAATTTCTTTTTTCAGATAAAGTTGTCAGATTATCTTTTGATAACAATCAAGAGTTTACAACCATATAGTTAAAGTAAGAATAATTGGTGATATATGACGGTGTATCAACAATGATTACCAGGACTTTAGTCATAGTATCACATTTGATCATATATATCCTATCGTTGCATTCAGGTAATACTGTGGCTGAAACATCGATAGGGATCAACACCATTGCGAATGATCATCTGTCAGCATCAAGTGTATCATCATCATCCTATACTTCATATACCACATTTTCAAACATACCATCATCGCTGTCATCTGATGATAGCAATACGATATCCATATCTTCCCACTCCGAAGTGTCTCATTCAACATCAACAACATCTTCATCCACCAGCATTACGTCGGAGTCTAGCATAATAAGTTCGAACACACCATTATCCAGTAAATCTCTGGAAAGTTCAATCACATACACTGAGTCAACAAGATCTACACCGGTACAAGAATCCAGTGTTTTACTTTCCTCATCATCACCATCATCATCACTAACTTCTAGCAGCAGTTCTTCACCCAATACCGTATCTTATAACACTATAATTTCAGTTTCTAGTTCAGTTTCTAATTCAGTTTCAAGTCCAGTTTCAGTTTTAAGCAGCTCATTACAAAATTCATCCAACACTCATACCATAAAATCATCTTCTCAAGCATCAGCTTCAAAAAATACTACTAACTCATCAATTTCAAATTCGAGTTCAGTTTCTAATTCAAGCTCCCTCAAAAGCAAATCTTTCAGTTCATCTGAAGTTTCAAGTGTTCATAGTTCAATACCTATCTCATCCAATACAGTACAAAGTTCTGCAGGCAGTTCTTCGACATCTTCACTGGTTATAAGCTCAAATTCATCAGTTGTGTCAGGTAATGATGTTTCTCTGATAAAAACTAACGTCGAAAATCCACCACCAAACAAAGTATCTCCAGAACTTGATGAGATTATTGAAAGTAGTTCCATTAACAGTAAAACTCCAGAAAAAGTAGAGTCATCAACCAAGTCTGCTGCTACTCCAGTTAAGGTAGTTTCCATAGAATATCTCACTGTTCCAGAACCAAGCGTTGAAAGTAAGATAGAATTAATAGATAAAAAAGACGCAAAGTTGGGAGAAGATATCAGCATCGGTTCGAATTCAAAAAAGTATGATACTAATGAGACTTTAAGACTGGCAACAAGCTTAAATGTATCTAAAGGCAATGATTTGAAAAACGTTAGTCAATCCAGCATAAATCAAACGGACATAATTGATGAATGTCATTTCATGTCTTTCGAAGAGTGGAAGAAGAATAAGGAAGAATCTGGAATTATAGATCAGATTTCTAGTCTTAACAATAGCAAATCCAAATCAATTGAAATTCCTAAGAATAAAACATTACCAAAGGAAGGAAATAATAAAAGTAGTAATCTAACTAAGGAGCAGTCCAATCATTCAACATATGTTAATATTACCCTTGATGATCAGGAAGGAAAGGTTTACAAGGATAGATTTAATTATGCTTCAGTTGATTGCGCAGCCACCATTGTCAAGAGTAATTCTGAAGCGAAAGGAGCTTCATCCATCTTAGTGGAAAATAAAGATTCATATTTATTAAATCAATGTTCGTCGCCTAATAAATTTGTGGTGATTGAATTATGTGAAGATATTTTAGTTGAATCTGTTGTGATGGGAAATTTTGAATTTTTTAGTTCAATGTTTAAAGATATAAAAGTATCGGTGAGTGATAGATTCCCAACTACAAATTGGAAGGTATTAGGTGAATTTGAAGCCCAGAATGTTCGTGATATTCAAAGTTTTAAAATCGATAATCCATTGATTTGGGCTCGTTATTTAAAATTAGAAATATTAAGTCATTATGGAAGTGAGTTTTATTGTCCAATTTCATTGGTTAGAGTTCATGGGAAAACCATGATGGAAGAATTTAAAGAAGAAGAAGCTGAAAAAGAAAGACTCGAGCAAGAGCAAGAACAAGAGATTGTGGTTCATACTCAAGCCATTGAAGAAATGACTAATGAAAAGTTACTGGAAGAATGTAGGGTTATCTTACCTCATCTTGATTTGAATAATTTCTTACAAGAATTAAATTCTACTAATCAGTACTGTGAAGTAATATCAGTATCAGAACCGGAACCTTCATCGCAAATTGCTCAGACTAAAACGGAGGAGTCCATTTATAAGAATATCATGAAGAGATTGTCATTACTAGAGTCAAATGCTACCTTATCTTTGCTATATATAGAGGAACAAAGTAAATTATTATCAACTGCATTTTCAAATTTGGAAAGACGTCAACTGAATAACTTTGAATCATTAATTGAATCGGTTAATTCCACTATTTATGATCAATTATTGAATTTTAAAAGTTCATATATGAACTTACATAAGGATTATACCAAATTATTTAAACTTCAAGAATCGCATCATGATGCTTTGTTGAAAGAAACAAAATCTAAGATGGCTAGTATTGGAACCGAGTTGACATTTCAAAAACGAGTAACAATATTTAATAGTGTTATCATCATATGTCTTCTAGTTTATGTTATTGTCACCCGAGATGTTTATGGTGAACAAATAGCTGAAGTGAATGATAAAGCCCAGAGTACTCATAAACAAATTTCTGTTCCAAGAGCGAGATCAACTGGAGTTTTAGTTCCCAAGGTTAAACAACACGTAAGATCGAAGAAGAAACATTCATAGCCGCTATGTACAAATTTATTTATTGCTTTGTTTTCTATGTACTGCTAATATACGAGTTTAATATTTACAAAAATTGATATAATATACACATGTCATACCATAGACGATCAATAATCACGTTTATAAATCAAATTGTGATTGTCTATTACCTCTTCTGTCATTACTATAAGAGCCCTTTCTGTCTCCACTTTTGTAGTTACTTCTACTACTTCTGTCTCCACTATTGTAGTTACTTCTACTACTTCTTTCTCTGTCCCCACCGTAATTGGATTTGTTTCCATAGTTATTGTTTCTTGGTTTATTGTAGCCACCACTGTTGTAACTATCTCCTCTACTTTCTCTATGACCATATGAACTATTTCCTTCACTATGACCATAAGATTGACTTTTATGTCCATAAGAGGATGAACCATCACGATCAGCATACCCTCTACTTTTTGATTGATATCCACCATCACTATTGAATTTATTGTATCTATCAGACTTTTGTTGATGATCACCACCACTACGTCTGGAGAATCTATCTTGAGGATAATCGAAATATTCATCTTTAATATCGTAATTCACTCTAAACATACCAGCAGCCTTACTACTAAGGGTAAGTTTAGCTTCTGGAGATGATAAAAGTTTACGATATAATTCCATTAAACTTGGAATAATCTTACTTTCATTCAAACGATAAACACGAGTCACTTGACCTTGGAAACTTAAATAAGAACCAATCATTTGATCAATGATATGATCATCAACTTTGACTCTTTCAAGGATATTTTCCACCACTGGAATATCTGATCCACTCATTTCCACGGCAAACTTAACACCTCTTTGTTTTTGAAGTTGCTTAACATAGTTTAATTCATCTTTAGTAAGGAAAGTAATGGCTTCACCCTTTTGACCAGCTCTAGCAGTTCTACCCACTTTATGAATATAATCAGCAAGTTCAGATGAAGGATTTAATTGAATAACATGAGATACACCACTAAGATCTAAACCTCTAGCAGCAACATCAGTACAGATTAATACCCCATGATCAAGATGACGGAAAAGTTTAACAGTTTTTTCACGAGCAACTTGAGTACGTTTACCATGTAATCTTAAGATTTGAGATCTGTATTGTCTTCCAACTAAGTTGGAATCATAAAGATCAGTTCTTTTGGTGGTACTTAAAGCAGTGAAAAACCATTCCGTAGCAGCAATAGTTGGTAAAAATACCATAGCTTTGAAATTTGGTTTTTCCATATTATTTAAAATAAAGGAAATAGCAGATTCAAAAACTTGAGTTGAATTATCACAAGTAACTAAAGTTTGATGAATATTTTCATGAGCTTCAGGTTCATTTTCATTAACACAATTAATAAATTTATAATCATTTCCAATTTGGTCTTTAGCGAATCTTGATACATTATCATCAACGGTAGCACTGAATAAAACAGTTTTAAATTCAGGAGCTTCTGGATTATATTTCTGTCTCACTTCTCTTAAGATAGTATCAATCTTGGATAATTCTTCTTCAAACCCAATATCTAAAAGTCTATCAGCTTCATCATAAATTCTATAATCAATCTTAGCAAACATTTCAGCATCTCTTGCATTTGAAAGTTTATCTAATAATCTCCCTGGAGTAGCAACAATGATATTCTTTGGGAATTTATGATCAAGCATAGTTTTCTTACCCCCAGTTATAACTTGAGTTCTTGTTTTTTCTTCATATTGTTTTGGAAAATGTCTAGTGACTCTATAATATTCTTCATAAATTTGATGAGCTAAATCTCTTGTAGGGACAATAATTAAAGTACTGATTCTACCTTTACCACTTTTTCTTAATTTGGATCTATCATTAATAGCATTTTGAATGGTTGGAATGGCAAAGGCTAAAGTTTTACCAGTACCAGTTTTAGCACGTACCACTAATCCTTGTTCACTTAAAATAGGAAGCATACTAGCTTGTTGAACAGGAGTAAAGTATCTGAACTTGGCTTTATCCAATCCTTCAAGAAGAACATCACTGAATTGACCAGTAGCTTTTAAATCCTTCAATCCATATTCATCTGGGCCTGGTGTTGATGATGGTGGTGATGGCTGCACATTTTTTTCTGCAACCACTGCTGAGGGTTCATCAATTATTTGATTCCATTTTCTAACCGTCGACGAAAAAGACTTGAGTCCATTATAGCAGAATGCCTTACTGGAATACCTAGTAGCCAATAACCCACTGTACTTGAACGTCAAAAACATTTAACTGATTGCTGTGATTATAATTGTTTTGATCCTGAATACATATATTAAATCAACTCATACTGAAAATTTCTCTTTATATTTTTTTTTAAGCAAAGGATGATGATAGTTTATATACAGGAGCATGAGATTACATAATATATTATATAATCATTAAATTTAGTTTGTCAATTTCATAAATGGTTAATATGGATCGATATAAGATCAGAGGTAGTTTACTATTAGAGGATACCATTTAAACAGAACATATTGAATAATATATATCATGAGTAATCAAGTGGGTGCTACACTGGGATTCTTTTCCAAGTTTAAACTGAATGCTTCTAAATTCACTCAATCATTTAACTATGTTGATAAAGATGGAGATACTGAAGATGATACTTTGATTCATAATGCATTTGTTAAATACTTTGATTCAGAACATAAACCATATCCTGAATGGCTAGGAGTCAAAGAAACAGCTAAACCAACCAGTAACTATTATTCCAATTTACCCTTTCAACAACAACAACAATTTCAAAGTACGATCGCTAAACAATCACAACCCCAATACCAATCTCAGCAGCAATATCAACCCCAACAGTACCAACCCCAGCCCCAACAGCAACAACAACAACAATATTCACAACAACAAGATCAAAACCAAACACCAACTTATCAACGTAGAGGTTCCAGTAAGTTACAATCCATGCATAATGCTTCAAGACAACAAGTGGCGGTTGGTGCCGGCTATAATTCATCTAGTTCGGCTAATTCATATAATTCTCAAAGTCAAATTCCAGAAACTAGAAGATCAAATAGTTCTTCTTCAGGTTCAAGATTACGGGATAGAATAACGAATTCATCCGTAAGTATGTCTAATAATGGTTCAACAGGTACGAACAATAGTAGGTATTCAGGTGGTAGAACTTGATTAAAAATTGTCATAATCTATTAATATACATACAATCTAACTAATACATATCATTTAATTTATTGTAACCATCTTCCCAGAAATTTCGACCTCTTATAAACCAATCTGGTAATTTATATTCAGCTGGCAATTTCAACTTCAATACACTAACCTTTTCAAATGCTATAGGGAACTTATTCAAATTCTTATAATATTTGAATTCAAATTTTAATTTTGCCATTTCTAATTCTGTCATCACCAAAGATGAATGTCTTGAATCTCGCTCTTTTAATTTCTTCTGAGAAGGCGATGAACCTTCAAATGATTTACCTTGTATCATAGGATATGGTAAACTTGGATTTCTGAATTTAGTATTCCCTGACCTTATAAACTTTGAATCAATCGATGATCTTCTTCGTTCAAGATTCATTCTAGCAGCTGATAATAATAAATCATTACTAAAACTATTATTTCGACTTGATCTACCTCCTCCTATTCTAGGTGATGTACCTGTTATTATCCCACTATCACTTTCACCATCAATCAGATCTCGCGATGATTTTTCATGTTTCCGTTGTTCAACAAGTTTTAATAAATTAGCTGGAATTTGAGGTGATGCTGAAAGTAAATCATCATCCATATCATCATCATCAATACTATTAATATCATCTTCTTCCCATTGAATATCTTCATCCACTGAATTGAATCTTGAACTTCTTTGACTTAAATTGGGACTCTTCATTAATCCTCCATTTTCATCCATTACTATCACTGCCTGATCAGGATCAATTGGTGATACTGTAGTATCGGTATTTTTACCACTATCTGGTTTTGAATTAGATGAATGTAATAATTTATCGATTTCATAAGGAATCAATTCAATTTGAATCAATTCAAGGAAATTCTCAGCGAAATAATTACTGGTACTTGAATTTCCAGTATAAATTCGATATTCATTTAAAATTGAATTAAAATTCCATTTTTGAATCTTTCGTAATATCCCCACAAGCGTTGAACTAGAATCAACCAATAATATATTATTCTTATTTTTATTTAAAAGGATTTCAAATGACTTGATGATAATACTCTTTTCAATCAACATCCATTGTTCATTCTTATTCTTATTGGTATGTAATGATATCACATCAATCGTATTTGAATCTTGAGGTTGATTTGTATTACGACTTTCTGAAGTCTTACTAGTATTGGAAGTTCGATCATCATCGTCATCATTATCATCACCTGTATGCTTATGACTTGATATCTTCATACCACCCAAGTTAAACAATTCAATCTTATTTGAATCAAGGAACTTATTCAAGGTTCGGGGTGGTTTTTCAGCATCTAGTAGTATTAATGATTTTAACTTCAACGTTTCCAAGAAAGGGAAGTTATCTGATTCTAATTTGGAGCATCGATATATTCCTGCCTCTACAAGTCCAAAGTTCTCTGGAGGCACTAACATGGTGTGATGTTGTCTATAAATTGTATCTCTTTGTTCTGGTTCAAACTGGAGCTTGAAATTTTAGTATCACCAAAAAATTAATTCTCACTCCCAAAAAAATAGTCTAGCTTGCAAAATTAGAACTAGGTGATCTACATCATGATGATTTCTATTTTTATCATATATTAAAGTGTTTTTTTTAGAATAAATATTAAAGAGTAATTTTAGTTAGAGAGAAGTAGACTAAGAGAATGGAAAATCAAGAATATAATGGGAAAGGAAAAGCAATGAATTGAACAAGAAGGAAGAAACATAAATATGAACTATATTTAACCTCTAATGACAACTTCAATTGGAATTCCTTCATATTCACCGTATCCTAAGGACAAATTGATGTTTTGTAAACATTGAGTAGCAGCACCTTTCAAAAGATTATCAATGGTAGCAACGATGACCACTCTATTTTCCTTGGAATTAACAGCAAAAGCACCAACCACAATACCATGTTTACCACTAATATCTTTAACAACTGGAGCTTCACCACTAACAGTGATTAATTTTTCACCTTGATATCTATCTTGATAAATATTTCTGATTTCTCTTGAAGTTAATGAACCTTGTTTAATTGGAATAGAAATAGTATGTGAAATACCTTGGAACCATTGAGCTACATGAGGCATGAATGCAACATCTAACCCTAATTGACTACTGATTTCTCTTTCATGAACATGATCAGTTAATGAATATGGGACTAAGTTATTGCTTAAGAATTTAATATCATTCTTTGGAGATGGTTTAGTACCAGCACCAGAATAACCAGAAACACCAAATACACTTGGAGTACCAACAATATAATCTTTTAATGGAGAAATAGCAACTTGAGCAGCAGTAGCATAACACCCTGGATTTGAAATCTTTTTAGCTTGAGCAATAGTGGCACGATCATTTAATTCAGGTAAACCATAAATCCATTCCCCAGTTGTATCGAATCTATAATCGGCGGATAAATCAATGATTTTTGAATTTGAATTTGAAACTGATTCAATAGCATTAACAAATGGTTTACAAACCCCATTTGGTAAAGCCATAACCCACACATCAACATCACCATTTTCTTCAAGTTTAATGATATCTTCAACTTGAAGATTTGAATAAACAATATTATCTTTGTTATAACCTTGTAATTTTTGACCTTTTAATTCACGAGATGAAACGTGAGAGATTTCCAAATACGGATGTTTATCAATTAAACTAATTAAATTTTGACCAGTATAACCTCTAGCTCCGATTAAAGCTACTTTAGCCTTCTTGGTATTAGTACCTTTTATTAATGGAGGATTTGGATTTGAAAATCTAACGGTTGAAGAATGGAACCCTCTCTTTTGAGTTGAAGAACTGAAGACACCTGATTCACTTGATGAAGATAATGAAGAACCAACAGAACCAGAATCAAAAGTTTTAATTAATTGAGAAACTTCATCAGTTTTTAAACCATACCAGAATATTATTTCACCATTTTTGGCGAATGAACCATCTGATTTTGAGAAATACCAACCTAAATTAGAATCATTTTCATTGACAACCCAACATAAGGATTGATAATCTTTCTTTAAAGCATTGAAGATATTATCAGTAACGTTATTTAACCAACCAGTCTTTGATGATAAGAATTTATCTAATTTTGGAACTTTACCATCTTCTTCTAAAACAATAGCTAAGACTTCTAATGGTTCATCACCATAACTTTTAAATTTAACTGATTCTAATAATTTTAAATAAGAAGCAACTGATAATTTACCTGATTTAATTTCAGGATCTCTTAATAAAGCACTTCTTAATAAATCTGGATTACCAAACTCTTCTAAAGAATTACGATTAATTAATTTATAACCTCTTCTAATTAAGGTACCAGCACCAGAATCAGTGAATAATTCTTTTTGTAAATCATTAACATCAATGATGGCCACAGATGAAGATCTTGGTAAATGTTGTAATAAATCATGAATTTCTTTAATTTTTAATTTAGTACCATATTTAACCCAACTTTCTTTTAATAAATCTTCATATTCTTCATCTAAATTGATGGAACTAACTTTTTCACCAGTATTACCATTGATGATACCTCCTTTTTCATTTAAATAAACGATTTTTAATGGTTCGAAAACTCTAGCTAATTCACCTGCAGCCACATCAGCATTAACATTTAATAATTGACCAGAAGGAGTTTCAGCCAATGAAGTTAAAATAGGTAAATAACCTGATTCAATAGCAGCTTCAATTGGAGATTTATTAACGGAATTGATTCTTCCTACTAATTGATATTTATCTTGATCTAAATATTCAGCACCAAATACACCAGCAGTTATTGGTCTAGCATGAACCCCCATTTTTTCCAAGGCAGTAACTAATCTTAAATTTTGTTCAAGAAAACATTTTCTAACCACTTCCATGGTTTTTGGATTAGTGATTCTAATCCCATCTATATATTCTGGTTCAACCCCTTCATTTTCTAATAATTCATTAATTTGAGGTCCAGTACCATGTAATACAATAGGATAAAGACCAACATGATATAAGAAAGCTAAACAAGAAGCTAATTCGGGTAATTGTTGAGTGATGATGGCACCACCAACTTTAATGACAGCAAATTGTTGTTGAGATACAGAGGTGAAGTATTTCAAGTATTGTTCAACTTCTCTTTTGGAACCAATATTGTTTAATAATTGAACCACGGTAGATCTGGTGGAGTAGTTGCGAGCAGCACCAGTGACATTACTAGCAGTAGCAGCAACATTAGCAACAGAAGCAGTAGTCTTACTGGCAGTTGAAAGATATCTTGATTGGGAAGTACAAGATAAAACTTTGACAGAACTAAGTGTGGCTAATGTTGATTTATTAGTGATTCTTTTGATCACGGGGATCGATGATCTTGAAACTTGTCTTAACATGATATACTAAAACCAAACCCTGATAGACAAACACTTGAACTTCTCGAATGAAAGGAAGAAGAACAAGAAGAAGAAGTATATATAAAGGAAAAGGAATAAAGGCGGTAGTTGCAATAAAATTTTCAAAGGGTGATGAACACAGAAAAATTTTTCACTCACCTTAAATTTCTCCTTATCGTTTTTTTGTTCTGTGTATGACACTGACTCATTTATCAGCCAATTAAAGTAATTTTTTGAAATGAGTTAAGCGCGGTCTGAAATCAGTAGAAATTGGTATATACAGGAACACGTGAAGTCAACTAATTTAAAAATATTTTATAGAATATAATGAGTAGATTTTGCAACATGTGTCTATGTTTAAGTGTGGGGGTTGATTAATTAAGTAATTTAATTAATTAATTAGACGAAAATTAACTATATTAAACTGTGTATATCGACACATTACTTTATGAAACTTTATAACTATAAATAAATCAAACTACATATAACTAAAAACAAACCATATAAGAAATAAAAACAAACAGATAGATAGAGAACCAGAGAAATAAAACAAAATAACCAAATAAATAAATATGTAGAACAAAAACAACAACAATTTACTAAGGCCTACCTAAATCTTGATAAATCCAGGTAAATATTTGACCATACACATTAGTAAAGAATACAATCAATTCACGAATTTTCATAATTAATGATGATGTAACCGACTTACACCATGGGAACACCGAAGTCAACGCTTGATTCATCTTAAGAGAATATGGTGTGGCTGTGAAATCCTTTAATAATGTCGTGAATTTACTCATGAATACAGACTCAAGATGATTTGAATGTTTATAAACATGAATAATAGAATCAACTGTAACTTCAGCAATATTCAACTCCGACATAAGAAATGCCCTAAGCCTGATTTCTTCATAATCAAAACCATCTTTATTATCAAATTTTGATACCCTTCTTTTATAGACTTTTCCGGATGATTCCAAGATCTTATTAAAACAATTATTCAAATCAGATACGTTAAATGATGATAATATATATGTCAACACATTAGACTTTATGAATTTTTTAATCTCATATCGATAACTCATCATTTTATCACAATAGAATAAATTCAATTCATCTTCACATATCACATCATTATCCCACTTTCCAACAGTATAAACCAACACATCAAAATAAATCATTTGAAAATAATTTAACGCTTTCGAATCAACTTCTTTCTTGAAATTATATGAAGTCGATTCTAAAATATGTAAATAATTATTCAAATCAAGGTGATTATTGTTCTTGAATACTTTTAAGAATTTATAAAATCGAGGAAATAATAAATGAGGTGAATTAACAAAATGTTTCGAATATAAAACATTTGCATTCCGACAATCTTCAATGATATGATAAGTTTCTGATTCCACTAAAATCTGAAATGAATTAATCTTATAAGCATTGAATAATATATTGGATACCAAAGTTTCAAATTCTTGAATATGATGACTAAATATTAGCATATTATCTTGTAATGCAAGTTCAGGATCATGTTCAATAATATCAAGACATTTCTGAGGATATTCTTTAAGAATATAATCCCGAGGATTTAGTTTCTCAATCGTACGTTGAATATCTAACAAACTTTGTTTAATATACTGAATATAACTCACACCCTCAGCCACACTATTTAATGAATGAAATTGCAGAAGAATCGATATATTATTGGTCTTACAATAATAATGATATAAATCAATCGATAAACTGTGTACCAAATCTCGTAATTCAGATCTTGATGACCAATTTACTCTATGTGAATAATCACTTTTAAGGATGTGTAATGATTTATAAACATCATTAATATCAATAAAGTCGTTGACCAAATTTGAATTTGAGTTTGTCATGGATAATTTTAAAATCCCCGTTTTCATACTGATATGAGATTGAGTCTTGTTTGAATTACGTAATTGGGAAAAATATGCTTTAAACCAATAATGACGCCAATTTATCGAAGTTAAATACTTTAGATGCGGAATATGAAATTTCTTCCGATGTAATCTTCGTGCATCAGAGGAAGATGTTAAAGATTGATTGAATTGTAATTCATGATTAAGCGATAATAAAAACGTTTGACTCTCTTCATCATTGAAAAATTCATCTTGTTTAGATTGATCATATAATGAATTCAATTGTTTCTTTTCTTTAAGGAAATTTTGTTTATGATTGGTAATAGCTTGATAGTAATCAGTATCATCAGAGTCTTCTATTGCTTCATCTTCTTGATCCATAAGATCATTCCCAATTAAATCAAGTTGAGTATTGACCGTATTTATAGCTGAATCAATCATCTTATTAAGATCTTGATAATCTAATTGTTTAAAGATTTTAAACACAAAACAATACGATTTCCAAGTTTTTATGAACATTGCCTTACTATCTCCTTCATCACCATTAATTAATAATTGTTCAAAATCCATGATTAATTCATGACTGAATTTATACAATAATAACCAAATAAAACATTTTAGATAATTTCTTGATTCTTGATTAGGTAAATTGGAATTAAACATTGGATTAGACCGGAAATGTTCGCCAACACACTTATTAAATTCAGGTTCCATTATAAATGCTCCAAAGAATAATCGACAGGAATCAAAAGTATGAGGAACGCCATAATGTTGTAAGATGAATGTTATATCTTTTGCCATGGGTTTATCCTTTCCAAATTGGTCAAAAATTTCTCCTGGAGATAGATGTTCATATTTTGTTAATATTTTAGATTTAAGGATATGAACTGATTTCTCCTTGACTTCTTTATCATGGACATATTGTTGAAATTTCAGTTCATTGTTGGCAGTTGACTCGGTGGAAGTTTGACTATTTGAGCTCGATGGAGTAGGTTCTATATCATTCATGATCTTTTCATTGGTAATAAGACTGGCATTCACTATACATGCTCCAGTTGATGCTCTTCGTTTAATGTCTTGAAGATATTTATGTCTTCTTTCGGCAGCACGATGATAATCGGTAGTTAATCTTTGAATACGATTTTGTTGAATTGATTGATTAATCTTTTTTAATTGATCTAGTTTTTCATGAATACGCTTTGATTTCTTAATTAGTTTATCCCGTCTGGCTTTCAAGATCCCTTCTCTTCTAATCTTACTTAATTCATGATGATGATGGTGATGATGATGATGATGACTATGATTTTCCGAATTACTTCGACGAGCTTTAGTAGGAGTGAGATTCTTTAGTATTGACTGAGGTAATTTGAAAGGTGATGTATTAACTGAACTATCATTACTACTTCCGGAACCATCAAGGAAATTCAAACCATCTCTAGAATGACTTGGAGGAGGAGTTTGTGGTTCAGTAGGGGTAATGGTTGAATCCGAATAATTAAGTTGTAATGGAGTAGTTGATCGAGGTGGTGTGATCGGAGTAGAATCTATACTAGTAGATGACGAAATAGAACCACTTTCACTCACATCATTATCAAGATTAGATTTTGCAGTTGATGAGGAAGATGAGGATGTCTCGGTTGAACCAGCGGGATTCTCAGACGGAGTTGATTTAGTAGTAGGGGTAAGATTATCTGAAGTCATATGGTATGAGATAACTTAAAGAAGATGTACATGGGATGAATGAATTTTGAATTGAAATCAAAAATTCTTTTTTAAATTAGTGATTTATTGATTAGAATGACTAAAGATCTTAAATTTAGATTACCCTGCTAAGATTTATAATTAGACGTCCAAATTTAGTCTATGAACAAAATGAATAGTAAAGTTTTTAGATATTTAGAAGCAAACGTATAGCAAAATGATGATTTGTAATGGTAAGTTTTGTGGTCAGGGATATAAAGAAGATAAGAGATGATTGTTAGATATCCCTGAATTACCGCAATAATTGTGGAGTATCATCGTTTAATTTTGTGTTAATATTTTTTTATCAACAGATGGCTTGCCAAAAATAAGTCTTATGTCATTTTTATATGTCGCAAAAAATGCAGAATTATTTACGACAAATGAGAATTTTACGACAAAACAAAAACGAATTATGATGTGATATAATATATGATGTATATTTTCTATAAAGTTACAATGAATGGGGGTATATACCAGTTGAGATATGTACGATGCAAGATATTATTCCAATGACGAATAATAATAAATAAATAAATAAATAAGATAAGATGAAAACAATCATGTAGTTTTCTTTCTTGATGACCAAAATTTCAATCCATTAGAAGATGTATTAGCAGCATTAGTAGCAGTATTATTGGATGTTTCAACATATCTTTCACTTACAGGTGAGGTAGTTAAGGAATGTAAATTCGATATTGGAGTAGTTGTACCTGAATTTGATCCACTTGATCTATTAGGATTAGATAATTTCAAATGTCCTAATAAATTCGATATTGATGAAGAAGAAGTTGAATTTGATTCTGAGATTATATTCTGTGTAGTATGTGCATGATGATGATGATGTTTCTGAGGTACACTCATAGTATGAGCTCTATTTATAGTGATGGGATTTGAATGTTGAATGAAACTTGATGATGGAGATATATTTGTAGGAGGTGAATTTGCTCTTGAATTAGGTAACGAGGAAGTAGCACTTTTAGTACCTCCTTCTTTAAGGGATGGCGATGAGGATGATGATGAAGAAGTTAAGGATAATAATTTCTTCTTCATTGATTTATAAGTTTGTTTACTCATGTAAGGTATAGCAGGACTTGGAGGATTTGAAATCGTAGTAGCAGTTGAAGGTTGAATTTGAGATGATTGGTCATCAGGGATGATGATTTCGTTTACGTTCTGTTTGAAATCTTCCGGACTTTGAGAAGTAACATAAGTTAATGATGATGGAGAATGTTGTAAAGTTTGATCTTGGGATTTTACAGGTGAAGGAGAACGTGCTTTTTGAGATTGTTGAAGCTTTTTTATGAATTGTAAGTAGGTGTTTTCCTTTATGATTTGATATACTTCATTTTTAGCTTTTAATAAGATTAAAGGTTGATGAATATCTGATTTCGAACTTTCAACAATGATTTGATCATGTAATTTTTGACTTATATTAATTTGATCGGGAGAATTTTCAATAACATAATTATTAAGTATCAAATTCCATTGATTGATAAGTAATTGACGATCTCTATCATTGATGGTATTATCTTCTTGTAGTTCTTCTATTTCATCATCACTTCCATCTTCTTCATTATCTATATTTTGAGATTTTAAATTATCCCAAATATTATTATTTAAAGTTGATAAATTTTGAGGATCTAAATCATCAATAGTTGATACAAATACTTGATTAGGATCTAATTCTTCTGATCGTATGGAAATTGTCTTGGAAAGAAATCCACTTCCACTATTAAAAGATTGTGATGGTGCAGAAGATATTATTCCGGTAGATGAAGATGATAATTCTAATTGTTTATAATGAGATGGAGGTATAAAAAATTGAGCAGGAGATGGACTTGGAGTATTCTTTAATCTTAATTTTTCATAATCATCTGAATTTGAATCTTTTATAATGGATGAATCAGTATTATTAGGAAAGATATTTTCATAATAATATTCATATTTAAAAATTTCAATTAAAAAATGTAAATTTTCTTGACAATGAACTTTATTTATAAAGTTTTCAAATAATTCAACTAATTTTAATCGATGGGATATATCTGTATCATCTTCAATGTCTTCATTAATGGATAAATGATTGATAGATTTTAAAAAGCAATCATTTATAAGGAAATCCAATGAAGGTACATGATAATTATTATTTGAAGTAGTATTTGTAGTTGAATTTGAAGTTGATAAACTGGTGGTAGTAGTTGTAGTTGTAAAAGTAGTATTATTACTATTTGACTTTACCGGAGTTGAAGGGGAAGGACTTGTGGGTAAAGAGTTATAATTGAATTGATTATTTAATGATGAAGAAATGGTTGGTTTGGTAGGTATAGGATTTATAACATTTATAGAACCACTTGTCATGATATAATACAAACGATAAGGTTATATAGGTGATATTCTGAGACTAGTAATGCATAGAAAGGTATAAAGGGTGACTTTGGAAGATACTGAACTGTATATATATATATACAAAACTGTGGGAATTTAAAGATATTTTAATTTTTGACTTACTGTTGACAAGAAAATAATGAACTAAAATGAACAATCTTAACGGTGTTGCTAAGGTTCTTTTTTGAAAACTAGAATAAAGGCGAACAAAGGGAGTATTGAAGTAAGGAACAACCTTAAAAAGTGAGTAGCGGGTATTATTCCAAAGGGAATTATAAATGTTGGTAGATGCAGTTATGAATACGCCTCAAGTTTGATTGTTGGAGGATTGGTAGTATTTGTAAGTAGGTATACTGTGGTTTGGTACAACTTTGTGGATGACTTTGAAGGAGTGTATGGTATAGTGTTATATACTATGATATGATATGATATGATATGAATAAAGAACAAGTATCTAATAAAGGAAATGGTTAGGGTTATATCATTATTATGACAAAACAAATTTTGATGATGCAAATTTAAAATTTTATTTTTGTCTCCAGGTTAAGTTCTAAAAAAAAAATAACCGTTAAAAGAACAATTTTTTTTTCTTTGCCTCTTTGTCTTTTTTTTTTTGTGATTGTCACCATTTTTTTAAATTTCTTTTTTTTAGAAAAAAACAAAATTTCTTTTTCTTTTATTACCGGTTTGGGAATCAATCAGTTCTATCAAAAAGTTTCTTTTTCGCTGTATACAGGACAGAGGTAAGCTTCTAGAAATAGAATCCCATTAGAGTCTACAGTGTATTAATTAAAGAATCCATCCATCGATCCATGGATATATATAACTACATATGGTTAATAAAAGGTAATACATATTCAAGAGGTCGCCTTAATCATATGTATTAATCAAATTATAGATAGATACATCATTATCCGCTAAGAAAAATGGTAATATCCCATTCAATTATGTACTTTATGGTGCCTTAACGGAATAGTAGTCCGATATATTCCACTTAACATCTTTCTTTCCCGGTATTTGAAACAATGATTTACAATTCCCATTTAATTGTTAACTCAACCCATTTCAAATCATTATTGAAAAATAACACCCAATTAATCATCCTTTATTAATGATAATCTTTAATGATCATATGGTAATAATCATTCATTCATTTGTCAGTTATCATTGGATAGTTAATGATATACAATATCATTCAATTATATCATTAATAATAATTGATTAACTTATAATATAATCCATTCTAAATCACACCATCAAAGTTTAAAATTGATCTGTCTGTCTGTCTGTCTGTCTATGTTACAGTAACTAACTTAAAACGCGTGCTTTTTTTTTTTGTTTTAAGGGGAACGAACGAAATGGTCGTGTGAGTTATCATTTCTTCCTGTTATTGATTCATACCAATAAATATATTTTGACGGTTTCATTAACAAGCTGCTTAACTATAATGGTTAAAGTTAATAGCATATCCCTTTAGGTTGCTAACACTCTCAATTAGTTTAACTATGCAAAAATCTGTACCTTTTGACTCATGTTATTCGTGTTTTTTTTTATGATACGATCATCTCTTTTGTGTCTAATTTAACTTAAATCTATTATCTTAACCCATTCAGTTGGGTTGAGTTGGATTCAAATTAGATTATAAAGTATTCCTACCATATTACGTATATTCATGTGATTATATCCCCAACAAATAAATAATCAATCTCTTAATTATAATTATTATTATTATTCTTATTCCTTTTTGATACAGTACCCCGGTTTTCAGTATATCGTACTATAATTATGATTGATTTAAACGTCTTTTATCCTATTTCATTTATTTTTGAAATAGTAACTATTCAATCTATTCTATTCAATTCATCATACTAATACTCATTAACCATCAATAGATCATGTAACAATCAACTAGAAATATATCTATCATCATCTATTAAATATGGGTATGTCCGTGACCTGCATATAAATCGATCATCCCCTTTTGCCCTCTCTCTCTCTCTCCATTCCTCTCCTTCCCAGTTTAAACTAACCACCCCTTATCATATTTACAGCCAACTCTGATTTCATTCAATCATATCGTCAATTCATCTCAATCAATTCATAAATCAATCCATCAATCAACCTGTATCCATACATTACCCCCTTTTGATTGAGTTGACCCTTCAATCGCGTAAGTAGATTCCAATCCCCCCCCCCCCCTTAGTTTGCTTATCTATCACTCACTCATCCCCACACATTATTAAATCGGAGTGATCGATCTATATCATCAACCCATTTCAATTCATCAGTATTCATTCAATCATATCACCTTACGTCATCCCTAATCATCCCTAAAGACGCGTCAGAATGTTGCTGAGATCAATTCTTACTAGACAATTACAAAGATCATCTTTAAAATGTACTCCTGGTACTTATCATCAATTAACAAGATTAGTATTATTATCAACCACAAGTTCTCAATCCATAATTGCTGGTCAATTCAAACTTGGTGGTTATAATAATGGCAAAACTAATGTTGGAAGTAGATGTAATGTGATTACATCTATAAGGGGGTATGCTACCTCTTCTAATAATAATAATAATGATGAAGATGATTATGAAATTGATTTAATCACATTAAAGAAAACTCCTAAGGTTAAACCTGTTGAAAACGAACAAGCAGAAGAAGTTAAGAAAGATAATTCAGAATTGGATGATTTATTTAATGATGAAATTAATCATAAAGGTAAATTCCAAAAATATAAATCTTTTGAAGATGTTTACTTAAATGCTCATGATGTTCAATGTGAGATTTATGAACCTGAATTAGTTCAACATGTTTTGAAGAATGAAGTTCATGAAAAGGAATTGGATTTCGTTTATGAATATTTTGATGAAATTAATATCTTTTTAACTTTTATTCAAAAATCTTATAGTAATAAAATTAGAGATTTTGAACAATTAACTTATATTGAATTCTCAAATTGTTTATATATCTTTAAGAACTATTACATGAATAATAAAATCAATTCGATTAAAGCGGAAAATATCGGCACTTACAATCGAATGTTTGATCAATTCTTAGCTTTCCTTAAAACAAATCATGAATTCCCCACCTTATTAACTCAAGAATTAGTACCAGAGGCTAATGAATTGAATCGTCTTATTTCTGTAGCTGTGACTGATTTATATTTCTTTATTGATGAATTGGATTCATTAAATAAAGAATTTGGTTTACAAACGTTATCGTCGGTTTCAGAATTATCCGATCATATTAATAATACTTTAAAACAATTTGATCAATTTTCAAAATATTATTTAATCCCCGATTCAAATTATATAAAGATCTCCCTTCAAATTAAAAGATATAATAGTTTGAAATCGTTCTTAGATGCAAATGAAGGGAAATATACCGTTGATGATTTATTACTTTTAGTTGAAAATAAAGAGAAATTGAAAGATGTCGAGTTTGATGTTGTTTCTGAAACTTATCAACCTTTTGAAGGAATTGTTGAATATTATCAATTTTTAGGATGGAAATATAATTTAGATAATAATTCTCATAATTTTTTGAATGTGGCTCCTATTTTATTTCAAATTTGTCAGGACAATCATATAGTCAGTGATTCATATAGAGCAGCATCGTATATCTTGCAATATTTCGTGTCATATATCTCAAAAGGTTATTATTCTTTTGATGATGCAAGCAGTCAACTTTCTAGTGCTGCCGAGTCCGCTACCCCATTGAAAATCTATGATGCATTTAAAAGATATGCTAGAGATCCAGAAGAACTCTATTTAATTTCAAAAATGTTTCAGAGTGGATTACCAGTTGAAAGTTTTAGAGAACAAATTGATGGAGGAGCAATGTTTACTATTGATTATGATCCTGTCGCTGCTATTAATAGATCTTACTATTACGCCGATCAGGAGATTAATGAATCTATATTCAAACATTACTATAGAGATAATGAATTTACCACCTTTTTTGATCTATATCCTTGTATTGAAAGGATTATTTCTACACCTTATTTATATAAAATCTTTAGGGCTAAAAACTCATCCGACTTGGATATTCACGATACTAATATTGAAATCCCTGATGAAATTTACGTGACTCCCTTCAAGAGTTTGTTAGCTCATGTGAGACTTTATTTATTTGACAACCAACCTTTTGGAGGCTATACTTCAGATCAAGTTCTTAAAATTATTATCGATAATGAAGAAAAATTCATGAAAATATACGATGGAATGAGAGATGTATTTGAAGATGATTACTTTTTACTAAGTAGAAGTGAAAAGTTTGCAAAGTTGGTTTATTACTTGAAGGAATATTTTAAGGTTAAGCCTAATCAAACTTTTGAATTGGATAAAATTGCAGATGAATACGTTGCATCTCATATTGACAACATCAAGAATTTGAAACAATTGGAAATGGATTATCTTCAAATTCCAGAAGCAGTTGGACTCTATAAATTTGGAGATGAATTATATACTATCATGAGGCTTCATTTCGATAAATCTGGTAATAGAATCACGGTTGAAAATTTCATAAATCAATTAAGATATTTGATTGATGTTTCTTATGACCATTTCCCACTGAAATTTTTGAATCCATTAATGAGAGAAAATCATTTGCAATATAAGAAATTATTAGAAGTTTTAGATAAGGCTCAAGCTTTGAGAGTTGCTGTTGGTTTTGCAATCACTTCGAAGGATGATAATTCCTTTGAAGAATATATCAAGGAATTAAACCCAGAAGTGTTTGATACAAGAACTCTTTGGGATACATTTGATTTGGAACCTATTAATACTACTTATATTCAAATTCCGGAAGATTTAAAACTTCATCAATTCCATAAGGAATTGAAAGCCTTTGGTGAAGAAATTCTAGAATGTGATTATGCTGAAGCTGATCCAGAAGAAATTCTTGCGGTTATGGATCATAAAATTAATCAAGTTTATAAGAATGCTGACAAGATTTTAGTCGATGACGAATATTATCCTGTGATTAATGACTCAAATGTTTGTGACTTTGTGAGATTACAGAAGAGATTAAGTCACTTGTTTTCCATTAATGGTGGAAATACAGAAGTGTTGGATACGTTAATCAATAGTCAAAGTGCATTTGAAGAATTTGAAAAGTCTAAACCTGTTGAACCAGAACCTATTGTGGCAGAAGAACCTATTATATCGTCATCTGAATATAAACAAATTCCAGATGATTTCTTCTTGGAAGAATATGTGATTGAATTGATTCAATTAAAGGAAGAATTAAATGGAGTTCCATTTAAAGATCTTGATTCAAATGTTATTTTAGCTAAATTATTAGAATTATCTAATGGTGATGGAAGTATTTCAAAGAAGATTGTTTGGAGTAAATTATATCGTAATTTGTCCCTATTATTTAAGATCAATGGAAATGAAACTTTCATCTTAGATAATGTGTTGATTAATGGAGAAGAATTTATTAAATTTGAATCCAAGAAATCATTTAATAATGCAGTTGATGTTCATGAAAATTCATGGATTGGAGAAAATAGTAAATTAATCAATAATAATTTCCAAGACATTGAACAATTATTAACCATTTCAAATTTAAAGAATAAAGATGGTATTTGGAATTTATCTCCTCAAGAATTCACTCAAATTTTAACTAATTACGCTGATACTTATGATAAATCATCTTATAATTATCCTATCGTATTGAACTTAATGGAAACTTTAAAGACTTTGAATGCTAAATTAGATTATTATCCTAATTTCTTACAACAATTATATGAAATTAAATCTAATAATGTTAATAAAAAGTTAACTGAATTAGATGTGGAAGATATTTATAAAGCATTTATTGAAAAGTTAGAATATGAAGAATCTCAAAAGGATGAAGTACATCATATTGAAGAAAGAATTATTTGTCCATCGAGTAAGAGTCATGTTGGTATCAAACCAATCTATGAAAGAACTCATGATATTGATGATGCTGAAATTGCTAAATTAAAAGCGGAATATAATGATTCTGAACAAATAATTTCCAATCTTATTAAAGCTGAAGATTCAGTTGATCTTGATCATAATGAAGTATTATCTGCTGGATTACACAATGAAGAATCTATCATTAAGGAAGCTATTTCTAATGCTGTTAAGGAAACCCAAGCTGAAGAAGAAGAGCAAGAAGCTGCTCGTATTGTTGCTCCACCACTTTATAAGAAATTTGATATTACCTCTCAAGTTGAACCAGAAGAAGATGCTAAACCCATTGTGGTTGATAAATTTTCATTAGAACATTTCTTAAAGGATGCTAAGACTTCAAGTGAATTAGAAGATGAAAGGAAATTTAGACAAGATAAAGCATTTGAATGGAGTCATAGTATGTGTCATTCCAATCGTTCCTTAGAATCCCATAATTTCTTTGATCCTTTAGATGGTGAACAAAACTTTAATCAAGGTAAAGCTGAATTTTTATTATTAACCCTTGAAGGTCAAGCTATTAGTTGTGATGCCGAATCGATTGGAAAATTACCAAAACAAGATATCTTTAAATTCTTGAATAAGTTTGATAATTTTGAATTGGAATTAGTTATGAGAAGTCTTAGAAGATTACAAAGATCAAATTGGAAATTAATTGGTAGTAAAGTTGAAGGAGATCAAAAGTATTTAATTTTATCAAGAACTAGACCAAGTACTAAGCGTAGAATTTTAACTAAGATCAAGACATTATTTGCTACTGCTGGTGCCGTATTTTTAACGTTGGCTGGTCTTAATGTATGGTTAGGTGATACTGTCAGTGGTGTATCTGAAGTAAAGGAGATTGAAAATGGTAATAAGATTGAAACATTGATTAATCAAGATGCTGCTAGAGTGGAAGTTCCAATTACAGCATGGGCTCCAGAAAGACCAACAAAGGAAGAAGTGGTTGAGAGAGCTACTAGTTTCGGATCTGATGATGATAGTTCCTCGTCATCGTCATCTTATTGGAAATCAATATTATGGAGTGGAAAGTAGGTGAAAGTTATTTTTATTTTTATTTCTAATTTTTTTTTATTTTTTATTATTACTATTTATGACTATTTATCGACAAGAAAGTGAATGGTGATGTCGATTATTATGGATAATTTGGAAAGGAGGGAAACGGTATTTTTGGAAGGATCGGTTCGGATGATTTCTAAGTATACTACTGGATAGTCTTAGTCTTATTATTACTATTTTTATTATTTTTTATTCTCTTATTATTATTATTGTTTTTTACTTTTATTAGTTTTGTTGATTGATTATATATTCAAAAAGAACACATATTTCTACTGTTTGATTGTTTTGTTTGTCATTGAAAGTTGATTATATATTGAAATATATGAAATGTCTTTCTATTATTAAAAAAAAAAAAAGAAAAAAAAGAAAAGAAAATGTATTAAAAAAACCTGGTACTCTATGATATATTTATTCCTTATAAGATGCTTTTTATTTATGAACTATGGTACAATTGAATGAAAGAAACTCTAACTCATTTCAAGTTCTTTGGTTGGCAATTCAGTCATATCTTTTGAAATACGTACAAATTTCATACCAGTGGTAGCACCTGAAGTTCCATTCCATAATCTTAAACGCTTAACAGTTTCTTTATCGGATAAATCAGGACCATAATACCCAGTATCAAAGATATGAGATTCATGTTTAACTTTTTCTTCAAGATTTTGTTGTCTACTAGTTTGAGGTCTACCGGGTCTTCTTTCTTCTCTTAATTCATTTAACTCATCATCAAATCTACTGACGAATAAACCTATGAAAGATTTCATTTCAGTGAAACTAAACACTTCAACATCTTTGAAATCCTTATCTTCATTAATGATCTTTTGTAAAAAGAATAATATGGATAATTCATTGGTCTTTTGTTCTAATGATTTTTGTTTCTTTTCAGTGATTTTCTTATCTCTTAAAGTAGCACGGTTTAATTGTTTGAATTTTCTTCCTTTGACATGCATGGAAGCTGAAGACTTTGAAGCAATCTTCTTTACTTTATTCAAGTTATGAGCTAAAGGCATGTTGTGTTGTGTTGTGTTGTGTTGATTTGATCTAATCTGATCTGATTCTATTTAACTATTACTGTTTAAATTTGATATAAACTCATCTGAGAAAGAAAATCAAAAAAAAAGTTGATGTTCCTGCACATAGTTCAGCGGTCTTTTTTTGCAATTATAATGGCTGTAACTTTTATTAAGGTTAAGTAGAACAACATGCTATGTCATGTTACCAGAAGTTTAAAAGTTGGTATGATATATCTTATAGGATAAAATACTATTAAACATATCCAGATCATTTATAAAAAGATATATACCCAATGTTCAATTATGACACATTTCTCCACATAATAAAAGTGTCGTATAATTGTCGTGTGCTCTGAAAATTAACCAGAAAAACAAATGTCGTCGTGGTTTAAAAAAAATTTTTAACCATAAAAATCTTTTGACCATGAAATAGCCATAGTAATATAGCAATCAATAACTTGATATAACTAAGCAGAAAACATGGTTAAATATACTGAAGAGCAATTGTTGGAAGTCAAAGAAGAGGCCTATGTTCCTCAACCTCAAATCTTAGAGGCTTTCAATAAGACCATTGATGAAGTTAAAGAACATGCTGCTGCTGAAGCTGAAAAACATAAAGCCATTAAATGGAATAATGGTGATACTTATATCGATGAAAAAGGTCATGAAAGACCATATCATAGTTTTAATAGAAGAAGAGCTTCCAAATCTGGAACTGCTAAACCAAATTTGAGAAAAAAGAGTGTTGATGTTGTTCAAGTTGATGAAGATGGTTGGGCTACTTTATCTACCAAATCAAATAAAAAATCATTTGGTGCTGAAGATGGTAATGATGAAAGATCTAAATTCAGAGAATCTGTAAGAGAATCAGCTCAAAATGTAAAAGTAAGACCAAACAATAAAAACTTGGGTTCTTCAAAACCAGCTGATCCAAGAGAAGTCACTGATAAACATTCCAATACTTTTAATGCTTTTGAAGCTTTAGGTGATGAAGATGATGATGAAGATGATGATGACGAAGAAGAAGATGATGAGTAAAGAGTTTCTCCAAATAGTATAAAGTCAAAACAACCACATAACATAACATAAAACAAATAACCAAACCAAACATTAGCTTCAGCTTTTGTCCGTGTGACGATTAAATCTTTCCTTATCAAATTCTAATGAAACATGTATATACTTAAATTTTCTGTTTTGTATAACTTTTTGTTCATTAACTGTATATTATTAATATTATTATATAAATATAAACAAGCACAACTTATTAACTAACTGTCTTTTCTATATTAATTTTAACCATAAACTAACTTGTATGGTATTGATAAATAAAAAAAAAATAAATAAATAAAAAAAAAAGGAATAATCAAACTTTGATTAACGATTGTCACATGTTTTAAAATGGGGTTTTTCATTTATTCATATATATATTCTTTTATTATACTTATTGATGTGGTTTCCCCTCTGTACTACACAACAATAGCTTTATCATCGTCATCATTTAATCCATCAATAATAGTATTAACATCAGTAGTAGCTATCAGTCTAGTCAACACTGATCCTGAAACATGACCTCCATTACCTGTTGAAGTAGACATATTATCAGAAAACAATGTAGCTCTTCTAGCTCCTGCTTTTCTTTGTTGCAGCATTAAATCTTTTAATTCTGAAATTCGTGGGGTATTATAATTCTTTAAAATTTCACTACCAGTAATAATAGATCCATTACTATGTTCACCAGCTGCAACTGTACCTCCTCCACTATGAGATCCAGTATTGATAGTACCGTCAATGGTTCCATTGGTAGTTCCATAACTATTAAATGTTGCATTCATATTGGTACTATTATAACTTGAATTATAATTCTTTTGATGATGATGCAGTAAATCAGAATAAATAGATGAAATATCACCAGCAGTACCAATACCTTTACCAGTAAAACCAGCTTTAATAGATGATTCAATGGAAACAACTTCACTACCTGGTCCTGATCCATCACCACTTCCAAGACCACCTGATCCAAATGAAGCTAATAAATTATTAGTAAGTCCATTTATGATAACATTGGCACTTCTATCATTGGAATGAGGATCATTAATGAAATCTAAAGTAATTGGTCTTTTATGATCAATCCAAATAATCGTGAAATTATCTCCACAAGCGAAATTTTCTAAGTCATCTTTTGTAAAATTATATTTCACATTATCTTCGACTATAATTTCATCGCTAGCAGGAGTACTTACACCTGATGAAATTTGTTTTACTGCTTTAGAAATTTCTAAATCAGTTGGTTCTGAATCTAATCCTTCAATCCATAATCTATTAGTTTTTCTATATGAGATGTTTGTTAAAAGTTTACCATAAAATCTTGAATTCGTACAATAATTTTGTAATTCTTCAGGATAAATTTGATCTAACCCTTTCAAACAATAATTTAATATGATATTAGCAATAGTATCTTTATATTTTGATGCTGTTGAGTGTTCTTGAGATGAATTACCATTAAATTTTAATGACCAATGAAATAAAAATGGAACATAATTACTAACGAAATTAATTCCTAAAATTTGTATCATTTCCTTTAAGACACGAAGGATCAGTAATACAATCTCAGTACTTGGAGATTCATTACTATCGAAAAACTTATCAATATATAATAAGAAATGAGATATGAAATTATCGGGATGGGTAATATATTGATTAATATCAGGTTGAGTATAATCCTTTAAATCATCGGAAAAGTTTTCTCTACTCCTACTGTGAGAATCATCAAGTTTTATAACTGGAACAGTATAATCAGTTGGAACTTTTGGATCTAAAGTATTAGTGGAAACTGGTGTTGTTGAATCTTCTTCACTTTGAGTACCATCGGCTATTAATTCATGATTTAAGAAATCAGAAAATACTTTTAAATATTTCCCTTGAATTTCAAACATTTGGGTAGCTGATAAAATTGAAGTTCTATTGGCACCTATTTCCATTTCACTTTCAGGTGCTAAGATTGGTAAACTTATAGTCCAATGTTCTAAATTAACTCTATTACGAGTAATTGAACTTGATTTTTTAATTAAAATGTTAAAAATAGTTGATATACTATCAAGTAAAGTAAGGATTAAACTATGAATCAAATCAGCTTCAATGATTTCTGATTGAGTAGATTCGTCAATATAAGAATATTCTAACCCTGATTTAACTTCTAATAAGATCTCTTGGATTGAATCTGGAACTTGATCTGCATAATAAATATGGGATGATAAATTACAGATACAATTTGAATAAATAGATGATAATTTTTTAACTTGTTCTTGATCCAAAAATGAAGATTGATGTAAAATGAGATTGGTTTGTAATAAAAGTACTTGTCTAATGATATCAGATACAGATAACCCAATCATATTAACATCTGAAGACACCAAACCAAGAATATTATTGGCATAATGAAATTGTTGAGCATAATTTGGAGTTTGAGGATTAGATTCTCTAGCCACTGAATCTAATCTTGATAATAAAGTTGCTAAACTTACAAATCTTAATTGAACTGGGATCCAAGTGGTACACATTTCTAAAAAGGTTGAACCCCATTTTGGTTCTGATTTATTATCAAAAGTATATTTGACAACAGCTTTAGTAACTGATTGAATTTGATTGGTCAAACTAGTATTAAATAATGCTTTTAAAGCTGAAAAGACTTCTTCATTTATATCAGTAGCAGTTAAAGCATCATTATCAAAATCTTCTTCAATTTGTTGAGTTGAAAGACCTTGACCACCTTTAGCCAGAATGACTTTTGAAAGTCTACGATCTTCAATTTCAACGTTAACATTACTTCTTAATCTTGTTAATAAACTTCTTTGATTATTATTGATTTGAACCGTTCTCATTAAGAATGGGATTGAAATTCCAATGAATTTAGTGGAAATTTTAGTATTATACCCTAAACAATGAGAAATATGTTTAATAGCTAATAAAGCAATCATTTTCCATTCTAATTGATTTGGTTTCTTTTCTTCCAGATTATAAGATGCTAAATTGATTAAATTTTCGGAAAGGGAACTGAATGAATGAACGAATTCTTTATCACCCGTGAACAACCCTTCGTCTAATTTATCACATAACACACTATAAGTTTTAACCACACTTTTACAAAGTGGTAAATCCTTTATAGCCAAGATAGATTGTAACATGGAACAAATAAAAGAAGCAAATACATTTAAGTTATCAGTACATTTTTCAGTTAAAGCTGATAAAATGGCCAAAGTAACTTGTAAATTACCATATCTTGCATGACCAATATCACTTTCCGTCTTTTCCTTTAAGAAGGTAACAACTTTTTCCAATTTAACTCTACGAGTTGATGCATAGTATAGTAAATAACTTAATTCAGATGAGTTTGGTTTCTTATCAGCACCTTTCCCAGGGGGATAACACTGAAGGATAAGATTTTGATGTTTGGAATGAAATATTCTCATGATTGCTTATGGATGTGATGGGAACGGGTCAGACTAGATCGTGAAACAAACAACAAAGGGAATGACTTTGAATTGATAATATAAGTTGACAAGAATGATACTTTGAATGATCTAAATGGATAACAGTGTACAATTGAATGAATTCCTGATAAACTTTAACAAACGTTTATGAAATCAAAGTTACAGTTCAATCTAGGTAATGAAGATTGAGTGAGAAATGAAGGGATGGATGACTATAGCATTCAGAAAGAACAACGTATGATTGATCAATCGATTGGATGGATGGATTGGATTGGAAGATGAATGGTGTTGGCGTTGGATTGGATTGGACTTGGTGGTGGTGGTGGTAGTGATTATTATGGTGATTTAAGTTAAGTGCTGATCGTGCTGTAAATAAATTTTAAGAACGTGAAAAAATCTCCGCTTTAAGTCAAAATGTCGGGCACGTGATTTTTATCGATATTAATTTTTTTACTAAATCGAGTAATTAACTAAACTATGCCATCTCTTCAAATTAAAGGGTTAAAGCTATATCTAGATCTAGCAATTATTTGGTTAGAGGCGTGTTAGTTTACAGTTACTTCAACTTATCCCTTATTGCTATTTCCCCTCATCACTAATTACCTCATTGGTTTCTCAGTTATAATTATATCAGAGTGAGTGTGATTCCTGCTGTATTGTACCTTAAGTCAATTATCTAAAGGTTAAAGGCTAATCATAAAGTTGCATATCGCCGTACTATGGCTCCAATATATGTCAAAGGTGGGGTGTGGTCCAATGTGGAAGATGAGATCTTGAAAGCTGCAGTATCAAAATATGGCTTGAATCAATGGTCAAGAGTTGCTTCTTTATTAGCTAAAAAGAATGCAAAACAAGCTAAAGCAAGATGGAATGAATGGTTGAATCCAAATCTTAATAAATCTTCTTGGTCTAAGGAAGATGATGAGAAATTATTAAATTTAGCCAAACTTTTACCAAATCAATGGAGAACTATATCTCCTATAATAGGTAGAACTGCTACTGTTTGTGTAGAAAGGTATCAAAAATTATTAGATGATGCTGCTAATAATAAGAATGATGATAATGTGGATGATAAATCAAATGAATTAGGACTTACGGGTCCTGGTATAGAATCATTACCTGCTTCAGGTCCTTCAATTGGAGATTTAAATATCAATCCTGAAAGTAAACCTGCTAAACCAGATGATGATGAATTAGATGATGAAGAACGAGAAATGTTAACAGAAGCAAAATCAAGATTGGCTAACACTCAAGGTAAGAAAGCAAAGAGAAAAGCAAGAGAAAGAATGTTGGAAGAAAGTAAACGATTGGCTTTATTACAAAAAAGAAGAGAATTAAAAGGTGCTGGTATAAATGTAAGTTTAACATCTAAAAACAAACGAGCTAAAAAGGAAATGGATTATAATGCTGATATACCGTTTGAACATGCCCATATGACAGGATTATATGATGTTTCTGAAGAATTATCAAAGAATGAACATGAAAAGGTTCATTTCAATCATGATGTTTCAAAGAAGGGAATTGAAATGATTGAAGGTGATGGTAATAAGAAGGATAAAAATTCTTTAAAACGTGAAAGAGAGCAACAAAATTTGGATAATAAAAATAATAAATTAAATATACTGGCAGCTGCTGAATTACTTAATGAACATGAAAATATTGTTTTAAAGAAACAAAAATTGGATTTACCTGAACCAGTGGAACATACCACTGCTAAGTTAGTTACCTTAGAAGATAATAGTTTATCAGGAGTATTTGTTAAGTCTGACAAGGATGAAATACAGGAGCAAGAATCAACCGATATTGATTCCAGAATCATCGCAAAGGGTAAAGATTTAATTGCCAGATCGTCTACAAATTCGGTTTTATTGAGTAAGCCAGTTTCAACTTCCAAAGATCTTGATGAGCAAACATCAGCTGTTCTTGTCAAAATATCAAGTAAGGTTCTTAGAAAGATTTTAATAGATGAATTCTCAAAATTACCTACCCCAAAGCATTCTCGTGCTATAATATTACCTCAATTTGATGCAAATGAAGATAAATTAGACTTGACAGAATTTGATGATCTTAATCAATCCGATTCTATTGATCATGGTGAAAGAGTAAGACAATTACAGATTTTGCAACAAGTTGAAGAAGAAAAGGCAAAGTTAAGAAGATCTCAAGCTGTTCAAAAAGGATTGCCTATCCCAGATCCAAGTAAATTGAAACCAATAACTGTGAATGAAGGTGATTCAGATATTTCAAATCAAGTAGCTTTGGAATTAAAGAAATTGATTAGTTCTGATTATAGAAAGTATGTTGATTCAAGTTATCAAGCTCCATTACTTGAAGATCTTGATGAAGAAGCGTATGAAACCGTCAATAAAGAGATTTCCGCTGAACTTGAAAGATCAAAAGGTGAACAGTTGAATGCCAAGATTGAACCTAATGTATATAAACTTCCTGAAAGCACGTTGATAAGATCTATCTTGACTAATAATTTACAACAAATCAAGACTAAATGCTCTTCAATGGAACAAGAAATCAATGAGAAGATCAAGTCGACTCAGTATGAAACCAACTTTGAATCATTGGCCAAAGACTTAGTCACTGAATTTACTGAATTAACTACTATTGCTGAAGATTTAGAAAACACAATCAAACTTTCCCAACAAGAAGATCAAGTAATCGAAACCAGAACCATGAATCTACAAGCTGCTGTTGATAGATTAAATCTGGCTGAAGCAAATGTCCAAGAAAGAATGCGTTCAATCCACTTACACTCTATTTGATCCCTACCCCCAGCATTATGTATTATATGTATTACATTTCTATTTATTTAGTTAATCAATTAATGAGTTATGATATTTTAAATGCGTTGTGTAATTTAGGTGTAGCATCAAAAAAAGGAAAGATGGAGTTGACGTTTTTGTTTACATAAAATTGCGCTAACTATAGATTTAGCATCAATTAAGGTATAACTCTATATCAAGATGAATACCAATCTATTATATATCCCATTCAGGCAGTCGAAGCCCATAAATCTAGGAGATGAATTACGAGAAGTTATAAAATCAGATTATTTCCAACCTCCATCGACATTTGAAACAGATTTATTGTTGGTCAATAATTTGCGATCTAAAATTAGTAATTTAAAGAATGAAACATTGTTATTGGAATCAGAAGCATTATTAAAAGAGTATTTCATATGTCTCCAAAGTATTCGAAAGAAATTCCCCGATGATTGTGTTGAATTTGGGTGGTATAGTACTTTAACATCATTCCCTGGTGGCCCCACAAAATCAAGATCATTAAAGATCGAACAATTAAATATAGTGTTTCAATTGGGGAGTACTTATTCTCAATTAGCTCTTTTGGAATCAAGACATACTGATGAAGGTTTAAAGAATGCTTGTGCATACTTCCAATTAGCAGCGGGATGTTTTGATTATATCATCTCCGCTGTCAAATTAGAAAATGAAGATCATATTTCATCAAGCCTGAAAATCCACATACCGTCTGATCTTCAATTTCATACCCTTGATTGTTTAAAACAATTAATGTTAGCTCAAGCTCAAGAAACCATATGGCAAAAAGCAATTGGGAACCCGTCAATTAAAGATTCAGTTATTGCTAGATTATCAATTCAAGCCTCAGAATATTACTCCTTAGCATTGGAAAATGCCAACACATCAGATTTCATTAAGATCGAATGGACCAATCATATTGCCATTAAGAAATTCCATTTCAAAGCAGCAGCAAATTTCAGAATGGCAACCCTATCTCAAGATACCTTTGAATATGGTGAACAGATTGCATACTTGAGAGTTGCAGCAGAAACTTGTGCCATGGCTAAAAACTATAAACGATATGTAAATAACTTTGTGATTGAAGATTTTGAAGGTTTAACTGATACAATTCAAAATACACTTAGAATATCCGAAAAGGAAAATGATCTTGTTTATTTGAAACTAGTTCCAAATGCCAAAGATTTAAAACCATTGATCGGAACCTCAATGATAAAACTCACTATTCCAGAGTTCCTATTGAATCCTGATGTTAAATCAAGTACTATATTTAAAGCATTATTACCTCATGTGATCATCCAAGTAGCTCAAGCATTCCATGAAAGAAGAGAAAACTATATACGAGAAAAATTCATTGATCCTACTCAAGCTCTAAATAATATTTTAGTTAAGTTTTTGGCAGATAGAGGTCTACCTGCCTCAATTGATTCTATTCAACAACCAGAAAATTTACCAAAATCCATCATTCAGCATTCACAAGAAATTGTTTCATTAGGTGGTACCAGAATAATAGAACAATCGATTCAAGAAATATCTGAATTGTCTAAAGAAAGTAGACGATTAATTGATGAATGTTCAGGTAGATTACAACTAGAAGCGAATGAAGATGAAATGTTAAGAAGGAAATTTGGTACTCAGAATTGGAATAAACCATCTACTCATGAAGCTACTAAAGATTTGATTGAAAAAATCACTAAGATGTCAAATTATCAAGAACAAGCTAAATCAGGTGATAATCTTGTTGCTTTGAAATACCAAGAACTAAAACCATTCTTAGAGATTTATTGTGGTGGGTATGAATCATTGATTGATTTCATACCAAATTCATCTTACGTTGCATTAGAAGGAGATATTTCAATAATCATAAGTGATTTAAGAGATGCTTTAAATCAGGTAATTAAGATGGAAGAAAAGAGAAAAGAATTCCTAAGTGGTTTAGAGATGAAAGTAAGAGATCATAATATACTACCTCTTGCTTTAGAAGAATATAAAGCTAATCAAGATAAGATGTATGATGATAATGGTAATATAAATCCTCGTGCATTTGAACCAGTTTATGAAAGACATTTAAAGATCTTTAATGATGATTTGAAAGTGTTAGAATCACTGAAGAAAGATCAGATAAAGTTAGAGAATGAAATAGATACTTTGAATAATCGATTTATATCAGAATTTAATTCTGAAAATAATCAATCCCAAACTAAAAGAAAAGAAGTATTACAAACCTTAGAGACTGTATACGCAAAGTATTTAGAAGTTATTTCGAACTTGAATGAAGGGTCAAAGTTTTACAGTGACTTCATTGCCAAGGGGAATGGAGTTTTAAAAGAATGTGATGACTTTTTATACCATAGACGTTTAGAAGCCAGAGATTTGGAACTTGAAATCAATAATAGAATGAGAAATCCACATTTAAATCAAGTAAGACTAGAAAATGAACTTACAACTACAACATCACAGACAAATAGTGAAATAGGGGAATTAAGAGAAATTGAACCAGAAGTGCAAGAAACATCTCAAAAACCTCGATTATATGCTCCAGGTGCTAAAGGTGTATGGAATCCAAATCACGGTATTAAGTTTGATTAGATTAAATAGCTGAAAATTTACTCCATACTTTATTTTTTGCGGATCCATCTTTTTTTTTTTTGTAGCAATGAGAATTGTATAGTTTTTAAATTCATAGATGTCTTCAATGATGATCTAATACGTGTGTAGATACACTTAATGATAGCTAGGTATTTAAGATACTTAAGGAATCGAATAATGACTGAGCCAAAAAGAAATATCATAAGTATAGTGGGGACCACTGGTGTGGGAAAATCACAAGTATGTATATGATGGAGTGAGATGATTGTACTTAAGTTTAGATACTAACAATTATTATAGTTCAGTATAGATCTTGCCAGAGCCATTAATGGGGAAATCATCAATGCAGATTCCATGCAAGTATATAAGAAGTTGGATAATATAACAAACAAACATCCTATGGAAGAGAGATATGGAGTACCTCATCACGTCATGAATCATGTTAATTGGAATGAAGAATATTTCATACATCGATTTTCAGAAGAAGCCAATAAGGCCATTGAAGATATTTACAGTAGAGGCAAAATACCGATCATAATAGGAGGGACTCATTATTACTTGCTGAATCTTCTATTTAACAATAAGACGATTGGGAATTCAACTGAAGAAATAGAACAGAAACAATTAAGTGAAGATCAAATTAAATTATTAGATGGACCTGTGGAGAATATATTCGAAGAGTTAAAAAACATAGATCCTATAATAGTTGAAAAGTTCCATCCACAAGATAAACGAAAGTTAAGAAGAGCGTTGGAAATATTTTATGAAACTGGGGAGAAACCATCATCGATATATCATGATCAAAAGCTTGAGGAACTAGAAAATTCCTCTTTGAAATATAATACATTATTATTTTGGGTTTATTCTGATCCAGAAGTTCTAAAAAAGCGACTTGATACTAGAGTGGATAAGATGATGGAATCTGGAGCTTTAGAAGAAATCAAAGAACTATATGATGTATATAAATCACAATCTCCACCGCCTGACTGTTCATCAGGAATATGGCAAGTTATTGGGTTTAAGGAGTTTATTCCATGGTTAGATGCCACTAATGGGGAAGAAATAGATAATCCATTGTATAAAGAAGGAGTTGAACGAATGCAAATCAGAACGAGACAGTATGCCAAGTATCAAGTTAAGTGGATAAAGAAGTTATTATCAGTTGAATTGCAAAAAGAATCCCGATTTGGATTTAAATACGGAGGGAAATTATATTTATTGGATGCTACTGATCTTAATGTATGGAACTCGAATGTGAGTTCTAGAGGAGTTGAGATAACGAAACAATTTCTTGCCGGTGGTCCTAAAGCAATAACATTACCTCAAGCTCCAGAAAATTTGAAAGAAATGATTCCTGATGATGATTTTTTTTCAAGTTACAAAAGTAATAAGGTTATAGGTTCCGAATCAAATTGGAAGCATTATACATGTCCAATCTGCAAAGATAAGAATGGCAATGCATTAATTGCTGTAGGGGATGAAAGTTGGCAAATTCATGTAAATAGTAAAAGACATAAAAAGCAAGTATCGGCTGGTGAAAAGAAAAGAAAGCATTTAGAGTTGCTAAAACAATATGGAGATAGTACGGTCACGGAGAAAAGTAGAAAGTCTTTAAAGCTTGATGAGCAATAAATAGCGAATCATTTATGTAATCATGAATAAATAATTAGTAAATATAGAATTTATAAGTTAAAACATATAATATCTATTTTTTTGCAATTTTTCATGCTAAAATCTGCTTAAAAAAGTTCTCCAAAATAACTTTAAAAGTAGCGTTGATTACAGTTACGAGTGATAAATGTAACGTGCTGGACATTATCCAACGTTTCAGTATAACAACATTCATTTAAAACAGTAAAATATCAAAAGACTAGGTTTAACCCTAATAACAGCCATAAATATATTTCTTCCTGCGTATTAGCTGGTACCAAAATTACACAAACTTTGTAGCGCCATCACTATAAAAAAATATTTAGCCTTACAAAAAAATTTGAAAATTTTTATTTACTCTTCTTAACTCTTTGATACGAAAGCTTCCTATTCACTGCACCATTCCTTTGTAATGAATGACTGGAGGGGAAAAGGAAAGCGAGATTAATGATATTCGAACTACAACCTCATACTAAGCTTGCTTTTTATATTATTATAGGATCGTAGCAATTTACTTGGATTCTGTGTATTCGATACAATTTTATTAAATTTTTTAGTGTTTTACAAATGATATATTTATTATTCTTCTTCATTATCTATCCCATCAGTTCATCATAATGACAATAATTGTCTCATGAAACATTGATAGGTTATGATTCATTTAAATTTACCTGTTGGTAGATGTTATAATATGCAAGAAGAGTAGTGTTTTTCCGAGTAGTTACCAAAATACTGTCAGATAAACTTCTATTCAACGGGTTTGAAAGAATAGATATCCCGATGTACAGTAACGCTGAGTTAAGCTGGCTAACGGATGATATTATCTCAGTCAGTTTCAGTAACTTGACTGAGGTACGAATATTTTCTTGGGATATTTTTACTGGCAATCAGGTATATGCTTAAAGCACAAATAACTTTTCCAAGTGGCATCAAGGTGCTTGGTTAAAAATATCTCGGAACACCCGTGTTCTTCCCCCAAGGATGATCTCTGTTTTTCGAAGGGTCTGTGAAGATGTAGATTACCGTACTGTTCTGGAAGTAGACTTGGTTAGAGATCAAAAAGTTCATTTGCCGACTAGGTTGGAAGAAAGTTTAAGGTTTTTGACATATCATTAACACTCCCCGGTTACTCTATATAAACTATATCAATCTACTTTAAAAGCTGCAATATGTAATAAAAGTTAGCGATAGTGATCCATCCTCCCCAAATTGGCAATTACTCCCTACCAACTTGCGCAATCATAAATCACAATCATAATCATAATGATAAACGAAGTTAACAATAAGGTCTACAATTACGGCAAATTACTTAATGTGTTAATCATGTATGCTAATGTACAGTTGAGTGAGGCAACTGTTTAAGCGCAAAAATATTACTTACTTCAGTAATTCAGAATACATATAAGCAATTGAGCTTTAAAGTTCAAAGTGCTTTATCTTTAACCTTAATGAACACGATAAGGTTACTTTTAATGTGTCTTACCTCCCTATTAGTTATAGAATAGTCTGGAATCGGTTGTAGAATGCTACTCCTATGGAAGTGTTCCATTACTTCCATATGCTTTTCTCCACTTTTTCTGAGTTCGCCTCTAAAACTAGGATTGTCAATTTTTGGCGAAGTAATGCTTAATTTTTAGGCAACGACTTGAGTTTCATCATACGTTGACAATCAGAAACTAAAAACTAAATGGAAATAATTGAATTGTTTACCATTTAAAGCCACATTCAAATAGGTTTCCGCACTCTGCACAACTTCAACAATAAGTGTCTCTTCGTCGTTAGCACTGACTAAGTAACCATGAACTACCAAGTGGCCTGCTGTTTATTATACAGATCATTTTAATTCGGAACATTTCCATAAAAATAGAAGAAATTCTTATTTATTTTTACCAAACTCTATAAATGTAGAAAAATATATATATGTAAGTTTTAAAATTTGAGCTAAAGGGGCAATGAAACAGTTGTAAAGGAATACAAGGTGATTGTTGCTAAAATGAAACTTGACAGTATAATTATTAAATAATATTGTCAATGCGAAAATAATCTTCGCATAATTTCATGAGATTGCATTTCAAATTGCAAATCCATCGTGAACTCATGGCATCCAATAGCAAATATAATGAAATAAAGGTAGTTATTGTAGTAATAGACTCTAATCTAGTATAATGAAAGAAAAAAGCAAGTAGTAGCTTGATAATAAAAAATAAATATAGTTGTATAAAAAAAATGATAAACATAGCAATCCGCTATACTTAAAACCCCGGATAGTAAAAGAACCCCAAAATAATCATTGAACATTAATATTATATAAAAAGAAAGTAAAATTTGGTCGTTAATATAGAAGATTATAATTAATCTTTTAAAAAAGTAAACATGACTTTTCGTGTGAGCTGTGATTGAGTTGTAATACTCAATATTTTGTAAAAGATACTTAGATATCAGCAAATGAAAAACATCTACTTTCTAAGACTTTTAAACTTGGACTTATGGGTAAATCCTTTTCATTTTGTAATGCCTTGGCCAATTGTTTCTTCTTCATTGAAGAAGTTCTTGACCTGACTTGTTCATTATATGAATCGTTTAATAATGATATCTCGAATTCTCGATTTAATTTCTCTTCAATTTGTAACAATTTAGTATCTAATTGACTCATTGATGAATCTTGTTGTAATTGTAAATTATTCAAATCATGATCAGAACACCATCCACTATCAATTAAATGCTTTTTAGTTAATTCAAATGCATCAGTAATTGATTGTTTTTGGCGTTTCAAATAATCGGCATAACCAAATAATTCATTTGAACTTGTTAATTCAGAAATTGAATTAACTCTGCCACGACTAACAAATTCAGAATCATTCACAATTTGAGATTCTCGAGCTTGATGACGAAGTATACTATTACTCGATTCAGATTCACTTGAAGATGAAAGTACTTGACTGTTAAACTTTGAATTGATAACATCAAAATAATTTTGTTCTATGTTTGATAATGCCTTCTTTGTGGCTGACAAATTTTCAGATATAGTAATTATTGGTGAAGTTAATGGTGGAGTAACAGGAGTTAACATCGCTGAATTCGATAAGGTTCTTGATCTCTTACCTTTGGTATTCACGGAAGAAGTTGTAGGATTTGGATTCAAATGGGATAAAAGACTTGAATTGGATGAAGAAGACGTGGATGATCGTGACTGTTGTTGTTGACGGAAAGGTTGTGGTTGAGACAATGATGTCACAAGCTCTTCTTGCAAAGGGCTAACTGAAGGTCTGGCTGACACACTTGTTTTTAATGGCTGTGGTTGTGGTACTTGCGATGCAGTAGATGGAGGTGGCAAGGAACTTGATGAATTGTTACTACTTCCTAATGATAATTTTCTAATCCCGTTTTTCAAACTTTTTAATCTTTTTAAGGGAGAGGAGCTATTATTGGTAGATGATGAATTCGTAGATGGAGCATTTACTTGATTATTGTTACCACTCATGGTACTAGCTATTGAAGTTGAACCATTATTTAAATTGGCAGCCGAATTATTGCCATTACTTGGAGTTAATGAAGGGAAAATTTGATAATTTGACGAATCAATAACGAGACTTGGTGAATCTAACTCATAATTTGAAAATGATTGATCTTGATTTAAAAATTCAGAAAAATCTGATTGATGCAAACTTGAAATTTCGCCTTCCTTAGTTGAAGTATTATTTGAAGTTAAAGTTGATAAAGGATTCTGATTGTCAAAATCCTCATTAGCAACAGTAAATGGATTATTCAAAACTGGAATAGATGATGATAGTGGAGATGTTAAACTGTTGGTTCCACTGATAGATGATGTATCAACTACTAAAGATTTCTTGATTAAAGTGCTACTATGAGGAATGAGATCACTTGAATCATCAGGCAATGGAGGTAATAAAGTTTCTGTTTCTATGGCTGACTTTTCTTGAATGGTAGTAGTTGAGTTAACATGATTATTAGGTTCAAATCCATCATTATCTAAACTTCTTGATGCGTTGATGTCCATAATAGTTGAAATTTGAGATGAGATCTCATTATCTACGGTATTGGTGTTGCCAATTATTTTGTCAGCTGATGTTGTTAACAAAATTTCATTATGACTTTGTCGTCTGGACATTGATTCTGATCCTGATGGAGTTATTATAGAAGATGACGATATTGATGTTATAGACTTCTTATGTTGAGTGAAAGTTGTAGTAGAAGAAGGCGGTTCCCTTTCTTCTAGAACAATGCCTAAACCACCGTAATCACCGCTCATTTTTCTGGACTTGCTTGATAATTCAGGTCTAAGGCAGGTTCAGCTGATTATTAATGAGCTTTGTAGTAGTCTAGATACTGAATAATACTAATTTATACTGAATAATTGAATAATGTAAGGAGGTTGATACATGTAATAATTTTTTGGAAATTTTTACGTCTTAGATTTGGTTATATATAATTCTTTTTTAAGTTGATATTTTTTAATATTTTTACTATATAAAAAGCAAAAGTGCAGGTCAAAGTGTAAACTGATTAACGGTTATCCATTTTTATTTTCCTTTCAAAAAAAAAATAATAAAGTTAAATTACACAAAATGACACGCCATAAAAAATATTCCAGTTTGTTTAATTTTGAACATTTATTTTTTATTCATCATGCACAAATATGACTTTGTGAATCAAAATTCTGATTTTGTAGCTAAGTCGATGGGATTGTGCTGAACTCGTTTGTGCTATTCGCAGTTGTCCCTGTCCTCATGATTTGTATGAATTGGTCAAATTTTTAAATCTTAATGGTATTCATACCAATCTAATGAGCGAGAAAGTGAGTGATAAAACCGAAAATGTGTACGAAATGTTTAAACTTGTATGTAAATTGATATGGATTTTGCAAATAAAGTTTAGAGTAGTTGTTGATAAATAATTATTTGTGATAAACTTATCAGTATATTTAGCTTGTGATTACTTATCAACCAACACCAGTGATTCTTTGTCACTTTTCGATAACGAGACTTAACAAAAGAGACATTGAGTTTTGCAAGTGTTCAGAAGTGTTTAGGTTTTTGTCATAAATAATAGGGGCAGTTAGTATTAAAAGTAAGCATTTCAAAGGGTAGCCCATCAAGGAGCGGCTCCAGATAATCCCGAAGGTCTCACTGAAAGTTAGCCTAAGTTTTGAATTAATGTATTTCGGTAACGAACAATGAAGTTCAACCCCAAATTAGACGTAATACCGTTTAATTTTCAACTGCATTATCTTTATGAGAGATAATCTATTTTTCGTAACGTCTTTCATGGATTGACCTTTGATAGACCTATGCTAAAAGGTCTGGATCTGATTCCATGTTTCAATTCAACAATTATCACAGAACAATAGAAAGCATTAAAAAGCTTAAACCCATGAGACAAAGTAAAGGCTCTACTTTTACACATTCTCTTGTTATCACTCTGGCACAAGACTGAAAGTTTTGGGTAAAACACATCCTTCAAAGGTTTAATTTCAGAAACAAAAAAAGATTAAACTAAAACACTCAAAATCCAAAAATCCTCAGAGGCTTTAAACAAAAGCAGAAACAGAAGACGTTATATAACTATAACTATAACGTCTAATTCAACATTGTGGTTTGTTTTACTTGTTTATGCCAATCGAGTTATGAAAGATTACTCCGATATCATTCAGTTCATTCTCTCCACAAATACAGACCTATAGCCATGTAATGAAAGGGTAGATCGTATTTGTCCAATTTTAAACGCATTCTGCACTTTATCCGCAGTGTTTAATACACTAATTTAATAACGTTACTAGATTAGGCAAATTCTGGTTAATTATCCTGTATGTAATATAAAGGCTGAGAATGGAATTGAATTATACCAAAACCTGTATACAACCATCGCTTTTAATTTTAACCTGCAAATTATATGACAACTGGAGAAATAGATTTACAATTCTACAACTACATTGCTCACAACTACATGAAGATATCGATATTGCAAATCAAATACGAATTCATGTAACTATTACATAGTTTCAACAAATTGTGAAAGAATGGTGAATGTGGAATAGAGCTACTGTAATTCCTAGAGATACAGAGGGTAATAAATATTTTGCACCGATACACGCACACTCCCTTTCTCTAACACAGACTGACACTAACACATTAAAAATGTATGGTCTGCTCTACGTTGGTCTAATATAATTCGGGTTATTCTATTCATTTAACTTCTAACCAGTACAGGTATAATCTAGGGCCAAGAATAAGTGAGTCGTAGTTACATTCTCGCTAATCAAGATCACGGTTGTAATAAAGTTAGGTGGAAAAAAAAAAGTTTACAGTATTTAAAATTTTAGAATACTGGTGACAAATACCATAGGGAGTAATAAGAATTATTAAGAATTATTCTTCTACTGGATTTGGTAATCTAGAAACAATGAATTAATAATCGGATACAATTTATTCACCTGATTCTGATTTCCATCGCTTCAAGTAATATCTAACTTAAATAATAATACTATAGAGCTAAGTAAAATTGGAAAAAATAAATTTCTCTAGACAGAAAATAATTATCTATCAGCCCAAGATTTTCACCTATTTAGTGAGAAATATGATTAAAAAAATACCACATATTTAACTACGAGAGACACACACAGTTTGGATCTAATTTAAACCAATAAAACAGGACAACTGGTGCGTAAAACTAAAGGGTCAGATCAAACCTTCGAAAACTAAATTCTGAAGTATAATTTCGTAACGAGCCCCTATTTCTTATTCGCCTTTAAAGCAGACGTACAGTGAAGAAAAGAAAATAAATTAATATAACTCAATAGCGCGGTTAATTTTCCTTTTCACTAATATAAAATCCTCACTAAAATTTTATTTGATCCAGTAATTATTGTAGGGGGGAAAGGGGAGGCCACAGTAAAGTCAAGTAAGAAAAGAGACATTAAATTAAGAATATTTTTTTGTGTATATGTAGCATGTGCACATTGTTTTTATTGTGTACATTGTGCACTCGCTAAATATTCTAATTTCGCCTTTGTACGCTATCAATCTCTATAAACTTTGATAGTTCGACAATGAAAGGCAATTTGTCTTACCAAGAATTTGCCCTTTAACTGGCTTGTGAGAAGACTGCTCAACTTTGAAAAACTTAAGAATTCCCTGTTCACATCTGCTGGTAACGTCCATGATTGGAAGTATATTTTTTTGCTGTCATGCAGAAGCCCTTCATTGCCATTGGTAATAGGGACATAACCATAGTGAGTACAAAAAAGTAGTGAGGAAAAAAAAAAACCTACTATCAAACCTTAAAAAATAAGATAGCGATATAGTTAACAATGGGTATAATGCTTCAAAATAAATTAGAAGAAACGGCCCTCCGAAATAATAAAAGTGAACGGGATATTAAATTTTTCACGGTATTTGACAAAATAATAACCATAGCATGATGAATGTAGAAGATTTACAATCAGAAATCAGGTTATTTGTTTCCTGCTTTTCTATGGAAGGATAATTAATACATCCTGAATTGGCATGTACACCGGTTGTAAAGCATAATTTAACTAAAGTTAGACATAATTAACGTTGTAATATTTAAAATCAAAAATCAAACTTGAAAATGGGGGACACTGGCGTAATTTTCATTATTGACAGAGAACTTTTCACATATTATTAGTTGGACTACTTTTGTTATCCTTATAATAGCCAATCAAGAGAGCTACTTTCTGACTTTAAAGTTTTATAGTTGCAAAGTAAAGTTGAACTTAACTTTTGTGGTATATGAATCTATAATTTGAACAAAGTTTTTTTTGGTCGTACGAGCTCTATACCGTATTCAATAAACGTCAAAATTAATTGATCAAAGATTTAAACTTTCTAGGTTGCAGTTGAAAAAGGTTCTTCGTCCTCAAATTTGCCATTCAATTTCATGATTGCAGCTACTCAATATAACTAAATATTCTAATTAGAGTCTACATATATCAAATTCTAATTATAATTGGTTGATAGAGGTCAAAATTTTCTCCTCTCAACCATAGTCACATAATGACCAGAAAATAACGCCAAGGTGAAACAATAACCTGAGTTCTATGTAACTATCTGAACATCCTTAGTGGTGATACTAGACGAAGTTACTGTGGTTCTTGAAATACGAACAATTGGTAAGTAAGAAGAATATGGTCCAATAAACTTTTACAGGTTCAAACTTGAAAAATTTTTATTTTATGTATTTACTGGTTATTATTTTTCTTAATTTTTTGTTTAAATTTTTGCAAGTTAAGCAAATGCACAAAAGAAGATTTTTTTTGTTTTAATTTAGGAGGCCAAATCTAGACTTTTTTTTGATTTCCCTAAGCTATGCTATAACCCCTTTGTATTTTATTCTTCGTGCTTAATTTTACCGTTATACTTTCCATCCACCCTTAAAACAGACGACTACTACTAAAATAGCTTATACTCGTTTAGGAAAACTGCAAGTCGCACTCTATAAAATATCTGTTTAGAAACCATGGACGCTTACCGTAATCGCATTGGTTGTGCTCCTTTTATTTACTCTACCCCTAATCGTTACTGAACTACCAACGGTTTTTAATGGTGTGTAGAAGAAAACCATTTTGTTCTCTGTAGTTGACAATGGTTTCAGCCTAAAATATTGACTTTGACTGATTTTTCAGTCGTTGCCCCTCACTAAACTTGACAGGAGTGATGTGCTCAACAAGCAATGATTTACAACATGAATTGTCCTGTAAAGACTCAACTGTCGCCTTCAATAGTTTCATGGAACAATGCATGCAATACAACTTAACTAAAGGACTACGAAGTTTGCCCCTTTTCTTTAGGTTAAGTTGCTCTTATTGGCTAATTGGAAAAAGCACTAGTGAGCAAACTGAAAAATTTTGCTTAATAGAGCAATTTTTCTCGGTGCTCACAACACCAAGTGGCTCATGTAAAGATCTTGCATTATTAGCACCGCAGCGCCATACATTTTTTATGGGAACAAATATAAAACAATGAACACAAACTAATTGTAGTTTGACTTGAATAATGAAGTATTTACCATGGCACATGAGTTTAAATAGAAAATCACAACCATGCTGAGATTTATTTTTACTATGCACATGTTAGTTTCTGTAAGTTGAAAGTAAAGAACGCTTATATTTGACTGATTAGATTAGGTACGCTATTGTTAAATGGATGAAATAGTTTAATTAGTTTGAGTATGGAAATGACTTTTAGTTACTTCACCCTTAAATTTCATGTTCATGATAATATTGAAATCGCACAATGGAGTTTTCTAATTGACAATAGATGCGATCTCCTGAATGAGATATTGATTCGTGCCTTAATCAGATTAACTTATAACTAGATTTGAGCTATAGACAATGATCTGTCGAATTTCTTCTTGAAATTTGCGACAATAGACCATGCAATAGGGATAACAAATTTGATCAATTTGTTTGTTCAATTTATAATTACTTCACATAAGTTCTGATGAAACCTTATTCTACAAACCAATATAGAACTAAAATGCATTTATTCGTAATAGAGTTTATTAGTAATTTAAGGACTAATCTGAAATTTTATTTTATATACAATCATTCATAACATCATTTAATCAGAATAATTTTGATATTGTTGAACGTGCTCAATGAGTAGTTCCTCCAACTATCGTTTCAACTTTACTCTTTTCATACTTCCAGTAATTTGAACGTATGGTATCATATTGTGTTCCTAATAAGTCGTATACTTTAATAGAATCTTTATAGTCTTTTCTTTCCAAAAAGATTTTAGCAAGCATTTCTAAAGCATATAAACTCTTAACCGCTTTGAAACTATTATCATTGAGTTCCAATTCTTTCAAATTTATGAATTTTAAACAAAAGTCTTCTAAACCTGAAAGTTTAAGTCCTTGCTTTTGATATATTCCAATAAGATAATTCCAACTAGACGGATTTTGTGGTAATTGCTCAATTAATGATTCCACATACTGTAATTCGTTTTTAACACTTTCTTCAGTGATCAAGTCTACTTTAGCAAATTTAAGGAAATATCTATGATTCCAAGCTGAATTGTTCCTCAAATCAGCTAAAATACATTTATCAACAAACTCCAACTCTTTTGGATCATTGAATAAATCAAATTTCTCTACTAACCACTTTCTATAAGACCATACATGATGATTCTTAGGATCTGAGTCTAACATGGCCTCTAAAATGGGAAATTCTCTATGAGGTTCATATTTTCTTTTAGTGGAACCTTCTTTTTCATCACCAGATGTTTTTAAGATTCTATCAATAATCAATTGACGATAATTCCAGATTTGATAATTCTTTTCGTTTTCCAAAGCAACTTGTTCACACCAATCTAATTCTTCAAATAAATCCTTATTCAACTTAGTTAAAATATCATAACGATAAATCCATATCGTATAATGAGAAGCTAATAACTCAATACCCTTCTGGGTAATATACAAGGCTCGTTCGGAATATTCTTCATTTTTCAATAAGGCTAACAATATCCCCATGGTAGTTTTATATTCATCATCATATAAAATTTGACATAATTGTGGTTGTTCTGTATTTATCTCAACAGGGATAACATCATCAAAATTGTAATCATTACTCATCTTATCAACTTGATCCTTAGAATTGAAATAATAAGATCAAACAAATCTCAAATGATATTGGATATATATATATATATATATATTTATTTATATAGATATTCGAAATCATATAATGATGTAACTGTTTGAAGAAAAGTTTCCTATTTAGTCCTGTACAATGTGGATTCAATCTCACAAATTTAAAGTTATACGATCTTACCACTTTCACTATTAACAATCATCAGTACAGAGGTATCAACGATCAAGTCTAATCTGATTATGTATGTCAGTTAAACCCAAGTATCCCTAGAACTCACATTTTATATCACTATACAGTTAGATCGATTTTTAGCCGTAGCTTCCACGTTCATTCTGATTGTACGGCAAAAAAAAAAAAGGTTCAAAAAAGACCGTTAACATTTGACTGTGATAGTTGTTGGGATTTCGTCTAGTCTAAATCTGATTCCATGACTACAGTTCTTTCAGATCACGAATTGTTCTTACTAGCTGCTACATCAAGTTCGATTATTTATTTAGTTTTAAGTTATCTTTATGGAAGATCTCAAATCCCGGTGTTAGTGGCAGTGTTCGTTTTCTCAAATATGATATCTCGGACTAATCTATTTCAATCATTTATCCAAAATTCAGTTCCATACTTCTCCAAACTCATAGATAGAATAGTCGGTCTCCAGGCCACAAGTTTACCTAAACTTTCATCTTCAAAAGGTCCTGGTTATGATAAATTCTTGGCTTTGAGTGATAATTCGCAATTAGAAATCTTAACTGCTGTAAAATCCTTACAAGCATATGCTACTAATTCCAAGAAAACTAATGATAGAAGACGAAAACTTTTCAAATTGATGACTTGGAGACAACAGAAGTTATGTGAAGATATTGGTTATTTAGATAAATTGAAAAAAATTGATACCTCGATCCAATCAAATCAATCCTTCTTAAATGCGATTGCAGATAAATCAGTAACTGATTTTGGATTATCTTATCATGATTTTGAAAAATTGAAAAATGATAGTAGTTCCAATCAAACATCATCTACTAACTACAGAGTCATTGAAGCGATTGGTCACTATTTAAGAGATTGGAATGTGGAAGGCTTCTCCGAACTTAATCCTATTTTGAAATATGTCAGACAACAATTAGATGCTACAGTTCCTGTAAATATGAGAGAAAAGACATGTATAGTTATTCCTGGTTCGGGATTAGGTAGAGTAGCTCATGAAGTTGCTAAATTTGGATCTGAAAAAGGGGAGCCTACCTTCGGGGCTGTTTATGGGGTAGAGTATTCAGGTTTAATGCATGCTTGTAATCAATTCATATATGCAGATAAATCGTCAGACAATAAAACATCAACTGCCAAAACTTTTGAATTATTCCCTCATGTTCATTCTTGTTCTAATTTATATGATACAGCTTCACAATTCCGGAAAGAAAAAGTCCAACAATTAACTTCAAAACCCGATAATTTACATTTACTGCATGAAGATTTCAGATATTTTAAGATAGATACTCCAAACAAATTTGAAAATATCATAGTTGTATCAGTATTCTTCATTGATACAGCTGAAAATTTAATCAATTACTTGGATGCAATTCATAGTTTAACCACACCAAATTCAAGAAATAATAACATCAAGAGAGGTCATTGGATTAATGTTGGTCCTTTGAAATACGGAAGTGCAGCACAAGTTGAATTGAATGCCGATGAATTAAAACAAATTAGAGCTAAAATGGGTTGGGTTGACAAAGATTATAAAAGTAGTTTACATAGCAATCAAATTACTGAAAATGGGTTAGTCGGTTATGTAACGGATAAAAGTAGTATGTGGCAAGGTTACTATGGTTTAACAATGTGGAATTCCGCTAGAAAGGAAAACTCTACAAAATAAAGTAAATAATTTGCCATTCTTCTTGTATATAGCTAAAAAAATGCATCTATTCTATTATACACTATTTATTTTGTAATATCTGAACCTTTATTGATTTGAATCTTTTTATCTTCACCACCACTAATAATACCAATATCTCTATCCCATGATACTGAGAAAACTTTAGATTTGAGTTTAGAATTTTCATTTTCTTCTCTTGTAATGGTATATAATGATTTTTCAGCTCTTACATCCCACACTTTAACAGTACCATCATGTGATGCAGATGAAAATATATGATCATTGATTGGTGAAGCTGATAAACTAACCACAAAATTGGTATGACCAACTAATTTAGCTGAAGTTTGATCTGTTGTGGTTGAACTTACACGAGGATCATGTAAATTAATATGACGAGCAGTTGAGCCTGATGCTAATAAATGTAAGCTTGGTAATTGTAAAATTGAAAGTAAAGAATAACGTGTATTTCTGGTATCAACACAACGAGATGTTACTAAATCCCATGTTTTAATGTTATGATCTTGTGATACTGAGTACGCTACTGTGGCATCATTGGCATCAAATATAATATCTTCAACAGGTTGTGAATGTCCTTCTAAAAGAGATAATGGAGAACGTCTTCTTATGGTGGAATCTTGAACTGCCATCTTTCTTCTTTTCTTAGATGCAGTGGAAATAACATTTAAATCATATTCTAATGGTTTAATAGCAGTCATTTCTTTATAATTAGTTGACCAGAGACCTATGACATTATCATACCCAGCTGATAAAATACGATTAGATTTATATTCAACAGCCAAAGAAACAACTGGAGCTTTATGACCTTCTAATATAGCTAAAGTTTTACCATCTTCAATATCATCATCTTCCTTTTCTAAAACTTCATCATTTGAAGTTTTCCATAATCTAACTTGTCTATCATTACCAGCAGATACTACTCTAGTAGGAGAAATCCATTTTACTGATCTTATAGGTCCTGAATGACCAACATATTGTTTTTCAACATTACCTGACATGTTATAAGTTCTAACTATACCATCATAAGAACCTGATAAGATTTTTGGTTGAGTAATATTTAAATTAGTAGATGTAACTGATCTTGATTGAGAATTAATGGAATCAATAGATGATATCCAATCATCACTATTAAATGAAGCTAAAAATGATGGTGGGAGTACTGCTCTTGTATATTCCAAGGTTAAAAATGCTTCACTGGATAAACCATTCTTAGTTAAGTAATCTTGAATTGATGTTCTTAAAAGAACACCATCTATAAGGAAATCAAATGGAATTGGTTTAGTATCGTCTGATTCTGCATTTCTTCCTAATAAATGATTTACCACCTCTGATAAACCATATCTCTTTAATGAAGCTGGCACAAATAAAGGTGTTTCTGAAACATTTAAGGTCTCATCTTCTTCCTTGGTGAAGAACTTTATCTTAATCTGAGACTTATCTTCACTCATGACTACTTTAACCTTTTAAATGAATAATTATAACAATTTGAAGCATCTCTTACCTATTTGCCATATTTTTCAAAAAGACTTAAATTTTTTTTCTCATCTCAAGTCGATCACATGACCAAAATTTACTGCAACTATTTTTTTACAGCCAAATTGCTTCTTAAACCAATAAAGCCAATTATTATCATTTGACTATATATAATGGATATGATGTAATCAAGTTAATGATGGTAATTAGTCTTCAAAACTTAACTGTCATGTTGATCTGAGACGATGTATGATTTAAAAATGGGAATGATGCCTTAGTTAACATTTTACCAAACATTCCAGCTGTCTTTATACCAGCATTGGCACTTTCTCTTAACCCGATTCCATCAGTAAAATTGCTTTTCCGAAACCTTGAAGTGAATCGTGACTTCTTAATAGTAGAAATAGATGGATTCATATTGATTTTGGAACTGGGAATAAAAGCAGCAGTATCAGAAATCTTACCCCGAGTGAATAATGAAGCAATAGCTCTTCTAATTCTTTTCCATCTTCTAGATCTCGTAACTCTGGGAGGAGGGAGCGATCTCATATCTCAGCCAATGGACGAACTTGATCAGGATAATTAAATCAAAACAATACGTACTTGAAATAATAAACACTAAAGTAAATAAAGAAGTTAACCGCTCAAAATTAAAACTCAATTTGTGCTCCGCACAATTTATTTACCCTATGTATGGGATCAAATTCCGCGGGACCTCCGTAGTCAATTTTAAAATTGGGTGAGTTTATCGAATTAAACGTTGAAGGTTTGTGTATGTTTACAATATAGTTGTCGTATGGGATCATAATTGATCAGAAATATCATACAAAGTTGTTCCAGAGGAACAAATTATTGTAATTATATAGTTACATATTAACTATCAAGCTTTTCCTAATTTAAAAAAAGAGTCAAAAACGGATCACGTGATTCGATTTATGATAAAATTTTCGATGAGTTGTGAAAAAAATCGAAAGTCAATCGATATTGTAAAATTTAACTACTTTCTGATTCTTGGGAGCTGACCTCTTCAAACTATATACAAATCCATAGATTACAATGTCTACCACTACTGACGCTTCAGTTGAAGTTGAAATCACTAAAGTCTTCGACACCATCTTGGTGTTAGATTTCGGTTCACAATATTCTCATTTAATCACTCGTCGTTTAAGAGAATTCAATGTTTATGCTGAAATGTTACCATGTACTCAAAAAATTTCCGAATTATCTTGGAAACCAAAGGGTATCATTTTATCTGGTGGTCCATACTCAGTTTATGCTGAAGATGCTCCTCATGTTGATCATGATATTTTCAAATTGAATGTTCCAATCTTAGGTATCTGTTATGGTATGCAAGAATTAGCTTGGATCAATGGTAAAGGTGTTGCTAGAGGTGACAAAAGAGAATATGGTCCAGCTACTTTAAATGTTGAAGACGCTACTTGTGACTTATTTAAAGGTGTTGACCATTCTCAAGTTTGGATGTCCCATGGTGATAAATTACATGCTTTACCAACTGGTTTCAAAGTTGTTGCTACCTCAGGTAACTCACCTTTTGCTGGTATTGCCCATGAAGAAGATAAAATCTATGGTATTCAATTCCATCCTGAAGTTACTCATACTGCTCAAGGTAAAATCTTATTAAAGAATTTCGCTGTTGATATTTGTAAAGCTAATACCAATTGGAGTATGGAAAACTTTGTTGATACTGAAATTGCTAGAATTAGAAAATTAGTTGGTCCAACTGCTGAGGTTATTGGTGCTGTTTCTGGTGGTGTTGATTCAACCGTTGGAGCTAAAATTATGAAAGAAGCTATTGGTGAACGTTTCCACGCTATTTACGTTGATAATGGTGTTATGAGATTAAATGAAACTGAAACCGTCTATAAAACTTTAACTGAAGGTCTTGGTATTAACTTAACTGTTGTTGATGCTTCAGAATTATTCTTAGGAAGATTAAAGGGTATCACTGATCCAGAAAAGAAAAGAAAAATCATTGGTAACACTTTTATTCATGTCTTTGAAGATGAAGCTGCTAAAATTAAACCAGCTTCTGGTCAAGAAATTGAATTTTTATTACAAGGTACTTTATATCCTGATGTCATTGAATCAATTTCTTTCAAAGGTCCATCTCAAACTATTAAAACTCATCACAATGTTGGTGGTTTATTAGAAGATATGAAATTAAAATTAATTGAACCATTAAGAGAATTATTCAAAGATGAAGTTCGTCATTTAGGTGAACTTTTAGGTGTACCTCACGATTTAGTTTGGAGACATCCATTCCCAGGTCCAGGTTTAGCTATTAGAGTTTTAGGTGAAGTTACCAAAGAACAAGTTAAAATTGCTCGTGAAGCTGATTTCATTTTTATTGAAGAAATTAAGAAAGCTGGTTTATATAAAGAAATCTCTCAAGCTTTTGCTGCCTTATTACCAGTTAAATCTGTTGGTGTTATGGGTGATCAAAGAACTTATGAACAAGTCATTGCTTTAAGAGCTATTACTACCGTTGATTTCATGACTGCTGATTGGTATGAGTTTGAATCTTCCTTCTTGAGGAATGTTGCTTCAAGAATTGTCAACGAAGTGAGCGGTGTTGCCCGTGTTACTTACGATATTACTTCTAAACCACCAGCTACCGTTGAATGGGAATAGGTTAGCAATATACATAGATAGATATAGTCCTAAATTTTTTTTATTTTAATACATTACACACATTATACATATTCTATTTCGTTATATCTGGTATAGTTATATACTGTTGTCGTATCACATTTGCAACAACCGTATCTTGATCATGTGATAAACTGAGTAAAAATTCATCCGTTGTATGAATATCACTTTGAATCAAAGGTTTACCATTTTCATCATACAGCCTGTACCAATGTTTGAATTCAAATGATCTCTGATCCGATATATCCAATGATTTGTATAATGCTTCTTTACTAGCCCAAGTACCTGCTAAGAATAATAATAATTGATCTGATTCATGATTCTTTCTTAAAGTGACAAACTTATTTAATTCATATTTGGGATGTAGTAACCTTAAACTTAGTCTCTCCACAAAATCATTATTCTTTTCCAACAACTTCTTGAATCGACTTATACTAGTGACATCAACACCAATTGCTCTTGTAACTGGAAATCGTATCATCCCAGACCTCAATTATATATGTTCTTATAAACTCCTCTGTATAAAAGATCAACAGTCAATTTTGTTAAGAGTCGCGCACTGCTCGAAGGTTTTATGACTCAAATTATATTTTGATCAAATTTTCCAAATCAAGCAATTAGAGTTTGAATAGATATAAACACACATTACACTTCAAAATGGCATCTACTATTACTGGTCCAGTCTCACTTCCTGGATCAAGACATGATTTATCCACTTATTGGGGCAGAGTTAAACATTGTGCAGAGATTTCAGATCCAACTATGTTGTTGAACTCTACTAAAGATATCGAAGCTGCCAAAAGAAAGATTTGGGATTATAAGAACGGTGTGGTGGGATCTATGAATGCAGACCTTTGGAGAGCGAAGAGAACTTTGGATTCAGCTTTACATCCTGATACAGGTGAAACTGTTTTCTTGCCATTTAGAATGAGTTCGTGTGTTTTATCTAATTTAGTGGTTACAGCTGGTATGTTAACACCAAATTTAGGTACAGTAGGTACTTTATTTTGGCAAATTGCAAATCAATCATTAAATGTTGCTATTAATACTGCTAATGCTAATAAATCTCATCCATTGACAACCAAACAAATCGCTGTTAACTATTCCATGGCGGTGACTGCTTCTTGTACTGTTGCTTTAGGATTAAATGCTATCGTTCCAAGATTAAAGTCTTTGAAACCAAGTACAAGACTTATTTTAGGTAGATTGGTTCCATTTGCAGCAGTTGTTTCAGCAGGTGTGGTTAATGTTTTCTTAATGAGAAGTGAAGAGATAAGAAAAGGTATTACCGTATTCGATAAGAATGGTTCTGAAGTTGGTACTTCTAAAACAGCTGCTTTATATGCTGTTGGTGAAACAGCTGCTAGTAGAGTTATCAATGCAACTCCTATTATGGTTATACCACCTTTAATTTTGGTTAGACTCCAAGCTTCTAGATTATTGAGAGGTAGATCAAAGGGAGTGGAAACTTTAGTGAATATCGGTTTGATTTTTGCAACATCATTAGTAGCCTTACCATTTGCTCTTGCTGTATTCCCACAAAGAAGAGAATTACCAGTGAGAAAGTTAGAAGAAAAATTCCATAACTTAACAGATAGTAAAGGGTTACCAATAGAAACTTTAGAATTTAATAGAGGTATTTAAATATACCTTGTACATTAAAACTCTTGTAAATATATTATATACATTTTGTTTGATTTAATCTATATAGCAATAAAGCAAAACATTCTAATCTGTGAAACTTTTAAGTGATTACCAATACTTCCATTTAGTCGTTCCATTAGTACCGATGGTGTTCTCAATAGCAGCTCTACCATCAAGAGTGGAGAAATTCTCAACAGAGAATAATTTTATATCATCTTCAGAATCGGCTGATAACAAAGCAACACCCTTACCACCCAATGAAGTATCAAATGATTCAAAACCTTCTTTTTTGAATTCACTAATGGTTGTTTGAATTGTTTCAGAACTAACATTTTCATCTACTAATGTAATTGCACAACCACCCCCACCAGCACCAGTCAACTTTGTAGCTCCAATCTTGGAAAGATCTCCAATTATTTTAACCTTTTCTAAGGTGGGATGTGATACGCCTAAAGCGACTAATAATCCATGATTTATATTGACTAGTTCCTTCAACGTCTTGAGTTCTTCGTCTCCAAACACAGGTCTAGTCATAATTTGATATGCCTCTGATGCCAAATTACCCATGGCATCTAAAATTGGAGAACTTATCTTTGGGTATAATGAATTTAACTTAGCTACTCCACCAACTAAATCGGCAGTACTTCTTGGAATCTTGGTATTAGTAAGAAGTAATTTAATAGAAGGAAAGTTTCTCATTGTAGTACGAATTGATGGTTGGGCAGGTGCACTAACTCTTTGGAACATGACAGCACCACCAAATGTAGCAACAGCATTATCAATACCTGATGGATTACCATGAAAACACTTTTCTCCCATCAAAGACCATGCATCAATGAAATCTAATTGATGATTTTCATCTTTTGCAGCTTTTTGATTTATAGTGACAGTAGGAGTATCTATCTTTTTAGTTAATACTGATAAGGCAGCAGCCAAACAAACACCAGTCGAAGCAGATGATCCCAAGCCCGCTCCAATTGGAAGGGTAGATCTTATACAAAACACATGACCAGGTGTATCTTCTTCACATAAGTGGGAATACAAGTATAAGAAGGAGAGACAAGTTGTAAAATGAGTGGTTGATTTACAATCATCCAAAAGACTAGTAATTTTATCAACAATTTCTGGAACCAATTCCTCAGTTGGTAATGGTCTGCCCTTTTCAAACGTTTGAAATTTCCTTATCTCTTCCCAAGGTATATCGTGTTTGTTCCAAACGTATGAAAGATTAATATCAGGAAATTTTAAAGTTATTTCATCAATATTTTCATTAGGGCTAACAAGTAAATAGGCTCTCAAACTGAGTGCTGCGGCAATGGCTGGCTTGCTATAAACAGCAGAATGCTCTCCAAATATGATCACTTTCCCTGGAGCACTAACAAAGAACGACGAACCAGTCATAGTAATACGGATTATAGTTGGATTGAATGTTCAGATACCTATCAGTTTATATTTACAGTCCAATTTTTCAAACTGTCGTTTACACCCATTTAATTTTTTGTCGCGAACAAATCCTCCATCAACTTTGAAAAAAAAAATAACAATCCTCGAGAGCAAATCAATGCTTTGTTGATACTTTTTAGAAATCAAGAGAATATCATTCAGAATCTTATAAAAGGATAATGTCTGTGGTTCAGTCCAAGAATGGAAGGGAAACTGTCCCATTGAAGCCAATACAGCCAACTCAGTTCTGGACTTTTGATAATGCGTTGACTCTTTTGAAGTCTTGTCATGATCCATATATACTTGATGCCTTGGATGAATTTTTATTATTGCATAGCAAGCTTTTATTTAACCCATTGCCTTTCAGTGGTGTTCAGAAAGAAAGCTCAATCAAGGAAACTACCAAGGAAATTACATTACGGTCTATCATTTATACTGAATTCACTACTAATAACATCCAAGATGCTAAAAAGTTAGAATCATCTTTACAATTGGATGTTGATGAAATAGCGAGAGTCATAAATCAATCTTACAAGAGAATCCCTGAAAATAAATTGTTCCAATTAGGTAAATTGAAAAGTAAATTACCCGATGATAGAGAAAAGAATGAAGAAAATAAACGATTAACTAGCTATACTAGAAGACTTCTTCGAGAAAGAAGACTCATCATTAAGATAGTCATTGATTTATTGAACAATAAGACAAATTCATACAAATCAAACACCATTCAGAACTTGGGAAAGGAATTATTTTTATCTCCAGTATATCTCACAGAGGTAATCAAAGCATTAAGTACCATCTTTGAATCACTTGTTACCAAACCATTTAAATCTGGGATTTCCGAAGAATTGGATGAAATTATTGGTTGTGAAACAGTACTTCTTGCTGTTGAATTGTCGAAGGTATTGGTGGAATTACTTGTGCAAAATCCAACTATTAATAACGAAGCTAGGTTTTCTTGGTTTGAGTTGATGAATTCCTTTGGATATGTTTCATCCTTAGGTCCATATATTCCATATCCAGAATCATTCAGTTTACTTCAAGCTTTATCAACAGTGATTTCAATTTTATTCTTAGATTTGGAAAACAGTTATGACTCTTACGATTCAGCCAATCCAAATACAACTTCATTTATTGCCAATGCGGATGCCATTTCTAAAATCCATAGTTTTATATCAGATACACCGACCAGCAACCCAGTTGTATTATATAGTTGGTCCCTCATCCTTCTCAGAAAATATTATTTCCTTCAAGAATACCCTAGCTTGGAATCATCAAGTTCCTTCACAAAATCTATCACCATTGATAAGTTGGATATATTCATAAGTGAGTTATCAGCAAGATATGCTAATCATGATATATTTGGAGAAATAAAGAATTTATCAACAATCCTAAGATTTGATAACATATACTCAGCCGTTCTTTCATCAGTCATCATATCAAGTTTACCGCTCGTGACAATCAATGATTCTATCTCTAACTCGATAGCTAGTGTATTGAAATATGCTCCAAATAGTGTAGTTGAGAAATTTTTCGAAAATGAATCAACGATAAATGCAATTATTCTATCAAGGGCAAAGTTCCCTATTGCGTTAACTCCATACTTGAAGATAGCTTCGATAAATGGTAACTTTGCATTCCATGAATTCAACGAATTGAAATCATATATCCATTTATTCAAGAAAGATGAGTTTTTAAAGTCGTATGAGATAGACGAAGACAATACCGAATTGGTCAAATTATCTAACTTGATAGATGTATATCCTCCATATGAGTCTACCAAGAAAATATCATTTATGTTTGACGTTGGAACTAAAGCTAAGATCTTACCATCTCTGAATAAAGACGAAGTATTGGTCACATTCTTATATAAGTATAATGGTTGGTCATTATTAGGAAGAGTGTTGCAGAATGCATCCAAGTTATTTAGTACTAGAGACAGAGAAAAACTAGAATTCGTGGTTAATATCTTAGAATTGTTGATCAAAGTTGTTAAAGATAATTCCATTGATGATGTGAAGCTAGTGTTAGAATCTATGTCAGCATACACAGAAGATTCAGATGTCATAGAGGTGATTTTAAGATTGTTAGAACAAGGATTGCATGCTCGTAATGTCGAAGTAGTATCATTAGTGATTAATTTGTTGACGAGCTTGATGCCTATTTTATCATATAGAATATGGCCATGTCTTGCCAAATCAGCTCTTTTGTCCAAAGATGGTAAAGAAGGAATAGCATCTACGATATTTGGTACTATAGAAATGGTGAATGGAGAATATAAAGTAACCAATGCATTAATCAACTTAACCGATTCATTGGTTCAAAATTGTTTATCCTTAGACGAGGATTATCCATCAAAATCTAAGAGCCTAATTCTTAACAAATTTGTTCTGCATTTGCTTTTAGTGTTTGAAAGTTCTGTTCATTGCAAATTTAAAAGTCCATCTGAAAACTTAGAAATAAGTGTCTTAACATTGGATGTATTTTCAAATATTTTGGCTGCTGTGCATTCAATTGAAAAGGACTGTCCACCTGCTGAAAAGGCTACCAAGGTATTTGCCGATGCTTCTGGATTAATCTTAGATTCTTTTCTTGTTACGTCAGAAGAATATGCTAGATCAACATCTCCTATCTTAAGATTGTTAAAATCATTCCCAGATGTCTTGACTATTTATGAGATTAACGATATTTCGGGCTTTTGGTATGATAACTGGATTCGTTGTGCATTGTCTTTTTCACAGTTGATTGTTAAGATCAGATCAAATTTAAATTATTCACCATCAGCGTTCGAATCACATTTGTTTAGATTGTTACCCAATTTAGTATCGACTTATGCTCAATATGATACTTATAGAAAAGAGATATTGGATTTAATTACATGTTTAACCAATGGAGTTTGGACGACTGAACAACCTTCAGTTTTATCTCACCTTGGACAATATCATTCTCAAATGTTACTTCATTCGTTAGCATCTGACTTGGATAATTCATTTGATGATTATAAAATCAAGGTGTCAGTTTATGACTTCATTTGTGCAGTTATGGAAGGTAATCAAGAAGGACTTTCGGTGTTATTCATTAGTGGTAGGGACGTTTTCGGTGATTTTACAAAAACAGGAAAGTTGAATGAAAGTAAGAAGAACATCTCTTTATTACAGATCATGAAGAAAAATGTGAGAGATATGAAGTATTATCCAAATTCAGTCAGTTTACCATTGATAGATGCAATCTCGTTAGCCTTAAATTCTTGGACAACAGCACATGATAGTGATAATGATAGTGAATTTATTAATGAATTAATCGCTAGAATCCAATTAGAGTTAATCACAAACCCTCAAGATTCAGAAGGATACTTGGAAAGTTGCTACGAATTGAAACTATCTTCTAAGATTGCTCAAGTTTTATCATTATATTTATTCACATCGAAAAATCAGAAATGCACTAAATTAATTACTGATTTTATTTCTTCTGATTCGTTTATTGAATTATCCAAAAAGAAATTCTCTGTTCTGGGATACCATCCGTCGTTGCATAATCTGTTACAGTCATCATTTTCATCTTTGTTCCCCCATCTTCAAATTTCTCAATTCACTAGTACACTTACTAATAGAAACAGGTATGGTGTTGCTGCTTTATATAACTTACCATTGATGGATAGTTTACTTAAATCTGAACCAGCTTGGACACAGTTAAGAGAGCAAGTTATTGCATCAAGTATCAATTTACAATATCTTAATGCCCAGATTTCGAGTTCTAAATCATTTGGTGCGTTACTTACTTCCTATTGCAGAAAATCAACAGGGCCATTAAGTTCAAATCTAGTTGGGTTTGTTACCCATCTATTAAAAATCAACATTAATGAAGGTATCCCGACTGATATTTTTGAACAAGTATACCAAGAACGTATTGAATTAGCATTTTACTTATTCTACTCCCTTTATAATAGAAGTTCGTTCAAAGATTCTTCTAAAGAAGTTTTTAATATTATTAAGTACTCCTTGGATTTGTTATCATCAACTAGTTTGAACTTGTTATCTTCCTTGGCTGAATCAAAAGGATACTATAGACCATTACTTAAGATATTATATTGCTCGTTGAGTTTAATAAAAGATGATTCAGGAATTTTGATAGAATATTTCAGTATATTCCGTGACTTGTTTGCTTTGGTCGTTGCTAAAGGGACAAGGACTTTATTAATTGAATTACAAAACGAGGTTTACCTATCCCGATCTGGAAAGACCCATCATGAATCAACCAAGTTAAATGATAAAATTGATGATCTTATGGTTATATTGTCAATTTTAAAGGTTTTCGTTACGTTGAAGTCATCAACTGATTTACATCTTGAAATAGCTACTATCATAGACGAGAATGGTACAATTAACGCCTTATTAAACCTATACTCATTCTCGCATTCGATTGAAGTTAATGATGAAAATATTTTTGCTCAACTAAGTCTAATGTATATTCAGGAATTAATGAGTATACCTATCATGGCTGAAAAATGTGTATCTAGTGGGTTATTCCTCGTCTTGGGAGAAAGTCAAATCTCGAAAAGAGTTAAAGCTGGCGGTTTAAGTGTTGCTACTGGAGGAAAATATCATGCGTTGTGGATCAATGGAATTCTACCAATAATTACGATTAGTTTGACAAATTTACATTCATTGCCAGAAATATACGTGGCATTACAACTATTCGGGAAACAGATTGATTATTGTATACTGAGCTGGTCAGCAGATTCTGCATCTATTAAAATATCTACTGCAATGATTGCTGAAACAAGTCAAATTTTACTAATTTATGATTTATTAAAATCATTAAATATCACTGCTCATATTAATCAGTATGAAAATAATCAACTTACATCCAATGTTGACATGAAGGTCTTACCAGGATTGGAGACTGAATCCAAGAGAGATGAATTTAGGGAGTGTTTCAAAAATCTTTTGAAACACCCGAAATTCCTCATCTCAAGGATCAGTCCAAGTTCTGTGGAAGAACAAAGGATTATTGAAAAAGGAGGAGAAAATTATGATAAGTTTGTATCAGATTTAATCAATGAAATAAGAAACTTAAATGATTTTGAATAAGATCAGATCAATTTCCCAATATAAATCTCTACTATTACAATCACTTTTATTCATGATGGTTACAAATTCGCATTTTTTTGGATCTGATTTTTCTCTCACAAAATTCATTCTGTGAGACACAAATAAATATAATATTTTGCAACTCAGCGGTTAATTTCATAATCATTTTCTTTTAACCACTTTCAATCGATTAAGATCACTTACCTCGAACACAACCAGCTATAATGTGTATATTGCTCTCAAAATACCCTTTAAATAAGGAAGAAAATGCTTTGAATAATAATCCAACTGATTTTGTATATGGAAAGAGTCAAGATAATATCTACCATAAATTACATCAAGTCGATGTTAGTCCTATCACTAATGCATTCCTTAGCAAACCAAGTCCATTCTTAATTCCAAAAGCTAAAGAATCTCGTGCTGTGTTATTGTCGTTTCCAAATCAGCCTACAATTCCATTTGATTTCACTCATAAAAATGCTTATAAGAGAGCTAGTGCTTCTGTCAAACCATTAATTCTCACGAAAATCCCTTTACCTAAAACTAAGTACTCAGATGAAACAGCTGCTCAGAGTTTTACAGTTGTTGGTGAATTTAGTGGTTTATTACATAGCACGGATTCCAAGTCTGAAAATGGGCAGCTGTTAAAGTTCAATTATTCACAAGTCGAACCGAATGAACAGATTTTGTTCCTTTTATTTATGATGTTCTACATTTCTAGAAAAGTTATTACATTTAAAAGTAAAGGATTATTTAACGATATTCCTTCATACTTTAAGATCAGCTTAGCTGGTCTTTTTATTTTAATTATAATTTTCAACACTTTTGTAATGCCATACATGCATTAAAAGAAGTTCAAGTGTTGTTCTTAAATATTTAGATATATTATTTAGTTATATATTATTGTAGAAGAAAATATGATATCCTTTATTTGAAAATTATGTGCAAGATATGCTCAAGTTGGTTTTATCCTGTTTATATTTTTAGCTGCCTGTAGAAGCAGAAGAAAACGATTCTATAAATTTAGTTGAAAACCTTTGAGATGTAATATATTTTTAGCAAGACATTTCGTAATATATATTATAAATTAGAAGATTTTATTCTTAGTATGACATCTTTAACTTGTTTAGAAAGTTCTGTGGCTGTTCCTAAATTTGATCCTCCTTTTAAATTTCTCGTTACGAAACAAAATCTGGAACATAATGACGAAGAATTGACTCTTGGAAAATTGAAAGAAAATAATTCCCATATTTCATTTGACATCAAATCTGAAGAAGAAGTTTCGTATGATCTTGATGAAACAACTAATAATGCCATCAATAATTTGGTTGCAATGATGCTGCTTTCCTGTGATGGTATTATGAGTGAAATCACAAAGGAAGAAATTTCCCCTTTTGGAGAAGGTTACTTTGCACATAACAAAGTAATTCCAAAGCCAAAATTAAATGAAGACTTATTTGAAGAAATCGTTGAAGATGATCTTGAAAATGAACCAGACTCATTAATTAAGACGATTTTTATTAATTTTACTTTTGGGGTATTTGCAGCACCGTATGCGTTGGGATTTGTTTTAGCAATAATCGACCATCGTTCATTTTGCCTTTCCTTGTAGCTCAACAGTAAAACTCGAAGAAGAATTTATTAAAGTTATTTATTTAAATAGCTGAATTATGTTAATACGGTTTGTTTTTGTTTATATTTAATTTTGAATAAATAATTGATTGTTTAAAAGTCTTGTTGTTCACGCTAAATTTTCTCTATTTTTCTGTTTAAGATTATATTGGCAGCAATTTATGAGGCTAAATAGAGAAGAAAATGTCACTAAAATATTTTGCCCTAAAAATTCTCACTAACTTACGACCTACTATATTTTGCACCGCAAAATTTTTGAAACTTGAGATAGATAAATCTTTGCCCAACTTTTATATGTATTAACAATGTTTTCCTTGTTATATTCATCAGTTTATTTGAATGACCTGAAAATACATTTACAATATGAATTACCTTCTCAATTTTCTGAAAGTGAAAATAATTTAATGATCATCTGAACACAATCAGTCATTAATAATTTGTCCTGCTTAAAGAGCCGGAACATAAATTTCACTAATATAAATTTTATATAATTACAACTATATTTGATAGGTTAAGTTTCATTAAACAGTTCCAACTATAGCATTAATCAAAATCCTTCCCAAATATGGCATATTCAACATGTTTAACTACTTCTCATCATAATCAGTTAAATCCTTTCCAATATTCTGTTACAAAATTAAACTTGCAATGTAATATTGATGCATTAATAACAGAAAATGCAACGAATGATTATTTAGATATTTCCTTTGACATCAAATCTGAAGGAAAAGTTTCGTATGATCTTGATGAAACAACTAATAATGCCATCAATAATTTGGTTGAAATGATGCAACTTTCCAGTGATGGTATTATGAGTGAAATCACAAAGGAAGGAAGGTTACTTTGCACATAACAAAGTAATTCCAAAGCCAAAATTAAATGAAGACTTATTTGAAGAAATCATTGAAGATGATTTTGAAAATGAACCAGACTCATTACTTAAGATGATTTTCATTAATTTTACTTTTGGGATGTTATTAACCCAAGTTGTGTTATTGGCGTTTACTTCTAAGGGGAACACGTACTCAATTGATTTATTATTTACGGTTTTACAATATTATTTCAAAAATCATATAAAAAGATTTCTTTTATCTCACTTTTCAGGTATGGCTTTATCACTTAGATGACTATACTAATTATAATATATAATCTATATTGTTTTTATTGTATTTCTATTTGCAGCTAATATGATTCTGCCACGGCACGTAAGAAAAAGTAACGTATACCAAGTAACAAAATTGAACTTAACACAGAAAAATACGCTAGACTACCAGATTTATTAGAAATTCAACCATTAAATGAAAACTATTACGTACAACCAAGATTAAACCTGCCGTAAAATATCCACAAAGTGTTTAATTGTTTTACGTTTCATACGTTTTTTCGTGTATATATCCAATAAACATTGTACTAATAAAATCCCTAATGGAATAAAAATCAAATATACCAGTAATGATGAAATTCTTGAGGGATTGGCCTTATTTGATTGCAATTTATTTTTATTCTAAAAAATAGTTAAATAGGATGTTAATTAAATCTTCTTGAATATTTAGTATTAGAGCGTAAATCAAAGTGTTTTAGGCTTATTTTTATTTTACTGCGCCAAAAGAAAAAAGTAACGGTAATTTTAGCGAATAAATTGTTCACCAAGTAGCAATGTAGTTCAGCTAAATAATACTCTTTGTTTGAGTTCTACGACTTTTAGTTTAGCCATAGAGAATGAAATAGAATATAACAGAACTATTCTGAATATATCTAAAGAATTCTTTTATATCTTTGTTATTCAATTTGCATAAAATGTTTTTTCCTTATTTAAGCGTAACATAACTTTCTTTAAATATTCACACCATATAGCCGATAAATTTATTCATAGTTCACTGATCTAACACCAAAATTCAAAACTCAAACTGTCAATTGAACAAATCTTTTCTTTAGATACTAAATCTACGGTTTAGATACTTAATAAATGCTACTCATATGCAATTAAACAGATATACATCGACTTCTGCTACTTCATCAAGAGAAAGTGATCAAAAAGTTTTAAAAAGAGACCCGAGTAGATCTCACTATCCTCTTCTCAACTTCAAACTAAATATTAATATGTTTTCTAATATCCTTTCTGATCTTGATACTAAGACAAACATACAGTCTGTCAAAAGCTCCACAACTTCTCGTGATAATGACGGAATACAAAAGTATGTAAATGAAAGGACTTCTACAATAATAGATAATCATGGGGATGCGATAAAGGAATTGTCGGACAATATCATGAAAGAATTTCTCTCTGAAAGCTTACAACTAAGCGATATCCGATACGGATATTTTGATATGGATAAAACTGTCCCAACAACACAATGTGTTATGGACGAAGCCGATATGGATACTGATATGCCACCAGAACCAAATACATTATCAAAAGGAATTCTGTTAATGCTTAGTTTTGGCTTCTTATGTTTTACTTCATTCGTGGTACTTTTATTAATTGCTTTGAACCTTCTCAATGAATTATAGCCCAATTAAAATAAATGTTAAATACAATTCTTCTGGTTCGACTGAAAAACAATATATATTATATTTAATGTATTTTTCTTATCTCTAATAAATTATGAATATATATAAAGTCGTCCAAAAGACTTTTCAACTACTAAGTTTTGAAACACGTTAAGACTGCATTCTCTTTGAAAGATATCATATCAACTAGAATGGCAATGAGGGATTTATCTCATCCAAGCTTTTGTCTAGTTTAAATACCGATGAAGCTTATAACAATGTTTTCTTTGAATGAAACATATTTCCATTTGTCGTTAATAGTCCTCTTAAATCAACTAATAATCAAGATTGAGACGATTAGCCTGTCTTTACCATTAATTTCTATCCGTTAGCCTTTATATATAATTAATCTTTTCATCAGTAAAATTCTTCGTCTGTGGCCAAATCTTTTTTCTTGCCATTTGCGCGTTTTGCAGCTATTTTCGTATTAGCGACAATTTTCTTACGCTAAGCTGCAAGAACAATAATGGATTTGCGTTATGCTATTTTATTAATTATTTTCACAATGTTTTTTAACTTGACTTTAGGAATATAGTATGTCAAGGACAACAACTACAACAACAGCTAGAACAACCACGGTTGTTGCTAAACACACCGACAGAGAAGTATTAATAAGATATCGGTCTTTGAATCGATCTTCCAATTGTTCCCTTTCAAACAGACGCAATGACTTTCATTCCAGCATTATCAAAATTCAGATTTTGAAGAACATACTCCTACATTCAATGATCGAGTGGGAATACAAGAGTTTGTTGATCAAGGAATTTCTTCTATGGTAAACAGTCACGTAAACGTGATGAATGAATCATCTGAAAATATAATGAGAGAATTCCTTCCTGTTGGATTCCAAATTGACTCTGATGTGACTCCATCAGGTCACGGATACTTTGAATTTGATAAAATAATTCCCAAGTATGAATACAATAGTGCTTTATTTGAGGTCGTTGAAGATAAATATTATGAAACAGACCCCATAAGCTTACTAGATAACATCCGTTTCCAGCTCACTATTGGTAATTATCTCTTAAGTGAACTAAAAGAAATTTTGATAATTATGTTCCAATTTACGGATGAACAATTAGTTAAGTTCTTTTCATTTGTTATTTATATTATTTCGATTTTAGCTAGTATTTTTGTTGCTTATATTATTATAGTGCCAGCTAGTGGATCAAAACTATTAGTCTAGATATTTGTATAATTAATAAGTATATGCTCTTCACTGATAAATACTATTATATTATTCCTCCCTCTTACAAGTTTTTGAATGTATTGATATTTGCCTATATTCCTTACTTATCAATATTTAATATTCCTTATGCTACTTAGTATTTCAGTTGTTCATTACAGAATCTATTTCTTTATTATGCTTATCAAATCGTATACATAGTACAATAAATAATTTTATTGATTAAAATTATCAAAATCATTCGAATTGATGCAATGATGACTACATTACATTTATACTTAACTCCAAACTTTTCTAGCCCACCTTCAGACATTAAAACTCCAGATGTCAATTATAACGATAGAAGCAACCAAGAAAATCTCAATAGTATTGGAAGATTCCAAATTGAAGAAGTTGACTTTAATTCTACCAATGAAGAAATCGATTTAGAAACTGTGGACGACGAGATAGAAATGCAAGCTAGAAATTTTATTAGTCTTCTTATTAGTCTTCTTGAAAATGTTTACGAATTTGCAAAGGTTGCCTATCTCGGCTATCTTATATTAGTAAATTTGATAAATTTCACCGCCAAATTATTCCCATTACTAAATAAATTAACATACCAAGAAATAATACAGCTTGGGATGAAAATTAAAAATTCCGTTCATATTATTCACTTCCTATTTGAGCTTTTCAAATGTTGATATGACAAAGCTCAAAGCAAGCGTGAATTTGTTTCTTGAAACAATGCCACTTATGATTGAAATATAATATATGTTGCTGCCTACTCGCAATTTAGTCTTTGGTTTGGCTTACCAATTTATTAAATTAATTTGTACTGCTTACACAGATTCTATAAATTTGGTTGATATAGTTCAAAATTATATAATATACTTCTTAAACAAAAAGCTTAATTAGAATATACAATCATACTTCTAAAAATGGCAACTTTAACTTACGTATCAAATTCAGAGTCTGGTACTAAACTTGTACTTCCTGCCCAGTATCCCGTCGCCAAATTCAGTTTGGAATTTGACATTGATGCATCTGAAAAGTTGACAGATAATGATTCAGATAATTCATTGGACATCGAAGCTGACGAAGATACACCAAATTGTGTCGATGAAACAACTACTAAATCCACGAATTTATTTGAAGCATTAGACGAAATCATTGAAAATAATGATGAATTAATTTACATTATTACTAATATTTGTTTTGGGATTATTCTAACAAGTTTAATCATATCGATTTATTTTCCCGAGGTCGTTAAAAACAATCAATTCCTTTATTATTTACCGCTTTGCAAAGTATGTTCTAAAAGGTAGTTAAATAGGAAGTTAAATAAATCTTTATTCTGTTATAGCTTAAGCCAGTCAATTGTGTATAAAATATAATAGATATAATTAAATTCATTGAGCTGCTCTTTTAATTAACTTTCTATTTGCTGAGATATCGAAGTGTTATACATACAAAAGTTGCAACTCAGAACTGTTGTTCTAGTTTTCAAGTTGTAGTATTAAATATTTAAGTCTTTTATCTATTTCTTTGTTATGCTTGTCTTATTCATATGAATAATTTAACAAAATTATAAAAAATCGTTGGAATTGATATGTCAATATTAAATATACAGGTGAATCCAACTTATCCATCCCTTGACATTCAAAATCCGAATAATGTCAAATTTAAATTTGGAGAATGCTAAGCTGCTAATAAACATCTCAATAGGAAGATTACAAATCGAAGAAGAGGAGATTAATCCTGCCAATGAAGAAATCGATTTCGAAACCGTGGATGAGGAAATAGAAATGGAAGCTAGAATTATTTTGGACAAAATATACCATTCGCCTTTCTTCTTGTATTAGTGTTTTATATAAAGATGATATGCATAGCATACACATTGCTACATAAGTTAACATACGAAGAAAAACTACAGCTCGGTACCAAAATATTATTCATATACTATTTGAGCTTTTCATAAATTGACGTAATAAGGCTCATTGAAGAGTGAACTTGTAGTTTCTCAAATGCTACTTATGATCGGCATGCAACATATCTTGTATTAAATACTATGACAATATATTTTAAGTACTTCTGGTAATAAATAAACCATATAATAAATACGTTTACTCTGTTGGAATATAATAAATTTTCTGAACTATTGAAGGTACAACTGACTCTGTACTGCTAGATTTGAGCAGTATGTCTTCAAATGAAGATTTGAAATTTGGAGTACCCTTACACCTTACATTTTCTGTAGTAGGTAACTTATCACCCTTAACTTGACCATTTATTAATCTCTTCCAACTTTGATTACATTCTTGAATGATTTCAATTGTCTCTTGCAGATTTTTATATTTTCCATTAAAAGCGAATTCATTCTGAGGTTTACCATCAGCTAATTTATAATCTCTAAACCAACTTCGAGTACTTTCCAATAAACCTGGTGTTTTAAGGAAAAGATGGTGAATATCAAATACCTCTTTAGCCAAAGGATCTTCAATGTCGACAACGATTACTTTCCAATCAAGTTCGCCATCATCTATAAGTGCAATGCTTCCCAATATCTTCACCCTCTTAACAGTACCTGTTGAAATTATGTTTGATCCTATTTCACAGACATCGAGGGGATCATTATCTCCATAGAGGTTGATAGATTCATTTTTAGTTGTGGGATCTTCCCATGTTTGAGGGAAAGCTCCATAATTATGAATATAACCGTGATAAGGAAACAAGTTCTTGACGAACCTTACCTCACCTTTCTTAACATCTTGAACAATAGGATTACCTGGTAAGGATGTACTTATTTCAAATTTTGCATTGGACCATCGAGGAATCTCCACAATCATATTAGCTTCTCTTTTCTCGACATTTAAATCTAATGGGATATCATGGAAGTAAGAGATCACACTGCCTGTGTTCTTATCAATAGCATAGTTTTTAAAATCAGTAGTGTATTTTGTTCCTTGATTGATATTACCAATATTTGCAATTGTTGCTGCCGAATTAGCTGATGTAGAATTTAACCTGACAGGTGATATATGTTGGTTGGTCAACGATAACCTTAAAGCAGCAGTTTTATTATAGCCCATAGCCAAATATATACGAGGAAATGTCTTTAACAAAGTCAGTCTCATAGCAATTCTAAAAGAATAAGATGTGGTTCCTGATTTTATCACAATAATTCAGCTTATATAGATGTACCCCAATTAGGATTATTATTTTGTTCTTTTTTTTTTTTTCAATGTGGTTCCCGAGGTTCAAATCATTACTGCGAAAAGATAATCCCCTCACAATTATTCCGCTCTCAATTTCTACAATTATAATCAAAGAATCATTAAGAAATGGCTAGATACATTTTTAAAGAGTCATAAACAGAATATTAAAGGGATATGTAAGGTAATGAATAAATAAGCTATACTAAGTATAGGGCGGCAAGAGAAGTAAATAAATATGATAAATGTCAAATGCAGTCATGGATGGATTGATTAATTTGGAGCTTCACCAAGGAACTTGATATTACCCTTTTCATCGAAACCAGAGTTTTCATCAGTGATATTAACAATTGAACTTAATTCTTTGATTTCAATCTTGGATAATCCCATTGGATCTTCTGGAATCCAAACACCCGCACAAACAGCTGAAACAATTGGCATATCATAAGCATGTCTATCATCTGTAGTATCTGGTTCCACATGATATGTAGCTGGGATTAATCTTCTGGCATGACGATAGTTGAGGAATACATCCGGTCTGATGAATCTGACAATTGGATTTTTAGATTCAGTTGTTTTGAAATCACGATCAGCAATCAAAGGAACAATAGCATTATTATTCTCTTCCGAATTAACTGGTAAATCCTCATCAATTAAATCTTGCTTGATTTGTTGAGTAGCTTTAGCATCTTCTTCAATTTGCTTATCTGTTTGAACTGATTTTCTTTTATTCTTACGATCTAACACTTTGGATTGATATTCAGAAGCACCTTCATAAGAAGCAGTATTTGAAACACCATCTAAAGCTCTCATACAATCAATTGGGATAACTCCTAATAAAGGATCAAAAGCTTCCTTTAAGTGGATATGGAAGAAAATAGTGGCAAGAATACCAATCACTTGAAGAACAATTGGTCCCCAACCTTTACCAACTGCGAATATACCAAGTAAACAAACTTGACCAATATAAATACCAGTAAAGATTTGGAATAAAGCAATTGGATAATGTAAACCTCTAGTATCTGGACTTTCAATGAATATATAAGTTAAATTATGGGCATACGCAATGAACACTAAGAAAAAGGCCACACAGGCGAATAAAAGTATCATTGGTGCAATGATAGAATAAATCAAAGCAATACTAGCAAGATTGGTAAATATTGGGAAAGTAGTACCCCAAGCTACTGCACCTAATCCTGAAAATCTAGTCCACTTCTTTCTCACAGTACTATCTAAGAAGTATCCTAAAATGTAATATAAGAATAAACCAACCACTTGGAATAAAGCACCTGATGATACACTTAAACCTTGTAAGATGATATAGGATATATAAAAGTTGGAAGATTTTGGTAAATTGTTAGCTAAGATAGTTAATGCAGAAGTTGGTTTATCGATGATTTGAGTTACAGTAGAAGTTGCAGATGAAGCTAAAGCAGTAACTAAGAAACCATTAATGGTTAAAAATGCAAAATAGGTTCTTTGGGTGAATAATTCAACGTGTTGTAATGATGGAGCACCAGCAACTTGAGCCATACCTCTGATAAACATTGGTAATAACATCATTAAAATAGCTAATAAGATGGTTGGTAATAAACCAGTGATTAACCCTAATAAGAAATGAGGCATTTTTAAAATCCATCTTAACCAAGGTAATTTATTAGTTAAATAAGTAATATTTGAAATTACCCCAACAAAAGCTACTGGAATAGCCCATAAGATGATTAAAGCAACGACAGCTGAACCTGCAATAGCTCTTCTAGCAATTCTTTCCCACCAGAATAATCTTAAGTTAGACCAATTAATATCGGCTGGTTCAAGACCAGTAAAGGAAGGTTTCATTCTTAATGGATTATGATGGACAGTAGATTGATAAGCTAATTGAGCATAATATTGGTTTTCAAATTCTACAAAGATAGAATTTTTTGGTTTTGAAGTTCTAAATTTCTTTTGTAATTTATAAATTTCATCATTAATCTTTGGAATTTCTTCTTGACAATATCTAATGGTATCAGTCTTTTTAGAGAAGAAACCACCAACTTTATGTTTTGGTCTTTTCTTTTCAGGAACATAAGCACTGATTTCATCAACTGGTTCCAAAACTTCATTCTTTTTATCAGCTTTTAATTTAGCTTTAACGGCAGTTTTTAATAATTTATTCTCAGCTGCTTCTAACTGATTTACTAACCCAATTCTTTTATTTATTTTCCCTTCTAATTCTCTTTGAGTTCTTGGTACATAAATTCTTTTAACTCCATTGAAAAGTTTAAAGAATTGTTTTTCATCCAAGAGAGTATCTGGTACACTTTGAAATAACACGGTTCTGGATGATAATTTCTTTGCATATTTTGGCGATGATAAAACAGCAGTTCTTAACGAATTATAAAAGAATAATTCACGATAAATGACAAAAATAACTCCACCATAGTAGATCCAACTCATAAAGGCATGTGCATAATATCTATGTCTATTTTTAACGTTTGAAATAGATAATTGATCTAAACCAGTTCCACCATTACCATTGGTAGCATTGATTGGCAATAAAACAGTCCAAGTTAACATACCGAATAAGAAGATTAAACCAAACATGAATAAGAATCTTAAGAATAAATAACCATCCATACCAGCTTGTTGAATGACGAAGGAATGAGGTTTGGTAAGTAATATGAATATCCATGAGAATGGATCCTTTGGTAAAGGAACAGGTCTTTGTTCTTCAGGAACGATATCAAATGAAGATTTAGGGGAATAAATACGTTTGAATTTCAATCTTAATAGTAAGAAACAAACAACGAATATACTAAACAACACTAAATTAGCCACTAACGTGGAAAGCACTGCAGATGTAGAAGTAGCAGTAGAAGTCATGATCTATTTTTTGTAGTAAATGAAATAACTAGGTAATATGAATGATTATGGGTATAAATATAAAAGGCAAATAAACAAGGTTTCACAGAACTATTAGTCAATTGTTAAATCAAATAGATCAGATAGATGAGCAATGGGGGATTATCCGACCTAGGTGATGAGCAATGGGCAGATGAGGGAGGGAGGGGTTGGTGAGGTAAGATCGAATGGGGGGTATCGAACGGTCTAATTAACCAAATATCAATTGAATGGATTCGATTAGCGAGTAGAGAAGAAGAGGAAGAAGAAGAAGAAGAAGTAAGAGTATATAATAGAAATCAAAGTTTGACTATAAAATGATGATGATGATTTTAAAGTTGTTCTTTCCTGAAATTAATTTTGTGCTATGTTTTATAATGATACGAAATTTATGGAACTGAAATTTGTCATACAAAATAGAATTAGTAAAGTTCCAGAGGTGATGATGATGTGTGATGAGTTAATGCTACTGTGGAAGTATGAATGTTCCATCTGTTCCATAGCTTACATATCCATATCCCTATAGAATATCATAGGTCAATTACTGATACAACGGTCAAGGAACGGCTAGCAGATTAAGGAGAGAGGAGATGGCTTAAACTCAAAATCGAGCCTGTTGATCTTTGCTGCTGTTGCTGCTTGTCCCCCCGTTAAATTAGGGACTAACTAACAAAAGTTTGAGAAGAGTTGAAAGGAAATGTCAATAACAACACAAAAATTACGACCAAAAATTTCTTTTTCTTTCTTTTTTTTTTTCGTTTTCACCCTTCAAGCCGTATACTATTTATTTAAAGTAACCCTAAAGTTTAAAATCATCGAACAGGACGAGAAATTTCATTTCAATTTCATTTCATATCTGTTCAATTTAATTTCATTTTGATTTGTATTCCCATTCCAATTTAATTTAACCTCAATTAACACTTCTTAATTAAGTAATGGCTCAGCAACTTTATTCTTACAAAATATTTCAACAAACTTGAATTGAACAATGAAATATTTATTTTTAATTAATTTGGTCATTGTTTACTATGCAGGAAATGTGATCTCTTTAATCAATTTAATCAACCTTAAATTGAATATCATTCGTCAATTTATACCTCTATTTCCAATGATGTGATGTATGGTCTACTCCCGAGGCCAGATAGTCAAATATCAATATAAACGATTTCAAGTACTGGTTGAAACCCCTTTAATTATACTTATAAGCCCCATATCTTACCATTTCCCTTTTTTGATCTGGGATTTCATTCGAGACTCTAACCGAAATCAAAAGCGAGACGAAAACTTCTTTGTTGGTCCACCCAATGTCAGTTTATGCCTTGCTATGTGACACCCTCTTTTTCAGACACGTTATTTGTTTATCAGTAACTAGTGTCAAATTCAAATAAAGTATTTGATTTTATATGAAATTTATCATTCTTTTCATGTATGATTGCAATAGTAAACAACTTAATATTGAAGTATTTAGTAAAATCATCGTATTTTGATCACGTGTGCGATATTCCTGCACAATGGTACAAATATTAAATACAAATTAACTACATATATTTGTATTATATACCTACAATTAAAGTAATGGTGCTAAGTTTCAGGAGATTCTAGTATACGATTAATGAGTAATATCACTTATTAATTCAATGTAAGGTAATAGAAAATTAATTTTAAAAATGTAATCACGTGCCTGATTTGATCAATTTAACACGACCAAATTTTTAAAAATTCAAAAAATTTAGGCAGTGTGGCCGAGTGGTTAAGGCGACTGACTCGAATCTTTTGAGTTATCAGTTGGGATTCTCCCGCGCAGGTTCAAATCCTGCTGCTGTCGTTAATGATTAATTTTTTAAAAATTTTTTAATTTATGCTTAATTCGCAACTAGATTTTTTTTTTGATTATTCATACGTGTTAAACTATACATTAACTATATTTATGCTTTTAAGTTGTTGACAATTTTGAAATTGGCTTAACTTAAATCATGAGACTTAATTTCAAATTTTGTTATTCAAATGATAGTTGATGTTTTAATCGTATAATTTTATTTTTGTCTTTATTTGAATACAGAAGAAATAGCCATATCTAGAGGTTATGTTCATATTATTAACCATAACATGACACCATCGGAGTATTGATTATCTTCTGTTGATGATACAAAAATGTAATTCATATCGTAGAAACCAATATAAATTAATTTTTATAAATTAAGACTTTTTAATATCAGCCGTATCGATTAAACGTTTTTTTAAATCATTCATTAACTTCATCAATGATTTAATTGAAAACAACAAATAAACTATACTTACATGGTCATTCCAATTTCTGGCTGGTAGCTCCTCCCCTCTGATTCTACTAATCTTGTTGCAATATTATAGTATAGTGTCAATGTTAGTTGATAAATGAAGTTTATTTTGATTATTCCTAAATAGGAAATTACTCAATGAGGACATGCCATTACAGTTTAACTCACACCTCCTTTTTTTACAGATTAAAAACGCGAAATGTTTTTTTTGGTTAACAAAAGAAATCGCGTCACAAATTTCATTTTAAACGCGTAAATTTATATTTTGAGATGTGAATTAGATCCACCATATTTAGGGGGAAGGGAGGGGGATACCTCAGTTAGACTATATAACCTGAATTTGGTATGAAATTGTCAAGTGGGAGAGAGTGTCAGACAAGTGGTATCTCCCTTAAATAAAGATATTGTATCTAATTTTATATTATATTTCCTTCCATTGTCATAAGTTATCCATCCATCCTTCTGTCTATTTTATTTTAATTGGAGTAAATTAAATTGTATATATTTTTTACTATTTCTTTTATTTTCATTTTTTATAAAAATAAAATTTGTTTAAACGCTTTCCCAACCTTCATTTCGAACTACACTAATCTACTACCATATCCCATTTTGCTTAACCTGATTGACGTTGATCAAATCAATTAGAAATCGTTATTCTCAACCTACTAGCGAGGCTACCAACAAGCAAGTAAGCAAGAAAATCAGACTTCAATAGAACGAAAGAAAAGAAAAAGATCAAAGAAGAGTTATATCATCTGTCCTACTCATCCAAAGTTGACTCTGATATCTGACTAATCCATCTTATCTATCGATAAAGAGGTTACATCTATAAATCAATCAATCAATCAATCAACTATTCGCTACATCTCCAACTATAATACTACTACCATGTCAGCAGCTTCAGGAAAACTTTCAAATTCAAGGTTCCCATTACAGGAACAATCATTAAATAATGATGCTTCAAATTTAAAAATTACTGATACTCCAATAAGTTATAAATCAAACTATAAATCAAAAATGACAACTCCTCCTGAAAGTATCTTTGCTAATAGAAAAAGACCTTTAAGTTTTGAAACTCCTATATCGAAACATATGAATCTTCAATCTAATTTAGTTCATGATCCAACCAATATTAACTTAGATCCAACCATCCTTTCCGCAAATGCAATGATGAGTCCATTGTCAAAATCATTATTATTATCCCCTGCTTTTTCTTCACCCCTGCAACAACAATATCTTCAACAACAACAACAACAACAACAGCAACAGCAACAGCAAAATTCTGTCCTTAGCTATAATCAAACTTTAAAGCCTCCAACCTTCATTAATCCTTCAAGCTCTTCATTATCCCTTGCAAGTGATGATAAACAATCTACTACCACCACTAATGCCAATCCTACTAAAAAGGTTAAAAAGGCAAAACCAACCAAGGAAACCGCGTTTGATTTACAATCTGAAGATAAACCTCCATATTCTTATGCCACTTTAATTGGTATTTCCATCTTAAGTCATGAAGAGAAAAGATTAACCTTATCTCTGATCTATCAATGGATCTCAGATACTTTCAAATACTATAAACGTGAAGATGTAGGATGGCAGAATTCGATTCGTCATAATTTATCTTTAAATAAAGCATTTGTAAAAGGTGATAAATCTAAAGATGGTAAAGGTCATTTTTGGTTAATTAAACCAGGATGTGAAGAACAATTCTTAAAATCAAGATCAGTTAAAAAGAGTTCTTATCATGAAGTAATGGATCAAATCAAAAGTGCCAATCATAATTGGAATAGAGATGATACTAAACGTTCTATGAATGCTATTCCTTCATCTCCTGATATTACTCATGATTATAATAATAATAATGAAACAATCCATCAATCTAAGAGAAGAAAAGTTGATAAATCAGCCGATTATGATGGTAATGCCTTTGAAGATAATGATGAGGAAAATGATGAATATGATTATACTTATGTTGATGAAGAAGAAAGTAATGCTAATACCAGTAAGTCAAACATTCAAGATCACGATGATGACGATGACGATATCAATGATGACGATGATGATGCTGATGTTACTACTCAATTAGTTCAAAGGGGTAAGAAACACGATAAGAATGATCCCTATTATAATGTTACTAAGACACCAAATGCAAATAGTCATGCTCCAACCTTTGTTGTAACTGAATCTCCTGATAAACCTTTATTAGCAGGAAAGAATTTAACTTATACTTCATCTTTCAGTTGTAATTCAAATTTGGAATTATCACCTGTAAGACCAAGTGAAACTGGTCCTTTATTAGAACCATTAACTCCTGCCAATAATATTTATCAAAAACAAAAACAACAACAATCATTATTACCTTTGAGTCAAAACACTCCATCAACTACTTCTTCAACCACTATAACAGCTACTGCTACCATAGCTTCAACTCATCAAACTTTACAAGCATTAACTCAATTATCTAATTTACCTGTTTTATATCAAAGACCTTCTTTAATCAATAATCATATACTGCAAATTCAACCTCCAAATCATCCTACTACTACTACAACTACAACCACTCTTAATACACACAACTCATCGACCACTACTAATATGTTACAAAAGACTCCAAAGAGTAATATTATAAGAACTCCATTAAGAAATTTAAGAACTCCACAAAATAACTCCATCATGAAGAAATTGTGGAATTCCCCATCTTATTTGGATGATTTCTATTACAGTCCTTTAATCAATAATCAAACTAATAATAGTACGATTAATTCTGCTTCTCGAACTTTTCATCATAGTTTAACTTCATATGATGATGATGATATGATACTTAGGAATTATGAACATCATCAACCTCACATTTCAGCTTCATCACCATTATTAAGGCGATCAAATAGTGTTTCTACTATATCGATTGATTCTAGTAGAAATCTTTTCAATGACTTTAAAAAGATGGAAGTTTCAAATACGGAAGTTAAACATAATGATAGAAGTTCTCCAACTACTGAACCTGATGATGAGAATTAATATATCTTAAGGATCTTTGGTAGCGGATGCGTGTGTGTTTTGTGTGTATATGTGGCCTCATATTTTGGTAATTAGGGTTAATTGGTTTTTCAGTTCTTGGTGTCCATTTTGCTTTATGGCTTTCATTGATTAATCTTTGAAACTGTTTTGTTTTAGTTTTGTTATTATCTGTTAGTGCTTTTTATTCGTTTTGTTATTTCCAGTTAGTTTTTACTTTTTAAAAAAGTACTTTTATTAATTCTATTTAATCTCTATTGTTATATTCCTCTATTGTATTATTCACTTGTTCTTTGTTTTGTTTACCTTCTAATTATACATATATTACATTTATTTATCCCTTACCTATTCAATCTGTACTTGCGCAACCTTTACAACCACAAGTAATACATTCAAGAGTCTTGATTTTAGATGGATCTTCATTATTCTCAAATAACTTATCCTTTGGTACTCGACAAATACATGGATTCTTATGATTTTTATCAGATACTAAGATACATTGTACACAACATAAATTCTCATATCCTTGTTTCTTCCACTTCGCTATTAAAGAAGAATTAACGTAATTCTGTAAAAGTAACCAACCATAGAGCTCTTTACTGATTAAATGACGACTATAATGCATATCATACACATATCGTGTGATTTGAAAATTTAATTGAATGATTTTCCATAATGATTGATTCTTAGTTTTGATCTTATCATCTTCTGATTGTGCTTGTTTCAACTTTTCTAACAACTTTTCTAAAGTTGGTCTGATTTTATCATACCCTTCTGGTGGTGGAGAGTTCTTCTTTATCCTCTTTGTAGGTACTTTAGGCATGATCTATGTTGAATGTCTATAGAAACTACAAACATTTTGGCTGCATATTTTTTTGATTTTTGCCTTTTTTTGGTGATCCATTTTTTCCCATTTTTAAAAGTGAGAGACAAATTGATAAACTTAAAATTAGGCCTTTAACTTCTTTGTCATTCATCAACCATCAACCACTTGTTAACAGATGGAGGATTCAGTTCAGTCTCTCATTCGGTTCGTAGGAAGGTCATTTTATGATTTGCCGTATATATTGATTCTTGATGCTGTCTTAAAACATTCTGTGTTATCGGAAGATGATTTAATTCATTTACTAAGTATCAAAAGAAAAGAATTAAGAGCCTTATGTTATAAGTTGGTTGATGATAGACTATTAACAAATCATATCCAGAAGGAAGAAACTGGTCAACAGAAGTATGTCACAAGGACGTATTTCTTCATTCATAATACAGAGGCCATAGATGCCATCAAATGGAGAGTTCATTCTATTGTAAATCAATTGAAAGAAGAAATGTCACAGTTTGGTAATCCTCAAGGTTATGTATGTCCAAGGTGTGGGAAGAAAGTAAGTCAACTTGATGCGATATCTTTACTTAGTGAAGATAAAACTGAATTTATTTGTGATGTTTGTCAAGGTGTATTAATAGAAGATGATTCAAGTCAACAAGCATCCATAAGACAAGAAAAATTAGAGAAATTAATGCTTCAAGTTGATCCTATAATCTCATATTTGAAAAAGATAGATGAATCCAATATCGAAGAAAATGATTTCGAATCAGCTCTTGTTTTATCGATTCCAGCTCAAAGTGTTTCAACCGCATCTTATTCCTTATCCAATCGTGTCAGTGCCAAATCAAAATCAAGTGCAACTCTCCAAAACCAAGCTGCAAGATCACAAGCTACCTTACATGTGTCCATCACTGCCAATGATGAGAACTATGAAAGAGAACAAATGGAAAGAGAAAAGAGAAGACAAAGATTGGAACAAAATGCATTACCATCATGGCATTCTGGTAGTACGGTTGGAAAGGGTAATTTGGGTAAGATTACTGATGATGATTATGAAACTTATAGTAAAGAAGGTACTCCTATTAAGAATGAAAATGGTGAACTTGAAGTTAAGACTGAAGAAATGCAAATTGATGATAGTATGGAATCAAGTACAGGTCAATCATCTGCTAATCCTACACCTGAAACAAGTACAGCTCCAACCTCTCATATCATGGACTCTACAGATCTTAAAGATAAAGAGGCTCAAGATGCATTGGCTTCATTCTATGCTCAATTGGCCAAACAAGAAGCAGAAGAAGATGAAGAAGAAGACGATGATGATGATGACGTTGATGATGATGAATTTGATGATTTGATATAGTTTTAATCATATCATTGCATCCTGATTGCATTTCTTGAATATAGTATAAACAGTTGATATCTCATGATGTCATTCATATAAAATAATATTAGTAGTCATATATACTTTATGTAAACTTTTTTAATGAGTCAAAATTATATCGCAATACGCCGCATTGTGGATGCTTCTCCTGTAAAGGGAAATTTTTCAGTAATTTTTTTTTTTTTCAATTTTTCACGATAAGTTTAAATTGATCTTACTGAAATCATATCTTGTTTGTGAATATACTTATTGTACTTTAGAACTTGGGTTTAACTTCTTGTATCTAGTTTTATCGTTCATTCCCATACTTATAGAATCATTAATACATGTCAAATGTAAGTATTTATCTACTACTATAGAGGGTTAATAAGTTACCCCGGAAAGTAAAATTTCATTTATCAAAATCAATACTAACTTAAATCTATTTAGAAAAAGCAAACAGATCCATTAAAGTCATTCATTGCCGGTGGTACAGCCGGAGCAATAGAAGGGGTGGTGACTTATCCCTTTGAGTTTGCTAAGACTCGTTTACAATTAGTTGATAAACTCTCAACCCAATCCCGAAATCCGTTGGTATTGATATTCAATACTGCCAAATATCAAGGTCTTGGTTCATTATATGTGGGATGTCCTGCCTTTGTGGTTGGTAATACTGTTAAAGCATCTATCAGATTCTTAGGTTTCGATTCCATTAAAGCTTTATTGGCAGATAAAAATGGGAAGTTATCAGGTCCAAGAGGTGTGATAGCTGGTCTTGGAGCTGGGTTATTGGAATCAGTGATTGCTGTCACTCCTTTCGAAGCCATTAAGACTGCCTTAATCGATGATAAACAAACTGCCAAACCAAAATATCAAAATGGTTTAGTAGCAGGTACAGTTAAATTATGTCGTGATCTTGGATTTAAGGGTATTTATGCTGGTGTGGTTCCTGTTTCTTTAAGACAAGCTTCAAATCAAGCTGTTAGATTAGGATCATATAACGCTATTAAAACAATGATACAACAAGCATCCGGTACTAAACCTAATGAACCATTAAGTTCTATCGCCACCTTTGCTGTGGGTGCCTTTGCTGGTACTATAACAGTCTATACTACTATGCCAATTGATACAGTTAAAACAAGAATGCAAGCATTAGGAGCTGATAAAATATATAGTTCAACTTTGAATTGTTTCGTTAAAATTTTCAAAGAAGAAGGTTTATTAACATTTTGGAAAGGTGCTACTCCAAGATTAGGAAGATTATTCTTTAGTGGTGGTATAGTATTTACAATTTACGAAAAAATGTTAGTTATAATGGGTTAATCTTTGTTTTTACAAACGATTACAAACATAGAATATTTAAAAGAATCATTAAAAGTGTATATTAATATAATAAAATTTTCTAGAAAATTATAAATTTAATTTGTAGGTTCATCTTCATGCTCGGGATTAGGCTCATCATAATTTTCAACATTAAATGTAGTTGATGTGACATTAGTTTCTTGATTAGGAGGTGATAAAATGACTTTTTCAATTTGTTTAACTTTATAGTAATCAACAACGGCTTTTATAATTATGAATAATCCGAATGCTATAGTACCATATGCAATATAAGGAGCACTTGTTGGGGATTGTATGGATGAAGATGCATCATTAGAATGTTGTTGGAATAAACCTGAATTATAATTATCAATTACTCCACTTGTAGTCTTTTGGAATTTATCAATATCATATTGATTTGGAGATTCTGGTTCAAAACGATCAGGTACACGATCAGAATGACCGAAATTAGCAGGAGTCATTTGGTAACCATAAATAACAAAGGTTATACCAAGACCAGCTCTCGAACCATGTTTTGCGGCATGTGAAGTATGTAATAAATAACATAATACGAACCCTACAAATTGGAAAGCAACAGTCACAAGAGCATTCCATGCAAAGTTCGCTATATTACCAACTGGTAAACCTTCAACAAATACCTCATCTTCATACATTGGGGATATAACAGTTGATTCCCAATATTCGGGAGTTGCATCAGCAGCAGCTTCTTCATAAGTTGGAGGATGAGTTTCTTGTTCCTGTGTAGCCGAATCAGTATCAGGTTTTGCCATTAAATTACGGAATACACCATCTGTTCCTTGTCCTACGAAACTTCCTGGAGAATTTGATTGCATTCTTCCTGTTGTTAATCCATTATTAATTCTCTCATATGTTTGTTTGATAGGTACTAAATGATGAATCACATTTAAAATACGTTGTCTGGTAGTTAATCTTCTTGATCTTCTTTGCAGTTCCAAGTCACCATTATTTTCATGGGATGCACCATCTATTGATGTTGTTGCTTGAATGTTGGATGAAGATGAAGATGCTGTGGGTATATGATTATTGACGTCATTTTCATTATTTATAAAGTTTGAAGAAGCAGATTCAAATGATTGTAAATTCAAATTACTTGATGAAGCACTTCCTAAACGATCATCTAAATCTTCAGATAAATCCTCTATACGTTTTTGTTTAAGTTTGGTTTCTTCATATTCAGACTCAGGAGTATGGAACGAGTCAAGTAAGCGGCGACTTTCTGGTTTGGACAGTGACAGTATAGAATTCATATCATCTAACTCAGATGAGTTCATTTCATCTATAGAGTCTCTGGTTGGATCTGGTTGAGAAGGAAGCTAAACAATATTTGTTAGTATTGAACAACTTACTACTTAGAGGGGGCAAAGTAAAAATTAGTAATAATCTCTTGGCTACAAGATATTATCGTCCACCCCAAACCCCTAATAGTCAACAAACGTTATGAATACATACCCTTGTGAATTCAGTCATGTTGATGATAGACTGTAATATGGCTATAGTAATGATAATAATAGATACAAAGTTGATCTATGTGGTAAACCCAAGTATATATTGTAAATATTGCATGTCAGTTTCAATTCTTTTTTTTTTTTAACCACCTCTCATTTTCGTATAAACAAAATCACAAAAAGGGGATAAAATCTGTCACGTGAGTCTATTTATAGCTAAAAATTAATTAATTAATTTAGTTACTAAACACATATAAAATCAATAACTACTTAAGCTTGCTTTTGCTTTGCTTGCTTAGCTTGCAATGCAGTTCTTTTTCTAAGATTACGTAAAACAACTAATTGTTTGAAATGATAAGCAACTCCTAAATTAAGTACCCATACTGGTAAGAATCTAGATGCAAAGTGAGTAAAATAAGCTAAAGCACCTCTATAAATATTAAATCCAGGATCATACTTTCTAGTAATGGTTGAAACCACTTGTTCAGCATAAGATTCAGGAGAAATACTAAGATCTCTGGACATGGTACATGAAGCACTTAAACTTTCATAGATTCCTGGAACATCGAATCTTGATCCTGCTACGGAATTCTTTACATTAGAATCACAAATAGCAGTATCAACCCCACCCGTAATAACAGAATGAACTCTAACTCCAAATGGTTCCATTTCCATATGAAGGACTTTAGCATATTGATCAATGGCTGCTTTAGTGGCACAATAAGGACCAATCCATGATAATGGAGCTCTTGCCGCAATAGAAGCAGTATAAACAACAATCCCTTTAGTTTCAATAACATAATCAATCATATATTTAGTCATATAAATATGACCTAATGTATTGACATTGAAAAGACGAACTAAAGCATCATCATCGAATTCAACACTTGGACCTCCAAATGAAATACCAGCATTATTATACAAAATATCTAATCTACCTCCAGTTTGTTCTTTTATAAATTCAGCTGCCTTTTTAATATCTTCAAGCTTTGAAATATCACAAACAAAAGGAACTACTCCATATTTCTCAGCTAAAGGTTTCATTTCCCATATAGCAAATTCAGGAACACATCCAAATACTTTATAACCTCGTTTAGATAATGAAATAGCCAATTGGTATCCAATACCTGATGAAGCACCAGAAATTAACGCATATTTTTGTTGTGCCATATTTACTATTGATAGAGTAAACCTTTTTTCAAAATCTAACTTTTAAGAATTCAATTAAAGAGAAAAGAAAGTGATAATAAATGGTTAAAATAGAATTATTCACATTCATATATTTTACAAAACTTTAAGGCTCAAATCAGCCTTTAACAATACATAAAAATAATAAATAAATAAAATCAAATGTGAAATTGATAACGGAATTGGTGTTTATTATCCATATATATTTTGTATGGGACTGCATATAGATTTGTTGGTTCCCCCATGTGAAAAAAAATGTGGAGAAACAGAACTACCACATTGTAAAGACTAATTGGTATTATATCCAAAGTAAATGGTATTATTCGTATATTATTTGGGGTAAATCCTTATAAGGTTTAGATTGCATGTTTAGCGATAATCAGAATTAATTCTGCAAAAGAATACTTCATAAGAGGGTTTAGAACCTAACCATCTATCGTTTTGATTTTAATTATCTCGTATTTTAAACCGGATCACTTATCCATGGTTCTCCCATGTGCACAAGTCCAAAACTTATTTTAAAATTATTTTTTTATTAAAATATAATACATAATTATTCTATCTTCTGTGTCTAATGGTAAGTATAAACGTTCCTGTAGCAACATCATGATTGTAAAATACTCTTTCAGTTTCTACAATCGTTGGTGCTGGTGGTGGAGGTGGTGGTATATAATCAGGATTTTTAACTTGAGATTTACTAACATAAATTTCATTGTATTCATAAATATCGGGAACTCCTAAATCAACTCCACCTGGTAAAATACTTGAAGGGGCTGGAGTTCTGAATGTTTTTGGTAAATCGGATAAATCAGGTAATATTGGTCCACCTCTTCCAGCATGTGAAGCAATTCTTCTTGATGTGGTACCTCTACTAGTTGTATTTTGTAATTGTTCTTGTTCAGTCTGTAAATGTCTTCTTTTACGACGACTTTCCCTTTCAATTTCTTTCTCAAGTCTTTCAACTTCTAATTGTGTCAATTTAATTAATGATGGACTATAATCAGCTACACTAGTAGGATTTCTTAATATTGAAAAGAAATCATCAACCACATTATAATCCTGGGATACTAATCGAAGAGATGGTAATAAATGACTTCTGATTTCATCTTCATGAATTGGACTGCCATCAAAATTATGACCTACTAAATGTAATGCCTTATGATATAATTGAGCTTGTTCTCGTATACTATGAGCAATAGCAGTAGTAAACTCTCCTGGTAAATTTAATTCATCACACATACAAGTAGCAAAATCTTCAGGATCATTTTCAGCATAATTTAAAATATCCCATTCAAATTGATCAGTAAGTTGAGTATTATTAATAGTAATATCTAACTTAATTGGAATTCTAATTTCTCCAAATGTTTTTTGTGGTTTCTTTTGATAATCATTAATTTGCTCTCTAATTGATGACAAAATAGTATCATAAAACACTTTAGGAATAAATTTGTAATCTTCCAATATTTGTCTAGTGAATCCTTCAACCGACATAACTTCTTCATTTAAATCCCATAAAAATGTATCTCTTAACTTAAATCTATCTCTTTCAACGTCAAACTCTAATCTGATAGGTACATAATGTTTTGGTTTATCAGTATATTTAGCAACTTTAGTAATAATTTGTTGGTCAGTTAAATCACGATCTGGAAACAATACTTTAGTAGCTGTATTACTTATACCATTGGCGTAACCTTGATACCCTTCGCCCCAAATAGAGTTATTAAATTGATTCTTTTGAGAAAGATTAATGGCATTCATTCGAAGTTGCTTAACATGGGAATAGGCTTGTAAATCTTTTGATATACGACCTAATTGTGATTTATCCTTTTCAATCTGGCCTGAAATAGCATTAAGATAACTAGCATCCTTTTTGATTAATGATTCGTATAACTTAACATCAGATGGTGTATCTTTACCTTCTTTTTGAAGTGAATCTGACCATTCATTTAAACTAGTTAATGTTCTCATCGGCAATTTAGCAAGAACTTCAGGTGGGAACTGAGGTGGTAAATTGGGATCTCTTGGTATATCAGGAACAACTCCAGTTATAGGTGCACCCGTTCTATCTTGCATTGGTGGACTATGATTGGGAAGTCCTGGTGGAGGTACAACTTGACCAGGACCAGCAAACTGTGGACGTTGACCAGGCAAACCTTGAACTGGAATATTTTGGTTTAATAAACGTTGTGATGGTGGTTGAGGTAATGGTGCTTGACCTCCAATAGGTATTTGTTGTTGTAGATGTGGTTGAGGTGGTTGTTGTTGGTTTGGAAGCGGTTGTTGTGGTAGCTGCTGTTGCTGTTGTTGTTGCTGTTGCTGCATTGATGCTTGTTGCATCATCCGTTGTCTTTGAAGCTGGGCCCTCATTATTTCTTGGAATTGTGGATGGCTCTTGAATTGTTGTAATTGTTGTGGTGTAAGGCTAGCAAGAAATTGGGGTGTTATGGGCATACCTCTACCTGGTTGTTGTTGCTGCTGCTGCTGCTGTTGTTGCTGTTGTTGTTGCTGTTGACCGGGAACGGGTTGCGACATTTGGGAAAGTCCGTTGCCCAGAGGTGGCGGTTGATTAAAATTCATTATTCTTCCACTTATAAAATGATTGATTGAATGTTTATGTTACAGTTTTGTATATTTAGAGATAGTTACGCAAAATATGAAATGTTTCTGGTACTTCAACCTCAAAATGGATACTGAAAAAAAAAAATACATTTGTGTTCCACACGACTAGACGCTACCAAAATGCGAAGATAAACTTTTAGAAATTTATTAATTTAAATAATATACATATAATTAAGTCATGAAATCAAATATTGATCTCATGTTAACATACCTACGACCACAGTCATCAAGGTACTTATTAACCACTTCTTGACATGCACTAAATGTCTCCCTATTTTGTTCGGATAATGCATCTACTTGACCGGAAGGTAATTTAGTTGGTAAATTCTTATCATCAAAGTTATAAATTGGTCTTAATTCATTCTTCTTGGTCTTATCAACATCAAATAGAGAATTGAAATATAACAACTGGTTGTATAATGCCTTATCTGTGTACTTGAATCTCATGATACCTTTACATCCGTAGGCTTTTCCTGATGTACCAATACAACGCTTACCATATACAGAAATTTGTCTTGTTGTAATACCACAAGCAGCATCGTCACAAACTAACCAACCGTTATAATATAATGAAATGTGCTGCCTTATTGTTCTTTCTAATTGTGATGTGAGTTTTAATATTGGGAAAGTGTATTGACAACTTGAGCAAGTTACACCATTAAATGTAACGTTATAATCATGAGAGGCTTGAATACCACCAAATCTAAATTGTTTATCACACTTACATTTTAAGACTAAGAAACTTGAATTATTGAATCTTTCTGCATCTGATATACTTGATTCTAAAGGCATGATTTCTCCAGATTGTCCTTCATTGTTTCTAACTCTTAATACATATTTCTTAGTGTCAATACCTAAACATTTTGCAACTCTCATCATATCAACACCTTCAATTCTCTCCAACAATCTTTCCACTGGAGCGAAGATTTGTTTTTCAAGATAATATTCTGCATCAGGATAAAGATTGGAACCTTTACTAAAAACTTCTTGGATAGCTCTTGCTCTTTCGGCTGGGGTTGAGTTTTCATCTTGCTTACCTGAATCGGTAATAATATACGTTATAACGGCACCTGCTTTGATAACTTTCCCTTCATTTCTTAATCTTAAAGCTACTTGAACTTGGGGCATGGATTTACCATTTGGATAACTACCTGGATCCTTTGATAATTTGGTATTTATTCTGAACTTTTCAGCCCCAATATCTCTATTTTTTATCTTACCAGTCATTTCCTCTAAGTAATCATAAACTTCACCAAGTGCTTGTTCTGGGTCTAAGTCAGACAAAATCTTCATCAAGACAAACGTAGAAATATCTTTCGAAAGTTGACAGTATTCACGACGTCTCATATCTAAACCTTTAACTTCCAATGTTGTATTAACTTCACCAGTTGTTTTATTAATGGTTGCATTCATGGCAGCATACTTCTTCTTGGCATGTAATAAAAGCCTCTTGAACACATTATCGATATCAATTTCTAATAATCTATAACGTTCATTGACCTTCAATTTGAATTCTTCCCCAATCTTTAAAGCTTCATTAAAGTTATCTACACCAGTATCAATCATAACAGAATCTGTATCACCATAAACAACTCTTAAACCAATTGACTCAGCTAATTGTCTAGTGTCCATTAAAATTTCTCTACCCTTATTGGTAACTAACATTGCTAGTGGTTTAGCATAGAATCTTGATAAGACATAACCTAAACAACCATACATAGAATTGGCAGTTAATTTCAAAGCTTGTTGTTTAATATCAAATTGAGCTTTTTGGAATGGTGTGTTCTTAGGATCCTTTAAAAGTTTCTTTACTTCTCTACGACGATTGACCAAAGTACTCAAAAGACGAGGAAGAACACCAGCAGTACTATCTCTTTCTGGAATAACTGGCATATCACGATCTTCATCATGTGTTACGTTAAACTGATCTCTCTCAATAGTGGTGAAACAAATGTTGAATTCTTGAATAATACTAGGATATAAGGAATTGAAATCCATAACCAAAACAAAATTCTTATGTAACCCCTTTTCAGGTTCAAACACCAAACCCCCTTGATATTTTGGTTTTTTGTTCGAAGTAGCTGTAGTTGCATCATCCTCAGTAGATTCAATCATTTTAACTTGAGTGGAATTTTTATGATATTTATCTTCTTTATCAGGAACAATATAATTATTTCTTTTAAATTCATGTAACAAAATAAATTCATTTCTACCAGCTCTTGTACCACTAAGAGTATGAGACCAAGCATTACCAGCAATATTTGTTAATTGTTTTGATAATGATAAGATTTGAATGGAGAATGCAATTTCAGCTGTGATTTTAACATTAGTGAAGTTTTCCTTTAATGCCATCATCAAGAACGAAGCATCTTCTGAGAATTTAGGATTCAGGAAATTAATTTCCATAGGGTTGACTTCTTTATGACATACCACATCATACATTTCAGCAATTTCCCATGATTGACATTTTGGAGTTAATGATTGACCTAATTCGTTAGCAACATCACAAAGTAAACGACCTTGAAAAACTTCTCTGATCAATAAATTGTTATTAAATGAACTTTTATTAAATCTATCAGGCCATGATTTTCTATTACGACGTCCAAAAGTCGACCAAGTATACACTTGAAGATCATGCATTCTCTGCACTAAAACATCAAGGGAAATATTCTCAAGTCTATGACCAACGAAAACATCAGGGTCAACGGTCTTAACATATCCAGCAAGAAAGTTTAATAACACCTTTTCGTTAGGGAATGTTTTAACGTTGATATTTTGTTTTTGAGCCAATTGTAATAAACCTGGTGGAATATTAGCCGAAGTACCTATTGGACGAACAAGAGTCATGGTTGAATCGGGTTGCAAACTTTCTTCAATAGGAGCATCTTGGGGAACATTTTGATATGTAGCAAGAGAAACTGAGACGATTTCTTGTTTATTTTGTTTTGAATTCATACAAGTTTGAACAGCAATAGAAGTTATGGTTAAATTTGGAGGTTCTGGAATTTTACCTTCAGTAATTGGATTAACAAATTTTGGTGCTCCTACAGCAACTTCAATTTGACAATGGGATGAATTTTGAATAGCGTTGAAATCACCATTGGAAATCTCTAACCAGCAAGGACCCATAATGTTTTGTTGTAATACAAATGCTTCAAAAATATTTGAGTTTGTTCCAAATGCTCTTTTAAAGGTTTGTCCTTCTAATTCGGATGGCATTACTACAGTTCTATTCTTCTTTGTTCTGAATGGAAGCAATACTTTTAAATATTCGGTTTCTGTCTTTGGAACATCAGGAAGTTCAAAGGCATATTTCATTTTTTCAGGTCTTGCTCTAAGTTGTTCTAAACCATACTTTTCAATTAATAAAGGAACAATTTCTTCGTGGACATCTTCTGGAGTGATTTCATCTTCTTTATCCTCTTCACCATCGACTAATCGATATTTCCTTGGTAAAAAGTAAATTTCACGGCATAAACCATTAACTTGGACAACAGCAGATGCATATTTTCCTTCACTTACTAACACTTTACCAAACAATAATAACGTACCATCGACTTCACTATAATCTAACCAGAACATCTTGAATGAATTTGATTCTGATTCTTTCATAACTATTTCTTTATCTAATTTTTCATTATGATTAACAAAAGATGTATCAGCATGTCTTAAAGGTGAAGAAGATTGAATATCCTTTGCTTTAACTGATGAGAATGTAGCTCTATTGTTTCTACCGAGAACAGCTGCAGCTCTAGGTCTTCTAGTTACTACTATATCATCTTCTGAATCATCTTCTGAATCATCTTCTACTTCATCTTCTACATCACTTTTGTTATTCTCATGTTTTATTGGACTTGAAGGTTTTCCATCTTGAGGTACAATGTTTTCCTTTTCACTATTTTGGGAATCGTTATCAATTACTTTAACAGGTGAAGAAGGTTGATCATCCATATCCATTGAATAATCATCTAAGTCATCCCTTGATGTGTCTTTCTCTTTCTTTGTAGCGGTTGAAAAATTAAACGTATTCTTATTCTTTTTCTTTATAGCATTACCGTTATTACCACTAAATACATTGAATTGATTTTTCCTTTTTTGTTTCTTAACTATTGGTTCATCTTGAAAGTCATCTAAGATATCATCAATGTTGGCTTCTTTCCTTTCAACTTGAGCAACATTATTAGTGGTTGACGGTCTAAAGAAATTACTAATATTGGCAGTTTTTGATACTTTGATTGGTTTCTGTTGCTGTTTATGTTTTCTCTTCTTTCTTGATAATGAATCATCCTCATCTTCATCTGAATAATATTTAGGTCTAGTGGAATCATCCCATTCATCCACCCCATTATCAACATATCCTTCACCATCATCATCAACGATAAAATCATCATTCATCAATTGTTTTCTTTTATGTTCTCTATAAGTCTCTTCATCCACTTCATCATAAATCTCTTCCTGTTCATCATCAGATACATTAAAGTTACTAGTTCCAGATTTCCTAGCTTCTCTAAGTTGTTTCAACTTTTCCCTCTTACTAGCTCTTAACAACATTGTCGTTGAGTCCTAGTTAACAGTATAGTTGGAAAATCAAAATTGAGTTGAAGTTAGATATGTATGTAACAGTTTGACTTTTCAAAAATCAAAATATTGAAATCCAGTTGGTAAATAGACGCGTGTATTTTTGTGTCATATTTGTCTGTTTAAAAGAATTGTGAACGCGTTATAGCCAATACTAAGACCACTATTATATATAATTACCATGATATTTAGTAGAGAAAAGAAGTGTATTATGTTTCTCAAGAAGACGGAGTAATCAGTTTGATCAATAGGAAAGCAGATTGTACTGTTTATACCATGTGGAAGTCAATCTATGTACTGATAAATCTAGCTTATATTTATTGTTATTACCCATTGATTTTAATCGCTTTTCGCAGCTAACTTATTCTAAGTGAATGTTTTAGGTAAAAGTTGAAATATGACTACATCTTTCAGCTGAAGAAAGGTTAATTAGATTTATCATAGTTTAATAACGAAATATAATTGTATACTGGAGTAGTGAATTTCAAAGAAAAGTACGCTTTGATAACTACTCGAAGCTAAATTAATATTACGATCTCCTTTTCTAAATAGATAAACAAGGAATGAAACCTGTAGAGGTATTGGTAGCTAATGCAACTATATCCTGTTATGTTTCTATTACTGTTGATTGCTAAAGTTTAGAAATTACTTAACTGGGAAATTCCTGTATATAACACAAAGGTCAAAATCTCTCTTTATAAATGCGATTGACTATTTATGACTACCCAGCCTTCGTATGATAAACGATATTCAATCTAGTTCCATACACCATCTGTATCTATGTCATTTGCCAACTTTGATTATGAGGCTCAAAAGCCATTGGGTAAGAATAATAATAACCAAAATTCTGGGAATCTACTACCTGAAAATGAATTAGATACCATCTTAAATAAGACTTCTGTTCAATTAAAAGGATTCTTACATTCAATATCTCAACTTGATATCCAAAGAAAGAATATTGGAACTAGAAGAGATGGATTGGCATTACGTGAAAAGGCTGATAAGTTAGCATCTAATATGAAAGCAACTAATGAAGCGATTAATAAATTAGTATCTGAATTAGATGATTTGATAAATCAAAAACAAAGTAATAATAATGATAAATTACATATAACGAATAAACAAATGGTTACTAAACAGCGATTAGTTAATGAATATCATTCTTTGAATCGTCAGTTTGAAAAATCTTTAAACTTGTATAACGTCAGAAAGAAAGATAATCCATTACAACAGAATCAATATTCAGAAAGAACTCCATTATTACTGAATGGTCAACAACAACAACATACTCAAGTTCAAGTTCAACAGCAAGTACAAGTTCAAGATATGTTAGATGAAACAGAGCTTCAGGCTCATATTTTGTTAACAGAAGAAAGAAATCAACAGATTGATCAAATTGCAGGCGGGGTTCAAGAAATTAATGAAATTTATAAAGAATTATATGGATTAGTTCAACAACAAGGAGAACAAATAGATACTATAGAAGATAATGTACTTCAATTACAGGATAATTCCCAACAAGCTCATAAGCAATTATTACAAGCTAATGAATTACAACGGAAAAAGGGAAGGTGGAGTTGCATTTTACTTACTGGTCTTTGTATCCTTGTATTAATAATAGTTTTAGCGGTAATAAGTTAATTCAAATATAAATAAATGACCAATATATTTACTAGATATATAAATAGCAATTAATAATAAATAAACTAACAAGTGTTATCAAAACCTTTTCTCTAATTATCCATGACTTGCTTTTGTCCCCATAAATAGTAATATTCCACAAAGATGATTGTAAACCCTAATCAAGACTTTGAACTATACTATCATCCCTACTCCAATTATCATAATCTTCTTCATCTGAAGAAGCAGATGGAGTGGTTAACTCATCATAATCAGACTGACTACCTAAATGGGATACTCCAGTTGATCTACCATAGGTTTGTTCTTCTTCAACTACTTGATCATCATCATCATCATCTCTTGTGCGGGTAGAAAACTCATGATCCTCATAACTATCAGCAAAATGACTATTGGCTTGCTTGATTTCTTCCAATTTAACTCTACAGAATTGAGCACCTTGTTGTAATAACCTTTCACCAACTTGGAATATATTCTCTGCGGCCATAAGGACTTCTTCTTTATGCGTTATAACAGTAATAGCCGCACCTGCAACTGCACCTGTTGCAAGAGCAATTTTAAAGGAAAGTGGAACTGAATTGGTTTGTTTGTTAGTATGTGATTCGTCTTTAGTCATGATGTACTTTTAAGAAAACTTACTTGCAAAAGGTAACATAATGAAAATATGGTTTAAATAATATCAAAGAAGAATCGTGTTATATTTAAATGGTTAAAATTCCATTACACTTTATTTATAGAAAGGCAAACCTGTTTTAGAAAAGGGGAGCAGAAAAAACTATGTTTGATCTTGCACATAATAAACGATATAAAGGGAAAGAATTAAATAGGAGATGATAATGGTGGCAAATTAAAATTGAAATTAAAGGAGACTATTGGTTATAGTTGATTCTTATCTATTCATATTTGATTTACTTAGCCTTGCTGTTGTTGAATCAACCTTATTTAAAGTTTTGACCGACTAAGCACACAGTAAGATTTAATCTACCATATCTTAATAATAAAATGTAATCATTAATTAAATCTTTTCTTCTTTCCAACCATGATCACAAAGCCTATTAATATCAAACAATAGAACAATACTCGACTATCTATGCCATCATCAGCCGCAGAATCAGTATCACAATCATCTTCTTCGTAGTCAGACTTTTCGTCACTCATCCTATGGGTTGGGACGGACCTTTTATTGAAGAAAACCATGTTATTAGATAAACCTTTTCTTATATTCTTATTCACTTCAATAATGTCTGTTGTCGTTTATAAAGGAATATAGCTTTATTTATATTACTAGAGTGGCTTTACGGTATATTCATTACTCGGTCTAAATTTAGCGCGATGTAGCTTATGCTGAATAAGTGTAAATGAGTAATTAATAACTAAGAAGCTCACGGGGATGAATATTACGATTAAAATATTACATTTGTAAAGTTTGCTTTAATCTGTTTAGTGGCTCCCTTCATTCAAACTATGCTAAATCAAACAACTATAAAAAAGACCATCACAATTTACTCTCAGTGTAAGCTGGTGGATCTACTTCAATTTCATAAGTTTGATCTCCTAAATCAAACAGATTTTGATTTGGAATATTTGGCATATAGACTTCGATAATTCCTAATCTATCTCTGCAAAATTGGCTACCCCTTTGACAAACCCTCTCACCTGTAGCAAGGACCACTTCGGCGGCCTCAAGTATTCTTTGACCTGCTTCAAATACCCTTTCTCCACTTTGAAAAACAATAATACCTGCTCTATGTGCTTGTTGTGGGTGGGCTATTACAGCTACAGTTGAGCCTACCAACCCACCAACCACGATGATATAAAGTGGAACTACATTTTAAAATGGGTTAATACGGATTCATTTATATTATAAACATAAATAGTTCAACTTACTGAAAAATACCATACTGATTCTAATAATCGATTGATGTAAATGATTCAGAATAATACTTTGCGAAAGAGCGATTTAGGTGGCTCTTTTATACAGCAAAAAAAAAGGGAGTCGCTAAATTTAGAAAATGTGTTTTATTAAATGTTTAGAGTAAATAGCAAATGTATTTAGAGATTTGTAAACAGTATAACACTGTGTGAATTCTCTTATTCAGGAAAATAATAGTTATATAGTTCCCTTGCTATTCCAACAAGGTAATCCCAAATCATCAGTGGTTGTTGAACATAATAATTATGATAATGATTATTTTGAATGTGGTAATGATGATGATGATGATGATGATGAATGTGGAGTTCTCCCACGTGATGTAAGACTTCTATTTGCCTATCTGGAACAATACCCATCGGTGGTTCTCTAACTTCTTCAACATTTCCTTCATCCGTCTGTGAATCACCTGCATTATTGCTTTGATTTAAACCTAACACTTTTGCAGCATATTGACCATATGCCTTAAGTGTGCCCTTGAATGTTGGATTATTGTCAACAATTGCAACAAGACATCCTAAAACCATACATCCATCTATAATTGAATCTATAATGTATCAATCGTTAGTATAACACTTCCCATCAGATTATCTTAATATAAAAATCAAACTTACAAGTTATTGTTATTGGGTCCATGATAAATTGATCTATGTTAAATTAGTGAAAAAAAGATAATTAATTGTTCGATTTTTTTTCGAAATATAAAGGTATTTATATATTGAGTATTTTTTAAGCGGCTTCCAAATTTAGAATTGAGAAAATAAAACACATTATTGATATACAAAAATTACAAACTTAACTAGTATTTAGTTTTATTACCCTTTAACTATCAGTTTTAATATTTACTGTTCCAGGATCCAAACAAGATAACAAGTCTGTTCATAATAAAAATAAACTTTACATATTAGGTGTTACATAGACATATACAGAACTTAAGTACGGATGATTTTAATCAATTCCAATGATTAAAGAAAGCAAGCTTTCTGTTACTATTATGAGCAGGTTGTGACTAATTATCGACTTCCGAAGAATTAACCTCATTAATTAATACAAAAGAAGTGCCTGAAATTGATTCTTGAGATTTTAAGAGTTTATCATCATCTGGAATGATTTTGATTCTAATATGATCTCGTGAGGGGTAGGTTTTACTTTCATCATCGGTGTCATACAGAGTACGTGACCCTAATTCTTGTTGAAGTAGCTCAGAATCATTTGAAATAGCCCCATGTGGTGGTTGTGTGGGAATATTCAGCGAATGGGTTTCTTGGGTAACATTAGTCTCGTTCGATTTAATGGATGTATCTGATTCGACTGAGTCTGACAATAAGTCTTCTTGGCCCTTTATGTCAGACTGATCATTTATGCCAGACTCCCACAGGCTAGATGATGATAATACACTTTCCGTTTGAACTGTCTCTGGATCTGAAGTTAACTCTTCATCGTGAACTGTTGAGGGACCAATAGAATCATTTGGATGTTGAACATTGTTTGCAACCAAAATCCATGAAGAACCACAAGGAGAAGGACTAGACAAAGGTACTTTACTTTCCTTTTGAACTTCAGAATCATTTGACAGAGTTTCTCTATTTGAACTGGTATCTTTATTGGATTCAGAGTTTACTTCAAATGGCGTGTTTGACTCTCTTGGTTTCCTTTTCAATTTCTCACAACGTTGCGCAGCATTCTTTAAGAGATGTTCTCCTGTGTTTAAGATAATAATAAATTTATCCAAGATAGAATTAGGATGAAAGCAAGCTACAGCAGTAATACCAAAGAAAAAGATAGCAGCTGTGCATTTTGCAGCAACTGAATGTTTTTATATGTTAGTATATAATCAATGGTCCTATTAAATTTTGAAGAATATACTTACGAAGCACAGTAATTGGTTCCATCGTATTTAATTGAGATATGATAAATTGTAAGCGGTATTGAAATGAGCCAATTGGAGTGATATCTTTAAAATGTGAAGAGAAAGTGTATCTTTTGAATTTAATGTTGAAGGAGAGGACCATCATATAAATACATTTTGGTATCTGCAAAACCTCTAAATTTAGAAATTCTAAAATTGTATTTTACAGATTTGTTGAGCTAATGACATCTTACATCCGTGGTTACAATTATCAAACCAGCTTCATATTGATTATATATATTGTTGGTAAGGAGTCTACACCTTCAGATATACATTTGTTCTTCAGTATCACTCTCTTTTATTAAATTAACTATTCGATTGGCTAGGATAATACTTATAATGCAAATTTGATTATAAATTCCTGCATAAAAACAAATAGATAAGACATATATCCGATTATAGTAAAATGTTCAAATTTAACGTTAACATACTTATTCCATATCATAATGACGAGTCATTAGAATGACTACTTCTTCTTAAAGTATACCATATTACTAAACATAATGATACATCTGACTCTGAGTTAGTGAGTCATGGTTGCCCTTTGCCCCTATTTCGTATTTGACTCTTTTTTTCTCTCAAGAGTATTTTTGATTTTGTACCATATTTCAAATAATGGGTAAACAGATCTCTTTATCTGTGGTGGATATATAAAAGAGCCTTTGATGGCCCTTCATTTATGGGTTTTCTTATGAATTATAGTTAGTTTATCACAATCACCAATGACTAAGAATATAGTATTATCAAGACCATTGAGTCTTTCTGAACATTTTGTTAGAAGTAGAACTGCAAATCGATTCTATAGTAATTTCCAAGTTACAGGAACTTATAGTGAAGATTTAGCTTCACATCTTGACTGGGTATACATGGCATTAAGGAAAACTCTCCTTGATTATCCCCTTCTTATTTGCAACATTCAAAAAGAAAACAATGATTCCATTTTTCGTCCTATTAAGCAAGCAAGTTTGGGAGATATCTTACAACTTGAATCCAAGCTGGGTTATATTGAGAATAATACTATTAATGAAAAGTTTATGAAATATGTGAACACTATTAATTTCCAACTTTACCTGGAGGAACCATTATTTAGATTGATCCTTTTAGGTGAACATCTATCAGCTGCTTTTGAACATACAATTACTGATGGGTTGGTAGGACCTTATTTTCATGAAATCTACTTGAAAAATTTAGCTTATGTATCAAATAAAGAAAATTTATTGGAATATGAATCATTATATGGTGAAACCCCTGATAAAGTGGATTTAAACACTCAATTATTCAATTATGATGAAGATAAAGATTTATTCACCCATTCCTTGCCACCTCCTTGTGATCTCTTTATGGAAGATCCTTCATTTGATTATTCCAATGGTGATCCATTATATCATGATAAAGTCTTACCTGAAGGTTATGAAACAAGATGGCCAGGTAGATTCCCTCCCACAAAGGATCAAACCATAGCTTGTAAATTGGTTCACTTTAGTCCAACTGAGACGAAACAAATATTAGCTAAATGTAAATCTCATGGAGTAACTATTACCCCTTTTATTCAAGTTGTTCAAATTTTTACTTTACAACCTATCTTGGGTGATAAGCATTATACTACCCATAGAATGGCTATAACTACGAGAAGACACGTCAAACCAGAACTAGTACCAGACTATTTTCAAGATGCTTATGCTGAAAAGGACTATAAATTACTTGGTGGCTATGCTCATTTTGGTCTTCGTGAAAATTATCCTCCTTTATTTGAATTTTCATGGGACAAGGTTCAAGAGATCCATAAAAATCTTATCAGAGATTCTCAAAACCGTGGGATTTTTAATATATACAAAGATTTTAGAGACGTATATGATAAGACTGGTGATAACTTGGAAGTTTTTGAAAAACAAATGGCAACAAAAGCTGACACTTCCAAAATATCGAATTTAGGATATGTCAATTTCCCCGTTTATGACTCAAAGTGGACTGTAAATAATTTGGTCTTTTCTCAAGACATGTCACCACCATCTTCTGATTTCGTATTTAATATCATCTCAACACCTTTAGGTGGATTGAATATCGTCTTCGGTTATCATGATCATACCTTTGATGACCTGGAATATCCAAACTTTGATTCCTTTGTTGAAAATTTTAGAGAAAATCTTCTTAATTTGTAAGAAGAATACTTAGACTTAGACTTTTTTTATATATAACCATATATCATACTAATATTGCAACTTACTTGCCCAATACTTAATACTTAATACTTAATACTTAATACTTAATCATAAATTGTTCTTAATACTTAATACATAACTCCTTATTAAAACCATGTAAAATGAATGATTGCAGCCTAGTTAAATTTTTTTTTGGAACTTTCCACGTGATGCAATTTTATATACAGTATTTGCCAATTTTTATCAGAAACATCAGGGCTAAGTGTTACAGCACATAACTCTAATATCTAGTAACTTGTATATCACCAGTCTAACAAGAATGAATGACATCAATGAGGATGAATCAAATACAGTTCCATTCATTGAGTCTCATCAACAAGAAATAAGAAGTAAAAAAGACGGATCATGGATAAATCAAGAAAATATAAGTGAAGTGAAACGATTTGATGATTTTAGAACCATAGATTGGGTTGAAGATGAATTAGATGAACATAGAAGAAGATTATTGAAGATTAAAAATGTAAATAGCAAATCATCTTCGATCCGAGAGAGAATAATTTCATCAACCCTGAACTGGCTATTGCTCGCTGTAATGGGTATAGTTATTGGATTAATAGCTGGTTCATTAAATATCATAACAGGTTGGTTAGCCAGTCTAAGAATGGGAAGGTGCTCAGGTAATTTCTACCTCAATAAAGCATTCTGCTGTTGGGATCAAGATGAAGAAACATGTTCTGCTTGGGTTAATTGGACAAATTATTCGATCTTTAATTATATAATTTACGTGATTATTTCATTACTTTTTTCATTTACTGCTGCCATATTGGTGAAATTCTTTGCCCCAGCTGCAGCTGGGTCAGGAATATCTGAAATCAAAAGTATTGTGTCTGGATTTGCAATGGAAGGCTTTTTAGGTTGGTGGACATTATTAATTAAGAGTGTTTGTCTTCCGTTGGCAATTGGTTCTGGCTTAAGTGTTGGAAAGGAAGGACCAAGTGTTCATTATGCTGTTTGTGTAGGTAATTCAATTGCCAAGTTAGTGGCTCAATATAGAAGAAGTGCATCGAGAGCAAGAGAATTTTTAACTGCTACATCTGCAGCAGGTGTTGCTGTTGCGTTCGGTTCTCCAATGGGTGGTGTTTTATTTTCAATTGAAGAGATTTCATCTGCTTTTCATTTATCAACTATTTGGAAATCATATTTTTGCTCCTTAGTAGCGGTGGCTACCTTGGCGGCGATGAATCCATTCCATACTGGTCAATTGGTTATATTCGAAGTTACTTATGATACAGATTGGCATTATTTTGAAATTCCATTCTATTGTATTATTGGTATCTTTGGTGGTGTCTATGGTATTGTTGTATCCAAATTAAACATCAGAGTGGTAGCCTTTAGAAAAAAGTATTTATCTAATTTTGCTATCCGTGAAGTGTTTTTCCTTGCTTTATTAACTGCTAGTTTCAGTTATTTCAATGAATTCTTAAGATTGGATATGACAGAATCAATGGAAATCCTTTTCCATGAATGTGATAGTAAATTCAATCATCCATTGTGTGATGCAAATGTACCCAAAGTTCCTATTATCGCGTCACTTTTATTTGCAACGATTGCTAGAATGGGATTAACTATTATAACTTATGGTTGTAAAGTTCCAGCAGGTATTTTTGTTCCATCTATGGCAGCAGGTGCTACTTTTGGTAGAGCTCTTGGATTAATAATAGATTCGTATTATCAACTGCATTCTGATTCATCATTATTTATGACTTGTACTGAAGGTACCAAATGTATCATTCCTGGAACATACGCGTTCTTGGGAGCAGCTGCTGGATTGTGTGGTATCACGGATTTAACTGTAACTGTTGTTATTATCATGTTTGAATTAACAGGAGCTTTAAGATATATTGTGCCGACTATGATAGTAGTAGCCATTACAAAGAGTATAAATGACAAGTGGGGCAAAGGGGGTATAGCCGATCAGATGATTAAATTCAACGGTTTACCATTAATAGACGCTAAAGAGGAATTTTCGTTTGGCACAAATGTTGAAAGTGCGATGTGTACAGCAACTGTCGCTTTCCCAAGTGATTCAAATTCATCAATTACCCTAGCTCAGTTACGTGCAACATTGGACAATGCGAATTATAGAGGTTATCCAGTTATTCAATCACCATCGTCTCCAAAAATTGTTGGATTCGTATCAAAATCAGATATTGAATATTCTCTTTCAACTTTACCAAACTCAGATTCGTCATCCATTTGCATATTTACTAATGAAAACGGGTCAATTCCTACGGACAGCATTGACTTCACTCTGATCTTGAACAAATCGCCATTAACAGTCAATGTCAACGCATCTTTAGAGTATGTGCTCGAAGTCTTTGTGAAGTTAGGTCCAAGATATATTTTAGTTGAAAATGAGGGTACCTTAGCAGGTATAATTACTAGAAAAGATATTTTAAGATATGAACATACAATCCATTCTATACATAATGATAATACTACCAAAGCTTATGATGAAGCGTTTAATGAAAAAGTTTGGCAAATAATGAACCAATTATCACATGGTTTTAGAAGAAATATCGGGAGGTTACTACATAATGATGAAAATAGATATGTATAATTTATATATTCACAACCAATAAATGTATTATAATTAAATGTCTTTCCATTTACCATGATCTTTGTAATTGGAATATAAGGATCTCAAGAATGTTTTTCCTGGGATATCTAAAGATGAACTAATTAATCTGATTTCTTCTTGTGAAAGTACATCGAAAGCACTATATATACCTGGCATTATTTCGTCATTAATTGAACTCTCAAAATTATATTTCAAATTGAAGAAGATATAATTGACTACTAATATAGGTAAGTGTTTCCTAAGCACTCTCTTGGCTAATACAGAAGAAGATGTCAAATTGGTCTTATCTTTAATGCTAAGTGAAGTCTTTGATGGCTCACATAAATTTTCTAATAATCTTGCATATGAACGTGCAGCAAGCTTGCTACTAGATATTGGGGATTCTTTTCTTTTGTTAGATAATGATTCTAAAAAGTATGAACAAGATGAGATTATAATATGATGACGGGAAGTCAATTTGTATCTATGATAAAGTAAAATATGTGAAAATGCTTGAGTTGCCAATATGTACAAATCAACAGAAAGATCTGAAGAACTGATGCTTGAAAGTAAACAGCATTTGTCAATAAAGGTTACAGTTATTTCTAAAGCACTTTGACTAAATAACCAAACCTTGTCACCAAGAGCTTCTCTAACGATGCTTAAGAAGTCCAATGAAGATTGTAATGATATAATTTCAGCTTTGGAAATGATGGTGCTTATTGCGGTAATAAATAAACGATGATGATCAGTAATATCCTTATTCAAACTCTTAATCAAGGCACCTAATAAGGTAACACAGGCACCAATATAGGTACTGTCAGCTTCTGCAGTACTAATTAAGACGTATGAAAATACTGTGGTTAAAATATCACCATCTTGTTGTGAAATTTCTTTAACATAGTCACTAATTTCATTAGTCAAATCTAAATCAAAGTGACTTCTCAATGAAAGAAATAAGGCCAAAACATAGAACACATCCTCAACTCCTTTGACCTCTAAATTCTTAGCAATTAAAGTAAAGCATACTCTTCTAATATCATTAGCGACAGCTGAAGTGTCAGTATTCTTTATGCTGTCACCGGTCTTCTTTATCAAACTTAAATAATCGACCTGATCGTTGGCATTGACCAACAAAAATGATTTTAACAACCAGTTAATATTATCAAGGTCTAAATTCTTTCCGCTAATTATTGACGTTATTCTAGAACCCGAAGATTTTAATACGTTCAATTTTAAAGTTTGGACTGAATGTATAGTCTCGTCATCAATTCTCTTCCCTTGAGAGTTTGACAAGATTAAGTACGCCACTTCGTATTGTGGGATATTAATATTTGAAGCTACTTTCTTGGATGAAAAGTAGGTATTCAACTTCTTTAACATGCCAGTGACATAAGTTTTACTATCATCGTGGGACAATTGAGTTAAATGATGTATCCAAATGTTCTTAATGATATTGACAACCGATTGATTTTTGTCAGCTCCTTTGACAGAAAGGATTTCAAATATTCTTTCATGTTCCTTTTCTATTTGAGATCCAAAACTTGGTTGTGACAAGAGATACTCAAGGGTGGTAAAATATTCAGTAACACTGGTATTGGCCTTGGTTGATACAATAATGTCGAAGACATTATCTATTAAGGAAACTCTTTGACGACGATCAATGGCCTGTAATGGAACATATTGAACGATCTTGGAAATTTTTGGACTAGTTTTCACTTCACTGTTTAAATATTTTATCAATGCTGAGACAAAGGTTGTTCTTTCAAAAATAAAATCTCCGTATTGTTCGAAACAACTTATGATTTCTGAAGGTTCTAAAGCCTTAAACACAATGTCAAGGAAAGCATGCAATTGAGTTTCATTGAAACATGTTTCTATGATTATCAACCATCTTTTGATGCATAATAATATCAGCTCTTTATCGCTTTTAATAGCTTTCAAGACTTGCTTTTCTTCACCTTTGATGATGTCCATGTTTCCTGATACTTCAATCAGTCTGAAAATAAAATCAAAGTAGTATTTACTGTCCTTCTTCTTAAACTTTTTCAAATCTGTGATAAAGTCGTTACCATAAATACATAATAAGTAGTAACGTAACTGCCAATAAATTGCAAGATCTGTATTTATGATTTCAGCATGTGATAACAAAGTATCTTTCAATTGTCCTTGTTTGGCAACTGATCCAGATAAGACCCCCTTTATCACGGAAGTTAATAATGGTTGTAATGAGTTTCTATCTTCGATTTTGTATAATGAAGTAACAAGGTTGATCAAATGCAGAGCAGATAAATCATCTATAGTTTTCGATACTTCTGATACGAACTGGTTGGATTCGTAGAAACGATTTGATCGTATCATTTCCGGCCATATCTCCATGATAAACTTGATTAAATCTCTACTTTTGACATGAGCATCGAGTAAACATTTCCCGATTTCATTGACAACTTCTAAATCTTTCATCACTTTCGTTTGTTGAGAAATATAGTTGGCATTCTCTAAAGCAAGCTCAATATCAAGTCTAAGTAAATAAACAATTAATTTCCAGTTGATGACTGAGGTTGAGTTTATCTCTTCGGTGTATAATGATTTAACAAAGTTGGTTGAAACAGTTTTATTGTAGAATTCGATTATGGATAAGAACTCTACTGTTAATTTGATGAAATGTGGAACTTCAACTATAGCTGTAAATAAGTCTTCACATAATTGAAAATCCTTATTTGATGTATTTTCTACCAGGAGTTTGAATAATACAATAACTGATTCCTTTGATAAAGTAGATAATATTGGTTTTATTTGTTTAACCAAATCTGTCTTAAAAGTACTGTTGAATATTGATTTCCTGACAATATCTTCATAGACATCTTTAATTTCAGAAAACTCACATACAACAAGGAAGTTTAATATGGACGGTATAGCGTCATGGATAAACTTAGTGTATGATTTTCTAGTTGGAGCGTAATTCAATGATGATTTTGGAGAATTTATAACATCTTTAACGGATTGAGTCCATGCTAAGGCTTGAGATTGTTTATAGGTTGGTAATTTTGATAATCTTATAGTATACTTGGATAAGAAATCAATGAGAAGTGATTCTTCAGCATCAATATAATAATCTCGCTTCACGATGTTTATGAAATCAATGATGGTATCGATGAAAGTATCATCAATATCAGTATCAAGAGTCGCTATTATGATCTCTATAAGTCTTAAACGATGAATGATTCTATTTCTGATGGATCTATCCAGTTCCTTTTCACCAAGATCATTCCAGATCTTTATTAATAAATGCCATGACTCTTTGTTATACTTCCATTGTTTGAATGCTGGTGTATTAAAATCATTAAGTCTATCACATAATAATTCAAGTATGAATATATCTTTGTTTGGTAAATAGATATCAAACTCTGAATCTAGTAACTTGTTAGCTGTTTCTATGATTTCTTTATACGAGCCATTCTTCGATCTTAGAAACTTTGTCACAGACTCTGCTGAGTTAAGTTCAGGCATGACCACTGTGGTTAATCCTGTTGATAATGTAATATATCTAGGTTATTTAACTTTTGATAGTACGATGTACTGAAAAAAAAAATTACCGAGTTGAGATGGGTTATAATTTTGCGACCAAATAATTTGGAAAGTACTACAAGTGAATAATTGACGATGACATGGGATCAATGTAGGCATGATGGAATGAGTAAGCGTATACTTCAACCAATGCTTTTACTTCAACGAGTACTAAACATTTTAAAATCATGTTGCTTGACCAAGATTTCTACAATTAATTCTACAAATAATTCTACAAAACTTAATAATATTAAACTTAGACTATGTCTATTATTGTACAAACTTAAACTAATTTTCTATTTCCTGTTATCACTTCAATGAATGAAGTAAAGACGATTCATTTTTTCCAATTTATTTTGAATCAAAAATACATCTAGATTAATAAAGTTTCAATCTTATCTTTAATACCATAAATTTGGTTTTTGATAGAAGAAGCATCATTAGAGGTGACTGAAGCAGCAATAACTGGACGAGAAACACCACAAGCTCTACCTAAAGCAGCCTTGGAAGGAACGAAAACGTATGGAACGTTTTTATCTTCACATAATAATGGTAAATGTAATAAGATTTCAATAGGTTCGGTATCAGCGGCCATAATGATGAATTCAGAAATACCTCTGTTTAAAGTCTTGGTGGCTTCATTAGCACCTTTCTTTAATTGTCTCAAGTTTTGAGCTTGTTGAACAACATCTAAGATTTGTTGAGATAAGTTTGAATCAGCTAATGGGAAAGCTTTTGGATTTGGAGCAGACATTTTTTCTAGTAGTAGGGATAGTGGTTTGGTTTTTGTTTAACAACAATTGTAAGTAAGTAATAAGTCGGTTCCTTGCAATAAAGCTCACCAGTAAGCGGACAAATTCTAATAGGTTTTAATCACAGAAGGAAAGAAACTATCTGGTATAATTAGTTACAGTGATCTTTATGATTTTTTTTTTCAGTCTTCCCTCATCGCTGGTAGAGAGAGAGAGAGAGAAAAAAAACTTTAGTTAGTGTCTTAAATTACGCTGACTGTCAGTAAATTATATACTAATAATCTCACTTTCCTGTATGTAAGGCCCCTTTAATTAAGGTGAACAACAAGTTTTTGTTCAAAATTGGATTGGGAGAGGAAATGAGGGTTTAATTTAAAGAGATAACCTATTTTGAACTACAATCAGTTAAAGCATTCCTTCAATTAATTAGTTATAATGTCAGATTTGTGGTATGTATACAATTACTATGAGACAAAAGGGTTGTAATATAGTCAATGTTGGGCACAGTGGCGATGTCAATTGTGTTTGAGATTAAAGTCATCAATTTCATAGCCATGTCTCGATAAATGAGATGAAGTCATTGATAATGATGACAATCATCAATCATCAAGTAATTGACTCACATCAAAGTAATTGGAATGATTCATTATCCATCATTGATTCACTCAATGCTTGATTGAATCTATGTTCCAACCCATTCTTGTTGTTCTTCAACATTCTAATCTTATACTAACTCACAACGTTTCTTATAGTCCAGTTTATGCTCCATTTTTTGGTTCTATCGGTTGTGCTTCTGCAATCGTTTTCACTTGTTTCGGTGCCTCTTACGGTACTGCTAAGTCAGGTGTTGGTATTTGTGCCACTTGTGTTACTAGACCAGATTTAATAGTTAGAAACGTTGTTCCAGTCGTTATGGCTGGTATTATCGCCATTTATGGTTTAGTCGTTTCTGTCTTAGTTTCCGATAGCTTGAAACAACAACAAGCATTATACACTGGTTTCATCCAATTAGGTGCCGGTTTATCTGTCGGTTTATCTGGTTTGGCCGCTGGTTTCGCCATTGGTATTGTTGGTGATGCTGGTGTTAGAGGTACTGCTCAACAACCAAGATTATTCGTTGGTATGATTTTAATCTTAATTTTCGCCGAAGTCTTAGGTTTATATGGTCTTATTGTTGCCTTATTATTAAACTCTAGAGCTACTCAAGATGTTATCTGTTAGATTTTTTGATGTTTTCCCTCTCTAGAGTGATTCTCCAGGTTTTCATATTTTTGCTTGCATAGAACCTTGGTTTCTTAAGTATTCTTAGCTTTATACTTAAGTTTAACATCATCCTAAGTTATCTTTTCCTTTTTTTATATATTTAATTCATTCCTAAACTTTTTATTAAAATCAAAAAAATAAAGGCACTTTAAAGTGGACTTTTGTTATTTTTAATCTATTTTATAGAAGTAATCAAGTAAAGCAAAAAATCCTTGTTTTTTGTATTTATTTATCTCTATTTTACATTATATTTTCCAGTTTTTATTATTCTTCTACAATGTTTATTTTCAATATATATATGAACTTACATTAAATCTAATTGGTTATATACACTTGAGCTATCTTAGCCACGATTGCTCCTCTAATAGTAATAAAAACTTGATTAACATCACTTGGAATGGTAATTTGTTCTTCGTCTAATACTTTTCTCCAATCATAATCCTTTGAATCTTCTTCTCTATGATTTATAGCGTAAGCATAAAGACTTTCAGCTTCTTTTCTTTCTTCTTCAGTGGAAGTAGTCTCATAATTATCTAATAATTCAATAATGACAACTAAATCAGGTAATTGGAATTTTACATCCTTTTGAAATAATACTGGTAAGAATTGACATAATAATAATGGATAAAACTTCTTGGGCAAATAATTGAATCGAAGTAAATGATTCAATTTTGAATACTTAGAAAACAGTTTATCGATATTATTCTCTAACCCTCTGAAAAATTCAGCTAATACAGCATATGGTGAAAGACATTGTCTTATAACGGGATGAATATTAAAACTCTTCTCAACATTATGAGACACTATATTATTGATTAAATCATCTGCAAATGGTCGATTATTAATCAAACTATCTTGGAATATTATATCCCAAGCTATGTGATGAACTTGTTTCATACCATTATTTTCCTTTCCATGACTTGGTGAAGTTGGATCAAAGCAATTGACAAGCATGTTAAGTGCCTCGAATATATAACCATCGGAGAGAGACTTAACTCCTGATGCATAGTACAACTGCTTGGCTGTTTTTGTTAAACTTAATTTAGCACATATGGTTAAAGCCCATTCTAAATCATCATTAGTTTGGAATTTATATCTGGGAAGAACATCAGCAATGATATTCCTACGTTCAACATTAGCACTTTGAGAACTTGCGATACTATCATTGAGTAATAAACCAATACCGACTGGAGTCAAACCTTCAACATTAAGACATTTATAAGCATGTAAAGTTAAAAAGTATTCAGAAATGGTTCTCTTATTTTGTAATGATTGGAGATTTGAGATTTTAGAAGCAGCTGAATAATATCCATTAAAGTATTGCTTTAATTCCAAAAGTTTGGCAACATATGCTGCTGTAGCAGGTTCAAGGAAATATAAAGTTTGTAAAACTTTAAGAAAGCTCTCTTCCAAAATATTAACAAAGGTTTGATCTTCAAGTTCAGATACCTCAAATTCGTTACTGTTATGAATCGCTGGAGGCTTCTCTTGGATAGCTAATTTATAGTAGTCTTTAAATAAATCACCATTGTCTCTCACTTGAAACAAGGAAAAGCAAACATAAACTTCGTACCAATAATCACAGTAACTTGAAGTTGTCTTTGGAAGTCCCGTAATGACATTAGCTAAATCATGAATTTGTGATAATATAATCTTTTCTTCATTATCAGTTATATTTGATCTTACATTCACGATTGAATCTCTGAATTCACATGCTTTCAATTTCCATTCAGCAAATTGCCCTTTTAGTGAAAATGTAGTATAGTTCTCCAATAAAAGCTTGAAATCAGATATGGTATTAAACAAGTCTAAAGATCTATCTTCAAGATCCTCAAATTTAGAATTATGGATCACATCTGAGGCTTCTCTTAAACGGCCACCAGTGATATATTGAATTATTAATGTATTCCAGAATTGTGGATGTTTATACGGTATTGGAGTATTGGTCATGATGGTATCCACCAAATCATCATCTGGCTTTGTTTTCAATGAATTGATCCAGTTACAAAGTAATTCTGGTCTATTTTTAATATCCAGATAAAAGAAATTTCCTTGTAAACAAAGAAGAATGTGTAAAGTACTATTTAATCTGCTTTCAGTTTCTGTGCTGGTATACTCTATTGAAGAATCATTCAACAAGTTGTATAAATTTTCAATTATGCTGGTGAATGATTCGTTTATCAACTCGTCTTTGGATTGGCTATTAAATCTATCTCTTGTACGGATTAAACCTATTGGTTCTTCTTCAAGTTCCAATTCTGAATTGTTGGATGTTACTGTTTCTATGATTTTATATAATGAGTTGACATAATTCACATACGACTTGGAAAATGCATTATTAGAACCAATGCTTGCCTTGTACTCATCATTGTTGAAGTTAAAATCGATACTCTGACTTGTATTCAACCAATCGTCCAACTCTAAATTGCTTTTAAATGATTCAAAGAGATTGTCAATGTTACTCTGTTGTTCTGTTGTTGTTGATGATGATTGTGAGATAGTTTCTGTTTCTGATGAAGAGGAATCATACTCTGGTATCTCTAACATCTCTATATCATCGAACCTGTGTACCTGAAACGAATCTTGACTCATTGTTGGTTTTGGTGTTGTTGTTGGTAGATTGATTATAGAAACTTAGAACAGTAATTTTGAAAATTATATAAACAAAGCAACGAACTGCGCTTGGAAAAATAAAATTAAAAAAAATTTAAAAAAAATGATTACTGCAAAATTTCCATTATAATATTTGCTATATTCTATACACCTTTAAAAATACAAAACTATAACCCAGCAGCTTTTGACTACTACGCTTCTCTTTCGTATTCAAAATCAAAATATTCGCCCATGTTAGTGCAATCATTATATATTTGCGTTAAGATGTCTATATTCTTTATGCACTTTCGGAATTTGGACATTGATATTGGAGCTCCAGAATTATAACTTTTCAAAAAGTTCTTAATCATCTGAAGATCAATTACACCTTTTTGAATGGTGCGTTCGGTTTTTCCTAGTTCATTGCCTAATTTCCATCGCCTATCTGGGACGTTTGAATAGGGAGAATCTAACAATTCATTAATACAGAACTCAAATCGCTGTTTATGTCTATCAGAAACTTCGTGAAGTGAATAAATTCCTCCATGTAAAGTACCTATTATCGCCATACACTCACCAAAGTTTGCTGTATCGATAGTATTAATTTGATCTCCAATATTAAAAAAGAAAATTTTGTCAGACGAAATGTTTCCAAGCACATCACCAGCAATACTTTGTTCTCCTTCCGTGCCCAAAGCAGTAACAAACTTATGTACAAACCCTAGAGGTTGATCTATCTTCTCTAACTTTAGTTGATGAGTATCGCCAGAATAAGTAAAACATCCTTGTACTGCATCTGCGAATACATTACTGAAGTGGGTCAGAACATGAAGCATAGAAAATGAAGGACAGATCAACGGGCCTCTACTAACTATGAAGTCATCATTTATTCTTTGAAGCACGATGATCATATTCCCAGCCAAATGAATATTTCCCTCTTCAGCATTCTGAGTTATGGTATATAATTCTAGAGTTGGGGCTTGACTAAGACATTGGATTTTTTTCGGTGTAACTTTAAACTTGGATGCCTCTACTTTGACCTCGTACAAATATCCATTTTTTGAAACTGCTAGCATACAGTTACCCCCCTCTCTCACTTTCCTTTATATCCATTGGATCTTCATGGGTATACTCGTCCTCCACAGTCATGTCAACTACTTGTTCATCGAAGACAAAAGAATCAAGTTTGTTGTAATGCTTTAAATCGTACAACTCAATAGAAGTCTTAATGGGAGAATCATCAAATGACTCGTGCTTCACCAATACAACGATATAATGTTTTGAAAATAACAGCATCTTTGTAAAAATCTTCCGTTTCTTAGCATCGATACGGTCTTTTCTTTGAGTTTCAGAATTAACTCGAACTTTATATAGAGTCAATATATCTCCCGAAGTAGTTAACAGAATAAAGTTTTCATTGCCCAACAGGATAATACCCAGTGATTTTAGCGTTTTCCCTAGCCGAGAAGGCACATAATGATTCAATGTAGCATCTAGAACTAATCTGTAAATCATGTCTTGCAGTATAATAAACATATCATTCAGAATACTCTTTTCCAATTTAGAATTATGAAAATTGTGACATATAGCCTTCATTCCTCCAACTAACGTGTGGTTCTTGATATCCACTGAATATTGAACTAAGGAATCAGTCGTTGTGTAAAGTACTTTCACGGAATTATTTTGTTTATCGAGCACAATAGATGTTACGAACTCATTTGAAGTCGTCTCATTTAATTCACTATGGTGCTGTCCCGAAACTGACCATAACTCAAGTTTATTACCTAACTTAGCTATTGCATAGATTATTTCAAATTCGATGCCTTTCAATGCATAAAACCTAGTGATTTCGGTTCCAAACTTTTGCGTGGAAACAATTTCCGAATCATTATATAAAACAACTTCGTTATCAACAGTAACATAAATAATGTTTTTATTTTCTAGAATTTGGGCAAATAGTATATGAGCTTCTAAAACTCTTCCATTCTCTAAATATATTCCGTTGGAAGTTACTACGTATGTAATGTCAATAAATTTTCTAGCTTGGAGTACTAAACCCTCGAAAGCTATTTTCGTCTTTACTTTCTTTATTTGATTTTGGTATCTGAAAACACCATTTTTCCCATCTAAGCTCTTACAAATAAATTCATTTGTACCCAATATTGGGGTAATTTTAAAGATACCTCCTTCTTCCCAGAGAGTCTTTGATACCACCTCAAGTTTAATTTCTGGAATCTGTAGGGAATCCGTTATTGTCGAATGATTTCTGTTTCCTCTCAAAGTCAATAGCTTACTTATTCTATCTTCTCTGGAATCAGAAGATATATATTTCATATCGATTATGGGTCCTCTGGGTTCAGAAGAGTATAAAATACTTATAAAAGGTCTTTCAAGATTGACTTGAAACAAAATGTCTGAAGGTGACAGTGATGTCTGGAAAAAGTACGAATCTGTTAAGTGATGAAGACCATTAGTGTTAGGTGAGGATGTTCTACCTAATGTGATCAATTGAAAATGGTTGATGACTGTATACGTGGTATCATTCTTTGTGGTAGCATCAAAATATAGCAAATATGTCATACCTTCATTTGTAGTAAGTAGAAATCGATTATCGTCGATAGCATCGAATGCAACGAATAGACCTATCATATCCTCACCAGGTCTATCCGTTAATAAATCTTTAGTAACAACGTTCGCCGAAACAGTTACACTGGCATCTGCGGTTTCTGCCAATGTCAAATAACGACTGTTGGGCCCTGGAAAGTAGAACAACAGAACACTACTTAGAACTAGCACACCACCGTGTGTAGTTGGTATGATATAACTTGGAGGAACTTGGAAGGCATCAAGATTTTTAATCAATGTAATAGTCTCCTTTACGATGTCAATCTGATAATATCTTAAAGAATATGTAAAATTGAAGTCTCGATATAAAACTGCTAAAATATCATTTTCTAACATCTCCATCTTTAGTACAACTATTGCGCCTATCGATATTGAATAGACTGAAGCTAATTTAACATCTGCAGATCTACTTCTCTTCTTTTTTGGAGGGGAAATATCATAGTCTTCGTTTATAATGAATAACAGTAGCACACCTTGAAAGTTATGCAACACAAAATATCTCGTTTCAGATGATTTGTCAGTCACTATTATTGGATTTGAATCTATCGAAAACTGTTGTCCTTCTGAACTAAGTTGACTAACCACACGAGTGCATATATTATCTTTTTGCTTATATATAATAGAAAGATTCCATGAGTTGTCCAACGCAAGTAAAACATTACTCAAACCTTTTAAGTGGATTTTATTGATGGCAATTATTGGGTTTTCTAATGGAAAACTAACAAGCTGTTTTACCAGTGATCCAACAAGATCTATGTCATGAAATTCCAATCTATTAACCTTTGAAAGAATCAATACAGGTGTGTCTGATCCTGAAAAATTGCAAAAGAGAGATTGTCTTGTGGTATTTGGCTTCTGTATTTCCGTTACTATTTTCCACAGCAATTTGAGATTATCAAATACAGCAGGAATGACTCTATGTCCCACAGTAGTGTTAAGTCCCAGCTGTTCCATGAAATAAAGGCACTTTCAGCAGTCTAAATAGGAATTTATGCTTTCAATTATATATATGGCTATCAAAAAATATTTGAAAATCATTTTTACGCGGTACGACACGGGATAAGATAAACAAACATTTTACCACACTAATCCAAGCAAGTTTCATACAACAATTCAAAGAACAAACAGATTTACTTTAAGGTGAATCTTATGATGGGATTGTTTTATCGTCATCAATTGAGATATGCTAGGGTCTAGTGATGTTCCAGATAGGGGTTCAAGTCCCCAAACGCCAACAATAAATCAATCTACTGCTTCTGTTGCTTCTGCTTCAATGCCACAAGCAAATGTTCCAAGAGCAGTCCATGGTTGGCGCTTTAAAGATCTTTTAAAGCTATCATCAGGATCAAATACTGGTGGTACCAAACTAGAACAACCTCCTCCCATCATTGTTACAGAAGAATCGTCAAGTACGGGTCTGTCACCAAGGTCAAATTCCTCAGCCTCATCAAATACTCGAGCCAATTCCGTTAGTAGTTGTCGTTGTTGTGGCACTATTCTAACTTATCCCTCTAAATCACATAAGTTTCGATGTTCAATATGTAATACAACTAATATTTTAGTTCATGTACCACCAGCAGTTCCTGTTGAAGAAGATACTATTCATTTAATTTCAAGTTCTCATATAAGAAAGCTTATAGATAAAGGTTTAAGAAGTGCTCAGAAGAATGGTGAACTGGGATCTAAATCACTTCATGAAATATTTTCACCTTTATCAACATACTTACAAACAGCATTTGGATCTAGTGAAGCCGTCAATGCCTCCTTCAAGATTAATAGATCAAGTTCACGTCCTCATTATCATTCATCTAATATCAATATAGAAGAGATTAGAGAGAGTTTTGATATGCTATTAAAGCTTCCTACTAAACGACCATTATACAGTGCACTCAAAGGAGCATCGAATGCTCTTAAAAGGATATCTACATTCAAAGATGAAGATAATCCTCAGAACATAAGATGGGTTTTAATACTCTTGGAGATCCCATTTTTATCAAGATGTTTGTTGGATAATAAGGAAGATTTAAAAACAAATTCACATACATTTACAGAGAATCCAGAAATAAAGGCATTAAGTTATGATATTTTAAAGAGATCCATTGGAATTCTTGCTAATTCAGAAACAAAAAGATCTAGTAATATTATGGCTAGTTGGTTTTCAAAGTTACTGAAGGAAGATTTTATTACCAAAGTTGATCTTTTAAATCTTTACATAACTTTCCATTTGAAAAATTATTTTTATATAGCCAATAATCCTCAATTAATCAGACGAAAATCAACAACCGTGGTTCCAGTGACTGAAAGAGAACATACTCATGAGAGACATCCAACTGACAGAGAGTATCAAGAAAATTCTACCATTAAAGATGAAATAAGTGAATTTAATGATACTACTGCTCATGGTCCGTTAAATGTACCACTCCGTTTGCAACAAGCTTCTCCATTTCCTGTAAATTCAAAGTCTAAGAAATCAGCCCCAGAAGCTAAGATCAAAATTCATCAGTATGGTCAAGATTGGCATATTAAGACAGCAGCCAAAGTATTAGCTATTTTTGTTAAGGCCAATAGTATAAGAGATACACCATTTCTAATTAGTTCATTTTATAATTCATTGGTGGATTATGTTAATATTAAGTTGGATTTTGATTCATGGCAAGGAAGCAGAAAATCTCACCACACAACCACAAGTGGTGGGGCAAATCATTCCAATTCAAATGAACCTGAGTTACAGAGTATTATTGATTATATTCATGGATCTATTAATCCAAGTAATTTGAATGAAAATGCATCTTATTATTTTTGTCATTTTCCATTTTTAATATCATTAGGAGGAAAAATCTCAATTTTAGAGTATGAAGCACGAAGACAAATGGAAAGAAAGGCAGAAGAAGCATTTATTAATTCATTAGATAAAAGGATTGCCATTGATATTTATTTCAAGGTTAGAGTTAGAAGAGAATTTATTGTACAAGATTCATTACAATGTATTAAATTGAATTCTAATAATCTTAAAAAGAGTTTGAAAGTTCAATTTGTTAATGAACCAGGAATTGATGTTGGTGGATTAAAGAAAGAATGGTTTTTATTATTGACAAAGGAAATGTTTAATCCAAATACTCGAATGTTATATAATGTGGAAGATTCTAATTTATTATGGTTTAATATTAAACCTATTGAAAATTTTGAAATGTATTATTTATTTGGAGCTGTATTAGGATTAGCCATTTATAATTCTACTATTTTAGAACTTCAATTTCCAACTGCATTATATAAGCTTTTATTAGGAATTCCAATTGATATTTTGGATTATAGTCAATTATTTCCGCTGTCATATTCGAATTTAATAAAATTAAAAGATTTAAGTGAAGAAGATTTAGATGCATTGGATATTACATTTGAAGTGAGTTATAAGGATGTGTTTGAAACTTCCTATACTGAAGAATTGATTTCTGGTGGAAGTAAGATTCAAGTGAATAAAGATAATTTAAATTTGTTTATTGAGAAGTATAGTGATTTTTTTATGAAAACAAGTATTTCCAAACAAATTGAATCATTTATAAATGGGTTTTCTAATGTGGTTGGAGGTAATGGACTTTCATTATTTCTGGTTGAAGAGTTACAATTATTATTGTGTGGAAGTAATGAAGGAAGTATTGATGTTGAAGTATTAAGGTCAGTTACTAAGTATGTGGGATGGAATGGTAAAGAATGTGGTGGAACTGGAAATGGTCCAGAATCATCTGTAGTTACTTGGTTTTGGGATATGTTTAATGATATGAATATTAAACAACGAAAGAAATTATTGTTGTTTGTTACAGGGTCAGATAGAATACCAGCAACAGGTATTCAAAATTTAAATTTCAAGATCAGTTTGTTAAATCATGGTAAAGATAGTAATAGATTACCAGTTGCTCATACCTGTTTTAATGAATTGGCATTATATAATTATAGTACAAAAGAGAAATTCATTGATAAATTAAACAAGGCTATATATGAAAGTGCAGGGTTTGGAATAAAGTAAAGGATTGGTTTTATATTAATTGGTTTGGTTAAATCGATTAAATAGTATGTAGATATATATATATATAGTATATAGATAAGTAATTAGATACACATACTATGATATGGTATTGTATACTTAATTGTTAATTGGTAGTTCTCATATAATTTTTTTTGCAGCTAATTCCGGGTAACTGTTGTTCCTTCCCAAACGGGTAATTGGTTATTGTAACCAATAAAATGACAGTAAAAACGAGAAGAATAATCCATATTAAATTTAAATTGTTAATTACTATGTTCCTGTATATAGCAACAACAAATTGTATGAGAGTTTTAATTTTTTTTTTTCACCAAATACAAAATACAACAAAACAACAATCATCTTGACTTAAATCATAGCATCTAATATACCAATTAACAATGTCATCACTTGCTTTCAGATCATTAAGAAGCGGTTCTGCTTTAAAGTGTAAGTTTCCCTTTAGTTTGAAAAGTTTGGTTGAAAAACGAATGAATGTGGGATATATATGTCTCAATGGAAGTCAATCAGTCCATTCATCCATCCATCCATCTATCTATGAAATACCATTAACTGAATCAATTAGATCGATTTTATAATCAGAGATTAGTGGAATATTTAACTCTGTCATGTTATTTATGTGTCTGTACAGTTAATTCCTCATTTAGGCTTGTTGTGTGATTATCAAGTGGGATTTATCAAGAACTAAAGTATTCATCCAAGCAACAATGTCAAAGCTTATGTCCCTCTGTCGAACGAAGAACCCCTCGACATCCATTTCAAAGACACTACTACTACACTACAACGTAATACATTCATTAAAACTCAATCCAATTCATTACATATGATATATAAAATCTCCATTATTCGTTTATCATACAAGATATTCTAAGAATTTATTTTACTAACTATATTTCCTTTCTAGCTTCTATTAGATCTTTATCTACCACCTCATCTGTGTTATCAAGTTATAAACACCCAGATTACACCACTTACTTAAATAATAAATCAGATGATGCTTCAAGAAACCTTACCTATTTCATGGTTGGTTCAATGGGTTTATTATCTGCTGCTGGTGCCAAATCTACCGTTGAAGCTTTCCTTTCATCCATGGCTGCTTCTGCTGATGTCTTAGCCATGGCTAAAGTTGAAGTTAAATTAGGTGCTATTCCAGAAGGTAAAAACGTCATTATTAAATGGCAAGGTAAACCAGTCTTCATCAGACATAGAACTGCTGATGAAATTGAAGAAGCCAATAACGTCAATATCAAAACTTTAAGAGATCCTCAAAATGATGCTGATAGAGTTCAAAAACCAGAATGGTTAGTCATGTTGGGTATTTGTACTCATTTAGGTTGTGTCCCAATCGGTGAAGCCGGTGATTTCGGTGGTTGGTTCTGTCCTTGTCATGGTTCCCATTATGATATTTCTGGTAGAATTAGAAGAGGTCCAGCCCCATTAAACTTAGAAATTCCAGCTTATGATTTCACTGATGATGAAACTTTATTAGTTGGTTAGATCTATAGAACTTTATTCAATTTATCAAAAAAATCCAAGTTTATTATTCAAATCTCATGACTCATTTCATTACATATTCTAACAACCTTTTCCAATGACAACAACTTACATTCAAATCATTCTCATATTCAATTTCCTTCTTTAACTACTAAATCAATCAGTTATAGATAAAATCACTATTTCTTCTTCACTTTTTTAAATTTAAGAAATAAATATAAAAAGTAAAAGGAAGAAACTTCTATTTATATAATACACTTTTTTCAAACTAACCTTTTTATATATTTTTTAAAAATTAATATATATATTATCGCATTCTATTTTTTATAAATCAGGATATTTATCTAATAAATCCTTTAATTCATCAGGAATAATGGTCCAAATCTCATCATTCCAACTATTTCTAATCTTTTCAAATGTTAAATCATTTGCCATTTTTTCAACTTCTGCACTATCATATATATCTTTAAATGGTTGCAACAGATCAATAAATCTTTGACCTAATTTATAATCAGAAATATTAGTAGGTACATAATCCTCAACATAATGTAATCTATAAAAGAAACTCCAATGTAATTGACAATTCTTTGGTATTTTTCTATGTCTACCTAAATTTGGGACATATACTTGCTTCCATTCACCATATTTATCTTCAACTTTATATCCAATAGGTAATAGTTCAATTAACCACCAAAGCATAATTGAAATCTGACTCTCGTCGCCTCTACCATCAAATCTCTTGATAGGGTTCTCTGGAAGTATGAATTCTGTTCTTGTTGAAGAACTGTTATTCTCTTCAACATTAATCATCCTACTTTCTTGTGAATATGAAGATGTTCTTGGACCAACCTCAATTTCTTCGACAACTTGTTGATACGTTAAATTGACTTTTGTAAGACCCAATGCTCTTTTTACAAACTCCATAAATGTTTCAGTTTTATGACGGACCGGATGACCTTTATTAAGAGCTAACATATCATGATGACAAGATAAGAAGCTTTCAGAAACTGGATGATTCCTTTCAAATTCATGAAGGACACCCTTTTTGAATATAACTCCAAATTTAACTGCGTCCAGGATTACCCAACGTAGTGGAATATTTCCAAGAAATTGACCTTCTAGATCGGCTGGCCAACCTCCACCACAATCACCGTGATTTCCTGGGAAGAACATTTCAATAACATCTTCAGACAGTAAGTTTTCAAGTTTATAACTTCTGTTCCGTCTTACTTTGCCCGCAAATGGAGGTGTGACAGACATAATTTCTGTGAGTAAGGAAGAAGTAGACTCTTCTTGTTCTCCGTCAACATCTTCATTATCATCACATCCTTCACAATCTAAACTAAATAAATGGGGATAGTAGCTATATGGTTCGAAAAGCAATTGTTTAAACTTTGCTCTTCTTTCATCGATGCTAACTGCATGTCTCACATGTTCCACTATAGCACTTCTTATAGTATAAGGAAATAACCTATCTCTAATAATACCTACTGAATTAATAGTATCCCATAACCCCATGAAATGTATATCAACTTCATTTCTAGAAAAAGTTTCTTTGAAGGCTTGAATTAATGTTACTGATGAATCGGCTTGAGTAGGTTGACCAGCATACTCCCAGTTACTATAAAGTTCCCAAGCAGTAGCTGTCATTTCTTCTAACCCTTTATTGAGTAATCCAACACGTTCTATCATTCCCGCCAAAATCCTGGCACAGAAACTTCCTCTGCTATTCATAAAGTTAGATTTAAGTTAAGTAAATTCATAATATTAAAGGTATAGCGACTTACCTGAAACCAAACAAATATATTCTATCGCCACGTTTATAGAAACGGCATAAAAAGTTATAAGCAGCAATAACATGGCGGTCTAATGAAAATGCCACAATTGAATCCAACTTGTTGGTAACTTTACTTGTCTTGGAACTAACGAAATTAACCTCTTCGTAATTATTAGACTCTGCCTCAAACCTAACACCAATTCCAGGTTGATAATAACATAACTGATGAGGATTATCCTTCTCTAACATACCGAACGTTTTCAACACATTGGAATATGGTTTGACTCCAAATTCATTCTCAGTACCATCTAAACAAAGCACTAGATTGATCGGCGGCTCATTTAGATTTGGTATATCATTTGTGAACTGATGATTGAAATCTTCAGCCTCATAATCATTTCCTCTATAGTATATAGTTGGCAGATTAAGGTGGACCTTATCTTTGACAGGATTCCTCAATATATGATTGCTTCTAAATGGACCAGAAATCGTCATCAAATAATCTAATTATTAGAAATATCACTTTGGCGGCTAAAAGTACAAGTAAGATTTTTTGTTGCAAATTGTTTTTGGAAAATACTAACCAAAAAAGTGCTAATTTACCTACAATTTAGAACCTTACAATAAAAAAAAAGTAGTTTCTAAATTAATTGACTCAAATCGGACACATTCATCCATTACAACAAGTTATACTCTTTCTACTCCCTTTCACATATGTTATATCTATTTATTATTGCCTTTATAGATGGAAATATAAGGTTAATATAGTACTTATTATATATTCCATCATATGTAGTATATGCAGGATTGTGCTTTCTTGAGAATATATAGAGATATCTTATAAAATATAGAATAATATATACTTTACTACGGTAGATACTAAAGTTCAATGAGTGGATCGATTGTGAGGGCATTGAATTGGGATAATGGTGGGTATGAACAACAGTTTTTAGCCATCAATCCCATTGGAGATGAAGTATTGTTATATCAGACTAATCATGAAGATCCTGGAACCGAATCTAACGATTTAATAAAGATTAACAGTAGGTCTGGATTTGAAAACATACAATGTTCATCATATTCATTAATCAATAAAGGCCTTACTGGTGTTGGATCTATCACTGGTAATATTTCAATCTTTGACATTAATTCAAATACATCATCGATTTTGAAGTTACGACCAAAGCAAAATAGACCGTGTAACTCTATTTCATTTAATAATAGTAACTTAATTGTTGCTGGGTTCGACAAAGGAAGACAAGATAATTCGTTACAGATATGGAACATAGAACATTACTCCCGTAGCAGCACCAATAATCATATCAAACGTCCAGCAGTTTCATACTTGCCTAATGAAGCTGTGCTTTCAGCTATATTTTATCCTGATCGTGAAAGCAGTATACTATGTGGATCTTACAAGTTTTTGAGAGAAATAGATTTAAGAGTTGATCAGCCTACTTTTCAAATGGCTACAAAATGCACTCTTGGTTTGACTGTGGATCATTTTCAAAATCATTTATTTCAATCTTTCAGTGAGGATGGATCTTTGGCAATATGGGATAGAAGAAAGTTAACTACTTCAAATTCCGCTAAGGGTAAATCTTCATTATCTTCAGGTAATGTCATAACAGAAACACCTGTTTTGCAATTCACTAAATTGTTAAGTGATATATCATCAAGAAAAAATCAAAATCCATGTGTCAGATATTCTACAATTAGACGAGGAGAGTTTTCGGCAGTCTTCAATGGAGACTTGATAAGAAGATGGCACACAGGAATTGTACCCGGCGGAACATTCAGTGGAGATAGCGATGTGGATGGTAAATCCAAGAAAGAGGAAAACATCGTTCAAAGTTTGAAACAACAATCTATGCAACTTTACAAAGGAGGAGAAGAGTCCCTCTTTGTTTCGATGGTTCTTGATGTGAAGACAGATTTTGAGAGAGTTGTATCATTCGACTATTCTCCAGATATAATTTCAAATACTTCAACGAATTTTGTTTGTATGAGGCAATCTGGTTCAGTGTTTAGAATGCCGGTAGAAGAATGTATAGAGGCATTAGATTTCAACTCGTTAAACGAATTCTCAATCGCAGGACCAGAAGGGACCACGACAAAGTTCTTGCCAATAGAATTGCGTGAAGGCATGTCGGGACAACTTGCAGTAGCAGCAGCTGCTGCTAATGGAAATTTCTCAAAAAATGGAACTAATGCTTTAAGGAATCTTAATTTAAACGATGATCTCAGGAAGTATAGTGAAGGTGAACTTTCAGAAGATTTAGATTCTGCCATGGATGACGATAGTATAATAGCTAAAAATGGAAATGATGGTGCTTTAGCGAGATATGGTCAACGAGACGAATTTGAAGATTATCTTCCCATGAATTCGTTGCTTGATTCTTCAGATGTAATTAGCAACGATGTATGTACTGCAATTAGGAGACGTGCAGAAATGGGATATGGTGTGGATTTTGATGAGAATGTGAGAGTTTTAGAACTGCTTAATGCTCTTGACAATCAATTATTCTTGAGAAATACATGGAAATGGTTGAGTCTAGCAAAGAAGTCACTTGATAAAGGAACCATGATTTCAGAAGGAATAGACCTTGGATACCAGGGTGTATTAGGTATCTGGAAGGGTGTTGATGAATTAAGCGGTCAAAATCGGAGTGCTCCTGATTCAGGTCCCATTACTGATGTTTGGTTTTCCCAAGCTGTTAAGTCCATTGTTGCTTCAAAGGGTAAGAAAACTGCTGGAATAAACATTTCAAGTAGCAGTGAACGAAAAGTTCAAAGAAAACTCTGCTTGATAGTATCAGGATGGTATTTAGCAGACAATGAATTTGAAGAAAAGTTAGACGTTTTGGTTTCCCTAGGATTTTATGAAAAAGCTGCTGGATGGGCTGTATTCCATGGAGATGTAACTAAAGCTATTGAGATATTGGGAAATTCCAAGAAAGAAAGGTTGCGGCTTATGTCAACAGCAGTAGCTGGTTATTTAGCATACAAGAACTCCAACGTAAATAGTCCTTGGAAAGATCAATGTCGTAGGATGGCATCAGAACTTGATGATCCTTATCTTCGTGCAATTTTTGCTTTCATAGCGGATAATGATTGGTGGGATGTGTTAGATGAACATGCTTTACCTTTAAGAGAGAGATTAGGAGTTGCTTTGAGATTCTTATCTGATAAAGATTTGAATGTCTATTTGAATCGAATTGCTGATTCTGTTGTTGCTAAGGGTGAATTAGAAGGATTGATATTAACTGGTTTGACACCAAGAGGAATTGATTTACTTCAAAGCTATGTCAATAGAACTAGTGACGTACAAACTGCAGCTTTGATTTCAGCTTTCGCATGTCCTAGATACTTTTCTGATGATAGAATCAAACACTGGATCGATTGCTATAGAAGTCTTCTTAATAGTTGGGGATTATTTCGGACAAGAGCAAAGTTTGACGTTGCAAGAACAAAGCTATCAAAGAATTTTGCAGGAAATGCTACTATCAAAGCTGCTCCAAAGCAAGTTTACTTGCAATGTTCAAGATGTAATAAAAATCTTTCTAAGCCAAAGACAAATAATATGGGTCAAGTAGGTAATACCCATATCTTATTGAAGCAATTCAATAAGTTAAAGCAACCATCGAAAGGTACAATAAATGCATGTACACATTGTGGTGCTCCATTACCAAGATGTTCCATATGTCTTTTATCACTTGGAGCTCCACTTCCTCATGATTCTATTGAAGATCCAACCGATTCAATTATAAAATCAAAAATAGAAAATAAGTTCAAAGAGTGGTTCAGCTTCTGTTTAAGTTGTAACCATGGTTGTCATGCCCATCATGCTGAAGAGTGGTTTTCAAAGCACTATGTATGCCCTGTACCAGACTGTAATTGTAGATGTAATAGTAAATAGTATAGTTTAGTAATAAAATAAGGACTATAATTATCTGTCTCTATTGTTCTCGCACGTGACTTAAAAAAAGGGACAAGTTATTTTTAGCCTGTTGTGGAAAATCGTCAACACTCACACACAAAAATATATCCAGATCAAATCAATGTTTATAATTTGATTCATCATACTTAGGAACAAATCAAGGCGGCAGTACGATCTGGCATTGTTATTAGGTGGTCTATATCTTAAGTGTATCCTATATTTAATCTCAAACTAAATAGATCGGTTCGATTGTGGAAAGATTTCGTTTTATTATCATAGGTTTACGTTGTACTAATTATCTGATCTGAATCATACCATCACTTACAATCTTTTGCTTCCAGGTTTCAGTCCATATTATTGACTCAAGGTTATTTAAACAGAGTTCATATTGTATTTTAGAGATAGATTATAGTTCCAAACATGTCTGAACGAAAGAATAATGCCATCCATGAAATTGGAGCAAAAATCGAACGAGAACGAAAAGTTCTCCAAGGTCTTCAAACTTTAAAGAAGAATACCAATAATCCAGAAGTTATTCAAAGATGTAATACTAGAATTCTCGAAACTCAATCCAATGTCGACTTTCTTGAAGAAAATTTATTGAAATTAACCATGCATGCTGATGGAGAAAATTTCCCTGATAACAACAATAATAGTAATGGACCTCGTCCAGTGTATTCAAGATTTGATTTGATTAAATATGATTGTCCTTCATTAGGACATAAAATTCAGCATATGTTACAACAATTACAATTCAAATTACAAGTGGAAAATCAATATCGTGAAGCAAATCAGAAAATACATCAATTATATTTAATGGATGGAGATAAATCCTCCATAATTGCTGCTGAAGGTGGTAAAGTTGAAAGTGACCAAAAAATTCAATTATTAAATAAAGCTTTAAGAAAATATCAAAATATCCATATCGATCTTGAAGATTTAACTAGAGACTTTGAAATAATGTCTACTCCTAAACATGCAAGAAAACCATTGACAGGTAAATTGACTATTAATATCACTTGTATTAGAGATGTTGATCATGTTGCATCACCAATGTTCAATAAGAAACCAGAATCCATTGTAATAATTAAAGTTGATGATGTTGAAAAGGCAAGATCAAAACCTTCAAGAACTGATAAGTGGAATGAAGAACTCTCATTTGATGTTGATAAAGGTAATGAATTTGAATTGTCTGTGTTTGATAAATCAGGAAATATGTGGATACCAGTAGCCATAAATTGGGCTTTACTTTCAGATATTACAGAAGAAATCCGTAAAAAGAAAGTTGCAGAAGAATTAGGTTCTAGTGGATGGATAACTGCTTCTAATTTATCACAAGTACCAAATACAGCTGGAACATTACCTGATTCCGAAAGAAGTGATTTCCCAAGTTCTGCAAACACTTTAGGTGACCATGGTGCTACATTTAACTCTGGTTCATCGGGTGTAGCTGGTCAAGATGGTCAAAAAATTCAAATCAACTCTTGGTTAAGTTTAGAACCAGTTGGTCAAATCTTAGTATCCATTAATTTTGAAAAGACAAACGTCGAAAAGAGTGGTCAATTTATGGGTGGTCTTGGACGTCATGGTGCCATTCGTAAGAAGAAAGAAGAAGTCTATGAACAGCAAGGGCATCAATTTGTTCAAAAACAATTTTACAATATTATGTGTTGTGCTCTTTGTGGAGAGTTTTTACGTTATTCGGGATACCAATGTCAAGATTGTAAGCTTTTATGTCATAAGAAGTGTTATCAAAAGGTTGTTTCTAAATGTATCTCCAAATCTAGTAATGATTTGGATGATGCAACTAAATTGAATCATCGTATTCCACATAGATTTGAACAGGTTGCAAATCGTGGTACAAAATGGTGTTGCCATTGCGGTTATATCTTACCTTGGGGCCGTAAGAATGTTCGTAAATGTGTGGAATGTGGTATAATGTGTCATGCCCATTGTACTCATTTGGTTCCTGATCTATGTGGTATGTCTATGGAATTGGCAAATAAGGTAGTAATGACAATCAAATCAACACCTAAACCAACACCAAGGGTGCCAAAAGCTATATCCCATGAAGCTATTAATCGTTTATCAAATAGAACGGCCACAGGTTCTGAAGTAGAAAAGACCTTAACCAATCTCTCAGATGATGAAGGAAAGCAAGAGTATGAAAGCAAATTACCAACCCAAACTACTAATACATTCCAAGAACCAATTCAACATCCTTATTCTAATGTTCTTAATAGACGTCCACCACCTCAAGAAGTGCAAGTTCAACAACCATATGAAGATAGAAACATTCCAAATGTTCATGTCCAAGCAGATGGTAGTTTGAAACCATCTAACGATTTTAATAATTTCGATTATCATAATTATCAATCGGACCAAGTTCCTAGTGAAGTAGAGGTGCAACATTCTGAAGAAGTTCAAAGAAAAGTATACGAAGAAGCACATTTACAACAACAGCAACAATACTCTGGTGATGTACAAGCCCAGGAACAATCAAAATCAAAGCCAAGACGTCGTAGAAGAAGAGTTGGATTAGATGATTTCCAATTCTTAGCTGTGATTGGTAAAGGTAATTTCGGTAAAGTTATGTTAGCTCAATCAAGACAAACCCAAAGTTTATGTGCCATTAAGGTGTTAAAGAAAGAGCAAATTATTCAAGATGAAGCAGCTAATGATGTTAAATCTGAAAAGAGGGTGTTCTTGACTGTTAACAAGGAAAGACATCCGTTTTTATTAAATTTACATTGTTGTTTCCAAACTGAAAATAGAATTTATTTCGTTATGGAATATATATCCGGTGGTGATTTAATGTTCCATGTTCAAAATGGTAAATTACATCCAAAGAGAGCTAAATTTTATGCTTGTGAAATCTTGTTAGGATTAAAATATTTCCATGATAATGGTATTGTTTATCGTGATTTGAAATTAGAAAATATTTTATTGACTAGTAAAGGTCATATTAAGATTGGTGATTATGGTTTATGTAAAGAAAATATGGGTTATGGTCAAACCACAGGATCATTCTGTGGTACACCAGAGTTTATGGCTCCAGAAATTGTTTCAGCTAAACCGTACGATAGAAGTGTTGATTGGTGGGCATTTGGGGTATTATTTTTCCAAATGTTATTACGTACATCACCATTTAAAGGGGAAGATGAAGAAGAAGTGTTCAATGCTATTACTAATGATGATGTCAAATATCCAATTTATTTATCTAGACAAACCGTTTTAGTTTTACAAGGGTTATTAACCAAAGATCCAAGTCAACGTCTTGGTAGTGGAGAAAGAGATGCCTTAGAAATCATGGAACATGAATATTTTAGTGATGTTAACTTTGATGATGTTTTGAATATGAGAATTCCTGTTCCATTTTTACCGGAATTAAATAGTGAACTTGATTACAGTAATTTTGATAAAGAATTTACTTCCGAAACTCCAAGATTAACTCCAGTTGATGCTGTTCTTGGTGCTGAAGTACAAGAACAATTTAGAGGATTCTCTCATATATCGGAAAGTGCAGCTATTTAGTTTTAGAGAGTAATAAGAAAAAATGATTAAATAATTTTATAGGAAAATATTGCTTTTATGTATAACTATCAGAATTTTTGTATATACATATGTATAATGTAGTTAAAAATTTAAGTTTGATTTAAATTCAAAATGAAGATATTATTGTATTATTAAAGTTCTATTAGATTGCTCTAGTTAATGGTAACGAATATTATATATATATATGTATAAAGTATGAGCCCAAATAAATAAATGAATGAATGAAAGTTTAAAAATTAATTACATTATAGTACAACACCCTGATTTTTTATTAATAGGTTCAGAGATTGATTTTTGTTGAAGTTGTCTTGTAGTGATGCTAGTTTGAGGACCTAAAGATTTTTCATTTCCAGCTGCTGTGGATGAGACTTCAGAAGTTATCATTATGATTGAATTATCGATAGTATTATTAGTTTCAATAGGTTGAATTGGAGTAATCAGTTTTGATCTTTTTTGATTTTGAATTTCTGATTGATGTTTGGCTAAGACTATATCTGATAATCTTAAAAATGCATCTTGAACATGAGAATTATCCTTTGATGAACATTCAAAGAATCCAGTAGCATTAATTGATTGAGAGAATTCATGACCTTCTTCCCAAGTAACTTGTCTTTCATCAACTAAATCGGCTTTTGAACCAACTACGATGACAGGAGGTAAAATAGGTCTTGTTGCCTGTATACGATCGTAAATGTCATGTAAATGCATGATTGAATTTGTATCTGTTATGGAATAAACTAATAATAAGGTAGATGCATTAATGATTTGTTGTTGTCTTGATCTAGCAAACAGATCAGTTACGGAACTTGTATCTAATATTGATAATTCATAATAATCGGTATGATCTCCAATGACTTTAGTATGTAAATCTTCAAGGGATGAATCGATATTTGGAATGAATGTTTCATGTAAATAACTTTGTATAAGGGATGATTTTCCAACTTGATGATCTCCTATCACTAAGATATCAAAGCTATCTTTTAATGCTAATATAGAATTCATTATATGATGAGTAAGAGGGTTAGGGCTTTGATCTTTTTTTTTATTATTTTTGACTCGTTTTCAAATTACTCTTTATTTATAATTACAAAGTAGGTATCAAAGTTATAAGAGCAGTTGCAAAAAAAAGGCACAGTTGAGCCTTTGAGGTAATTGATAAGTTGATGATTTCTTTACTGGAGGAAAAGACGAAACAGAAGAAAATTACTGAAATTATAGGATAATGATAAACATTTAAATGTAATTATATGAAGATATATTTATATATATTCCCTGATGATACAAAATTAGGAACAATAAATTATTTTTGACAGAAGGAACATCCATTTTTTATTTTGTATTGGGCGGCTTACAAGGCATTAAAGACAAAAAAAAACGACATCCACAACAAATTAAAAAAAAAAAAAAGAAAAAAAAAACCGTTGCAGACACAAAACGGATAAACAAAAAAGATTACAGAAAAAAAGAAATTACAGGCAGACAGACATTTTAATTAACAGACACAGACACAGACAGACAGACAATTTATTTTATTTTATATAAGCCTGATAACTAATTCTTGAGTAACAAACCTTTTGCTTAGAGACATCATTCAAACTAGTTTATTGGTTTTCTTATTGTTTAAGAAGGTATTGTTTTTATGCTTTGCATGTAACGAAAGAAACATGGGTTGATGGTAGCTAGATGGTTCACGTTTAGCGATATGGACCTAATTTTTAAACTTTCAATACATATGTCACAAGATTCAAACCGCAATAAAAATAATATTATTATTATTATTATTGTAATATAATTTATTTTTATCAAAACTTTTATACTCCTTTGTTACACACATGTTATCGGAGGGTTTTAAAATTTTTTAAAAAAAGGTGGTTTATTCTAGCCCAATTTCCACGGGTCTGAGGATATTTTCTACAGTAGATCGAATGATATCTATATGCTCTATACTACCTCATAAGTACCAGTGGTGCCAATTACCACAAGTAGAAAAGTTTCCCTTGCCCGTTTGCGCAGCGCAACCACCTATATCATAAAAACGTTTTATAATATATATTTATAAATAAAATGGACATATGGTCATCGTCGTTTTTCGACAATTATTTAAAAAGTGGGCCTAACTGCACAAGCGAATATCGTTAACGGTTATCATACATGCGATACTAAACAAATATTTTCGAAATATCTAGTACATTAAGCTTATAGTTATGAATTTTTAAATCATCATCATGTACTATGTAAAGGCAAGCATGAAGTACGTTTCATCGGAAGTGTGTGAAACAGCGACTTCAAAATAAGATCAAATCATGTCTAACCGTGATCGGCACAATAACTAAAAAATTTTAAACTGGACGAAAAAAAAAAAAATGAAAAAAGAAATTTTTTATTTCCCGCTGTGGAAGAGAATAACCGGACTTGCAATTACTGTTAGCTTTTAGTGGCCATTTGCCAGTGCCGTAGTAATTTTGGTTATTGTTTGGAGCCATAGCGTGTCTTGACTTTTCGTTCCTTATCCCCCTTCTATCTGTGGTTATACCTCTCTACTCTGATTGTTTGGCTCTAGTTATTAACAATATTTTTATTATTGTGCTTTTATTTACTATCTATGTTACATATATGCAAAGGTTGAATTTATCTTCTTTCCTTCTCACTCTAAGTCATCATCGTCGTCGGAGTTTAAGTATTGAGCATAATCGTCTGCCGATGCAAAGATTGGTAATGAATTAAGCTTAGCCTTTTTTGACTTCGGTTTCTTATCGCCATCTTTACCGTTTAAGGTACGTTTATTGGATTTTTTGACAGTAACGGCAGCTGTAGTATCTTCTTCCGAATCTCCGTCGACATCGTTATCTTCATCGTCTTCGGAATCACCTAACATTTTAAGATCAACGTCTTCATCATCTAATTCGTCGTCATCGTTAATACCGAAAATACCATCATCTTCTTCCTCTTCATTATCACTTTGCTCGTCAACTATTTCTTCTTCGTCATCATTCTCTTCTTCGACAGCTTCATCATCTAAGAATTCAAGTGCATCACCTTCATCGGCATCTTCACCTTCACCATCACTTAAATCAGAGAAATCACCTTCATCAAAATCAGAATATCCTTCATCAATATCATCATCTTCACCTTCAACTTCAGGTTTAGAATTAACCAATGCCTTCCAAATTTCAGCATCTCCCATTTCTTCGGCATCTTCTTCGTCAATTTCTTCTTCTTTATCTTCCTTCTTACCTCTTAATTTATTAACTTTAGTAGTAAAATATTGATAGAAGAATTCTTCATCAGGTTTAATATCTTGAACTTTTTTATTTAACCAATCTTCAGTATTAGCTGGAAGTTCTGAACTTAAAACATTAGTAGCCTTAACTAATAATGATCCAGTATGAGCACCTCCTAAAGGTTGCATAATAGAACTACCTTTAGTAATTGGTTTTTCTTTAGCATTCTTATATACGAAACGATCTAAGAAATGAGCCAATGTAAATAATCCTAAATCAGGTTTTGGTTGATTCTTACCTTCAAGTAAAGATTGAGCATAAATTGATACAGTTGGATGATAATGATTTAAGAATTGAGTTAATTCCCATAACGACGATTTATCAGCATTAGCGAATTTTGGATCACGTTTACGAGGATCATATTCTTCATCGTCTTTCTTTGGTTCAGTACTTTCTGATTTTTCTTCAACTTCCTTAGATTCAACTTTTTCGTCTTCTTCATCTTCTTCGGGATCAGGTCTAGATGCAAATTCAATCATTAAATCTTGAATTTGTGGGAATGATTTAGATAATTCCATTAATAAAAATAACATACCGGAAATACTACCAATATTAATCCAATGACAACAAATCTGTAAAATTCTCTTAACAAAAGCTAATATTCTTGGAACATTAGCATCATTCTTTAATGATTTGAATAACAAATTCAAATAAATACCTTGCTTTGAAGAAGTTAATAATCTGGAATCTAATAATGATTCATATAAGGTTCTGAAATATCTATCACTATTTAATTTTTGTTGACTTATGATATGATGGACTAATGACAAGGCTTGAACTGAGGTATTGAAATTAGATGAATGAGTGATTTTGAATAAAGTATCTAAATGCTTTTCATAAGTTTCAGCAGGCAAGTTAGAAAATGGGAAAGCTCTGTTTAAACCAGTTAAAAGAGCTGAAAATAATCTTGTATTTTTTTCTTCGATTATTTCCAGTTCTGATTTATCTTCTTGTTTAACTGATTTACCCCCTTTTTTACCCTTCTTAAAGTTCTTTCTATTATTCTTTCTACCCTTTTCAGATTTTCCAACAACTTTATCAGATTTATCTTCTTCCTTTGTGAAACCATCACTTTCAACTAAAACTTTTTCAAAAAGTGAGAAATAAGTCTTAACCAATTTATTAGCTAATTCTTCTTCACGACGAGTTAAAATAGTTTGATTCAAGGTGGTAATGGCATAGTATTTAGCATGATAGTCACTACCAGTTTTAAAGATAACATCGATGATTGAATCAGTAACAATAGCTTTCATAGCAGGATGAGCTTGTTCAAGTTGTAATAAAAGATATGAAGTTTTAGATGAAACTTTATTATCAATATCACCTAATTTATTAACACCTAATTTCAATAAATTCACTTCTTGTTCGGGTTTCTTATTTAATAAATCGAAAATATGATTAACAGCATTCATTCTAACATGAAGAATTGGATCATGACATAAAACTTCTAAGATTTGAATTAATTTGAAATAATGTTTCTTTAATATATCTTCAAAATAATAAACTGCTAAAGTAGTATTGGATAATTCTTTAGTCATTGGTTGTTTATCAAATGCAAGTAATTTTCGATCTGGTAATACACCATTTAATAATAAATCCTTAAGAGCAGCAATTGATTGTAAAGCAGCGGTTCTTGATTTCTTTTCACAGAATCCAATTAAGGTATCAAATGCTTTAAGATTATGTAATGGAGCTTCTTGGAATAACAATGTTAAGGCAGAGATTTTATCGTTTAAAGTACCATCGGATAAAATTTGGGACAAGAACTTTCTTTGGGAGTTATTAGATGCAAATTCTTCAAGATAAGTTTTGTTATCTTTTTCAATGGTTGTTTTAGCTCTTTCAAGTAATCTTTCTTTGGCGAATCTATCTAACTTTTCTGGGTTAGGTACTTTATCGATAGGGACATTGTACCAGTCAGTACGATTTGGTACAACTAATTGTGAACTGATAACAGTGGTGACATCTTCAACCTTGTTACTTTGTTTTGGTTGCTTCTTTCTTAAATCTGCTTCTTTGACGACAACTTCATCTTCACTTTCTTCCTCACTTTCTTCTTCTTCTTCTTCTTCTTCTTCTTCTTCTTCAACTTCTGCTTCTTCAACTTCTGCTTCTTCTTCTTCTTCTTCTTCTTCTTCTTCTTCTTCTTCTTCTTCTTCTTCTTCTTCTTCTTCTTCGTCATCTTCATCGTCTTCTTCTTCTTCAACTAATTCTGGAACATCATCAACAACTACTGCTTCACCATTTCCTAAACCAATTCCACTCATGAACTTACTTAAGTCATTCCCAAATGATTTGTCAATCTTACCAGTGTCTTCAAATTCTTGTTCACTTTCTTCCCCTTCATCAATACCCATAATCAAGGCAAGATCATCTTCAGTTGCACCTAAAGCTAAAGCTTCACGTCTTAAGACATCTTCTTCACTTTCATCTTCATTTTGACTTACTGGGTTATTGTCTTTCTTATTGTAGTTGTCCTTCTTTCCATTCTTATGTTCTGAAGCTTTTGGATTAGCTACAACTTCCTTCTTCTTATCATCCTTCTTTGATTTACTCTTTTTAGAATTCAGACTACCTAACTTGGTAGCAATCTTATCCTTCAAAGAAGTTAAGTTCAACTTGGATACATCCATTGCTTTGAAGTTGAAGTGTTTATAGTTTCTTGATAGATCTATCTAGATCAAACCTATTATAACGCTATAAAAAATTATTGAAATGCTCATCTCCATACTGAAAAAAAAAAAATCCAATCACATGATTCATCATGTGATTGCTCGTCATGTGATCATTTATTTATATTTTTAAAGTTACTAAAAAATTATCTTGTCATTTCTGGTCTCTAAAATTTTCGCAATCACGTTAGGAAGGAAGGAATAAGTTTTTCCGGATGTTGAGGTTTTTAGTGTGTTAAAAATTACTTTATCGGGTGATACTCCCTGACCCTATATTTAGAGAATATAAGGTAAGTATAAAAAGATCTCTCTCAAAATTTAAATAATGGATGATATGCATACTTAACCATCGATTTCGATTTCCCTTCCATGAAAATCGAGTATAACACTTCTTCTTTATCATTAAGTACTTGAGATGCTGCCCTCAAACTTAAACTCAACCCCTATGTCTCACGCGACTAGCAGCAGTAATTCAATCATTTGGCCCCCTACTGATTTGTTAAACTCAATCCAAGTGTTTGATAAACCATGCAAATATATTATATCCAAGAAAAAGTTAGGTGATGGGACTTTCTCAACCGTCCACGAATGCAAAGATAAAATAACAGGTCAACATTATGCAGCTAAAATGTATTCCAAAAAGTTAGTTTATGGTTTAGAATCAATGTTACAAAATGAATTCAGTGTACTAAAGAGGATTTCAAAGGGTCATCATAATATCTTAAGTTTAGTCGACTATTTTGAAACTGAAGATTCTTTATTTCTCATCACTGATTTGGCAGTTGGTGGTGAGTTATATGATAGAATAGTTAACAAAACTCATCTTGATGATCTGGAAGTTCGTGAATTAACAAAAACTTTGGTTACAGCTATCGATTATTTACATACCAACAACATAGTTCATAGAGACATAAAAGCAGAAAACATTCTAATTCAAGGTAATAATTCAAAGAATTTTGCTAAAAGTCTATTACTTGTTGATTTTGGGTTTGCCCGTAAACTTGATAACAATAGAATTCATGAACTTGCTGGAACTCTTAGCTATATGGCACCTGAATACTTTAATAAAGTAAAAGGCCATGGAAAAGAAGTTGATGTATGGGCTATTGGTGTTTTGGTTTACTTTATGTTATGTGGTTATATGCCATTTGATTGTGAAACTGATGATCAAACTAAGCATGCCATTCAAAAAGCTGATTATTCATATTCACCTCCCTCCTATTGGAGTCATGTAAGTGATGAAGCTAAAGATTTCATAGATGCCTGTTTTGTGGTCGATCCTAACGAAAGACCTTCACCCAAAGAGTTGTTAAAACTTCCATTCCTAGATTATAAGTCAAAAGCTTCACTTCTGAGAAATTTAAGTTCTACAAGTTTAATTTTAGATGGTGTATCCAGAAAGTTGAACATGCAACTTTTACATAGCCAACCGCAATTGCCACTTGGAAGCTTCCAATCATCGCATACATCATTATCAGTGCTTTCGAATGGTCGCACTTTAACAACTATGCTGTCTAAATCATCTTTCTTAGGTAGATCATCTGGGAACAGTTTAATAGAAGAAACTATGGCTTTAAGAGGAGCTAAATGTGAACCTCCCGACTTGGTATCCAGGTTTACTTCGCCAATAGCTTCTGCACTTGCTTCCAAGCAAACCTCAGTAAGTGATTTTCTGGCTTTCTTGGAAGGAACAAGAGCTACACAGTTTGAATATGTTGAGGACGTGGCTCGTGACACTGATAATGTAAAGTTCTATTTATAGAGTATAATGACTATTAATAATATGTAACGTTTATTTATTTGATTTTTCTTGTACATACCACTAAAAACAATTTTGCAATTATAATTTATGTATAACTCTCTGTATAACGTCAAGTTTAAGCGCAACGGAAAACAGACACGACAATAATTATCGAACAGACAAAAAATGACGTTTAACCAAAAAAATATATGCTAAGGAAACATCAACAGACAAAAAGTTAAAATATTCATAACATCAAAATAGCTGACATTTTTAATTTACAATTATCACTGTTCGATAATATTCAAATTTTAAGAATATAATTGCTGATTGGTGGAGGTTAAGAATTCGACTCAAAAGCTGCTAAAAGAGGAATTGATTGCTAAAGACAATTATCTAACAAATCCAATCCAATCCCAAATCACGTCCCCCAGATTATAACCTGTCTTAAGTGGACATGCAACTTTAACAAGATAGAGGTACAGATGATAATAGCTTCAATGAATAACGATGCGTATACTGCAAGTCGGTCGATAGCCAATCCGGACTATTCGGAAGTGATGATATTTGATAGTCATTCGAAACCTAGAGAAGAAAGAGATTATAAAGAAATTTATCCTGATTTGGATGAGCAGAATCAACTAAAGGTTTTTATATTGGATAATGAAACGACAGACAACCATGCTAATAATATTAGATCAGGAAACCAAGGTTATATTGTTGATTTGAAGAAGCCTGTATTTAAAAAACTCGATAGTGAAGCAACTAATACATCACATCAGAAATATAGTAAGGCGTTAACTGAATATGGATATCAAGAACCAAATAAAGCAAATTCAATTAAAGATTTATCATTTATACGGCCATTTCAGGTAAATTCCAACTCGACCTTGACTGATGTCTCGGAGACTGTTGAGGCTTTAGTTGAGAAAAGAAAGAAGTTGGTGGAATATGATATGGATGAACAGGATTATTTATATTTGAAGGAGAGAAATGAAAACCCCAAAAACATTATAAAGATCATTCCGGAAGTATTTGAAATCATGATGACAACGTTGGAGCTTGAATGGGATAAACTCGATCATCAAATGAATTCCATTGTATCCAATATGAATGATTCAGAAGTGGATGATCCTAATAAGCTATTATCATTGGATTATAGCAACATAGAAAAGTATGGAACCGACGATGGGATTATTCCAGGTTCAATCTATGATCAAAAGTGTGCTGTCTGTGATGATAGTGATTGTGATAATTCAAATGCAATTGTATTTTGTGATGGCTGTGATATAGCTGTTCATCAAGAATGTTACGGTATTGCTTTTATTCCAGAATGCCAATGGTTATGTCGTAAATGTATGATTAATAAAAACAGGAACACTGACTGTGTCTTTTGTCCAAGTAAGACTGGTGCTTTTAAACAATTGGATAACAGTTTATGGAGTCATGTTATATGTGCACTTTGGATAAATGAATTATATTTTGCCAACCCAATCTATATGGAACCTATTGAAGGGATGGATTTGATTCCAAAAAGTAGGTGGAAGCTAACCTGCTATATCTGCAGGCAAAGAGTTGGAGCTTGTATTCAATGTGTTAATAGAAATTGCTTTCAAGCCTACCATGTCACTTGTGCCAGAAGAGCCGGTCTCTACATGGAATTGACAAAGGGTGTTCAAGGTGCTATTAATAATAAAAATACTTTGAAGACATTTTGTGATAAACATGGTCCTGGTGATTATGACTCTAGTACCATCTTGCAGGGTATTCAACGGACTAGAATGTTTTATCGTGATACTAAAATCCTTAATGAAGAAAATGTTAAGTTGAACAACAATAAGAAAATTGCCAACAAATTAAATATTTTTAAATGGCAAACTGAAAGCAATACTCCTATAGCTCCTAAGGTGTTTAGTGATGTTTTATTTGATATTTTAAGACTGTTGAAAGTTGAAAATCAAGTATTTCTACCTGATCAAAGCAATAATCAAGTAAAGACTTTAAACAGATTACCAAACAGAACTAAATATGAAACTTGGGACGAGTTAAGAGAAATATGTAACGAAATCTGTCGTTATTGGTGTTTGAAGAGAGAACAAAAGAACGGAGCTCCTTTAATAAGGAAGAATAATAACTTGATATCTACTAGTTCCATTCTTTATAATAATATTGATAACTCGTTGGTTAATGATGAATATGAGTTGGCTGGTGTTAATAGCTTGGAAGAGTTAAAAGAACGTATTGATTTTGCTACTATTCTAGTTAACGACTTAGAAAAGGTTTTTCAATTGGGTAACTACACTTTACAAAGACAACTACTTATTAAAGATATTAATGAAGTAGACTTCAAAATGATTGATTCAATATATTTTCCCATTAAAAAGGTTATAGAGTATTTTTTGGATACAATTAATGGAAAATTTGATGAAAGTAAGGTACTCCAAAATTATAAATTAAAAGGGGGAATTCTTGATGACAATTCAACTGAAAGCATTACATTCCAAAACACTTCTGCGTTGAAGCATATGCACGGGTCTTATGATTTTCAAACTAAAATGCTTAATTCAGAGCCAGGTGTGAACGCGGAACCAAGAGGTACTACATCGCCGCCAATACCAGAAAAATTTGGAATGAATAATATTATTCAGAAAAATTTGAGTTATGGTTATTCGTCCGTCGGAGAATTCCAGGTTGATATCGAAAAGCTTAATGTTGTGATTACATTAAACAATAAGCCAGGATCTCTCATCGTCAAGGTTATGAAGAAATGGATGAAAGAGTTTTACAGGGTATTGCCAGAATTAATAATTTGTGAAATTAAAGTTTTAGAAAGAGGTGCTGGCAGTAAATTGGAAAATCAAAACAAAAACACTGTAATTGATTTTGAAAATCTACCATTTTTGGATGTTATTGGATCTAAAGCATATTCCTTGGCCAATGACGATGTTGACATGGATCTTGACGACTTAACTGATGTTGAAGATGAATTTGCAAAGGACGAACAGTATCAGATACAGCTTGAGAAGTTTCTTTATGATGTTTTGGCAAATTAATTCTGTAACTCAAGTTTGTTAGAAACTTTTTCGGGCCATTTGTAAGAGTGGTTTACGAATGAAGGGTCGCTTTTTATTTTGTATTCTCCTTTGTTAATCAATCACTAATGCAAGTCAAAAAGTTCGTATCATTAAGATGAAAACCCCGATTGGAATAGAGATTAACAGTGTTTTACTAAACTAATGCATGTAACAGTAACAGAAGCTTCTAGAATATACATAAATGATATTTTTTAATCGATAAATGCACCTTCATTCTCATTTGGTGTCTATAAAATGGGATGATTGTTTGCAGCCTCAATGAGTAAAAGATTGTGTTTCAAGTTAGGAAATAGTGTCTTGGAAGTGAAATGTCACCTCCATAATATAAAGAGACAGTACTATTGTTATAGTTATAATTAGCATGTACATAGTTGAGAAATGTTACGAACGAAGACTTGTGTATAGTTACTCAAGATCTAATTTAACTACTGTATTTACGTTTAAATAGTATGAATATAATTCTAATACCGTAAAAGTTAATTGAGTTTAAATAATTGTATTTTAAACAATGCTAACAACTGAAATATACAACTATGACTTTCATGGAGAATGTTGTCGGCATTTAGCTTTTTAAAAAAAATTTGCATGTTGCATCTGCTTGCAAGAGGCAATTACTTGCAGAGATCAGGCGCAACAGCTTCACCTCCCATGCATGTAAAATCACAAAAATATCTGAATTCTACGAGTTATATTATATATTGTGCAAAAAGTATGAGAGAAAGTGATGTGATATACCGATGATTCTGGTGGTGTATACCAAGGTTAAAATTTTGGTCTTTCTAAAGCCTGGTGAATTAAGCCTGTTTTGTATTGAAATTTAGTTAGTGTCTTGGCATCTTATACCAAAATGGCCCTTTACTATTATGCGGATAAATATTATTCCCAATTCAATTCCGCTCTATTAATTCTTATACTTTATAAGTTATTAAAGTTTAGTTTCTACTGATTATACTTTATTTTTTCATTTTTACTTCAAACCAATTTGATGATGTAATATTACTGCAGTGTATGCTGCTTGGTTGAATAATAATATTCTGTCTTCGCTTGTGATTAGCTTTTGTTTAGTACTATGTTACCATATTATTGTCTCCTCGCTTAATTCAAGTGTTATTCTTTTCCTAACCTGGCTCTTTTATCCTACTATGGTGTCTTTATTCTAATATTTTATAGGTTTGTGTGTGAAAGAATGTCTTCTTCCAACTTTACGAATTTCAAGTTCACAAAACACAAACAGGCTTGAAGTTAGCGAGCTGCCGGTTTCGGGGGTTGCACAGTTTAAATTTTATTTTATTTAACTTTAACGTGCACTAACTCAAACAAGATATTATAAATGATGATGCCGCTGCCAAGGATAAAGATGAGCTTAAGTTTGCAACAACAGTAAGCGAACATCAACTATCAGTAACATTCTTTCCCTCGCTAGATTAATCCCTTAAGCTCTAAAAAGCCAAAAAGTGAGTTTTCGCAGCAGCGGAGAAAGAACTTCTTTTGGTGATGTAGGTGTTGGTGGTGGTGAGGCATAAACAAATGCACTTCCAGACAAGATCATCAATCCAATCCTTTGAAGTTTATTTTTTAGCGTTTTTTATGTCTGGAATAGACTATAAGAGATATTACCTTAATTTTAGCGCAATTTATTAAAGTGAAATTCGTCGGCCTTCTAACCGTCATTCTTCACCCTTTTTTTGTTTTTTTTCCTATCCGATATTTCTAAATTTAGTTTTTGCACCTAAATATTTTAGATGAGCTCAAAAATAACTTGAAATTCCCTACTAGTCTTTGGTTTAAATATGGATAGTGGCTCAGAACATGACACTTGCAATACTTCAACCTCTGAGCATATGTTCAATTAGATGTAATACAAGTAAGAACATCAGTAGGACTGAAGGAAGAATGAAAATAACCACATTTTTGACAGACACAGATTAGCGTTTGCGAACTGCACAGGACTTTAACATAAACTTAAGTTAAACATCTTTCATCGAAACAAACAACGCATTATCGGCACAAAGTTAGAACAATAGGTATTATGAATTAGCCACTGCCGAATACTACCCTGTTTAGTTTTTCATTTTTATTAGCATTTGGTGTGGAAAGTTTATCGTCAAAACTAACATTCTGTTTAAAATGTGACGCTTAAAAAAATATTTATCCAAGTCATGTACGATCCCACCTCTCCCCATAATGAATTATATAGTTCAGTTGAAAGGGATTGATAACTGATAGAATGATTAAGGAATCAATATCTGTTTGTTGAGGAAAATTATGCATTTTGAAGCCAAAACACGGTCATAGGCTTTTTAGCCTCATCAAGATTGTTGAGTAAAAGTTGATTCTTTAAATCTATTAAGGAATATAAGAGCAAATATAATTGATGCAAATCAATCCTATAACAGGAACCTATTTCGGGTGATTTAGGAATCGATATCTCATGTCGTTTTATCTCAATTTTGCCCCTCTTTTTGAGGTTTGTTCTGGACCTCCTCGAACCTTACTGTGGAACTATTTATCCTTATAATTGTTCAATCACAAGTTTCATGTAACGCATAACGAACAAACACGGACGTCAATATACATATTCTCTACACTAAAATATTTTGAGGATTAGATTCCTTTTAGTACTATTATCATATTTTGTGACAATTTGGTTATACTAAAATTATAGTTTTGAGGTGTTAAAGGACAAAAAGAGGTCTATGCTGTTAAAAAAATAAAAAAAAAAACTTTTTATTTTTATTTTTAATTTTAATTTTTGTCCGGGCTCACTGAGAAAACTTTTTTCAAAGTGGCTTTACACGGAAATGATTGCATCATAATTCGAATTGCTATATGGTTCGGATTAAAGCGATCATGAATTAAGCTTAATTTTAGGATTATTTTTCTTGAATGAATGAATGATATCATTCATATATTTAAGTTTATTACCATAGATTGAAAATCATATAATATTGATTTAATATCGGGTGTTCCGCGCTGTTTTTCTAATTGGGGTTGAGTTTTAGTTAATTGGAGTCGTAAGACGCAAGATAGCACCCAATATTTTTGGGTTTTGTCTTTTTAAACATTCAATATTGCATATAATTAAAATAGGAAATTGATGATGGAGGGGGGGGGAAGGGGTCTCATTAATGATGGGTGATGATGTGAAAGTAAATAATTAGCTGATTCTATTAATTAATTACCGGGGAGGGGGAGGCAGGTATTTATCAGGGTTTTATTTGTTTAAGATGCAGAGTCTAACATAATGAGAGAAAGAATACAAACGCATAAGAAAAAGAAAATATTCGATAAATTTTTAGTGTGCTTCAAGTTTTGTTAAAAGTTTCTTAATTTGTGTGACTATTTTGTCTTGTAACCAACCAAACCAAATCATAACGGTATTATTTGACTTAATCAGCATTACTAATTGGACCAAGATTTTTCTTGCGTAAAAAGAATCAACTAATACAGTTATGAGTCGTAAACCATTCTAAAATCAGATTGTCAACAAAACGAACAAAACCTAAATTAGGGTTTAACTTGTAAGTTTTAAGTTAGTTTTGTAAAGTTTGGGATATAGATGATTGATTTGGATATTGGTAGTGGGATGTTTGTAGGGCTTTTACGGACAGTTTACGAACTCTCACTACAGAGTAACTGACAAACATCGCTATACTAAAAAACCAGAAATAGACATATTCTAAAATGTAAAAAAAAATAAAAAATAAAAAATAAAAAAATAAAAAAAATAAAAAATAAACAGAGAAAATCAGAGGAGGTCTTTTAAAAAGCTTTATTTGAAAGTCTTTCATGTACAGTGCAAAGTCAAAAAAAAAGAAAAAAAAAAAAAAGACTGAAATTAGTGCCAAAGTTCGTAAAGTGTTTAATTTATATGGGAGAACTTGTTATTTTTGCTTGCTTGCTTTTTTTTTATTTATTTAATTTATGGTTAATTTTACTTATTCTGTTTTAAAGTTAGCGGAACCATGTTTGTAGATAGATCTAAGCAGTTTGGGTAAATCAGGTCAGGTTGAGACCGAAATGAGGCATTGGTATTTAAACCGTTTGTTATCCTCTTTTATTCAGATATATATATTGCAGTTAAGTTTTGATTAACTTTTATTGTTTATTTCTATAAACTTCCTATTTTGAATAAAGAATTATTGTTATTATTATTATTATTATTAGTATCTTCAACATTGCTAAATAATAATATATAGTCGTATATTCATAACTGGTCATTGTCGTTCAAGATCATAGTATCAGATTCCCAACAAACCATCTATATTGTATTGTATTCCAAATCTCATACAATCTTCCCATACATACATCTAACAAAGATCATATACTTGAATCTATCACTGCACATTCATCCATCCATCTCATCCATATTATTTTATTTTATTTTATTTTATTTGCTACAATTATTTTTGTTGCTTGCTCTTTTTTGTCAATTTGTTCCTGTCCTGCACACAATCAAGGTCTGCTCACGTGACACATTCTCGCCTAATACAAAACAACAACAACAAAAAAAAGACTATTACGATCGACCTTCCTCGTCTAGATCCACACTGCAATAGGCAAAAGACAATACAACAGTTTAGTTTCCTAAATCGGAATAGTACTCCATACTTTTATAACTGGTTCATTTTAATTTAATTTAATTTAATTTAATTTAATTTATTCATTCATTGCAATCTTTTACATCATCTTTACATTTACGTTTGCATCCAATCTCATAAGTTTCCTCCCCATCTTCCTTAAACTAGTAGGACAGAGGTTTCAATCAATCAATAAACCCGACATAAAAGAGTAGTGTGCCTTGCCTTTTTTTTTTACCCCTTTTCAGTTTTGTGGATTTATTTTAGTTTTAGTTTTGTGGTCTTTAAATCAATTTGGTACCTGGATCCTGCATACAGTCTAGAAAATAATTTTTTGTTTTTTTTATTTTTATTTTTATTTTTATTTTGATTGATCGGGAACAGGCACCAGGTACTTAAATCAAAAAAACCAAAAAAATATCAAAAGGGGATATCAACAACTTTAATAGACAAACAACCTTCATTCCTGGTGTTTATACTTATCTTCATTGGTAACCAATCCTTCCATTCCTTTCTACTCTTGTTTTATCATCATCATCACCACTCGCGTCAGATCGATCAATTGTTATTATTGTCATCATATATTAATTTTTTTTTGTTCCATCTGTTATTTTGCTTATCATAAATTTAATCGATTGCCATTTCATCTCAATCACAGATAGACTTTATAATTTAATTAGTCTTCCAAGAATCAAATCATCTTTATCTTCATTTATCCCTTAGACTATGATATCTCAACAACAAACCCCAGCTGCAACTCCATTAAGAAATATCTATAATATGAGTGCTCATCATCAACATCATCAGCAACAACATATGACGCCAAACACTAATAAAAAACTCCCTTTGATCGTCGATATTGCCCTCGATGATAATGGTAAACAATTATATCAAGTCCATGAATCTTCCAAGTTGGTAAGAAAAGAAATGCCAAGATCAACTAATTTCTCTGCTACTGTCACAAATACAAATCTTGATTCAGATCTCAATAATCCCGAATCTTCAATTAAACAAGAATATCATGATGATCATGATTCTGAAAATATACTTAAAACTCCCAGCAATAAATTCTTAGGTACATTATCACCAAACTCATCTCAATCATTTAATCATCAATCAATCCAAGATCATCATCATCATATTGGTGATATCTATTCAGGTTATACATCAGAAGAAAACAATCAAAATAGTCATTCTCCTGATCACTCAAATAGATCTTCATACTTATCTGCTTCTTCTTCTTCCGCTAAGGCCACCGCTACCGCTAATGATAATGATATTTGGTCTGATGATGTTGAACAAGCTTTTGAAGAAGTTTTAAGAATTATACCAAAAAATGGGTTAAATAAAATCAAAATAAGTGGTAGATCGTGTGGTAGAAATGAATTAATTAGTGATTATATCTATACCAAGACTGGGAAATTTAGATCAAGAAAACAAGTAAGTTCTCATATTCAAGTGATTAAGAATTTAGGTCAAAAATCAGATATTATTCATTTAATTAATAAAGGTCCTACATTTGAATCAATTGAACAACAAACTGAATGTAATAAAAAGTTTGAAGAAATATTTTCCAAAATTAATTTAAGTAAATCATTAGGTTTCAATGATGGTACTTCATCTTCAACTTCCATCATCCCAAATTCTAGTATTACTTCAACTATTCCACCTGCTAAAAGATCCCTTAGTAATGATGAAAGAATGTTAAAGAGAAAGAGAATTACAATGACTAACCCATTGGATATTAAATTTGAAAATTTTTTCATGTCAGTTTATGATAAATTTTTTACAAATCCTATAATCTTTACTTTACAAGATTCTACCACGATTCCAATTACAGCTTCACCAACATTGAGAGCTTCACCTTCAACTATTGGATCTCCTCAACAACAACCAATTAAGAAAATTAAACAAAATTCGAATATATCAGTCAGATTTCCTGGATTGATGGATTTTCAAAATTGTGCTAATATTCCAATTTTTCATAATATGGTTAAAATAGTTTATCCTCAAAATTTAACCCCTGATTATGATTTTGATCTTGGGTTTAGATCGAATTTCAGTCTTAAATGTAATCAACTTGATGAAATTGCCAATCAACATTATTCATTATATACTAGCATTTATTCATTTGGTAAACAGGTTTTAACATTTACTGAAGATGATTTTAAACTTAATCAAGATTATCCATTTTTAATTAAATTTTGGAAATTCTTCTTATCAAATTTGAATAATAAAGATTTGAATGAAATTAATATTGCTTTCAAAGGTATGACTATAAAACAAATCATTTATGAATCTGATAGATTGGTTAATTCAGATATAACTCCTAATAATAAAGTTTCAAAACTGAAAATCAAATTGATTCTTTTATGGGAATTCGCTCATGTTGATGATTTGAAAGATGCTGTTACAACCACAAGTAAATTAATCTTACCTTCTCAACTGGGTAATATCGAATCTTCAAATGAAAATATTGTTAGTCAAGTATTAGATTATTCAATTCCTCATCCATCCTCACAATCAGCTCAAATACAACAAATGCATCCTAATCAACCTATGTCATTACCACAACAACAACATCAACCTCATCCGATGGTTTCATCGTCAACCTATTCTGAAGCTTCATTTTCAATTGTTGAACAACCTCAATACGATGCTCAACAGAATTATATGTATCCAACTCCTTCTACAACTACATTGGGTACTAATCAGTCTATGAATACTAATAGCTCATTCGTTGATTTGAGTCAAATGAATGTACAAAGGAAGTTCCAACAATTACAACAACAACAGCAACAACAACAACAAAATCAGCAAGGTGTTTCAATTTCCCAATCTCAATCTTTTGGTCAATATCCTTATCAAACCCCAATGTCGGTAGTAAGTCCTCAGCTCCATCATACTAATACTGGTATGATGCAATCATTCTCAGCACCATTAGCGCCACCCCCACCTCCACAACCACAACAACAAGAGGTTCTAAATACAAATTCGATCAATTTAGATCTTGGTGTTATCCCAACATCTTCTACAGCTGCTAATCCTGATTATCAACAATTACAGAATTATCCCAATGACGGCTTCATTCATGACTTCAACAGATGAAGGTTTAACACATTAATATATTCTCCCTTTCTCGTCACATCTCTTTCATAATTCAATTCATATATAGATCTTTTTATGTTTTTATCCTTGTATTTTATCAAGGGCATATTATTTTTTGTCACGGTATTTGTTCTACTTTGTTCTTCCTTTCATATTGTTTTACTTGTTTTATTCTTCCTTCCATACTGTTTGACAATTTTATAGAATATATTGTTTTAAAAGTAGTCCTGAATCATCTTTTAAAAAATGTAAAATGTAAAATCTGACATCATTGATTTTATATGTAAACCATCAAATGATGGTAGCGTCTGGTCCTGCATGATGTCATTTTTCCGAAGTCAAAAATGAACCAAAAAAAGAATTATGTAATTTCTGAGTGAGTGATGACTCTGGAGATTTCACGATGATATAAATAAATGTTTAGAACCTGGATTGAATCTTATCTATATTATCATCAGATAGAACTATTCCAAATTATACGTATATAAACATGGATAGTAAGAGAATTGGTATATTAGGTGGTGGCCAATTAGGTCGTATGTTAGTGGAAGCTGCCAGTAGATTAAACATTCAAACTGTTATCTTAGATGCTGCTAACTCACCTGCTAAACAAATCAATGCTACTAGTGATCATGTTGATGGATCATTTACTAATTATGAATCGATAGTGAAGTTGGCTGAAAAGACTGATATCTTAACTGTTGAAATCGAACATGTTGATGTGGCTGCTTTAAAGAAAGTTCAAGAAAAATTCCCTCATATTGAAATTTATCCATTTCCAGATACGATTAAATTAATTCAAGATAAATATTTACAAAAGGAACATTTCATTCAAAATCATATTGATGTGGCTGAATCAGTAGCTGTTTTAAACAACACTGAAGAAGAATTATCCTCAATTGGTGAAAAATTCGGATATCCCTTCATGTTAAAATCAAGAACTTTAGCTTATGATGGTAGAGGTAATTTCGTAGTGAAAACAAAAGAATATGTAAGTAAAGCCCTTGAATTCTTAAAAGATAGACCGTTATATGCTGAAAAATGGTGTCCATTCACTAAGGAATTGGCTGTCATGGTTGTGAGATCAATTGATGGTGAAGTGTTTGCTTATCCTACTGTTGAAACTATTCATCAAAATAATGTTTGTCATTTAGTTTATGCACCTGCAAGAGTAGTTCCAACCATTGCTGAAAAGGCTACTATATTAGCTAAGAATGCCGTTAAATCATTCCCTGGTTGTGGTATTTTTGGAGTTGAAATGTTTTTATTACCAAATAATGAATTATTAGTTAATGAAATTGCCCCAAGACCTCATAATTCAGGTCATTATACTATTGATGCCTGTGTTACATCTCAATTTGAAGCTCATATTAGAGCTGTGGCCAATTTACCTATGCCAAAAGGATTCACTGAATTGACAACCACATCAACTAATGCTATTATGTTAAATATCTTAGGGGATAAGACTGTTCCTGATAAAGAATTAGAAATTTGTCGTCGTGCATTAGAAATCCCTCATGCATCAGTGTACCTTTATGGAAAAACCACTAGAGCTGATAGAAAAATGGGTCATATTAATATTGTATCATCATCAATTCAAGATTGTCAATCAAGATTAGCTTATATATTAGATGATGAATCATATTTAGAAAAGGGACAATCCTTACCTCCACTTAATCTCATTAGACCTAGTGAAACACCATTAGTTGGAGTTATTATGGGATCAGATTCTGATTTACCAGTTATGTCAATTGGAGCTAATATTTTAAAGAAATTTGGAGTACCATTTGAATTAACGATTGTTAGCGCTCATAGAACTCCTCAAAGAATGTCACAGTATGCTAATGAAGCGGCTAAACGAGGATTAAAAGTCATAATTGCCGGTGCTGGTGGTGCTGCTCATTTACCTGGTATGGTTGCTGCTATGACTCCATTACCAGTTATTGGAGTTCCAGTTAAAGGATCAGTATTAGATGGGGTTGATTCATTACATTCAATAGTTCAAATGCCAAGAGGTATTCCAGTTGCTACTGTTGCTATTAATAATAGTACTAATGCAGCTTTATTGGCTATTAGAATACTAGGAGCTTATGATTCTAAATGGTTACAAGAAATGCAACAATATATGATTAGTATGGAAGCCGAAGTTTTAGGTAAAGCAGAAGTATTAGAAGATATTGGTTATGAAGATTATTTAACTACAAAATTAAAGAAATAGATGTATACATGTATAATAATGACACGATTGAATTTTAAACGTAATATTAATGCATAAAAAATGGGTGTAATAAAAATATAGTATAAAATGAATGAACTAAAATATGAAAATAATTATAAACCTTTACTTATAATAAATGTAATGTACAATGAAGGAATGGGGTTAACTGGGGAATAGACTTTTAGGGAATTGATAAGGAACTAATGACATGATTTATGGTTTCATAATGAGGAATATGCAATTTGTTTAAATGACGATGAGTCAAGGTATAGATCAGACATGATTAAAACTTAACAGTCTTATTCTTTTTGTTTTTGATTTGTTTCTTCTTATAGATTTGACCTCTTGAATCTCTCCATCCGGAAGTACTTATTTTCTTAGCTGGAGTAGCATCTTCATCATCAACTATAGCAGTATCTTGATCAATTTTATCTGATTCCTTTGCTGATTCTTTAGCTTGTTTCTTGGTTGATTCTTCATCCTTTTTAGCTAATCTAGCATTTCTATTATCAACAAATTCAGCAAACACCCCTTTACGCTTAACTGATTTGGCCTTTAACTTAGACTTTGATCTTAATGATTTACCCATTGTAATTTATGATATCTAGATATATATATATGATATATTAAATTATAGTATATATCCCATATATAATTTAATTTTTCAGATATCTCATCTCCCTTCTTTCTTTGTTTCTATCGCTTGTTATTTCTATTTATGATTCAGTCACGTGTGTTTGGTTAGGGCTGAACCCTCGCTTTGGAACAGATCACATGATTTGTTCCTGGTGTCGCACTCGAAAAGAGAAACATCTCCACCGCAGTACATTAGTGATTTCCTTTACTGTCACACTCTCACAGTTAACAATCACTAACAAAAATATACAGTGAGAGAAGACAGTTTGGTGAAGGAAGGGGAAAGGAAAAAAAAATTCTCTTTAAAAAAAATTTAAACAATTTCAATTTTAAACCTTTTCCTTTAGAGTAGTATCGAACACATTAAGTTAAAATGTATGTTATAATCACCATGAAAGATAGAGTATATATTGTCAAGAACATATAGATCATAGGATTGGAATCATTAGAGTGAAGGGATACATCATTAGAAAGTGTGAATTCAAACCATCAAGAATGAATGAACCAAGCAACAACTACAATGTTGAAAAATTAATATCAATCAAGTGAAAATGAATTATTTCAATCAATAATGACTGTAATCGAATATATCAATCAATCATCTGAATTATAAGTATCTAGTTTTATCATTCCTTCATTCAAATTGTCAGTTTAATTTATAAAGTGAGAGATGGATGGATGGATTTGTAGTAATAATCCATCACTACCACTAATAATATTCAACAACTTTTCATAACTACAGTCATCCAATCTATGGACTTTCCAAACAACTAATCAATCCAATAAGTCAATACACCCTCTAATGATCAACATTGTTCATCTAAATATATACTCAAAAATCAATTTTTTCACTACTTGAGAATCTTTTTATACTAACTTTTATTTTCTTATAGGGCTAATCTTAGAACTCAAAAAAGACTTGCTGCCAGTGTTGTTGGTGTTGGTAAGAGAAAGGTCTGGTTAGATCCAAATGAAACCACTGAAATCGCTAATGCTAACTCCAGAGCTGCCATTAGAAAATTATACAGAAATGGTACCATTGTTAAAAAACCAGATACTGTCCACTCCAGATCTAGAGCTAGAGCTTTATTAGAATCAAAGAGAGCCGGTAGACACATGGGTTACGGTAAGAGAAAGGGTACCAAGGATGCTCGTATGCCTTCTCAAGTTTTATGGATGAGAAGATTAAGAGTCTTAAGAAGATTATTAGCTAAATATAGAGATGCTGGTAAAATCGATAAACATTTATACCACTCCTTATATAAATCCGCCAAAGGTAACACCTTCAAACACAAGAGATCTTTAGTTGAACACATTATTGCTGCCAAGGCTGAAGCTTTACGTGAAAAGGCCCTTAAGGAAGAAGCCGAAGCTAGAAGATTAAGAAACAGAGAAGCTCGTGCTAGAAGAGCACAAAGAATTGCTGACAAGAAAGATGCTTTCTTAGCTGAAAACTAAATTTAGCATTTAGAAATTCTAAACCTCCTCAATCACAACCCCCCATCCCAACACACGTCTGTAAACCAAATCTTTAAAAAAATAGTTATATATACATAAAATTAATAATATAAATTATCTTTTGTTATATTTGCTTATTTTTAATTTGTATGATCCCATTGATCATTCTTCTTGTTTATACGTTATATAATGATTATAATAAAATAACAATAACAATAATCCTTTTAGATTTATCTTTTAAAAAAAAGTGTTTGTATATTTAATGTGTCTTACAATCTATGACCTGGAACTAAACTAAATAAAATGGTAAAGATACCAGTAAATAATAATATTAAAAACAAAACCCATAAACTTCTTTTAGTTAATAATTTATAAATGAAATTCTCTTCAATTTTAATCAAAGCACGATTTGAAGATTTTGAAAATGATTCACTATATCCTAACCATACTAAAATTGGATCAATTAAATAAATTGATGAGATTAAACAATAAAATGCAATGAAAAACGGTACGATTATAACTGGTCTGATGGATTTTCGATAATTTAAGAATAAGAAGATATAACCTATCCAAAATGCTCCAAATAATAAAAAGAATCCAAGGAAAATACGAACTAAATTTGAATGATTAATATTTCTAATCGCCATAAAATTTAAAAATTTAGGTAAATTTTCATTTTCAATCTTATTGAATATATAATTTTTAACATTATTGAAAATATCAGGATCATCTCTACCATCATGTTCAATGGATTTAATGATAAAGTTATTTAAATGATCAGGTAAATTTAAATTCTTTTCAGAATCTTCCACGAAATATTTTAATAATAAATTATGAGTTGATTCTTTTAAGTTATCTCTAGTGATGAATGAATTATTAGCAGTTGAAGCGGGGGATTCCTTAATTAATCTTTCCAATAATGAAGGATTTATAACAGATGTACGATTATGAGGTTGATTATGAGAAGAAGATTCATCATCAATTCCAAATGCTTGATTGGCCTGTAATGATATATATTTAGTTGGACTCATAGCACGATCAGCTTCTCCTATATCCAATTGATTTTCAAGTAAGGAATGAGATGAATCATTACCAGCGTCTTCATCTTGTAATAAACCAGATTGGGAACTTATTCTTTTATCAGTGGTTGGAGATATTGGGGGTGCAAACGGAATCTTTGGAGAATGAGCAAATTTCAAACTTGAATTACTTCTATTTAAATTTGGAGTGGATCTCTTTGATATTGATATTTCACCACTTGAATGACGTTGATGATGTTGTTGTTGGTCTTGTTGTTGCTGTTGTTGTTCGTATTGATAGATCAAGTCTCTTAATTTAGGATCAACATTATCTAAATTGATATCACCTCTTAAAAATTGAGATAACCGATTTGAATCATTATCTTCCAAGATATTATCACTTAAAATCAAATCCAATAAGATTGATGAACTTAATGATTTATGTTTTGATTTCTCCAGTATGGGGAATGAATCACGAACAGTTTTATTTTGATTTGTAGTATTTGTAGTAGTATTATATTGATCAGTGGTACCAGTTGTATTATTATAAGTTGAATGTCTAACGATAGAATCTCTTAATCCTTTAACATAATGTTTACATAAATTCAAATGATTGATTAAATCAAACCAAAAGTCAAGATAATCAGATTGATTCTCCACATCTCTCATAAAGGTATAAAATGTATATAAATCAACTGGCTTTTTGGTTTTATTAGCCAATATTTCTCCTAACGTTGGTAAACGATTTAATTGAATCTTTTGATTAGTCAGATGGGGATTGTTTATATTGGCCAAATAATGCGAATTGGGATAATTCGATTGATACTTCTCATCAGCCATCTTGGATTTGGAGTATGATGAAGAATACGTGTTATAAGTGGGTTTGATGATTAAATCAACCTATGCAAAAAAGTAAAAATGATGAATTAAAAAAAAAGTTGTAACGAATGAATGAAATGAAATGAAGTAAAATGAACTAAACGAGTTCTTTTGTCTTAAAGTAAACAACTAGTCTTTGAATCTATTCCTAGTGTTCTGCTAAGTCTCTGGTCTTTCCCTGCTATAGAATTCTTTTCCCTTACCGTTTGGTGTTTATACTTACTCGAAAATGTGTAACCCATTTTTAATTCTGTCTCCTCGTGTAAAAATAAAAAAAATTCTGCTACTCGTTGCATGCAGGATTGGCTGATTTCGGCTAAAACATAAACAAAAGGGCTTGCTAAAATAAAGTGTTAGGTGATAGTGATTGATCTTCGTCTCTATTGAGAATTTAGTGAATAGAATAACGTTAGTTGACGGTGATTGTAACGTTCTAAAAGTGATTACTATGAGAACTGAGTTTAAGACTAGTGAATAAATCGGTTTGACTTATAATGTTGTTTTGCATTTTTTAAGTATCTAAAGAAAAGATTTGTAAGAAATGAGTTTGATAGAGAAACTATATAAGGAAAATTCTATTTATTTGAAGACATAGGGATGGTAACTATACTACGAATAAACAGTATATTATGATAATTGAATTTTGTAGTGATCAATTTTAATATATTGCTAAATTTTTAGTAAAAAAACATCAAAATTAGACGTTGTTTTAGCAGCATTTTTTACCAAAAGAGAATTAAGTGGATTTAATCATCATTCAAACTATTTTATTAAAGTTAGCGGTATAAATACATTCCCGCACATGTATGGTCAGAATCAGAATGTAATCTACTAATATTCAAGACTACCTCTCTCTTCAAAAAAAGCTTAATAGAAAAAAACCAAAGCGCAAATATTCTTTTATTTGACATATCCTATTTTGAAAGGTTTCATTTTTTTTTTTACATATTTTTTTATTTTTTAAAGAAGTTTTTTTTTTTTTTGACACATTGCATTAACAAACTGTTAAAAATTAATTGAGCATATAGCACAATAATTAATATGTCATGTCAATGCCGCTCACTATGACGGGCAAAAGTTGACCTAGATGTAAAAGTAATGTTTCAGCTATGTACCAATCGATGACTTTTAAATCAAGTGGTACTAAGTGAACGGCTCCATCTAATTGATCATTATTGTGATGCAGAATATGCCAGGTTCATTGGCTATTTTTGGTTTATACTTTTCCTGTTTCTACTAAACTATTTCTTGTTACATATATCCTTGATTCACCAAGAATTACATATTCTAATGTAAATCCGCTATATGACGATCATTCTCGATTATATCTCTTTAAACCCACAAAATCTGACACTATGCATCTGAATATAAAGAGGAAAAGAAATTCCAAAAATAAATTCTGCAAAATTTATTCCTTTCGAGGAACTGGCTCCAGTCAAAAAAAAAAAAAAAGAATAAAGAAGAATGAAGAATAATCCTTACATATAAAAATAATTCATGATGTATAAACATGAAACGAATTCTACTTGTTCTCCTAGTAATTAAATTATTGATTAGAAGTACCCCTCAAGATATAGAATGGGCTTGTATTGTTTGACTTAATCTGGTGAGTATTCCTCTCCGGTTCAGGCGAACCCTTTTTGGCATTAAAACCATTTCTAATGTCTTCTATACTCAATTTCATCAATTTCAACCTATTCCATTAATTCGAATGGCACAGCCCAGCCTACATTATATTTTACTTTGATGGGTAAATCATAATTTTTAAACCTTCATCCATTTCCGTGAATGGAATCAGTTAAAGGAAAGTAACGCAGAAAATGAACCCATTATTAGTGTTTGACCGGCCCTTCCATTAGGTTGTAAAAATTTATAAAAGTTACACCAAGCGACGGAAAAATGCCTTGTTTTGAAAACGTTTAATGATGTAAAAACTTATTTTTAGATTGTTCTATTACTTTAAAAAATGGATTTTGTTCTATAACAAAGGACTTAAGTCCATTTTGAGTAATTAATTTTCATGAAGAAAAGCCTTGTTAAACCAACTTCACTTCGAAAGAACTCTGCATAGTTGCCTTATTCTTCTATTCATTTCAGTTCCAGACATTCCTTCATTATTTATTAAACTCATATTTCAAGTAAAATTCATGATTGAACCTTGCCCTTGAATGGCATTTCAATAAAAGGCATTAGCAAATTAATTAATTGGCATTCATTCAGCAGAATTCACTTAACTCATAACAGCTAAAACAATCCCTTAGCTTCGCATACCACATGGTTGTAGTTACCCATTTCCAATGTCAAAAAGCAATTTTAGGCTGCAGCCATCCCACTAAAGAAATTTTTTTGCGCCCTTTCTTTTTCTTATTTATTTTTTCTTTTTGCCGTGTCTTTATTTTTATTTCTCCCTACAAGAAAATTTAAAAATTTTATTTGCCCTAAACCATTTGGCTCAAAGCGTTACTACCAAGGTTAGTTTTCTATTTACAATAATTGTATTCACATAACCACCCCTTTCAGCAGAGCCATATGAGTATAAGTTGTTTAAACAAAAAACAACGAAAGTCTAAGTATATACAACATATACTGCTAGTAAAGATTCATAATTAGGGGAACAACGTTTTATTTGGCTGGTCCGTGTGTTAAGCGGCAAAAAAAATGCAACGAGGTGAGCACTAAACAGGAAGTAAAAAGAAAAAAAAAGAAAAGAAAAAAAGCATATAGGAGTAATGCAACAATAAGGCAGTTTCTAAATTGCCGTTAGTTAACGTCCCGCTCTATATAGTTAAGCAATGTCATATATGTGTTCCTTCTCTGGAAATGATATATAAGGAGAGATGATTTCCCCTGATTTTGATTTTAAATTTAGAGAAGATTTTAGATTTCTGTCTTTTTATTTTAATTCTTAGTTTAAGTAACTTGAATCATAGCCATCAACTTTCAATCAACATTCGAACTCAACCACAATTACAAATGATATAATATAATATAATATAATAATAGATATATTGAAAATATTAACGACTATCTGAACTAAATGAATAAAAGGGTACTGATATAAAATTCTAAACTAAATTTTGGATATTTTTTTTTGGATTTTTTGAAAACTTAAAATAGGAGAGTTTAAATTAATACAGAGAATTAAAAAGTCAAAAGAATAATGTTTCAAGAGTAATGTATACTCTATAATAAAACAAAATCAAGAATAAAAATGTGAAAAAACCTCTAACATAAAAAAAAAGAAAGACAAACCACAAACCACATATAATAATAAAATAACAACAAGGAAAAAGTAAAATGGGAAATAACAAATGCAACTTTTAATTAATAGATTTGATAATGTGATGTGTTGTGAAGTAAAAAAACAAGTATGACCGTGAATCAACAACAGTCAACAAATTTTCTCTTCGTAAAACATGGATCGAAATAAAACCGACAACAGACCAGCTGTAGAAATGCAGATTATAATTATAAAAACAAAAGTCAAAAAAAAAAATAAAGTCTGAAATATCATCTTTTTAATCAAGAATTTCTTGTTTAATATAATGATTGGCATGGATACCAAGTTCTTCTTCATTAAAATCAATTTCAGACTTAACTTTAATATTATTACTTGTATTGTCATTGGTATTTTGAGTTGGTCTCTGTTGTTGTAATTTAAATTCAACAGTACCTTTACAACTACCAGTTTCAATATGAGTTTCTAACCATTGAACATTATTTTCAAAAAATTGAAAACATCCTGCACATCTACCGCTAATACTATTTCTTTCATTTGATTTAGTTCCTGGTGGATAAATAAAATGTAAAGCTTTTAAATGAGTTTTATAAGTATCTCTTCTTGAAAATCCTCCAGTTGGATGACATTTAGTTCCACTAGTACCATCACTTGGTTCTTGATAAAATGGACACATAAATGCTTTAGCTGAATTATGTTTCTTTAAATGACGAGTCAAATAACCTTTAACTTTAAATGCAGCATCACAATGAGGACATGAATGAGCTAAACCTTCACCATTATTCATAGAATTTGATCTAGAAGATTTTTTATTTTCTTGAATAATTGGTTGTTGTTGAGTTATTTTTGATTGGGCAATTAATTCCTTTTTAACCTTTTTAATAGAATCTTTCTTTAAATCAGCCTTCTTCTTCTTATATTTCTTTGGAGAAGTAGATTGTTGCTTGATTTGAGATTGATTTTGTAATAAAGATGGTTTTCTAGTATTTGGTAAACTAGTTGGTGGAATGAATTGTTCTTGACTTAAAGAATATTCATAACTACTTGAAGAAACTGAACTAATGGAATCAAATTTTCTCTTTCTTGAAAAATCTTCAATTTCATCATCTTCATCACCAACTAAAATATCAATACTACTAAAAGGAGTAACATTATAAGCATTTAATTCAGAATTGGAAGTATTGTTGGTAGCAGAAGCATTGTTATTAGTACTGTTAAATTTCTTAAAGAATTCATCATCTAATGGGTTAATATAACTTTCATTAGAAGAAACTGCTGAAGAAGATAAATAAATATCAACTTGATGATTAAAATCATTAAAGTACGGAGTTGGTTGATTTAAACCGAGCACATTATTTAAATTATAACCGTTATTAAAATCTTCAAATTGTTGAATTTCATTTTGGGATTGTTGTTGTTGTGGTTGAAAAGATTGAGAATGATTGTGTTGTTGTTGTTGTTGCTTTTGTTGTTGATGATGATGAAGTAATTGATCATTACGAGCATTAAATTGATTTTGATGAACATCAAAAAAATCATCAAATTCAGGAACATTTTGTTTAGCAGATGGATGATTAATTGGGATACCTGAACCTGGAGTATTATAATAATAAGGAGTCTTTTGACCATTAGCATTATTAAAACCATTTGTATTAAATTGATTTTGATAAGAGTTTTGATTATGACTTTGAGGAGCCATTAAAATTCCACTATTTGATAACGAAGAAACAGCAGAATTAGCAGTTGAAACACTATTTGAATCTAATACAACATTACCAGAATTAGACATAAAGTTGGTAAAGAATTCAATTTGATCATTCGAACCACCAAGACTTAAATCCAAATCATCAGCAGCACAATTGATTGGTAATTTAGATTGATTTTTGGAGTTATTTAAGTTTGTAATAGATGAATCTAATAATGAAGGAAACAATACTTTCTTTTGTTGTTGATGTTGTTGTTGTTGAGGTAATCTATATAATAAATCATTTAAGAATTTAAAGATATTGATTTTTAAACCTAATAAATTTTTAGAAGATAAATTTTTATTATTATTATTATTCTTGGAAATACTACCATCACTAATAGATCTACTGCCAAGAGTAGTGGCAGAAATGCCTAGTGATAAGACGAACATATTGGAACTAATATAGATTAGATTAGATTGGACTAGTTAGTTAGTTAGTTTGATCAATATAGTGGTGAAACAAAAGGTATATAATCAACACAATAATAAACAATGATAGACGCTGAGACAGACAAGAGAATGGAGGAGCAGGAAACAAAGACGAGAACACAACCGATTAAACACTTGGATTTATGGACTGAAAGAATGAATCATATACGAATCGACAGGAGGAGACGGGATGAGTTAAGATAGTATGATGGATGATATGGTGAGTATGATTGTATGTATGATTGATCGATTGATTAAAAGAAAACTGCTGTAAAAATTTTCTTTTCCCTTTTGACTGTTTGGATTTTTCTGTTTCAATTGGGTGAGATTTTTTTTTCTTCCCTTCGATTGATGTCGTTTTTTTCAGTCACACAGTTTTTTGACAATTAAAAATAAATAAATAAAAAAAAAAAAGAAATTTCAGTGTGAGGGAGAGGGATTCCTTTTTTGTGTACTTTTCTTATTTTATTTCAAATCCGTATCTGTTCAATATATATGTATTCAGATATCGAATATGTAAGTTGTTTGCGGAGGAAGGTACTTGGGTGGTTGGTTGGCAGATTAGTCAATATATATATATATATAACAATACTATGAGGAAAGGTGACAAACTGAAAAATTAACGTGAAAAATAAAATAAAAAAGGGGATTACAGAAAATAGACAGGAGGGGAGACTTATAAACATATAAATAACTTTAAAAGATAGAAGCTTATAGGTTTTAATTTTTTGATTTAATTACCATTAAATGGTTGAATTGTTATCTCCAAATCTATTAAAATAAAAAAAGAAATTCACAAGAGTATAAGCTCAAAAAACGAACTTTACTAAAATGTCGTCGGGTTCGGTACGCTTTTTTTATGAATTTTTTTTAGTAATATTTTTATTGATTCAAGTTTAGCTACGTAATGAAACCTTAATGTATTACTAAATCTTTCATATTTGAGTTGTCATTTGTAGAAATATAAAGTCTATTTAGCAATCTCATTGGTTGCAAGTAAGGGCTCAACTTCAATAGTGTGTCAAAAAAAATACTTGCGAAATGGTATGATTACAGACACTCAACTTTCTCTCACCAGATTAACTGATAACTGTTTTGTCTTACAGATAACAGACTGCTTATGATGGTAGTTTTAAGGAACAGAAAATTAGAAATCACCGTTCTAATCTAGAAGTTTTAGTTATTTCACCAAAACAAAAATAATTTACAAAACAAAAAAAAATAAACTGTCGGCTGTTTTATTTTTTTAAAAATATTTTTGCATTTTGGTGCCGTACCATACTTAACGTCTTGACGACATATTTTCACCATTTGGGTGAAAATTAACTGTCTTTCTATAGAACTTTACTCCTCCTCCTCCTCCCCCTAGTTTCTATTTGTGTATCATATCTATGCTTTAACCCTCCTTGATTAACCTTGTCTTGACTCCTCCTCCTCCACATTTCATTATACTCCTCCACCTCAATCACCACATCTTATTTTTAACTTCTATTCATTGTGTTACGATTCGAATCGAATGTCACTAGAACATGTAGTAATAAATGGCGGCTAAAAAGTGAAAGTATAACCTCCGAAATAAAGTATCCACAACTATGGATTATTCTCAAAACTTATGATTAATCCAGTTCGATTACAACTCTACAATTGTCTATTGGCCACCTTTTTTCTAATTAAACTTATAAGAACGTATATAGTCTTTAATCAACTAGTTACATAATATCGTTATATTCTTTTATCTCATAAATAATATATTATTTTTCCTAGTCAAAAGTTTCCAGTTTTGAACCTCTATAATCAAACAGAAGAATCAAACCCCCTGTGATCTACCTCGGCAAATACCCCCCTACAACTTTTCATTTTTGACTTCTGTTTATCGTTATCATACTTAAGCTCTCTGTGACTTGCCAAAATAATGATTTATAGGGATTGATAAGTAAGAATATGAGCAACGATCGTAATCGCAACAGTTTTGGAACTGATAAAAGAATAGCTTAGTATATATTCCCACATACACACTGTTCCCACTCTCTAGACAGAACTTCAAAAACTCAATATCTAACCTGTAAAATTGATTTGATAAGTGGTTTATTCCGCGGCAAAATCCATGCATGTTTTACAGTTTACAAAAAATGTAACATATGAACATTTTCATTACAATGGCGCTTTCAGAACATACCCGACATTCTTGATTGTAAATATATATACGGAGGCATGGATCTAATTGTTTTTGATTTGTTAGTGGCGCTTTATTGCAGTTTTCCATTACATGTATGCACTTTATGAATGTATACTGGTATATTCTTTCATTCATTATAAACTGTTGTTATGATAAGCAATTGTACCTACTAGAAATGGCCTAAGATCAAAGCTTGAAGTATTATCGAAAAAAGTGCTACCAAGCCCTCTATCGCATTATTTACAAAAACTAAGCCTAGGATCATGTAACACTTTAAATCTATAAACCGTTTAATTTAGTAGTTAAATCATACAACTTACTTTTCGTTACTTGGTTTACTCATCAATTATAGAGACATTACTCTCGAACAATGACAGTAGAAGTAGTTGACATCAATCATTTGTTCCGTGGTATTAAGAAAAGCAGACTGCAATGTAAAGTAAGAGAAGGAATGGTCGGTTCTTCGGAATGCTTCCCTGATCGAAAGATTGCCAAAAAATGTTTGTTTGATAAAAACTTCAAAGTTGACCATTTAGGAAATACTCGTTTTGTTATTCAAAATTTAAAATTAATTATCAATCTAAACTAAGGTAACCCCTCCTTCTTAATTTTGTTAAATAAATCGGGTCAAAAAGACCACCACCACCACCACCACAATCTAAACTCGTCATATTCAAATTGTACTATTCAAAATATATTTTATTATGGGGTGTAAGTTTAAGCAAAATTAATTTAGTGTGGCCCGCCATTGTTACAATTCTACGATAACGCCAACAGTTTGTAACCGTCAAGACACATGTTGGTCTTCTTTTGTTTTAATCTTTATCACCTCTTTTGACTCCGTAATATTATCAATCTCATTCACATTCTCCTCGATATCATCATTCTACCTCCCCTCCCCCAAGTCAATTCTTTACCACCATTGTCTTCGGTTGACTTCTGCAAATTGTTTTTGCTGTCTTTCCAAATAAGTAAATTATAAAAATAAAACGATTAAACCTTAAGCTACTCAATTCGGCAAGTGTCCCGGAATATACCTCCATAAAACCGCGTACTGCTTCCTAACAATGGACGCTTAAAAAATAATTCTGTTAAATGGAAGTAAGGAAAAATTACCAAAAATAAAACAAAAATGTCGCACATTGCAATAATACCGGTAAGCTAAAGGATTAAGGTTTAATTCAATACAATAAGGTACTTAAACCCAAATGATGGCAAATTCCACTTCAAATATACAAACTAAACAAGCATCTTAAAAACATCGGATAGTTAAAGGCTTATCGTAGTTGGATTTCTCGGCCAATGAGAGGTTGTCTATCTCCATTACATATTGGAAGACCGAAATTTCATTATCAGTTCTAGTTTCAAGAGATTGCAAACTCGCAATTTTTGGAACATAAAATTTGCGATTCCGAGGAGACTTTGAACATATGAATTATGTAGATCATTTAAAAGTTGTTGTAATTATGCTTTTGTAGTCTTATGGCCGGGGATTTACTTGTTGTTGAGCCTTCTATAACCGTTAATGGTAGACTCGGGTTTCATTTAGTTTGTAAGTAACTAAAAGTAGACTGAAAAATTTGGTTTTCGATTTATTCGGTAACTGAAATTAAATGAGTGTTCTAGAAAACTGTGTTGAAAAATTATGTGATGGATAAGGCTAATGTTCTTTACATGATTTTGTATTAGAATGTAAAGTTTAATTTTCTATAGTCAATCATCGTCTGATAAGTTATGAGAGTTGAATCTTAATTTTAAAGTATAATTCCAATTAGTAGCTACAGAAGTCAAAAAGACCGACTTTATGCTTCAAAAATATTTGTTTAGAAATAACTATAACTTTGGTAAAGGTAACGAATGCCTAATTCATGATTAACATTGTTTACAAACTCAACTGATTCATTAATTTCACCATCAGATGTTGAATGAATTGCTTTATGTGTAATGATGTACCTAAACGCAAACTTAGTTAGATTTACGGAAGCTAGAAACAGAACTATAAAGATTTCGTAAAACGATGTTACCATATCATAGCTCAAGGAGATATATTAGTGAACGTTAGTTTCAAAAGTTTATTTTATTATTTAATATTAATTTACTTGAAATCACCAAATCCATAAAAATTTTATGCATTGGTTATCATGATCAATGTCATTGATGGTTGCAAAATGGTACTTACCATAACAAAACTGATAGGTTCAAACACGTGACTTTTTGCACAAGTCTATTTTTCCTAATTAGGTTAATTGCCAGCACACATTAAAATTAGAGAAAAAAAAAGAAAGGACATCGTCGTTCAGTTTTGTCAACCAATTTATAATTCAGTTCACACTTTTCTTCTGCTTACGACTGGTACATTAATAGCTTATACATCGATTAGATACTTAATCAATCTATATATTAGTTACTATTAACACATTATTCCACTTCCACCACTTCAAATTTACTTTTTGATAAATCCACAATTATAATGTCTGCTTTAGATAAATCATTAGATGATATTATTTCGTCCTCAAAGACAGCCAGAAGACCAGGTAAAAAATTCGGTAGATCTGTTACCACTAAAACCAACAAAGTTGGTAAGAAGGTTGGCGGTGCTAACACCAAAGCCAAGAAAGCCATTGTTGCTAACTTCAAGAAATCTGAACCAGTTGCCACTTTAAGTTCAGCTATTGATACCAGTTATGCTACTAAGGTTGTTGCTTCAAATTTACCAAAAGATTTAAAACAAGAAAATGTTAAGGTATGTTTTTATTGAATCAATCATTAAGTTGATTGATTTTATAAATCAAATAAGTAAATCAAAACCAAAATCAAAAGAAAGAAATGAAAAAATTTCAGAGTACTTTCTCTTTATATCATGTCCTAGCTATTCACATTGTGAGTTAGAGACGCTTTTTGATAGGCAAGGTGATGAACTAATCAATTTCAATTGATTGGATAATCTCACCTCTCATGTTTATGATGTCATCAGTGACTCATGCTTGAGACTTTCATGATGAAACAGAATCAAGAATTTTATTCAGATAGTTTCATTCATGCTTACAATATTTCAATTTCATTGGTTTGTAAGTCCATTCATTGCAGCTTTTGTTGTTTATGGTATGGGCATTTGGGTAAAGTAGTAGGGATAAAAGGATCAATCTTTTTTTTAGGAGCTTTGATTGCAATACAATAGGGAGTATTCCAGAAGATTTTTCAAAAGAAGGCCCTGTCTTTGAAAGTGTCATTTTATATTTCTAATAGTACAAATCTCAACTGATATAGTATTGTTGATAGAAAATTAAATGGCCGCCTAACTTTTATCTTCAGCTTAAAGTGAAAATTATTTGATGTTTTGAAGAAATTGGTATTTACGGCAATGCGTGAGTCTAAGCAAAACAGTTAATCAATTAATAAATCCTTTAATGCATGGAATTAATGTTCTCAGTTGACGATAGAATTTGACGGGTTATGAAAAACAAAACTGTTTGGTGGAAGCAGAATGTGTTAATAGTTCAATAGAATACTTTGTTTCATATACCTATTTTATCTCAACATTTGCTGACTTTTTAACTAAACGTTGGCAAAAAAGGTGAGTTCATGGTTAATCTAACGATTAAATATCATCCTTAAGCATCAAATGCCATTTATGACTAACTGGTGCCTTGTCTTGCTATATAAACTTGACGATTAACGCCATTTAAGTTGCGAGACAGGACTGATCCCTTTATTCCAATCTTACCAATAACAAATACTCTACTTCAACAAAGTAATAGCCAATGAGAATCTTATTCTAGATCCATGAAAGATTGCCATTATTTAAAAAGCTAATGCAGTTTTGCATTCAACTTGTTCAATTTGGACAGGTTTTTTTTTTTTTTTTGACTTTTGATTATTTTGATTTTTTTGATATATATTTTTTATATTGATCATGAAAGACTAACAATTATTTTAGGATTTTTTCCAATCTCAAGTTGGTGGAGTTATCAGCGTTGCTTTAACTTATAATGAAAAAGGTCAATTCAGAGGTATTGCTACTATTATATTTAGAAATCATAAATTAGCTTCTAAAGCTGTTGAAAAATATAATGGTGCTGCCATTGATAACGGTTCATCCAAATTAAAATTAGAATTAATTGTTGATCCATCTAAGAAACCATTAACTTCTAGAATCACTCCAAACAAACCTGTTGCCGCCGCTGGCCCAGCTAAAAAGAAGTTGTCTGCTGCCAAGAAAGCTAATGCTACCCAAAAGAATGCTAAAAAGCCTCAACAACAAAAGAAAAAATCAGCTAAACCAAAGAAGAAGACTGTTGAAGAATTAGATCAAGAAATGGCTGAATATTTCGCTTAAGTGTTGGTTGGTCTAGCCAATCCTATTGTAATATTCATTTATAATTCTTTATTGTAGCTTTAACACTCCCTTTTAAAAAAAAAGACAAAGTTGAGTGTTCTTTTAAATATGTTTATTGTTATGTTTTAAAATATATATATAGTTATAAAAATTGGTAAATTTTGCAGTTCGTAAAACTAAACTTTTGAGGCAACGCGTATGCAGGAAATTTTGCCCAGTTAGGATACAAGCAAAGATTGGCAACAAAGAAAACAGACGCCTAAAATTTGACGATGATTAAAGGGTTTTCCACGTCAGTTTTATTTATAATTGAAGGAGACTTTATATCTATTGGTTAAACGTCGTTCGATCACTAGTTCAGTAAGGGTTTATAATATTTCTAACAGTTGTTGCTTTATTTGTTCACTCCTTGGTATATTTCATTATTCAATTCAATTAGTTCAATTTACTGTTCCAACATGCCTCCCAATATCGATTATATTCTAACAGCCGAATTTCATATTGATAAAGGTCCATCAATAACCCATCAGTACCCAAGTTCGTTGCCAGGGATAGATAATTTGTATTTTTTACCTGAATTGATGTTACCAGATCAAATACATAAGAGAAATGAAGATTTTACTGTGTTCTTATTGTACAGAAATACTTATAGTGGGGAATTTCAGTATCTCTTCAACAAATCAAAATGTGAACCAGAGCCATATTTTCTATATACGATTGTGATAAATGTTAAAGACTCCCAGTTTAAACGTGGTTCCATCATCAAATCATTGTCAATAATAACTAAACTAGCTTATTTCAAAAGTTTCAAACCCTTGTTATTAATAGCGTTGGATAAATATTTTAAAGACAGTGATGAATTAATTATAAAAGATTTATATCATGTTATAAATGAAAAGAATTTTGAAGTGGCTACACCTTTGAATCAAATGTCCATTGTTAAGAAACTTCTAATAACTTCGATTCTTGATTTACCCATTCAAGATAAAATATATCATGATGAATTATTTAGAAATAAGATTTTAGGTATTGGAAAGGATAATTTAATCAATAAAGAATTATTTATAAGAAAAGATTTAAGTTTTAATTCAGTAGTGGACTTTAATAACATGAAAATACCTATTAAGATTCCCATGATTGAATTACCTGATACATTTGGAGACTATTTAAACCCCACAGATTTCAACTTTAAGCCAAACCTTATTAATATTTTACAGAGTAAGCTAGCATCTGATCACTTGAATGATGAACTTACCATCTATGGATTACAAACACCTCCTATAATCATCTTTATAAATGCAATTTTAACAGGTAAAAAGATATTGGTCTTAAGTTATGACAATAGTGCAGGTCATATTATTGATAATATCTTCTTATTATTGAAGTTAGTTAGTGGAGGAGGTATTTTAACTGGTATATTGGCCAATTATAATGTATTTCCTATGATAGATGTTTCCAAGATTGATTTATTAGAAGAGTGTGACTCATTTATTGCTGGTACAATTAATCCATTTTTCAAATCCAATGATAAATTATGGGATTTATTATATGATCTAGATAATAACGAAGTGATAATTTCTTCCACCATTGCCAAAGGTGAAGATGAATATGATATGAAAAACTCTATTATCAGTGAAGATGCCAAATTTTTATCAAACTTACAATTATCAATTTTTAACTACAACGATGATTTAACTACCATTCAATTAATCTTTAGAAGACATATAAATGAAATCATAAGAATCTTGTTGAGCTCAAGAAATTTGTCAATTGATATAAATAAATCATCATCTAATCAATCACCGAATTCATCAAACAAACCAGCAAAGTTGGTATTATTAATGGAAGGTATTGGATATTTCTGGAACAATGATACCAATAAATTATTGGAAATATCCACATACCAATTGATTTCAAAGAAATTCCAAGATTTATTATATGACGAAAAATTTTATTATTCATTACATTTACCAAATTTAGGTAATGAATTAAACTTAATGATTGATTTACATTATCAGTTACAAAGTTTAAATAATAGCAGTGGGTCTCATTCTCCAGGAACGAGATTAATAAACGAAAGAGAGATTTGGTTTAACATACTAAAGTATTTGATCAGTGGTAAATCACTTGAAATATTATTATTAGTAACATACTTAATCCCTCCAAGTTCTTCAACAAGTTTACAGAGTTCATCTGTTCATGGTGGAAGTCTTACTATATTCGACAAGAATAAAGGGATTGAATTATTATTGATCAATCTCTTCAATAAAGATGATCAAGTAAAGTCCAATGTTATTATGATTTTACAAGAATTACAAGACAATTATCTTTGTGGTTGGTGTTTAAGATATTTTCTTAAATCAAATTTGATTTATGAAATCGCATTTGAGGATCTTTTACATACATTACCATCTGAAGATAGATAGGAGTCAAATCAATTGTCGTTAATGTGTATTATTAATCTTTTGCTAAGTAAAAGTTCAATTATGTAACTATATATTCATTTATTTATTTATTATGTACAAGTAAAATTGTGACGAGAAGAAGAACCAGTGTGATAAATTCTAGTCTGATCTCGATGGAGGTTTGTAATATTTGTTTTTATCGTTAGCATCATTGTTTGAACTATCAGACCATTTACGATCAAATACGGCAAACATACTAAAACGATCTCCAGGTCTTCGACTTGAATATGAATTTCCTTTACCTTCATAACGGGATGCTCTTGAACTATCAGCTTCATAATTCAAGGTAGGATTATTAGCTGGAAACCCAGGTCTTGTTCCATAATTACCATATTCTTCAACTTCACTGTCTATAGTGGCATCAGTTTCTCGTTTATGTCTTTCAACTTTGGTAATGGCTATGTGTTTTTTACCCACTAAGAATAAACCAATGGCTATACCTGAAAATATTCCTAATTTAGTTAGCAATCCTCTTCTTGTTTCTGACATGTTTGTGAGATTGAACTATCTTTATTTCAAAGTAGTATTTTACTTTGATCTTCTAGTTATTTGATCGTGTTAATTTATCAAAACTTTTTCGGTCTTTGATATTTGATCTGTGCACACGACCTCAAATCAAAAAAATGACAAAACACCCCATTAATCTAACAAAGTCTTTTTATAGAAACATTTCAAAAATTTGATAAAAAGTGTCTGATTTATTATAAATTTTTTTGTTTACCCTTTCTTAACTGGACTATACCAATTATGGTAATTCTACACGATAAAAAATGGATTTAGAGGTTTACCATCACCATGGAAATGCAACAGGTCGACTTATAAGCAATGGTGAAATAGAAAATGATGCCATTAATGTAACATTGTGCCTTTTTGATTAGAGCCAATGACAGTAAAATCAATCAAAAAGAATTTGATTTAGTTGATTTCATTCCTCGACTTGTAATATAAAGGAAATATTGTAGCTGCAAATTGCAAATGTTAGTGTAAGTAAAGTATACAGTGAAAGTTCATAACCATTTGTCATGACTCCTCTCCCATAAAAAGATTGAGCGGAGTTGAATTCAACTATTCAAGAACCAGTAGAAACTTGACTCCTTCTACCATTATACTCTGACCTAAAATTACCTATATGATTAAACATGTGATAAAAACTTCAACCGAGGCAAAATTAAAAATTACAAATTTCCACGGTATAACGCGCTATAGGAAATAGAAAAAGAAAATTTTAGAAAAAGTATGGGGAAATTGTAAATAAAAAAATGAGTTGAAATCAAAAATCAACAACATCTTTCAAACCATACATCATTAGAGTCGTATCGAAGATTGAAACAGAAAGATGGCTAATAATATCGATGTTGATGAAATAGCCCATGCCCTTGCTGGTGCTGGAGGTGGTGCATTGTCCATGTTAGTTACATATCCATTGGTGACATTATCTACTTTGGCTCAAACCAAACAAAAGAGACAACAACAAAGAGAAAAAGATAAGGCAGCAGGAAAGAAAGTAGAAGATGTCGATACAAGGGATGAAGAAAGTATTGTGAAGTTCGTTCAAAAGAATGGTGTACTTAAGTTATATTCAGGTTTAGAAAGTGCACTTTATGGAATCACCTTGACAAATTTTGTTTATTATTACTTTTATGAATGGAGTTCAAACATAGTAATCAGTCGTCGTCCTAAGAATTCGAAACAACGAGGACTTACAGCCATTCAATCGATATTTGTGGGAGCCGTTGCTGGAATTGTAACATGTGTTAGTTCAAATCCATTTTGGGTTGCCAATACAAGAATGATGACTGATAAACAAGATAAAAAGTCTTCTGCTTTAGCTACCATATTAAGTATCATTGAGAATGAAGGAGTTGGAACTTTGTTTGCCGGTGTATTTCCTGCTTTAGTATTAGTGATTAATCCAATCATTCAATATACTATTTTTGAACAAATTAAGAATAGAATTATTAGTAGAGGAAATAAATTCACTGCCATTCAAGCATTTTTCATTGGGGCTTTTGGAAAATTAATTGCAACCTCATTGACTTATCCATATATTACTTTGAAATCGAGAATGCATATTAAAAAGAAGGAAGAATCAGAAAATGAAGAAAAGGAAGCCTCTATGGTTCAACAAATTTTAACTATTGTTAAAGAAGAAGGCATTGAAGGCTTATATGGAGGTTTAACAATTAAATTGATTCAATCCATTAGTACAGCCGCATTCTTGTTTTATTTTAAGGAAGAATTATTGACTGGAAGTGTCAGATTAGTTGAAATATTTAAATTATTAAGTTTAAAAAAGCCTAGCAAGTAAAGAAGAATTTTTAAGTATTTTTATGGTAGAGTTCGGTTAGTATTAACCATATTAAAATATGATACAATTTGGAATATATGTTAAGCCGTCCCGCCCTGAATTTTTTGAAATCAAAGTCCATAGAACAAATTTTATTTAGACTCTTTACACGTATAGTTACATATAAATACATTACTTAGAAATAGCTAGATATCGATGCAATATCATGCGAAATGAATGACAAACCTCTGTGAATGAAACTAAAAATAAATAGACGAATTCAGAATGAAGATGCATAACACACAAAATGTAGGTAAAAAAAAAACTTGAAAATTATAAAAAATAAGGAGAGAATCAACAGTAAAAATCTACTTAAGGTATGAGGTGACATGATACTTCAAGTCTATCAATAAGTAAGTGTAGACGCGATAAATGTTCGTCTAAGACCGGCGAATAGGTTTTGAAATTTAAACTATCATTTCAGATTATTGCCAATATTGCCAATATTAGTAATGAAATCACACGTAATTCAGACTGCATTTGATCAAAAGGCAAAACTTTTTGACATTCTAACATATAAAATAAATTAAAATAAAATAACATAAAATAAAATAAAATTACAAAAAGAAAATTGAAATAAAATAAACAAAAGCGAACCGAATAGTAAAAGCCTACTTGATAAAATAGCTATGGCAGTAATTAAAATATAACTATATTGAAAATAAAATCAAGTGTGACAAAGCCTAACCAGTTACAGGCTGAAAATGTTTGAATAGAGGCTTTTGCAATATTCGGGAGATTGCGAGATTTTGCGTTTGCGTTTTGTGAGTGGTATCTTTGGGGGGATACAGAGAGAGAGAGAGAGAGAGAGAGAGAGAGAGTTTGTTAGGGAGAGAGAAAGAACGAGTGTAAAATCTAAAAAAAAAAAAAAAAATTAAAAATAAATGTAAAATAAAATAAATCCTTAAAAAAATAAAAAATTGAATGGATAATTACCACTTAAGGATAATATCCAAAGAATAAAGCCTTAAAAGGCTCGGATGAACACTTAATCCTTACACCGGAGAATTAAAAAATATCAGTAGAAAACATCAACAATGACTACAGAATTTGCTCGTTTGGAACCTATCTCCCGATTGTAATAGTATGGAAAGGAACATTATCATTCTAAGGTGATCTAATGGCATTAGATAGGGAGGAAATAAAATAAAATAAAATAAATAATATAAAATAAAATAACCATACACTTAAATAATATTATTGGCTGATAATGGATTCAAATAATATTATATTCAAAACCCTTGACTAATGGGGATAGTTATTTATGATTTGAATTTGAAATTGGGTAAGTTAATATTTTCCCTTAATGGTAATAAACAAAGTATGCACCTCGATAAGAATATTAATTACACTGAATTGATAACGTGCTAGTTATAGTCAATGTATATAAAATGATGTAATAACCTGAATTTGGTAGATGTATGTCATTGATAACGCCGGACATAGGTGGGGTATATCACTTGTGAATCAAAGATGGTTTCAAAAACAAAAAAACAATAGTTGTGAGCGCAAGTATACTAACTCCAAAAAATATATGTAGAAGTCTGACACACAGAATGACGGGCAGACACACAATCAAATCTATCTGTCACACATTCATTTCGAAATCCTTGCAAATCTATTCAAAGTGGGACAAATGATTCTTCTTCTTTTCTTTCCTTTCAATGGTTGTCATCGAAGTTTATAGCAATCGGCGATTCATGCTATATAATCATACCGAGCACTGATAAATAAAAGCGAAATTGAGTTTAAGTTTAACAATAACAATAACAATAAAAAATATCTTCTCTTTCTTTCTCTTTAATCTTTTTTTTTATTATCAGAAGATAAAAAATAATTACAAATAATGCATAAATGCAGCACATGGAGTTGTAGAAAAAAAAAGACATGAAACATCAAACAAAAAACAAAAAAAGAATTGATAAATAAAAAAAAAAATGGAGAAAAATAAAAATTATTAATTGAGAGATCTATTTATAAACCTGGGAATCAAAGGAATGAGGAATGGCAATTAAAATATAAAATATGAATTTTGAAAGGCCAGACAGGGACTTAAAAACTACCACATCTTCAATTTAGATATCTGTGTCCAATCAGTTAAGTGATTTGAATGAATTTCCATTAGGGTTCTGTTCTAATTACCGCGGACGAGTAATATACGTTTTTCTTTTGTTTGATAAGGGAGGAACCTCGCTAAAACCATTTGGTTGTAGATTAGAAGAATGATAAATTCAATTATAAGATCCACTTTCACGAGATTATAGTGATGTGTGTTTATGCGTAGGTTCATTAGTTTGGGAGAAAAAAAGACCCAAATTAGCTGATCAGACAAGAAATTTAAGCAAGGAGGTGGTAGAGGAGGGATAGAGGCAGCGACGAGAGAACAAGAAACAAGGAGGAGGGAATTTAAAAGAGTATTCCGAATCGACGAAACCTAACAAAACAAAAAAAGAAAATGCATTTTTTTTTTGATTTTTTTTTCTTGCGTTTGGGGGACTCGACAAACGCAATTCTAAGTTAAAAACCTCCCTTATATTAATTTTTTTAAAGCATACAATGGAAGCAGACTATATGCATGCGCATGAAATTGGATCTTTTTTTTCTTCATTAGGAGAAAAAACAATGGTTTTTTTTTTTGGTTAATTATTTTTTTATGATTCTTTTTTTTGGATGTTTATGCTTCGTTTCTTTTCAGTTTGTTATTTTTGTCTTTTTTTTATTTCTCTATTCTTATTTGATATTTTTTTGGTTCTATCCGTTCCTCCTCCTTTGTTGTTTTGATTTGCATAATTCTGAATTCTTCGGTCGTTCGTTCTTTCTTCCAGTGTGTTGCCTTTGAAAAATTTTCTTATAGTAACGGAATTTGGAAATGAAGTTCTTTCTTCAATTATAACCTAAAAACCACGTATTTAATAATATCAATTAAAAGTTAAACAATGAATTGTCTAACAAATATTCTAACCGAGAGACAGTGATATCACATATAACAAATTGATCAGAAATAGGTAGCAGTACATCAAGTGGCCATTGTTAAAGGGTCCTGTATAGTTTAAATTGTTTCATTGTCATGTATGATTATCTTCATACCAAAAAAATGGTACTAACTTATGAGATCATTTTTTTTTTTTGCTTTCTACGGGTATATAACCATATCTTGGATAAACTTCAATGCTGTAGTATATATGCACGACGGTTAATGGTTGTAAAAACAAACAAATTACTTTGACTTAACGAGTTAAGATTGGTAACAGTAACGTCTGGGCTCCAAGTCTAATATGGTTTTCCAAGCAAACGAAAAAAATGCCTTAACCTAACTCAAAGGTCTACTACTATGAAGTTGCTCAGTAAAGATCTACGTGCACCGAATATTTTTAAGCAAATTGCAATTGTTAATTTGTGTACGGTCTTTTTTTCTTAGCAAGCACAACGATTTTGCCAGTTAGTCATTTGGACAGTTTGCACTTGAATATAAATAATCATATTTGCCTTATATCTGTTTAGTTTACATATTACAGTCTAACTGCAGCAGCTTTCATCATTGTGGCCTATATGGAAATTGTTTGTATTACACCGATATATGTACCCAGTTTAATTATGTCGTTACCGGGAACTTTTTGCTTCTGGTTACCGTGACATATGGCATGAAGATCAATCCGTTTATTGTTGTCTTCATTCGTATTTTTATTTCCAATATTATTTTCTCTTATGCCTGATTACAGTTTCCCGTTTTTTGATTATTTTTATGTTTTTATTTTATATATTTATTTTTTCCTTTAATGTGGAAATCAACATGATTTTATTAATAACAATAATTTATAATACATCTTTTTTGTCGTGTTGATTTTTTTTAGCTATATATTATAATTGTTTTTTTTTTTTTTTTATTTAATTTTTAACTTTTAATTTTTAATTCTTCTTTATTTTTTATTTTTTATTTTTTTTTTATTTTCTACATGAAAATATTTTTTAAGGTATTATTTAATTGTTTTATTTTTTTTTGTCTGTCTGTCTGTCTGTCTGTCTCTACTATTAGTTTTAATTTTGGTTTATGTTGATATAAATTTCTTTTAATTTTTCCAAATTCAAATCCCTCTTTTTTTAAACCATTTCTCTCTTGTATTACTATCTAAAGCCAGTCGATTGATTTCTTGTGACGGTCACTATCGTTATCATCAAATTCAACTTGATCTGTTTAGAATAATCATAATATGCCACCTCTACGATCGATACTTAATGATGAATCTGATAACAAACGTACGGAAACTTCAAATACAAATGATGATAATAACAGTAGCAACCAAATACCGACTGCAATCGCAACATCTTCCTCGTCCTCCTTGTCATCCACGATATCAGCGCCATTGTTAATTCCCCCTAGTGCTACCACGACGTCAGCATCAAGTTCTTCAGATGCAACTTCTTCAACTACAGCTCCATTACTATCAGTAGCTGGAAAAAAACCAGTGGCTCGTCGAGCATGTTTATCTTGTCGTGAAAAAAAGGTAAAATGTGATGGAGAACCTATCACTAGCATTATATCTATCGATGGTTCTAATAAAATCATCCCTCAAATGACAAGAACTTGTTCAAATTGTAAATTTTTAGGTATAAAGTGTGTATTTGTTCAAAGTAATAGAGGTGGAAGAAGGAAAAAAAGACTATCAACCGATGAATCTGCCAATCCAATTGGTATAAGTAGTGATCATGAAAAGAGAATTAAAATTGAAGAAGCAGACCAACCATCCCAAAATCAACTTCTCCTCCCAAATCCTGCCCCTTCTACATCACAACTTGTTCAACAACATGCAAACCCTCCTAATTTTTCTCATACCCCCAATCAACCATATTGGCAGCAATCCTCGACACAAAAGCCCCTACATTTACAACAACAACCATTAACAATACTACCTCAACCAATTCCTTCACTGAATTTATCACTTCCTTCTCATCATGGTTTCAATCTACAATCTGCATCTGGGTTATCCCTTCCAGGACCGCCGGCACCTCCAGCCCCACCTCCACCTCCTCAGCATCTTTATTTTAATAGTCAACAAACATATTATCAATGGTGGAACACCAATACGAGTCCTCGACCAGCCCATCAACAACAGCATATTAAATCACTTTTACCATCAATTGCAGTTGCCAATATAAAATCTTCTACAGTTAAATCTTCAATCCTGAGATCGGCAATGTCTTCTGCAAATTCTTCTACTTCAACGAGTCTTTCGTCTCCTAAATTCGAAAAATTAGATGTTCTTGAGATTACCTCCTATCCTTTACCAACTTCTTCAATAATATTTGTACCAGAACAACCAAGAAATTCTCCAAATTATTTTAATCCCATTTATTTAATAACAAAATATTATCCAGAAGATGGAGCACCTGAACCAGTAGTACCCCCAACTTATACAGGAAGCTATTTTAATGATCCTAATGAAAAATCAGATGCTTGGTGGACTGCTGAGTATCTTTCATCGATTAGTTTACCCCCTTGGAGAGTTTTGTATCATATTATGGTAATTTACTTTGATTATTTCCATCCTTTTCAAAATGTTTTACCTTCTACCCCTCAAGCTTTTCTTAATAGTATCAATCCACGAGCTCAAACTTCAATTCTTTTCACAATCATTTTAATTACTTTACCTATTACAAAATCTTTAAATTTGGGTATTTGCTTAGAAGAAGAAGTTTGGCTTGAAAAAATCAGATTACATTGGAGAAGAATGAATAGTTTTACAAGTTATGTATGTTTGAATTTATTACTGCATGTTCCAACATTAAGATATCATTGGTTTAAGTTTAATTATTTAAAAGAAGATTTGCAATCTATGTTTGAAGCTGCTGCTGCAGCCACTCATTATAATGATATCGATGTTCAGGAATTAGTTAATCAAAACAGATGGATTGGACTTGTTAACAATCATCTTGGGGATATATTTCTTCACAAACTTTCATATGCTGATCCAGAGAAGTTAATTTCAAAAGAACCTAAGACTTTGGATTATACTGGCTTAGAAGTTTATTACGATTTTGCTCATACAGACAGATTAAAATTTAAACCTATGTATAAATCAATCAATTTTTTGAAAAAGACGATTAATTTAAACTACCATTTATTATTGGTTAATATTACTTATGAATCAAGCAAAATTCTAGATTCATATAATAAATTGAATGCATTACAGATTTTCAAATATCAATTATTAGAATTTAATCAATTAACTTCAAGTTCAGAGTACATTCCATTAATAAAATACATTCAATCAGATAAATCCACTCTTTCAGAATTACAAACTGTATTAACTCAATTAAGTGAAGAGAGTTGGAAATCATTAATAATTCTAATTCATGATTTGATTAATTTTGCTAAATTAATTCAAATTCAAGAAAAGGATAATTTTGAAATCTTTTTAAATAACGATAAAACAAGTCATAAGATTCAAGATGTTTGGATTAAATTCCCCACTCTTGCATTAATTACAAGTTTTACCTTCATGCCATTAATGTTTGATATTTTAATTATACTTAAATTAACTAACCTTGAAAGGCTTTCCACAGATCCTTCAATTCTTCGAATTAATATTGACGATGTAAACATAGACATCGAATTAGATTCAGATGTGATTCATGATGTTTGTGGCTATGATTTTGATCAATTTAAATATCATTTACTCAGTCAATCATTATTAAAATTCATTCAAATTAAATCAAGTTATACATTATCAGAACCAATTCAAAAATTGAATTTGAATATATTAAATCAATTAATTCTTAATTTTAACGACTTTATTTCATGAAAAAAAAATTTCACAAAAAACGCAACCTATAATCTCAATCACTTATTATTACTATACTTCTCCTCAACCAATAAAACTAGTCCATTGTATGGACTTGATCAAAATTGTATTAATTATTATTTAATTCACTATTCCACCCTACCACCAACCCTTTCTGTTACTATTATTGTGATTTTCCTCGTCCAAACCTGTAGCATTATATATATATATGTTCAATATATATCAAAAGTAAACATATAGCTTAAAATAACAGTAGAGTTTCTCTATATTTATTTTAAATTAGGGTTATATGACGCCGTGGAAGATCTTGAGGACCAACTTAATACCCGCTAAAAACAATAAAAACAATAAAAATAAACTTTGACGTATATATAGCCACAAGCAAGATCTATAAATCGATCTCATTGAGAAGATCAACCATTTGTTTCAAAACCATTTTAATCGCTTTGAGTAGTTTTTCCGTCTCGTTGCTGCATTTACGAAAAAAATTGAAGAGCAAAAAACCTGCTCGCATTAAACGCCGATTGCCCAATTTGCTACGGCAAGTTTTCTTTATTCAGATTTGATTGCGCGTCAAATGGGAAAAAAAAGCAAAAATAAAAAAAAGAAGTAAAAATTCCAAAAAAAAATAAAAATTAGATCCCAACTCCTCACCTCTGCTATCGGGCTTCGGCACAATAAAACCGGGAATTAAAAATAGTGCTTTCAGATTTTTTCTTTAAGACGCGCCGACCAAAATTTTAGTTTATATTTTTTTCTTGAGTTCCTGCAGATAATGAGGATAAATCATGTCGCTACGACAATTCATGACAAGTCTACGACATTGTATGACATTAACTGTATTGATAAACTCGTGGTTTATATATGGTGGTTAGTATTTAAACATTTTTATTTAAGCTTTATCAATTGCTCCATTTTTCTTATAATCACTATCGAGTAACTGCAATTCAGGGGTAGGTTGCAACATTCTCCATACACGTTGCTAAGAATATAGGAACTTTAGTCGAATATAGTGTGTGAAACGTTGTCTCATATCGAACTTTAAAGAGTTACTTTCATTGCCTGATCCAAGAAATAAACCCAAAACTAATAGAATCAAGGATTAGGATTGAACGGTATAAATAGCCTTGAAAAATCAATGAAACACTTAAGGCCACATCGACATTGAAATAATCTCAACTATATTCAAATTCCTTGAACCATGATTAGTGTCTTCAGACCTGTTCAATATACTTCATGCAAAGATCTTATAAGCAATTATGATGGATCAACTTCACCCACACCCTATTTACCATTCAACTATACCGTCGAGGGATTAACTCGAGACGTTTACGTCAAACCACTCCATAGTCATAATGATTACTGGCGAGCCCATCCATTGTTTGATGCTTTAAGCAATGGAGTTCAAAGTATTGAAAGTGATATTTGGCATTTCCCCACTGGATTTTCAAATGAAAGAACTGTCACCGATACAACTAGTAATGGATTAGTGAATACCACTGTTACCAAATACTTTCGAAATAATGAAGTTTATGTGGGTCATAGTGATATTTATCTAGAGCCCATCAATACATTAAATAATCTTTATTTAAATCCATTATATCAATTCCTAGAATTCACCAATCCCAAATTTTCAAATGATAATGAAGACACTACTCGATCTAAAAATGGAGTGTTTTATAATAGTCCCGAAACTCCAGTATATCTTTGGTTTGATTTCAAAACGAGTCCAAATGATACATATCTAGCTTTAAAACCATTATTGCAACCATTTATTGATGCCAATTATTTAACATATTATGACGTACAACAAGATAAAGTAATAGAAGGTCCTTTAATATTAACTATAACTGGGAACTTACCAGTTGAGTTAGTACAAGAAGAACAAGATAAAAGATATTTCTTTTTGGATGGTCCATTACAATTATTTAAAGCATCAACAGGGTCAAATGATGCTGAATTAACCAAATGGTCGAAATTATCTCGAGTAGTAAGTTGTGATGCATCATCATTATTAAATGGAGACATGCAAGCTATCATAAAAGCCTCAAGATCACCATTCACATCAGATCAAGAAACCCTCATCCAATCATTTTTCGATACTGCTCATTCCTACGGATTAAAAACTCGAATTTGGGGGGATGTAACTTGGCCTCCAAGTATTAGAGATTCACATTTAAAGAGTTATTACGAGGCTGGTACTGATTTTTTAAATGTTGATGATTTAAAAAGTGCAAGTAATTTATTTTAGTAATTAAAATGTATATGTATATGTCTATGTTCTATAAGTAGGGTTTAATGCTGTTAAAAGTTTCGTTTTAAAACTTCATATGAGTAGAATATGATGGCGTTGGCAGGAACACATCTGATTAAAGTTATACCTAATCCATTATATAAATTTCTGATTCCACCATTTCTAGTGATTAATGATTTTGTTATACTCCAAAAGTCGAATTGGTTTAAAGATTTTGGATTTTTATTTAACATTTCAAAAGTTTGAATATTTGATTTGATAGTATCGATTGGGAAAATTGATAAGTTAAAGGTTAAACCAGCAATGGCTCCACTGATTAACGAATTGAAATCATTATTAACATTCAATACATTGGCTTGACTCACAAATTCATAAGTCCCGAACCAAACTGCAGTTCCTAAGATTTCTCTCATTAAAGTTGATGATAATCCATTCCATAATCCGGGGATACCATCTTTTTTAATGATGGATTGTATTAATGGGATATAACTTATCCCTACTGGCTTCTTCGCTGTTGATTCTGGAATGACAAGATTAGATACTTGTAATTGACATTTAATCAATTCAATAGGAGTTAATACAAATGAAGCCATAAATCCTGCAAATCCACCACTTACACATTTTATAGCAAGACTTGGTTCTGATATTTCATCTTTTTTAAACTTCCATACGGCATAGTTATAAGATGAGAATAATATCCCTGTTTCAACACAAGCTCCAATCAAAGGTGCTTTTAAACCTTTATAAAATCCATTGGTGATACCTTCATTTTTATAAGTCAATTTAATCATTGATAAGGTTGATGGAGTAACACTATCCACGGGAGTAGCAGCTTGTAATCTTACTTTGATAGTATCGAAGGGGAATTCAATCAACTTCCCAAACATACCCGATATAGCTCCGTATGTGATTTCTTTTAATGGATGTAATTGTTTTTGCTGTTGTTGTTTTAGTTGTGGCTGTGAATCGATTTTGGAAGGGGTGGAACCCTGAGATGGTATTTGAACTTGTATGGTTCGTTGGGAATCTTCTAGTATTATTGCTTCAGACATGGCTAAAGTGTCATATAGAGTTCATTGGTATGTTGGATGGAGATATATTAAATTAAGGATCTGCTTATTATATATATATTCACAAATTTTAAAATTTGCAATTTTTCAAATTTTTTTTAAAGATGCGATACCTGAAGAGGGAGAGGCGTTCCAAATCTAGATTTTAAATTATAAAAATGACTCCTGCCAAGTGACCCTTGGATATGGTATATTACTATGGAATAGTAATCTATACGGAGTGATGAGATCAAATATGATAGGAACTCTACAATTCAAATGAAAAAAAAACGACTTATATAATATTATGTATATTTATGATTTAAATTTGCTATTCAAGTATGAAAAAAAATCATTTAGTAAACCAAATGGGATGAATTATACTATAAACTAACAAAGGAGGATTGATTTTTTTAATTTATGTTTTGGTGTTTTATATATATTTATGATACAACAACTTAACGTAATGGGATGAATCTTGAAGAAGCGTTACCAGCTCTACCATGTCTAACTGGAGTATAAGTGATGGAGAATTCACCTAAGTAGTGACCAACCATTTCAGGTCTAACTTCAACAGTGTTGAAAACTTTACCATTGTAAACACCAACGACGGAACCAATCATTTCTGGAACAATAACCATGTTTCTTAAATGAGTTTTAACGGTAGCTGGTTTTTCATTTGGTTGAGTGTTAGCTCTAGCAACTCTTAATTTATTAATGAAACCCATTTCTTTGGTACCAACACCTCTGGAGAATCTTCTTCTAACTCTGGCACTACATAATTTAGTGAAATCTTCAGTTGATAATTCAACTAAATCTTTTAAATCAACACCTTTGAAAGTGAAGGTTCTGAAGACTCTCTTCTTCTTTTGTTCAGCTAAAAAGATAATTTGTTAGTATTTGGGTTTATTTGTATAGTTGGTATGAGATGGGAATAAAGAAACAGTTAAGACGGTTGGTTATGGATATAGTTGATCAATCTTGGAATGAATTTGATTATGGACATTTCATTTTGTTGGTAGACTCTTAAAATTTGATTTGGATTGGGTTTCCAGAATGGAAGGATAGATTGGAAGGGATGGATTGAATAGGTTGAATAACTAATATAGTTACTTCTGTTGAACATTATCTTGTACTTCATGAGTTATTTAATGATGGATTCAATATTGAAAAATTCTTATAGATATTGAAGAGTATTTAAAACTATAACGATTGTTTGACTAATGCAATGAAGGAACTTTCATGATATGATAATGATACTTTCTCTTTCGTTTGAATGATTCTCTTTATTATAATCTTGATTGAATATAACTGAATTATATATTGATATTTGATATTGATTGATTTGATTCGATTTGATTGAGTATTAAACTACAACTCAACATGGAACTTTCTGTTCAACTTGATTCTCTGATTCTGATTCTGATTCTGCTTCTTATTCTCATCTTCATTCTCATGATATGTTGGAATACATACTATCAGCCATATTGATATAGATTATTGATATGTTATAATGATAATAATGAAATTCAAAGTTTGAAAATTTAATATAAAAATTTTTTTACTATCAACTTTTTCCCTCTCACTGGTCTCTGGTACAGTTTTGACTTTTTGTTAACAATTTTGGATTAACTATGTGACTGCATATAAGTGGAGTATTTTGGTACTCAATTAGTTTCGCACTCCTCCCATTATAGAAATGAGGATGCCACGACGACAATGTCCTGTATATTACCACAAGGTCTGAAGCCCTCTAAGTGACCGGTTCAACCTCTTAATTCACGTGATATTTACATGGAGTTATATGCAGTCGGTTTACAAAAATTTTTCAAAACCCAAAACTACCATAATGAAAAAAAATTAAAATTTATATACTATAATTGTATAATACCAGTTTAACTTCTTTCAAATACATTAAAGAATAGTCTGCTTACAGTTATAGCTTAAATCGTGATTATTCTAAATATATACAATTCATAATGAAATACTTAGCTGCTTATTTATTATTAGTCCAAGGTGGTAACGCTTCCCCATCAACTTCTGATATTTCTACTTTATTAGAAACCGTTGGTGTTGAAGCTGAAGAATCAAGAATCTCAAACTTATTAGCTGAATTAGAAGGTAAAGATATCAACACTTTAATCTCAGAAGGTAATGGTAAATTAGCTTCTGTTCCAACCGGTGGTGCTGCTGTCTCTTCTGGTTCTGCTTCATCTGGTGCTGCTGCCACTGAAGAAGCTGCTGAAGAAGAAGTTGAAGAAGCTAAAGAAGAATCTGATGATGATATGGGTTTCGGTTTATTCGATTAAATCTAATGTTTCAAAACTGTATTAATACATTTAAACCTCATATAAATGATAGGTTGTTGTTTTATTCTTTAATTAGAATGAATTAAAAAAAAGAAAAACATTTCAAAAATGAATGTTTATTTGTATCCTATATAATTTACCATTAATCATAATTCAATAAAAAAGGGCTAAAAAAATAACTTTTATTCAATCATACTGTAGTATTATCATGATTTATATTTGATATAATCTGTCTTATATCATCATGATTACCTTTCGATTTGTAAATGATCTTTTCAGTTAAAATTCTAAATTTATTAATCTCACTGATTAAATTAGAATCATTCTTACTGTCTTGGGCAATAGGATGATTTAAGAATAAATTGGATTGGATAGATGGTATACTTCTATCATGATCATCATTTATTTCATCTTCCACTTTAGTTATCTCTTCATCACTATCATAAATATTACTCTCATTCTTTTGAGATGGCTTCTCTTGTTTAATTTCATGTAATAAATTATGCAACTTTAATTTCAATGATTTTAAATATTGAACCTTTTCATATTTATAATTTAAATCAGTATATAATTGAATTAGTTGAGATCGTATTTGATCATATTCAATTAATAATTGGGCATTTTCTTCATTATTCTTTCTATTACTGTTTTGAATTTGATTATTGACGCGTTGATTAAGTACTCTCTTGAATCTCTTGGTTGATATATTTGATGATGAAGTCAATGTTGGTTGATCATCTTGAACTAACACCAGTTCATCTTCACCTAGCTGTTGTTGCTGACCTTCTTCTTCATCCTCTTCATTATCATCATCATTATCATCATCCTCCTCCTCAATGTCAAATATCATATATTTTGACTCTGGTAACTCATCAATCAACAGCTTAAATTCTCTCAACTTCCCACCCACATCAACATTCTCCACACTTTTATTCCTACTAACATAATTGATATTATTAATCAATTCACTATTCAATATTAAATTCTTAATCGTATACAATTTATCATTCACAATCGATAATTTATAAACTTCCAATTTCAAAACTTGTTCAATGATTTGATTTTTGATTTGATTATTATTAATGGTTTGAGAATTACTCTTTCGAATAATGATATTCAATTTATTTAAAATCTTTTGTAGTGTTTGATCATTTAAATCATTAACAGTATCATTATCAATAATGGTTTTTAATGACGGGGTTATAATCAAGGGTTTATTGAGTATTTTATATTGCGTGTCTATGAACTGTTTGGTATATGCGTAAGTGTATGCCATCATATCCTCATTGAAGGTTATTGTCGTTGTTGTTGTTGTTGTTGTTGTTGTCTTGATACCTTGTAATTGATAATTGTTGCAATTGTATGTAGTTACATTTGTTTACAATCATATTTGTGGTACGTCCTAAAATATCAGAAGAAAAATCACATGACTAATCACATGACTATCTTTTTTATTAATTTATTTGCAATTCTGTAAATCATTAAGAATCAGACTTTTTAATTAAAATTAAACTAATTTCAGCCTTAATTAACCTAATGTCCTTAAACCTTCAACCGTACATCGAAATCTTAACCAATTTTGGGGAGGGTATGCATGTAAACTTAATCATCCATCCATCCTTGCATTAACATTAAGTCATTCAATCATCTATGTTTATCCCCATCATTCCTTACCGTTACAATTCTAAACTATAAATTAATGCATCAACTGGCAGGCATTATCAAAAAGATTAGCAATTTTAAAGATTGGTACCTATCTATTTAAAGTTAAATTTTTTTTTTGGGGATGTTAGATTAGAGTAGAAAGTTTAAACGTATCCAAAATCCATTTCTATGTCTACGTCTACGCCTCCTCTCTGTGACGTATTTTATTACGTTATATTTTAAATGATTTGGTTTAATCAACACCGACTTAACTAAGGGTTGAAGGCTTTTAATTGTTCTATTTAGTCGATATTAATATTGCGGTTAAACGGGACGGAGAAACCTTTAGTTTTTTATTTACCACTATTCTTATCTACTATATTTTACCGCATCCGTTTTGTTATAAATCCAGACAATATTTCTCCTTTTTGTCTGGACTGCCTGCCTGTCTGGACTGTCTGTCATTTGGAATTTTATTTTTTTGTTGGTATTATTTTTTAGAATTAACTTTTTTTTTTGTCTCATTTTTGTTCATTTTTTTTTTTGATTGTTTTTTTTTTATTTTCTTAATTTATTTTATTTTATTTTCTAAATTTTGTTTTCTAATCTTCAAAGGGGGGTGGTGAAAGATTAGTGGTGGATTAATAAATAATTATACAAAATAGACTTTATTTTATAGAACAGAGAACAATTATCTTATTATAGTAAATAAGAAAGCGACGTTTAAAATCGATAGAGATCAATCAAATTAGTCTAAAATGATATTATTATTATTATTATTAAATTACAGACAAAATTTAAAAGGTTTTAATTATTTCCACAATTAGAGTGTGGTTAATTAGTTGTTATTTTACGGCTATGCCGCCAGTAGACCGTTTTGCTTGCTATCAAACTTTGATGGCTGAATTTCTTCTTTTGCTTTTTTATGGTTTGGTTTAAATTGACAACAACAGGACAATGCTCGAAACAGGAAATTGAAAAGAAATGTAGAAATAGGAAATTAGCAAAATTACAAAAATAAGGAAAAAGAAAACGAAGCCAAAAAAAAAAAATATAAACGGAAAATAAAATAAAAAAACAAATAGGGAGAGACAAAAAAAAAATATCAACAATTTTACGAGAATTTTTGATGGCGGCGGTAAATATCCCATTTTTGGATACTGGGTGGTTAATCCCGATTTGGGCTTTGATTTTATATGTGGGATTCAAATCTTTTTTGTTCGTTATTGATTTGTCTGTATGTTTGTGAATATGTAAGTGTGTAAGTGTGTTAGTGTGTTAATGTGTGTAAGTGTGTGGATCGGTGAGTGGGATAATAAAAGCGGTTTCAGTTACTCTCAATAATTAATGGCTATGAAATTCCGTTTTTGGTGTTGAGAAGCGAAAGTAACTTTACTGAATGTGGATCAATGGGATGGAACGAATTGATCCTAATCTTTATTCTATTGTATTGAATTATATTAGTGCCGTATTGAAAAGTTTTATACTTATTGTTTACGTGTAAAGGACTTATATGATAAGGCATACTCATGACTTATACGTAGTCCAATAGTATACAAACTTACCGGCATATCTTTCAAATACCACAAACGAACAATAAGCAAAATAAACACAAATAAATAATAAGATAAATAAATAAATAAATAACCAAATAGATAAACAAACAAATAATCAAATAAACAAAACTAATAAAATTTAATTACATGGTTCTCGCCTTATAATTTATGTAGAAGTCTTAATATCATTGCAAAAAAAGTTTTTAATCCTTTCCAGTTAGTTCGTACATTCCCAGGTTACCTATCCCTTTTAATTCTTCCATTTAGTCCTTCTTAATTTTATCTTCAATTTATTTTTATTATTACATAGTATTATTATTATTTGAATTACTATACTTAATTGTTCCTGTATGTTTTATATTAGGTTATATTCTTTGGGTGGTTAATGAATTAGTCCTTTTATATATATATATATATAGAATAACCGGGAATTCGCTGGTATTTCAATTTCTTCTCTAACTCCTTTTCCCTCACCAACACGGAAGGACACGACAGGATCGCCAATGCCATTGTCTTCCACAAACAACTAACGAAATGCAAAGATATACGAACGAATATCATATAACAGCTGATCAATTAAAAAATATATCACACTCATTATCCTAAAAGCCAATTCATCAATCCATCAATGAATTTCTTGATTTCTTTCTTTCTTTTTTTTATGTCTAATGAATCAGACGTAAAACTTTACTTCATTTCATAAGCGTTTCGTTTCTTTTTACCCCTTATAAGAAAAACCAGACAATCAAACACATACAGAGAAAAAAGTGTCTGTAGAAATAATTCCTTTTTTTTTTTTAAGTTTTTCTTAACTGGTTTTTTTTTTTGAATTATTCTCATGTTTCGTAAACCTTATCCCATAGCGACGTTAATGTCATTTCTTAAAGGGTTAGGCTTTCTTTTTTTACGTCAAATTTTTTTAATACAACCTAGAAGATCATAACAAACGAAAATTATAGTTTTTTAACTGATTGATTCATTGCTTTTATATCTGACCTTAAGATTGGATAAAAAAAATTACTTATAAATTGCTATGTTTGTTTGGGGAAATTATTTTTTAAAGTTTTGGTAATTTATCTTTATTTCTTAAAAAGGACTCCTCCTCTCTGACACTAACTGATTTCTCTGTCTGATAATACACCAAAAAAAAAAAAATAAAAAAAATAAAAAAAAATAAAAAAAAAAATAAAAAAATAAAAAAATAAAAGAAAAGAATAAAACCAAAAAAAAAAAACCAAAAAAAAAAAAAGAAAAAAAGAAACTTAAACTAAATTTAAAAATATAAAATAAAAGAATATAAACGGAAGCAAAAAGAAGTACAAAATTATACCGTTCTGTAAAATAGCAAAAAATCTATACTGACAGTTGGTTTGATTATAGATCACCCAACCTTAACCATCATCTATATCATCAATTGTATGATTGATATCTTTTAAAATCATTGCCAAGTCATTACCTGTAAAATTATTAAGTATTATATTCCAAATTCCACCCCACCATCCGACCCATTAAAAACTATCTACAATCTTTTTAAAATTTGAAACAAACTACCAACTTTTTTAGCCAACCTTTTCTTGTAACCATTTGATGATATACTGTCATAGTCATAATTATTGTAAAACGTCTTCATCCTCCTTCTTACCTACCCTTAAGTTTCATCATTCAATCTAATCATTCATCTAAATTCTGGTAAGAAGAATAAAAAAAAAAAAAAACGAATATCAAATATAAGGGTATTCCGTTGTAAGTTAAAAAAATCATACCACCACCAACACCATATATAGAGTTTTATCATGAATAATAATCTACCACCGCCTTCTAAACCTCGATCGAATCAAGGTCAAGGAGGCTCATCCAATTCAAATCTAGGCGATTCTACAAATCTACTATCACATCAATCTCAACCACCTCCTCCCCCTCTTCCGCCTCACTCTAGTTCTTCTACAAGTTCAATTCAACATAATAATGCTGGATCTTCTCAATCATCGAGATCAGATGGTCCAAAATCATCATCTTCCAACCCTTCTACTATACAATCTTCTTCATCATCGTCGGCAATGGCTGCCGCTAAACGATCTAACTTTCAATTTACTTATGATGCTGATAATTTTCTCTTAGATTTAATATTTAAATATAAAGATGAATTGTTTACTAGGGGTAATACCATAAAAACTTGGGAATTGGTATTATATGAATTCAATCATCAATTTAAAGCCAATATAGTTCAATCAAGAACCATTAATAATCGATTTAAAATCCTTCGAAAGAATTTAGAAAATCGTTTAATGAATGAAACTGCATTACCTTTACAAGACTTAAATTTAAATGAAAATGAAAAATTATTAATTAATTTAAATCAATTTTTAAGTAATAAAGAATTATCAAAGACTACAACTAATCCAACTATTGGCCCATCTTCAAGTAATAATCAAACCACGGTTGGTTCGAGTGGAGGGAATAAATCTAATTCAACAAATAAATTTTTTGATACAAATTTAAATAATAGTAATAGTAATAACACTAAAGATTCATCGTTAAATTATAAATTTCAATCATTATCAAATACTTCAACATCATCATTTGTACCTCATTCACCTCAAGAATCACTTGATATCGATCCAACTTCAACAACCTCACCGTCATTTAATATTCAATTGTCTCCAACCCTCACAGCCGAAACTCCACTGCAACTCGTGCAACAGCAACAACAACAACAAATCCAACAAATCCAACAATTACAACAGTTACAACAGATTCAACAACAACAACCAAGTCAACAATTTCCATTTCAATTCTTACCTCCCAAAGCTGATATATCATTTGAAAATCAGCCCCCTCCACCTCCACCACCTCAAGTGACTGTCGCCCCTCCTCCGGCGCCTCAACAACAACCACCACCACCACCACCACCACCGCCACCACAGCAGCAACAACAACAAGCTGCTCTACCTCAGGATCCTCAAGAATCGGATGAATTACGATTTAGAAAGAGAATCAAAAGTATTCCAACTACTTCATCTACAGCAGCATTAAATCAAGATCTACTTCATCAACTTCTATTAGCTCAAAATGAATATAACTTACAGATTAATGAAATTAGAAAAGAAATTCAAGATTTGAAATATGAATTTGACTATAAAATAAAAGATATCTCGAATAAAATAGATTTAAATAATGAAAATTTACATTTAAGGCTTAATAATTATTTTGAACTTATGATGACTAGGTTGGATATAGAAACTACAAATTTGCAGCAACCACCACCACCACCTATTCCTCAAAGGCAACAACAATCACAACAGTTCCAGTCTTCAGTCTCATTATCACAAATCTCTCATCAACAACAACATCAAGACCAACTTGATCATTTTCAACGGTCATTATCTCATCAACATAACTCTCCTATACTTTCGCAACAATCACAATCAACATCGCAGAATCATCTGCAGCACCAATCCCCAGAACAACAACATCGCCAACAATCATCGTAAATGGTCAAAACCATCATTTATTTAATCTCATCTCATCTCTCATCATTTTTCAACTTTAATAATATTTAATGGTTAATAATCCCCACATTTGCATGGGTTTTTTTAAATAATGCTCATAACGCAACCCCTCCATATGAAAATATTACGGTGTGAATCGTCTCAATATAGTTTCACTTCACTTTCATCTGTATAATTATTAATATCGTCTAATATATATCGATTATTAGAGTATTTATCTACTCATGTAACGTTGTACTGACAATCATAAACAACGGATTGGATAAAATAATTTTTGCAAGGGGGGAAGGGGGGTGCCGTTTACCGCCCTATTGAGCCTTAATTACGTATCCGATTTCCTCGGGTATGATTTAGTGTCCCATCCTGTTTCCTCCTCTAATATATGTACATTGTCACCCGTATTACGGTGAACTCGTGATTCGTGATCTAAATGGGGAAAAAATACAACCTCTATCACCGTAAGTACTGCGGCATGGATTTTTACGCCATTCTTTTGTTTTTTGTAAATAATAACATATACACAAACCAAATATTTTTGTAAACGGTATAGAGAGAGATTGATGTATATCCTATTTGGTTAATTAGTGAAACTTATTTAGGGAGAATTACAGATAGATAGACAGTTAGGTGGTAGTAGAAATAGTTATAATGGTTACAGAAATCATTACTCGATTGTTACTTTATAATGATCAATTGAATTCTACCAAGCCGCATATTCCAGACGATGATTCTAGATATAAACCACCATCAACTAGAGTTGCCAGTTATCAGATCTTTATAGCGACTCTGTTAGGGATAATTGCCTTCGTATCATTTTCATTCTTAAGGCGGAAATATCCCAAGATCTATGTCGCCAATTTAAACAATTCAAACTTTAATTATTTACATTCAACTTCAAGGAAGAATTTACCTTCCATACCATCGAATTCATTATTTAATTGGATTCCAATCGTGTTCAATATCAGCGAGCAACAGATCTTAGATCATGCTGGATTGGATGCGGTTGTTTTTCTTGGATTCTTTAAAATGGGTATAAGGGCTTTAGCAACTTGTGTGTTTTTAGCCATGACTGTCATATCACCTATACGGTATATATATACGGGGAAACTAGATCAAGATTATCCAGATGATGATGATGACGATGACAATGGCGATCTATCATCTGCAAAATATATTGGTAACTTGATGATACGGCATCTCTTCAATATATCAGATTCAAAAACTGATGATGATAATTTTCAACATTTTTTATGGATTTATACCGTATTTACTTATGTCTTCACCTTTATCATAACATACTTTTTATTCAATCAAACCATTAAAATTATTAACATGAGACAAAATCACTTAGGTAAACAAAACTCCATCACTGATAAAACGATTAAAATATCAGGGATTCCACCTATTTTAAGAGATGAAATTGATTTAAAAAGACATATTGAAAACCTCAGTATCGGAGAAGTACACTCGATAGTAATTGTTAAGGAATGGGGATCATTGAATGATTTATTCAAATTACGAAAGAAAATATTAAGTAAATTGGAGGTTTATTGGGTTGAATATTTTAAACTAAATGGAATAAATAACAAAAGTGACTTATTATCTTCTAATTTACATCCTCAATTAGGAGACCTGATAAATCTAAATCAAACCAGTTCAGACTCAGACACAAACGAATCGTACATACCGTATCGTGATGATGTTGATGAGCAGGACTCAACAAGATTATCACCGCAAGCATCAAGACACGAATCCATAATTGATCAAATTGAAGATTTAGTTAGCCAGTATGGCAGCTTGAATGCAGCCGACGATTCAATTGGTCAAATGCCACTATTAGATGACGAACTAGCTTCTAAAAGGAGACCCAGATGTAAAAATGGATGGTTGGGAGTTTTTGGATCAGAAGTTGATGCTATTAATTATTGGTCAGAGCAACTTGAAATTGTCGATAAGGAGATATTAAGAGCAAGAACAAGAGAATTTCCTTCCACTTCAACCGCCTTCGTGACCATGACTTCTGTCGCCCAAGCTCAAATGCTAGCTCAAGCTGTATTGGATCCAAAAATAAATCATCTTATAACCGAGCTTGCTCCGGCTCCTCATGATATCATTTGGGATAATTTATGTTTAACAAGACAGGAAAGAACCACAAGGCAATATATCGTTACCATTTTTATCGGGATTTGTACAGTCTTATTGGTTTATCCAGTTCGATATTTGGCTAACTTTTTAAATATCAAGAGTATTTCGAAGGTTATGCCTGTCTTTGGGGAATTTTTAAAGAAGAATCATACCCTTGAAACGATTGTAACAGGATTATTGCCAACTTATATTTTCACTATTTTTAATATAATAATCCCTTACATCTATATTTGGGCTTCTGAAAATCAAGGTTTCACGTCCCACGGTGATGAAGAGTTATCATCAGTTTCGAAGAATTTCTTCTATATTTTCGTTAACTTATTTTTAATTTTTACTGTGTTTGGTACGGCATCGTTAAGTGATACTCTTAAAATAGCATATCAATTAGCTCAATCATTAAGAGATCTCTCTTTATTTTATGTTGATTTGATAATCTTACAAGGGTTGGCTATATTCCCGTTCAAGCTTTTGTTATTAGGGAATTTGTTTCGATTTTCACTTGAATCATTCTTTTGGTGTAAGACTCCAAGAGATTATTTAAAATTATACAAGCCTCCAATTTTCAATTTTGGATTACAATTACCTCAACCAATTTTAATATTAATCATAACTATAGTCTATTCAATAATGTCTACAAAAATCTTAACTGCTGGATTGATTTATTTCATTTTGGGTTACTTCGTATGTAAATATCAACTTCTTTATTCATGTGTTCATCCTCCTCATTCGACAGGAAAGGTATGGCCCCTAGTATTTAGAAGAATCATGCTTGGTTTATTGATTTTTCAATTAACCATGGTTGGAACTTTACTTTTACAACTGGCCTTTTTATGTGCTTCATTTTTAGCACCATTACCTATCATTACCTTATTTGGTATCTGGACATTTCAAAAGAATTATATTCCATTATCATTCTTTATTGCTTTGAGAGCAATCGATAACAATCATTTAGGTACCAGAGATGAAGAAGATATAATAGCAAGCACTCAAAGCCCCAGTTCAGTTGGCAGTATGGAAGATTTAACTACCACAAAGACTCTTGATGAAAGACGTGAGTTCCAATCTACTTATGAATATCCATTCTTGGTCGATCCATTAGATGGTCCAATTATAGCCATAGATAGAAATGAAGTGTTGATAGTTGATAAAGATGGTAGTTTGGTAAGGAAACCTCAAGTTATAGATGAATGGGATTAAAACTTACGCTTGCCTTTATTGTCGTTTAGTATATATTTATTCTGTATTTGATAGAGATTTATTTAAAATTATTATATTAATGCAAACTTAATTTATTAGATTATCTCGTAAATCGTAAATGAATAATCGATATTGATTATAGAGCCCATAAATTTCATTATAATCACTTTGGAGAATGACATCTAGATCTATACCAGATAATCTAGAAACAATAAACGATAAGACCCTTTTCGAAATTAGGAATTGAGATGTAATCGAAATGGCTAAGATAAGTATGATCCAAAAGTACGATTTATTGGAAATGATCTTTAAACCTTCAATGATATAAAGATATCCAATGACATTAATGACAGCAGCAGAAATCGAGGTTGTATCATATGGCCAAATCAACATTAAAATCGGGAACAACTTAATTGAACTTGAAGATAGTATCGTGACCAATAGCACACTATTCTGATATCCAAATTGGAGTTGTTCACTGATGTTGATATTTTTTAATTCCTTTAAATTTAGTAATAATCGAAATAAAACCAATATGACAAAGTTTAGTAAGAATTGTTCAATAATCAGCTCAGTAATGAAGAACGAATACTGGACATGTACTGGTTGGTTCAAAATAAAGTCCATTCCTATGGTGTGAATCGATTTTCTTTCTTCATAAGCCCATTTTAAATATACTTCAAACAACACTATCAAGAGAATGAGTCTAAGTAATTTCTTGTATCTTAGAACAAATGACGACAATGATATTCTTGGACCAATCTTATTCGTATCAGATGATAAGTTCAGATCCTGTGATTCATTCAATATATCCTGTTCCGTAACATTATACGCCAAATGTCTATAGGCTCGAGTTTTGAGTAACAATAGATCAATGAATAAAATGACATTATCATATTCGATATATTTATCAGCAATCTTTCCACATTCAGGACAAATAGTCAATTTTATGTAATCACTTTCATATTTCGAATACAAACAATCTATATTGGGATTGGTACATTCTATGCATATCATTTGAACAATACTGTTCTGGATGATCTTGTTGGTTAAAGCTACGTCCTTTATTTCTTTAATTTTTTGAGGTTGTTTAATGGCTGCGATCAAAAAAAAAAAAAAATTTATGCTTATATTTAAAACTAATACTAATACAATTATATGATAATAAAGAAATGAAAGAACGTACATAGAAATAGGACTTACCAGAATACTCTAGGGGGAGCAATTTCTGGAACTTTACCTATTTCAAATTTTGCTGCATTGAAAGCGGCTACTATTGTAGGATCTAAACCATCAAACTTAACATCACTTGTCGGAACAACGGTGGAAGTATCGTTGATCGTATTATCAGCACCAAATGGATTGGCTGTTGCAGGGGCACTGTTTGATTGGCTACTTCCAAAAGGTGCACCAGAGCTTCCGAATGGAGACAGTGAGTTTACGTTTGATGTAGCTGGTGCAGCACCAAATGGAGATGATGCCTGATTGTTTGTAAATCCTCCAAAACTGGAAGTAGTTGGTTGACCAAAGGCAGACGTAGGAGGTGTATTGTTTGCAGGTTGTCCAAAAGATGAATTATTATTGGTAACAGCTCCAAAAGGCGACGAGTTATTATTTGTAGGTTGTCCAAATGCGGATGTAATAGTAGCAGAGGCAGATCCAAATGGTGACAGTGATGCATTATTATTGTTTGCGTTACCAAATGGAGAGGCTGTAGTAGATGATTTAGCAAATGGATTAGAGGCTCCTTGAGCACCAAAGGCAGAACCAGTAGACAAAGTGCCGAATGGTGAACTATTGTTAGGCGTTGAGCCAAATGCAGATGTTGTGTTATTATTATTATTTGATGCACCGAATGCAGAGTTATTGTTAGCTTGACCTGAACCAAAAGCAGAATTGTTCGATGTTTGAGAAGAACCAAATGCTGAATTTCCAAATCCAGATGATGTGTTAGTTGATGAACCAAATGCAGAATTAGTAGCTCCTGTATTACCAAACGAGGTGTTTGAAGATCCGAACCCTGAAGACCCAAAAGCAGAAGTATTCTTTAAACCAGAAGAATTGGATCCAAACCCAGAAGATCCAAATGCACCTCCAGCACCACTTTGATTGCCAAATGAACTTCCTGGTGAACTTTGAAATGCTGGTTTACCAAATCCTGTAGCTCCAAATGCTGATTGAGTATTAGATTGTGCAGTGGCAGGTTTAGCAGCTCCAAATCCACTTGATCCAAATGCAGATGCTGTTCCACTACCAAATGGATTGGCCTGGCTACCAAAGGCTGAATTGCTATTGTTGCCACTGGAGCCGAAAGCACTACCTCCTCCTCCACCACCAAATGCTCCTCCTTGTCCTTGAAACATTGTTAAAGATCAGTATCTCTTAAAGCCTAGCGTAGTATTCAATATGACTTTGTAAAGTTGATATATTTATTTCTGTGCTCTCAGATATTTTTTGTTTGTGTGATTTCGTGTACATAGCTCAAAATTATTTATACAATTACGGTTGCAAATTTCTTCTAAATTGAATATATATTATATTACAGATTATCACGAGTTAGCTTGGATAACAGTTTTACAATGGTCAACCAAATTCACCATATTTTGGTTACTTATACTATAAGCTTGTCGATATAACATCTTCATATCTTCAAGAACAGTTTCTTTCGTGGTTTCACCTTTAGATATTTGATCTAAAGAAAGTTCTAACTTCTTTCTTAAGAATGGCTTCGATAATGAAATATTATCAAAATGCATTTTATCAAAACTTTCAATAAGCCCCATTCCCAACGGAGTTGGGATAATATACTCTACCTTACCCTTTTTCTGTTTAACAACATAACTTCTCAGAACAATCTTTTCAATATGTTCTGCTATAGTAGCATCTGTTCCGATTCCATTAATATCCATTAGCGAAATCAATTCTGCTTCTGTCATATGATTGGGTGGTGATGTTTTACCGTCTTTCATAACACCATTTTTGATTGATACCATATCACCCTGTTGAAACTTAGGCAATTGTTTTGAACTCTCCCATTTCTTATATGGATAAACATCTAAGTAATTTCTTTCAGTCACCATCAAACCATTGGCAGTGAAGAGCTCAATACCCCATTTTAACGTAGCAGTTGTTTGTTGTCCTACAGCATCTTTACAACAACAAGCTAAAAATCTTCTGACCACATATTCATATACTTTCTTCTCATCGGCAGCTAATTCATTAATATTGACATAGTTAACAGGATGGATTGGAGGATGCGCATTATCATCATGCTTACCAGCACGAGGATTTTCATATCCATTATCAAATAGTTCTGTAGCATGATTTCCCCAACGAGGATCAGATTTTTGTCTTCCAAAGATAGTCTTGAAATCAAATGAAGCTGGAAATTTATCAGTCTCCGTTCTTGGATAAGACAAAAACCCTCTATTATATAATTTTTCAGCAGCTCCAAGTGCATCTTTGGCACTCATCTTAAAAATTGATGAACAATCCTTTTGTAACTCAACAGTTGTCAAGGGTAATGGACGCCAATTAGTAGTACGTCTTTGTTCCAATTTTATGATTTTACCTTCTTTATGTTTTAAACATTCTTGATATAAGTTCATGACATGCAAACGATCGAAAAAATGACCTCTAGTCCAATTGAAATTACATTTAACATCATCTTTTTCTAAGTCAACTTGAATATACCAAAATTGCTCAGGAGTAAAATTCTTTACTCGTTTATATCTATCAACAACAAATCCTAATGTGGGGAATTGACAAGTTCCATACGATGCAACATCACCTTTATCAATGATCAGTTTCAGCTTCAAACCTTCAGTTAATAATCTTGTAAAACTTGCTCCAACTCTTAAATCGATTTCCATTCTGCACGAAACTGCATCAACTGCTTTCAAATCTAATTTGATAGGATTATTAGCGGCTCGTAGTACATGATTTCTTTCTAGATGACTGAATTTACTTCTCCAAATATCTCCAACTTCTATTTGTCTATTCCCTTTATTGGCAGCCTTGAATATTTCATAACCAATATATTCTCCTTCTCGATCACAATCAGTCCATATCATTAATTTGTTAGAATTTCTAGCTTCTTTCGATATATTATCAAATATATCTTGTTTCAACACTTTTTCAATTACAGCTGCATCAAATAATTTCCCTGGTACACATTTACCCCATTGAAAAGATGGTGGAAAGTCTATATTGATTAAATGACCTGCTACTGAAGTCATAGTAACATCACAATTTGCCTGATTCGGGAAACTAAACTTGAAATCATAGTTCTTGATGTATTTATTTTGGGAGTTTCGTACTTGAAATCGTCCTCCACTTAGTATCTTACTGACTTCTTTTGCTATTGAAGGCTTTTCTGCCACACATAGGATTTTCATATTTTCATTCTTATAACTTGTTGAGTTTTAAACGATACCATAATGACCTATCTCTCTTCTTGTTCTTCCTTATAATTATTTTGAATCAGACGTGTCGCGTTTGTTTACAACGACATATTTAGTACTATTTATATAACCAGCCTTGCGACATTATAAACCACGGTAGACACTTGCAACTGTACCTCATACTAATTCGATTATATATAGTGATATTTGACTGTTCTATACCATTTTCAAACATCAAGGTTGACAAGATGATGTTCGATGATGTTATACTATGATCTACAAATTATAAGTAGAAACATAGATGCAAAATCAAAATCATCCTCATCCAAACCTGTCTTGAGAGATAAGAGAAAAAGTGAGACCAAATTTAGTTTAACTTTACAACCACACCAAATTGATAAATATTTATACTGTTAATGATTCTTCAAGATAATCTAATAGCTATATAATGTCCTTGTCAAATAGAGATAATATATTTGAATCCATTAATCTAAATTCAGCATTCATCCAGCCCCAACAAAACAATATCAACAGCACCAATATCAATAATAGCAATGGCAGCAGCAGTAACCATCATGGTACAGGCGCCACCATATCTTCAAATCTAGCACCAATACGTTCAAGTAATTCCATACCTCATTCACTTTCAGGAACATCTGATGATGATGATGAGTTGGATCTTGCCGAGTTCATTTCAGATGATTTGCAATTTAACAACAATAATCCTCGAAATTTACCTGATTCAAATGAGCATTCGAGTCAACTTAATGCCAGCACTATACTTGGTGATAGTGATAGAAAATCTCCTATAGGTAACAGACCATTAAGTACTAATGATAATTCCAATATATTGATAAATCCGCTGTTTCCAATTAATGGATTAGATTCAGAGATGTTGAATCATGATTTTCAACAACAGCTGCAAATGTTACCATCAGTCATACTAGGTAAATTCCCTATTGATTTAAATAGCATAGACATACCCAAAAATGATGATGAAACTCCATTAGAGTTCTTGACAAGTAAAAATGGCTTTTTATTAAAAGAAATGCATAAAAATATTCAAATTCATGAAAGTTATCTAGGTTCAGGTGATGAAAATTTGAATAAATTAAGAAGTATGATATTTCAAAATTTTGAACAATTATCTTTGAATTATTATTCTTTGAATGAAATATATGCCAAAGATATAAGTTATACCGAATCACTCACTTCTAGCTTTCAAAAATGGGATAAAAATAGAAGTAAAATCTTATCCAGGATTCAAAATATTAAGAGTGATAAAAACAAGCACGGAGCAAAACTATCTGGATTGTTAGATGAGTCTAATTCTATTGATGTAGAAATAGGTAAACTTGAAAAACAATTGCAATCCTTAAGACAAAAGAAAGTCTTAATCAATCAAGAAATTCAAGATACAAGTTCTGTATTAGAAAGTAAAACTTCTAAATATGTTGAAATGTTTAAAGCTTTAGAAGTACAGGGAAGAGAAGCTGTTTTATTGCTTTTGCAATCTAATGGAATACCTATGAAAGAGGTGGACTCAGTTATTAAATCATCTCCCGTTAAAGTCACATTCTTAGATAACTACAACGCCAAACACCAAATCATTCCAGACGAACCAGTAATAAAGCCAGAGCCTCCGAATAGTGCAGAATCTATGGGAATGCAGCCTTTTATTATCCCTGAAGAACCTAAGAAAGTTGTCGATACCCAAGCTGAATTGAATCATGGCCATGGACCTACAGCTTATGAAAAGGGATTTGCTAAAGGTGCTCAACTGTCAAATAAATTAAAATCTCAATTGCAATATATCCTAAAACTCCTATTAAAGTCAATACCAGAATCTAATTCAGTATCCAATTCACCAAATGGTAGCCGTATCGAATCGGTAGCTGTTCCAAATAAACCAGTCGTGGATGATGCATCAAATACTATTACTGAGAAATTGGATCTTGAACCGGTATTCAAGCTTTTAGAGCATAAAGTTGAAGCATTGGGAGATTTGATGTTGCAGACTTCTACAAATGCAGCCATGTTTCATAAATATGGAACCGTTTGGAAAGATGTCACAAATATTTTGAAAGCTCAAGAGCATAATTTATTGTTCCAAATTTCTAATTCCATTCCAGGAGCCGACAATCTTAATTCAAACATTGCTGATACATTAACGAGAACCATGAATGAAATTCGAATGATTATAGTTAGCTTGAATGATTCTAAAGACATTTTAAGCTTTCATAAGAAGAATAGTCCCCTTATAAAAGTCTTGGATAATGAACTAATGTCAATACTACAAGCACTCCAAGTCGTACCTACAAATGATACCCTCCAACAACAGTATATATCTATAGCAGTACAGTTAAAGGAATTAGGGTGTCTCCAGCATTTAAAAGCTGTTACTCCTGAATTTAACAATAGCTCATTTACATTGTCCAATGGTCTGAACCATGTGATTGCTGGAGAAAAGAATACCGATGCTATCAAGGTACCAGATTCGCCTATCTTGGTACCATCTATTACCAATAGAAAACTGTTAAAAGAGGAGTAAATACTAGTATATAATATCTGTACATAAATAAATGCATAATTGTATATTTGTTAATTGTAATAAATATGTAGATGGCGTCTATTTCTTGGGATTTGGACGTCTTCTTTGGATAAAAATACTTGGAGGTGATTTTGCTGGTGGTGGTTTTATTGTACCAGATGAAGTTGGAACCACAGGATTCTTTGTTATCTTTCCTGAAGTGGATGTGACAGGTGCTGTAGTAGTCGGTACCACTATCTTACCATTCAGTGGTAAATATCCTGACTTAGATGGGGCCAATTTTTCGTCATTTGCGGGCTTGCTAGGGATTTCAGGAACTTCCTTTTGGACTACTTTTATTGGCTTAGACTGTGTCATAGAGGGAAGTACTCCCGACTTACTTATCTTTGGACCAGTTGTGCTTTGCGATGATATTGTATTATCACCTTTACCTAATTTTGGCCCTGACGCACCTCGAGGTGCTACTGGTCGTGGTGTACTTCTTCCATATGATGTATCCGCAACTCGAGAATAGTTGTAAACATTTGGTTTCGCCGTTGAATTAGCAGGAACATTTCTCGAATTCATTGGTGTCACTTCATTCTTCTGTTTTTTTGGATTTTCGGCTTTATCGATTCCAATCTTTCTCTTAGTAGGGTTGACACTTAAGAAACCATGAACTGCTTGTACCACGCGATTTCTTTCTTTTGCATTTTCAATAAGTCTTTTCCAAACAGCATTTCTGCTCAAAGACTCAGTATTTCCAAGGATCCATAAAGTTGTCCTGGCTCTTGTGAGCGCAACATTCATACGTCTAATATCAGAAAGAAAACCGACATTACCAGTTTCACTTGCTCGGACACAACTCATTATAATAATCTCCTTTTCTTGACCTTGGAAACCATCGACAGTGTTGAAATCTATTTGTGACAATATTAATTTTCCATATTTCTTAATAAACACATTCTTTATTGTTTTGATCTGCTCTTTATAAGGAGAAATGATACCAATACGTCCAGAAAAGTCTTCTGACATCTTATTAATTAATTTTTCCACTAGTTCTAATGCTACGGTAGCCTCTCGAATATTGAACAATGAACGAGAAAGTTCATTACGTTCATGTGCACCTATTATATTAAATATTTGATAAGGTAACAAAGGGGCATCTTTATGCCATGGCCTTTCATTCTTCTCTGACATTCCTTCACCGTCAAGTAACTTTGAGTTATAGAACTCACGGCTTGGAAAAGCTGAAATATCTGGATGCATTCTATACTGAACATCTAAAAGATATACTGACTCTGGATTTTTCTGTTGAATTCTAACAAATAAAGATTGATCATATTTATTGTTTGCTGCTGCTTTGGAAATCACGGTTGGTGGAAGTTGGTTTGGATCCCCAACCATGATACATTTCTTACAACCATAACGCAATGGAATAATAGCTGATAACTCAACACTCTGACATGCCTCGTCAATAATAACCTGTTCAAACTTGAGTCCTAGATTAGCTAACATATCAACTGCTGAACCAGATAAAGTTGAACATATGATTTGAGCTTCGCTTAAAACCTTGGCTTGCATCATCCGTCTTTCATATTCTCTTGTACGGTAAGCTATAGATGCCTTTTCTCTCTGATCATCTAACTTCTGAGCTAATTGACTCTTTTGTTTTCTCAACCGATGAAAATCTGTTTCTAGTACGGCGACTTCCTCCTCAGTTAAATTTTCCTCTTGTCTTTTGAGTTCAACCTTTTTCATCTCTTCCAGGCATTTGGAAAGCTCTTGTCTAATACTTGGATCTACATTAAAGTCTGAAGATCTAGCCAGAAGCTCTTTTTCTACCTGTTCTTCCAAAGTCAAATCTCTGACTGCAGCATTGATAACATCACTTCTTCCTAACCGAACAACTTTTGGATTCATAGGCTTACCTTCGCTATTTTTAACCCCATCTCTTAAACGTAATACTAACTCATCAACAGCAGCATTACTTGGTGCACAAACTAAGATCTTTTGTGGATTTGATGACAAAGCAGGAGATGCAGCCCTCTTTTGGTCCGGAAGGGATATCACATTTTCTTTCTGTTGATGAGATAATGAATATCCAACAATCCCAAGAATAGTCTTTGTTTTACCGGTACCTGGTGGCCCCTGGATCAATGAAAAACCTTTAGAATTATAACTTCCTAAGATAGCCTTAGCTTGTGATAAGTTTAAGTCATATGTATCTAATATTTTTGATGCATCCGTGTCAGAGATATTTAAGGCAACACTTGTTTCAGCTTTCAAGATATCCTCGTAAAGATCATAATATTCTAATCCCTTTAATGAAGTGAACTCTCTTTCAACCGTAATCATTTGCATTACTTTCATGGCCAAGATTTCCGATTTTGGTGTTAAGACGCCCATCATTGGCCCTGAAGGATAGACTCTAATGGTGATATCAAAATATTCACTATTAGCAGATTTTATTTCCCTTACTTTAGCAAGGCAGGTCCTTGTGCTTGGACTCTTCAAATATCTGCCATAATCGGTACTGGAAATACCAGTCTTGACACCTAGTACCAATAGATCGGTTTCTCCAATCTTACGATCCGAAATGACAGACTTTTTAACTGACGCATAAACGTCAAAAAATCCATCGACAGTAGTCCTACTACCTATCTGAATCTCGAATGGGGTTTCAATAGTTGTATTTTTTACTGACTGAATTTGCAGCCAACATTCTAACACGAACAACGGCTCTGTCAGTTTAACATAATCCTTGGCATCCTCATATTCATCTTTTGTTGATTGATATATAGATAAATCCTGGGAGGGAAATTCATCGTTTGAATTATAGTTCCATTTCAAAATCGTAGAATAAAGTGGCTTTAAGCTCACATTAAGTCTTGCCCTCATATTTTCTTCATCTTTCTTTCTCTGATCGATTACTGACTTCTCTTTCACAATTGGTCTCCCATTGAAATCAACTTCAGTAACAGTCTTCTTCTTACCTTTACGAGAATCATAAAATAAATCAGACATATCAACATCAGATTCATCGTCAGAACTATCAGACTCGACTTGCTTTTTCTGAGGCCTCATGGGACGGCCAACAGAAACAGGAGTGTGCGCCCTCTTGGAGTTAAATCCAGCTGGTCTTGGTGGAGCAGGAGCAACTATCGGAGCAACTGGTTTCTTCTGTTGCACTCTTGAAGATTGTAAGTCTTTACGAATTGCATCAAGACTGGATGATTTCACCTTTTTGGGTTCTGGTGCCACTGGTATCTCCTTCGTAAAATCAACAAATTTGCTAAGAGTCAGTTGTTTCAAAGATTTGTTCTTTGGAGCAGATTCTTCATCAGATAAAAATTCAATAACCTCTCTTACTGGAGTTGCTGATTTAGATCTCAGAACTTTCAATTCTTCCTCAATTCTTTCGACAACAGAAGGATTAAAGCTTCTAGATGCTGACAAAAGTTCATTTCTTTGTTGGTCGTTCAACTTATTGTTAAACCTTTTATATTTGACACCGAACTTTGCACATGATTCTATGAAATTTTCATCTATATTAAAGTTCAATTCATTCGCTAACGAAAATGCCATTATAATCAAACTCAAACAAGAATTTAATAACGACGGATCTCCCAATCGTAACCAAAATACTGCACTATCCAAAGCATTCATAAATACTTTGAATAATTGATTCCATCTATCGTTCAGATTTTCAACATTCTGTATGATTTGTCTGTATGAATCAAATAATACATGACTGCAGTCCAAAACATCTCTAGTGAACTCAACCAACTCTTCTAAGTGATGTTGTGAAGCCCACTCAAATGTCTTTTTGTAGATCATCAGCATGAAGTACCAACAGGTTTTCCAAACGGATATAATATCTTCCGAATACTTTACAGCATCTGGATTCATAACACACACACCAATCGATGGATCCATTAAAGCCTTCAAAATATCCATTACAATCCTAACACCCTTTGGACATGGTTCAAAAGCTTCCATTGAAATCATGGCATTGATATTTACCTGGATTGCATCCAAGTTTGGTTTTAGGTACGTGGAAAGTAATTGTTGAATCGCTTCTAATCTTCCAACTCCTGAATCAGAAACTTCATAAAATACATCTGTAGCAGCTTGGTTTACTAATGGAGCAAAGTTACATGACCAAAATGATTGTAGAACCTCTGAATCGGCAAACATATTTCTTAAGACTTCTTGGTTTGTCAAAGTAAGCTTTTCAAGAAGTTGAGTCAAGGATTCAAATGTAACGGAGACATTTTCGTTGTGCTGAATTCTAGCATTTAAAAGATGTTTATCAAGATTTTCAGTTTTACTTGATACAAATTTTGTAACTGATACAACGTCTTCCAAGGACTTTAAAACTCCCACAGATACGCTTTGACGGGTATAGAATTTACTAGCCACAAAACTATTCCATAATAATGGATATGTATCGAATGAGGTAGGAATAGAACTTTGCAATAACAAGTAACTATTATGAGCCAATAATGATATATCATACTTGATACAATGTGAAATTAGCTTTGTTCCTCGAGGTGACAGCAGCTTTAAAGAGTATTCAACTATTGCATCACTATATGGTTCCACTACTGCTCTGATTTCTCTTAGCTTAAGCAAAGATATCAAGAAGTCCTTATTCTTGTAATCTGGTAGATTACCGTCATCAAAGTTGTGGTTCAAAATTCTGATAGCAAGTCCTTGTAATGCCCGCTCTCTGACAATTCTTATATCTTGATTAGATGACGACTCATCTTTTGATGAACTATTTTTAAATAGAAATGACACAATTTTTATACTGATATGCTTGCTCTGACTGTCTGGTAAAGTGCGTAGTATACTGAAAAGCCATTCCGTAACTTCGTAAATTGTCCATTCGTTGATATCAGTTCTTTCTATCGGAGAGGTCTTTAAGAGGCTGATATACTCATCATTAGCTAATGTAGTATCTAAAACTTGCTTGTACTGTAATTGACCAGCAAGATTCCAGAATTCACTTCCAAATCTACCCAATAGACTGCTCAAAACTCTAAAAAGTTGAGGAATTGCGACAACCTGATATGCCATAATATAATTTAATAACAACCTTATGAGAGAATATAGCCTCAAGTTTTTATGCTTACTCATAACCTCCAAATCTCTTGGGGTATTAAAGACTTTGAAAGCATTGTTGTCAACTACTAAAAGTAATTGTTCTATCACATTCCAAAATAGCAATGCTTTTGGTGTTGTAAAAAATTTAGGATCTTCAATTCGATATAAATGAATACTAAACTCTTGAACTAATGATTCATCTATCAGTGAAGCTTTTGCTGTATACTTGTTATCGATGAGTGACTTGAACCATAAGCTTGACCAAATCTTCTCTTGATGTGTACCTTCAAATGCTAAATAGAATATTCCTGGTAATAATTTTGGATGGATAATTATCATCTTTCTTGAAAGTAAATGAGATATAATAGTTATGAAATGCTCCCTTAAGGTGGAATTTGATCGTAAGACTTCAGGTCCGTAAAGACACAATAGTATGACTTGATTTATATTTGCATCCAACTCTATGTCTTTCTTATCATTTATAAGTTTTACCGCAGGTAACATGATGGGTAAGAGCCACGATACTTCCCATTCCAATATGACTGACATAAACTTTTCAACCTTATCAAAGCTAATCTTTCTGGAATTTGCAAATGACCACTTTAATTGTACTTTTCCTCTATTATAGTGACTTAGACACTCCTCACAATTCTGAAGATTAGATGTCATTAATGGTTTAAGATTCTTTAAAACGTCATTCGTAGGAAAGGAGAATAAAATCAATGCATGAGTTGAAATTGGAAACATATACTTATCGCAAAACCAATGACGACCCCAGCGATTAGTAGAGAGATATTTAACACATTCCCGTAATACTGATTCCTGTATCTTACTATTTCCTGATTCATTATGTGATTGTTCTATCGCCTTCACAAGTTCATCGAACCCATCAGGCTTTTTTGAATCGTCAACTTCCATCAGCAACAACTGCCATACAATGAATTGTACGTTACAAAAAAGAGATAACTCTATATAAGATGATGGCTGTAAACCTTGTCTTGTGAGTTGAATATAATAATTGGAGGTCAGATCAAAAAAAAAGAGGTGAAGACGGTTGATGTACACAAACGCGCACAAAAAGGTTTAGAGTGATGAGGGTTAATATTTTGTATATAGGAAAAAGACATGATAATTTTGCAGTTAATTAATTAGAGATATAAACACAGTTAATTAATTCTCTCCATCATTTAAATGTGGAGTTGAAAGTCCAAATGTTGATTCTGATCCAGCAGAACTTTGACAATGACAATGACATGTCTATCAATCTATTTGTTATGATCTGTATGGTCGTATCTAGTTCTGAGTAGAACTATTTGTCTTCTTTTGATTCTAACTTAATAGTAAAGTCGGTGTAGCTACTATCCAAGGCTCATACTCTTAAAAAAAGATCAAAAATCAAGATTAATTATCATATATCAATCACATCAACAATGTAATTCATACAGTTGATACTAATACTACTACATGTTGTGTATGTGATTGGCGATGAATCTTCCAGATATAAAGTCAAATATCATCATACTAAAGTACCTAGAAACACTCCAGAATCTTTGATAAATTAGAATTTAACCCATCAAGGTCCAGATATTAGCGGAATATTTGAAGGTAGGTGGTGTTATAGTTGAGAAGGATTTAAGGTTGATACAATAATAGATGCATTTAATATAAAGGTTAATTTGTTGATGGGACTATTGTTATACATATGTATATATTTTTAGTTCTATAATAGCTAGTTACAATTTTAATAAATCTATTATTTATTTATTTACCTACAGGAAAGGATAACACGATCTAGGGCCATGAACCAATTTATGTATCATTGACTTAGTGTTTTCATTATCAAATTTAATTCTTTTCTCGAGTTCACTAATGTATGTTCCTTTCTTTTTAAACCCAGCATTACCTCTGAGGTATGCTTGATACAGACGACCAAAATCCAATATCATCATTGAATTGGTGCCTGTATCATAAAGGAAGTTTGAAGCATGTACATCTCCATGACTAACACCGAGGCCATGGAGAGTTTTCATAACATTGTACAATTCAACTTCTGCTTTGCTGTTGAAATTCAGTTTCAGGAGTACTTCACCCTTAACATGCTGCATTTTAATATAGAATCCGGACATGGAATTCACACTGCCTATATCAGAACAGGTCTTCGCCTCTTGATTCTTCAAAAATCCAATTGAATAGCACTTAGGCTTAAATTTAGTTTTATTTAGCAATACGTTAACTAAACTTTCACGGATGAAGTACTTAAAACTCTGTTTTAAGCGGTCTTCAAAATAAACAACAGTACTAGATTCATCAACTTTGCAAAGGATAGGATCAAAAATCTTATAGATCTTATCATCTCCAGTCTTAATAACAATCGAATAGTTCTTTTGTGGAAGCTTTCCACTAAGAATTGTATAGCTGCCAATGGAACTTATGTCCAATAATTCCATATTCATGATATTTTTAAGCACGCAATAACCAATAAGAGACATATTTATATCAAACTTCTGAAATATTTTTATTTCAACTTCTTTAATTTGTTTTATATCCAGATCTTGAAATCTAACAGAAGAATTATTAGTCATTTTGTCATCTTCAATGTCATCTTCCAAATCATCTTCCATAGTATCTTGCATATCAGCTTCCGTATCTTCAGGATAATTATAAATGACTTCTAATGCACCTTGAATATACTCATTTATAGTATGTATATCACTGTCACCATCATCTGAACTGCCAACACCAAATTCTGTTGCACTAGAATCTAGATTGTTATTGTGCTCTCCACTTATTGCCAGAGTTAACACATCCTGTGTTTGGATATTAACCTTGATATTATTCGGCACAGATGAGATCAACTCATAGAATGAATATAAAGTTTCGTATCTATCCTTCCACAATTGTGATGTTTGATCCTTGGTATAAGACAACGATGTAACAAAATCCGAGACCCTTGATTCCTCAACTGTTTTGGAAAACTTTAATGTAAATAGAAGGATGAAAGTTGGTACTGATACTTGCTCATGCTCGGCATCAAAGATTACAATCTCACATGGAATACGATATAATTTGGACATATTATATGATATCAGTGGATAGTGATTTAGAATAAAACCAATACAATAACTTCCATCAGTAATTATAAATGTATTTGAATTACACAGAAGACTTTGCATAAAGCCTTGCAGAAACAAATTAATGAACTGCTTTGATTCATTATTGGTTTTGGATTTAGAAAGGTCAAAACTTTGGAACTTCTCCTTAATTTTATTACACTTGATTTCAACTGGTACTGTATCCAACTTATTGATGGTGATTGAAATATCTGGAATAGATTTATAATCGGTATCTTTAATGTACTGAGTTTCCTGCCTTTTGAAAATGAATTTATTATTCTTAAATAACTCTCCAGCAACATTCAAAAGTGAGAATAATTCTGATTCAATTACAAATTCCTTTTTAGCACAAGAAACTATATCTGGAATATGATGACAAATATCAATAGAACCAACAGCTGTTGGTACAATGTTTAGTAAATGCATATTTTCCTTGACAAAGCTAGAGTATGGTTTGGAAACGAATTGAGGAAAAAAGTATCCATTATCATTAAAAAATGTGTTTTTTGCATCATAGCCTTCCGCTGTATTATTGAAATCTGGTTTTAAGCCATTGGTTAACGTATTGACTGAAGTGGTGTTGGGACTGAATGAAGATCTTATTTGGTTTTTAAGGCTTTTAATTTCCCACTTAACACATAGATATTTCATAAATAATGTATACTCTTTAAAGATTTGTAATCGAGCCTTTACTCTTCTATCTTTAAATTCAATTTTAGAATCTCCTAAAATATTATTATGTACCATCCTAAATTGTTGAACAAGAGCCACTTCATCAGAACTAAAAGTTGGATACATTAAGTGCAGATAACATGCCTTATATAACGCTAAAAGTATTTCTTTGATTTTTTTTATATCATATGGCTCACAGACCAGTAGTGTTTCCTAAACTTCTCTTGATAATTCTGAATTATCATTGATATTGAACTCTTTTAAAACAAATTTTAATTTTGTTAACCCTTTCATATAACTTTTTGATATTCCGGCGTCACTTGAAACTCTTAACAAATTTATGTTCTTATCATGATTCTTCTTATAAAATTTAATGAAATTATCACAATTGATAAGTTTCAGGAAGGAAGACATTAAAGTGAATGTGAATTAATAGGTTGGCAATGTTATGTCTCTGATGAATTCTTCTTATGATGATAGACAGAAAATCTCTGATTGTTTTTGTTTCGGTTTAGCATAGATTTTTTTTCACTTTTGCAGTAATCAAGCGCTTCTTTATTAGGAAACTTTAAACATAAATGCTGCGCATAACAATGAAAAAGGCTAACATGATAGGTTGTGTTAATACTACAAAACAGTTCATATAATTGCTATTAAGAATACCAAACTGACACACCGTAATTATTTACCATAACAAATTAATGTCCTTCGATTCTTTTAGAACCTCTTGTTGTTTAATAATTTGTACAATTTTTAAATATTTTGCTGCAAATAAAAATTGGGAAAATACAATATAAATGGTAGCACCGCAAACATAACTACAAAAAATATTCTTATATTTACAATAGAGCTATATCAATATCTAAAATTCTAGAAGCTACTATCCAATCTTCTCCTGTTTCCCAACACCTTGTCATGATTTGTAAACTCTTAAGAGCATTTACATTACCCATTTCAATCAATTTGGTAAACCTTTGTCTGAAGAACTCTCTCATATCTTGATCAAGGGTTTCGCAACCAGCTGAAAAGGAACAGAAGATAGTACAAATATCAGCAGGTGATTGTGATTCTAAATTTTCTCTGGCTATGAGCCCAATCCCATTGGCTAAATCTTGAATGATCTGTGACTCTCTGGGTATCTTTAAAGCTCTTCTATATAGGTTCAATATACCCATATCACAGAAACTCTTATTCGTACATCTTAAAATATTATCTTGTTCAATCAAGTTTGATAAGTTTGGAGGAGAGTTGCTGTTAGTCGAAGCCTTCTTCTTTTGTATTTTATAATCAATAATCTTGTCTAACTTCTTTTGCCTTCTCTTTTCACCTAATTCGTAAGCTTTGGTGAGCTTTTCCTTGCATTCCAAAGCTTGCGTAATGATTTCAATCGGTAGTTCTGTAAGATTACCATCACATTCTTCTATATAAGCATTGGTTTTTCTAATCAATAACGCCACCTCTGTGAAATGGGGGAGAAATTTAACATCAAAACCAAGTAAATGATCAATGTCTCGTTTAGGATTCATAACACTTTGTTCTAATCTTTCTATTTCGTTAATCGTTGCTACAGACTCTGCAGGAACATAGGCATTTAAATCATCCTTAAATGATAAATAATTATGAGAATTTCGTGTTGCAGATAATGCTCCTATCACATCCACATATACAAACCATCTCATTAGAAAGAAAGCTATATCACTTTCAGTACCTGAATTTGAGTGATGCTGATTTTCATCTATTCTGTTGCTCTCGTTGGAATTGCGACGGCTCTTTGAATTTCTGGCTAAAATAATCTGTCTAGCACCAATTGTATGAGCTCTATGTCTGTTAAAGTCTTTGGAATGGAATACCTCATAACATGATAATAACAATACAGTTGCTAAGGTTTCATTTGAAGTGGCACTTTTGCTGTCTTTTAAAAGTCTTAAAAGCTCGGTACAAGAACGAGCTAATAATTGATCAGTAACAATGGAGGGTGTATCGTTTGAACTAATCAAATTTGATCTTAGTTTAGCCGAAAAGGCAAGTAAGGTTGTCAATATTGATGGGTAATGCATTGCCATCTGAGGTAAAAGAACCTTAAACGGGTTGTCGGTATATACATGAGCTGGAGCGGGAACTAAATGTTCGGATGCTACATGGACCCAAAAATGCATTAAATTCCTATAGAATGGAACTTGTAGTAGTATCTCTGGAAACGGAGTTATCATAGGAGGAATTGATGTGAAAAGCTCTTCAGGAGTTATAATATGAGGCTGGGCATGGTCATAAGGTAGCGTGTTAATAGTAGCAATTTCACTATCCAATGGCTCATCTAATTCATCGTCATCAAGATCTTCCAATCTATTTGAAGAAGACTGAATCCACTTATGTGTCATTATCGAAGGAGAAAGTAAGTCTCCTACATAGTTCGGCAGCCTAGTGGGCATATAAGCTTCAATTCTAGCCAAATCCTCTGAATAATTACCCAAGAACCTTTCCTCAGTATCCTTACTCGGATCTAATTCAATATCAACATCTGATATTTCACCTTTTTTAATTGTCTGTGATTGTCTTTCTAAATCTGTACCAGATAATTTTGGACTATCAATGTCCATACTCGAAAGGACAAAATTGTTAAATATTCCAGAGTTCTGTAGATGGAATTGTTGTCCTCCATTAGTTATCCTTTCCAACGCATTTGATAGACTCTCTATACCGTTTGAAATATCTGGTATATTTTCTAGAAATATTGGAGTTGGAATTTGTTCCTGTTGTTGATTATTAAAATCATCAGCTTCTTGCTTGATATATTCGTCCCTGGCCAGATTCTCTCTATTCTCGGTTTGATTACGCGGGATACTTATTGTTGCAGATACATTGACACTATCAGTATACTGATAGTCATTTGTTTTAGGTAACACAACATCACTTAATATTGAATCACCTCCTGGAGTTAAAAAAGACGGTGGTGATCTCATAGCTGGAGGACTAATAGATTCGTTGGTTAGCTCAACCAATCTTCTTTTCTGTACCTTGTTCTCCTGTTCATTTGAATCATTGATTCTCTTTAATGAGTTACTAGGACTCAAATTGAAAGATGTAAAATTGCTATAACTGCTATTTAGTGAAGTAGTTGTCAGAATCAAGTTTATAGGTGTTGGAGAGTTTGAGTCTAGGCTGGCTGACAGTTCTATAAATTTAACCCCTAACACATCTTCGGCAGGTAGGTTGATGGTTGTAGTTTCAGTTTTAGACTTTGGCAACGTTGAGTTGTTAAAAACTATTGGCGTGGAGTATGGATCCTTTCTTCGCTTTGAAACATCTTTATATGGTCTTCCACCCCATGTTAACTTAATTGAATAATCACAATCAGTTCCAGTTTTCAAACAGTACGAGCAACTAGGTTTTTGTTCATCACACTTGATTTTCAATCGTTTGCAATTGTGACAACCATTTCTACTCCTCCGTATCTTCTTCTTGGAGTCCATCTTATATTATCATTATATTTCAAGGCTTTTCAAGATAACAAAAGATATGGAAATTTGAAATTTATAGAAATCGCTATATCTTAGCGGAAATTTACTATATGCAGGGAGCTTTAAAGGCGGAATACCATATTATGACAACAATATTCGAAATTTCGTAAATGATTATACATTAATACAGATTGTAATGTTTATCTAAATTATATTCTATATAGCATTACGGGGAATGGAACTAAAGTAGGTTTTCATCTTTTTTGTCAAGAAGTCCACCAGTTTTCTTTTCAGTATTTTTTTCAACATATTTCTTTCCATACAAAATGGATAATAACTTATCGTACAATCTGTATAAATAGCCTGCTAGGATTAACAATCCCCCAAGAATTGTCCCTAATTTAGCCACAAATTGAACAAATGGAATTCTCTTTTCGGAAATAGTTAATTTTATAGGTTCGAAATCGTATCTGAAAAATATTCCTGGAATACCCATTGGTTTCTTCTGTTGATCATATGGGTATACATGGTGACTTTCGGTCAAAGAATATTGATTGGTATCTATAACTAACCCCAACTTTTGATATACTGTTGGCACTACTTTAGTGTGATATCTGTATGCTTGAAGGTTTTCTTCTGTTACTTTACCTGTTGCATCTAACGGATTATTGATAAAAGGATAGAACTCTCCATATGAAAATTCTTGAATTAAATGAGTGAAGTTTAAAGCTTCAATTGGCACATGTGATCTATCACTGTAACCAACTCCTTTAGCAGTAATATGGAATTCACCCTTAACATGGTTAACAGGAATTGAACCAAAAACATGACATGCAGGTCGACCTTCATTAACACGAGCACCTTCAAGTCTGAACTCAGCTCTCATAGATTCTCTCATAACTTCTTCTAAGTCTGGAGTATCATGAGCATCATTAACATTATTGACGTTGAAATTTTCAGGTATAAAAAAATTCATACCTTCAAAATTTAAAGTTTCACCAGCCAAATATCTATCTTTGGTCAAATCTCTGACATTGGTATGAAGGAATTCACATGGCATCGCTATTAACATATCCACATTAATAGATAAATCAGATCTAATTTCATCGTCAACGATGAATTGCCTATCAACATATCCACCAAGAAACCCACCAATTTCAATCCATACGATTAACAACCCAGCAAATATTGTCATCAAGGTGGAAAATCCTCCTCTCTGAGATCTTACACTGTGCTGAGAATCTACCTTAGGGAACGCATCAAAGGTTCGTACTTTCGTAGCAAAACTGTCCATCTAATGATACCTCTATTCAATCACACTAACAAGGTTTTTGTATTTGCTGTCAATTCCTTAAATAAACCCTCCCGTACTATTTTTTTCGACTTACCTTTTTTAGACACAATCAATTTTTCGCGGTAAGGATGTTTTTTTAGCAGCTGCATATATAGATCAAAATTCTAATTTTGACCATAATAGATAGTAATTAGTAATTGTAACTCAAGATCAAAGGAGGCAATTAAACTCAATGATATAACATGGAAATACAGATGGAAGATCAAGACATAGTGTTTTCCGATGATGTCAGAGTTCAAGAACTACAGTCGTGTCACTATATCTTTCCTGATCTCAAAGTTGATTTAGATAATCTTTCAGGATCATTAGAAGTTCAAATAAGCTTTGAAGATGGTCTACATCTAAATCTAGTTAGTGAGGAGAATTCGGTTCAAGAATCTACTTTAGTAAATCATTTGCCACCAATAGCATTGAACGTTCAACTACCTTCTACTTATCCCGAAGTGGATCCACCTATTATAGATATTGATTGCAATGTACTTACAGAATCCCAAATTAGTGAATTGAAATCTAATTTGATTGATATTTGGAAATCATTACATGATCAAGTGTTATATTCAATGGTTGATCATATTCAAAACGATATTATTAATATGTTCGGTGAAAGTTATCAAGTTTGTAATCCAGAAGTTTATTTTGATTTATTGAAACTAGATAGGAAAATAAAAAAGGATGAATTCAACGCAAAGACCTTTACGTGTGAGATTTGTCAGGATGATAATAAAGGTATTAAATGCAGTCGAATAGAAGGTTGTGGTCATGTCTTTTGTAATGATTGTTTGTACGATTGTTTTGCAAATTATATTAGAAGTGGAGAGGTCTCAAATATTCATTGTCCAGATTTTGGATGTACTAAGGAATATGTTAGCTTTAAAGAAAAGGCTAAATCTATCGATAACTTCACAATGAAACCTTCAGAGATAGTAGCGCTTGTTGAAAGATTGTTAAAGCCTCCCATTTCGTTAAACTTTTTATCTCAGGTTTTAAATGGACGAAATTCAGAAGATTCAAAACAAGAAGAAGATTTGGTGAAAAGATATTATAGATTATTTCAAAAAAATCAATACGAATTCATTGGTACTATATTTCCAAGACGGGTCATTGAATGTCCAAAACTAGGTTGTGGCGAAAGGTTATTCAAATACAATATGTCTGACAACTTAATGATATGTAATAATTGCAAACATGTGTTTTGTGCTATCTGCTTAAATTCCTTTCATGGAGACTACAAGGCATGTAAACTTCTTGGGAAAGAATGGTTTGAAGGCATACTTCTCGAAGATTTGAAGACGTATATAGAGCTTCCGGATGAAAGCATGATGAAAGAGAATATTGGTAGTCATTACGGAATCAAAAAAATTGCGAAGGCGGTAAAGTTATATGAGCTTGAGTGCTTGTTTGAAGATTTTAAAAAGGAATCCGGGGTAATGGCTTGTCCAGTTTGTGACACCGTTGTCGAAAGAATAGATGGTTGTAATAAAATTACATGTTACAAATGTAATACAAGTTTTTGCTATTTATGTGGAGAGAAAATTAGCGGTTACAGTCATTTCAATGATGCTGGTTCTGATTGTGCGGGCAAATTATTTCATGGTGCTCCAGGACATGATGATGACGATAATTTTATTTTTTAACTTCTAATTAACTAAGGTATATATTATATATCACATAAATTTTGATGGTTTCCTAGGTTCTCTAGCATATCTGTAACATTCTCGGTGTAATCTTCTTCTTCTAAATTCGTAAACGATTTCATGCTCTTCATGTTTTTTGTCATAAATCCATCCCTCATCCGCATCTTCTCTGGTTTCAAGTAAGTGTGATTTATCTAAATCTCTATCATGAAGAAATTTCTTGGGATTATTATCGATTTTCCATTTATTGGCAAAAGCAAAATCAAACTTCCAATCCTTTGGAGGTAAGACTTTAGCCAAATGGTCTACTCCAACCGGTCTCTTTCCTGTTACTCTTACCTTATTTTTTATATCAAACATGTTATTTGAATATCGATAGAACGACCACTTATTGTGAAGAATGTTTTTCGTCTGTAATTCATAAATCTCAATAACTTTAACTTCTGGAGAATCATCTATGATTATATCCTTCCTATCAAATTCCTTTGGCTCTTTATCATTATCCGTATCTGGTAGTTTTTCTTTCTTCGGTTTTAATGCAGCTCTCTTCTTTTGGGCTTGGCTTAATTCAACTAGATACTTTTTCGATTTAGGATGACAAAGGATTAATCCTAACCATCCCGATTGAATGAAAATTAACCTCCATGGCATAAATTGACCCAAAAATAAAACTAATGAAGTAGCAAGCATAGCACCATAGAATAAAAATGTGGAAAGACGCTCATTCTCAAATCCAGCTGTCTTATACCAAAATATCTCTGCAGCATTGATTCCTTCTAAAACATCGGTAGTTAAGTTTTGGAGATCTCTCATATTCATTAATAAAGCCACTTGTGAAGATGCATAGCTTGCCCTTTCCTTTTTATCGTCTACAATATCAGCAGACCCTGTACCTGACTGAGAACCTACATCTGAAGAGTCATCGGCTGATGATGTTCGAGAAACCAGGGGAATCAATTGCGTGGGATCATGGTCTTCCATAAACCCTTCACTAATGAAATCATCAACTATACTGGAATCCTCAGAATCGCTAAGGAATGTTAATAATGATTGTCCACGCTTTTTCACCTTTATAAAATCTGGTAATGGTTTTGGATGTCTGTAAAGATATCCAGGGAGTAATATACCGAATAACACAAACATAACAGGGAAAGCTAAAACCACATGAGGCCATAAGCATACTGCGGTATAGAATACCAATACGGTTAACGTTTTAGTTGGCTTTCTCCAGGTAATCACGTGTATTAAACCATATTGGAGAGCAAAGAATGCACTCATTCTACCACTCAATTTTTTGAAATTAGATATAAGTTGTCTAATTGATAGCTTCGGCCTTCTATTATATTCTGGATCATTCATTTTTCTTTCAAGTATCTCTTTTTCAGGAGCTGCATCAGGTATAACATGTTGAATCATTTTCTCCATTAATTTATCCATGAAATGATGGGTCTTTTTAGGTTGTTCTTCAGCAGATGCTGCCATTGATTCTATGGCCTTCATTTGTTCGTCAGTAAACTCGTCTCCTTCGTCTGATTCAATAGAACCATCTTTATCGAGATCAGATGAACCTTTGCTGAATTTCTGAGAAGCTTCATACATGTGATTGATTAATCGGGTAGAAGTCTCTTCGTAGAGTGCGTCTCTTATATGACGATACGACATTATATAACCCAACACCAACTGTCAACACTACTACTTCGTCAATATATCGAATTGTTTTCAAAAGAAAACTATATAGTTTGTTTTTAACATAAATTTTGAATGTGGGGCACAGTATCGCCAAAAAAATACTTTTGGTTGCGACTCACTCACATGCTAGGGAAAAAGTTTTGGTTAGCATAAAACAATGGCACCGATTTAGAGTTGTATAAAAAACTTACGGGGCAACTATTACAATTTCTACAGTATAGTTTAATTGAAAACATTTCTAGATCGTTACTATGGCTTTGTATTAGTGTAGCCTAAATTACAAAAAGAAAATTCATGTGGAGGATGGATATTTGAAAGAAATAAGAACAGTTATTAAATAACCTGATAATACCAATTTTTGGCGAGTGATGTCAATACATTCCCTTAAACTTATAAAGATGGGAAGTTTTGTTCATCAAATTTAGCAGCAGCTGGGGCTTCTGGTTTTTTACCACCTCTAGCTCCACCTCTGGCGCCACCTCTGGTGGAACCTCTAGCACCACCTCTGGTATTACCTCTGGCTCCACCTCTGGCTCCACCTCTAGCACCACCTCTGGCACCTCTGAAACTATCTCTTTGTTGAGGAACTTCATCAGCAAAACTGGCTTCAACTTCTAAAAATTTCTTTTCTTTGGTAACCTTAGCTTTGGTTTTCTTAGCAGCAGTTGATTCAAAGAATGATTCTTGGTGTTTTTCAAGAACAGCTTCAGCAGTCCATTTATCTTCAGCACCAGCATTTGGTTTTCTAACTTGTTTAGAAGCACCACTTAATTCTTGTTGTTTTAATTCTAATTCAGCAAAGTAATCTTGTAATGATCTTTTAGCAACTTCTGGTTCAGCTTCTTCTTCTTCTTCTTCAGCAGCTAATTCAGCTTTTGCATCTTCAGCACCTTCAGCTTCACCTTCAGCTTCTCTATCTTCACCTTCACCCCAACCTTGTTTCAATTTCTTCTTGGAGTCGGTCTTACCGGTTCTTGAGTGACGATCGAAAGGTTTCTTTTGGTGTTTAGCTGGAGTTGCTGATGGAGCAGTAACATCTTTGTTGTCGTTCTTGGATTTGGCGGCAGCTTCATTACCGGTAACCTTGGCCTTCTTTTTAGCCTTGGCTGGGTCAGCAGAAGCTGGTGCAACGTCAGCCTTCTTAGAGGAAGTGTTCTTCTTGACAACTTCCTTAGGTGGGGCTTGAGGAACAACTTCGTCGTCTTCGACGTCGTTACCTAATAAGTGATACAAGTTCTAAACATAAAAAAATTTGTTAGTAAACATTCTCAATTCCTTTATTACATTTCATTAAAATTTCCATTTCTTATCTTATTAACTGCATTGGTATGAATTGAATCTTAATTTGAAAATTATGATCATTATCGACAAATAAAATTTCATATAGTTGTCGTTCGACTAATTGCTCAATTCATCTCTCCCCACCTTATTTGATGATGGAATTACATCTAAAACTTCTGGAAATTTGGTTGAAATGGTCCAAATGAACGGTACATACTTTGTTTTCAAAAGACATCTTTTAAAAACTCTAATTCAAGTTAATTATCTGTTTCAAATCTAAAGTTCTTTCTTTCACCAAAGGTATATATAAATTGAAATTGAAAAAAAAAGCCTGAAAAATTTGCTGACCGTCCAACGACTTGAGAAAAAAAGAATAAATTGGTTTTGTGTTAATTTTATAAAATGTATGACTTTACTGACTGTGTAAAATTAAGTACTACTATATACGGCCCCTGCGTAAATAGTAGCACTGGGCGTAAGCAAATGGAATGAAATGGTTGCAAATTAATTTTTTAATATATATTCAAAAAAAACTATATCTTTTTTAATTACTTATAATATACATAATGTTTTTCATTTTAAATTTTAGGTATGGAAATAAACTACGTTCAGTCTTTATTTTCAATAAATTCTTCTCCAACTCGGGTCAAGAATACTTTTATAGCTCCTCTTAACTCAGATGACATGCTCTTGGAAAATAATTTCAAAGTTAAACTATACATAGCTGGAGAATAGGTAAGGAAATCTCCATCATCTAATTCAATATAACCTTGAAATATTTCAACAATGACTGGTTTCCAAGTAGCGATGCTTTTTTGATTACCGTTTTCTTCAAGGTCGGCATACCTTTCAGTTATACTATTACATAACGGTATTACTGATTCCATTATTACTTGTTTGGCAAGTTGATTCGCCTTATTGTCGTCACAATACATTTTGAACATCACATTTATAAATACTGCCGATGATGAAGATTCTTGCTTCAATAAATTTGGTAATCTTTCAATTACACCAGCATTCCATAATCTCACTCTTAAATCATAATCATCATTAAATCTTTTGGCAAATTGGTAACTTTGAAGAAGAAGGAATGCCAATCTCAATAATGATTGGTATGGAATGGTCTTATAAAATTCTGGTTTTTCAAAAAGTTCGGAAAGAGTTTGAATTAACAACAACTGTAACACACTTTTAACAACTATGGCAGATTGTTTTCTGGAAATTATTGCTCTTTCTTCAGGACCATCACGTCTAGGTGTTAATGGTTCGTTTAATGCATCTGGAGCAGCATTATTATCACCGTTAACAGTAATTTCTTCTCTGTGTCTTCTGAGAGGATCTAAAGTAAACAATTCAGTAGCAGTGGTTAACTCAAATAACTCTGCAAAGGCAACGTTTATCAAGCTCCAATGGTTTCCATCAAATTCAGTACAACTTTTTAAAATTAAAATTGATAAACATTCTCTACCTATCTTGGCAATAGTATCATTCTCTTGACAAATGCAAGAAACAATCAATTCCAAAAATCTATCCAATAAATGCTTCAAAGCATCAAAGAATGTACCAAAAAGTTTTATCATACTGTGTAACGCTTGGATCAAAGTTGTAGAAAGCCAAACTGATAATTTATCATTAGATTCATCAATACTTAATTCCCAATGTTCATTCAAAACTTCGAATATAGGGAAAAGTAATTCCTTGCATACTCTATCCCAGAAATTCAATTCAAAATATCCACCATATTGGTTAATAACTTCAAATAAATAGACCAAGGCTCTAGAACGAACTTCAAGTTCATCTCCCTTCATGATTATATCAACAAAACCTTCCAATACTGGGAACCATAATTTATCAAGTAATTCGCTCTTATCAGCAATTCTTGCCACTCCACCATTATCGGTTTCAGTAAAACTATATTGAGCAATATGATTAACCAATCTCAGTAATACATCTAATGATAAAAGACTAACTCTTTGGAATCTTTCATTTTTAGCTAATGTAGTGAAACATCTAACAAGTTCTGTAAATGATTCCTGGGCTCTTACCTCAGCAATGTATTCTTTATTAATCCAATTGGCCATCTTATAAGACTTCATAACTAAAGATTCTTTATTCTCCTTTGCTGCAGCAGTTAATACTTCAAAAATAGTCTTCCAACCTGATTTAATTTGAGTAGCACGAGCTAAAATCATATTATTAATACACTCCAATACTAAATCCTTTACTTCTAAAGATCCATTATGGACTATGATGTGACCAAATGGTTTTAAGAATTCTTTTTGGAATTTAAAATGAGATAATTCATCAATTTCTAAAAATTTCATTGATAACTGTCTTAATGAATCAACTGCGAAGAACAGGATCAGAGTACTACTATGACAACCAACCTCGTTAAAGGTTTCACCAAGGATTGCCCATAATTGCGACCACTCAAGACGGATACGTTTCATATTATAGTAACAGATATCTACCACTTTTTGTAAAGCGAAAGTTCTTGGATTATTACTTTGTCCTGATGATTCAATTTCTTCCATGGCAACTTCAGATAAAGCTTTAACAAATGCAACGATGGCCTCACCAGATAAATTTGCACTGTTAGTGAAAACTCTATCAATAGCAACTCCTAATTCAGTCTTAGTTAACAAATGTGCAACATATGGTGATAACTGTTGATTGTGAAATTTAATAGACGCAGCTTGTGAAGCAGTAGTTTGAGCGGTAAACAGGCTGAAGAAATTACTTGTGCTTGGTCTTGCACTACTGTCCGAAGATCCTCTATTGACTAATTTTGCAGTAGAAACATCTGGGATAGATTCTTGATCAATACCTTGAGCAATTAATTGTAATCTTTCTAATTGTGATATTGAAGTTAAAACATGACTCCATGCGCTTCCTAATTGATCACCATCAGTAACTGCAACTTCCAATAAAATATGAATTGCTTCCACATTTTTAGCTTTCATCTCTTGATAGTTATTCAAGTTGGAAAATTGAACCAAAGCTCCAATAAACGAAGCACGGGCATATTCCAAGTCAAACATGCTTGCAATTCGAATTGATAATTTAATACCTTCCAAACAGGTTTTTGTGATATCATCTTCTTCAAATTCCTTAAATGGGGGAGTCAAAGTAGCTAATATGGACATCCATAAAGTATCAAAGATTGATTTAACATGATCAACATGAGATGCGGTATAAAACCCTCCACTGGTACTATGCGAACTCAACTTTTTACCTAACCCTATAACCAAAGTCTCTGTCTTATTTGACATTTCCTTTGATGCGTGAATATATGCTTCTCTATTAAAATCTCTAGTTCCAAAAAGTCCACCTGATGAAGCTGGAACTATATTAGCATCACCTGCTAATAATGCCGCATGTTGTTCGGACAATAATTTGATTTCATTGCTTTGTATTTCATCATAAATCTTTTGTAAAAATTCTACAGGCAAATCTTTACCATCATCTATACCAGCATTATTCTTGATGAAGTAGTCGAATGACATACGATTTTTAATTTGAGGGGAATGTAAATCAGTATTCAACAAAATAACAGAATAGGCTAACACATAGGCCGAATCAGCATTTGCAAACACATCAGGGTTACCTAATACATATCTTTCCGCGAATTTCAACATGAATCTATCGATTTTTTGTCCTTCACCAGGTAATCTGAATGATTGTAAGAATTTTCTCATAGCATCGACAAAATCAGTTTGTGCAAATTCCATTTGATCAACAAATGCATGCATAGTTGCAACATTCTTCTCATTGACCTCTCCAAGATATTCACCGATAACAGCTTTGTCTAAACCATCAGTCACTAATAAGAATTTTGCTATGCTACTTGGTTCATCGTTTTCAATAAAACCCTTGTCTAAAAAGAATGCTATTCCTTTTTTCGCTTTTTGATTGAACTGTCTAATACCTTCTAAGAGTGTTTTCTTTCTCAACTTTAGACTTTCAAATTGTTCAGGAATATCACTATCAGTAGATTGGGGTTCGGAGTTATTAACAAACGAAGTGTTACGGGAATTGTTTAATGTGGATGAAGTAGAATCTAAAGTTCCGGATCTGTCTCTAGTTAACACCACTCTTGATCCATTTTGACTGATTGTTGGTGTCACTCTGGTTCCTAAAGATGTTCCATTAATACCCTTATGAGCCCAAGAATATAATGATCTCAAAAATGCCACTGAACAATTGATTGCAGTCATTTTCAAAGCGTACTCCAATGGGAAAAGGCTGTATATTTCTGGTTCTGGAGCTTTTGAAGTCATTGTACTACTAGTTAAATTTGCAATCTTGCTAACATCATAGACTGAAATTTCATTTCTTTTGTTTTCACGATATGCTAATTTCTGGGTAGGAGTTACTTCGATTCTGGCTAATGATAATCTTGTCAAATAGTCAATGATTTTTTCACAAATATTAGGCATACTAGTATCACAATCATAATTCAAATAGAATTCAATAATACATCTTGAATCGTTACATAATTTTTCAATAACTGATAACAAATATCTCTTTTGATGTGGAGTAGAAGTCTTCATTTCACCAACAGGGAAGTAAATTTCATCCAAGAAAACTGGGATTTCTCTCTTGAACTCCGATCTTAAGTTTGAAATTATAATCCAAAATATTTCTAATGAAAGTTCAAATACTGGAGCTAATGATGAGGCTGCATTTCTTGATAACGCTAGACATACATGTTGCTTGATTGCGTTGATTAATCTTGTTTGTTCACCTTCTTTAGTGGAAAATATCACCACATCATGACTCAAAAAGATATCTATATGTTCTTTTAAAATAGTGTGAATAATATGTAAGGACAATAACTTTGATCTTACAGAATGGGATCTCATATCGGCAGTTTCATCAATAGGTTTCACTGAAATCTTACACATGGCTCTAAAGATTAAAAATGCATCTTTAACCACCAAATCTTCATCACGTTCATTAGCTTGGTTTGCAGCATCAACTCTGTCACTGTCTTCAAGTTCATCATTGAATTTCTCCAAGTTCTTTAATGTAAGTTTTTCTAAATTCTCTGATTCGGGTTCTTCTAATTTTTCTTTGCTAGCTGTTTTCAATGATAATCCGGTATTGCTTGAGGACTTGTTAACTCTATTTTTGAAAGCGGCAGAGTCCGTGATTCTTTGGAATATGGCTCCAATTACTTGTGTCAAAATACCTTGAGCAACGGATTGATTTCTTGCTGATAATGAAAATATGAATACATTGTAAATTTGTCTGACTGCTTTTAATAATGGAGCCCCATGACATGGCATCAAAAGTATACTGTGCATTAAAGCACGTACTACTTGTAATTCTAATTCAGGGTCTGTTCCTTCACCATCGAAGCAGGAAGAAATAACATACACTGACTTTTCTGTTAAATCGGCTTTATCATTATGATCATCGAATTGAGCGTAATCGAATAGTTTTGCAAAAAGGTCAACTGCCTTAGCTTTTAAATCATTACTGGCAGATTTTTCACAAGTGGCTTGTAAAGCATTGAATATTATATAGGGATCCTTTGAAGCTTCATTATTCAATGAATCAAGAGCCTTTTGGATTGAATCTTTCAATTCTTGATTTTTCTTTGTTTCTTTAGCTTCAAGTATAAACTCAAACACCTTTTTAAATATCTGGGTATTATCTACCGTAGCATTAGAATGAAATGAAACTGATGATTGTCTACGTGATGGTAATTCATTTCCTGATACATGTCTTGCTGGTATATCTATACTTTGAGAATCAATACTTTGATCTGCGGCATCAAGCTCAGATGGTGTCACATCAATGGTCGGAGTACCATTGGATCCATTTGGATGATGATTTACTTCTGGTTCAACGTCATTAGTAGAAGTTTCAGTGGTGATTTCAGTTGATTCAGCTGGTAGATCAGTGTCAACCTCACTACTGTGTTCAGGTACAGCTGTTTCAGACGTAATTTTTTCACCATTGTCGACAACTTCCAATTCAGTATCGCCACTTGCTTCTACCTCAGCAGTGCCATTTTCAGTGTTGTCAACTCCATTTTGATTAAGATCAACGTCTTCAAATCCCTCGCTTTGATCGAGGTCTTGATTCGGAATTGCCTCATTGGAGTTATGATTTAGATCACTATCTTCTGACATATCAATGGGAAAACTAATTTATCTAATTCGAAACAGACTGGTAATCGGAGTCTGGCTAATATCACTATGTTATTCGAAAACAATTGATCCAAAATTAATCCCTAAGAATTGATGATAAATTGATAACAATTGAACAACCAATTCGGTCTGTTGGGTTTTTCTAGTTGCCTGAACTGGCTATGTTTTTTTTTTCCTCTCTCTCACTCTTTCCATTCTCACACACGCATACAATAAAAAATGAAAAGGCAACGAATTTTTACTTTTGTGTCATTACAAATTCGAGATCCTTTTTTTAAATATTTATAAATTTGCATTCAATATGTAAACAAGACTAAAAAAGCTATCTAAAATTAAAATTAAAATTCACTTAAAGCAACGGCAGTAGCTTGGTAGTCATCATGGGAAATAGAAACAGCAATGTTCTTGACTCCAGCCTTGGCAGCAGCAGCTTTAGCTTGTCCATGTAAGACAACTTGAGGAGCACCTTTACCATCTCTAGTGATTTCAATATCAATCAAAGCGGCACCAGCACCCTTAGATTCAACACCTAAGGCTTTGAAAACAGCTTCCTTAGCAGACCAAGTTCCAGTGAAAGAGGCTTGAGAAGATGGAGCTTTAGCGCAGTATTCACGTTCAGAAGCAGTGAAGTTTCTTTCAATAAAAGTTTCATTTTCCAAGTTGATGGCAGAAAGTAATTCAACATCAACACCAACACCCTTAGATGACTTGTTTAAAGAAGCTAAGGCAGTAGCAGTAGCAGTAGCACTGTCACTGACGTAGGATTTGTTGGATTGAACTGATTTGGCACTGAAAGCAAAAGCTTTCTTGGAATCTTCAACTCTAGCTAATGGATCTAAGTAAACTGGTTGTTCTAATTCATCAGCATAAGGAGCCTTATCCTTAACAACAAAGATAGTGTTACGAGTAATAGCATTGTGCATGTATCTGTAAGTTCTCTTGTTACGAGCAGAAACTCTTTCGGCATATGATTCATAAGTTTCTCTATCTAAGACAGCGTATAAGTAATCTGGATGAACAACAATAGCTTGAGCACCTTTTTGACCGAAACCGAATGAAGTAACAGAAACAGCCTTAATACCATCAGTTTGGATAGATCTAGATGGGAATAAAACGTAATCAAAGGCTTCTAACACTTTATCAACATTATCAGCATTTCTATTACCTGGAACTAAACCAGTGTTAAGAATTTGAAGAGCACCATTCAACATCCAAGCACCGGCAGCACCCTTTGGATGACCAGTTAAGAATTTTTGGAAAACACCAAACACTGGATTACCTTCAGTACGACCCAAGTGTTTCATCATAGCATTGATGGTGGCAGATTCATTCTTATCATTAGCAACGGTAGAAGTACCATGGAATGAAGCAACACCTAAATCATCAATAGTTAAGTTGAAAGCAGCTAAAGCTCCTCTAAGTGGAGAAATTCTTGGATCGGATTTGTAGAAGTTATTACCCCATTGTTTTTTAGCATCAGTGACTTGACGTTTGACTTCACGATGGATATCTTCCGTTCTTTCTCTTAAGAATTCACTTTGAGAAAATTCGGCACCATATTCTTCCTTAGCTAATTCAGCTTCATCTTGTAAGTAAGAAATTTCAGATTCTTCCCATCCTTTAATTTGAACTAATCTTTGTTTCAATTGTCTGGATCTGTATTTAATATCTAAGGTTGGAGATTTGTATTTCAAATCACCGTGATGTTCCCTGGCAGTAGTCAAAATACCTTTACCTGGAGCTGGAACTGATCTACCAATCTTATCAGTAGCAGTGGCAGTCATAGCTAAAACACCTTGAATTGGAACACCCATCTTAAGAGCTAAACCAGCACCCATAATAACTTGGATACCTGAACCTTGAGCTTCCATGAAACCATTTCTGGTAGTAGTGGTTGGTCTGGACATTTCCTTTGGAGTTCTACCATGTTCAAATTCTTCAAGAGCATTAGAAGTGGCATTCATGTTAGCGAATTCATAAGAACCTTCTTCTTGGAAATCATCATAACCACCAACAAGACAAATCTTAGCCTTACCAGATAAAATAGTTTCAATACCAATATCAACTGATTCAACTGCAGTGGCACAAGCACCAACTGGAGTTTTGATTGGACCAGATGAAGATAAAAGTAACATATTAACCCAAGCGGACATAGTATTGATGAAAGATTCTTGTAAAATATCATTTTGAACTGGTTTATCAGCATATCTATCCTTAAACATACCTCTTAAAGCGGAAACACCACCCATACCAGAACCGGAACAGTTACCAACTTCTGAAATATGGACATATTTATAGAATTCATAAGGATCAGTAACACCTGAAGAAAGTAAAGCTTCAACAGTAGAAACTAAAACGTATAAGGTAATTGGATCAACTTGATTGATAGTATCTTCTGGAATACCATAAGTACGAGCATTCCAACCGGTTGGAATTTGACCAGCAACTAATCTATCAAATCTTAAAGCCTTTGGAATGTATAAAGTGGCACCCTTTAAGAGCTTAACGGTATATTCACCAGTTTCTTCAATTTCAAAGATTTCACACTTGTCACCGTGTTCATGTTTATATTGTTCAGCGGTTTCCTTGGAAGCTTCAAATGGTTCCATATCACTTTCAATAATGACTTCTTGGATTAATTGTTTCTTATTTGGATCATAACCATGGAATAATTCAGGTTCAATTAATCTAATACCAGCATGTTCAATAATTTCTTCTTCATACTTAGATTTAATTTCTTTATCGTCAACTGGAGTTTGGGTCTTAGCATCAACCCAACCAGAATATTGTTTACCCTTTAAGTTACCGTTATGGTATTTAATCAAACCCATAATCCAGGCCATTTCAATGGCACCTTCTAATGAGAATTCACCATAGGCTTCCATTTCCCATCTGGTTCTAGAGTTACCCCATGGACCAACTTCAGAGAAACCGGTAACGACGATAACACTGTCTAAATCTAACATACCTTCTAAATCTGGAGAAATTTCTTTGATTTGATCGTAAGTCTTTAATCCTGGGAATTCGAATTTCATGTTAGATCTTGGTTGAACAGTGACCTTAGAGTAGTTAGCATCAACATTGTCACCATTGACAACCTTTTGTTCAATAGAAGCTTCGATAGAAACAGCTCTTCTAACTTCAGCATCTTCAAGTAAGTCGGTTCTTAATTTAGAAGTGAATTCCTTCAAGTTTTCAATGAATTGTAAACCACCATTAAGATCAGCCATAACTGGTTCTTCTTGACATAATTGAACAATTTCTGGAGTTAATAAACCTAAAATGTTGAAAGCCATTTCCTTTTGACTGAAAGTTCTAACACCTAATTTTTCAATACCTTCAGCAATCATGTTATTAGCACTCATTAAACCAGTACCTCTAGTCCAACCAATAACAGCACCACAAACGGTTAATTTAGTGGCCCAATCTTCAGAGTACCATCTATTGAATAAAGTTTCTAAAGAAATCTTGGATTCTGAGTATAAACCATCAAAACCGAAAGTACCATGATTTGGAGATAATGGTAAAATACATTGAGCTGGTCTAGTTTCACTGGTTTTCTTAGATTTAACAGCACCTAATAATCTTAAAAGATTGGTTAACATAATTCTGTGAGCAAATTCAGATTTAGAATCAATGTTATCTAAACCATTACCATTTTCTGGAATAGCAGCGAATGGAATAATGGCATCTAAATCCCAACCTAAACCACCCTTCTTTGGTTCATCATAAATGTAAGTGACTAAAGCATCAACATCTTGTTTAGAACCTTGATTGAATGGAACAACGATTAAAGTAGAACCAGCAGCACCATATCTGGCATACATGTTTTGGTAATATTCAGTAACCTTTTTGGAGAATCTAGAGGTGGTAACAATAACTTTAGCACCACCAGAGATTAAACCTTGTAAGATTTCAGCACCAATAGAACCAACACCGGCACCTGTAACTAAAACGTATTTGTCTTTGAAGGTAAGACCATTAATGGCAGCACTTTCTAAACCATCTAAGTAGACAGAAGATAATTTACGGTTGTATTCCCAAAGATCACCATTCTTCTTCTTGATATGTAAGAATGGTAAAGTTTCAGAAGGAATAGTTGAAGAAACTGGTTGTAAGATTGAAGTCTTATCTGGTAAAGAAGCAATTTCATCATCGTCAGAAGCAGTAGATAATTCATCATCATCAGTTGGAGTTGAGTTACCAGTAGCTTGTAAGACAGATTTAGTTGATTGTTGAGTTTGAATTTCGGAAGAAGAATCAACAACCTTAATTAATTGATCATATAATTTTTGTAATTCTAATTTATCATTCTTTGAAGCTTGTTTGGTGATAGCTTTATAAACTCTAGCTAAATCTTCTTGAATAGTTGGTTGTTCAATTTTAGTCATTTTACCACCTTGAGCCATTTCATAAACATATTGTTCGAATTTTCTAACAGCATCTTTGTTAGCTTCTTCATAAACAATACTACCTTTAGCATCAACAGTAGTCTTTGGACCAGTAATCTTACTAACATCCTTATAAACTGGATCAATACCTAAAGTTTGTTTACAATTATCAATTAATTGTTGACCTAATTTTTTGGCTAATTTATAAGTTTCACCTTTGTATTCTGGGACATGATCAATATGATATTGCATGAATTTAATTAAAGTTGGGTTTGATCTATTCATAATTTGAATACATTGTTGAATAGTTTCTCTATCGACAGATGTTAATTTACCAAAGATAATATCGTAATACATTGATAAAACATCTTGTCTAGCCCAATTCCAATAAGAATCATAAGTTCTTGATTTCTTGGATGAGAAAGTTGGCTTAATACCATTGGCATAGAATTCACCATGTTCAGCTTCCCATAAATCTAATTCCTTTTGTAAGACAACAGAAGCTTCCTTTTCTTTGACAAAAGATTTAGCACCTTTATTCAAATCAACTTGTAAGTATCTGGCTAAAGTTTCTAATTGTTGTTTAGCTAATTTCTTGTTTTCAGCAGTTAAAGCATCTAAAGCAGCACTATCAATAACAGCACCACCAGCACCACCACCAGCGGCACCACCAGCAGAAGCTGAAGATAAAGAAATACCAGCAGTTGAAGCATATTTGGTAGCAACTGAGTCTAAGAAAGCTTTAGCTTCGACTTCAGAAGCTAATCTAGCAGCTGGTTCGTTAGTTAAAGCAATTAATAAAACGGAATCTTGTCTACCTGAAGCTAAACCATATCTTGATTCTAAATATTTTCTAGCAACAGTGATTGAGAAACCACCCGGCATTTTAGAAGCCATTAATCTACTGATTAAAGAACTTGAAGTTTTACCTAATTGACCATTGAAAGTATCTTGGAATTGTTCAGCTAATTCTTCTAATGGAGTATCTTCTGGTTTTTCAGGAGTTGACCCGAATTCTTTACCTAAATCACCTAAAATTTCATTTTGAACGGTGGATTTACCGTTAACTAAATCTTTAATAGCTTTGGATAAAGGAACAGCATCTAAAGGTTTCTTTAACTTTTGAGCGACAAGAACGTGTAAAAGTAATTTAGCAGTAACTGGTTCATCAGGGATGGAAGCAGCAGGACCGGCAGATGGAGCTGGAGCAGCAGCAACTGGAGCGGCGGCGACTGGGGCAGCAGCAGCGGCAGCTGGAGCAGGAGCAGGAGCAGAAGTAGATTCTTCCTTAGCTGGAGGAGCAATATCAGCTGGATCTGGAGTGTAATAAATTTCCTTAGCATCCTTAGAGTAACATAAAACTTGACGTTGTAAAGAAAGAGCAGCATCATAAGATTCATATTTGGCTTTAATGGTTCTAGTGGCCATACCAGCTAAAGTTGGAGAAGGACCGATTTCAACTACTCTTTCAGTGTTATGTTGTTGTAAGAACACATCTTGAGTTTCAATCCATCTAACTGGTGAAGCAAATTGATAAGCTAATAACTCAGTCAATAAAGTGTGAGATAATTCTTGTTCGATTTCAGGTCTCATATTGATAATGGATGAGGTCTAACTTGGTACAGAAATGATTTCAAATAAGAAAAACACCAACTTTAATAGAAAAATCGTTACAATTGATTAGATATATATTTGCCAGATTCGTTTCTGGATGGTTTAAGGGAGATGAAAATATTTTGATGGGTAAAAAAGGTAAATATCCTGCACACAGGGTTAACCCTACAAAAAATGATTAAACTGTAAAATGGTGATACACACCAAAAAAAGGTCCAACATTTAATCAATTTACAGGTTGGAATCTAATCTATTGGGTGTGAAAAAAACCGTTTTGTTGAGAGTACGCAGTGAGAGGCGACTCATGTTTTTTTTTTGGAGGACGTGTGTGTGTTGAGTAAAAATAGAATTTTTTGGCTGTTAAAGGCGAACATGTTTTATAGCCGATTAATATTGTTGTAAATAACTATGATATAGAAGGTGTTATACTGGGTCATGTAGTTCTTCTCACTTGAGAGGTCCCACTTTTGTTAAGTAAATTAGCAGATGTTGAACTAATATCTTTGTAGATTATTTCCTCTTCTTACACATTTAGTCAAATTTGAAACAATTTGTTAGTAAAAGTAGCACTCAAGGAAAATAAGTGGTCATTTCACATTATTTACATACTCTGTTCTACTAATACAACCATTTCACAGTAGTATAATTCATGAAATGATTTTAACTTTCGAGTTCAGTAAAGATTATAGATTCAATTGCAAATTATATAGTTTAGGTTTAGTATTAGATTCAGTTGTACACTTTACATACAGGACATCAAATTTACCCGGACACTTTTCTTTTCAATAATCAATTCTGGGATTGAAAAATTTTGATGAAAAATTATTTAAACCATTCTTCATTCAACATTCTAAATCATTAATCATTAATCATATCATATCATCAGATATAACGTGTATAGAGTCAATATACATCTATCATAAATCAAAATTAACCCATTCAATGTAATAATTTATTCATAACCAAATCATACTATTATTAGTATACAACTTACCCAACGCTTAATGCCTTCTCATCTACCCTGATTATATTCAGTTATTTTCAGTTTAAACTGGTCTAAGAGAACACTTTTGCCATTGGAATATTGAAGAGATCATCTCCACCCTGATTTGATGGATCTTTTTTTTTTTTTAAAAAAAAAAAGATTTACTGATATCTTCTTGGGACTATTTTATATGATCTACATCCTCTATCCTTGTAAAAAGCTTTTTGTATTTCTTCTATTAAACTATTAAACTATTTGATTTTCTATAATTTTATGAAAATAATTTTGTAAACCTTCTCTATGCACCATACCATATTCATTAATTTTATTATTATTATTATTATTTTTGTTTTCGTTTTTGTCATTATTATCATTTAAACATTGAAATATGATTGAATCATCATTGAATTCTAATTGAATCCATTTAAGTGATTTCACATTCTTTCGTAGCTTATTAACAGTTGCTTTATATTTTACAATACATTCATCATCAGGTTGAAATTGATCTGCTATTAAGGAAGTATTAGCAAAATAACCTGAATTTATCAAGCAATTACATTTAGGGGATAATTTCTTCGTGATTGAATCTTGATGAATTCTTAAGGATATGATTTGTAAATTTGTCGTTAATCGATCATAAATCAGTTCGCTACCATCATAATGAAAGGGAATATTTAAATATTTCAATTTGGGGAATTTATTAAGAATTAATAACATTTTAGAATCACAATTTAAATGATTCATGGTCTTTATATGGTTTTCATTTCCAATTAAATTATAATTAAATTCAAATCTTTCAATCTCATTTGAAATTGATTTGAATATACTAATAAGATTCGAATTAAGATTCTCAAACTCATTAATATTGATACTTAACTTTAATGATTTTAAATGTTTGAAATCACCTAAAAACTTGATCAACTTATTATTATAATTTAATTCATTAATCATATAAATATCCAAATGTTCAAGTTGTTTATTAACTTTCAAACTTAATTCATTTAAAAAAAACTTAGTTTTGATTCTTCTTCTTCTGACTTCATACATCTCATCTTGATCATAAATTGATTCAAAACAATTTATCATACTTAAACTCGTCAATTTTGATAAATCGATATGTTTATGTAAAGCTTGAACATCATCACCTGAAATCACTAAATCTTTTAACGTCAATTTAGTCAAGTTTAACTTTGTTGAAAGTTGATTTTCAGGATTGAAAATAGCAGAAACATTTGATTTCAAGTCTTTATTCTCCCAATGATTTGAATTTAAATTCCTTCTGTCATTACTGTTAGGTAATTTCGATATAGTTAATTCTTTTAAATTGGGTAAATTAGTAAAATTAACTGGCTGCAAATTATAATTTGATAATTCTAAACTCTTTAAATATGGAAATGATAATGAAGTACCTTTATCAACTGTAAGATTTCCCTTTAATTCAATCAAAGTTAAATCACTAATGAATTTATTTGATAAGTTATATTGATCATTCATCCAATGAAATACTTTTAAATGCTTTAAATTCCCACTTAATATAGTTAAGATTTTATATAATTCCAAATCAGGAATATCAGGGATCTTTTTATTGAAGATTAACACTCTAACATATGAACAATAACGAGGATGCAGTATTAAATTCTTGAATAAAAGATTTAACGAATAAAGTGATGAGACAGTGACGGGTTTCACTTTAATAAACCCATCATCATAATAATTTGGGATCACGCTATATTTTAAATCATCAACTTTGAAATCAGTAAAGATCTTCTTCGAGGAATCAATATTTATAGCGGAATATAATCTGGGATGAAGTAAATTATACAAATTTGAGCTTGTACATAATAAATTTAATAATTCATTTTGATTTAAATGATTTGAAATGTGAAAAATTATTTCGTGGGGTAGATCTTCCAACTTTATCATCTTTGAAAACAAAATCCTCTTAGATATAGATATAATATTGAAACACCACCAAGAACTAAACTTTACAGGGAAATACAAATCTATATATACAAAATGAAAAATGAATCATCTTCATATTGTGGCTATAAAAGTAGGGTAGCATTCCCTCACGTCAGTTTCCTAAAGAAGACGTGTTTTTCAAATGTTAAATATAGATAGATATAATTACATGCCAATGTTTTGCGACACTCCGTATTTCGGCTTGCCTGCAAAAAATATTTTTTTATCTGATCGGATCTTCACTTCCTTGAATGATATATAAATAATGTAATTGAAAATTTTTTATTATGATTTACTTTAATTTTAAAAATAGCCTTATTCTATCCCGATTATTGTTACATTCTATTGTTGTGATGTGGTAGCAAAAGAATGGACTAACGGAAAGCCTAAGACTTTTTTTATTTATTAACTCTCTTATTTCAATTTACGTATTCAGACATGCATTCATTCTCCGAATGTGAAATATACATTTAAAAACTAACAAAATAACCTGCCCATATCTAAAAACAGTTTCTTCCGAGTTATATAAGTTTTAATTATAAGTTTAGAAACGTAACCATGGTTGTTATAGGGATTTGAAAAAATCTGCCGCTCCGAACAGTCACGTGACCGATTTTTAGAATACTACAGATGATTTACAATAGTTATAAATATTTATTGAATAATAAGAAGTGAATATAACAGCCTAATCATGATAGTCGTGAGATGTGTATGTATAATTAGATTATATGGGGCTTTGCCTATGTTTTGATCTGTGATATCTTTATTAAAGAATGATTTTAGTCTATGAAAATTACCTTTATAATTTTTAAAGAAATGCATGAATTAAGTCAGTGGTTCTGATGGTTTTGGTAAATCACGTAATTCGAAACTTTCAGTATTTTGAACTTGTCCTGTTTCTTGTTGATCTAGCATATTATCAAAGAATGTGGTTCTTAATTCTTTCCATCTTGTCAGATATGTTGATAAAGTTACCAATATAACTCCACTTAAGATTTGTAAACACCACCATAATATTGAAGTTGGGAATTTTCTAGTATATGACCATACCACAAGTAAATTAATGATATGAACTGTAATGGCAAAATCCCAGGCTAATTTGGATCTACCAACTATTATAGTCACAAACAACACACATAATAACGAATCAAATAACCATAATATAAATAAAATCAATCCCATGGCATTATCCAGAGCCACCAATTCCCACAGGAATATCCAATCAAGCTTGAAATCATATCCATTTAATGATGCCACCAAATAAAATATTATAAGGGCTGATAAATAATAAAAACATTGTAAGATCACGATTTGAAAAAGTAACTTGGATGGACTCGATATATCACTGGATTGATACGCGTTGGCTAGCCTCGTATACCCATTAGAGAATATACTCATTGTTACGTATGTCTCTTATATTGATGTTGATAATAAAGTCACGTCAATTGATCTGATCTTCCTTTCCTCCTTTTGCTTAATTACCGTTTGTGGTTTAAATGACAGTTTTTAACAATCATTTTTTTTTTCTGTCGTGTTTGGTAGAGGGAAAGAGGCGGGTATTTTTAGTCACGTGCGCCACAGTATAGTATAGTATACAAAAAAAGTAATTGTCTATTACCTAATCTTTTTAAATCTATTATACAAACTATTTACTATCTTTTCTTACCTTTACCAATCTTAGCCTTAGGATTCCTCTTTTGATCAGTCATTCTATCAACTTTGGTTTTCTTATAAGATCTAGCACCTTTGGTTTCTTTCTTTTCTTCATTGGCTTTACGCTTCCTGGAATTCACCTTTTTACCTTGTTTGGTTAATTGACCCATCACTTCAGTTTGATTTTCCCTTTTAGCTTCAAACCAAGTTCTCCTTGGACGCGATTGAATTTCCTTTTCATGCTTCATCATATTAGAAGCTTTCTTTAATTCCATTTCAGCATGCAAAATTTCTTTTTCTTGTTGTTCTTCTTCCAATACTTCTTCTATAACAGTAGCCTTTGATTCTAAAATCTTATTCAATTTCTCCACCTCTATCCAATTGATATTTCTGGAAACAGCTTTACTTTCACCAGTTAAGGATTTAAGAGCTTCTTTGACAATACCTCTTTCTTGACTTGATTCTCCAATAAATGAAATAGAAATACCATCTCTACCAGCTCTGGCAGTTCTACCAATTCTATGTAAATATATTTCATGAGTCTTTGGCATATCATAATTTATAACCACAGCAATCTTTGGAATATCTAACCCTCTAGCAGCTAAATCAGTACAAATTAAAACTGGAACCGTTAAGTTTTTAAATTCAGTAACACTTCTAAGACGTTGTTCTTGGGTTAATGAACCATGTAATTCTGAAACTTTTAAACCCAATAAACCTAATACAATTCTTAATTTATGGGCAGATTCTTTTCTAGCCACGAATACTACAACTCTTTCTTGTTGTGGGAGTTCTCTTAATAAATTGAAAAGTAAAGCAGGTTTTAATGCATCTCTCTTTCTAATACGAACGAATTGTTGGACTAATTTTGTGGCAGTGGCTTTTGGAGGATCAATCATGATACGAACTGGTTTATCTAATGAAAGTTGAATTAAATCTTGAATTTTGGTATTCATAGTAGCGGAAAATAATAAAGTTTGTCTTTTATTCTTTGGAATTAAAGCTAAAATTTCAGTTAATTCAGCTTGGAAACCTTCATCTAACATACGATCAGCTTCATCGATAACTAAAACTTCTAATGCATCAATGGTGAATGATGGTGAATTTCTTATATGATCAATCAATCTACCTGGAGTGGCTATGACGATATCAGGTCTAGTTTTTAATTGTTGTTCTTGTTGTCTTAAATTAAGACCACCAACAGCTAAACCGAAATTTAAATTATTTACAAATCTTCCTAAATTCTTACCCACATCACAAACTTGGATAGCCAATTCTCTGGTAGGTGTTAAAACTATAACTCTGGTAGTAGCAATTTTAGCTGGTTTATATAATAATCTTTCTATGATTGGAATCATGTATGCAGCAGTTTTACCAGAACCAGTAACGGCACCAGCAACGATATCTTTACCTAATAAGGCAATTGGAATAGAAGCGGATTGAATAGGAGATGGTTTCACATAACCTAATTGGGCCAATCCTTTTAAAACTGGACGTGAAAGTTGTAAAGTTTGGAATGAATTATGAGCTTGTTTTTTGGTAACATCAGATTCTTCTTGGGTGGAATAAAATTTATCCATATCTTCTTTGGTATCTTCGTTTTCGACGATTTCTTCAACAGCACCTCCTCCCATTTTGAATTCTTCTTCAGGTGCTTCTTCTTGTTCTTCTTCTTCTTCTTCTTCGTCATCTTCTTCTTCGGCACCCATACCGAATCCATCCATGGCTAATTCTTCATCGTCACCATTTTCAACTTCTTCATTATCTTCTTCTTCCTCATCATCATCTTCTTCTTCAACTACTTTAGTGTCATTGTCAACATCAGCTATATTAACTAACCCCCCCTTTCTTCTTAAAATTCCATCTAAATCAACATCCTTCATTTGAATACGTTGACTATCTGGTTTTTTCAAATCGAAATCCCAACCATCAAATGATTCTACATTCAGGAACCCATCAACACTGAATTGGAAATTTGGATTTATATCATCATTCTCCTTTTCTTTATCTTCTTCTTCATCCTTTTTATCTTGATCTTGAGTTGATTTACCTTTACCCTTTGATTTCTTCTTACTTTTCTTAGGAGCTTTCTTCACTTCTTGAGTTTCAGATTCATATTCAGATTCAGATTCATATATGATTTGACCTTCTGTTTCAGAATCACTATCTATGGTCCCTATCAAATCATCCATGGTAGTCATTGAATGTGGTTTATTTGTTAGATCTATAATAGTAAATATAATTTAATATGTGAGATGAGTTTAATGAGGTAACTACAAAAATTTTTTTTTTGGTTTGGTCTTCTAGTGTTTGCAACTTTTCGCACAAACTCGTATATTTTAAATATGTATATATTTTTGTTAACTATGTATAATGAAAGTTTTCACATATAGTATGTAATTCATCAGGATTATAAAACTCTTCATCATTGAAGTCGGGATCAACTTTATTGATATATTCAGTTCCTTCTAATGAGAGTAATTGGGTGTTTTTTCTTATATCCAATAAACCTTGAATTTGATTCTTTGTATCATGAGAAACATCATTGATAAGACCCTTTTGTAATTTGATACCATCTAACCAAACAAATTTATTGACTTCAGTATCAGTATAAAAACTTAATAGTTTCTTACCATGGGCACCCAGTAATGTGATTCTTTCATATGAGATGGTACCTTTAATCGAAATCAACTTATCATTTACTCTTCTTTCTTCTTGACCTACTTGTTCACCAACCTTTACGGATGAAAAATCAACAATATCAGATAAACTTATCGCTTGATCTTCCATATCTTCATAGGTGGGATTGACAGCTAATTTATCATGATATTGTTTATAAAAGAGACTCTTTCTATTAGGAGAAAGAATTAAGAAATAAAATTTGGCATGAGAATTTGAATTTGATCTACGATTAGTATTATTGTGATCTACCAAAAGACCTTCAGCATGAGATTCAGTATGAACCCAAGATCCTTTTAATAATTGTATGGCACGTTGTTCTGATACAAAATCCACTACTTCACGATATAAATTCTTATCAAATTCATTAAATGTATTAGCCCAATGTTGTTTATGATTTTCAATGATTTTATTACTTTGGAAACTTCTCATTTCTTCACTTGATTTAAGACTTGTTATATCAAGACAATCTTCAATTGACTTTGTTTGTTTTGATATTTCAATTTCTAATGAATCAATATTTGATCTTAATAATTGTAAAATTTTATCCACTTCAACTTCATTTAATTTTGCTTTTGTATCTTGCCATAATACAAGACAATTATTTAAAGTATAATAAATCATTAATTCCCAACTTAAAATCGATGAACTTATATGAGGATAAGCATCTTGTTGATTATAAAATATATCAATCCACATTCGAGTACATTTATTAATGAATAAATATAATGGAAAAGTTCTTGAATGTTCACTTAACATTAATTCTTCATGAAATCTCTTTTTAAATGTAAAATTTGGATCTTTTAAAAATACTTTAAGATTCATAGCTAATAAAAGGGAGAAATTTTCAATAACGAAATTTCGAGGATTATCAGTAAAACCAGCTTTGATATATTCCTCTGAAGTGGCTGAAGTTCCATATTCATTTAATGATACTTCAAGATATATGAATAAATTATTTAATAAGATTTGATGAGATTTGATGGTTAAATCGAATTTTGTATCATTTAAATAATCATTTGCAGCATAATATGCTAATTTTAATTTATTAATGGAATCTAAAATTAATTTATCATCAGTTTCAATAAGATTACCAATAGTACTGAAAAATGTTACATGTTTCAATCTACCAAGCAAAGTTACTAAACCAGGATAATTAAATTTTAATGATTGATTAATCACATCTGTGATTAATTTTATAGAATGATAAGTGATTTTATTATCTTGAAGATATAATTTAGCGGTAAGGGTATCAAGAACATCTAAATATTCTGATAATGAATCCATTAATGGTAAATAATTCGATAATTGATCAACTTGAAATATGGTACCTGACATAACAATGACTGATATTTTAAGTATGGCTTTATAAGTTTCAGACGACATATTGGAACTAATGATGGAAAATAAGGTTGAAAATAATGTTTGATCTAATAATTTGAAATCATTAGGAACCATATTATTGTTAATGATACAATCCAACAACTTGGCAAAGACAACAATTGAATTGACTTTCTCTTGTTTATCCTTGCCCAAGATGTTGGATCTTAATATCGTAGCATAATTGGTGGCAGTAGCATTATCCAACTTTGGTTTGGCCACATTGCTTTTACTAAGCAATTCATTAAGTTTATGATTGATACTTCGAGAAGATTCTGCCATAGTAGCCATGATGAAACTAATATATAAAAGGAATCAATCGATATCAAAGCAAAATTTAACAATTTTTAAATCATTTGTATAGGTGTCTTCCTGAATTATCGTCTAATTTTTTTTTGTTTGGCATTTTTTTTTGTTTTGAGGTTTATTTCAGGGCACCAAATTACATAGCTAATAATAATAGACATAACTGTATAGAGATATTAAAAGATTAGAGCATAGTAGAAGCTGACAGTGGTAACTGTTGATCCAATATGGAAGTGGCTAAATCAAATCAAAACAAATCAATTCAACAACTTGGCTGTTGTAGCATAATAAGCCTGTCAAAATAATAAATAAACAACACACCACACACCGTACCGCCCCCCCCTCTCCTACCCTACCCTACCGTATCGTATCGTACCGTATACAAAATTAAATTAAGGGCCCGCTCGCCCCCCCTCTCTCTCCCTAACACAGTACAAATTTAGAATAGGGAGAAATGAGACATACAAACAAAAATATCCTTTCTATCAAAAGTCCATCACGTGCCCACAATCAAGGACTTTTTTTTATCACCAAAAAAAAAAAAAATTGTATTTTCCCATATGGTCAAGAAGAGTTTATGAACTCAAGAGGTGAAAGTGTTAACTTATACAATTCAATTGAATTCATCTTGGTTTTCAGTTCAGTTCAGTTCTAGTGGGCGACAATGAGTTTTCTAAGACGCGATAGATCGAAAGTGAATTTGAAACCATCTCTGATTTCTCTTACTCCTGCTGCTGGTCAGTCAGGTGTATCTAAGGGGAATTCCCCTGAAGAGGAAGAATTACCTTTATCTCCTACCAACAATCATTCATCTTCAGCTTCCATAACATCGAACAATCATAAAGTAATCAAACGAAACTCATCAGGTGCCTTAGCTTCTTCTTCTACCGATAAACAAATATTCAATAATAACTTTGATATCCTGGATATCGATGGTAAACCTCCTACTAAGAAGAATTCAATTACGCCAAGTGAAAATTATAGTCCAAGATCATCGGTGATTTCTTTAACTCAATTACACCATCTGAATTCAAATCATAGTGCTACGACTAATGATGACAATGGTGATGGATTAAACAATTTGAAAGATGATTATAAAGGTTTCCATGCTAATAAACGTCCAACTGGAATTGCTAATGTACCACCTTTATCTCAACCTATAAAACCAAGATTTAAGAAAAAATCAAATTCTTTATTAGGGAAATTAATGTATAATCGTAAAGATTCTGATACTTCAAATCATTCAGATCATTCTGAAGATTCAAATGATTTAAATTCTTCTCATAGACAAAGTCATTCAACTAGAACTCCTTCAGCTCCTTCAAGTTTAGGTGGTGCCCTTGGTTCTCAACAACTGCCTAGACATCTGATCTCTTCTCAAGAAGCTCCCAATTCAGTCCAACAACAACAACGTAAAAGTACCGGCTCATCAACGGTTGCTCCAGCCAAACATAAATTTAGAATTCCATCGATTTCTTTAGATCATCATCATCATACTCGTCATCATCATAGTCATCAACCAAGCGTGGCTGAAGTAGATTCACCCGATAGTACCGAACCAGAAACCATTGATAAGGTTGTATCAGATGTACCTCTGTCCACTGAAGCTTCTACTACATCTCCTCCACCTCCAACTTATGATTTGAATTTAAGTGAAATGCAAGGAATAGTGGAAGTAACGGATAAAAATGGCGAAGCTGATAAGCATACTGAAGAACAAGTTACAAGCAATGGTAAAGAATTAATCACAGTTCCAAGCAGTTTATGGAAGGCTCCAGATAGTTGGGATGTTAAAGTTGATAAACCCGTTAAAGATGGAATTTCAGTATCCGATTCTGATGATACTGATGATAAAGGTACTATTACAGAAAGGGGTAAGTTTGACCTCCGTTCTAGATCATCTTCACCAACTGCCAGTTTGATACTGACTGAATCTCATGAACATCATAAACTTGCTAGACCTCATTTACCCAATTTATATGGTACTCATCATCTGTCTCATGTGGTCCAAACTGATCCTAATAACAAAGGTCCAAATCATATTGTAAGAGTGTTTAGAGAAGATAATACTTTTACCACCATATTATGTCCATTGGAAACTACTACTTCTGAATTGCTTAAGATTGTGCAAAGAAAATTCTTTTTGGAATCAATTTCAAATTATCAAATTTCAGTTTGTATTGGTAATTGTGTTAAAGTATTGGAGTCATTTGAACAACCTTTAAAGATTCAAATGGGATTACTTCTTCTTAGTGGTTATAACGATAGTGATAATTTGAAACTTTTCGGTCGTGAAGATTTATCATTTGTTTGTAAATTTGTGGTTGAAAATGTATTTTTAAGAAATTTAACTCATGATGAAGAAGCAATGTTATCCAAAGATTATGTTGATGTTAATATTTCAGGATTAAATTTGAAAAATATCCCTAATATTTTCCATCAACATACTTATGAAATTGAAAAATTAAATGTGGCAGATAATCCAGCAATTTACATTCCACTTGACTTTATTCAATCATGCAATAATTTAACCAGTATAGATTTCTCCAGAAATGGTTGTTCTAAATTCCCCTTGAATTTCTTAGAGGCTAAGAAGTTAATTTATCTTAATTTGGAAAAGAATTTTTTGGATGAGTTGCCATCGAAGTTTAGTCATTTGAAGAATTTAACTCATTTAAAACTTAATTCAAATCAATTATCATCCTTACCTAAGAGTTTTGCCAGATTAAAGAATTTAGAATCTTTGAATTTATCATCCAATTATTTCCATAGTTATCCTGAAGCTATAAGCGAGTTAAGTAATCTTCGAGATTTGGATTTATCGTATAATGATTTATCAGAAGTTCCTGAATCAATTAGTAAATTATCGAAATTGTCGAAATTGAATCTTTCCACAAATAAATTAAGTAAAACCCTTCCTAAATATTTTGAAACCATGACTTCATTAAAAAGATTGGATATTAGATATAATCAACTTTCAAATGTGGATGTCCTTGGATCATTACCGCTTTTAGAAGTCACATATGCTTCTAAGAATATGATTACTACTTTTAGTGATAAGATGGAAAGTTTAAGATTACTTCATTTTGATCGTAATCCTATAACCAATTTACAATTTGAGAATTTATTGGAATTATTAACCATTCTTGATTTATCAAAAGCAAAAATCACCTCCATCCCAGCTGAATTCATCTCCAAGATTCCAAATGTTGAAAAATTCGTGTTGGATAAAAATCATTTGGTTAATTTACCTAATGAAATAGCCAATTTATCAAAATTAGCCTCGTTGTCGGTCTACAGTAACAACTTACAAGTATTACCATCTAATATTGGACAATTAACATCACTTCAATATTTGGATTTACATTCTAATAATTTACAAACCTTACCTGATGATATTTGGAACTTGAAATCGCTTTCAGTGTTAAATATTGCTTCCAATATTTTAACTTCATTTCCAAAACCTCCATTATCAGTGGCTAAAAAGATTTCCTCCACGGTTAACTTTAGAAATGTAGATATTGGATATAAGAGCTTAACCGAGGATACTGAAGATGATTATAATGGAAGTAGTTCATCTTCAATTGATTTATCAAGTAGTTCATCATCATTGGGTGATAGTTTATTCATATTGACTTTGGCTGATAATAGATTAACTGATGAATGTTTCAGTTCTATTTCATTTATGGCAGCTTTGAAATCGTTAAATTTATCGTATAACGATATTATCGAAGTTCCAGAAGGTGCTTTAAGAAGATTAGTGAAGTTAAACGAATTGTATTTATCGGGTAACGAATTAACAACTTTGCCAGCTGAAGATTTGGAAAGCTTGAAAACATTAAAATTATTATATATCAATAATAATAAATTGGTAACTTTACCTGCGGAATTGAGTAAAATCACCAATTTACAACATTTGGATGTGGGTTCAAATCAATTGAAATATAATATTTCAAATTGGCCATATGATTGGAATTGGCATTGGAATAAAAATTTAAAATATTTGAATTTTTCAGGTAATAAAAGATTTGAAATTAAACAAAGTCATGTTAAGAATCCTGAAACTGGAGAAGATTTCGATAGTTTATTGGTGTTGAAAAATTTGAAAGTTCTTGGGCTTATTGATATCACATTAACCACTACATCAGTTCCTGATCAAAGTGCAGATAAACGTATTAGAACTACTGCTTCCGAATCTGAAAATATTGGTTATGGGGTATCTGATTCGATGGGTATGAGAGAGTTCGTTTCAAATCGCGATGTGTTTATTCAAAAATTCAGAGGTAATGAAAATGAAGTATTGATTTGTTCATTTGATGGTAAAAGAGGAGTTGCAAATCAAGGTCATAGAATTTCTTCATTAACGAAGAATATCTTCGTACCTATTTTCACTACTGAATTAAATAAAGTTAAAGATGATAGTGAAATTCAAGATGCAATCAGGAAAACATTTTTAGCATTGAATAAAGAAGTGAATGGAATTTTATCTTCCAAGAAAATTAATTCATTTAATCCAAATCCTCAATCAAGTAAAGACGCCCTTGACTTAAATCTTACTGATGATGGAAATGCTGGTTGTGCAGTCACACTTATTTATATTAAGGACAAGAAGCTTTATACTGCTAACATTGGTGATATTGAAGCTCTTTTATCTAGAACCAATGGTGATCATGTTGTGTTAACAAATAAACATGATCCAACCAACAGAAGTGAATTTGAAAGAATTCGTGCATCTGGTGGATATGTTTCAGGTGATGGTGCATTAGATGGCGATTTACCAATTTCCAGAGGGGTGGGATTTTTCAATTATTTACCTCACACTCATTCTGGTCCTGATATTTTTGAAATGTCTTTAACCACAGCTGATGATATGATTATAGTTGCTACTAGAGTATTATGGGAATATGTTTCATATGAATTTGCTGTTGATATTTTAAGACAAGAAAAGGACGATCCAATGATTGCTGCTCAAAGATTAAGAGATTATGCCATTTGTTATGGTGCTACAGATAAGATTGCCGTTATTGTTGTTACCTTAGGTGAACAAAAGACTAATAGACTGAGATTTGGTTCCAATGCATTATATAATAATTTGGGTAGAGAGGGAGACTTGTTTGGTAATAAGAAGAGAAGAGATAGACCTGCTGTTACTGGTGATTCATCATTAAGACGTTTAGAAGAAGAAATCGAAGCTCCAGTAGGTGAATTGGCTTTAGTATTTACCGATATCAAGAATTCAACTTTATTATGGGATACTTATCCAGCACCAATGAGATCAGCCATTAAGACCCATAATTCTATTATGCGTAGACAATTAAGAATTGTTGGAGGGTTTGAAGTTAAAACTGAAGGTGATGCCTTTATGGTTTCATTCCCTTCACCAACTGCAGCTTTATTGTGGTGTTTTAATGTTCAACAGAATTTATTAACAGCAGATTGGCCAAGTGAAATTTTAGAAACTGATCAATGTTGTGAGGTTGCTGATGGTAAGGGTAATATAATCTTTAGAGGTTTATCAGTTCGTATGGGTATTCATTGGGGTTCACCAGTGTGTGAATCCGATGTGGTTACTGGTAGAATGGATTATTTTGGACCCATGGTTAATCGTACATCAAGAATTAGTGCTGTTGCTGATGGTGGACAAATTGCCGTTAGTTCTGATTTCTTAGATGAGATGGGAGCACTTTATAAAATCCATGAAAATATTGAAAATGGTAATGTTAATCTTAGTGAAGCTTATTCAGGAAATTTACAAGCAGGAGAGATTATTGAAAGAGAACTTGCATCTATTGAAGAAAATGGATGTGAATATTTTAGAATTGGAGAAAAGAAATTAAAAGGTTTAGAAACTCCTGAACCTATTACATTAGTTTATACTAAAAAGTTAAAATTAAGATATGAATTTTTCCAAAAGAGATTATCCCAATCTGAAGAATCTGAAATGAGTACTCGAATTGTTGGAGCCCTTCCAGTCGAAGCAATTTATGGACTTCGTACAATTTCATTAAGATTAGAAAATATTTGTTCAACGTTAAATGGTAGTCATCCAATTAGTGAATCATTTCAAAATTCTTCCGTCGTTATATCAGAGAAGATGAATACTACCTTTAAAGAAAGTGATTTAATTGGACTTTTAAATCATATTGTCACTAGAATTGAAACATGTACAGCTACGTTATATGTCCGTCAACAAATGAGTGTGGCTAATGGAGATGGAGCATTTGAAAAATCAAAACCAATTACCAAAATTATGGATGAACTTAATGAAATCATTCAATTAATGGTAAAGCTTAAAGAAGAAAACAAATTAATTACGAATTAGAAAGATAAGATAAGATAACATGAGATTAGATGGCTTTAATATAAAAAAGGCATATCTAAATGGAATATATATATACATATAGACAATATATACAAAAAAAAAGCTTTAATAAAAATGACTTTATATTTTTTTTTGTTTGTTTATTGAGTCTTCTTTGAATCAACTACTTTTGATTTACCTAAAACCTTCTTACGTTGCTTGATCATATAAGTATAAAGCATGTAGAAACCTGGGATATAAGTGAATAAAATAGCTATCAATGCATATGAATACCATACCCCAATGACTTGTTTAGCTTCATCTAAGGATAAGTAAATCATAAAAGTTTCCGAAAACACACCAGTAGGATATAACACATAGAAAGTAGTATATCTTAACCAAGTTAAATATTCGGGAACGGTATCAGGACCTTTTAAATTAGATGCGTAGTAAGCATATCTTATAACTTCAGTGATGGACCAACTAAGACATAAAGTGATATAACACCAATGATAATTTGCGGGTGATTCAGGTAATAATTGACAAATACCCCATACGATCAAAAGACGAGAAAACACTTGAGTGACAGTGGTGAATAATGGAGACTTCACAATCCCAGTAGCGGCATTATAGATTTCAATTATAGCAAATGATTGAATTATAGTAGTTATTAAATTTGTCTTTTCAAAGAGGAATGGTTGTCCTACTGATACTCCTAAGAATACAGTATTGAAAAACACAATTGACCATAATGAAGCTGAGATAGAGTTATATGCGATAAGCCACTTCTTAGGGTGGGCTGCTTTAGATTCAGATGCCATGATATTTGATATATATTGAACTTATAAAGGCCAAGAGATCATTATTTATGTTTATATATATATATTTTTGTTGGATCCAACTTTTTTTTTGGCGGGTTGCTTTTGCGGTAATGATGCAAAAATGGATTAATTAATTATTCTTTTTTGATAATACTTTTTTACGTTGTTTTAACATATAACCATAAAGAAAGTAAAGACCAGGCAAGTAAGATGATAATCCAAATAATAAGAAGTAATAGTATGCTGTATTCTTGGTAACTACTGATAATGAAAGATATACCACCGAAGATTCACTAATTAAACCGATAGGATATAACATTAAGAAAGCAGAATATCGTAACCAAATTAACCAATATGGAGGTTGACTATTAGTATATAACAATTTAAAGGAAAAGAATATATATCTAATGATATCACTAGTAGACCATGCCCAAATAATCATATTGAAAAAGACAAAATGGTAATTTCCTGGACTTTGAGGTAAGGTATAATTTATACCTAAAGTGATTAAAGATCTTGCAGCAGCTTGAACTATTAAAGTAGGGATAGGTGATTTCACTATTCCAGTTAAAGAATGAATGATTTCCATTATGGAGTTGAATAATTGAGTGTATACAAGTAACTTATGAGGAAAATCACCTTCGAATTGATGGGATATGTAGTAATTTGATGAATCATGATAAATTTTGACTGCAATTATATCCCACATTGAAGTTTGTAGAATGGCTAACCATAATACTGCGGATATACCATTATAAGCAATCAAATATGATTTAGATAATCGTGACATAGCTTAAGATGTCAAATATCGTAGAATAGTATATCAATTGAAGTAGAGAATGATAATTGTTGATATTGAATATAATTATATGGTAAAAAGATTTTTCAACTATCATGGGATACAACTTTAAATGCTCCGTGGGTTAAAAAAACTGTTTTTTGTGGAGTCGTGAGCGTGTATAAAGTAATGTTGCTAAATTCATTTTTATTTTTGGTTTGATTTACAGAAAATAGTATGACGAAAAGACAGATTGTATTTTAAACAGGATTATATATATAAGAAAGATCGTAAGTTCATTAGATTAGATTAGATTAAATAAATAAATAGCCAGTTAGTTAGATAGCCGGTACTAAGTATACTTGCTTAGTATTTTTTGTAAACTTTCTTCATCAGCAGCTATTAAATTTTGATCCCAATCAATTATTAAAGGAGCTTTAAAAATATCAGCAGGTTGAACAGCTGCTAAATCATCTTCTTTAATTTCATGTAATTTATTGAAAGTTTCTTCAATCAAAGCATATTCACCTTCATTGAAAAGTTTATGACTAACACTATTCTTAGCTGCCACTCCTTTAAATGTAACTATTTCTGAAGCTGATACTCCAGTAGTTGTTCTATCATTTAAAAATGGATAACAATTGGTAATGAATTTTTTACTTTTAGAATCAACTAAACAATTAGATACAATATGTTTATATTGATCATAAGTTGGTATTCTATCTTTAGCTAAATCAATTATAAATTGATTAGGAGATTTAGATGGTAATTTAATATATGCTTTATCTAAGATTTGATATAATGCAGTTGAAAGTGGGATTTTAGTATTATGAAATAAAGTAATAGTAGCAGGAGAATTCTGCAAAGTTCTAAACATTGACATGATTATAAGTTGTAAGTTGTGAGTATATTATATTATATGGTTGATATATGGAAACAAGGGAGACAAGGAAGAACTTCGAAGTAAGGAAATTGACAGCAATTTATAGTTCAAAAGATAAGCTTAAAATTGATGATATTTTGCCGTTAAATCGTATGGTTTTATTGTTTTGATAAATTATTTTCAAATGACTCTCATTCCGTACTATGATTAATCATTCCCCGGACTCTATAATTAACGGACTTTTACTTCCAGAGTTTAATTATATGGCTCGGTTACAAGGATGTGCGGGATTGTTGTAGTCATGTTTTTTTTTACTGGTTGCGGATAAATTTTTCTTATTTGTCTGTAGATTGGTTAAAAAATGGAAAATGTCGTTTTATCCTAATCTTTCCATCCTTATATCCTCAGAAGTGAGAGTCTCTCACCATGTCTTATGACTAAAGTTGAAAAAAATGGCGTAATATTTTTGTTTTGCTTTTAGTCACTCTGTCGTTACACATAAAACTGATTATCAAATATTTAAAGTTAGCGTAAATTTTATACTGTGTGATTAGTTTTTTACACCCATTTACTAATATCATCATATCAATAAAGGGGTTCATCAACTAACAATCATCATGTGTCGGTTTATGATCTATAAGGGAAGAGATCCCATGTTACTTTCCGACCTTTTAACCAAGCCTGCCCATTCTATAATCAATCAATCATTTGATTCACGTCTTCGATTAGATATGAGAAATCCCATCAATGGAGATGGTTTCGGAGTAGGTTATTATACCGCTACAAATAAACCATGTATCTTTAAAGCCATCACTCCAGCTTGGAATAATGTCAATCTTAACAATTTATCCATGTGTACGGAATCAAGATTGGTATTTGGTCATGTAAGAGCTTCAACTCAAGGGGTGTTATCAGAAACTAATTGTCATCCTTTCTCTCATGGTAATATTATGTTTATGCATAATGGTGGAATATCATCATTTGATCGTATTAAAAAGAAATTGATCAATCATTTGGAAGATGAATTCTTCTTAATCATTCAAGGTTCAACTGATCTGGAATGTAGTTTTGCATTATATCTTGATACATTATATAAAATGGGTTATAATCCATCTGATCCAACCACAAAGTTTAGTCATATCATATTAAGAAACGCCTTAGTTAAAACCATAGATTTGATTAAACTCTGGCAAACATCAGTTACAAATGAACCTTCATTATTAAATTTCGCTATTACTGATGGTGAAAGTATAATCGTTAGTAGATATGTTACATCAAAAACTGAAGAAGCTGCATCATTACATTTCAGTACTGGATCTAAATTCTTCGAATATGAACCAGGTTTATTCAAAATGGAAAGATTAAATCGTTCTCAAGATGTTATATTTGTTGCTAGTGAACCATTAACCTTTGAAAGAGGAGATTGGATTTGTGTACCTTCAAATACAATGTTAACCATAACTAAGAATAATACTGTTTTAATGCATCCAATTGAAGATGAATTCTATGGAGCAAATGAAAGATCAGCAGATTTGGCTATAAGTAAAGGTTTAATGGGTGGTGTACCAAAACCTCGTCATGCTAATTCTCAAAGTGATGAAGTTGATTCTTCAATTGCTGAATTACCTCCTCTTGAAAGAGAAGGTAGAAAAATGTCTTCTGAATCAGTAGTATTCTAACATAAAAACACCAATATCATGTATAATAATAGTAATGACTACAATAGTTTTATAGATAATATATTCGGTAAGATTATTATTTTTTTTAAAGGGTTTAAATATATTTAAATGTATTCTAATTAAAAATCATTTCATGTCTGAAGTTAATTAAACTTCAATTTCAAATTCTTTTTTTCGTTTTTATATATAAGTACAGATTAGATTAGTAAATTGTTTTGAAAGGAATGTAATGAATAATTGAGTAAAATGAGGGAGGGTGCAAGAGTAAAAGTAAAATTTCAATAATAATGCAAAAAGTGGGAAAACAAACAAAGTAGACAAAAAATTTTGTCTAACCTTTACTGGCAGCTCGAGTTAATTTAGTACCATTTGAATCATTTTCTTCAGTTTCACCTTCTTCATCCAGATCATCATTTTCAGAAGAACTAGAAGAATCTTCACTTGAATAAGTTTCAGTATCTTCAGTTCCTCTTAATAATCCTGATGAATCGTATAATGGATGCGATTTCTTATATGATAATCCATCATCATTAGGATCAACATAATCATCAGTATCTTCATAAACGTCATTGGCAGAATAGGATAAGGCTGGAGTGGTGGTAGAAGTAGCAGTAGTGGTTGCATGATTTGTAATATCATCTTGGTCTTCTTCTTCATCATCACTTGATTCGTCAAGAGCTTTCTTTCTAGCGTCGATTGAAGGTGCTATTTCACTGGCAGCAGTATTGGTTAATTGCAGGGTCATGTAATTAGTGAAATGATCATCATCATCAGACTCAGATTCATCACTGTCAAGAATACGATCCTTAACCTTTTTGTTTGATTCGGTGGTAGATTCCACATGTTCTTCTTGTTCATCTTCATCTTCTGCATCTGGTTCACCACTGCCAAATCCTTGTCCAATATCATGATCCACATTTGGATCAAATACTAGACCACTTTTTACTTCTTCGATTATTTCATTTATACCATTATCACCATCATCAAAGGTTGTGTTTTCATCTTCTTCATCTTCTTCATCTTCTTCACCACCACCTAAAATGGCATTATATTTTTCTCTAGTATCAAATAAAACATTATTAACGTAATCTTCCCAAATTTCATCTTCAACTTTAATATCAATCAATTCACTTAATGAACTAGTTGGATATAATTGAATGAATTTAACTACTTCTTCCGCAATCAAAGTTAAATGACCCATGAATCCTAATCTTAATCCATTATTTAAACTTTCATAATCATTACATAATTTTTGACCTTCAATGATCTTATTAGTGATATCACCTAAATGGAATAAATCAATAGCTAAGAATTTATTAAATCCAATATCCATTGATCCATTTAAGATTTGTTGAACAATATCAAACACAACATTATGTAAGAAATTATTCCATGGGAATTTGAAAAACATCGATAAAATATTGGAAATTATTTGTGTATCAAATAAAGCAATCTTTAAGAAATCACCAACAACAGGATTGGCTCTAATTTGTTCTTCGGTAAGATTGGCATTGGCATGAGGTTCTTCTTCTTCTTCATCATCTTCACGCAAGGAATCTCCAATGTGTAATTTGGAATTGTTGAATGAATCTATAGTATCATTAGCGAAATCATTATTATTATTGGATGAAGGACTGGTAGAATTAGAATCAGAAGTTTTATCTTCATCTTCCTCGTCTTCAGTGGTAGGTTCTTTAACTTTTTCTTCTTCAGGGAGAACGATAATTTCATTATATTTGAAACTGATTGGATCATATTCTTTCATTTTATTTCTCAATTCATCTCTTTCCTTTACTACATCGAAACCTTTATTATCATTAAGTAAAGCCATATTGGAACAATGTAATAATTCAGCAATCAATTCACAAATTTTAAATCTTTCAAATCCTAAAGGTTCAATTTCTCCAAATGGAGTTTTCAATTTATTATCAGAATTATCCTTCATTAATAATTTATTAAATTCGGAAATCTTAGATCCAAATACTTTTAATAAATGACCTAAATAAATCGGATCTCTTCCTGTTGGTGGATGACTTTCCAAAGTGATGTATAATACAGGTAAAATATCATAATCGGAATTATTTTTTCTAATGATTTCTATAATTATACCAACTCCATTAGCTAATGCATATCCTCCTTTCAACATGATATTACATAATTGAATCATTTGATCGTATGAAACCAATTCTCTGGTTAATTCATTTGGTCCAATGGTTGAATTATCAGTAGTTGAATTGGCAGAAATAGTAATAAGTGCCTTCAAAAAGTCGGCAGCAGATGATTGTCGTATTAACAATTCATCCATAGTAGCATGAGTAACATTTTCATTATCATTAGGTGTATTTGTAGTATTAGATGTTGTGTTATCATTATTATTATTGTCATTGTCGTTATATTCTATGTCTAAGGCATTAATTAAATGAGTGATTAAATTTTGATTTTGTAAAAAGTCTATTATACCGGTTGAATTATCTGGTTTATCAGTTGAGATTAATTTTAAAAGGAAATCCATTAAAGGAGGATTTGATAAATGATTCATGAATTTATCAACTAAATTAGATTGATTTTCAATTAAATAAGTAATCATTTCATCACATTTCATATCTAATAAATGTTCCATAATTTTTGTGAAATACGATGATAAATTGATTGATAAAGGAGATTTTGAATCAAGAATGGACCATAACTTATTAAGATCAATGGTTGATTCCATGACAGTATCAGTTAAAGACCATACATCCGCACTTAAGATTTCAGTGGCAATAGCAGCTCTTCTACTTGCTCTTTCCTCAGTGGTTTCTTCATCATCATTGGTTATATTACTAACATCTTCGTCAATGTCTAATGATTTATCTTTATCATCTTCTTCGTCATCATCATCATCGTCATCTACTTCTTCGTCATTGTCTTCTTTATTGTTATCTTTTTCATCAATTTCTTGTTTTTCATCAACAATTGGCATTTCTTCATCTTCGATATCAGATTTACTGCCATTGTTATTACTAGTGGAGTCATTTTCCTTATCAGTTATTATATTTGAATCAGATTCTTCTTCTTCTTTATTCTGTTGTTGTTGTTGTTGTTGTTTATCTACTTTTTCACCTTCATTGATGACCAAGTCAGCTAACATACTTAAGACTTCATGTTCTCGTAAGAATTCCAATAACATGGGATTATTCGATAATAATTCTTGAAGTAAATCATTTTCATCCAATAGTTTTAACAACACTTCGAATGAACTTGAGTACAGTAAATCACCCAGTTCTTGATTGATGGTATGATTTTCTAATATGGTTGAGATATTAGATAATGAAGTGAATCCATTATTAAATTTCCAAAACGAACCTGACATGATGAGAGAGAATGAAATTAAGTTATAGTATGAAAGGATAGGAATGCAGTAGATTAAATGAGATTATGTTTGATTATATTGCTTTGGATTATGATGGTTGGATGGATGGATTATGCTAGCAGTAGATGTGAATACAACGAAAGTGAGGAAAGGTTGGGTTATTTTTGATCTGATAGGATGGATGCTAACAATCAAAGGAATGGATTGGATTGGATGAAATACGATTGATATAATTACTTAGTCACCTTGAATGATAAGTACTTGATATTTTGTATTGATGTTGTTTCCCAATGGAATGATAGGAGGAGGTGGGGGGAAGGCAGTGATGGGATTTGGATGGATGATTGGGATTGATATATATTAGATTGAGATTCAATAACAAAACGGTTAGAGGGGGGTTGAAACTAGAACGGAAGCAAATACATATACTAGTGGTGGGTAGTGGTCCATATGTCGTAGTACATACACTTGATCTGACCAGCTATGACTGTTGATGTGATGGCCCTGTTCGATAATTAAAGAAAGTCAAAACCTCTTTCAACACTGACTGTATTTTGAATCTGTCTAGAAGTTTTTTACTGCTCACTTGAGACTTAAACCTGACAGACAAAAATCTCAAAAAAAAAGAAAAATAAAAAAATGTCAGAAAAAAAAATTTTTTTTTTTTGAACGACAAATTTTTTTGTTGGTGACACAAATTGACAATTTGACTGAATTAGCAGAGGATAATTTTGAAAAATCATCATTTAACGGTGTACAAAGGGTTCGACCATCACTAAGTTAGCCAACCAATCATTGCATACCTGAGTTTGTTGTTCGTGGTAGACGTAGTCCAACAATAGTTACAGGTGATATCTTCCCATTCCATTCATTTTCTAACGTTTTCCCATAATCCATCACATCATATACTCACATCTACACTATGTTTAGAAATAGTCTAAGTGTTAGGTCAATAACCTCGATCAATAATATCATTACCACTAATGCTTACAGATCATTAGCCACTGCATCCATACAATCCAATATAACCTCAGATTTGACTCCTTTAAAAATCAATTCTAATGGATCTAGAGATTTATATGCTATCTTCAAATTACATAATATTCCATATTTAGTTACTAAAGGTGATAAAGTATACTTACCATTCAAATTAAAGAATGCTAAGGTTGGTGATCTGTTAAAATTAAATAATGTCACCACTTTAGGTTCACCTGAATATACTTTTAAAGTTGATCAAGGTATTAATAATGAATTATATGAATTAAAAGCTAGTGTGGTTGAAATCACAAAGGAACCTTATTATGAAGTTTATAGAAAGAAACAAAGATGTAGAAGATTAAAAACTTTCCCAGTTGAACCATTTCAAACGGTTTTAATGATCAATGAATTAAAATTAACCTAACTTATGTAAAGTTAGTTTCCCCCATCATTCTGTACATATTCATCCATAAGTGTATATAAACTATAAATATAAAATCTGCATATATATATACATACATACTATTACTATTCCTTCTTTCTATCTTTTATAGTCTCTGCTAATTTGGTGTTTTGGAATTCAAATTTATCATCAACTTTTGTAAATGGATCATTAATCAATTGTTTAGCAGTAGGCCTAACACTTGAATCAATAGTAAGACATCGAAGTATAAAATCTCTTGCATCACATGAAATTCTGGAATCAGTACTTAATTTCTTATCAATATCTTCCACAAATTGTTCCGCAGATTTACTATCAGACCATGGTCTTCTCCCGGTAAACATCTCAATCACCACACATCCTAATGACCAAATATCAACTTTAGCACTATACCCCACATATTTCTTATTCTTAAATATTTCAGGTGCCATACAATATCGAGTACCTTTAAATGAATTCTTCATATCATTAGCATAAATATCTTTAGATCTCTTCGAAATTCCAAAATCAGATATTTTACATGTACCATTATCATCTAATAATAAATTATCCGCTTTTAAATCTCGATGTAATATCCCATTGGTATGTAAATATTCTAATCCTGATAAAACTTGCTTAATAAGGAATCGAATCAATTGTTCATCAAATTTACCCACATTCTTAATACATGATCCAATTGAACCCCCTGGAACGTATTCTAAGAATATATTATATTCATTATTCTTTTGAGAATGTCCTAAATATTGAACAATATTTTCATGATGTAAATCTTTCATATTTTCAACTTCTTTCAATAAATCAACTGAAATTTGGGATTGAGGACTATAAACAATTTGTTTAACAGCAAACATTTCCTTAGTTGTGACATTGAACCCTAAATAAACTGATCCAAATGATCCACTACCAATCTTATCACCTTTAATCCAAGCAAATTCTTTAAATTCAACAGCATCTCCATTTCCTGTTGATGTTCCTTTGGTACCTCCAATAAACTTAACTTCACTCTGGTCTGTAAGTTCAATAACTTTAGATCCCCATAATTTAGTATTAGATCTCTTAATCTCTGGATTCTTCTTATAAATGTTCTTAGCTTCGATACAAGCAGCCCGAATCGACTTTAATCTTCCTCTACCAACATTCTTAAATCCATCCACCAACTCTTCACTCGGTTCAGAAGGAGTTATAGGTGATTTATTAGCATTCGAAAACGTTCTCGAAATAGTAGGTTTCCGAACTGGTAAGTTTTCATCTCCAGAAATAGGAACAGAAGCTCCAGGTGTTGGATCTTCATTAATAATGGGTTTTTCTAAATCTGTATCAGGAAAATATCGATCAAAATTCTCATACACTTCTAAAATAGCAGGTCTAACCGTTGGGTTTATATTATTCTTTCCATCTCTTAAAGTTAACTTTCGAACATTCAGAATTGGTTTGAGTGGTTTAATAAAAAATTGATCATCACCATTATTAGGATTAAAATCGGCTAATGGAACATCATCAAATACAATGGTATTCTCTTTGAATAAATCAACATCATTTCTTCGAGAACTTATACTTGAATTACGACTTCTATTTCTATCAAGTATAGAACTAGTTATACTTGACACAGATGAGACTCGATTACGTCTTTGAATTGAATTTGTTCTCTTTAATCCTTGAATTTCAGCAGGAGGAGGTGGAGCTACTCTCTTAGGAATGATTCCTGCTTTTTCTCGCTCGCTTGATGTTCTTGATTGACCATCATATGGCGGTGTAGATTCAGAAGTTAAGGTAGGAGCTGTACTGTTTGTTGGAGTTTTCTTATCATCCTTTAAGATTGAAACTGTAGTAGCTGATACTGGTGATCTATGAGAATCAGTAAGTGATGAATCTTGAATAGTAGCAATTGGCTTAGGAGCAGTTTGGAATGGTTTATTCTCACGTCTCTTTTCAAAATCAATCAAATTACCCCGAGGTGGTAAAATCTTAAATGTTGATATTGTTGTCGGATCATTTTCCTTATGGACAAATAAATTTCTACTACTATTACTATTAGTAGCTGTGATCGTTGTTTCAGCCAGTAATGAACTGGTAGGTTTAATATTAGTTGCTTCTTGTGATAATTTTCTATTAGTTGGGATCTCCAATTGCATGGGGAAATCTTGATGAGTTAAATGCTTCCTATATGACTTATTATTAAGCAAACCGCCTTCTTCAATGGTCTTTTTATGAATTTGTCTTAACATATAATCACTCTTCACATTCAAATAATCGATTTCTTTATCTTTCGAACTTTCAAGTAAGTATTGAGGAGTATGATTATATTCAAAAGATTTAGAATCAGATGATGTTGTTGAAAAAGTAGTTGTATCTGGTGAATGCAAGATGTGATGGACAACTAATTTGCAAATTGATTGTGATTGTAATACTTGAAGCAATACTGATTCGGGTAATTCCATTCCCTCTTCTTCAGCATCAAAATCAGTTAAATGGAAAGTCACCTCTTCAGCATCAACAAGATTTAATGCATATAAGACTTTGGCTCTGAATTTAATAAAGTTAGTCTTTTCTTCTTCACCAACTTGAATAGGAACGAACTTTTTATTATCATCACTGACCAATACTGTAGAGTTTGAACCAATCTTCTTTTCTCGAATTCTAGGTAAATATTTATCATCCAACACAGGAAAAATGATTGGGCTTGGTGGTTTTCTTTGTACCAATTTTGAATTTTCGGCGATATTCTCTTTTGGATCAACCAAGACTGGACTGTGACTATGGTGCTTATGATGTTGCTTCTTGGTAGTAAATGCAACTGGCTCAGTAAATTTCTCTACTTCTATTCGTGGAAGTAAGATCTTTGGGATATCCCTGTTGGTTGTGAATTCTGAAGTATCTTTAGGAAACTCTTTGACCACTTGTGGTGTCTTTTTATTCACCATTTGTTGTTGTTGTAACTGTTGCTGTTGTTGTTGATTTTTTAGTTGTTGTTTAGAGGCTTTGTCATTACTTAATTTCTTAAATGTACCAAATATACCACCCTTCTTGGAATCCTTTGCAATGACTTGACTTCCATTCTGATTATTGAATGGTGTCTTTAAAAACCTTGAACTGGGACTTTCATCAACTCTTGTGCTCAAACTACTCTTACTACTAGTAGAAGTAGCTGAAGCGGTAGATGTAGGTGGTAAAGAATCCTTAATCGTAGAACTGTCATTAGATCTAGATCGATTATGTTTTCGAAGAAAGTTGGATGATAATGATGATGGGAATTCAATGGTAGGACTCTTATAACTACTTGGATCAATATATGAAAATGGTCTTTGCTTGCCTGATTTCAAACTATTGACGTTTGCATAAGAATCTGAGGGTGATATAGATGCTACTGATTTCCTTTTATAAAATGCTGATTGAGGTCGAGGATAATCTGAAAGATTAGTACTATAAAAGTCAGGCGAAATCAGAGATTCGGATACTTTTCTGGAATGCAGGAGATTTTCTTCTTCTGATATAACGATCTCTTTCTTTAATAATTCAAGAAATCTTTCTACTGAATTATTATCATCATCGATGGTTAAATACTTCGAGAATTGTTGCCAAGTGGGTGAATTCACTTCATAATTCTCTAAATCTAGAAACCTATGACCTGATATTTCATTCTTTCTGAATGTTTCCTTCCACGAGTTGTTAAATCCATTATAGTCGAGCCATACTAAGACACTCAGCATTGGCCATCGACCGGAACTTGAAGCAGATGAAGATTGGGTGTTCATGGCATATCTTACAAATCTCATATTTTTACTTGACCGTTCCAGTGGCAAGGTCGAGACAGAGTTTGCCGACGCATTTGAAATGGTGGACGACTCTGAACTTTGACGTATATGATTGGGTAATTCTTGACTACTTATAGGCTTTTGATCTGATAATCTATCACTACTATAACTTGGAACCAAATCTATTGAACTACTGCTATAACGTGATGATACATCTGGAGGTATTGTGAGAGTTGTTTGAGTTAAAGAAGCTCCCGTGAACTCTTCAATTTCGTTTATTGTTGGTTCTTTGTCTAGAATATCGGTGGTTGGATCTCCTATTTGTGATGGAAACGGAAGAGTGCTACTTGATAGTGGTAAATCTTGAAATTCTTGGACAGTATCATCATGATTCTCGATGAAGCTTGAATTGGCCATGAATAGATTGGCTGGATTAGTTTGAAAATTAAAGTCGTCATCCATATCTTTGCCTTCGATTGCCTCCGATTCAGATGATAATGAAATAAATTCACTCAGATTAGTGGTACTAACGGAAACCATGCTATCTCGTTTTTGAAATATTTGAGGAAGTGAATTGGTATGAGGAGGCGGAGGAGGTTGGGGGATAGGATTAGCAGCAGCAAAGCCATGACTCCGAGCATATATCTCGGCATCCGAAGCTACTCTTTCCTTGGGCTTGTTTCTTTGGGATTGAGGCTGTATATTTGGTGGTATTCCATCTGATGATGATGAGGGCACTTCGGGAGTTGTAAATGGAATGATATGAGCATTGAAAATATGGACCCTGTTCGGTTGACCCCTCCCATTGTTATCTAGATTCCTCAGAATCGTCATCTATTATAGTCCCTATCGATGAATTAATATAATGTGTTGATAATTGTCTATTACTCCACTTTTTGACACCTCTTTTGACTCTAAAAAAATGACAGCCTTTATTTAATATATTTTTCTTTTGTGGATTTGATTCCGCGTCTAAAATGATTAATCTGAATTATAAATAGCAACACATATCTTTGATCTAACGGTCAATTAGGGAACAATAACTATCGTTAAATGGAATCTTTAAGTGAGTTGCTACTACTCACTGTACGGGATTTGCAGAAGTTGAAAATCTTCCCGTTGAGTAGCAGTTCTCACGAGTATGAAAGCTTACTCAAGGGAACCATTACCAATATCCTACGATTGATTGATTGGGATCAAACTGACTTCTACAAGTTAACCATTTCAATCGAACCAAAGATTAATGGAGTCAATTCGTTGAACGTATTGTACTATTTCGATAAATCATCTCAATCTGATGTCAAGGATATCCCAACTAAGGATATCTTAAGTTATTTCCATAAGTTTCATCAACAAGGTAGTAACAAATCGAAATTGGATCAAATATTATCTTTAATCGAATATTTACTAGGAAAGGATCATATACGACACTTGTACAGTGGAGTGTTATCCAAACTCACAACTTTCATTAAATTCCTTATTGCATTCAACAATGACTGTGAATCTCAAATAATACAACTACTTTCTGATTGTTTCAGATATGATTTAAAATTCTATTCTAAAATACAGCATGATGGGAATAATGATATAACAGAAGAGGAATCAATTGGAATAAGTCGAATATTAGACAAAATAATCGGACAAGATCTGGATGTTTCCAACGATAATTCTACATCTGAAGCAACTGATTTCAACATACCATTACAATTCAAATCTAATAATGAAAACTTCAGTTCATTATATAACACATTACTCAAAATTGCAACTCTTAGGACTATAGATATAAAAGATGCCAGAAAGTACTCTGAGTTATGTCTATTCATATTTAAAACTGTCTATAATATTCAAAGTATAGAAATTGACAGTTTTCCATACAAAGAAAAGAAATTTGGTTCGTTTCATGATCTTTTAATTGGAGATTCAGGAATACTATCGAAATCTTATGGTGTAACAAATTCAAGAATAATAAATGATTATAATTTCTTTCCTGAATTAAAGAAAGATCATGAAATAGCCCCTACATCTTTTCCTATATCACAACCAGTGATTGAGCATGAATCTTTTTCAAATCTAGGTAGCACCAAACAGGAGAGACAAGAGATTCTTCACCATTTCAAACGAATTATTCCTTTGTTAAATGAATACAATCTTGAATTCGACATTGATTTTATTCCTGTTCTTAGGAGATATATGTCTTTACTTCATGACGAACTTCCTACAGCTGCAGTTATTGCCGATTTCAACTACATTGATCAAATAGTAACCTTATTGAATCTTATCATTGACTTCGAAAATGGAAAAGACGAGACATTAGTGACCAACTTTAAGAATACTGTTGATAGAATACATGATCTTCATAAATATTTGACAAGGTACTATGTTGCTGAAATTCCATCTACTACTGTGTTAATGCGCATAGCAGTCATTGAATACTATAAACGTATTGCCATTCAACGAATTGTAATAAAGAGCTGGTCTTTCAAGTTTTCACAGATAGAGCAAGTATCAACTACTGTCTTAGATAATTGGACCATAGTTAATAACAAGAGATATATACGAAACTACCTTACAAGATGGTATAGTCAAGGTCGTAAATTGAAAGATTTGGAAAATATAGCTATCAAGTATGATAAAAGTATAACGATTGATAAATTTTTCAAAAACATTTCCAGGGCTAGAGCATTAAGATCTGAAAGTATTAAGAAAGGTGACTTGCACATTGTCAGCTCGTACTTTGAGTTGTGGGCTGATAAGAGTTTATTCTTAGAAGGTATGTCCAAGAAAGCATTGGACTTTGAAAGACAAGTTTTGTTTCAAAAGGCATTTTCAACTTGGAATCAAAATTTGCTGTATCAAAATAGTCTAGCTTCAGTAGCTAAGAGTAGAAATGTTATAAGGGTTCAAAAGGAGGACTCGGTTTTGGTAGAAATCACTTGGTCAAACTGGTATAATCTTATGGTCTCGAGGGTTCAACAAGGTAGTATACTGAAACCATCTATCGATACAAATAAGATAAAAGAACTTGGGAAGCTTGAAAGGAAATTCTTGATTACTAAGATTTTGAATAAATGGACTCGCTCATACTGTCTTGAATCAGCTAAAAAGAAAGTTCAATTGCACAATGATAAAATACTTTTGTTTGATATTTTTCATGATAAATGGCAAGCAAAAACATCAATGTCCAGTAAAGCCAAAAATTATCTTCTTAACAAGGATCAACAGTTAAAACTTGATCTTTTTGTGATCTGGAAAGATTTGGCTGCAAGAAGGGCAACAGCTGACAAGGTTTATATACAAAACAAGCTAAGACAGTTCGTGAAATTGTGGAAGCTAGAGACATTAATTGGAGATTCTAAAACCAATCGATTGAAAAGATATGAAGATTCACTTCTAGTTCGTCATTTTAAAGATTGGAGACTTAAGTATAAATTAAACGCATTCAATTCGAGGAACTCATATACTCTTAAACAAGTGACATTGCTACAATTATCTTCGAAGTTTGATGATATAAATAGTCATTATGAGCTATCTGAACAATTTAAGAATCATAACTCAAAGACTTGGGCTCTAGAAGTATGGAAAAATTATTTTGAGATGCTTTCAGTGGCCAATGATTGTGCAGATACTTATGCAAAGGGTCGGACTTTCAATCATTGGGCTAATAAACTAGAGACTTATAATAAGTTGTACTTGAAACACATCGGTGATAATTCAATCCTGTTTAAGGATAAGTTTTTACTAAGAGTTTTTTTAAAGAAATGGCAAGAACGGTTCGAGCTTAATTTTGATGATAATTCGAATGCAGTGGTTCAAGACTTCCAGGAAAGATATGTAAATCATAACTTAAAACTAAGAATGTTACGAAAATGGGTTGAAAATTACAATTTTGTATTAGCCAAACAAGATGCTCTTGAGTACAGAGAAAGAAAGTTTCATGAAGACAATGCTAGCATAGCTCCACATTTTTATAAATGGAAGGAGATTTCATATAAGCATTATGATCTTGCACTGCAAGCTATATCATTTGATGAAACGGTATTGAGAAAGAAGAGTTTGATTGTTTGGTATAGACAATATGTTAATAAGAATGTTTATTTAGAAGAGATAGCTTCGGAATTCCTTGATAATGCAGAATTTAGACAAATGCAAGAAATTTTGAGTAATTGGAGTATGAGATTCATGAAGATGAAAAGAAATCAACAAAGTTGTGATTTATTTATAAAGAGGTGGGATGTTTCAAGAACAAAGATCTTATTTGATCTTTGGCAATGGAAGATGGAAGAATCTCATAATGTATCTTTTGACGATTCGGAAATCATTCAAAATCCATCACCATTGGCATCTAGGTCAAGCAGAGTACCTAGTGATAAAAGTGTTAGCTACTTATTTACGCCTTTGAAGAAACAAGTATCTCCAAGGATACCATTAGCTACTCCAGGAACAACACTTAGATCTAGTCCTACCAAGCTCCATGAAACAACACAACGGTTAAAAAACGAAAAAATGAATGAAGTAAGAAGGCATTTCAGTAGGTTTAGAAGCTCGTCTACTCCAAAACATTCTAGTGTTTTCAGCGGTGAGCCAAGAACAACAGAATCGAGGTATCCAAGGTTGCAGCCTTTAACTACTTCAAGTATTTTACCACCAAAACCACCTAATTTTTCCATGCAAGACCAAGTGGATGTAGATGATGATACTGAATCTATCGAAACCGCCAAAAGTTTGAGGAAAATCACTCCTATCATGTTTCCTACTGACGATGATTTCCAACAACCTAAATTCTCACCAATCAAATTAAGAAGTCGAAACAGTAATCTTATACTGTCTGGGGATATAAACAGTACATTCTAAATCTTTTATGTAAATTATTATTGTATATTATTAAGGGTAGTTGTATATATATATAAGGGGCTTGTAAATAGAAAAATACTTTTAATTTCAATCTTCTTGACTTAAGATTTCTTCAACAACAGAATCAATCTGTTCATTGATTTCTTCAATCACTTCGTCGACATCTACTTCAGCAGGTTCTTGCTTATCTTCAATCACTTCTCCTTCTTCGATTGCCTTTTTGTAAACATATAAATAATCATCAGTGATGACTAACAAATTCAATAACTTAAGTAAGCTTTCTTCACCAGTGATAATTTTTTGAGCAAAACCAAAGTAATCGTCCTTTTCTTTTTGGATAACGTATAATAATGGATAAATAGTTATACCTCTGAAGATTTGAGATTTGTGAAGTAATTCCCAATTAGTATGATCAAAGGCAAACGATTTTGGATTAGATCCTACGATTAAATCTTCACTTACTAAGATATCAATATCATTCCAAATCTTTTCAAGTTCAACTTCAGTTTCCGTCTTATCATAAGTGATGTAATGAGAGTTTAATTCTCCAAATCTTGAAACACCAGTCATACAAGCTGCCACATCCAAATGAACTAAAGTGTTTGATTGTTCTTTTTGATTGGATTCAATATATTGATTAACGAAAAGTAAGGCATCAGCTCCTGGATAATTGAAGCTGGAGAAGTATCCCATAAACAATGAAAATACTAAGGCAACTGCGACATTGATTACAGCGATTATAACAAGTAATTTACTAGACCAACTAATACTCCATTTCATAGCAATGTTACCAAGACCATTGGCGGCTTGAAGAGTGAAAATTGGAATAATATAAGTAATAAATCTCCATTCTTTATGACCTTGGAAAGATAATGCAACGATGAATAAGATAGATGAAACAAATAAAACTCTAAGTGAGTTTTTAGCAGGATGAGGGATAACTTTTTCAGTTTCTTTTTCCTTATCAGAGGAATCTTTTGAAATGATTTGTCCATCATCAGCTGGATCATTAACTAAACCTGGAAGTAAAAGTAAAAGAATAACAGGAGGTCTGAATAAGCCCCAAATATATTTTGTGAAATAAGCTGACCATGGTTCAACACCCCATGCAGCAGATTTATTTAAAATGACGTTAAATTGGAAAGCAGAAAGTTCAGGAACGACTAAATAACCCCAGAAATAAGAATCAACAACAAAAGATAAGAGTCCACCAATGACAGCCCCACTAGCAAGCATAATTACATTGATAACAATATTTGATTGACCAAAGATTAAAGATGAAACCATAGCAATAATGACGGCAAATAATCCAATTTCAGATCTGAATACAGCTCCACAAAAGGCTAACCAAGTCAAACCAGAAATATCACCCTTGAGAAGTTTACTAAAGGCTAAATTTACAATCGGTAAAGCAATGAAATTTGGTAAAGTTCTGGTTGAATAAAATAAAATATGGAATTGACTGAGTAATAAAACCAGATACCAGAATCCCAATAACCCTTTGATTTTACTTTTTCTATCTCTGAAGGTAACACTATTGATACTTTCTCTGATTTGAATTAACAGGAATGCATTCAATAAACCTAATACAGCTCTAACCACTAATTGTAAATCATTTTGAGTTGATTGTTGTAATAAATCGTAACCAAACACAGAAGTAACAGTATTGATCACTTTGACAATACCAGCTAATACCAAACTACCGACGAAAGTTCTTGGAACAGCCCCTGGAAACACGATATGATCATAATTGTCTTCAATGGTTTGTTTGGGGAAGATACCATAATTAAGAATATCATGAATAGCTTGCAAATTGAATGATTCTTCAACCTTAGTAAATGGAGCAATGATTAAGTAAAATGATATCAAACCAATCAAGGCAGCATCTAACAACTTGTTGTATCCATACATCTTGAAGGTCTTAAGAAGAAGAAGAAGAAGAAGTAGATACTTGAAACAGTTAAAAAGTGAAAAATTAAAATATTTTAAAATCTGTCAAAGTCAAAATCAAAATCTGATCATCACACAAAATTAAAATGGAGAGGCATACAAGCAGAGAGCCAGATAACCCTGCGGATACAGTATGAAAAAATCGTTTTTTTTTATTATTTATTATGGGATCATTATATATATATATATATATATTGATAAGACTTTAACGAATTAGATTAGGAATGGCTGATGACGATATCCCTGATTTGGTTGAAGATTTGTCTTCAACAGATATAACTAATTTATCTAAATATACTCAAATACCCACTTCCAATCCATCATCATTACTTAATAATGGCAATCTAAAAGTGAATGATGACAAACAGCAACCATCACCATCACCATCATCATCAAATAAGAAGATTCCAGTGTCAATCATAACAGGATACCTTGGATCTGGAAAATCAACTTTGTTGGATAGGATCGGTAAAACCTCAAATAAGAGATTGGCTATCATCTTGAATGAATTTGGTGATTCATCTGTGATTGAAAAATCAGTGACGGTAAAAGATTCTGAAAAAAATGAATCTATAGAAGAATGGTTGGATCTTGGGAATGGATGTTTATGTTGTACAGTCAAAGATAATGGAGTTATGGCCATTGAACAATTAGTGGAGAATTCAAAAGACAGAATTGATTATATATTACTTGAAACCACTGGTGTGGCTGATCCATCCCCCATAGCTAAAATGTTTTGGTTAGATGAAGGATTATCTTCAAATATATATATTGATAGTGTCATCACCGTTGTTGATGCTGAGAATATCATTACATGTTTGGATGATGTAGGTGGTCATTGGCATCGAGAACATAATCATTTAAAATCTCTTCAAGATGCTAAAGAAGTAACCATTGCTGAAATTGATGATGAAAATAAAAAGTTAAGTGAGGGTTTAACTACTGCTCATATACAAATTGCTCTTGCTGATACAGTTTTAATTAATAAAATCGATAAATTAAATGGATCAACTGAGAAATTATCACAAATAGAACAAAGAATAAAAAGTATAAATCAATCAGCTCCCATTCATACCACTAGTTTTGGAGATATAGAATTATCCAAAATCTTAGATCTCCATGCATTTGATTTAAACTCAGAACGGTTAAGTGAATCAATCTATCTTCAACAAGAAACTAGTTTCCATGATCATAGAATCACTACTATAAGTCTTAATTTCCCATTCTTTGAACATACGAAACAATTTAATCAATTTGAATCATTCTTACAGTATGTATTATGGGAAAGTATAATCAATGATAAAGAAGTTGAGATTCATAGATTAAAAGGGTTATTAATCAAGAAACCAAATCACGACAACGATGAAGATGTTGTGGTTAAAGTGGTACAAGCCGTCAGAGATACTTATGATATTGTGGAAGATGGTAAATTATTAGAAGGAGTAACTGAGAATAAGTTAGTTCTCATTGGGAAAGATCTCAATTATGATGATATAATGACTGAATTGAATAAATTCGTAAAATATTAAACCAACAAAATGTATAAAGAAATCATGTAATTAGTTATATATATATATATATATAGAAAAGTGGCTGCTACCATATATTAAAATACATAGAAATAGTTAGCGCTTTAAACATTTTTTGAGTGTGTCGATGATACTTTTTTTTGGGGCATTGAAAATTTTTTTCCAAAGCTGGAGGAGTGTAGAAAGTGATTTCAACAAAGGGTAAATTCACTTACAATTAGATTCATATATACACATCCATAATGACTGATTCTAAGCCGGATCCAGTCAAGACAGGAGCAGAGGCGGCCACTACTACTACTACTCCTCCTCCTCCTGATACCAAGACCAGACCACCTAAGAAAGGTTGGTCAAATCCAGCATTAAGAATGATGGGTATTCCAAGAATAAGTTTACCATCTCGTAATTGGCTTATATTTGGAGCTGTTGTATTTGGTATTGGAGGTGGTATTGCGTATGATAAGTATCAACAATCCCAAATACGAAAGAAATATGTGGGGCAAGTTGAATATTTAAGTCAAGTACCTTATGCCAATCAATTAAAACCTAGAAAAGTTACTGTATTCATTGCTCCTCCACCAAATAGTTTCTTAGATGATTCTGTAAGAATATTTAGAAAGTTTGTTAAACCAATTTTAAATGCTGCTGCTATTGATTTTCAAATTGTTTCTGAAGGTAGACAAGGAGAAATACGTCATGTTGTGGCTAAGAAGATTCGAGAATTAAGAATAGCAGCATCTGAAAGAGATAATAATAATAATAATAATAAATCTGATGCAGACAAAGTTAAGACCAATATTACAAATGGAGAAGAAACTGTCAGTAAATATGATTTATATGGTCCAACTAATGTCTTAGGGTTATATAAAGTGTTTGAACCAGTTAAAGTTCAATCAGAAGATGAATTAAATCCCAATGAAGCAGGTGGTATTATTTGTATTGGAAGAGGGGCATTTAAAGAATATATTACCGGTGTACATGAAGGGTTATTAGGACCATTAGAAAAACCCCAATCATTGATTGATGAAGAAAATCGTATAGTTGAAGAAAAACAAGCTGCAAAAGCTGAAGCTGAAGCTAAAGGTGAGACATATAGAAGTGGAGATGATGATGATGACGATGAAGAAGAACGTACACCAGTAACCAAACCATTCATAACCAGTGACAAATATGGTGATGCATCATTTGCTCCTGAATTTCTTAATGTTAAGACAGTATTAAATCCTGAATCAAATATTCCCGCTGTATTTGAACAACCAGTATATGTTTTCCCTGTTCCTAAATTAACGGGATTTTTAAAGACTCCTCAAAAGATTTATAGATATTATACTACTCGATATTTAGCTGATGATTATGGATCAAGAACATTAGCCATTATAAATGATAAAATTAGAGATTATCAATTTAAAGATACATTTATGGCAAAGGAAGAAGAAATTGAATGGCCAAAGAAATGGGTTGAAAAGGGTAAAGAAAAGAATTCCGAATGGGTTCAAGAATTAACAGTTGATGATCGAGTCATTAGCCGAATGAGAGTTTATGATCCAGAATTATAAATATAAAGTATAATCATTTATTTATTATGTACATAGTTTATTATATTATTATTAGTTATTTTCTTTTCCATAAAGTATAATTATAAACAAAATCACCTTCTTTAATGTCGTCTTCGATGGAGATATCATCACCTGCGAACTCTTGTAATTCACTTTTACTAGATTTAATCCAACCTCCATTATTATTACTATCATAAATGGGGAAATTTAAAAAAGTATCAATTGGAACTTGATGATCTTTATTTGAATTTTCAACTTCAGTGATTAAAAGATGATCGATTCTTGAATCATGAATCAATTCATTATATATTTCTGCTCCACCAATGATGAATATTCTTTCAATCAGTTTTTTTAATTGATCTTTATTAGATAATTGATTTAATGCAACATCAATAGAATTAGCATGAATCACATTCAGATCGATGATTTCATTCTTAAATGAACGAGATAAAACCACATTGATACGATTAGGCAAAGGTTTGAACTTATTCGGTATTGAATCCCATGTTCTTCTTCCCATTATAACCGCGTTAATATGATCATGATTCTTAACTTGAGTAGTTATATCTTTGAAATATTTGATTTCTTTACGTAATCTCCAAGGTAATTTACCTTGATAACCTATCCCGAGGTTTGGTTTGAGGGCAGCTACTATTATTGAGATAGTTGGTTTTGAAATGTCAGTTGTCATCCTTGGTTGGTTGGTTGGGTTGGGTTGAGTTGAGTTGAGTTGACCTTATTGAATGTGAATGATCTCATTGATATACGTCTGTAGCTGTTTGGTTAACTATTTAAGAGTCAAAACGCGATTTCTTTTAGAGAAGTTGTGCAAAGACACGCAAATCAGTTTTGTGTTATTTTAACAAAAGTAGTGTCTTTTAAAAAACATAAACATTGCAAAAAAAAAAGAAGAGTGAAAGTATCACCATATTAAAACAATGTAAGATATTTATTCACAAATACAATATTATAATACTAAAGATAAGAAAGAAAGAAATAAGAAAATAATAATAATAATAATAATAAGAACAATATAATACTATACTTTGAAAATAATCAACAAAGTCAATATTAAAGAGATTCAAATGATAAACTATATATAACAAACATAGAATATCAAAGGAAATATAACATTTCCTTAAACAAAACAAAAGGGAGAAAAAAAAAATCAAGTACTATACTAATAAAACAACATTTCATCGAAAATCAAGTTATATCCAATCACTCATAAAGCAATCAACATAATCAAAGTTCGAGTGAAACAACAAAATGATAAAAAATAATAATAGAAAAAAAAAGTTGAAGGAAAGGAAGGAGGGGGGGAATAAAAGGTAATTTCAGCTAATGTACAATAATAAAGGTAACGATAATGAAAATAATAATAATAATAACGATTTGATAAATAGTTTTCTTTTATACTTCACTTCATTTTTTTAAAAAGAACAAATTCTTTTTTTTTTTTCTTCTTTTCAAATTAAAATCTCTTTTTCATTATAAAATTACTTATTTAGTAACTTTCTTTGGAGCAGCCTTTTTAGTCACTTTCTTTGGAGCAGCAGCTTTTTTAGTAACTTTTTTAGCACCTTCAGTTTTCTTAGCAGCAACCTTCTTTGGTTTGGCAGTAGTAGTCTTTTTAGAAACTTTCTTAACAACCTTCTTTGGAGCAGCCTTCTTTGGAGCTTTAGTAGCTGGTTTTTCCTTCTTGGCAACTTTAACTGGACCAGATGGACCTTTTGGTTGTAAGAAAACACCGGTTTCAACACCCTTTCTTAAAGCAGTGTTGAATAAAGAATCAAAGTTAGCAGCTTTAATGTTGTTGTTAGATTGAACGTATTTCTTAATAGCTTGACGACTAGAAAAGTGAGGGGAATTGTTAGTAAAGAAAAAAGTTCAACAGCGACAACATGCGAACGAGATTGTAATTATAGATTGATATCTTTCTCTAATATAGTCATATTACTTCATCATTGCTTTATGACTAGTATTCCATCCAATGGCAATGGACAAAATAATTCAAGTCACAACAAAAAAAAAAGTAAGTAGTAACAAAAAAAAAAATGTTCAAAATATAAACAAACAAATAATCACAGTTGATGGAATGATGATGTGTAATACATACGAAGAACCGGTTCTTTCCTTTAAGGCAATGATAGCAGAACTGATTAATTCTAGATAGGTATGATGTTAGTATACTGTTTGAATCATTGATATCAATTGATTTTAAAAAAAATTGTTGATGTTGAAGTTGGGGAGGGGAAAACCAAAACAAATGGATTTTTTTAAAAAACCCACAACAACATCATCAAAACAATCAAAACATACCTTTGTAAGTAGCTTTAGCAGGGACAGCAGAAGCTGGTTTAGCGGTTTTAGTCTTTGGAGCCATTGTTGATGATATAAGATATGATAGATTAATTGATTAATTGATATGATATCAAAAAGAAAAGGAAAAAGGGAAAAGAATAAAAAAACTTAACCAAAAAAAAATAAACAGGAAAGGAATTTATATAAATTGTAGCAGCAGCAGCAGCAGCAGCAGCAGCATCCAGAAAACAAACATATTTTTAGTTTGTGGTTGTTTTGATTTTTTCTGTTCTGCTCTGTTCTGTTAAAATCTTATTTTCAAACAGAGAGCGGAGGAGGGGGGGTGTAAGTAAAAAAAGAGTGCGATTTTTTTTCGAATGATCGTAGAGACCAGAAGAAAAACCAAACCAAATTCAAAATCCCTCGTTTTTTTAAAATTTTGTTGACTGTCATTTGTTGTTGTAAAGAATTAAGGTTGTAGAAGGTAGGTATGGTTGAACCAGTAGTATCAGCATGTAGAGGAGATTGTATAGTTGATTGTATATGGGTAAATTTGTGGTTTCAATATGAAATAAGGTTGATTTTATCATTGATTAAAAGAAACATATTTTGATGTTTTTCATTGGCTGTAAATGGTTATATTCGACATTAAAATGGTGTTATAATCATCAATTACATCAAATTGAGCTAAATAAATAGATAATATTAGAAATAAGAGTGATTTTAAGGAATTAGAAATAGTTAATTAGTTAATTTGATAGATTGATTGATTGATTCTAACTAGAGGTATAAACTTACTAAAAATTTTAAGATTATACGACAAATCCCGATTTAAAGAATGTAATTGATTTTAAGGATAATCTAATCAATTAAGATCTCTCATAACTTTAATCAATTGATTATATTTATCCTAACGTAATGCCATGTAATATAAAGTAATGTTTATAAATTGAATTTTTACAACAGCAGATTTTGTTTGTAATGGGAGATATTTTCTCCTTTTCCCTTCTAGATTTAATTTGTGCTGCCTCAGTTTTGATAATCTGTCAGTAAAATCTATTTTAGCGCACTGATTGCAAAAAAAGCCAAAAGAAAGAACAAAATCAAATCCCAAAATATTCCAAAAATGCTCAATTTTGTGATTATGTAAAAAAGAATTGAGAAATCCCACACCACACCGAGAAAATAACACTGACGACAACGACATCAACGACGACATAAAATTTACGATACACTCATCATTGTTATTCCTCCCTCCCCTAAGGTTTAGCGACGCTAATAATTTAAACTTCATCTTCTCACTAAATAAAATTATCCCTAAACACACAAACCATAAACACCACTACGCTACGCTAAGCTACGCTACACCAATTATTTATAAAGTTCTGTATATACAAGTTTAATGTTTATTATTATTATTCATAGTTCGTTTACCTCATTCATAACTCTCTCCTGTTCAGCGTCTCTAAAATGACCCTTTATATATACAAAAAATAAAATGTTACCTCTAATATTGATACTGTACAAAAAAACTCTACATCCACCTTAAGGACAAACTTCTTGTTCACTCCATTGTTGAGAAGAATCCTTTTCATAAATATACCTTCTATCATGATCTAATTCGACATAATCAACATAATTTACAAATAATCCAATCACTGCGAAATTTTTAAACCCATCTTCATCTTTCTTTCCATCAACACCTCTACTTATTCTATCTAATAATTTTTGATTATCATCATTTAAAGGTTGTAAAGGATTCGGTTTTCTAAATGATTTTTTTAAATGTTTCGATAATTGATTCCATTGTCTTTTTAATTCTTCATTCCATTCATCTTTAGTAGGAGGATAATATTGAATATGAGATATATCATTCAAAGTATAATTACTTAATGAAGTTGAAGATGCACTTGTTTGATCATTAATTTGTTTTAATAATGAAGGGGATAAAACACTTGATTGAATGGAATTTAATTGACAATTCAAATTGACAGTGGAAATATCTAAATCAGTTATGGTTTTTGATTTTATTGATTCTAAATCATCAATATCAGAATAAGGATTATTCTCAAATTTAATATCATCTCTTTCTCGTTTAAGAAATTTCTTTTGATCTTTTTCTAATAATGTCTTTGGTTGAATATTTGATAAATCAATTATAGGTTGAAAAGTTGAATCAATAATTTTAGCATGACCTCGGAATCGAAATTGTTTTTTAATATTAGCAAAATAAAATACACATTCAAATTTATCATTTTGAATTAATTCTTGATATTTATCCATTCTTTTATCAGTAGTAAAAGTTATAATATTATTGGTTTTATCATTAAATAAAAATCCTCGATATATTAAAGTTCTATTCTTAGGATATCCCGTTTTAGAATCAATAGTTGAAAATTGACATGGTGTAAATGGAGGTGAATTATTAGTAATTAAGAATTCATTATCAACTGCTTGAGTGAAAGCTGGCATCCATGGAGCCATATAATGAAACTGTAACATTTTATCGAGTTTAATTCTATGAATAATTGATATTATGATGGAAATGTTAAAGTATGATGGAAGGAAAGGTATATACCTAGTCGAATAAACCTATTATCTCAGTATAATTCTCGTGAATAATCAAATCAAATTAATGAAATTATTGGATAAATAATGGTGATGGATGGATGGATGGATGGAAATTTGATAACTTTCTCTCACCACTTACTCTTTTTTTTTTTTCCTCTTAGTAATTTTTTTTTTGGTAATTTCTTTCGCTGTTATTTTTCCGAAATGAATCACGTCACAGTTTTTAGCTTTAAGTATATGATTATTCAATGAATTGAAATGGGTTAAAACTTGGAATAATCTTAATGATAAAAGGACAAGTATGAATACTTTAGGAGAAGAAGATTAGAACAAAAAAAAAAAATTATAGTAACAGAGGAGGAGGAGGAGAAAGGTGATCAATTATAAACTAAAAATAAATTGAACAATTGTTACACCTTTCTTTATTGTCCAACCTAACTCACGGAATAAATAGTATAAATCTTAATTAATAATAATAAATAATAATAAATAATTAGTTAGGTGGTATACCTTGCCTGCTTTGTGATTAATTTGCCTTGTTTAATAGTAATTTATAACGGTAATTAATCTAAATTAAAGGGAAATAAAATATTATAAGGGCAAGGGCAAGGGTAAAGGCAAACGATACAATGTCGCCGTACGTCCCTAGCAACTAATATTGTTGGTATTATTTTAGAGTCGTGGTGATTTACATTCACAAGATTGTTGTAAATTGCAATAACAGAGATAAAGTAAAGGGGTGATATGATATGATATGTTATGTTATGATAAGTCCTTGTCTTGTCATAACCAGCCATTACATTAATAGTTGTTACTTAATATAAAACATCCACAATAATACATTGATTTGATCCATTGTTCCTCTACCTCCTTATTATTCTTCATTAAATGAAAAATTACTTAATTCGTTAAGACGTCAAATGATCCTTAAATTTTTTTTGCCTTTTAGTGACAGTACAGTACAGTCTGCCCACGAGGTCTCCTCCTCCCTAAATTAATTACCGTAAACAATTTTTATCGTCCCTAACCTCCCTGCATATAACAAGGTAAATTATTTTGCCATTTTTGGGTCTTCCGATTTGACCTTAAAATGGTATGTGTCCTGCATGTAATAATACCTTTTATAATTACAGAGATTATAACCCTTCAAATAACAAGTTGCAATTTAAATTTTGATACAATTTGACCTTAAAATTAATGACCTTATAGTAATAATTGATTATATTTAGGTTCAAAGGATGTTTTATTAACTTTATAATAGTCTAATTAAAGTAGTTTCCTATTTATATTCATTGTTTAACAAAATTTGAATTTTCTAATGATTTGACCTTATTACCTTGCAAATTGCAAATATTATTGTAAATTTCAAAGAGATTTCAATTAAAATTCAGTTAAATTGTTATTTTAGATAGAGAGTAATACATTAACTACATCATTTATATCATGTTATAATATAATAATTGAACATTAAGATCCAGTATCTTTCTCTCATGAAAATACATACTTCGACTTTCCAATAAATGATAGATTAGTAGTAGTATTAATAAATATAACAAATATTAGTAAAAATTAAAGAACATTGTCTACTAAAATCTAAACGCAAAACGTTCAAAACTTCAGATGACAGTTCTACCATCTGAAAATCACAACTAATACATTGATGAAATGTTTCCTACCTTTTTTGGAAAAAACTGGATACAGCTTTCAAACAAAACTAAGCGATAGACATAGCCTATCGAAACATACACTCCACACAAATTTTCCTACTACGACTAAAGTAAGTAAAAATAGATCCTAAATAGCTGGTTAATAGGTTCGGAATTGGCATGCTATAATACGACAGACAATCTTAAAGACAGGATCCAACAAATTGAACAATATAATAGTAGAAAAGAAAAATGTCTGACATTTTATATTCATCATGACCGAATTCATTCTGAAATAGAACCGGCATGATTTTGCAGCTTGTCTTGATGGCTTGCAGAATGCTGGAATATTCTTGCATATCAAAACGATATACGACATAATATTACTTTATCATACATTTACTATTTGTACTTACCCTATGACAATTCGTCTATACTATGAAGGGTCTAAGTTGCTATTTTACAATGTAAATTTTTAATATCATTAATCTATAATAAGTAAACGTATTCTATAAGTTGGAAAGTATGTGAAACTGACCATATAACTTTAGATTTGAACAATATGTACAAAGAAGTAATTGTTGTCTACATCATGTTTTTAAAATCTATACTAAAATTTATATTAAATCAAATGCATCACAGCAATATTCCAGGAAATTCGGTCGGCAAAATTTGGGGTCTTTATTATTAGTATCTACCTAAATATAATTCAATAGTTAGTAATATAAAATATGCTCTTATTGACATATCGCCCCAAAACAGTATTCATCATCACTGAAAAGTTGAGAGCATTATTTAACCCTCTAAATGGCTATATTAGTTAGTATAAAGATTTCCTAAATTAATCGTTAAATATATTGACTCCTGTGGAGGACGGAATTATGACTAATTTATGAACAGTTATCTAACACATATTGTAGCAAAGTTAAAAATCACAACATGAGAAACATATAAATTGCTATTGTCAAACATGATCCTAAGCTCAGAAATGATACTCTATAACTGATGAAATATTATCTATTCAAAATCTGTAACTTATAACCCTTGAATTTTTTAGATCACGTGCAGAATTCACGTGATATAATATGTCTACCAGAAACATCCCCAATTTGTTTTCAGAAATTGGAGGGTTGGCCGAGTGGTCTAAGGCGGCAGACTTAAGATCTGTTGGACGGTGTCCGCGCGAGTTCGAACCTCGCATCCTTCATTATCTTTTTTTTTCAATTTTTTTTGATATTGCAAAATTCAAAATCAAAAAATAAATTTATCAAGACTATTTGATATACACTTTCCTTTCTTTTTTATCATTAACATAATGAACCATAAACAACTGTTACTGGTGACATATGGATCTTCTGATTCAATTGAAATCACTCTGAAGATAGCGACATTATTCAAATCATCTGAAGTGATTGAGAATATTAATATCATAACCTCATCATCGAATCTAATTGATCAAGATCAAATCAATCAATCCAGTCATTATTATCATGAACCACAGTACGAACATTTATATGAGTTACTTGAATCTATAGAAGTTGGTGATGGCAGTTTGTTTCTTGATGTTATACCGAGTGATCAAGTGTTTGTATCTCCCTTTCTTCATATTCAAAATAAATTCACGATAAAGAATCAACAATTAAAGATTTTCTTAAATGAATCATCATTTCAAATGATTCCTAATTTAGTACATAAAGTGAAGGGGGTTAAAGTTAAGAAAATCCAAAATTATAAAATAGGTCATGGTTCAAAACAATATCTGAATATAAATCATCAAATTGAAATTAATCTTGATATAGTGGAGCATAAATTTAAATTATTTCCTGAATTGAAATTCATAATCCTGAAATTATTTCATAAAGTAGATATCAAAATATCATCCTCCAAACCAACAGTTACTGCATCATTACAACCACATCCCATCATATTAACCGCCATCGATTTAAACCCTGATGTCATAAACTTGTCTCCCATCTTCTTCCCTTCATCATCTAACGACGCTGGAGAAATTTACGAATACCTCACATTATTATCATTGGATTCAAATAATGAACAATTGAAATATTCAAATAATGTCGATGACTTCTTATCCATATATAAAGTACCAACCACGGACATACCCGATCGAGAGACAAAGATTGGATTGTACAAATTCAATTATCAGCATGCCAATACAAATTCCCTTTCATTCATTCTTCAAAATCCAGCGTGGAATGTCATAAGTTTACAATACTTCAATCGTCATATACTATTATTCAAAGATATCAATAATATAACCTACATATTTGAATCAAAATGAAATCAACGCAAAATATCTACATCCAAAATAATATATAACAAAATTATACAATAATTTATTTATTCTATATACAAGAATTAAAACCATAAGAAATTTAACAATCTTTATACAAGTAAGACGAATTAGATAGATATGAATCAATATACAAGAAGTTTGGAGTTTTTTTTTTTTTTAATACATTTTTGTTTAAATATTTTTTACCGTTTTTTTTATTTGTTATTGTTTGGTTTTTTTTGTAAAACATCCTTTATATTATTATAACAATTAAAATTTCAATCATAACTTTTAAATAACTCTTCTAATGGTAGATTAGTACCAGGGAAAACAAAATCTTCAACAGAGGGGAATATTCCATCTAATGACAGCATGTTATTATAACCTGGAGTGAATGCATCAAATGCACTGGCTGGCATACCTGTTATAGTATTAGTATTGTTGGAAAGATTACCATTAGCATCATTATTATTATTATTATAATTTGAATTGGTTGAATTAACCTTACTAGAATCATTTGATTCACCTGCATAATAATTACTACTATTATAATTATTATCAAAATTATTATTATTATTATTATATTGGGAAAAATCTTGATTTGGATTATTTTTAGTATTATCAGTAAAATTCTTCATAGACATCATTTGAAGCCAAATTTGATCAACTTTATCACTTGGCATAAATTCTTCAATATTATCAAGTGAAGAAGTTGATCCTACTGATGTAGCAGAAGGTGGACCTCTAATTTTACTTGAATCAGAATAATCCATTGAATTACGACTTTCAGAATCAGTGGTAGTGGTTCCATATGGTGGTTGTTCACCAAATGTAGTAGTATTGACATTACCATTAATAATAGATTCACTTTTAGTAGGAGGTTTAAATGAAAAATTATTAGCTGTAGTAGTAGATTTTTGAGCCTTTTTATGTTCTTTAACTCTAAACAATGCACTTTCTAAAATACTTGCTATTTCTTCTAACATAGCACTAGTAAATTCAATTGTATTTTGAGATCCAGCTGGTTTGAATTGTTTAATAGTATCATCAGATGATAATAACATAGTTAAAAAGTTTTGAGCTTTTGTAATTCTCCAAGCATAATAATAACGATGACTTAATCTAGCAATACTTTCTCTAAACACATTAACACATTTTTCAATCAATGAATAAACTCTTTTTAATAATTCATAATAAATTTTATATTTGATATCTTTATTCAATTTTGATTGATGTTCATAATGATGTTCTAAATCAACAATAATAATTCTAATTCTTGTCATGACAGAAAATAAAACAATGGTTGATTTATGAGTTACCAGTTCAAATGCAGGAGTTATAGTTAAATCAGTTGAATTTTGAAATATTGCTTCACTTCGATCTAAAAATTCAAAATAAAATGGCATTAAATCATGAATTGTTATAACAAATATCTTTTTAAGATAAAAATAAGCTAAATTATAATTCCCTTTTCTTTCATAATAATTAAAAATATGAAAAAATATTGAAACCATAAAGAAATTAGATGTGAAATGAATTTTCATTTTAATAGTTTGTTTATTAATTTCAACTTGAGATAAATTAATACTGGAAAATAATGATTCTGTTAATGATTCAGTTTCATGAACAAATCTCTTTTCCATATAATCTAATTTTTCCATTAAATCAGTTAATTTAACTTTTTCTTTAACATTGGTAATCATTTTCATAACTTCACTTAATGGAGCAAAAACATTATCAAATTTAGCAAAATTACTCACCGTTGATTTTTCCACATCAACATCAATAATATTTTCATTTCCAGGTATATAATAAGGAGGTTTAGTATCAAAACTATTATTATCAATACTTAATGGAGTACCAACTGCCATAGCATTATTAACATCAAATACAAGAATATAATACCAAATTTTTCTACCTAAATTATTAATTTTTTCATCATTACATTGATCATGAAAATTATCGGGATCACGATTTAATCCTAATGATATAGCCATTTGAATTAACATAGCATTGAATACTAAGGCATCACCACCATCAGTTCCATCACCATCTTCAGGAGCATAACAATGATAAATACGAGTATATACTGCCAATTGCATGATTTCCATATTAATACTTCTTGTTAAATTGAATTGATTTAAACAAGTTTGAGCCATATCAATACAATCAATATTAACAGGATTATTTAATAAATATTTAACTTCTTGAGCTCTTGGAGATGGATCTTTTGATTGAATATTGGCTTCATTTATAGATGCCACATTAGTAAATAAAGTTAAATAACTTAATCTTAAAACAATTAATAATAAACCTAAAGTTGCAAAATCCATTTTTTTATTAACTTTAACTTTAACTTTTGCATTTTCATCACCATCTGTACGTTCAATTCCAATTAATTTTTGAACTCGTTCTTTAAAAACAACTTCATCAATTAATGGAATTGCACTATATAAATGACTGAAATATCGTTTATATAATAACCAAATAGCTTTTTGTTTTGGTAATACTAATTCAATTTTTTCAGCAATAGCTAATTCTTCCGATAAACCACCTTCATAAAATGCAATACCAAAACTCATAGCTTTTTCATTTAAAGTTTGACGATAATTTTTAACTTGTTCTGAACTATATTGTTGAGGAGTTGGAGGTGGCATTGGAGTTCTTCTAATATTATTTATAGTTGGAATTGAAGTTGAAGGGGAAGTATCAGGAATAATGGTACTACGATCAAAATCTCTTTTTAAATGATTTTTAGTATGTTCCATATCAGCTTCAGAAGTTGCATGACACATTGATGGAGATAAAGGAGGTGCATCTTCTGAAGTTGCATCATAAGGTTTTATATCTTGATAACCTTCTTCAATAGAAGCTTTTTCTCTAAATCCTCGTTCTGCAACTGAAGGTTTTAAATTTCTAAAATATGAAGTTTTTAAAGCTTTACCACTTTTTAAAATATGAAGATAAGTCCATAATTTTGATCCTATTGAATCAACTTTTATAAGAGCAATCCAAGATAATGGACCATAATTACGACGACGAACATCATCTTTAACTAATACTGAAGTATAACCTTCAAAGAAATTAATAGTATCACTTTCAGCTCCGACAGGATTTAACCCAACTAAATTTGCATAACCAACACCAGGTTGAATTAAAGCAGAATGAGAATCTGAATGGAAAGAAGGAGGAGGATAATGAGGAGCTGAATTATTATTATTATTATTAATAATATTATTATTTGATATACTATGATTTAAAGGAGGGGAATTATTATTTGTTGATGAAGAACTATTATGATTATCACCAAAATCAACTTTAACTCTTCTAGCTTGAACTGATTCTTCTAAAGATCGAAGTTTTTCTTTTAATTGAAATAATTGATCTTGAACTTGTAATTCAGCTGATTGACTTATACCATTACCATTTTGATCATTATATAATAAAGTTGAACCAGGATTAGCATAAGTTGATCTATTTTGAGGATTGGTTGATTGATAAGCAATATTACGAGGATTATCATTTGATTCTTGAGGAAATTGACCTTGTTCAACATAACGACATAATTTATTACCATATTTGACACAAGTTGAACAAGGATTACCTAAATCACATTTAACTTTCCTTCGTTTACAAAAATCACAAACTTTAGTAGCTCTATTTCTTTTTTTAGTATTAATATTGGAAGAATTAGAAGAATTATTGGATAGTAGACTATTTGAAGTTGAAGAAGCTGATAATGATAAATCAGGAGAAGTTGAGCCTTGAGTTATTTCAGCTGCTGTAGAGACATCTACTACAGGACAACCTTTTTCTAAAAATGTATTTATGTCTTTTGATGACATTTATGGTGATATGATTGATATAATATGATTGAGTTGATTAAGTTAATTGATTGATTGAGTATAATACGTGTTGTAATGAATGGGTGGTTGTAAATATGAAGATAATGCAGATGAAATTGAAAATAATAATTGACCGTCAGTGATGTAAAAGATGACCAAAAGTTGATTTTTTTAGATAATCTTAATCGGGAACTAAGAAGGAAGATTATGAGGATGATTATGAAGACTCTATTGTAGATGATAGAGTTTGTATGATAATACGAATTAAGTTGAGTTAATTAATAAGCCCTTTTGACTGACACCAAGTCCAAAGTACGAAAAGTGAGGGGGGGAAAAGGAAAAGGGAAAGGAAAACAGGAAGAAGGAAGAGGTAGATAAGGAAGTATAGAGGGGGTATACACACACACACCAATACTAACAAAAGATGAAATAACAAATAAAAGAATAAATAGTTAGCTAGACCAAACGGCTGAGCAGTAAAATTAAAGACAAACAGGAAGTGGTTAAACCTTTACTTTTATATATAAACTATGTCAGACAGTCAGTCAGTCTCAGTTCCTTTTCATTTCTTTGTTTCTTCTTTTTTTAATTTTTTTAATTTTTTTTTTAATTCTTTTTTTTTTAATTCTTTTTTTTTTATTTTTTTTATTTTTTATTTTTTGAAATTAAGTTAAATAAAATTTGCCATCAGAATTTTTAATTAAGTAATGACCGCAGTTATTTATTTATTTACTTACTGACATTTCTAATCATTCAATGGTTACCCCTTTTTTGAGAGATAAGGTTACATAGAACATATGATACGGAACTTATCCTTGAATCGGAACATAACACAACTTATAGTTGAACACGTATTAGTTTGCTATTGGTCAATTTGAAATTCGTAATAACTTTCACTCTGTGTTTATATTTAAATCTTTTTTTTATTTTAATTTATTTATTTATTTAATCTTTTTTTATTTTTTTTTTATGTTTTTTTGTTTTGTTCAGTAAATTTATGGTGATTAAGTTCCGCTGATGATTTCTATTTAGGGTATATCGCCACCCAGTAGCCTCATTTGCAATTATAGTTACAATTGCTATGCTATATATTTATTTATTTACTTGTTTGTTTGTTTGTTTCTTGGTCTGTTTATATTATATTAAGAACAAATTAATTACTTAGTTTGATCAATTGATGATTGTAGATGTATGACTAATAATAACCACTTCGATTAAAGTTACGAAGACAATATACAGTACAACAATCCCCTTTGAATTGATTGATCATTATTTGATTACAAATAGTTGAACTAAACTAAACCAAATAAAAATAAATAAATAAATACATCATCTTTTTTTTAACGTTTATTTTTAATGACTCTTTCTTTTTTTCCCTTTTCATTATGATAATGGGAGTGGGTTCCTTTTCTTTTGTTTGTTCTCTAATACGTAAATTTCCTCTTTTGTGATTGCCATTCGATTTACATTTTATTTATTTTAATCAATTAATACGAAATGAAATGGCGGAGTGAATAGGAATGGACTTACTTTCTACTGATCTCGAATGGACTGGACTGGACTGATGTGGACTAGGCGGCAGTGCAATCAATCAATCAATCAATCATGTGGCTCTATTTCAGTCAACACCCCCTCCACCCCAATTAAAATCATTCATTCACAGTTACATTGTTCTACATTCAATGGATGGTTATAATTACTGCCCTGATTTTACCGTACATCTATTTCTAGTTCTATTTTTCCATTCTTCCATAACTCTGAGCGAGTGAGTGAGTTAGTGCTACCTTTCTCCATACTTTCAATTTAAAGTTATATCATCTCTTTCATCTTTCCCTTTACCCTTCCTGTTTCTTCCTATCCTATTCTTTCCATAATCACACTCTCCTTCATCTCACTAGTTTTATGACCTCTATTCAATCTAACTTAAATGTCAAATGATCCACACCCCCTTTTTAAGCTAAGTTTTTTTTTAATTCTTTTTTTTTTTTTTTTTTTCATTTGTGTCCTTAAATTTTTAACAGATTTTTTAAAACTTTAATTTTTTTTTTTTTTTTTTTAGTCTTTGCCGCTTTCCTAATTAAGCACTAATTACGCTTACGTAACTGCTTAAGTAAGCGGAGTTCTATTCCTTTACAGAAAAGAGGCTTACCCTTAAAATCTTCTTCTTTCTTTTCGATCCGGTATTTAACCCAAATCCGATGTATGGATTTTGTTCTTTTCAATCTATTTGATCTTTTTTGAGAATAACATCCATACCGCTGATTAAAGGATTACTCCCTCCACTATTTTTAAATTCTGCCCCCCACTTATTCTCACTTGTCATTAAGTCTTACTGCTTCTTCCTCCACCCCCTGCTAATCTAAGCTGCTGTAACTAATTTTATGTCTCTCTCAAAAAAAACGACATCTACAATTCTATGACATCCACAATTTACTATCAAAAGATAATAATTACCACCCCACTTCAAACCATTATTTACAACCATAATTTTAAATTTTATCTCTGATCAATCCATCAATCCATTAACTAAATAGACAAGCTCAGATAATGATCCCTGATGAATTCATCCTTCAATTGATTCAACAATCATTAAATGATTTGGGTTATTCTAAAATATCAGATGATTTAGGTAATGAAATCAAATCAAAACGATTAGCAATAACCAATTCAAATTCAAATACTGGTTTATCATCATCATCATCATCATCCACCAAATCAATCCATGTTGAAAGAGCTCAGATCAAACTTATCAATTGGTTCAATGATGAATTAAAAGCTGGGAATTATCTCACTATCGAATCTTATCTATTGGCTGTATTGCAAAATATCGATAATACAAATACAACTAATACCTATAGTAATAATCAAGAAGTTAATTTCATTGATGTTTTAGTCACTACTCAAGATCCTAAAACTACCGTGTCAATCATTCTTTATTTGATCAGAAGAGTTTCATTCTTGGAATCGTATATGTTACAATCATCAACTGAATCTCCTCAAGTTTTCATTCGATATTTAACTGATCGTTTAATGCCTTTATTAGATGATTTAGCCCCTAAATTATCCGATGCAACATCTTCTCTTACAAATCATCATCATGATGTGATTAAACCTGATGTCGATATTGATCATCATGATGGAGATGACGTTACAGGTTCTGGTGATGCTGACATTGATGATGAATTTAATTATTCATCCGATAATGAATATAATTTTAATCCATCAATCTCAACTTCAAATAGCGTGGCTGATTTAACCAATATCTTTGGTAAACTGGTTTTATCAAGTTTAACTAGAGAAAAAGAATCAAATTTATTATTAGGTTTTGCCTTAGATTTTAAAAATTTATTATCATCATCATCTTCATCATCATCATCATCAACTGATTCAAGTTTAATATCAACTTTCTTATCCAAATATTTATTTAATTTATCAAACTTATTCAATCCAAATAATTATACTCCAATAATTTCGAATAATACTACTGGTAGTGTTAATTTAGAACATATAATCTTAATTATTAGAGAGACATTAATTACTAAAATTTTAGATAAAATCTTTAAATTAAATGATAAATTGAAAACATTTAACCATTTTTATAATGTTCCACCTAATTATTTAAAAAAAATCATTGAAAATTCAAATAATTATCAAAAACATCAAAATCCTTATTTCTTACCTCCAAGAACAAAATTCGATCTTGATAATAATATCAATCCCACTAACACTAATTCTACAAAGAATATTGATTTAGATCCTTTTTTATTAGGGACAGCTAATCCTAATTTAAATTCAAATTCAAATCTGAATTTAAAACATTTGAATCATTTCTTTAAATCAACTTACTTCCCTAATAAACTCTTACATAGTTTAAATTATCATACTGATGAAGTTTGGTTTACGAAATTTAGTCCCCTGGGAAATTTCTTAGTTTCAGGATCATTAGATGGGAAATTAATTATTTATGATGTATTAAATGAATTTAAAGTTTTGAAAATTTTAGAATCTTCAACTTTATTAGATAATCAAGCTTTAGTACCATTTTCTTCAAAACCAACTAGTGAGAAATCAAAAGCAGTTATTTATTGTTGTTGGGATCCGCAAGAACGGTATTTAGTAAGTTGTTGTTTAGATACTGTGGTTAGAGTATGGTATGTTGATGAAATTCATAATTTATCCGCCGCTGCTACTGCTTCCAAACGAAGAAAAAGAACATCCTCATCAACAACAACAATAACTTCAAAGAATGAACCTATTTCATCAGCTTCAAATATTACTACTGGGAATGCAACTTCTACTGAAAGTGGTTTCAGATTAGTTAGTTGTTTTACATTGGGTCAAGAAATTAAAACTTGGACTTGTGAATTCTTACCTAATTTAAATAATTCAAATCGTCCTCAATTTGTTATTGGATCTCCTGATAAAGTATTAAAAGGATTTGATGTGGATGGTGTTGAATTATTTGATTTTTATGCAAATATTGAAGAAGATGATGAAGATGATGAAGTTGATGTTCACAATCATTCGGGATTAAATACAGATGGTGATAACAAACCTAAAGTTTCTTCATCTGCAAGTGAACCACGTCCAAGTAGTATTGGTGCTTCCACTGCAACTGGTGCTGCCAATGATAAAGAAGGTGATGTTCAAATGAAAGATGAATATGATAATGATGATGGAGATAAAAGTAAAACAGCTTCATCTAATATCAAAAAGAAACTTGAAAGTAGTTTTAATAGAATTAATGATATCACCATTACTCCAGATGGGAAATTCCTTATCACAGCTGATAGTGATCATCAATTACATTTCTATAAGATCCCTAATGTTTTCAATCAAGAATCATCAACCAAAAGAGTTGCCAGTATAATCTTAACAGGTCGTCTTACATCTTGTTCAATCTCCAAAAATGGGAAATACTTATTAGTATCATCTGCCCCTGAAGAATTACAAGTATGGGATATTTCCGGATTATCAATTGGAGATTATAATCCTATTCTTTATCGAAAATATTTCGGTCATTCTCAAAGTGGATATATCATTAGATCATCATTTGGATATTTAGTCGATAATAGTAGTGATTCGTTGGATAATAATGAAGAACAATTGATCTTAACAGGATCAGATACAGGGTATATATATTTCTTCAAATTACATACAGGTCAATTAATAACCAGAGTTAAAGGTCATAATGGGTTATGTAATTGTGTTGATTGGAATAGATTTGGTAAACAATCTCATGCTAATTCTATTGATTATGGTAAATTATGGAGTTCAGTAGGTGATGATAAATTAGTTAAGATTTGGGGTCCCTTTTAGTAAAAATTAGTTTTATATGAATGATATACATCTATTATTATATTAACTACAATTGATCTCTTTTTTTTTTATTATTTTCATTTATTGATTTTAATTGCCACTATATGAACCAAAGGATTACATTAGAGAAAAAAGTAAGATTAAAAAAACAGCTATAATTTTTTTTTATTTAGTTTAGATTTATTTTATTAGATCAAGTAGAACTTTTACTGTGTGATGACTAAGTGATTAAACTATAATTCATCATGTTCTTCTTCTTCAACTTCAGCTTCTTCTTCAACTTCGGCTTCTGGTTCAACAGCAGCTTCGGCTTCTTCTTCAACTTCGGCTTCAGCTTCAGCTTCAGCATCTTTTTTAACAACTGGTTCAGCAGCTTCTTCTTCTTCATCATCTTCTTCAATACCAGCTTCTTCAGCAGCAGCGGCAGAAGCTTTAAGGGCTTGTAATTCTTTACCATCAAGTTTATGAGTACCAGCAGTCTTAATAAATTCCATTAATGGTTCTAATTCTCTTTGACCTTGGAAGATAACTGGCTTTCTAATACCAGTTTTTTCATCAACTTCACCATTAGCTGGGAATAAAACTAAAGTTGGATAACCTTCAATTTCAAATGGAATTTCAACATCATTATTAGTATGATCAATGTTAGCAACAATAACTTTAGCATCTGATTTATTAGAATCATAAATTTCAGCTAATTCTTCCCAAGTTGGAGCTAATTTCTTACAATGTCCACACCATGGAGCATAATATTTAACAAATATATCTTTATCAACTTGATCCAAGATTTGTCTATGATTATAACCAACCAATTTAACAACTGGACTTTCAGCAATTTCTTCTTCAGTTGGTAATGGTTCAGATTTAACAATTGGTTCTAATTTACCAGCAGCAAAATCTTTAACAAATTGTTGAATAGTTTTAATAGATGGACCATCTGGATTAGCCTTTTGATCAACACCATATTTCAAATTAGTAGAAGCATCTTGAATAGCAAATAATGGAATAATTTCTGGATCCATATTAATCATTTCAGCATGTTTACCGAATAATGAAGCATCTAAACCAACAAAATTAATTTTACCTCTGTATTCTTTACCTAATTTAGCTAAATCTTTGGAGAAAGCAGCTCTTTGTTGAGGAGTCTTATAGAAATAATAAGCTAAAGGTAAAGGAGATGACATATAAGTCATATAAGTATCTCTATTAATATCACCAAAGTATGGAACAACTTCATTAGAAACAAAAGTATTTAAAGCATCTGGAGTAATTTCACTAGTCTTTTTATAAGATAATTGACTAACTTCTTCAAATTGTTCTGGATGTATCACTAAATAAGCTGGTTTCTTTTCAGTTAATTTAGCATTTTTAAATAATTTATTTAATTGTTTAATTTGAGCAGATTCAGAAACAGAAATAAAAGTATAATCTTTTCTCTTTTCACCAGCAACAGCATTAAATACATCATTTAATGGTTCATCTTTATTATTTGGGTTAACTTGAATAACAAATGGTTTAGTTTCAGAGTTAACAGCATTAACTAAAGCATCAACTTGTTCAAAAGTTTGAACTGGTGGTAAAGATTGTTTAATCATAAATTCAGCAATACCATCAGCTTCTCTTGGACCTTCATAATCTTCAGCATTAGCATCAGAACCATTTCTAATAATCTTTAAAGTTGGGTAACCTCTGATACCATGTTCTTGACATAAAGCTTCATTATCAACACAATCAACTTGAGCTAATTTAATATTTGGATGAACTTCATCTAATAAATCAGCAGCTTTAGAAAATTCAGGACCTAACATTTTACAGTATCCACACCATGGGGCAAAGAATTCAGTCAAGACTAAAGGATTAGCTTCAATGAATGATTTATAAGTTTCGGCAGTTAATTTAACCACAGCAGAGTTTGGATCAGCAATAGCTTCACCTTCACTTGGACCACTGGCGTTGGTTAAAGAAACCACAGCTAAAAGAGTAGCTAAAGTGGTAGTTGTAAATTTCCAGAATTGCATAATGAATATGGATGTAGATGTATCTTCCTTACCTGTAATAAAAGAACAACAATTGACTTAATATGAAAAGAAAGGATATAAAGGAATATTTATAACGGGGTTTAATATGCTTATTAATTTTTCACTATCAACAAAACTTGCCATTACATTTGCGCGAGCGGTTAGCTTTTAAAACAGCGTGTCCAAAATTTTAATTTTAATTTTGAATTTTAAGGAACCATAGAGAAAATGTCTCTTTGTTCTTTCTTAATGTCTCAAATCAAGGAAAGGTGACATTGTTGGGAAAAAGTACACGACAACGTCATATTATTACGTATTAAAGAGGTATATCAACTGATAACCTTTTTATAAAGATTATTACGTTATATTCAATCACTGTATACAGCACTACCATTTGTACCAGTAGTACACTTAACCTAACCTAACCTAACCTAACTTGACATGAGTCTAGTCTAGTCTAGTCTAGTCTAGTCTAGTCTAGTCTAGTTTACTCTACTCTATACACCTAAGAATTCTCTCCATGTACTCCAACTATCATACTCAACATCATAGATATATGCCATACTATGTCTTAATGAACTTTGTAAATATTGAGGTTGATAATCATAAATAAACATAACCAAAGCCCAAGTTAATACAGCAAAATATTTCCAAGATTTATTATAAATACTTGTTTTCAATTTATGTTGTTGTTTATTCGTTAATTCATCAAATACTAAAATATTACCTCCAACAGTTCTAAATTTTGGTTGAGCAGATTGTAAATATTGATCAACTAATATTTTACCAACTGCTATTAAAACTCTTGAAAAACAATATAATGTAATTTGATGAGTTATACCTGAATTAAAATATGAAAAATGTTGACTATAAACTACCCAAGCTCCAATAGCTCCACCAAAAAATTTAGCTAATTTTAATTTAGATGATCCTAAAAATAATTCATGAGATAATATAACAATAGCCAATTTATAAATAATAGCAAATGATGCTAAAACTTCAGCATGATTCTTAGTTGCTGATAGTACTTGCTTTAATCGAGGTAATATTGGTCCTGATTTATATAATAAATTTATAACCAAGGCATGCAGAAATCGAATCTTACCTCCATAAACAACCCCATTTCGAGCTGATCTAAGCACTTCTAATAAAGGACGATAAAGTGGATTATTCAATACTGACATATTCTATTCTAGATTTATGGAGATATATTAAAGTAGGATATATGATGTTATGATGGAGTGATATATATCTGTTGTTTTGTTTTCCCGTTGAATGTTGGAGGTCTCTTTTTTTTCCGGATTATGGGGTAGACTGATGGACAAATTGTGGATGACGCAAACAGAACTAAGCAATTAATGAGTATTATGATTAACTATTAGAACAAGCAATTTGATATGATACTAGTAATGGATTCCTGACAACGATTGATGATGATATGAATATCAAAAGAGTATATAATTAATCAGATCTATTAATGGTTATGGATGTTGACCCATTCAGTAATTTATTAATTTTCTTTAAATTTCTCACTTTTTTTTTTACCGGAGATTTTAGTTATTTTATTAGTCAACTATATGACCCCATGATCTTAGATTCTCTTTTAAATAGGCTACACATGTAATTAACACCAATTTATTTATAACTACACCATAGTCATGAGTATTACTTATCGTTGGAGAGTTTATGATTCTAGTATGACGCGTTGCCACTCGTTAAAATGGATTCGGGACCCACGCCAGACTTTCGGTAACTTAATTGGACTCTAAAGAATGTTAAAATCAGTACTTTTAAAACCTAATTTATAGTCTATTGTATGAAGTATAATCTTAGAATTTACAATAAAGCTTGTCGAGTTCTGTTTTATTAGTTACTTCTTCAATTTTAATGTTATGCTTAAACTTCAAACGTGGTAGCGCTTGTCGTTTACTATTCTCTCTTTATTGCATGTGAATAAAATTATTTGGGTCCTGTATATAAATAAATCAATACTGATATTTACGTCGGTTTCAAAAGATTGGAGTATATTATAGACTTAGAAAAAGCGAGAGACAGAGAGAGAGCCTACATGATTGTACTTGAAAGATATATTAGGTATCTGACCATGTGCAATCAATTTAAGTGATGAATCACATTCTATAATTGGTCAGTTTTATATCTTCTTCTTGATCATATTATTTAAGGAAGTATTTATGTTTGAATTACCCGAAAGATATCAAATAGTTTCTAGTTTCCAGTTCTATGTCATTTTCGTCCAATTTTTGACCATTAATTCTAATTCATCCACTTTTAGTGTTAATTCTTCATTTGACAACAAACTCTATTTGTAAACATTGAAACATACATTATACCGTCTCGATAAACCAATTTAACCTCGATACAAAAGCAAAACAAAACGGTAATATTTGAAGATAGGAGTATAAAATAATTGACTGTCAAAAATATTACACTAAATTTTTTTTTTCTCTCTAAATTATTTTAAGTACCATTCGTCTACCGTTATAGTTTCTGGCGTGTTAGAGCATAGTCACAGAGATAACCCTCATGGTGATAAAGTAAGATTAGGCTTAAAATTACCCATAAATCATATCTAATAGTTGATAAACGTATTTCATTTACTTACTACTTACACATACACCCACTAATCTTTACAAATTACAATAATCCTATAGTTATATCTCCCGCTCCTGACCCTGTGCTGCCAATTTCGTTGAATCGTAAAATTTAACTCAAAACAATTTTTTTTCCTCTCTCTCTCCATTTTTTTTAGTGTGTGACAAATCAAGTTTTCAAATTTTCAGTTCCCACTAATAAAAAAAATTTTCCTAACAAAACTAAAAAAAAAAACCTCTCTCCAGAACAAAAAAAATTTTTCTTTTCAATTTGGTTTCACTGATTTTCCATAAAGCATTTAACAATCAATTAAGGTTTATCACTTCGACAAATCCATTAACTAAGAGGCAGACTTTAAGTAATCTACTTCTTGTATCGTTAACTAATCTATTTGTCAATCATTTGTGAGTTTTATTCATTGATCTTATTCAAAATCAATCGATAAATTTTTTATTTTTCATTTGTGCCTTAGCGTTTTGTATTTTTAATAGCATAATTTTGTATTCATTTACATACATCACAGCATTTCCATCACCCATACCGTTATTCAATTCATCATTTTCATCATCTTACCTAGTCCCTTGTTCAATCCAGTATCATAATGTCTGCATCAATCTCTTACGCTAACGTTGCTGCTAAGGGTACTTCTGTTACTAGCTCAACTGATGCTGCTGAAATTAAATCAATTAATGTGAGTAACGAGTCATCTAATGATAATTCTGACGCCACTGCTATTACTTCCACCACTAGCAACTCCGAATCTGTTCCTGTTGTTTCTACTGAATCATCTATTGAATCTACTCCTGTTTCTACTTCTGTTTCCACCACTTCAACCACTACTGCTACTTCTACTACTACATTACCTGTAGCCAATGAATCAGTGAAGAAAGAAAAGAAAGTATTAACTCCTGCACCAGTTCCTTCTAAATCTGTTTGGGGTAATCCATCAGGTCATCAATTAAATGGATCAATCACTGCTCCTCCACCTGTGATAGGTTCATCAAGTGTGGTTGATGAACAAAAATGGCCAACTCCAAAAACTAATGAAATTCAATCTACTAATAAACCAAATCAACAAAAATTTATTAAACCAATCACTAATAAATGGGTTCCAATAACTGCTAAAGTTACATTACCAAGTTCAAGAAACAATAATAATAGTAACAACAGTAATAATAGTAATAATAACAATAATAATGGTTCAAATAATAGTACTGGTTCAAAACAAAATAGAAATAAAAAGAATAGAAATAATAATAAATCTGGTAATTCTTCTCAATCTAGTCAGAAAAAGAGTAGTAATAATAGCAATCAACAATCTAATACTGAATCATCTAAAAAGGAACAAGATTCAACATCAACTGATGCCAAATCTGCTCCAGTCAATGTTGTAAACGCTGAAGCTTCTCCAGTAACGGAAAATGCTACTGCTGATGTCACCACTCCTTCTGCCACTGTTGAAGAACCTATCACTACTGAAACTACTTCTGCTATTACCACTACATCAAAGTCATCATCTGCTTCTCCAAGTACAACTTCTGTCATTCCATCCATACCCGTTGAAGATTCCTTGAATAATACCAATACTCAACTGAATCAAGTGAATAACCAATCAAATCAACAACAACAAAATCAACAACAATTCAATCCTCAATATCAAAAATTCAATAACAATAACAACCATAACAATAATGCTGCTAATCATCAAAAGAATTACAGGCGTTTTAACAATAACAATGTCAACGGTACTAACAATGCTCCAGTTGTTCACAACAACAATAACAACAACAATCCTAATGTCAATGGTAACGCTAACCAATATAACAAGAGATATAATAACTATAATAACAACAATCAAATCTCTCAACAACAACAACAACAACAAGGTCCACCAACTGGGACTCCAGCTCCAAATGGATTTTTCCATCACCAACAATTCATTCCAACTCAACCACCATTCCAACCATATAATAATAGACAGTTTAGACCTCATCCAAGAAATGGTAACAATGGAGGATACAATAACCGTCAACAACAACATCAACAACAACCACCAAATGGAGGTGCTTATCAACGTAATGGTAGTATTGGATTACCTCATATTCCTCAACCAATGGTTGGTTACCCACCTCATCTTCTTGGTCAAGCTCCATTACCTCCAATGGGTATTCAAATCCCACCACCAATTTCTCCAAAACAAGATCCTCAACAAGCTTTAATTCAACAAATTGATTATTATTTCTCTTTAGAAAATTTAATCAGAGATATCTTTTTAAGAAAAAATATGGATGATGAAGGATTTGTTTCATTAGATTTAATATTAAATTTCAAGAGAGTTAAGATTATAATTAATGGAATTCAAAATTCTTTAGAAAATGGTGAAGTTGAAAGTGATAGCATAATATTAGATGCCATTAAGAAATGTCATAATTTAGAAATTAGATATTTGAATGATTCAAATGATAGTGTTAAAGATGTTAAATTAAGAGTTAAAGAAAATTTTGAACAATGGTTATTACCTGTTGAAAACTAGTGTGATAATTCTTCACTTTACTCAAACCATCAACACAACACAACACAACACATCTCATTCACTCATTCATTCATTCATATTGTAATTAATTTATCTCACTTGTTCACGAGACTTGTATTATAGAAGGAGAAATGTCCCAATAAATGGAAAAGATGTCACACAGTCTAATTTTTGAAAAGCAAGCATGCCAGACATCTATTCCGGATCAAAATCCTATAAAGTTTTTTTTTTACTGTCCATCATACATATAAACTACCATACATACAACAAATAACAAATTTTCATATATATATATATATATATTCGTATACCCGTTTTAAGTTTCATATCTTTTTATTAATTAATTTTAACGAAATTATGTTAATCCATCCAATCCAATCCAATCATTTAAATTAGAAATCCCCAAAAAAATAAAACTTCATCCAATAAAATCGAAAAATAAAAATTGGATAATTAAAGTATAGTTTAATAAGTATACCAAAATTGCAAAATAGTCCAACTACAAAAAAATCTATCAATTTAAAATAATTCTTATAAATAGTTTAACTCTTATATATTATTAAAAAAACAAAACACAATATATGTATATATCTATATATATAAAATCAAATCACGAAAAGAGTAAACTAACACTAATATTTAATCCATTTCCAATATTTTTCACCAGGATTAACGATTTCATTTTCATTGGTTGAATAATGAATACCTTTATTAGTACCTTGAGAAGCGACAACATGTAAGTAATATAAAGCTTTTTCATGCTTAGGACCTTCAGTAGCGAATAAATGTTTTAATTCAGCTAAAGCTTCATCCGAAGTTAATTCTCTCTTTTTAGTTAAAGTTACATTATGATTCTTTTCAAAAGTTTTAATAATTTGATTAAAACTAATTTCATCCCCAGCAATTCTAACTTTATCAGGTAATTCATTTGGAGATGGATAAGTTGATAAACTTGCAATTGAACTAGCGATATTATCAACATGATTAACCGCGATTTTATTATTTAAATCCCCAAATTGTTCATAACTGTTATCCTTTGGATTAATACCAACTTGTTGAACCACTTCATATAAGTAAAAACCAGGTAAGATGAAAAACCCAGTGATTAATTCAACAACTTTAACATTAGCAGCTCTAACCACAGCAGACTGATTAGTTTTATGACCTAAGAATTTAGGTAAATAAGTATTAACTTGATCAATTTCTAATCCGAATTGAGATGGGATAAATAAATCTGGTTTAACTTGAACAATGATCTTATTAACTAATTCAAATAAAGTTGGATTTGATGGAATTAATTCAATAATAGTATTGAACCCTTTTAATTCTTTAACATATTGAGGAATAGTTTCTTCACTTAAATCAAGTTGAATATATTCAACTAAATCAGTAGATTCAATCTTTTGTCTTGAAATAACCTTAATAGGGAACTTAACTTGATCTTTAAAAGTAGCAGAACTGAAAGCATCAAGAACTGGTTGACCTAAGGAACCTGAAATACCGATGATAGCAATTGATTTTTTTGACATTTTTAGTGAGTATAGTGAGAATTGTTTGGGTTGTGTTGTTTGTAACTGTATAAGTTATAATTGTGTGGTTTGATAGAGGATAAAACAAATGAATTAAATGAAATTAATGGATAGAATTCATTCTATTTATACCATATTGAAAAATGTGGAGAGTTCATAATGGAGTTAATACACCTTATAAAGTAAAACATACAACCGAAAATCATTTGTCATAAAATATCCTAACCCAAATTAACCTTTTCAGCGCATGTTTTATTTTCACAGCCATTTTTTCTGTTTTTCGTCTTGTTCCCAGCCGCAGATGAGCAACAATGAAAAAAGGCAGCCAAAATGGTTAACTATTTTCTTCTAATTGATAGTGTTTTTTGGTATGGATTTTGTTTTCAAAGTGATGATACAATCTAATAGTGTCCATCGAAGAATGAATCCAAGTCGATATCAATTGATTGATTGATTCATTGTTTGATTCATTGTCATATCAATAGTCCATATATGGTTAAAAAGAATAAGGTTAATTACAAAATAGGTAACAGAGACTGCGCTAACTAAGGAACGGGAACTAAAGAACTCTAACGAAATGGCTTAAATTCAAGCCGAATAAACACCGAATTCATATCTGGCGGATAAGTCATAGTGTCTGAATACACATCATTACACATTCCATTTGATATGTCACATTTCCATGCTAATTGATAATTCATAAAACTTTGGGCTGCCATTTAGGCGACGGTTTTAAGGACCCTCAATTTTTTTTTCTGTTGCGCACAAAATCCGTTGGCATTATATCCGAGTGACAAATTGTATTTTTGCAATTAAATTCAAACATCTTTACAACCACGTAACATTAACATTAATATGAATTAAAGAATGAATAAAGTATACTATATGACCTATTAAGATAATATGAAATGAAAAACAAACAAGAGTACGTTATAAAATAAAAAGCCAACTGACTAATTGATGATGACAAATATAAAAAAAAGTACGGGAAAAAGACAACATAACTTTTCAATAACAAATACAACTTATGTAGATGTTATGTGATGGGACTCTAATTCATTTTTCATGAAAGAGAAAAGATTATGAATGATAATAATATTAGAAAAAAGAACTCAACGATAATAAACAAGAACGAAAACAAAAACCAAACCTAAACGTCAACCTAAACAAAATTCATTAAACATAATCAAAACTACCAAAACTTCTTCTAGCAGAATTATTTATATCCCACATCACAATACCAGCATCTTGACATCCAATTAATATCTTTGAATTCTTATTAGATTGAGAATTACAAAACTCAATTCCGGATAATTCCATCTCCCCATGAATATGATTAATTGATTGTTGGAATGAATCATCACAATTGTTAGTACTATTTACACTTGAATAATTAGCATAACTATCCATTGAAGTAGATGCTTGCGTAGGAATTGAATTTGGATATTGGAATTGATGATCACTATTGTATAATGTATTATACTCTTCTTCTTCTCCATCTGTATGTGAACCATAATACTCTTCATCTTCATCTTCTTCATCACCATAATTATCTTCATCATCAAGATCATCATCGTCATCATAATCAATGTATGGTATATTTCTTGGATGTAATTTACTATCATTGTTTCCTTCACTTTCTGAAAATGAACTACGTTGTTGAGATGGTGGTGGTTGAGAATAATCGTTATTATTATTATTTGGATTCCAATTTGGATTGATGAAGACAGATTGTGAATCATAATTAGATTGATTCTTTACAGAATCTGCTGGAAGTGGCGGAGGAGGAGGAACGTAAATAAAGTCTTTAAATAATTTTGGATTCACATTAGTTAAATAATCATAATCATATACTAATGGTGATGGGAAAGAAAATGGTGAACTTGAAGAATTTGATGGTTGATATGATTTCTTCACTGGAGAGTTTGAATTTGAATTTGAATTTGGACTGGTTGAATAATAACTTGATGATGATGATTTTCTTCTTGATATTGAAGATTTTGATTTTACATTTTCATAAATATCAATTAAATTTCGTTTATCATTGTCTGATTCACCATCAATACTATGATGAGGGGGATTTCCCATAACATTATTTTTAAATTCACCAAATTGTTCTAAAGCATAAGGAACAACTAAAACTTGATGATCATCAACATTATCATAATTTAAATTTCTTAAATCAATTAAATGAACTCTACCCACATGTTCCAGAATGATTAATAAATCATTCATATCATTTTGAGGTGAAAATTTACATACTCTAAATGCTCCTGATTGATGACCTTGACGAGTTGATTTTATATCAATTAATGGTTTATTATGAGACATATTTCTTAAATCATATAATAAACAGGTACCATCTTGAAATACGGTTGAGAATAAATAACCATTATTATGATAACTTATACCAAACCCTGATTCATGACCTGATTTAATAGTTTTAATATTTGGATTTGGACTAGTAGGATCAACTAAAAAGATTGAAGTTGAATCACCGGTGATAGTTAGGATTTTATCTGATCTTGGATTTTGAATGACATTATTTAAACAAGTATTTATTTCTAAATTGAATTTATTCATAATTTTAATCGAATCATTATTATGAATATCAACCCCATATAAATATGAATCATTATTACATACATAAGATTTATAAGAATTTGAAGATGATGGATAAATGGTAACACCATTATTAATCATTTCACCTAATCTTACACTTTTTGAAATATTTAAATTTGAATTATGAAATGAAAATAAACCTTTGGTAATTTTTCGAGGTGAATTTGATATTGAAGTTGGACTTGTAACTGATAAATTTTCAATATTCATTGAAAATAATTTAGATGAACTATTTAATAAACCTCCACTTACTAATATTCCATTATCAGAATGATTAAAACATCTGGGATAATAATTCAATTTACAATGATTTGATATGGTATTAGTATTTAAATCATAACTATAGATTGAATCTGATTTCGTATAATAGATCAAATTCAAAGCTGAATCATATTGTAATAAATCTCTTAATTGCCAATGATTGACTGATGTTTTAATATGAGGAATATAAGTTGGATTTGGTTTTAAATATTGATAAGCATGATAATAATTTTGAAAGCATTTATGATATCGACTATTCTTATGTTTATGTCTTTTATGAATATTATCATATTTATGAGTTGACTTACCTCTTTGGGTTTGACTGAGATTGATATCTTTTGTCATGATTATTTGATGTGGTTGATTATATCGTTTGATCTATTAACTGACAGTGCTGGATGGATGGATGGATGGAGGGGCTGGCTGAACCGAGATAAGGGAAAAGGGGGAAATGTTAACGATATAAAAGTGGAAACTAATCAATAAAACAACTGTATCATATATTCTTAGTATATGATCAGTATATTGCTATAATAAAACGATGAAATCAATAAAACGTATGATTGATATTAAAATCGAACAGCAAATATAATTTTTGAATTCTGACGATGATACAACCCGTAAGAAAACCTAAAAAAATAATATTATGTCTCACACTCACACTATTGTCTTTTTTTTTAAGGGATAAGGAGGGAAGACACAAATTATATAACGATGAGCCTGACCCAAAAGTAAATGAGATAATCTATAACTTGATTGATATTAATGAGATATGTATGATAATTGAATATCTTGAAAGTAATATAAAATCAATCTAAATTATAGTAATTATAAAAACATAAAAAATAGTTAATGGAATCATTTACGGTAAAGTAGACAAATAAATTAAAAATTATCACCAGTTCCCAAAAATAGTTCCCTAAAATTCCATTTCATTTACTGATAAAAATCGTCACTAAAAAGTGGTTTATGTGGGGTGGTGCGTAATGGGGGGAAGACTTCACAAAAAGCCATTTACTCACCACTCTCTTTTTTTTTCTTATTGTTAATTGAGGTCATTTTTATTTTCAAGTCAAAAGCACACGACTTATTCTTTCGTCATGTTACATCTGTTGTATAAACTAATCATTTTGGCTGCTAATAATTGTTACATATCCTATTGTTAAAATTAGGTAAATAAATCATTTTCTTGTTTACGGGTATCAAATGTTTATTTAGTCAATCTTTTCATCAAAATATTCTCAACTATTTGATATACCCCTTTTAAATTCAACTATTTATGAACCATAAAAAGTTGTTCATTCGTTAATAGAAAATAATAAGGCTAATAGTATCTACAGTCGTTTTAAGTTATAAAATTTAAAAGTTATATATTAAACAGAATTGATTTCATGACTATAGACTTAATAACATTAGTTTATATTCGTTTGTAATCTAGAATATTAATATCATATCCTAAATATTAGTTAAAAAGTTAGTATTTGCTAAACCTCTTACGCCTCCAAGCGGACGATGGAAATCAATAAGTCTAGATTTCATTACAGGATTCCCACTTACAAAACAGGCACGACGCTATTCTAGTTATAGTTGACCGTTTCTCCAAAAGAAGCCATACTAAAATTAATACATAATCCTAAATAAAATCGTTAATAACAAATCAATTTATGTTATGGTTAATCGTGTTGGAATAGTCATTACCTTTACAGAAAGGATGAAACTTCCTTGGTCGATTTATTTAGACCAAACAGTGCCCAAATTTTATTGGATATTAAACACCAATTACCTGGACGAAGAGCCAAAGAAATATACGATGTTTTAACCTCATCTAATCCAACATTTACTATCATTCAATGACGAATGAAACTCCAAAAAAAAAAAATTTCGAAAAAATGTGTCGATCACGTGACTAATACACTCTACCACAAACCAGCCAATTTTTTTGTCAGAAAAGTCCGATATAGTGTAACGGCTAGCACGGTTCGCTTTCACCGAGCAGACCCGGGTTCGACTCCCGGTATCGGAAAACTTCTTTTTTTTTGACTTTTCCATCTTTACTTTTTCGATTTAAGGTTATTCAAATTTCAGATCAATTTTAATACCTTTAATATTTTGATCTAATTTATGCATGGCATATCATGTGGTCTAGAACTAATGCATACATCTTGTATTTTTTTTTAATATCACGATAGATTGGTATTTGATTGGTGTGTATCAAGCTTTGCGATGGAAACTTTAATTATACGAAGGATTAGTAGCTTCTATTGAAGTCTACAACTTGTTTAATTTAATTAGAATATGCATAATACTATATTGTAATTGAAATAAATATACCTTAATCATAGTTAAAAGTTTGAATAAATAGATATAATATGAATAAAATAGAGAGATGCAATAGTGGTAATAATGAAAAATGAAGAAATAAATAAATAAATATACTAATAAATAAATAATAAAATAAAATAAATTATTGAAAATAAACCAAAACTAAGAATGATGGCCAAGTTATAAGAATAAGTGTAAGGTCAGGATGAATAGATTTGTAGTGTATATGATTCTGTTGAACTAAAGTGAATGCCTTTTTATGATAATAATGATGAATGTGCTTTGAATATATGATTAATGATAATGACAATGTTTTATGTTATAATGAATTCCAAGAAGTGTCTCCACCCTTCTATGATGAATGGAAATGATAAGACCATTTCAATTTCTGAACTCCAATATATAATGCTAATGAAAATATAACTAATATGACTAAGATTAAAATAGTTAATTTTTCAACTTTATTATTTGATGAATTAGAGGAATTCTTTTTCTTTTTCCTTTTAATCTTTAAATTTGAAGTAGTATTAACCGTTGTAATAATAACTTTTTCAATTTTAGTATCTTTTGGATATATGACAGTTGGTGAATCTTTTATAATTCGATTATGATTATGTTTATAAATTTTTTGTTCTTGAGGAATTAAATCTCCAATAAAGTAAGGTGCTAACATTTTAAATGCATCATCAGAATGGGAAACATCATCAAATGCTTCAGTGGCATCTATACCTCCACAATCAAACAATACTTCAACACCACCAGGATGATGTTGAGCAAATTCAGTTATATCATATATTTTATTATAAATTATCATCCATAAATCTTCGGGACTATTATGATGGTTGACTTGTTCTAAAGAATAAAATTGAGGAGGTCGGAATTTCTCCGTATTTATTACTCCTGTGATCATTGTAGTTATATATGGATTAAATTAATCGTTGTGTCTGTAGAATGAATGAATGGGTACTCAAAGTTTAAAATATGTCAAAGTTCGAGGGAGGGGATCGAGATGATGTGGCGTTTTTTGAATAATTAAGGTGTCGGCAATTGGAAAAGATATCGAATAACGATTAATGGAGATGACAAGTCACTATCGTGATACGTAGATGTATATAATTGATGGTAAAAGGTGTCCGATAAGTGAACCACAGATGGAGGAGTTTAGAGCTCAGGGATTTGATTGATATCTCAAATGATAGGGAAGAAAAAAAAAAGGATTGATGAAATTGGGAATGGGAGAATGTAAACGTATAAGATTGATTTAAATAAATATGACGATCATGAATAGATGATAATTGTTTATACTATGGTTGAAGATGTTGTTCAATACTTAAAAACAAAGTAAAAGATCAAGTTTTATGATAGAAATGGAGGATTTGATAATTACTGTTGATGGAAATAGAGATTTTCCTTTTCTTCTTCTTTTCTGGTTATTTTTTTTTCTTTCTTTTTTTGTCTTGTTGTAAAATAAACTACACATTCAGACAGAAACAGTTAGAAAAAGCAGACACAAACCTTTAAAAATTGCTTTTTTCGGTCGTTTTTGAATCTTTATTTTGTGTCTGTTTTTTATTATCACCTCCTTTTGATCATTTGCCACGACCCTTTAAATTTGCGACATCGCAATTATATACCGGAAGATCAGATAAACGACAATCTGTGACAAAACTATGCGACATTCAATGACAATCTGAAAATTTAGAAACCTCTCTAATCAAGCATAAATGGGAAACTGAAGAACTAAGAAAAAAAAAAAAAGAAAAGAAAAGTTGGAAAACTAAATCTCAAAAATAAACGTACCCCCAATATCATTGATAAGTTTATTACCAATTAATCCTTTTAAGTTGATCCATCATCATATTATCATCTTTTTGTAATATTAGCATAGCATAGAAGTTTCACATACAAGTAGCATTCATTACCATTTCTTCTTCTTCTTCTCATTCGTTGTTTTTATCATAGCATTCAATAGATACCTCCTCGTCAAACGAACAAAAAAATCATGAGTTATAGAACCAACACGGCATTACCATCCTCGAAGAAAACTCATTCAGAGAAGCATAAACAAATCTTAAAACAATTATTAAGAGAAACAGCCAATAAGTCATGTGCCGATTGTAAAGTTACTAAGAATCCAAGATGGGCATCATGGAATTTAGGTTGTTTTGTATGTATCAGATGTTCTGGAATTCATAGAAGTATGGGAACTCATATTTCTAAAGTTAAATCAGTTGATTTAGATGCTTGGACTGATGATCAAATTGAAAATATGATTAAATGGGGTAATGAAAAATCAAATTACTTTTGGGAACAAAAATTACCTGAAGGTTATACTCCTGATCAACTGAAAATTGAAAGTTTTATAAGAACTAAATATGATATTAAAAAGTGGGCTGGTTCAACTATAGTTCCTGATCCTTTAACTATTAGTATTCCAAATTCAACATCAACTACAACTTCAAGTGCATTATCCAACAATTCTACTTCTTCATCCTTATCTTCAACCACTTCATCATCAACTACTTCAACTTCAATTAAAGCCCCTCAACCAAAATCAGCAAATTTATTAGATGATGATTTTGGTGATTTTACTTCTTCACCATCTTCAACTCCAACCCCAACTCCAATTCCTTCATCAACAGCTTATGGTCGTTCATTACCAAAAGCAGCAAGTACTACTGCCAATTTAGCTCCACCTATACCAACTCCACCTCAACCAAGATCTCAATCTGCTCAATCTACCGGGGGAAGTATAACTAGTAATGGTAGACCTGATCTTAAGAAATCAATCTTATCATTGTATTCATCCCCTTCAGCATCAACTAGTTTTCTTCAACCTCAACAATCAGTTAGAAATCAATCATTTAGTCCATCATTAGCTTCTCCCTCACCAGTATCCAATAATCATAATAATAATAATTTAAATATCAATTCCTTATCTAATTCATTAAGTGGCTTACAATTCGGAGGTACTTCCACATCATCAACCATTAAGCAAACTCCATCAAATATAAGTTCAAGTTCCATCAATGCCACCCCCATTAATAACAATAATAACACTTTATCGTCATCTTCAACTTCAAATAATTCTTGGAAAAATGAATGGAATGATTCATCTTCTTCATCATTAAAGAATCAATGGAATCAACCTGTTAAAACCACCAATTCAAATAATATTGGATTAGATGATGATTTATTTAAGAACGTTTGGGATTAAATCTTGAAGATCTTTCGTTTTTAAAAGCATTTATTTAATTCTATACAAATTTATTTATATAAATATCTTATAAATAAACAATCTTTTTTAAATATATCATATTTCAAGTCATAAAGTTAAAAAAAAAAATAAAATCAATCATAATTAATATGTGATAAGGTATATATGTAAGTGTAAGGAGAAGGTGATAAAAAAATACAAAAAAAATAAGACAGCCAAAATATCAACTTAATGACCTGTAGTTGGTAATCCAACATAAACTTTAAATGAATCATAAATCAACCATTGGAATCCAGTCAATGTACCAATCATGACGATTCTAACTGGTAAACCATTCCAAACTCCTTTAAATCCAATATCTTTATAAATTCTACCTAAAGCTTGACCCACCGATTCAGTAGCCTTTTTATCGGAATTAATCTTTGAAACCATAACATCGGCAGGATGAGAAATAATAGCACAGAAAATACCAGCAATGTAACCACCTAAGAATGAAACTCCAGTTTGTTGTACTGGGGTATATGATGATATTGGTTTACCTAAATATTGATAAATCAATTCGACAGTTTTTTCAAAAGATGCAAATTTAACCATAGTATAAGGGATTTGTCTACACCATAATGGAACTAACCCATTATAAAATCCTCCAAACCCTTCAGCAGCATGAATTTTTGACCATCCTTCAAATACAGATTTGGCATATGGTGGAATTGAAGTTTGAGTTTTAACTTTTATAGTTTCAAATGGACATAATAATAAATCAGCTAAAAATTCAGCACTAGCAGATGCAGCTAAAAACACACCAGTATTATATTTCTTTGCATTAGTTGGACCCACGAAATCAGAGTAAGTTTTTTTGAAAAATTCATAAAATCCATATTTACCAGCACCTTGAAGTGAATAACCAATAAATGTAGCCCCAATACCAGTAATGATTGAATCTCCTGAAGTTTTTAAAATAGTTGACCAACCTTGAACATTAGATTTATATAAATGAGGATTAACTTGTCTACGACATTTAACTAAATCCAATGGAGTAACAGCTGAATGGGTTGGACCACAAGCAATTATACCCCCTAAAGTACAAGCAGCGTAATATTCCGGAGAGAATAAGACAATGCCTGGTTTTTTTGGAGCAATTGGCGATGATGATCCTGATCCACCACTACCTGGTTTAATGATTTTCTCTAATTGATCCTTAACAGGTTGTGTAAGAGCATCTGAGACAGTCATGATGTAATTATATTATATAGTGAGGCGTGATAAGGGATAATGATAGTTTTGCGTAATATGTTTAATGTGCAATGTTGAACGGTTAGGGTATCAATTGAATCAATTGATTAGTTATAAATGAATTGATGAAAAGAAATCCAAGAGAATAATGATAAATATTTATTAAAAAATAGATTAAATTAAATTAAATTAAATTAAACTAAATAAATAGCAAACTTATAAGGGGAAGGGATGGCAGGGATAAATATAATAAATAAATCGTCATAGATAATTAGTGAGAGAAGGAAACCTTAACAGAGGAAAAAAGACCTCACTAAACTTACCGAAAAGAAATACCGCTTACGTCTTTGGTATTGCGTGGAACCGTATTTGCCGATGTCACTAAATAAGTTTTACCGTCCCCCTAGTTGAAAATTATGAAAAATTGATTTAAATTAAGGTCAATCTTATAGGCTTATGGTTTCAATGATAACAATGGCTTAATCCATAGTATCCTTAAGCCACTAAATAGAATAAAATTAAGTTACATTATATTATATTTTAATGATTCTATATTATTGCATAAAGTATATATTTTATTTTATCTTATCTAACTAATTCAACTTTCCATTTAACTTCACTGATACTTATTTCTCCATTTCCTAATTGATCATAATCATACCATTCTCCATCACTTAAATCAATCTCTTGTATGATGGAATTTGAAAGTAAACTCATACATTCAAATTGATCATCAGGTATGAAATCTAATAACCTTATTCCAAACGTATTTATCATTAATATATCTGTCCATTGATTATCTTGATCAATCTTATTGGGTAATCTCTTTATAGTAGCATATCTTTCTCGATTACATTCTTTACATTTGAATAAAAAATTAGCTTCTCTTCTAAACCCAGTAACTTGGAATCTCCCTTCACTATTGATTTCTATTGGTTTATCATGAATCTTAGTACATCCACATTGAATTTTAAATTTATAATCAAAGGGATAATTTAAATTATCAAGTGGTTGTACATTTGAGACGTTTTTTAAAACCGCCTCAGCTTTTAAAATATACGTTAACATTGTTATTGTAAGATTTGTGATGATGATGATATATAAATTTTAAGAAATCATATTAAATCGATACAAATCCATCTTTATTTATACCTTAGGAATTCCTTCAATTCAACCTATACTCCTCTAGTCATAAGGCTGCAAAAATGTGTTAATGATTTACAGTTATAAACACTGCTTATAGTTAAACAAAAAAAAAATTCCATTGACACATGAAAGGGCTTAAGTCTCAATTAGGAAGTATGTGCGCTAAATATTTTTCAGTTAGAGTCATAATCAGATACGAATGGTTACAATCACCGAATATGACTATTATTATATTGTTACAAAAGGTGAATAAAAGATTTGTGAGTAAGTTGTTTATTAATAGCAATTTTTATTTATTTATTTATTTATTTATTTATTTATTTACACTATACATCTATCAAACGGCTCTGTTTAGGAACGAGCCACATCCCATTCAACTTCAGTTATGGAAACTTCAGCTCCTGCTTTATCATCATAATCATACCATTCACCATCATCAAATTCAAAATCATTAAACTTGGTGTTTGATTCAGCACCAATAGCTTGATATAAACCATCGGGAATGAATTTTTCAATATCTAAACCTCTAGCATCAATTTCTAATATTGGAATTGATTTCTTATCATCATCTAAAGTTAATGATTTAGTAGTTCTTAATATCGATATCGAATGTTCAGATTTACATTCTTTACATCTGAATACAAAACTGGCTTCACCTCTTGATCCCGTAATATCATGTTCTTCAAATCGATTTATCGTAATTGGTTTATCATGAGTAGTTCGACATTTTGTACATTGAATTGTAAATGTATATTCAAATGGAGATTCTGGAGTATCAATGGGTTGGAAATTAGTTACGCCATCTAAGGTAGCTGATACATTTAAATAAAATTTAACCATTATATAATTATATTTCTGTTTAATTCAAATTACTTCTTTCAAATATCCTATAGATGGATTTGATTTGATTTTGATCAGATTTGATTTTATTTTTACTGTGTATGAGAGGTCGTGCACTGTTGTCAGAAACTACCTAATTTGACGATAATATTTTGCAATTTTGCATATTTTAAACTGATACCAAATTTAAATCATAAAGTTTAGTATGAACATATAAATAATTTCATAAATTTATCTATCAGGGAGAGATATGAATAGTTGGATAAAATGATTAAAGTATCTCAATGTTATATGTAAGCATTGAAATTATATTTCAATCCATCAATTTCGGATCCGAAGTAACCATTCAATAGCCGTGGTATAACAATCCATGACCCGTGATTAATAATAAGCCGACATATCACCTCGATAACTATCATTATTATATCTCATATCTCAAATTATCTCTATGGAGTTATCAAATATATGATATATAAATAAAACTTGTAATTCACAGTGGCAATATCAAAGGGTAATAGCAAGCGATGGCAGTATTTTTGTTAGCGAAAGTTTGTTAGTTAAGCAAGAAAAAAAAAAAAAAAGAAAAGAGGAAAAGAAGAAACTAAAAAAATCTGAAATCAAATGGAAAGAGATAACATTTTCCATCAGTAGTTTGTTATTAAAGTATTATAGATATATTCATTTATTGGTGTTAGAGGATAGAAGAAATAGATTATTCAATTCATTTTGCCCCTTCATTTCATCACTTTTCCCCACTTCTTTCCATATCATTTTGTATTAATAATTATTCCCCTTTCCCCTAGTTGTTATCTAAGGGGAATCGGAAACTAACTCGCATTTCAATCATTATTAATAAACCCATATTTGTAATATAGCCACCATATTTATATCATGACAGCCGATGATCATCAACATATATCGGAACATATAGGCCATGCCACTTCAGCCGTTGTATCAGTAGCGACTTCAACCTCCCCCAATAGAGATTTTTCCGATGTGGTTCAAGGTGAAGTACTTGAATTTAGAAAATCTCCAAAACCTGATTTTGCATTAACTCAAGGTATAGCTGATTATTTATCCCCCAAAAACTTTGTTCAACGTTGTTCTGCTAATCAATTAATAACATTATCCGGAGCATCAGCTGGGTTTTTAGCAGGAGTGGTGGTATGTCCCCTTGATGTGGTTAAAACAAGATTACAAGCTCAAGGAGATTTAGTCAAATCAGATTCAAATTATAAAATTAAATATAAAGGATTCGTAGGAGCATTTAAAACTATATTACGAGAAGAAGGATTTGCAGGATTATATCGAGGATTGGTTCCTATAACAGTGGGATATTTACCAACTTGGACTATATATTTTACCGTTTATGAACGAGCCAAAAAATTCTATCCACAATTTCTTCAAAAAAATTTCAATATTCAACAAGATGCATTAGCTCATTTTTGTTCTGCATTGACAGCTGGGTTAGGTTCATCAATTGCTGTTAATCCAATATGGGTTGTCAAAACAAGACTAATGATTCAAACTGGTAAGGGTCAAACTATTTATGATCATAATGAAAAGTACGCCAAAGAAAATTTAAAACGAACATATTATAAAGGTACTATCGATGCATTTCGTAAAATGTATAAAGAAGAAGGATTAAGAGTGTTTTATAGTGGATTGGTTCCTTCCATATTTGGATTATTACATGTTGGAATTCATTTCCCTGTTTATGAAGAATTAAAGAAAATATTACATTGTGATACAGCATTAAGTCATCCTCATGATCCTGCTGAACCAAATTCAATCTTATGGAGATTAATCATGGCATCATCAGCATCTAAAATGGTTGCAAGTACCATCACTTATCCTCATGAAATTTTAAGAACAAGAATGCAAATTCAAGCTATAAAGCAAGAAGCTAAAAATCCAGGTATCCATAAAAAACATCGAATGTTAAATTCACTTATCAAGATATATCAAAAGGAAGGTCTTAGAGGGTTTTATGCTGGTTATGCGGTGAATCTTGTAAGAACCGTTCCGGCTAGTGCAGTAACGTTAGTAAGTTTTGAATATATCAAGACTTATTTACTTGGATTAAGTGGTAAATTATAAAGTTAAAGCCACAAATCTACAACATATCATCATTTTAAAAAAAGATCAAATCATAAATCAAATCTGCATTTATTATTATCATATAAATATTCAATTTTATTATAACTCCACTTTCAGTTCATATTTTCATTGTGAAGCATGTGTCACATTGAAAACTTCATTTTAGAATCTACCTTATATATAAACCTTTTCCATATTTAATTACTTCAATTAATTATTTTAATTGATCATTTATTTATTTATTTATTTGCACTATATTGCATTATAGATTTATATAAACAAAATATACTGAGAAATCATGTATTTATAATCTACTAATGGTTTTATAAATTTCAAACCTATTGTAGTTTAACGGGAACCTAAGATTAAACTTATGTGAATCAGTTTTATGTTACATTTAGCGTAAATTGTGGCACAATAATATTAAAATACAAGAACATTGTAAACATAAGCAAAGTGAAAAATAGCTTTCCAATACCATCCAAACATTTCGTACAATCTTCTTTAATTCCCGAATTTCTTGGGATTGGGCCCATTCTTAATCTCGTTTTGAGGTTATCAATATCACAATCAAGTGAATAGATCAATGTAGCAATTTCTGTAATGTTGTCATAACTTTTGAGTAACCCATTTTGATCAACTAAATGGTTGTCAGTATTTATGTTACCCTGATAGACGTTCGAAGGAACCTCAATCATATCATTTACTGTCTCAATATTATCCATTTTTTTTATTGAATATATATATGTATTAAGATTATTTCAAGAAGTTATCTTATCATATTTAGTATATAAATAAAAGATATTGAAAATACTTGTATTTATACGTACTACAATTAGCATAACATTTTAAAGAATAATTTTGTATGCTTATCTTGATTGTTTCCTAAACAAGAACACACTAAGAATACGTTTCTATTAACATACACATGCTGTAGGAATTGTTTGTTAACAGGATTTAATTGAAGTTCGTAGATGTATACTTCCTCATAATACCTTGTGCTATTAAGTTTAATAAAAACACTATGAAAAAGAACATTTCTACCACAGCAGCTAACATAACAAACATCCAACCGTTCCTTTCATTGCACACTCCATTGTGTCTTCTATTATTATATTGCCTAAGATCAAATTCATCTTCTTTATCAAGCTGTCTTTTAAGTTTATTCAAAGTTGAGTATAATGATTGTACATGATCGGCATCAATTGTTGGCCCAGGAGTGTAGAGATTAATGTCATTCTGAGACCTTTCAGAATATAATTGCTTGGGAAAGACGATATGGTTATTATCAGACATATTTGGCATTCAGTATAATGATTTGGCTATAATAAACTTTGAGTAAATATGCTATAATCATAAGCAATGAATTGTATAAATATTCAATAAACTAATAAACACAGATTACATATGAACAGAAGCTATAATTAGCATAAAATTACTGCATAGTTTAACTATTTTGTTATGCTGATGGTACGTTTATAATGCTTACATTCAGAAATTCAAATTGTTAAATCGTGGAAACTTTTGTTTTGCTGTAGTTCCCTCAAACTAAAAGGGCTACCATCTCATCGTTTTTAAATACAATTTTGGACTTGACCAGTTAATTATTTCAGCTACTCCATGCAAAGACAAATCAGTTGCTAGATATACAATGTCTTCGTTTAGGAGAACCATAGACGATGGTGATGAAGATGATGAAGATGAGTTGAAGTATCAACGGGATGAATTAGTCGATTTTGAAACTCATAATGCCAATGCAAACCCATCCAATACTAAAAAAGAGGAGAGATTAGTCAATTTGATTTTAGATCGTACTGCTTTCATACGTGGGATAGGTAATGTTAAAAGATGGTTTAATGATGAATATGTCAAGACTAATATGAATACCAGTAAAGGTTCCATAACCTTAAATATTTATATCCCTTCTTATACTTTACATGAATTTGATTTCGCAAAGAAAGGAATGTCAATGCTGGCATCCAATGCAAGAGAAGCTTTAAGATTCATTGATAAATTCATTGAATCAGAAGGTGAACCCAAGGAGAATACAACGAATCCCATCTTATACAACTTAATAATTGAAGGTCCGGGCGAAACAGTTGAATGGAAAGAATGTCTCAGGTATAAAGTTCATTCTCCAAAAGTTAAAGAATTTCCTAATTTTAAAACTAAATTTGATTATTCAGCCATTAGTCAATCATATGCTCATAATACCAATGCAAACTCAGATGATTTCAATAGTAGTTTATCCTTAAGAGATAGTAACAAGAGAAATGATATTCAATATGAAAATTCAGAATCATATCAAAATGCTCTTAGTCATTCTGATAATTTTGCTGAAATGCCAACTCGATTACGTTATTTACTCAGGAATTGTATTTATAACGATTTGTGGAAAAGAATAAACATTCCAATGAATTAGAAGATTGGAAACTTGTGACTGAAGATCCTATTACTAAAATTTGGGCCAAGAGTTTTGGAATCGATTGTGTTAATGTTAATGAAGCTGAATTATTAATGTTTCAAAATTATGATGTCGATAAGTTTAAAAATTATAATAATTTCTCAATGGAAGAAGAATATGATCCATTTAATGATATTTTACAAAACACAGTTGATGCAACCGCTTATTCATATGCAAATATATCAGACGTTACCCCAGCTCCCAATGTCACTGGAAAGAAAAACAGACCCGTTCCAATCCGTAATAGAGTCGAAGGGGTGGTGAATGTATAACCATCAAATATTACAGGTGAATATGTTTCAAAGGAAAGATTTGACGCTATAAAGTTTGCTCCTAGAGGTCGTGGACAATTATGGAGACCAGGATCTTGATCTTCAATTCGTTTGAATGTTCTATTTAGGTAGAACTCAAGAGTATCATACAAAGTCTACTTATGTTTTTTTGACAAGTTGAAAGGGGAATAGTAATTGTTTATCATTATTTCCATTTTATAAATCTTGCACGATAAGACGGGAGTCCAACATGAAATGCGACTATCCTGTTAATAGATTGGTTTCAACAATTACAACCAGAGGTTTTCAATCCATTGCAACAGATGCAGTTTATCGAACTCCTAATTTAGGGAGTGGGTTGGTCTTGGCTTCACTATATAATCATTACCCTTATAAATCTTAATATAAGTTTTCCTGCACTTTGCAGAATGTTATTTTGTTCAACTTGTAGCGGAGTATTACTGCAAAATAAGATATTGATAAGTTATATTCTAAAAAGCGACATTGATATACATGCCACAAACTATTAACACTATATATATATAGCTTCTAGTTATAATACCTTCTCCTTTTCCATACAACAATTAATTCTTCCAAATTCGATAAATCCATTTTTTTTCTTTTTTCAAATTTATTCATTTCAACTTCAGCCTTTATGTTGTTTAGTCCACGATAATCTGAGATTGATGATCTACCAAAATCCAAGATTTTGATTTTGTTTTCAACGGCATTAAACATAACATTACCGATATGGAGATCACCATGTGAAACTCCTACAGCATGTAAGTCGTTAATGGCTTTCCTCAACAATTCTTCAACATCAGCTGACCATGGAATATTTGTTAAAGTTTTACCTTCTATATACTGCATCTTCATATATAGACCCGAAAGAGAAAATTCACTAATCTTAAGCCTTTTGTTTTTATCTAATAAATTCACAGCAAATTTTTTATTATCGTTGCTCAAATAACCAATTTCATACACTTTCGGACTTGTATCCAACAAGAGCCCAGTTATAACGGTATATGTGCAAATTTCCCTTTCAAAGAGTTCGAGCATTGCTTTTATACGGTGGTAGAAAGTAGGGCAGTCTCTTATCTTATCTATCTTTACTCGGACAGGATCAACAATTTTGTAGATGTAATTCGAGTGACGCAAAACGGTTGAGTATGATTCATGTAAGACATCTCCACTGAGAATTTCACAGTTAACTAACTGGCTTGCATCTAATCTCCCAAAAGGAAACCAATCAATAGCTTTGAATACCCCCTCAAGACCAAAATTAAGAATCATCTTTTTTAGTTCATCATCATTCAATTTATTTTTTCTATCTTCAATTAGTTGATCTAAGTCATCAACTTTTGCTTTCTTAAAAACGTGAGTCAGAGACAATGTTTCATCTGTCGTGGTAGTTACCAAATCCAGCTGATTAACTATCGATAAATCAAATTCCTTATTACTTACCCCATAAAGCCAACTACCAAATTTATCTAAAATTTGATAATGATATAGGGTCCTTGCAACTTTTTCATTATCAGTAATATAAATTGCATTTTTATAAGCTTTAAATTCTTCATTTTCAAATCTCAATATTTCCTTATTCTGAAATATGAATAGCATAATGAATAGAGCAACATCAAATTTTTCAACGGTGGAATCGAAAGTTGTTATGAAGCATTTAATTGGTCGTAGCTCTTCTGTAAAATTATTAAAATCAGGTGGTACCGATTCCAATAAAATAGCAATTGCGAATTTTCCATCACTTAAAAATCCAATTTTGGACTTGGTTGAAATCATTTCCAAAAAGCACTGTGAATAGAATTCAATTAACTTTTTGGAACCTTTTGTATTATCGTGCCTACTTTGTTCAAATTCATGAAAAATGAGTTTTAAATCCTTAAATTTTAACTCAATTGGAATCTCGGATTCCTTGAGCGTAATTATCACGTCTGGGATAAACGTGAATTTTGTGTTTTCATCAAATTCTATATTTCTTGGCTTTTGTTGCAAAACTCTTAAATTTACTTTATATTTCAAAAATAATCTGCTTGATAAACGTAAATTTCTAATAAAATTGCTTTCTAATTCAGCTTCATTTCCAATCTCCAGCAGCATATATTCCAACATTGGACTATAACTAATTCTAGGCAAATTTTTTGGAATAATTCTTAAAGAATCTGAATTGTTACTTAAAAACCTTTCATCAGCTAACTTGAAATCGGGAATATAAGCTGATTGTTTTTTAAAGTACGAATTATTAAGTTCATAAGTATTACTGAAGGTCGTTGAGTTGGCTTTCTTGCTACCAGATAAATTATGTATTGATGTTTCATCTTCATTGGCTTTATCAGTTTCCTCAAACATTATATGATTTAGTAAAGTACAATAATCAAAAAAAGTGTTAACAGCTACCTGATGGTGATCATTTTCGCAGCATTCTTTAATTGAGTTAGTTACCTTTAATTTGGTTATCTGAAAATAATGTAAAAGGCCTTTCAGTGAAAACCCTTGAAAAATGTGAGGATTAAAAACTTTGTATGCTGTAATAAGAACCTCTGCGTAGTTAGTCTGTTCCAAAATTTCGTCTTCAAACATTGAGCTGATTTCATTGGCAACTGAAGAAGTTTTATCTTTATCGATATCAATGATTAATTCTTTTAATTTTGCTAAACCCTCTTCATAAGTCAATCTAAACTCATCTTTATCAACCACATCTTCTTCAATGGCAACTTTTATTAAATTTATGGTAGATTCTTTATGAGTATTGTAATAAGAAACAAAATTTTCACAGTTATATATTTTCAGAATGGTTGACATGATTGAATATTGTGATGTATTGTTAATGTTGTTGGATATTTTTAATTTCTAGTCAGTAACTTCTGTTTAATAAATCTTTTTGAATCTTTTGTTCTGTAAGGGGTGGAAAAAGTTAAGAAATAATTGCGAAATTATTTTTAAACAAAAAAGTAAATATTTTTAAAAAAAAGTGTCAATCTAATTTTTTTAATTAGGAGTGTAAATGGTTTAACGAAGTTATACGAATTTTGTTCTAGCAATTTTCCAAAGTTTGCAAACAAGGAGATCAACTAAAAAGTTATCTTATTCTATATAATTGTAAGATTTAATTTTTTATATAAGTTAAGCAATTTTATGTGACTTTCAGCATAACAAATTGTTATTGCAAAAAAAAAAAGGGAAAGAATTTACATCAGCATTAGATATTCTAGTTAACCCAGTTAATATACAGGTAAACTTTACCTTTTACATTATCAGACTAAACAAATGGCTTTTGGAAGAACCGTAAACATAGCATAGCTATCTTATATCAAGTTTAAATTAGTTCATTCTAGATAAATATATATTTAAGAAATTAGGAAAGTACAGTAATACTCAATTAATTATTATAATACCTTATTTGTTTATTCAACTTTCGTTTAAAATTGCAAGAAATTATGGATTCCGATTAATGGTTTTATAATTTTCAAACCCACTGTAGTTTAAAATCGACAGAGAACGAGAACGTAAGATTGAATTCATCTTTGGAATGTTCAAATTATACAAGTCTGTGTTTTCTTTCTTCAAGTGTGCAGCATACAATAGCAAAATTTAAAAATAAAAGAGCTATAAAAGCCAATAAATATATGCCGAATACATCATTACATTTATTACAGCCCTCAAAATCTAGTTCTATATCTAAATTTCCGAACTTAGGAATCTTTTTCATTCTATTCTTAATGTTATCAATGCCGCAATCTAGCGTATGAATGAACTTCGTAATTTCGATTATATTGTTATAGCGATTTTGTTGAAGTGAAGGGACGTCAATATTTCTTTCACTTTGATGGATAGTTGATTCAGCCGTAGTGTTATCAACAACAGATTCAAAATTATTCATTATTTTATTGCAATCTTATATATACTGATATTATTTAAAGGATGTAAATTCTAATATAAATAGACAAAACTAAAATTTTCTTTGTTCAAAATAAAAGTGAATTTATTAGCATAATATTTAATAGTTGAAATTATCTTATTTGTTTGGATTTGGAAACGATATAACTACAAGTAGTTACTACATGTTAATGGATAAATGATATCAACAAAATATATTAAAATAATTGTAAAAAGAGTTTGAGAAAATACACTAGACTGAAACTGCTGATTTTAAACTCCACCACATGGATTCTAATATCAAGTTTAGAGTAAACACAATAAAGAAGAAAATTTGTACCAGAATAGCTATCATAAGAATGTTCCATATCTTCTTGTACACACACATTGTTCTATGTCTTTGAGAATGAAAATCTTCTAAATCATATTTTTGCTCTTGATCAAGTTCTCTACTAAGTTTATTTATAGTTGAATATATTGTTTGTAAAAGGGGAATATCAAGAACTGGCCCAGTATTGTAGAGACTATTGTCATTTAGAAGACTCTTCATGGAAAAGATGTTACGGTTTCTATTCGACATCTCAGTAATTCAATATATTATGATTCTTTGATTAAAAATATTATAATCGCCTGGAATAAAGACTGAGAGTTTTATTTAAACAAAAAATATTATGTAATATTAGATAAAGTTTATAGATTACTACGCCTAATAATCATTTCAAAACAAATTGCTAAATGAATCAATTATAATGATTTCAGTAGACAATCCTATAAATACTGTAGAAATTTCAATACTAAGACTATATAAAACTGATGGAAGAAGTTATTAATATATTAGATATTGTACTGCATAAAATTCACAGCTAACCTACTGGATTTATCCAATTCCCGAATACATATATCACATGTCTTACGCGTTATATTGCTATAGTTCTGATAATTGCGTAGAAATGACTTGTATTCTAATGAGATAGAGGAAAATATGCAAGACTATGATTTCAGAGTTAATATGTAGTAAATTTGAGAAAGTGATATATCCGGAGCTGACAAGTCGGTTATAGATTCTTTTTTTGTTCCTATATAGTGAGAATATATATTAGAGCGAATTATTTATGCTAAATGGGAAAAAACTATATGATTAAATATATAGAGAAAAAACCTCGGTAATTATGTTGTAGCGATTGGAGTAGTAATGGAATTAATGGTTAAAATGGAATGAAGAATGAACTTAGATGTTACTTAGGATGTTTGGCTGACTTATCTTTTTTTCTTGAATCTTCGGATTCCCCGTTTAATCATTGTAGTAGTAAGAGGTAAAACTCTTACTCGACTCGATCGTCGAAAGACCCAGATAGATCTAATGATTGTGTGGGTGTGGTAGATTGTGGTTAGCCACGATAGATCCTATGGTGAAATTGATGAGGCCCAATAATTACCGTATTTCTAATGATTTGGGACATTCATGGTATATGTGTTGTACATCTGGAGATTCGTAATTCATACAGAGTAAACAGATAGGCAAGTAGATGTATGGGAAGTGGTCGTCGGTATCGCTACGAGAATGGTGATAATGACTTAAATGACCAAGCCAAAATCTGTGGACCTCTTCTAATTGGCTTGGGTTTTGGGCTTTATTAATCGATAATATTTTGCAATATTTCTTCCATTGTGATAGTTCAATCAAACAACGGTTGCTAAATGATTATGATTGTAGTAAATAGTTGTCTTTATTATATTTCTTTTCACTTCGTTGACGGAAGGATTGTTGAGTAGGTGGGTTACCTTCTGGATCTTTTCTTTAAGATTGATTTCTTGAAAGATATCTATTGTTAATGGTTTCTGAATAATCGCCTTTCGATCCGCAAGATTATAAAGTTTGAATTGTTCTGGCTCCTGTGGTTGAGTATATGATATGAGATGTTTCCATGCTTTGAGTTGACTCTTTTCCCCCTCTGTAAAGTAAGTAATATCATCGTGATGATCATATTGGTGGTTTATGAAAATTTTGAAGTTCTTTCTGAGAAGAATTTCGTACCATGTGATTACCGGAATCAAATTATGAGGATTCGAGTTGGTTGTAATAGGACGACATTTAAATATAAATTGTTGTATCCTGTCTCGCAATAAGATGATATGAGGGGTGATTTTGGATGCAACTAATACGACATAGAGGATTCTTGCTCTTCTCCCTTTTGGTTGTTCTTCAAGGTCCATTAATCCATATCCTCCTAATTTTCGATCAGTATATAGAGTGTCTTCTTTTATGTTTGGAAATCTCTTTTTTATCATTTTCTTAAGTTCTAGTGCATATAAGAAGCCTGGTCGGGTATAACAACTATTCTTCTTTCATACATTTTATTTAGTCTATTTTATATAAATATCAGTTAAAAATCTCTGATTTATAAAATTTGAGAAAAAGAGATTATGAACATTTTAAGTTAATTTTCATATTTACATTTACATTACTGAGTACGTCGTTTATCATAAGTTATATTAAGTTGGAACTTAACTACGGTATAAAGCGGCAATCGAAAGAAAATGGTGTACTTTACAATAAAAGACGCCGATAAAAAAAGAGGGGGTACTGTATAGATCATGTAGAAAATGCTGCAAAACAAAAGCGGTTGAATAAATGTATACTTTACATACTAGTAAATTAGTTACGCGCCATAATGATTGTTCTATTATTCTTTCAAATTGGATCTAGTTCTATTTACAAAAACCTTCTCTATTTAAAGAACTTTCTTCAGCGGCTATTTATGAATTCATTTTCAAGTCCTTTTCTTTTCATTATATTCAATTAATTTATTCCACTGATAAGTCCTAGAAAGATATTTCCTCATCGATTCACCTCTGGTATAGATCATCAATCACTCTAAATACTTTATTCCCTCATAGATTCAACGCTGGTATAGAGCATCAATCTCTCTAAATACTTTATTCACTCATAGATTCAACGCTGGTATAGAGCATCAATCTCTCTAAATACTTTATTCCCTCATAGATTCAACGCTGGTATAGAGCATCAATCTCTCTAAATACTTTATTTCCACATCGTTTCAATATGGATATGTCTATGGATCTTCCTCTTTATCATAGACAACCTGGATCAAGGGAAATAGAGCCATATAGAGCTGCTCGTATGAACTACGCCAAAAAGACTGATGATGACATGCCAACTCAGAAGAATAAGTCTGATGACTGGTGTGGCTATATCTGCTGCTTAACTTTTGGATGTTGTAAGACATACCCCAGTTTGAACAAATACTGTAAAGAAGATCCAGCGACTGTCAGCTGTATAATTGTTTGGAGTGTTTTGGTTTTATGCACTCTAATTTCAACATTAACTAATTTCAGGCCCTTTGTTTTCACTGCAGCTGCCAAGGTAGCCATGGGCTTGGCTGTAATTATTGGTTCTGTTAATCTGTACAAAATTTGCAAATGTTGCTTATTCGACTATTTAATTTATATTTTACACCGTGAGAAGGTGCCATGTTTATGTCCAATACGTACAAATATAGTAACATTTTATATGTTATTACTTTTCCTTGGTGGTTACCTGGGAATTATTATCTTGGAACAAGGGTCTACTGCCACCACTAGTACTAGTGCCACCAACAGTACCAGCACTATCACTCCTAGTTAAAGTTTAGAATTTATAGTGTAAATAAATAATGTATTAATAGTAAATAAAAAGGTAATACATCCATGGTTTGGAAACCAACAATATTGACCTAAATGTTATATGATTTTATTAGCTTTCTTCCGGATTTAAGATTGCCTACTTATAAATCGTAGTTTTTAAATTATCAGGATTGAAATATGACCTTTCTCATCATTAAAATAAAGCTCGCAGACAATTTTTTCATTAATCATTTTAACTCTTTTAAACTGAAAACTTCAGTTATAATGAATGGCTTTTTGAGTAATGACAACACTTTAGCAACCTTTAGCAACCTTGATATCTTTGTACTGATACTAATTTTTTCAACTGATAGTAGAAAATACTGAAATTTTATAAATAGTAGTGTCCTTTGTTCATTATCACACGAAAATTCAAGTAAGAGAAAAATAACACCTAAATTAAATGTCAATCAGATTTATAATTATAAAATCTTTATTTCATAATTACCAAGGTTAGATCCAATGAAGATATCACTCGGGAAAGGATCATTATTGTTGCCTCTACTCCTAATACAATTGGTATTGGGTAGTCCAGCAGTGATTCCTAATCACGATTCGACTGATCTCACAATTGAGGCAGATGCAAATAGCAATGACGTAGTTGATACTTCGATAGTGGAAGGAGTAGCACCAAATGAAGGGCAACCACCCAAGAAAGCAAATAATAAAGTGAGTGATAAAGTGATAGCTGCGGCCGATGAAGCTACTGACAAAGAAGTTGACGTTGGGGAAGTACTTGATACAGATACTATTGCTGTTCCTGAAGCAGAAAAGGAACCTAAAGAACCTACTCCACAAAAGGTAGAAGAAAAACAACAACAGGAACCAAAGATCCCTGATGACCTCTTACCAGTGGAGGAAACTAAAGAGAAAGTGGAAGAAAAGCAACCAGCTAAACCAGCTAGTAAATTGCCACCACCATTAGGTGTCGATAATTTTGATACAATTACTAGTGAAAGACTTTCATTTGTTGAATTTTACTCTCCTTATTGTCATCATTGTACTGCATTAGCACCAATTTGGGAAGAAGCATACCTTCAATTCAAAACTGAAGCAGTGAAATTAAATATTCAAATGGTCCAAGTGAATTGTGTTGAAAGTGGAGATTTATGTGAAAGGGAGCAAATTTCATATTATCCAAATTTACAATTATATGCTCCAGAAAGAAATTCAGAAACAGGAGAACTTCTACCTGGTAAGCTGAAAAAGGTAGGTATGTTCCCAAGATCTTTGGTTAGAACTAGTGAAAATTTTCAAAAATATTTAAGAAATTCAGCTGCTGAATATAATGCTGGAACTATTGATATACCATCTTCATCAGAATTACTTGATGCAGATCAAATGTTAAGTATCTTAGCTGGAAAAAAGGAAGAAGCTTATTTCGTTACATTCTTCCCATCTACTGATGAACAATGGAAGAAGACTGAATCAACTGGTAAGAGTGCATTTCAAAAGAGTTGTGATGATTGTTTAGAATATAAGCAAATTTGGGATCAATTATCAAATCAAATCCAAACTGTTTCTAAAACTGGTCATTTCAATTGTCAAACCAATCCATCATTATGTCAGCTGATGAATTTTAATGAATTAACACCTACCAATACAAGATCAACACCTAAATTCGTTATGTTTTTGCCTAAGACAACTGGAAAAATTAGATTTGATTATAAAGGCGAAGTTTCCATAGACAAAATGAAAGCTTGGGTTAATAGATTATGGCAGAATGCTCAATTTGAAACCCTTACTGCTAGAGCATTAGGTGATGTAATGGAATACAGAAAAGAATTACCTCATGAACCATTAGATTCTTACTATCCTTTGGAAAATAAAATATCTGTGATATTTTACTTTGATCCAGATACCAATTCCGACGAGGATAGAGCTATATTACCATACTTATTGGATTACGTTACTTATTCACCTTTCAATATGTATTTGTATACATCCAAACACAAGAAGCTTGAACAAGGTGTTTTAACACAAGCTGAGAATTTGGTTAAATTCATCAATGCTGATCCAAAATCATCCTCTCAATATAAATTTAATAAAGCAAGTTATTTAGCTACTACTTTAACTTCCAAACCAACTATTTTAATATTTAAAGATAATACTTTAATAACAGATATTTATCAAAATTTTGCACCTGAAGATATGAGAGATACAAGAAAGATTGAAAAGTTTATTAATGATGCTATGTATCCGTTATATCAAGAATTGACTGCTGAATTGGTACCATATTATTTCAATCGTCCAAATGATGAACATAAAGGTGATAAAGTAGTGGTTACCTTCATAGATTCTACTGATGCATCATCAACTAATAAACAATTATACAACATCTCATTAATTGCTCATGAATATGCTTATTTAAAGAAAGAATATTATTTCAACCAAATTTCGGCCAACAGAGAAGAAAAGCAATCCAGAGTTGAAAAATTAAAACAACAAAATTCAGATAGTATTCCTATTATAAAAGAGTTACGTAGAGAGATACCTCATCTTTTTAATAATAATCAAGTATTATTTACGTTTGTTGATAAGAGTAAGAAAGATCAATTTTATAGAAGTTCCAAGTGGAATATAGATTCGAATGATTATAATATTGGTGATTGTATAATCTTAACTAAAGATAATAGATACTTTTGGGATGAAAATCTTGAAGGAGAACAATTAACCAATGATCCAACTGTTTTGAAACCAGTCTTATTATCATTATTAGATCCAAAACTAGTTAATGGAAACACACCTCATATAATGTTGGTTGGTAGTCCATATGGTGATAGTTTAAGATTTATGGATCATATCCATGAACGTGGAGTGTTGGGATATTTATCCCTTTTTGTCATTTTATATCTTGTTTTCTTCTTCGGTCGTCGTTTGTTTAAGAAGAGAAGATTTATTAAACATAAATCAAGTCCATCATCTTCTGGAGCTGGTATCCTTGGTAATAATTACGTACCTAAAAAGGACTAATGATATATATTTATTAGCTTAGTAAGTTGTACATAATTATAATAATAGTAATAACTTTTACACGGTACCTAAGATTTGTAGTTGTTTAGCTTCTGATTCAATTAACGATTTGTAACTTGAATTTAAGTTAGTTATACAAAAATCCTTACCTGGTATACCTTTAACTTCACTATATGGAGGTATGACAACATTTTCCGGTATGATAGTATTTTCTCTTATAATACAACAATCATAAATGATGGAAAGATTATTTAACACACAATTATCTTCAATTATCACTCTATTGCCAATGTTAGCCAGTTTTATAATTGAATTTGATCCTATGATAGTGTATGCACCAATATTACTTGGACCATACCAAGTTTGATCTGATTCATTTGAAGCAACCGATGATGGTGAAGATGACGACGAAGATGATTGTTTAACTATGGGAGGTATGATTGAACAATGGGGTTTCAAGTAACAGTATTTACCCAACAGGATAGTTGTATTTGATTTGGTCAAGAGTTGAACATCACCTTTTAAAGTTACTTGAGGATGAATAGTTGAATGACCACTGATTAATATTTGATCTGACCCAGATATATGTGAGTTTTTAGATATTCGATTATGAGTTGCTGTTTCTATGAAATCTGATGACATGTGATGATATGGTTGATAGGGGTATAAAGTTAAGGATTATGACAATTATCGAGTTGTATCTCGTTGTGGAGGTGTTTATAGGTGCAGTTAGCGATTGTTTACCTTTTTTTTGTGGTCTTGAGAATTGGCAGCACAAGCAGTTAAAGAATGACATAAATTGAATCATAGAACATCTTCAAGATACAAAGCATTGTACGGTCCTATTGTGGGGATAAAGCTAAAATGACTACTAATTGAGCTTCTTAAACAGTGCTGGTGAAGATACAATATAATGGAATATTGATAGTTAAAGTAGATCATAAGGTTCCTACAAATGCTTAATGATTACATGATGTTACAAATGATATTAATTCTTCTAAATGATTCATGTGATCCATACTGATTCTAATAACTCCATCAGAGATATCAAAGATGGCAATGGTCAATTCTAACATTGGTAAAGCCATTAATCGTATTAATCCATTTAAGATGATATGCCGTATGTCATAAATAGAAATATCTGCCACAAAAAAGAAAAAGATTTTACCGAACCTTAATAAGACTATAGTTTTAACTCATAACGAGATGTTCTATGGTGTGTACCTGCTTTTATTGATCATGATTACGTGTTCTTATACGATCTTACTCTATTTATCTCGTAACAGGATTACCATGAATCAACATCGTATGTGTAAAGATCACTCACGCTGTATATTGTATATCTATCTCTTAATTGATGTGAAATGCCAGCCATCTTATTTGATCATTTTCATTGTTCCTTTAACTCACTAATTTTCTCATTACACGTTGGGCACAATAAACAAAAAACTCCGCGTGTTATGTAAAAAAAAACTTTGCGTGTCACTATCAGTTACTGAGAATAGAGTGTGTGTGGTATGTGTGTTTACGCTAAAAAATTTTATAAATATCATCAACAATTTCAGTTAGATCTTTTAACTTCTTTTCCTCTTTGACGGAAAGTCATTCTAAATTAGTAAGTAAGACTTTCATTTATCATATATCTATCACTGCATTCCATAATGTCCGACTTATTATTCAGAATTAACTGTGGATACCAAAACTATGCATGGGGAAAGATTGGTTCATCTTCAGCCGTTGCTCAATTCGCTGCTTCATCAGATCCAACTGTTAAAGTCGATGAATCAAAACCATATGCTGAATTATGGATGGGAACTCATCCTTCTGTGCCTTCCAAAAACGTTAACAATGGTAAGACTTTACGTGACTTAGTGTCTGAAGATCCAGAAACTTATTTACATTCATCTATTATTAAAAAATTTGGTTCCAGTAAAGAATTACCATTTCTTTTTAAAGTTTTATCAATTGAAAAAGTATTATCTATTCAAGCTCATCCTGATAAAGCTTTAGGTGCTCAATTACATGCTGCTGATCCAAAAAATTATCCTGATGATAATCATAAACCAGAAATGGCCATTGCTATTACTTCATTCGAAGGTTTCTGTGGTTTCAAACCATTAGATCAATTAGCTATTACTTTAACTATCATTCCTGAATTACATGATATTATTGGTTCCGAATTAGTTGAAGAATTTAAAACTGGTATTAAACCAACTGCTACTTTAGGTAGTGAAGATGATAAATCAAATAGAAAATTATTACAAAAAATCTTTGGTAAATTAATGAATACATCTGATGTCATTATTGAAGAAAAATCTATTTCATTAGTTAAAAGAACTGAAACTGATCAAGCCCTTTTCGCCAAGATTGATTCAAGATTAGCTACTTTAATTCAAAGATTAAACAAACAATTCCCTAATGATATTGGTTTATTCTGTGGTTGTTTATTATTAAATCATGTTGAATTATTCCCAGGTGAAGCTATGTTCTTACAAGCCAAAGATCCTCATGCTTACATCAGTGGTGATATCATTGAATGTATGGCTGCTAGTGATAATGTGGTTAGAGCTGGTTTTACTCCTAAATTTAAAGATGTTAAGAATTTAGTTGAAATGTTAACTTATTCTTATGATTCTGTTGAAAAACAAAAAATGCCATTATTATCATTTGCTAAATCTCATGGTGAAGCTTCTAAATCAGTATTATATAATCCCCCAATTGCTGAATTTGCTGTTTTACAAACTATCTTTGATAAATCAGGTAAAGTGCAAACTTTTGATGAATTTGAAGGTCCATCAATTATAATTGGTACTAAAGGTGAAGGTTCTATTAAAATCAAAGGATCTAGTAAATCTGAACCATTTAAAACTGGTTATGTTTATTTCGTGGCTCCAAATGCTGCTGTTGAATTAACCTCTAATGATGATGATTTCACTACTTATAGAGCCTTTGTTGAAGCTTAGGACTTCTACTGAGACCCTTTATACCTCCATTTCTCTTTATTTTTGATTCTTCTTACCCTTTGGTAATACTCATACTTATTCTATATATATACATACAAAAAAGCAAAACTTATACACATAATACATTGGTAGACACAATACAGAAATTATCAGTAAAATTTCGAAGGGTTATAGCATAGCTAATTTTAAAAATACTTTGTACCTACTGCTTTGCCTAGCCCACACGCACACCTTTCCCTCATTTTTTAACCCACAAAATAAAAATTTCCCATATTTTTTAGTGGTCCGTTCAAATTCATTTTATGTTCGTTGAAAATTTTATAGTTTTAACTATAAAAGTCAAAAAGGTTCATAATTGATCGTTTAAGGAAGAAGTTATTTCTATAGGTTATCCAGAATCAAAGAACCCGACGAAGAGGAAATATTCAATTTATTATCGTGCCCTCCTTCAATTCCCCATTCTCCATTGAATAGTTGTAAAATAAATTACCCCAACCCACGATTTTCACATTTTTGATTCCATTGCATATTGAATCTGATTGAAAGTTTGTAAACAGAACTCAATTGACTCAATTCCATTCATACTCAAGCCTCACAAGACGGAAGTAGTAAAAGGAACAACACAATTCAACAAATCATCAATTCTCATATAATAATAAATATCTGAAATCATAATGAGTGAAGAAGTTCCAGAATCTCAACCAGAACAACAACCAGTTGATGTCACAAAGAAAGTACCTGAAACTGAAGAAGAAAGAGCCGAAAGATTGGCCAAACAAGAAGAAGTAGATGGTAGATCAGTATATGTTGGTAATGTTGATTATCAATCTACACCTGAACAATTGGAAGAATTCTTTCATGTAGTTGGTGTAATCGAAAGAGTAACTATTTTATTCGATAGATATTCAGGCTTACCAAAAGGTTATGCTTATGTTGAATTTGAAAATGTTGAAAGCGTTGAAAAAGCCATTGAAGATTTACATGGTAAAACTTTTAGAGGTAGAGAATTAAGAGTTACTGCTAAAAGAACCAATTTACCAGGGTTTAGAAAGAATCTGAATGGATTCAGAGGTGGAAGAGGTGGTCCAAGAGGTGGTGCTAGAGGTACTTTTAGAGGAGGTAGAGGTCCTAGAGGATCATTCAGAGGAAGAGGAAGAGGTAGAGGTGGATATCGTGGATCATCGTCTGGTGAAATTGATGGTGAAGCTGTTGGATCAAGTGAAGCCGAAACTACTGGTGGTGAAGGCGAATCTGCTGAATAGAATACTAATTAAGTTCAGTATCCATCCATTAATTTACAGGCTCTTTTTTTATATTTGATACTTCTTGATATCCAATCTCAGACATCTCTCCCAGCTTTACTTTTCACTAGTCCGATCCATGTCTGAAGGATGAAAAGAAGATTACAGTTATTATAGGTTACCCAACATTCAAACTCCATGCCAATTGATCTAATGAACTCGATCAATTACATCCCAATAAAATACAAAAACAACAACAACTACTTACCATTTAAAGGTTTTTATATCTCGTCCATATTCAAAAATTTTAAAAAATTCAATCAAAAAATCAATTCTTCATGAAACAGCCAAAACTAAAAAAAATTTCAGGTCTCTTTTTCTTTTTTTAAAAAAATTAAATAGCATTATATTATATTTTCTTATTCTTTTCTTTTATTATTACTTTTACTATATATATTTATTGTCACCTATATATACTACTTTTACTTATTAATCTATAAGTTGGTTGTAGGTTGAGGTCCCTTTTGTGGAAATGTTTCTCTGTCTGTTTTCCTTCTCCACATGTTTTGCGTTTTACGAGTTTCTTTTTTTTCTTTTGCCTATTTGGGAAAAGTGGTTAAATTTTTACGATTTATTAATTGGCACTACTATAGGAGATATCTTACACCACTACAACGGAACTGATAACATGAATCCGTGAACTCATGAATATGCTGAGGGAATAGTATGTGCCAAGAAGTAATTGAAGTGGTAATGTTAACAGTTGAAGTATGATTTTTGGAGATCAAATAAATTCGGCTCGGAAAATGAGCTCAACACAACACATCCAAATGGCAAACAGTATAGTAACATGAAACCAATTGGCACATATAGTCTGTATTAGTATCTGAGAAATACACTAAAAGTTATTAAATCAATAATTTCTTCAAATATGTTGATAGTTATAAGAAAATGGTGTAACCTGTAAACTATAACCATAACATGTACATTTACACTTTTGCAGTTTACAATAATTTCTTTTTTTTTACAGTTTCTATCAAGCAGTTTAACAAAAAAATATTCTCATCTCATCAAAAGTAAAGAGTTTATAACTTGATTCAATCAATATTCACTTACCCCATACCGCATACTATAGCATAGAGATCATAAGATGACTTCCGTAAGAAAGAGAAAGATGAACCGTTCTTCTGTGAAGAAGAATACCAGAAGAACCAAGGATAAACAAAGAGATATAAATATTCATTCCAATCCAATTATAGCTGCTAATTGGGATAAATCATTAACTTTACAACAAAATTATAAAAGATTAGGGTTAACATCTAAATTAGGTACTTCTGCTGGTGGTCAAGAAAGAAAGATAGAGACTTTGACTGAATATAGAACTAAACATAATAATAATAAAGTTTCAGTTGATGAAATTTCTAATACTGATGATCCAAGTAAAATTCCAGAAGGTGAAGCTAGATTAATTAGAAATCCTGAAACTAATGAAGTGGTTAAAGTTATCTATGGTACTATGAAAGTTTCTAATGAAGATTCATCTGAAGCTAATTCAACATCAATTATAAAACAATTAGAAGAACATGCTGAAAAATATGCTCAAGTTAAGAAAGAAAGAACTGCTTCTGAAAGAGAAAATGATTGGTTAAAATCATTATTTGAAAAACATGGTGATGATTATGAAAAAATGAAATGGGATAAGAAATTAAACATTTATCAACAAAGTACTGGTGATTTAAGAAGAAGAATAACAAAATGGAAAAAATTAAATAACCTCAGTTAAACATTATTAATCCACTTTTCCATTCTGCATTTGTCTGTATATTAGTTTCCTTTTAGCATTAAGAAATATATTTTAATTATATTTTAACTTTTTATTATATTAAACATTATGTTTTGTAACTATCTAATTCATTAACCATTAATCTCTATAAAAGTCTCGTAACAATTTTAAAAACGTGCAGGACAATCCTTTGCCAATACCTTATCTATTATATCATTCATTATAGGTTTTAATTCACTATCATCATATAAATCAATCAATTTCTTATCATGATCATTATCTTGTAATTCAATCAATTCAACAAATTTTGGATCAATCGGTATGTTACCTAAATAAGTAAGATCTAATTGTTCACTTAACAATTTACCTCCTCCACTCAGGAATATGTTAGTACATTCAGCACAATGAGGACAAATGAATCCACTCATGTTTTCCACTATACCTAAAATATCAAAATTAACCTTTTTACAAAAATTGATTTCTTTACGAACATCAGCAGTAGCAACTTGTTGTGGTGTAGTCACTATAATAGCTCCATCTATAGGTTGGGCATATCTTAATTCTTCAGCAATAGCAATATGTTCATCTGATGTTCCAGGTGGGGTATCGATTAAAAGATAATCTAATGGCACATTATTACTACCTCCATTCCATACCACATCTTTCAAAAATTGACGTATCATAGCTGTTTTCTTAGGTCCTCTCCACACTACTGAATTATTTCTATTCCCTAATAAGAATCCTAATGACATTAATGATAAATTCCCTCTTTTCTTTTCATCAGTATTATTATTATTATTATATACTGACACAGGGACCCAGCCTGCCACTGATTGATGAACTTGTTTTTCTTCCACACCAAACATACGAGGTAATGATGGACCTGTTAAATCAATATCTAACACTCCAACATTGAAACCTTTATTAACCAAAGTTAATGCAGTTTGAGTAGTAACTGATGATTTTCCAACACCACCTTTCCCTGATAATATAAGGATAATATGTTTCACTTTTGCTAATGATTTAGGAGGCTCTGGTTGAACCATTCCTGGATCTATCGGACTCTCTGAAGTTGTCATTATTTGATACTATTTAATTACACCCTTCTTTAGAACTCACAAGAGATTAGTAATTTTTAAAAAAGTTTTGATAAAAAATGTCAGTTGCAATTTCCGGTATATAACAAAGCGTGTATCCTTCCTCACTTTAAATTTTCTGTTGACACTGTTTATATAGGAGTTTGCCATTTTACCCTTTAACCAGTATAAGTTTACCTTCAAACCATATCAGCTTATCCTATATATCCATAGTCGGTGTATAATATAATCACATAATCCATAATGAGTTCGAGATATTCAGCTGTTGGTGCTCATCAAAGAGACCTAAGAACACAATTGTTTAGTTCCCCTCAAGGTATAAGAACACCGCCATCCAGAACTACTTCACCATATGATCCAACTCCAACTGTCACTGCCAAACATAATGAATCATTTTTACTGAGTTTAGAATCCCAAAATAATGATGAAATGGATTCAATGGGTCAAAAAGTGGCTTTATTAAGGAATTTAGGTGAAAAAATGGGGGTTGAAATAAATAAATCATTAAAATTAAATGATGAAATAACAAATCAATTTGAAAAGGGGAAGGTTACCTTAAAGAAAACATATAATCAAATGGTATTGATGAGTCAAAGAGCAGGTATAACGTGGAGAATGTGGTTACTTGTATTCCTAATTATATTCGTTTGTTTCTTCTATGTTTGGATGTTCTAAGACAGATCACAGATCAGTGTATCATTTTATCAATCAATCAATCAATCAATTCATCCATCATCTACTTTAACGAATTCCTTGCATATTTCTTTACTTTAATGGCATCTTCTTAATTCAGTTCTTCTTTTTACTATTATATTTACTAAAAGGACTAATTTTTTTACTTAATTACAATCTATAGAAAACATCGTTTCTTTAACATAATTAGAGTATCCTCCTTCCTACTACATGAAAATCAAAAATTTCATTATAATAATTATATTCCTCCTCCTTAATGTATTTTATATTTTTATGTCTAATATACAAGATTTATTTAATAATTATTAGTAGTGTTACAGTATAAGATTTTTTAATTTGGTTATTGAAGTTACAATGACTGGATTTTTTGAATTAATATCAGAAGAATGAGAATTAGTACCATTCCAACTTCTTATCTCATCCTCTTCTTCTTCCTCTTCTATTACATCTTCTTCACCATCTCTTACTTCATCGTGTTGTTCATTTCCATCAATTTGATCCCGTCCTTTACTATGGGTGGTTTCACGATCAAGAGTTAAATCAGCAATAGATAGAATAAGACCATTAGCATTAGTTTGATCAATAGAACTTCTCCTCTTTGAATCAAATGCATTATTTATAGATGATAAGGCATTTCGTTCATCAATTTCTCCAAATACTCCACCTTCATTCACCAAAAATGGATGATTATTACCCTTTGTTCTGGGAGCTCTTGGAGATGATATAGTCTTCAATATCGAACGTTTTGGTTTTAATATATGATGAGATGGTTTATGCTTAGGTGTAGGTGATGATTCTTTATTATAATTATTGTAATTGTTACTTCTTCGTTTTGATTTTCTCAGATCGGGTCGTTTGGCTATTAGTTTCTTCTTATTAAGCAATCCAGTTTTCAAATTATTATAATATTCATTCGTACTAGCTATACTAGCTTCATTACTTCCAACATCTTCTGAAGAATCAGTATCGGACGATTCAGATGACATTGGTCCTGTTGGTCGACGTAAGTTGAGTCTCTTTTGTAAGTCAAACGCCACTTCTTCTTCCTCGTCACTATCCGCAACTGGTTGATCTTCTTGACCTTCTGTTCCTGTTCCATCGTTGCTCATTGATTCATCAGCTTCAGTCTCATTCTCACTAGTTAATCCTGAAGAATTCCAAAATTCTTCATCACTACTACCTAATCTCAATGTATCTAATAACGAATCAGCAATAGCCTTACGACTTGGATTAATTCGTCTTAGATTGTTATGATCACCATCGACTTCATGAGCCTCATCGATATCTCGTTGAAATGAATCCTCCTTCTCTTTTTTCTTCTTAAAACTTTCAGAAGTAATTGGCGAACCATTGATTCTTAATTTTTTAAAATGAGAAGTTTGTAATGTCAGTTTAATAGTAGCCGGGGATTTTATACTTAATAGTGATGAAAATGGATACTTTGATTCTTGAATAGGTGATGCATCGACATATTTTGGATTTGATATTAATGTGGAGTATAAAAGATTGATGGGATTGTTCACCACATGGAAAGGTGATCGATCAGTCAGATCAGAATCATTGTTAATAGTATCTCTTGAATCAGGCGGGGTAGTATTCTCCACATTCAGGAATGGATCTGTGGAGGTGTATTTCTTACTTTGAAGTTCACGATATTTGGATATAGATGAAGATACAAACATTTCAAATTCATCTGGATTCATAGGTTCATCATTTTCGTCATTTTTGTCATTGTCTGCCGGCCTTACTTCTTGATTCGTGGTTGAGGATGGTTCATTGACAGGTTCTATTTTTACAAGTTCTGTTTCAGGAATAGTTTCTTCTATTATTGACGATTGCTCTAATACTTCCAACGTATTTTCTTCTGGGATATCATCAATTCTATCAGGTTGTAGTACTTCTTCTTGAACAACCTCATCATCATTCTCATTAACAATGTCATTTTCATCATCAAGATAATTCTCACTTATACTAAGGTTTCTATTATTTGTAAAATCTTCAATTATTACTGAATCTTCAACTTCGGCATTTGGATCGGGATTCCATTGTTGGAGTAATTTATGTACATTAGGGAAATCATTCCGTCTGGTTGATTTGACAGCTGATAGGATTTCTTTCTTATGACTTATTTTAGAATCTATTCTTGATAATCTTGCTGTTATACTCTTAATTTGATTGCTGTTATCTATGGTTAACTTTAATAATTGGTCTATATCACTTTCTAATCCACTATGGAAACTTTCCTCATTGGAAGTTGTCAAAGATATGGCTTTCAGCAATCTCTTTTGTTTATGAAGTAACATCTTTCTTAATGAACTGGCTAATTTAGCTATATCTGAATTCTTATCTTGAATCTTTCTTTCAATCTTTAATTTTCTTTCAAATTCCAGTCGTAGATCATACTTATAATTCTTTGCCACATTCAACAATTGATTCACCACTTCTTGAGATTCATCTTTAAGATCTTCATTAATGATATTATCTAAGAAAAATGATTCAATGGGAGGTATATGAGGTGGTTGTATAATTGAAGTTGATTTTAAAAAATTGGGTTGATATTTCTTCTTGTGAGATTTCCAAGCACTAGTACCACCATTGGTAGACTTCGACACAGTTGATGATGAAGTATTAGTGACACTTGGAGAAGAGTGGCTTGACATAGTTTTAACCTTACCTTCTCTTCTTATTCCAGTGTCTCTAACCAATTGTATATACAAACAAACCTTTACTGTTTATATGAATTAAGATCACATACAGATTGTTGCTTAAAAAAAAAATTAGTTTACGCAGAGAGTTTTTTTGTTTGTGCTCTGTTTTTTCTGATACCAAAGGTCAAAATATGGAGTAAATCAAAACACACTCAAATTTATATTCTTATTCTTCATAGCCATCATATAATTGTCCATCCCACTTGTTTGTTTTCTCTTGTTATGATACATTGATAGACTCATAGAATATAGTATAAGGGGATGGTTGGTGCAGAGTTGACATATATCACGTTATCACAATGGTTAATTATTGTTTATCAAGTATTTGGAGGTTGTTGTACGAATGTATTTGTATTGGAGACATTGTTTAAGAATAATAAACTGGATTATAGTTTAACTACGATTATCACATTCAGTCAATTCTTATTTGTATCGATTCTAAGTTATTTTCCTAATGCTGATTTCAAACAATCGAATCTAAGATCATTATATCTTAAACCTACCCAAATCCCAATAAAGAATTGGTTAGTTTTAGTAGCTATGTTCTTCACTACTTCGATTTTGAATAATGCCGTATCCAAATTCAACATTACAATCCCAGTTCATATCATTTTCCGATCAAGTGGAACAGTAGTGACAGTATTAGTCGGGAGAATGTTTGGTAAAAAGAGATATAATCGAGATCAAATTATTTCAGTAGTTATAATCTCATTTGGAATCCTTATTGCTAATTTGCCATTAGCTATATCTGAAACTTCTTATCATCATTTTAAAGTAAATTATGATTTCGTCATTGGTCTTTCGATATTACTTTCAACATCGATATTAGGGGCATTCATGGGTCTTTATAATGAATTGTTATTCAAGAAATATGGCACTTATTGGCAAGAAAGTTTATTCTATACTCATTTCCTTGCATTGCCATTATTTCTTTTCGTTTCACCTATTGTAATCAAAGAGTTTAATATCATCTGGTATGATAAGAATTATATAACTCCAGAAATTAAAATTTCCCAACAATTCATTAATCTTTTACTCAATGTTGGATCTCAATACTTTTGTATTACAGGAGTTAATATCTTAGCTAGTAAAACCACTGCTTTGACAGTGACGGTTGTATTAGTAGTAAGGAAATTTATAAGTTTAATCATGAGTGTGTTATGGTTTGGTAATGAACTTACTATATCTGGTTTAGTAGGAGCAATGACTGTCTTGAGTGGAGCTCTTTATTATAGTTATGCTACTAATAAGAAGAATAAAGAAGATAATATCAAATTAGAATGATAAATCAAAGTACAATGAAACTTTATGATATATAGTTATATATTATTACAGTATAGAACAATAATAAAACAAAGAAAAAAATATGATGCAAATTGAGACTTATAATACTAATCGTAGATTGATTTAAGATGCAGAACTTCATTACTATCACCAAATGGATCATTATCATCAGCAGGATTTTGAGCTGTCTTTTTAATACTTTGTTTTGGAGGTGGAGCAGCGACTGGGGTTTCATCAACATATCTACTAACTAATTTTGGAGGTTTAGCAGGACGTGGAGGTGGTGGAGATTTTCTACCTGATAATGGGGTACGACTACTACTACCTTCAATTGTAGTTTGTTCTAATCTTTGACTAATCAGTTGTTCTTGTTCTTCATACTCATCATCATCAGAATCAGTAGTATAATAACTCTCACCACTATAACTTTCATCATCACCTTCTTCAGGTTCTTCTTCACCATAAGTTGGGGCGGGGCCTGAACTAACAACCCCACATTTAGTATCAAATGCTTTAAAAGTTTCCACTAATAATTCATTAGCTCCAATTAAACTACCAAGGAATTCTTCATCCATAGCTATTATTTCAGGAGTCTTGTCTTCTTCACCACCTGCTCCCACAAATTGTAAATATCTTAATACTTTACGTCTTATCTTTTTACATTTTTCAAATTCGGATTTGATTTTTTGATTATCAGTAGGTGATTCATGAGCTGGTAAAGTGATTAAAGCATTATTTAATCCGGTAGTATGAGTATGACATTGACCAATTAAGGTTCTAATTTTTGGAGCTTCCAAAGTATAATTAATTTGAGGAATTTGAAATTCTGCATCAGCATATTTAACCCCTGGACGTCTAAATTTACGCTTTTTCTTATCTTTTTTATCTTTCTTTTTATTATCCTTGTTGCTATCAGTGTATGGAGATGAAGTCTTTGGACGAGGTGGAGGTGGTGATCTTGGAGTTCTTGGACTTTTAGGACGTGAATATGGTGGTGAGGATGAATACACATCTTCGTCATCTTCATAACCATTAGTATTAGCACGACTACGACGACTGCTACTTCCAGTACCGTAATCATCATCATCATCGTCAACATCACGAGAGCTAGATTTAGGAGATGATACTGATCTTGATGAAGGACGATTACCACCTCTTGATTTAGAACCTTTAGGAATGAATTGCCATAAACAAGCGAAATATTTATAACCATCTAATTCTTCTAATTCAGTTTTCCAACCAATGGCTAAATTTCTTACTTTATCTTGAACATCTTTATCATATGATGCACCAACACTAGTTTTACCATTACCATTTAAGATCCCTTTTAAAACATCAATTAATTTATCATCTCTAGCAATGACAGGACCAATCTTTTTACCTGAATTTAAAATTAATAATTCTAAGATATTAAGAGCTCTTAATTGTTCATCAACTGATTCACCATATTTAATTTTTTTTCGAATGGCTCTAGCAGCTTCAGTTGCACCTGAAGATGATTGAATTTTGATTAATTCTAAAAGATTGGATAAATGAAGTTCAAGAGTATCATCGATATCATCATCTTCATCATATCTATGAGCCTCGCTCATTTGATTGATCTTGATGGTGATCGAAGTCAACGGCTTATCCCCAAAAATAGGCATAGTGATGATGATGCGTTAGTTGGTTGGTCTTATCTGTGGTTATCTCCCTTATTAGAATAAGATCAATTGAAATGGGATGATGAATTAGGATGAGATACTTGATTATCTGATGAAATGAAAGGAATATGAATAAATCTATCGAATGAAGAGAAAGAACAATCTAGATTTAATTTCATCTCACGATGGATGGATGGATGATTATTATAATATTCCACACTATTACACATTGCAATCTGCCCCACCCCTTTTTTCTTTTGTGTTCAAAATCTGAAGAAACAAAAAAGATCAAAATATTTCCCTCAGTCCAATCACCAGTGGTAGTAGTAGTAGTAACTACCAATTGATTTATGGTTAAGAAGTTAGATCCTTATACTATATAGTATCAGATATGTGATGAGATTCATAGAATATCACTTGATATTTAAACATCAACTCCCATTTTTAAAATCAATTTAAACTTTATTATCAATTAAATCTGATACGGCGTATGATTTATAGTGAAAAATAGATCACGTTACTTGTCTTTATTACTGCGGTAAGGATGTACTGAAAAAATACTTCCAGATTTGGACAGAGCTGAGTTCAAACAAAAAAAAATTTTGTTACAGCAGCACTTTTCAAAATTTAGATCATCATCATCATCATCAACGGTATCGATTTTATAAACACCAATTCCAATCACCTCAATGTCTGATCAACAAGGATACAACCCTGATAAATTGACCCAGGACTTCCAAAACGCCTCTCTTGGCGGTGCTGCTGGTTCTCAAGGTCAAGGTCAACCACAACAACAACAACAACAACAGCAACAACAGTATGCTGCTTATGGTCAACAAAATTACTATAACGCTGGAAATGCTCAAGCATTTGTTCCCCAAGGTGGTTACCAAGGTCAAGCTTATAATTATAACCAATATAATGCTCAACAACCTCAACAACAATCTAACCAAGGTTATCAAGGAAATTACCAAGGTCAAGGTTATAACAATACCTATAATAATAATAATAATAATAATAATAACAGAGGTGGTTATCAAAATTATAACAATAATAATAATAGAGGTGGATACCAAAACAATAATAGAGGAGGTTACACTAATAACACCAGAGGTAACTATCAAAACTATAATACCAGAGGAAGTTACCAAGGTTATAACAATAGAAACACTTATTCTAATGATCCTCAAGATGATGCTCCAGAAACTTCTACTGGTACTCAAGGAATGTCATTAGCTGATTTCCAAAAACAACAAGCTGCTAGTCAATCTTCATTGAATGCTGCTCCAAAACCAAAATTAAAATTAGCTTCATCTTCAACTATTAAACTTCCTCCAAAGAAAGAAGTTACTCCTGTTGCTTCTAAAGAAGCTTCACCAGCCCCAGCTGCTGTTGTTACTCCTGTTGCAGCTGTTGTTCCAGAAGTCGCTGCTCCAGTTGAACCAAAGAAAGAAGAACCTGTAGTGGAAGAAAAGAAAGAATCAACTCCAGCTCCAGCTCCAGTTGAAGAAGTTAAAAAGGAATCAACTCCAGTTCCACAACCAAAATCAGCTGCTTCATCAGTCCCAGTCTCTGCCACTAACTCTGTTAGAGAAGGTACTCCAAGTGCTGTTGTTGGTGCCGATGCTCTTATTAAAGAACAAGAAGATGAAGTTGATGAAGAAGTTGTTAATGATTTATTCGGTGGTAAAGATCATGTATCTATTATTTTCATGGGTCATGTTGATGCTGGTAAATCCACTATGGGTGGTAATCTTTTATATTTAACTGGATCAGTTGATAAACGTACCATTGAAAAGCATGAAAGAGATGCCAAAGAAGCTGGTAGACAAGGTTGGTATCTTTCTTGGGTTATGGATACCAATAAAGAAGAAAGAAATGATGGTAAAACTATTGAAGTTGGTAAAGCTTATTTTGAAACTGATAAAAGAAGATATACTATTTTAGATGCTCCAGGTCATAAAATGTATGTTTCTGAAATGATTGGTGGTGCTTCACAAGCTGATGTTGGTATTTTAGTTATTTCTGCCAGAAAGGGTGAATATGAAACTGGGTTTGAAAAGGGGGGTCAAACTAGAGAACATGCTTTATTAGCCAAAACTCAAGGGGTTAATAAGATTGTGGTTGTGGTTAATAAAATGGATGATCCAACTGTTGCATGGTCTAAAGAACGTTATACTGAATGTATTACTAAATTAAGTGCTTATTTAAGAGGTATTGGTTATGCTAAAGAAGATATTGTTTCTATGCCAGTTTCAGGTTATACTGGTGCTGGATTAAAATTAAGAGTTGATGCTAATGATTGTCCATGGTATACTGGTCCATCATTATTAGAATATCTTGATAATATGGAAACTGTTAATAGAAAAATCAATGCTCCATTCATGTTACCAATTTCTGGTAAAATGAAAGATTTAGGTACTGTTATTGAAGGTAAGATTGAATCAGGACATATTAAAAAGGGAGGTAATTTAATTATTATGCCTAATAAAACCAATGTTGAAATTTTAACTGTTTATAATGAAACTGAACAAGAATGTGAAGCTGCTTATTGTGGTGAACAAGTTAGATTAAGATTAAAGGGTGTTGAAGAAGAAGATATTCAACCTGGTTATGTTTTATCATCTCCTAAAACCCCGGTTAATACCGTTACTAAATTTGAAGCTCAAATTGCTATTGTTGAATTAAAATCAATTTTATCTAATGGATTTTCATGTGTTATGCATTTACATACTGCTATTGAAGAAGTTAAATTTGTTGAATTAAAACATAAATTAGAAAAAGGTACTAATAGAAGATCTAAAAAACCTCCTGCCTTTGCTAAAAAGGGAATGAAGATTATTGCTGTTTTAGAAGTTTCTGAATCTGTTTGTGCTGAAACTTATGCTAACTATCCTCAATTAGGTAGATTTACTTTAAGAGATCAAGGTACAACTATTGCTATTGGTAAAATTACTAAATTGTTATAAGCAAGTTATAATAAAAATTAAAAAATGAACCAATATTCTATTAAGTAAATCTATAAAAAATTTTATATTAATCTATTATTATTCCCATTTCCATTTCCATTTCCAATTCCATCCCACCATTTGATTTCTCTTTTTTTTTTATCTATCTAATGTACATATATAAATATAAATAATCTAGCAACTTTTTTTTTATTATGTGTATGTGTGTGTATATGCTTATTTGTATTGTTCAATAAGCAGTTTAAAGATTTTAATTAAATTTTCAATCCCAATAATGAAATTTTCATCATAACTTAATTCTTCATCAACAAATTTAGCATGAGCAAAATCAATGATATGAAGACTACTTAAAGGAACAAATTTTTCAATAATACCGTGAGTAGTAGCAAAATCACCTAATTCTTCAATATCATCTTCATCTTGACCATATTCATCAACTAATGATTCATTAATCATAGGATCGGCTGTTTCATAAGTTTCCGTATCATAAATCACATCTTCAGTCCATTTCGTTAAATCACTTTCATAAATGAATAATAAAGATCCACTATAGATTCTAATAGGATATTCTAATAAACAATTATATAATAATTCAAACCTTCTTAAGAAAGTAGTTAATAAATTAAAAATTATTCTTTTACCATGTGGATGATTACCAAAATATAATTTAAAATATAATAAAATCCCTTGAGCGATATTATTAACATCTAATGATCTACCATAGACTTTATTGAATGTAATATAAGAATCTTTATCAACGGTATGTTTATCAATTGATGTATCTAACATGTTTGGAAATATTTCTTCAACGGGATAACTATTGGCATTTTGACCCGTATAAACTTTCATACCACAAATTCTTAAATTTAAGGAACCACTAGTAGTTGATTCACTTACTTTTCTTAATCTTTCAATCTTTTCAGGAGTGGTAGTTTCGGGATCAGTTAATAAAGATCCAAGTTTAATATCTAATATACTTGGTTTTGAAAATCCATGATATAAATTTTGTAACACAATATAATCAGGAATCTTAGAGGCGGCTTCATCAATATCAACATGATAGATTTGATCAATTTGTCTTTCAGTAATAGCACTTTCAGAAAGGGTACCCATAAAGATTGGTAACCAATCAATTAGTTTTGAACCTGAATATGAAGATTCAGAATCATCTTCATTAGGACTATCAAATTCTTGAACTTGCTGATAAAATTGGATTTCTTGAGGAGTGGTAGCTTTTATAAACACTGAGTTATCTTCAGCAGTGAAATACCCATCATGACCTGCAGCTTGATGAATTGGATGAACGTAATTCATGATTGAATTGATTGATTGAAGTTATCCTAAACGTATTTACAGTCAAAATGGTGTAAATTTCCTCTTTTGGATTTCTCGTCTTAGAGGAAGTTTATGATCCAGCGGTGGGGATGTTAGATGGGTTTTAGAGGTATGGAGGTCATTTTTCTAACTCAGCCTTAAATAATAACAAAAAAATTTTTCATTCAAAGGCTTTAGAATATTGCAACAATAATTTTTAACTACTATAAAGAGACAAACTTGGGGGTATCGATGACCTTTTAATAGCTATTAATAAAGATAATGATCATTGTATACTATTAATAAGCCAATGAGACGAGTATTTATCATGTATATATATTAATATAATAGTATATTAGACTATTTATAATGATCTCTGACGAATGATGCAAATACTATTAAATAATATTTACATTCTTCTATGGATACCAGTTTAAAAACATAGTTAAGTTCCCACAACCATCATTAAATTCAACTCCTGATTTACTCCTGTCAGTTAGTCTGTCTGTCTGTCTATTTGTGTTTGTTTGTGTCAATTTGTTTCTTTTTTTAAATTTTTGTCTCTCTTCGTGTAATTTCCAGTTTTTACTTTTTTACGCATCAATTCGTTTAGGAGTAACAAATTTAAAGTGAGTGAGTGAGAGGAGTGATTTTTCCCGCCGAGTCCACCAGTTCAATTTTTAAATTTTACATAAACAAAAATATTTAATCTCTTAATTGATATATCCTATTTTTATATATTACTTCAGCGGCATCATCAATCAACATCCAATTCATCTAACCAGATCATCCCTCCACGTACTCATCATCATCATCTTGCCAATCCTTCATCATGAGTAACCCTTACCAAAACAACAACTCATATGAAATGAGTAACTATAACAAGAATTCTTCTGGTTCTGATGATTTAAGTTCTTTTATGAATGAAATTCATGATATAAACTCTTTATTAGATCAATATTCCAATCTTATCGGATTAATCGATAGAAAACAACAAAACTTGATCAATGAATTGAATTTAAATGAAAGTGATCTTGAGTTTAGTACTCAACAAGTTGATGGACTAGTTTCTGAAGCTGATAATTTACAAGCCAATTTAAAAGTTAGAATTAAAAATGTTCAAACTATTGCCGCTAAAGAACATGATAGAACTAAACAAGAACAAGCTGAAGTTACCAGAAAGAGATTTTTAGATTTAATTCAAAATTATCGTTTAGTTGAATCAAAACATAAAGAACAAAGTAAATCTCAATCAGCCAGACAATATAAAATTATTAGACCTGAAGCTTCTGATCAAGAAATTGAAACTGTGGTTGAAAGTGGGAATCCTCAACAATATTTCCAAAATGCTCTTTTACAATCAAATAGAAGAGGTGAATCAAGAGTTGTATTAAATGAAGTTCAAGTTAGACATCAAGAATTATTAAAATTAGAAAAAACTATGGCTGAATTAACTCAATTATTTCATGATATGGAAGAATTAGTTATTGAACAAGATCAACAAATTCAACAAATTGATGAAACAGTTCAACAAGCTCAACATGATGTTGAAGGTGGATTAGGTCATACTGAAAAAGCAGTTAAAAGTGCAAAAGCTGCCAGAAGAAAAAGATTATGGTGTTTTATTATTTGTTGTATTATTGTTGCCATTCTTGCTCTTGTATTAGGTCTTTACTTTGGTCTTCATCATTAGTTCTACTAATTTCATATATCTTCTTCTTCCATCCTTCCATCCTTCCATCCATCTATTAATCATTTCCTCCTTTTTTAATGTCATTCTTGTTGCTATTATTATTATTATTATTATTATTTTATTGACTTTTCTTAATTTATTTTATTTGTAATAAATCCTAACTTTATTTTTGTTGTTGTTGTTGTTGTCATTTACACTACCTACTGTGTTAATTCTTTTATCTTTGGTTGAATTGAATAGACTGACTCATCGATAAGTACCCAATTAACCATATTAGTAACAACTTCAAAAAAAAATCCATACAAAGTTAATCATAAATTCCCCTTTCATCTTACAATATTAAGAATCAACACTATCCTTTTTTTTCACAATTTTGTTTCATTTATAAAAATCTTAATTCCCTTTCCTTCTATATTATATAACAGTCTATTTTAAAACTTACCCATCATAATTTTAATTTTAATATATGCCTTTTTAAATTCTATAAATAACTTCAATTTGTATAAATATTTCGCATTAAAATTTACGAAAAAATAAAGTAAGGCAAGATCGATCGATGCTCTTTCAGTTTTAAGTCTAATTTTACATATATTTTATAATACAATTCCATCTTAATCTGGAATTAACACCAGAATCTATACCATCTAACTATAAATGATTTTTCAGCCAATTGGGCTTTCTCTTCCGCAATCTCTTGTTGTAATAAATCAAGATCAATATTAGCTCTACCAGCGTCAACATCAATATCCTTAGCTCTAATGAATGGAGTCCAATCTTTTTTCCAAATTTTATAGAATAACCATGATGTTATAAGTACAGGGAATCCTAAATATGATAAGAAGAAATTATATGCACTTGGAGCTTCACCAATTGGGAATACTGCAATCCAGAATTGAGCAATTAAAACAAGGATATTGATTAAGGCTCCATAATAAGAACCCCAAACTCCAGCTTGGGAAACGTAGGATAATTCATTAAGAGAACGGCCTTGAACATGCATGGCTCTTCTGAATCTTATATGACTTAAATTAATCGCCAACCATGTGAACACTGAACTTAATCCTGATAAAGCTAATAACCAATCGAAAGCTTCCACTTGTTTATTACTTGCCACAATTAAAGCAAATAATCCAAATGCATCAGTAAGTAAAATAGCAAAGAGGGGTCTACCGGCTCTATCAACGTATCCGGTCCATTTTGGTGCCATTCCTTGTTCAGCTAAGGAGTTTAATGATCTTGAAGTAGCGTATACAGATGCATTACCAACTGATAATACTGAGATTAAAATAACGGCATTCATTACACTTGGCAACCCTCTGATACCTCCATTCACAATTGCAATAACGAATGGGGAAGCAGTAGCATCGACACTTGAGGCTCCAATAAGTCTATCATCATTGTATCCCACTAATGTACAAACTAAAGTTAATGAGATGATGTAGAATAAAGCAATTCTCCAGAAAACTTGTTTGATAGCCTTTGGAAGGGTTTTTCTTGGATTTTCAGTTTCAGCAGCAGTTAAACCAATCATTTCTGTACCACCATAACTAAATGCAGCTGTAACGAATGTAGTTGCCACCCCTTTAAACCCAAAAGCAAATGGTCCTGGTGTTCTCCAGAATTTTCCTCCTACAAATGTATGATTTGGACCACCACCACAAATTAATACCACACCAAGAATAATAAATCCTAATATAGCAACGATTTTAACCATGGAGAATATGAATTCAGATTCACCATACCCTTTAACTCCTAAAAGTGTTATGAAGACAATACAAACCCAAAAGATAATCACAAATACAATTGAATTAATATCATGATTCCAATATTTAATCGTGATTGAACAAGCCACCAATTCCAATGGTAATAAAACAAAAAATTGCATGAAGTAATTCCATCCAATAGCAAATCCAATAGCAGGTTCAAGAAATCTACTAGCATAAACATTAAATCCACCACTGATAGGAAATGTCACAGCTAATTCACCTAATCCTTGCATGGTAGCATAAACACAAGAAGCCATAACGATCCAACCAATCATTACACCAGCTGGTCCACCGGTTGATAATGCACCTCCACTCCCAACTAAAAGTCCACTCCCGATTGAACTTCCTATACTTATCATTTGTAAATGTCTGGTTTTTAATTTTCTTTTTAAATTGGAGTTGGCGGAGTTGAGATTGATTCGTTGTAAGTTTGTTAATGATTTATCGTCATCGACATGCATGCTGGTTAATGTTTCACCAGGTATCACTGGTTTAAATGAATCTAGGAAACTTGTCCATACACCTTGTGATTCATTATTACTGTTATTATTAGTGTCGATGGTTGTGGTATTTGGAGATGATGACCCACTGGTTATGTTTTGAAGAACTGAGATGGTAGATTCTCCTTTTTCGTCATTATCATGACTATTCGAACTCATAATGTACATAGTATGTTCTATTTTATGTTATAGAGAAGAGTACTACAAGAATATAATTAATTATAAAAGAGGATGAAGACATTTTATATAAGAAATACCATCATCTCATGAGGTGGAATCAAAAATGAATTATGAAATGTTTAGCCATTCATGAGAAGAAAAATGAGTCTGTATTTATATAACTGAAAAGGCAAACTTATCACGATGAGTCACAATCCAGGGCATATAGTTAAACCAGCCTAAGCTTTAACTATTACATTGCAACATAGTTTTCCCCTTCTGTTTCTGGAAACTTTTGCAGAAGTTGTATTTTTCTTAAAATTCTTGGGATGAGGATGCAAATGGAAATTGTGAGCGTTTTGCGGCGTAACGTATAATTGAAAAGCCGTTACAAAAAATTCCTCACTGGACCTAAAATGGAAGAAAGTTGCGTGGTATGTTACTGTGTTTGAATACCTCTCACTATAAAATTTTTCTTCTCTTACGACTTCTGATCTTCTTTTGGGTTATGACTTTACAAGGTATGACTTCGGGGTCGGCTTCAGTTTCAGGTTCGGTTGCTACTAATGGTGATTCATATTTGATTAATGGTAAGTTGGACTTTGTGGTAGTATCATTTGTAGTAGGTATAATAGTATTCTTCTTAAGTTGAGAATATGTCAATGCAAGATCTTTATAATAATTCTCAATCCCAATCATTCTAGGTAGTAATAACTTTAAATATTGTTTAATCTCTTTAATTTCTTCTGAACAATTTTGTGCTAATAAGTCTTGTTTCTTCTGTATTTGAGTTGGTACACTTGTTTTCTGAGTATTGGTAATCTTAGTTGAACATGTCTTTACCAATTTACTTAACAATTGAACTTCATCAGTTAATGATTTCAATTTTGTATCATTAATAATATTTTGCTCTAGGTGATGTGATTTCCATAATTCAAAGTATGATTTGATCTCATTCATCATCATTTCATTATTAGCATTGATTTTAATATCGATCTTTTGTAAGATTTTATCTATTTCTAATTGATTATGTTGTGGTGAAGTTGTATGTATCGATTGTAAGCAAGTTTCAATATTATTCAATTTCACACTTACTTTATCAGTTAAACTACCAAGAGTATCACACACTTGAGTCATCGATCCAATTAATTCATTCTTGATCGTATCCTTCAACGTAATGGATTCTAATTCTAATCTTGTGGCCCAATTAAATATCTCTTGTTTACCAGCAGTTTGATGCTTTAATCGCGTACTTGATTTAGAACTTAATCTATCAGTATTTTGAGGAGCTTTAAAAACTGATTGAGTAAAGAATGAATCAGAATCACTGGAGTAGTCTGTATCTTGAGTTTGATTGATTTGATTCATTGATAAAGGTTGATGAATTGTTGGATAGATACCACTGAATTATAAATTTGCAGCACAATTTTTATTTAACTATAAATGACCATACTAAATTTTTTCCCTGTCATACAAATCAAAACCACAAACAAAAACTGATAGAAAAAATTATTTAACCAAATGTAAATAAAGCAACAAGAAGACATAATATCATAACACAACATCATCATTAAAGATGTCAGACCTTAAAGACTATATAGAGAGTACGTATAATCATCAATCAAATGTTTTTACCATAGCCAAAGATCCAATTTACTAACTATAAATTATTTCTAGAGAGAGTTCGAGTAATATCTACCGATGCCAGATTATTTGAAGGTATACTACAAGGCTATGATAAATCCACCAATATAATACTAAGTGATTGCATAGAACGAATAATATACCCTGAACCGGAGGAAGAGAATCAGGAAATACCGATGGGGTTATATCTTATGAGAGGAGGGAATATTGTTTGTGTTGGAGAAGTTGATGAACAACAAGATGATGAATTAGATTGGATGAAAATTAAAGGCGAAAACCTTAAAGGAACTAAAAATCCATTATAATCCATGTATTATATAACTCAATATCAACCCCATGCATTTCATGATATCGATCATGATATTATTTAACTTATAGACTAGCTTACATGATGATAATATACAAAAGTTTTATTTATTGATTAGAAATTCATTTACATTCTATGTAAATGACGAACTGAAGTCATAAATCTATTCAGGTTTAATGGTACTTATACCAGCAAGTTTCATTTTAACTCCTAATTCCAATAAATAATCAATAGCTTCATTATAAACCTTTGCCTTCCAAATAGTTTCACCCCATACAAAAATCCCATGTCTTCTAACCAATACAGCAGAAGCACCAGGATATTTTATAAGAGCTTCATTCAAAGTTGGAGTTAAATCTTCTTCATGAGGAAGATTATCAATGATTGGAATTACTAAAGTTTCGAAATTTTCTAAACTACCTATTTTATCAACTTTCCCTGTAGTGGCATTATATTGTAATCTTGGAAGGGCTTTAATTTGTTCAATATGATTAATTTTAAATACATCTTGATCTTCATATAATAAAGTTATCATAACTGCATTTTGAGAATGAGTATGAATACAAGCACCTGCATCTCTTAATTTATAACAACTAACAAATAATGGAGTACAAGCTGAATGTTTATATTTATAAGATTTAGTTAATTCAACAGGAATATCATTTGGAGTACGTAAGATTTTTTCATCAGGTAATTCAACCACAAACATTTCCCAAGGTTGAATACGTTCTTTTTGAACTCCAGATGGAGCAATATAAATTATATTTGGATTTGGTCCATCAACATCTCTAATTGAAATACCACCCCCAGTACCGGTAACCCAATTGTTATCATAGAATAAACGACATAATTCACAGATCAAATTAGCAGGATGATTTGGATCATTGAATTCATCTTGTAATTCACGTGGTAAGGCAGTATGATTTGGAATAGTTGATAATATACCATTGGTTTGGGAAGACCCACAAGTACAATTGGATTTGGATTCAGACATGTTTCAAGTAATGAATGAATTGATCTTATAGTGAAAGTCAAACCAACTAAAACCTTTGTTGAACAATTGATAACAAGTAATTAATGATTGAAAAATTGTGGGTATAATCTAAAATTAAAAATTGTCTAAAATCGAATCCACGTGATCAGATTTTTCCCAAGAGGCAAAGATGAACAAACTCACCAAAATGGAAAAGGGTTAAAAAGAAAAAATTAAGCTGATAAGAATTAACAATTACGAATCAATCATTAACTATAACTGTCACTTACTTATCATAGACCTATACATTTCATCAATCCCAAAGCATAAACATACACACATATACACATAACTATACACATCATGGCTGGATTAGAACAATCATTATTTCAATTGAAATTCACTGCTAAACAATTAAACAGACAAGCTGCTAAAGCTGCCAAAGAAGAATTACAAGAAAAGACTAAAATAAAGAAAGCCTTAACTCAAGGAAACAATGATATTGCTCAATTATACGCTCAGAACGCTATTCGTAAATCTAACGAACGGGTCAATCTCTTACGATTAGCCTCTAGGATTGATGCTGTGGCTTCAAGAGTTCAAACTGCCGTCACTATGAGATCAGTAACGGGGAATATGACTCAAGTTATAAGAGGTATGGATAAAGCTTTACAAACGATGAATTTAGAAAGAATATCTTTGGTGATGGATAAATTTGAAAATCAATTTGAAGATTTGGATTCAGCTACAAATTATTATGAATCAGCTACTAATAATGTAAATGCTTTAACTACTCCACAAGATCAAGTTGATGAATTATTAAGTCAAGTGGCTGATGAAGCAGGTATAGAAATGAAACAAGGTTTGAATGAAACTCAAGTTGAAATCTCTGCTCCTCAAGTTAGTAATATGACTGAAGAAAAAGAAGATAAATTAGCTGAACGTTTAAGAGCTTTAAGAAATTAATTAAGAGTCATTTTATTCTATTCATTTTTTACGAAAATAATCATTTACTTCACGATATGTCATTTAGTATTTTTCATTTCTCTACGTTTTACAATAATAACACTATTGTAATTAACTTTTTTATATTATTATTATTATTATTATTATAATCTTTGTTTTCTATTCTAATATACAATGTAAAAATATTTCTATTAAATTATACGAGGGGTTATATAAATTGGTTGGTTGAGTTATTGCTTTTGATATCCTGAAAATTTATAAGCATTTGATTTTCTATTATTGGTAGCTTGTTCTTCTTGTTTAATAATAAATGTAACTATATTAATTAAATTCTTAAATCCTTTATTGGTACCTTTAACTTTAATAATATGTAATGATGATGAATTAATTAAATCAATAATTTCAATCTTAAATTTTAATTTTCTACCATGAGCAAATTTTGATGGTATAGTACCAGTTATAAATCCAAACTCATCATCAATATCAACTTTATCAATTGATCCTTCAATTTTCTTTAATTCTAATTGAGTTTTTATAATTCGAATTAATTCAGTTGATGTTAAAGTTGAATCAATAATTTGAATTTTATCGGAACTAATAGCACTAGTTGTATTATAATTATGAGGTTTATTATCAAAAGTAGAACTGAATTTATTAGTTGGACTTGATGTAATTGATTGGAATATTCTTTTAAACCAATTACTCTTCTTGGGAGTATCTTCATCAATAGGAACTTTTGGTGCTTCTCTCTTTGGTTTTAAACTCATTCTTCTGAATAAAGTATTATTTCTTTTAACAGGTACAATTTCATTATCTTCTTCATCTTCTTCACCTACTTTATTAGCATCACTAATAACAATACTTTTCTTAATTCCGTTATTATTCTTATCAGGACTTGATCTAAGTTTAGTACTAAAGATTCCAGTATCAACTCTAGCATCTTCAAGATTCTTATCTCTTGATTCAAGAATTGGTGAAGCAACGTCTAATGAACTTTCCGCTATAGATGAATTATCTAATATATTTTGATTATCAGCATGTGCATGGAAACTATCATCATTATTTGATTTTCGAGATACATTTCTCTTATTAGCACTTTTCATCGATAATTTATGATAACTTTTATACATGGAAGAAATATCAGCTTCAATTTCTTTTGAAGTATGATGACTTGCATTAGCACTTTTATTCTTAACAATTAATGTTTCTTTGGAAAGATCCAGATGATCAATAATACTTGGTCTAATCGTATTCTTTAATCCAACATCAGCAGTTCTTGAACTTATAATATCAAAATTAGATAAATCAATCTCTATTCCAGTAGTATTCAGTTTTTGATTACTATGTTTAATTTGTTGTGATTGTTGTTGTGGTTGATGAGATCTTTGATTTGGAACAAGACTATGGTCATGACTTTGTTGGATAGAATATTCCGATTCTAATACAGTAGTATCTGAATCATCAACTGATTCATCTTCAAAATCATTTTCATCATCAGCAAAATCTTGCATACTAACAGCATTATGTTGTAAACTATTATTATTATGATTATTAAAAGTATCATCATCTTTATCAGAATCAGTTATATCAACCGATACAAAATTAGAATCATTATATTTCGATGAAATATTAGAAACTTTTCTTGATTTATTATTATTATTATTATCACCAGTTGAAACTCCTAATCCAATAACATTCGTACTACCAAATTTATCTAATCTACCATTACCTAATTCAGTTTTTAAAGAACGACCTTGAAATTCTAATGATGAAGCATTACTAAATCTTTTTCTAATAACTGTTCCAGAAGATGTAAATGTATTATTCATAATGGTAGCATCACCGACATCAAGTATAGAAGTATTACCTTTAAGTAAACCACCAAATGAAAATCTTGAAAATCTAGGATTGGGTAATTCATCTTTTGTAACGGTTGACATTAAAGTTATATCCCCTTCTTCTTTAATTTCATCTTGATATATTTGTGGAGAAGTAGTTGAATTTTCATTTATATTATTTAATAATGATTTATAATATGAAGATTGAACACTACTTTTTCTTTTAATAGGACTAATGATTTCAGAAGTTGGTATATCAACTTTACTTGATTTTAAAATTGAATTATTTCTTTTAACGGCATTTTCAGTTTGATTGAATTCTTCAATAGTTAATTCATTATCATTAGGTACAGGTTGTTCCGGTTGAACTTGTTGTTGTTGTTGTTTTAAATAACTAGATAAATCTTTCGAACTAGAAGTTTTAATCTTCGAACTTAATTTACGAGGTGATGATGATGATTGTTGTTGTTGGACAACCTCTATACCTAATTTATGTAATACTTTATTAGTATTATCATTTATACTAGATAATTGTTGTCTTGAAGAATGTAAAGAATTAGTTGGAGTGGCAGCTAAGGATCTTGCTCTTAATAATGAATTAACTCTTGGATCTAATGAAGATCTTGGAATTGAAGTTGGAGCCGTAACATAACGACGAGCATTAGTGGGATTAGAATTCAAAGTAGCAAAATCATTATTACTTTGATGTTTTCTTAATTTTTCTAAAGCTTCCTTTTGTTTTTCTTGTAAAAGTACCGATTGTCGTTTACGTTCTTCTTCAGCTGCTTTAGCATGTTTAGTAGCATCTTCTTCTTTTATTCTTAATTCTCGAATTTCATTTGAATTACGAACTTTTTCAGCTAATTCACGTTCCCGTTTAACAAATTCTGGTTCTCGTGAACTTCTTTTCCTTTGAGATTGATCCATAACAAAGGATTTTTGTTTAACCACCACTGGAGTTGGTGTAGAAGAAGGTTTAGTATTGGTTGAATCATTAAATACTTCCTCACAAATCATTTCAAAGTTTAATAATGATTTGTTGTCAGCAGTAGCAGCAGCTTGTTGTTTCTTCTTCTCTTGTTGATGCTGTTGTTGTTGTTGAAGTTTAACATTAACATTTTCTTTATTAGCTTCATCATCATCATCTTCATTTTCATTATCATTATTATCTTGATGAATATCAATATGAGATGAAGAAGTTATATCATTTAAATCTAATAAACCGGTTAATTTTCTCTTTAATTTAGGAGGTTCTTGTTTTGGAATTTGCAGTATAATACCACCTCCTTGTTTAAGACTATTGGATGAAGAAAATGGAGAATTTTTTCTTGATCTTGGTAAACTATGATTTGAAGGTTTTGAAATAACTTGATTATTTAAAATAACTTTCTTTTTATTAAATGAAGTTGATGCTTTAAAATTCTTTATTGAACCTGTTGATGCAATGACATTATTGGTATTATTATTATTATTATTATTATTGGTTATATTCGATAATATTCTTTTATTATTACTAAGAGATTTAGATGAAGGTATTCTTTCCTTTTTAATGGTTATATGTTTTTCACCTGTAATATCATCAATAATAGTAGTTTTAACAATGGAAGTTGAACGAGGTATACCAATTGAAGGTCTATTTTCATTTTCATCATCATTTGAAGAAGAAATTGATGGAGATGAATGTTCATTTCTATATTTCATTAATAAATAATAAAACATCTTTTCAGGACATTTTGATGGAGATAATAATTTTTTTATTAAAGTTTGTTCATTACAATTATGAAATAAAACTGATAAATTTTTTAAAATTTCTTTATCAATTTTATGAATTGAATCAATTGGTTGAACATTTAATAATAAATTATTATTATTATTATTATTAATTTGAATTGAACTATTTGGAATTGAAGGATCAGGATATTTTGTTAATAAAGGATGAATTAAAATTTTTTCAATTGATATTCTATCTTGAGGATTAACTCTTAACATTTTTGTAATTAAATCTTTTGCTTCCCATGATAAATCATGAGGCATAATAAATTTCCCATTTTGAACTTTTAATAATAATTTTCGAATATTTTCATCATCAAAGGGTAAATGACCAGTTAATAAAGCAAATAATATAATTCCACAAGACCAAATATCAGATGGAGCTCCATGATAATTTTTTCCTGCAACAATTTCAGGACTAGCATAATGAGGTGAACCACAACTTGTTTCTAATAATTTTTCTTTAACTTCAAGAGCTGCCATACCAAAATCAGCAATTTTAATATTTTTATTAAAATCTAATAATAAATTTTCTGGTTTTAAATCTCGATGACAAATATTAAATTGATGTAAATAACCAATACCATTTATAATTTGTTTAAAATAATTTATAGCTTCAAATTCTTGTAATCTTCCACGTTTAATTAAATAATCAAATAATTCACCACCTTCAATATATTCTAAAATTAAATATAAATCATTTTTATTTTCCCAAACATCATAAAGACCCATTATATTAGGATGAGAAATTAATTTCATAATAATAATTTCTCTTTCAATTCCATAAGGTAATCGATCTTTATTTGATAAACTATCAGAATGTTTATATTTTGGATTTTCTAATCGTTTAAAATTTGATTTTGGAACAATTTTAACGGCAGCTAATTTACCATTATTAATATTTTTAGCTAATCTAACTCTACCAGTTGAACCTCTACCTAAAGTTCTACCTAATTTCCAAGGACCAATTTTATTTTGAGATTTTCTCTTTTTATTTGAATTGGTAGTATTAGTTGAGATTTGAGATAAACGTTTGGTAGCATTAGTGACTGATTCTACTACTTTATCGACATTTACAGAGGAAGGATAATCAGATGGTGAATCATATGAATGATGAGTTTGTTGTTGTACAAGAGTTGTCATGATGATGTGTTGTTGTGTTGATATTTTTGATGATGCCAATGCTAAGGATGAGAATGAGATTAGTGATGATTACTTGATTGATTGATTGATTGATTGATTGATTAAAAGAATGAACAGTAGTTGGATTGGATTGGATTGATGTGGTTGTAAATAAATAAAAAAGGATATGAAAAATTTAACCGCTATATAAGTAAAAAAAAGGTGACTGAATGAATGAATGAATAATAGTTAGATTGAATAGAGAGAGGGTAAGTATGATGAATGATCAATCAATCCAGTGGGCATCAATGGATTGGTTAAGGGTAATACTTAGTAGAATCGAATGAAGTGATTGATTGATTGGAGAAAGAAAGAAAACAAAAGAAGGAATTCAAACATCATATAAATGACAGTCAGTGAAAATGAATTTGTTTGTATAGTTAAGCTAAATTAACTATGTGGTGCTCTTTATTTATTTACAAAACACGGTTTTTTTTTTTATTTTTTATTTTTATTTTGATTTTGATTCATCCCACACACCAAACAGACAGATCTTGTTAACTAATGCTTAACTTTACAGATTAAAGGGCCAATGTACAGATTAACACCACAATGTACAGATTAGACACTAATTCCACTAAAAGTCACGATCTTAACCTGTAAAATATATATTAACTATACAAAAAACAAACAATGACACAAACACACACTCCTTTGTCTCTCTAAAGACAAAAGAAAAAAAAAGAAAAAAAAAGCGCGTATTGTTGAATCAATTGGCTCTCTCTTTACAACCAACCACCACCCACCATGCCACTATCATCATCAACTAACTTAAGTTAAAGGAATAGAATATTTTATAGTTAGTTGTCAGTTACTACTACCCTGTCATCCCTCATCAATTAAACCTTATGAACAAAGTAATTTAATATACGGGAATTTCGTATCCCTACCTAAGTTCACATCATTTAACATATCATACCTCCCCTTAACTTAACTTAACTTAACTTAACTTTTATTCTAACTAATCATCCATCACGTAATCTTTATTACTAATAATTACTTACTCTATAACTATAACCATTACCACTTCTCTCTATCTATCTCATATTATCGATCTCTTCATATCCCGTATTTTCCTTTCCTTTCCCCTGTCCATTGTTCTCTCCATTCACATTCTCTAAGTCTCACACTAAAGATCTTTTCGTTTGTTTGTTATGCAACACACAATAATAAATCTCACGCGTAGTCTCAAAAGGGAAACTCCAATAAATTTTGATTTGGCTGCAATTGCCATAAAATTTTAGGATCATTTAATATTATTACTATATCATTCAAATTATTTGCTATGCTACTTCAACCCTTTATAATCACTTGATTGTTATGCTAAACTGTCTCATACCAACCTTTCAAGTATAAATAGATGTCCAATTGATTTCTTTACATCTTTGAAAGTTTTCTAAACCTTATCACTTTTCTTTTCCTTTTCCAGTACTTCCTGGTCAAGATTTATAAAGAACCTACAAGACAAGTCATATGTCTTACATAGAGAATCACGTGTATGATCTATGTACTTGTTATCATAGAACTCAAACAATCATCCCATGAACAGATTTCAAAAATAGGATCTATTACAAATAGAGGGACTTCTATGAAATATACCAACGGTCTTGATATTAGTAACCCTTTATTATAACAATTAATAAAAGTTGGAGTCATTATCAAAGTATCTAAGGTCATTTTCAAAATTCATACTTTCCCAAACAATAAAAACAAAAGAATGATCCAAATAAATCTCATATCTTGAACATTCTCTAAGTCATATCTATTTTTCGTACTCATCATCTTTATTTATAGTTTCCCTTATCATTATCAAACATTATATTTACTCATAATCACTGACCGGATCGATCAAAACTTTTTTCAAATCAATCGATAAAGTAAACACACTTTAATTATATACTAACTTGTATTGTATAGACTTTTCAATCTTAAGAATCATCTATAATTAGCTTATCAATCAATGTCTAAGGGAACCACTACATCATTGTAATGTGGGTTCGGGAAGGAGGGTGGAATATATAAACCATAACATCATAGTTTTGTGGTATTGGGAAGGAGGGTGGCATACATCATACAATTATACATTAGATCATACTAATGAAGATCATAATCTCTCAAAAGACTATATGAATTGTACTAACTTTATTATAGTTTCCCAAATCAATATGATCGTCACTTTTCAAAATAAATCTTCTACAAGAAAATTCAAATTTTAGGAAATTTTAAAGATCTCATACATTAAATCAAGTATAAATATAGATTCAATTTTTTTATTTCAAAGTTTTAAAAGTTTTTATAAACTCATCACTTTTCTTTTCACTTTTCCTATCATATTGGTTAAGTTTGATTTCAATTGCATAGAAGTTATGCTCAAATTTTGTCAGAAACACTAGTGCATCATTCTAGTCATTATACTTATCATATCATCATTATAGTACTTTACTAGTTTAGAAAACCATGTGAAAAGAGGAATATCATCAAATGAGTGGAATTATCATTGACTTCATTACTTACATTACATTATAGAACTTCATCATAGTCTTAGTTTCTGATATCAAATCTTTCATAATATCAATAGTATCTTACCTTAGACATATCAATAAATTATTCATACAATTTTCACACATATCACCAAAGAATCAACTTTATTAATTCAATATTAGATTTCAAATCTTCTAGAATCATTCAATTTGTGGTCATCAACATTTTTCAATCCTAGAATTGATCATTCATTCATATCTTAATAGTTTCTCAAATAAGCAAAAAAAATGACTTGAATAATTTATAATTTCCCAAAATCTTTTCAAACATAACAATAATCATCATACTGAATTAATTTCTCCATACTAATTTTGAAAGTATAAATAACAGATCCTTTCAATTGATTTCAACTTTTTGAATTTGTTTTTGAAAACTATCCCCTTTCTTTTTACTTCTCCATTCCTTTTGGTTAAGTTTCAATTTCAATTACATAGGAGTTATGTTCAAATTTTTATTCATCAATGAGATTCAATGATAAGTTTCCTTCATATCATATTCATTATCAAAGTTTAGTGGGTTTATTCTTTTTCAAATGATTTTTATGTTCATGATTGGAATTTTGAGGGAATTAGAATTTTGAACTATAATCAAATTCTATTTTACTTCATACTAATCTTAGTGCAACTTTATTTTATTCTAGCTTATCATACATCATACTTTATATCTCAACCATTGAATAAGATTAGATTGTGGATATCATACAATTTTTCAAATTTATTGAATCAATTCAGAAAGTTTCAATCTTGGTGGGATTTTGTTTTATATCAAACACTATATTTTTCAATCAAGTTTTAATATTGAAGTTGATTTTCTAGTTTAACTGATTTTTGGAATAAGTTTACTTTTTCATCATTGAATACTTTTAAGTTTATCAATTGATCACATCAAATCATACTTTACTAACTGATTTTGTATAGTTATTCACAAGATTTATTTATTTCAACCACAATCAAAAATTTAGAGAAATTATAATTTTTATCATACATTTATTTCGTGCAAAATTTCCCTCTGATATTCACTTTTCAAAATCATTATCTTCAGTAAGTATCAATATCCAAGATGAAGAGTGAAATCAGTGTCAAGGCCCAAATTTTTTTCAATTATAATATTATTCAATCAATTTATTGTGGTGTTTATTTTTCTCAACCATTTTCATAATTAAACTTTTTGTGGCTGCCAATTCCCCTTAATGTTTATTACTAATAATATATTTAGGATATTTTACTAACATAACAATTATGACTATTACTACTACTACTTTTCTTTTTAAATAATTCATCGTTAATCATTTCAAAAGGAGATTATTACTATTTCTATTAAAATCATTTTCATATTAGAAGCTATATCAATTCAATCTTAGTGAGTATTATTTTTTAATATCCTTTAATTTGATCCGGTCAGTAATTTCCATATCCGATATTTTAAATTTTAAAGATCAACAACTTAATCATAATTATGAACTACTACATTACATTTGAACTCAAATGATTAAAGATTTCCTTCAAATTTTGTTAAAGTCGTTGTTTCTTATATATATTCAATATGCTACTACAACAACTTTTTGATCATATTACCATACTAACCAGCTTTATTAATTTTAGGAATCTTTATCATTCATATTAAACTACAACTTTTAATCATGAACATTTTCAATCGATCATTCATTTCATTATCATTAACCTACAATATTAATCATACTAATTTTCAATTGATCATTCATTCTGCTATTATTCGATATAATCAGTTATTTAATCTGTCACTTATTATTTCAAGTGAGCTATCATTTATATTATTGATCTACTATACTGCTATGATTTCAACATTTACTAACCAGTTCTAGTAATTTCATTATCATTAAGCTACCACATTAATATTCATTTGATCAGTTACTAACCAGTTCTAGTAAATCATATCCTTAATCTTATTTCTACAACCTTAATAATCATATTAAATTCAATAGTTCGAACTCTATCATTGATCATCATTATCATTCACTTAATCATCTTAAATTTGTATTCATCTCAGTAAGTTTGATCAATATTCATTGAACTAGATTTTATTTTTGTAATATTCCTCCTCATTCGAATTAATCATATCGTTTTCAGTATTAGTATTAACCATATTTAGTAGTTTGATTATCAAATTTTGAAGATTAATCATTTAGTAGTTGTAGTTGTAACTGTAGTCATAGCAGTTGTAATTATTCTTAGTAATAGTAGTTGTATTAGTAGATTTTAATAGCAGTTGTCATTGTAATAGTAATTGTAATAGTAATTGTAATAGTAATTATTTTAAGCTTTGTAATTTTGATCATTGTAATTGTAATTGTAATTGTAGTTGTGCTTACTCTTCGCTGTAGTTTGTTGATTATAGTAGTATATAAGTTTATAGTTAGTTATGTAAATAGATTTGATAGAGTTTATAGTTGTAAAATCATTTTCATAGAATAGTAATGGTCTTAGTAGTATTGGTAATGGTTATAATTATTATAATTATGTTTAGGTTTTACTTACTAACTTTACTAACTTTTAGGTCTAGGTTTAATATTTAGTATATTATTAACTATAGGATTATTTATATTATTTATATTATTATATATTTTAAATACAATATAATGGTCTTTATAATTTAGTATTATTTAATTAACTTTGTAGTTGCAAAATTATACTAAAGTAGTTCAGAACCCCCTCCCCCTTTTGGGCCCTAACCGTTTTCTTCCTTAATTACCCTTATACCCCCACGATGGAGAAATAACACCACACAAAATTATTTGGAGAAAAATGGTTTGTGACACAAAATTTGGGTGTCGACAAAAAAAATTTTACAGCACATTAAATTTTCAATGAACTTGTTCCTTCTTCTTCTTTAATTATCTATCAATTCATCATATCAAACATGTCTAACGAAAGAACTTTCATTGCTATCAAACCAGATGGTGTCCAAAGAGGTTTAATTGCCCCAATCTTATCCAGATTTGAAAACAGAGGTTTCAAATTAGTTGGTATTAAATTAGTTCACCCAACTGAATCTTTATTAAGAGAACATTATGAAGATTTACAAACCAAACCATTTTTCCCATCCTTATTATCTTACATGTTATCTGGCCCAGTCTTAGCTACTGTTTGGGAAGGTAAAGATGCTGTCAAGCAAGGTAGAGCCATTTTAGGTGCCACCAACCCTTTACAATCTGCTCCAGGTACCATCAGAGGTGATTACGCTATTGAAACTGGTAGAAATGTTGCTCATGGTTCTGATTCCGTTGAATCTGCTAACAGAGAAATCGGTTTATGGTTCAAAAAAGAAGAATTAGTTGATTACAAACCAGCTTTATTCGGTTGGATTTATGAATAAATGGGTTAATCAATTATTGATTTCTCATTATTATATATATATATATTCAATTATGTTTATGGTTTATAGTTCTCTTTTACATCAATTGATATTTATCAATTGATTCATGAATGAATTATACTTATTTATACCTGATAACCCTTTGTAGTCTGTCAATTGATCAATTGATTAATCCATATAACCTCCTTTGAAGTCATTAGTATCCATCATCAATCTTCTTTATAAATGAAAATTTTGAATATCCTGTATATAACAACACACCTAAAAGCACTGTCTTTTTTTTCCGAGTATGATTGATCAAAATACTATAAGTTAGCATAACGTTAGATTAATTTCAAATTTGAATCAAGTTGAATCATTTGCATTATATCATTGTATTATAGACATATCCCTCCATCCATTACAACAACTGGTTACTTCAACATTGGTGAAAAAAGACATTAAATAACCTCGAACAGAACAATATTTAAGCTTATTTTCTGTTTATTTTTCAATACCAACAAAAACACAAAAATTATATTTTTCTATTTAACTAATCATATACTTTATTTGCATTTATCTATATATCACGAGACATTATGGCGTCAATTGAACAGGATGACTTATTCAACGTGGAGAATGATGATGAAATGTTAGAAGATGAAGAGGAAGAAGAAGAAGTTGATGATAGAAATCAAGGTAATTATGGTGAAATTGAACAAGATGAAAATATAGAGAATGATAACGATGATGACGATGAAGAGGAGGAGGAAGATGAAGACGGCGACGGTGATGGCGAAGGGGATGAAGATGATGAAGAAGAGGCTGATGATGAAGATGAGGATGAAGAAGATGAAGAGGATGAAGAAATGGAAGAAGAAGGTGAAGGTGGTGATGGTGAAGATGATGAAGAAGAAGAAGAGGACGAAGAGGAAGAAAATACTAGCAAGAATAAAACTGGATCCGGAGGTGATGAAGAAGATGATGATGAAGACGAGGAGGATGAAGATGATGATGATAATGAAAAATTCATAGATGCCAAAGAAACTCAAGAAGATTTAAAACCTCCATCTCTGGAACTTCAAAAAGATGAAACAGAAGATATATTAATGTTAGATGATAAAACAGAAACAGATAAGGAAAGAAAATCTCAGGAAGATGCTAAAGATCCTCAATCTCAACAAGATAAACAACAACCAGAAGATGAATCTCATCCCGAATCCAAATCAACCACCACCGAGGATAACAAAGATAAAGACCAAAAAGAAGATGCCGACATAGACAGTGATGATGATTCTGAAAAACCCAAATCAGATGAAACCCTGGAACAAATCATCGAAGAGAAAAGCTTCCGAGATGAATTCATATCCAAAGCTAAAGTCGCCACTGAATTCGATATAATACCATCAGTGGCCATACCGTATACTTCCCAATGTCATTCATTAGCGTTCACTGAAGGTCCTAAATGGATATTAACTGGTGGTGAGGATGGATTCATTAGAAAATATGATTTCATTGCCTCAATCCAAGGTAAATCCCCCTTAACCATGGCTCAAAAACATAATTTAGTAGCTGATTCCTTAACCAAAGCTGGTGTAATTTGTTCATATTGGGAAAATGAACAACCAATGACAAGAAAAGAATTAATGAATATTAACCCTAAATTGAAATTAAGTGATTTTAGTACAGGGTCGGTCAGTTACGAACCAAAAGTAAATCCTGTATATGCCTTAGATGTTGAACGTTCAGGTTATTGGTGTTTATCAGGGTTATTATCCGGTGGGATCTCATTGTATACTATGAGATATAATGAAAATACTATTCATCATTATTTTCTGCATTCCAATAATAAAAAAATAGAAAGTAATTGGTCATTAAATGAAGGTCATAATAATGCCGTATCAGTGTTAAAATTAAATACAGCTCAAGATAAATTTTTATCAGGTTCATGGGATAAAACTATAAGAGAATGGGATCTTAATACAGGAAAGACAACTACGTTATTCACGGGTAGTACTGGTCAAATATCAAACATTCAATATAGACCAATGGGTTTAACTGATTTGTCATTAGATTTTGAAGAAGAGTCCGTAGTTCCTCCAACAACAGCAGCCACTAATAATATAACTAATGGGAATGGAACTACAGCTAATGGTGATGATGAGGATGTTGATTCCTTATTTGGTGAAAGTGACGTTGATGCAGACGGTGATGTTAAAGTTGAAGCCAATGGAAATGAGGTAACAGTTAAAGAAGAAAATAGAAAAGCAGAAGAAGAACAAGATAAATCAAGTCCACAACCAGTATTCAATAATTCAAAAGTGACGAATAAAACTTATAAAAATGAAGATATCTTCATGAGTTCAAGTATAGACGGTACGATCAATATCTGGGATGCCAGAGTACAAAACCCAGTCTTAAGACTTGGAATATCAGATGGAGTTCCACCATGGTGTATGTCATCCACATGGTCCAATTGTGGTGAATATATATACGCCGGTAGAAGAAACAGTACCGTTGAAGAATTCTCCATAAAAATGCCATTCAAGAGATCATCAAAATCAGGGATAAATAAAGATACCATGACCCCTAACGTTCTGAAATTATTACAATTCCCAAAAATATCCGGTCCAGTAAGTTCAATATCAACCATGCCTAATAATAATTTCCTCTTATGTGGTTCCAACGATAATATCAGATTATATGATTTGACTCTTTATGATGAACATGCCAATGTGGCAGCCAATGCAAAGAAACAAGCTACTCCATTCTTAATTATCCCCGGTCATCAAGGTGGTACGTTAAGTTCGCTTTATGTGGATGAGACTGGTAGATTCATGGTTAGTGCAAGTGGAAATAGAGGTTGGGGTCATTCAAGTTTTACTGATACGGTCTTAGTTTATGAAATTGATATTGGTATATAGTAACGAGCTAAATAGGATACTTTTTCTTTAATGAACATTAAAAATAACATTAAAACGTTATATATATAAAATAAATAATTAAAGTAGGAACGTATATACGGGGTATGAAAATGATAATGTTAAGATGTGAAAAAACCAATCATAAATAAATAAAAATATAAGATATGTACAACAACAAAAGTATATAAAAGAACTGAAGATTATAAAATATCACCAAAAAAAAGAAAAAAAAAAGAGAAGATTAAAACAAGAAACCATATAAGGATCAAATAGTGTAAAGTAACGTTACTAAGTAATAAATCCATATAAGGTATTTCTTAAACCGCCAAGACCAACTTGACCAAAATTTATCCCTTGATGAACTATTTCTGATTGTTTAACAAATGTACAAACATCATTAATAGCTCCACCAACATCACTTATGATATCAGCACTTATGTTTGATATTTCATTTGTGATGGAATTGATGGGATTTTCATGTTGAATTAAAAGTGAATGACTTAAATCCTTAAGGGGAGATGTAAAACTATTAATATTAAATAGATTGAAAGCATTATGATTATAAAAGTTTGGATTATTTTTAATTAAAAGGAAATGAATTAAAAATCCAATAAACCCAATGGTAAAGCTGATTTTATAAATATTGCTGAAGATTAAATGAGTATTTTTATTTCTATTGATTAATTTTTTATTATCTTTATCATCTTTATCATTCAGGAGTGGTGATGATGGAATAATTGGGCTAGATAATATCGAATTTTCAATTTTGAATAACTTTTTAAAGATCATTGATGAAGTATGCGCTATTTTGGAGTTTATAGAAGATGAAGAAGTTGATGTTAAACTTAATGATGATGATAACAGATGAGGATTTGAATGTGAATCAAAACTATTTTCAGATATGACTGAATTGGCCAATTCTTCTTGTTGTTCAAGGATTTTCTGTTTAGTTTCTAAATCAAAGATGGTTTGTTTGGCAATTTCATCTTCTTGTGATTGAAGTAATTCACTAAATGAAATGTTATTATGGGTTTGTTTTAAAACGTCATTGATTAATAAATGTTCATAATGTTTAAATTTATAAAAATTATCAAAGTTTATATTGGAGGAAGTTAATAATACGGAATGAGGATTGAACTGATTAAACCAAATATCAAACGTTGAATTTGCATTCTTCAAGCCTTCAATAGGATAAGTTTCAATTAATTCTTTAGCTTTATTTAAGATTTTAATAAGCCCATTATCAGATAATCCATCAAATAAACTAGTTGGTGAAGTTAAAGTATGAACTAAATCAGGATCGATATTACTAAAATCATAATTATCAGTTTCATCATCAATATTCAATTTGGAAAATAATTCATCTTTAACATAAAGTAAGGTTGCCACATAGATATAGACACTAATAATGATGGAATTATAACTTAAAATGAAATCCCAAAGGATTAAAAGATGTTGAATATTAGAAATATCATGACTGTAAAGCGTTAAAATACATGAAAGACTTTGATAAAAGTTGTAATCATAATGTAAACCATCTGACATCAAATATTGATTACTTGTCTGTTTAATTAATTCAAATAATGTAGGATCGATAATTTCTAATAAAGTTGGAATCAATTTTAAATGATTAGTAGAAAGAGTGATATCATTAATCATAAAATCACGTAAATGGAAAATCGTGAAACGTTCTAATAATTTGAATGCTAATTCTTCATTTATATTGTAATTTCCAGTACAATTGGTTGTAGGTGAGGAACGAGAATCATTATCATCATTGTCTTCATGTGAGTCATTATTATTATTGTTATTATAACAAACTAATAAGATTATGCTGGCAATATCATGAAACCCTTGATAATAATGTAAAGTAGGGTATTTTCTTAAAATTTTAATGATTAGATTCAATAATTTCTTTTTTAATTCATTCATATCAGATGGTGAAAAAATAGTAGTATAAGATTCATTTTGAAGATGTGATTGCAAAGATTGAATATGATTTAATATTGTGAATGATCTTTGAATATCTAATTTAACTTGATCTTCATCTTTATGAGGTAATAAATCATTATTATTAAGATATTCAAGGAAGAATGATGCTGAAATAGCATTTAATTTGGTACTACTATTAGTATTGCTACCGTTATTACTGGTTGGAGTAACAATCGTTGCAGTACTATCTGATGATGATTCTAATGATTGATTATCATAATTCATACCTAATAATATGGGCCAAATAATGGATCTAAAATCATTATTAATAAGACCATCATTGGATCTCAGATAATTGATTAAATTGTCTAATTGATTTGAATGAGATGATGAAGAGATTGATTCCTGAATTGATTTTATCTTTAAATTTTTAATATGATCATTTAAAGGTTGATCTTCACCATTATAGAAAGATTTACCTAATTTATCCATATCCATAGATACCCAATCTGGATGCAGCAGTAGATTCAAGAGTACGTTATTATGAGATGATGAGATTGAATTAGGCGGCAATGAATTTGAAGATGGTGAAGTTGATGATGATGAAGAAGATGATGGGGTCATTGCCGTTGATGACGATGTTGTTATGGTGCTAGGTGAGATTGAGGAAGATGAATTCCCATTAGCTACCATAGTTGACATGATGGATATTTAAAGTCAACTCTATTTATATAATGTTTATTTACAAAATTAGATCAGCTCTAAATTTAGACAAGTGATATGATTGCAATTAACACACTTTCCACACTGTCAGTCAGTCAGTCAGTCAGCCACCCTGATTGATTATATTAATCGATTGAATGATTGAACGATCGATCGTTTGATTGATTGCTCAGTAGCTGAATTGATTGATTGATGGTGTATGATATGACTGGTTGGTTGTAAATAGTTGATGATGGTGCTGCCTTTTTTTTAAGACAGTTGATAAATTCAAATTTTGTTATGTTTATTTCCAGATGATGAGGGTTTTTGATTTTTGAGTTGAGTGATGATTTGAGATTTTGGTTTAACAGGGGTGGCGGGCGAGCGAGGGGGTTTTTTTGTTTATCAGACAATTTAAATTAAAAGACCAGACAAAAGAGATTAAAAAAAATGACAAAAATTGATTAAGATTATATGCAGGTGTGGTATCTTGTTTTGAAGTATGGGGAATCTAACAACGAGCGGGCGATAAAAGGAAAAAAATTCCGTTTGGATTTGTTCAACTACATTTTTTTTTTCATATTTAATATCACTTTGATCTTCTTCTTGTATAACTTCAACTTCTTTAACGAATTGATTAAGTATGCCTATTTCAACTGAAGCCACCCCCTCGGAGTCAACTTCATACTCCATCTCATCCACTAAATCAGATGATGAATCGTTACAACTTTTAATCAATTGGACCGATAATCAAACTTCTCGATTTCATTATATTTGGCTTCGTGATAATTGTCATTGTGAAAAATGTTATTATCCTACCACCAAACAACGATTATTGAATTCTTCTTTCATTAGAGATGATATCAAACCAATTAAAATCGATAGTAATAATGATAAAACCGGTTTAACTATCACTTGGGATCAAGATAATCATAGTAGTACTTATCAATTCGATTGGTTATATTTACATTCTTATCAACCAAAATTAATCCCCAATAATTTGAAATTAAAAGGTGAACAAACCATTTTAGCTCAATCATATTGGAAAGTAAATGATATCAAACATAAATTACCTACCGTTGATTTCAACACCATAATTCAATCAAGTGATGAAACCGATCAAGAACAAGCTATCAAAGATTGGAGTTTAAAAATTTGGAAATATGGTTTCTGTCTCATTGATAATGTTCCTGTAACTCCTGAAGATACCGAACGCTTATGTGAAAAATTATCTTATATTAGACCAACTCATTATGGAGGATTTTGGGATTTTACTAGTGATTTATCCAAGAATGATACTGCTTATACAAATTTTGATATTTCTTGTCATACTGATGGTACTTATTGGTCAGATACACCTGGATTACAATTATTTCATTTATTATATCATGATGGTGAAGGTGGGACTACCTCATTGGTTGATGCTTTCCAATGTGCTCAAATCTTACGTGAAAAATATCCTCAAAGTTATGAATTATTCACCAAGATTAAAATCCCAGCTCATTCAGCTGGTGAAGAGAAAGTTTGTATTCAACCAGATATCCCCCAACCTATTTTCAAACTTAATGATGAAGGAGAATTAATTCAAGTTCGTTGGAATCAAAGTGATAGATCAACCATGGATAATTGGGTTGATCCAAATGATGTTCCAAAATTCTATACTGCCATTAAACATTGGGTATCAATTATAAATGATCCAACCAATGAATTATTTTATCAATTAAAACCAGGTCAATGTTTGATATTTGATAATTGGAGATGTTTCCATTCTAGAACTGAATTCACCGGTAAGAGAAGAATGTGTGGTGCTTATATTAATCGTGATGATTTTGTATCGACTTTAAAATTATTAAATTTAGGTAGAAAAGCAGTATTAGATTCAATCTAAATTATTTTTCGCAACACTTATTTTTCTTAAAAATTATATTATATATTTAATAAATGATTTAAAAAAGACTAAATACTAATAAACAATATTTTTTTGTAATCCTTTTCTCTCTCTAAATAGATTAGACAAAGATTGGAATCTTATCCCAATCCCATGGATCGTTGAATCTTAAACCAACATCTAATTTAGAAATAGCTTCGAAATCAGCTTCAGTTAAATCGAAATCATTAACTTCCAAATTTTGAGCTAATCTACCTGGATTATTTGATTTTGGAATAATAGCAATGTTTCTTTGAGAAGCCCATCTTAATAAAACTTGAGCTGGAGTTCTTTTAACTCTTTCAGCAATAGTTAAAACAGTAGCATGTTTGAATAAAGTTTCAGTAACTAAAGCTTTAGAATGGTTTAATTCTAAGAAAGATTGAGGACCAAATGATGAATAAGCAGTAATAGCAATACCTTTAGATTGAACCCATTCAACTAATCTTGGTTGTTGTAAGTATGGATGATGTTCAATTTGTAAGACAGCTGGTGGGATTTCAGCATCTCTTAATAAATCGTAAATTAAAGCACCAGTGAAGTTAGAAATACCAATGGACTTAATTTTACCAGCTTTAACTAATTTTTCTAAAGCTTTCCAAGTTTGTAATAATGTAACATTTTCATAATGGAAATTGTCACCATCACCACAGTAAAAACCAGGTGGATATTTTTCTTCTAATGGAACAAATTTAAAAGAAATTGGGAAATGGATTAAGAATAAATCAACATAATCTAATTTTAAATCACTTAAAGTTCTGTTTAAAGCGGTTTCAACGTTTTTTGGATCATGGAAATTATTCCATAATTTAGAAGTAATGAATAATTCTTCTCTTTTAACTAAACCATCTTTAATAGCTTTGTTGATACCATCACCAACTTCTTTTTCATTACCGTAATCTTCAGCACCATCGAATAATCTATATCCGACTTTAATGGCATTGTAGATTTGTTCAGCAGCAGTGGCGTTGTCAACTTTCCAACAACCAAAACCAACTAATGGCATTAAATGACCAGAATTTAATTTTAAAGTAGCCATGATGATGATATTAATATATATAAATACTTAAGTTAAGAATAATAAGAATATTAATTAATGAGAAGAAGAAGAAGAGAAAGGAAAAGAATATAACAAATCAAATTTTATAAATCAATTGAGGAGGTTTGAAGGGTTATTTATATTCCCCATTTTTCATCGATCAGAATTAAATTTTATGAATGAAAAAATGAATATTTACACAAAAACGTATTCCGAATTTATGGGTAAGAAACTGGTTCCGAATTTGATTAATTTTAGTCAAAAACTAAAATAAATAAAAAAAACTCAACACATAAACCACTATGTGTATCTGTACTGTGCTTGGACCTTTCTATTATATGAATTGGAACTGAATTCACCTTCAATTGTCAAATTTTTGAACGTATCTGTGTAAAGTTTCATCTATTATTTCTACTATTTATTTATAGATAATGGGTATGTTTCTAAGGCTTCAAGTATATATAATATGGCTTTTGTAACTATTATAATTTTCTACTCAATTCTTTTCTTAGTTGTTAATTTTCAATCATTCATTCTTGTGGTATTCATGATTTACCTTCTTGGTATGCGTACACCTTACTTACTCAGAAATTATCCGAACAATTGATTTTGGTAACTCCTATTTTAACAGCCAAAATCAGTGATAGAGTTGGTTTATAGTGAAGGTTCTACCTAATTGAACCTTCTGCTTTACTTACTTTTTACGTATATTAATAAATTCAATCAATATTCTACTAGTATAATTCGTCTCCCCCACTAAAAAGTTTAAACAAAATATACCAAACCACAAAAAAAGGGGATGAGAGATCTGACGTCAAAAAAAAATAAAAAAAAAAACAGGCAACAGGCAGACAGGCAGACATTGATTATATAGTTGAATCTTAACATGTATCATCAATTGAATTATTAGATGATATGTTTTTGTCTAATTAAACTTTTATTGAACTAAGTAAATGAATTTGAAATTGATGATACTTCTGATATTACCCCATATATTAAGGTGTTAATGTATTTCAACGATAATTTTGTATTGCTGTTATATTCTTCGTCCTGTATATAATTTATTCCCGCTTCGACCTTTTTTTCATAATTAAATTTTGAGTGAGACGGTTACACTACCTAATTGAGGTGGGGGAATATTTCTTTTGCCATTCCACACGACCTATACTTTTTTGATCTGTTTAGTATTAGTTATTTGCAGTTTAAGTAAAAAAGTGGGGGAGGGGTAGTAGGTATATCCTGTCCTAACCCCACCTCACCACACTTCACCTCCAATCCCCATAATTAGATAATATAATAATAGGAATAATAACCCATAACAATGACCTATAACTGTAACTACTTCGTACCTATTTATCCTTTATTCCGATATCACAATTGTTAATTATTATTTTATTTTATTTTATTTTATTTATTTTCTTGACCTATTTTTTTTTATCTGTGGTTAGACCTTAAACTAGAGCTTATATTCTATAGTACAGTATAAAAAATAATCACTAGTTTCAAGTTTAACATGTAACCGCCTTTCAATTAAACATAAGCGTTATCGTATATTTATAGGACTGGATTAACTTGCTCAAGCAAGCTAATACAATATAGGAAGAAAAGAAAGCGTGGCCCTTTCTAGTTTCGTCTGTTCTTTTATACTATTTTCTATAACAATTGCTGGATAAAAATATATTATCGATAAAGCCTGTTTACCCCTATATATTAACCTTACATTCAAGTTTTAATCTCTAATCTTAATCAAATAATCTCACCTATCTTTATACATATACTCTGTTTAATCTGTCGTAACTTACTACCAGAGTGCAATATTTAAAGATCTGAACTACTACAGTAACGGATCTACTAAGATTCTTCTAGACCTACCCCTCACTCCCTAACTAAATATATTCTCCGTACTATTTACTACAGATCTATCGTAATTCACTATAATAAAAACATTTCATTTTGTGGACGTCAAAGGGAAAAATTTATATTTTCGGAATAATTTAATAAAGAAGGTCGAATCCCTCACATATTTCTCACTTCTCACTAAAATAATTTTTAGCTGCACTCTATTTTCTATTATGGGGTAACAATCAAATAATAATCCATTCATATTATATTTTATCTAAACTTCTTGCTTAAAGTATACCGTTTTTGTACCTATGTTTACTATATGATTGCTTATTCTATCCGATAAATAGTGCGTGTGTGGGGTAGTTTTCCCGGGTAAACTCTTCCTCCAATAGTATTATCTATCTATCACTCCACAGATTGTTTGATCAGTACATTGTCTCTCTATTTGCTTGCTTTTAAATCTTTTTATGTAAGAATTTTAACGCATAGTTATCCCGGTATTCAAATAATAATGTGGAGAAATTTTAATAGGGCAAAAGTTTTAATGGTGGTTTAACATGAGCTAATTATTCCAAATTCACAAAAATTCCTATAATTTATCCAGAATTACCCATAATCTCTATCACTACCGTAATTATCGCACTAACTATGAGCTACTACCAGCGTAAAATATATGATTTTATGGGGAATCAATTTTCCCACAATAAAATCATGAGTTAGGTACAGCCTACATTACATTTTTATTCTGTAAGTTCCTTCCTTTCTTCTTTCGTATCCCTTTTCTCCAACTCACATTATTCAAATAAGTTCACGACACTATTAGGTATCCTGAAAATAACTCATTAAAGTTTATTAACTATTTTCTAGAACGATTAAAAAAGAATATTCCTTTGAAATTCTATTTCAAGGGTTACAAACACTGAAGATCTTTCCCCTATTATGCTTTCCCATTTTCTCCATTAGATGTTTTACAACTCTTTTAAGAAAATTATGGTTTTGTGAAGATGTTGTGGCAGAAATGGGTATTTTCTTGGTGGCTTTTTATGACCATTTTGCTGTAACGTGACAATATTTTCTTGTCGCTTTGGTGGTTTTTTTTTATTCATATATATACAGGACGTCAAATGCTTTTTTCTTCCTTACGTATCATATCATACTTCATATCGTCCGCCAATCTTTAAATATAGAAACTTTATGCACTTTTTAAAGTATGGTCGTACCATACCACTTCTTCCGAAATCTTGTTTGGTCTGATTCACCTTTAAATCTACATTTATTCTTATCTCTTAATAATACTAATATATATTAATTTTGTCTCTATTGTCATAATCAATAATATACTATATACTATTCTAAACTAACCCAAAAACGTAATCATAAAACTCATAACTTTATAACCTGACATAACATAACCTAACCTAACTCATAATACTTGATAATTTCATATCATTCTTCTTTTCAACATCAGCATTACCATTTGGTGTCATAAATGCTGGTGATGGATAATTGTTCAATGATGTAAAACTTAAAACTGAACGAATAGGAGGTAATGTAGTACCTGTAGTAGCAATACTTTGAGGAATAGCTGAAGGACTTACAACAACTCCAGATTTCTCTTTTTCATTAGCAATGGTTTGAGCAGCAGTACTGATCATGTTTTCTTGATATGCTTGAGGTTGTAAATGGGGTGAATGAGATGGAGTTTGTAATGGAGTTTCATTTGGTGAAATTATAAATTGTCCACCTTTACGAATACCACTACTACTATTACTGACAGCTGATGGAACCATACCATTAGATGAATTAGTTCCGTTCAAACTTCCATTACTACCGGAACTACTGGCTGATACTGAACTCATCATGAATAATTGACCCAGTGATTGAGTTGGAGAATTTGGTCTTGATTTCTTATTTGATGGACCATTTTGATTATATCCAGTACTATTATGATTGTTATTGTTGTTGTTGTTATTGTTGTTGTTGAAGAATTCCAAGTTTAATGAGGTGGAACTAACTTGTTTAGGTAAGGTGAAAGTAGATCTTTGTTGATTTAAAACATTACTAGATGAATTAGTACTATTCAAAGTTGATTTGATTGGAGTTAATCTTTGGAATGATGATAATGATGCTAAATTACTTCCTGAATTAGATTGTTTCAATTTACTTAATGAACTTAATGAAGTTGAAGAACCAAATAATCTTGTCTTTTGTTGATTTTGTAAAAAGTATTCATTCAAATTACTGATCAGAGCAGTTGGTTTATGATGGAATGGAGGCTGCATTAAAGTAGAATTGGATGAAGTATCAGGTGAAGTTCCTAATGATTGAATGGCTGAATTGGCAGTTGATGCAGTTCCAGCTTGACTAAATACTGGACCACTAGAACTTATAGATGAAGCAGAATCTGATTTACTAATGATTGGAACTGGTAATGAACTGGTGAATTGTTGTGATTGTTGTTGCATTCTTAATCCATCGGAAGAAACGGTTCTTTGTGTTAATGGTCTAGAATTAGTAGTAGCATTACTATTATTGATTGTATTGGTGTTGGTAAAATGCTGGAAACCTGTTGGAGATGAAGGTAATGAGAAAAGAGCAGTACCAGTCTGTTGATAATGTTGTTGAGGTACAGGTTGTTGCTGTTGAATTTGTTGCTGATTGATATGTTGTTGAACTTGGACTGGAACGGCAACTTGAGATTGGGCATTAGGCGGTATTGGCATATAAGCATATGGTTGTGGTTGTTGTGGTTGACCTTGTTGATTGGTTGGAGCTGCCATTTGTTGTTGAGGAATGAAATAAACTGGGTATGGTTGATGATATATTGGATTACCATTTCTATCTACTGAAAATGGTATAGCTGTTGACACTGGTTGAAATACAGCAGTAGTAGGTGGTTGAACTGATAATGGTTCAAGAGTAGTGGTGGTAGTGGAAGATACATTTACTTCACCCATATCTAATTTATTCTTTCTCTTTCTTGAAGTTGGATTATTATGAATTCTTAAATGTCTTGTTAATTCATCAGATCTGCTAAATCTTTTAGTACAACCTGGAAAAGTACAAGCATGAGGCTTTTCACCCGTATGAGTTCTTATATGTCTGGTTTGATGTTCTAATCTATGAAATGCTTTATCACAGAATGTACATTTATAAGGCCTTTCTTCTTTATTTTTCTTTTCCTTACCATTAGAAGTAATGGATAAGTTATGGATATTGGCAGCAATGTCAGTATTACTCATGATGATATTGACTGTCTTATTGGTATATATTTGTGGGTAGTAGTAAATTTCTCACAATCTATTTTACTTATAGGGATTAGTCCGGTACGAAAAAATATTTATTCTGCTAATATGGATGGATTAATACGGTGGGGGATTTAGGGGATGAATGGAAATAATGGAAACGATAAATAATAAGGGTATAACTTGGATAAATAGGATATATATTAACTAAAAAGAACAAATTCTTATAAAATTTATAATTTTTATTTCTAAAGCGTAAATTCTGTTTTATATATATATAGAATCTAGCTATTTTTGAATGTGAATATGATGTTTTTTTGTTCCTCCAACGTTTACAAAAAAAAAATTAAATTAAAAAAAAAAAAAAACAATAAATAAAATAAAAAATAAAAATGTCTCATGAAAATTTAATTTAAAATTATTTTTAAAAGCTGGCGCATGCTCCAACCTGCACACAACAAAGTCTTACCCTAATTATTCCCTCCCCCCAACCACACCAAAGTTGTATTTTCTTTAAAAATAAAAAGAAATTAAATTTAATATGTAACCCACAAAATGATATATACAGGACTGCATCTAGTTTTTCCGGACGGACTCATTTCCCCGGTTAGGGAAATATAAAATAATAAGCAGTAGTATGATATTTTTTGGGGAAATTTAAAATGTGTTAAACTAAAGATTCAAAAATTTATACGCTGGCTTAATTGTTGAACTTTGACATATGTACATATATATTAACATGGGTTAAATTGTTTGGATTGAACAAAGATTGAATGTGTAGTGGTAATTGAAGTAAACTATTGTGGTAGTTATATGATAAGAAAATAATGTAGAAGAAGACCATTCAAAATGGGCAGATACAAGCTTTAACAGATATAGCATCTTTAATTACCATTTTTACAGGCGCCGATTTACAATTACGCGTATGACGAGGTGAATGTGTATGTGAATGTAGAGTGTTGAGATCAAATGAGTAGTTACGTATTGACATTATGTATATGAAAAGCATTGCTTGGGGTATGTTACATATGTAACACTCAGTATTATAGTTTTAAACGAGCATACGTTGTGTTATCGTTACATCCTACATCAAACTAATTTCTCCAGTTTGGAGATGATTAAGAATTTGTGGAATCTAAAAAAATATAATATTACTCCGTAACCCTAACTAAACAAACCCCAACCTGATGGATTCAGATGAAATAATAATACAATAATAATAATAATACATCTAAAAATGTATGATCAGATAACCATACATATAAAAAGAAATAGAAAAATTGCAAATTTTCTTGTCAAAATATTTAGTCTTGTCACTCTAAATCTTCTTTTCTTTGACTCATGTCATATTGATTTTGATTTAAACTGTAAATTAGTGAAAAATTTTTCCGATGCTCTATTAAAAAATAAATGGATAATATTTAAACCAAAAAAAAAATGATTACGAAAATGTCGTTTATTTTATTTTTATTTTAATTAAATATCATTTTTTTTTTTGTTCAGATTAGAAGATTTGTGTCTTAGAAAAATAACAACATGATAAAAATAATAAGACAAGAATTAAATTTCTACAATAGGCAACTTAAAACATCAAAAGTGTGGATTGCCTCCTATTTCTATAATAGTAGTGGGATTGCAGCAAATATTGTGTTCCTTCGATTTATTCATTCTAGGCCAAATAACTAGCCTAGCAACTATACCTGAAACGATCAGTGTAAATATTGAGTAGAATTAGGCAGATTTTAACAGAATGAGGAGGAGGGGTGGGAATGCTCTACATTACATAGACCGTATATTTTAACCTTTTATCGACGGGAATGATCGGATTAGAATGGGACTTAAGCCAAATAGTCTATTATTCTCACCCGATTTAACAATTAATACTGGAAATGTAGGAACCGTAACTAAGATTGCTATTTCAGTTAATAATTACTATGGTTGGATACTTTACACGATCATATGCTCAAATCGCATACCACTGTTCCTTGGATATTTAAAAATCAAAAGGTTTTTCATTGTAATTGGTACCCCCATGGGGGAACACACAGTTTTGCATATTATTATTTTTAGACAGAAAGCGACCTTTACGTTAAAGCCTTTCATAATATCATATGCTTTTTTTTAAGATTTGGTGTATAAAGATGATTATTATTTTATAAAAGGTTGTTATTTTTAGGCTTTTAATGTATTTTTAGTTTAGAGTTTTAGTTCTTAAATGTTAACAATCCGTGAAACAGTGTAGGTTTAAGCCAATAAATGGAGGGACGATCCATTAAATTTCCTTATGATTGTTAATTAGTTAGGATAGGGCGAAGGTCTAGATCATAAAAAAGCCTAAACTTAAATATATGTTGCTTTTTATGATCCTATGAATATGTTAGTTAACTCCTATCAGGCATGAAGAAGTATTACTCTTTATAGTTATTGCTTGTTTATAACCAAGTAAGGGAAATTGTACATAATATCCTATCCTATCCTATCCCATCCCAGGTCAACCTTTTCATCTTCATGCATATTTTTTGGGATTTTTTGGAATTCTATTGCACCTTATCTCACTACAAAATTTCAACTAAATCTTTTTTTTTTTGTTCTATTTTTGTTCTAAAAAAGAAAACTACCCCACCCCCTCGTTCTCACTTACATTGCCCCACTACAGATAATTATACTGTTCTATACATTTCCTAATTAGGAAATTATCCCTCCTCCACCCACAACGTTAAATTTTTAATCAAATCCAATTTTTTTTACGACTTCATTTCTCCTATCCTCCACCACTTCCCTCCACCATTTCCTCCACATTTTTAGACATTGATTTTCATACTATATAGTAATGAAACTTGCATGATTTGTCTATATATTTAGTAGGATAATGAAGCGAATCATTCATTGATTGATATATGGTTTGTTTCTCCATATTATTAATAAAAATTTATTCTCTCTCCGTAATTTATTGCGATAATTATTCCATGATGAGACTACTGTAAATATATTCCCCGTATTATATTATTAATCAACACTATTTGGGGACAACCTAACTCCTATTATTTCCTCTTACTATGTAACCATTAACGATTTATAATTATTATTTCATCTAATTGTCATAAAATACTTTATTATTAATACTAGTTAATCTTAAAAAAATTTTATTTACCTAGATCCCCCCCCCCACCTTCTCACATACTCTCACTCTCTACTAAAATTTACGTTCCTAAAACTTCTATCTTCCCTTTACTTCCGATAAGTTACGGAACGACTCAAGCCTCGACGGCAATATACTTAATTTATACTCTACTCCAGCTTCAAGCTTCTTCCAAACCACCACCTTTATTTTACCGAGTGTTTTGCCTTATTTTCAATGTCGTCGTTTGCGGTAAATTTTGTTCCTTGTGCATGTAAGTTACGTGGTTTTCATCTTTATTATTATTATTTAATGGCTAATCTGATTTTCAAATTGTGGGGGATATGTTGGTGCTTTTGGAATCAGTACTTATTTTGGAAATTAGGGCACTATCCATTAATATCGGTATTATAATTTCCATTCCATTCTATGTCTCTCTCCTGCTTGCGGCTCACGAACAAAAAAAAATAAAAGATTTTAAAAAAAAAGTACCTGCACTCCAAACAACTCGGAAAAACTTTATGCACCAGAATTAAAATATGGGGCACCAACTACAACACTAAATAAATGAAACAAATATTCCTATAGTTTAACTATATTTATATATAAATCTAGTATACAAATTATTTAAAAATCATAATTGAAATCCATCCATTGATCAAACCATCTAAGATTACTAAATAAATTATCAACATCATCAGCACTAGCACTATTAGGATCAATAGGGCCATTATTATCCATCACTGTACCACCTGGAGTAACTCCCAATGCATTAAGTTCTGATCCAGGAGTTGAATTATCAGCGTTAGCATTATTATTCACACCTCCTCTATTGTTACTATTATCCATATTTGACGAGGACAGTTCCATAAAATCATCAGCTCTGTGCAATTGTTTTTCTAACAAGTCGTTAAATTCATCCTTAGGTTTTTCTAATTGAGTAGATGAGCCTTCTCTTGGTTCATTATTCAAACCTAATTGAATAAAACTGGCCTTATTGACATCTGAAGATCCATGATCGGTTCCAATAGAATCAAGCGCTTTGATATCTTCTTGTAAACGTAAGGATAAGATTCTATTGGCAGTCTTTAAAGCCCATAAACATTCTTTAACCATCTTAAATCTTTCTTTAATAATGATTTTACCTTGTTCATTTCTAACTGGTGATTTCTTTAAAATAGTTAATAATCGAATCGTACCTTTTAAAATCCCTCTTGCTTGATCCACAAATATACCACTATTGATTAATGTAACCGCATTAACCCCCGTATTAAATAATAATAATAATACCAAATACCATGGTGTATATAATAATCCAGCTTTATTGGTTTTATCTAAAACTTCAAGTATACCATGACATGCATCTAAAACCATCTCAATTTTTAAACCATGACTTGTGATTCTTCTACCAATATAATTAAATAATATCTTTCCATGGAAACACATTACTAAATCATAATAATGTAATTTAACTTGAACTTTAACTAAGGAACTGATAGTAACATTTCCCCCATGTTTTTGTTGTAATTGTCCTGTGATATCAGGTTCAGCTATCTTACTGAATAAAGTTAAATTTCTAAATCCATTATTATTAAACCAATCATGTAATTGAACTAATTCTTTATTGATTTGTTGATATTTGACTAATTCAGGACTATCATCAACTGAAGTATGAACGAAATTTGAAATTCTAGCAATATGGATTAATGCAAACGCAGGTAAAGTTATCCAATCATCACGTATAGTTTCTTCCTGGAAATCAAAAGTTGGATATTTTCTTGCTAAATCTTCATCTCTTAATCCACAATATCTACCGGTTTGTAATCCAAATAATCTATCAAATGTATAAACACACCAAAAGATTCTTTTCGCTTTTAATCGTTCATAAGGAGTCGAAACGTGAAGTTTTGGATTATCTTGGCCAATACCCATAGCTTTTGTCATAGTGATAGCTTGACCTAACGCATGGAAGGATGAAGTTTGACGATGACTAACTCTTAAATATAAAGCGATTAGTAACCAACTTTGAACTAATTCAAATGATTCCCATTCAAAACTTAAAATTGAAACCACTTGATACCCATATTTAAATAATTTCTCTTCGAGTTTTAATTTGTCCATTGATGGACCCTTTGGTTTTTGCATTTCCATAAATCTGATTGATAAAGCACAAGTTAAATATAAAATTGCACTGAAAAGTCTCGTTTGATTTGTTTTAGAATCACGATCATTGACATTCTTATTAAGTGAAAATTGTTCCCTAAGTAACTTATCATAAGCCAAAAGTTGTTCTCTAAACACTGTTTCATGAATGATAGCAAATAAAGGATTGATTTCTTTAAAATAATAATCAACATATTCTTCGGGGAAAATAACAAATTCAGGTAATTTTGGTAATTCTTCAGAACTAATATAACTACATCCTGACATATTCCAACCAAAGTATTGAGTTCTTGGAAGAGTGACTTCCTTTTTCAGTTCTTCAGATAAATTCTCATACATCGATTTACATAATTCACTAATTAATAAATTTTGATGTCTTCTCAGGAATCTCCATTTACTACTTGGATTTATTAAGATTTTTTCTAATTCCGGATTTTCAGGTTCCTTAGTAACTGGAGGTTTAAATGTTGATGAAGTACTGGTTGATAATAAACTTTCAAGATAATGAACTCTATTTTCCAAATGAGAAATATATTCTCCATCATTTGTTCTACTAACCACGGGTAATCCAAATGGTTCAACTAAAACTCTTTGACGTTTCGAAAGTGGGAATTGAGACAAATCTCTTAATTCAGCTGACCCACCACTATTTCCCAAATTACCTTGCATACCAACCATGCCATTATTACTACCAGGAGTATTGTAAATGGCAGAATATGTACATTCTTTCTTATTTCGTTTACAAGGTTCACAAGGAAATGATGCAGAACATTTAATCTTTTGAGTTCTACATCTATCACAAGCCTTGCTAACTCTCATTCTTGTTCTTTGAGCTCCACCACCACCTCCCATACTTTGATCCATAAGTTGTTGTCGTTGTTGTTGACCTTGTTGGATTGGGGGAGCCAATTGTACAGGTCCATGCGGCAAGGCGTAAGCTCCCAATTGTTGAGGTTGATAATTTCCAGGTGAACCATAAACATAAGGTGAATTAGTACCAGGAATGGCATTACCAAGCGGTGTAGTTACCCCAGGATTACTTATAGCAGGTAAAATAGTACTTGTTGGAGGACCCCCAATGGTATTATTTGATATGGATCCTCCACTTGAACCTCTGACGTTGGATTCGTTGGATGTAAGATATCCAGAATTACTATTATTTGAACCACCTTCATTCAACCCTCCACCATTAGTTCTAAACGCAAATGAATCAACTGGTCTATCATTAGCCTTTTTAACCATTTTTGCAGTAATTTATAGTCTAATTGGAGTACTTTATACAAATGTTTAAATGTAACTCTGATTATATTGAGTTCCGCTTCACGGACCGACCGACAAAAATATTCAAAAAAGAAAAAAATTTAATTTAGAAAATTATTCAACGTACACGACCCTTACCATAAAAAAAATCCAAAAACAAACTGAATATGTGGTAGCGCGTGAGAAATGTAGAATTAATTTGGTATACATCATCTTGGATATAAGTAATCAATGCTTATTATATCTAATTGCACATTTTAAGTAATGGATAGGCTATCTAAGAATTTGTTTATCATGGTTCTATATATTAAATATATTCCTAGTTACGTCCTCGTAGTATGAAATGGATATCTTTGTTCAAGGATCTGAACTTGTTCATTGATTAATTCTTCTCTTAAGAATGAATTATCTAGAATCATTGTGGAGTACCTCCTTCTCGAACTTTCACGGGGATATTCTTCTTTCACCATGCATAATAATAGAGAAGCTAAAAATACTCTGATGCTAGCTCCGCTGTTTTCAAACAATCCCAGAACTTCGAGTGTTATCGAATGGATAAGCAGAGGCAACCTGCGTGCGTAATGGATTAATAATCGGTTAGTCTCATCTCCGTCCATAGTGGGTAAGAATAGTTGATTGATAGACTGATTGAATTGGCGAAATCTAACTGAAGGAATAAAAAAGAGGATCTTTTAAAATTTACCCATTTGTAGATAAGCAGAACTGAATGTAGAGAAGCGTATCATTTATTTTGCGGATCAATTTTATTTTTGCAATATTTTACGAAAAATTAGTTTATATTTGATAAGATCAAGCATAGATTGCTTTGATTCCCTTCCTGATGAAAATACAAATAATAATATTCATTTAGATTTGTCAAATTACATAAATTTAAAATAATTCTTGGGATTCATGTTGGTCAAGCATTTTGAAAAGGATAAATTGGATGAATTCTATGACAAAATCGAAAATGTATTTGGAAAGAAACTCTCGGAACGACGCTACGATTATTTTGGATCTGGTGAAGATAAGAGGTTAGCGATATCGCTTGAGTTTAGCTAATTATGCTCTTTGAGTGTTACTAATTGTAATAGTCCGAATGCTTGGAAGTATGGTGTAAATGAACTACATATTATTACCTATATAATCTTTAAACTTTTATGTTAAATCAAACACTACTTTATTAACTTTATGAGTATCAAATAATTCAAAAGCCTCTTTACTTTGATCCAATCCAGTTTTATGATCAATAAAATGTTTGAAATCTCCTTTCATAACTTCAAAGAGTTCAAGAGCTTCTGGAAATAATGACCAAGCATGACATCTTCCAAACGAAATATTTATATTTTTTAAATAACATTCAAGTCCATCAAATGGTAATGGTCCATGCGCCATTCCTAATGAAGAAATAAATCCATTTCTACGAACAGAATCATAAGCAGTCTTTAATGCAGCTGATGAACCAACCACTTCTAAAATTGCATCAAATCCAACTCCATCGGTTTCGGATTCAATGAATTTCTTGATAGCATCACCATCAGTCTCGAAATTGATTGTTTGGTATGCTCCAAGTGCTTTGGCTTCTTGTAATCTTGAAGGAACATTATCAATACATACAATTTTTTTAAATCCAAAATGTTTCAATACTCTTAAAGCACATAAACCTACTGGACCAAGACCTAATTGTAGTATAGTAATATCAGAGATATCTTGTTTCACTGCACTTTGAGATGATTCATTTTTCAAATTATTAAGAATCTTTTTCACTCCATAATAACCCGTGATAAATATATCAGCCATTAATACATAAACGGAATCATCAACAGTATCATCTTTCGAGGTTGGTTTTTTAATCAAGGTAGATTTGGCATATGGAACTCTAACATATTCAGCTTGACCACCATCTAATCCGATTTTCCCAAATGTATTGGTTTTAACACATTGACCCGAATATCCATGTTTACAATACCAACATACCCCACATTGAATCGTAAATGTACTTAAAACATCTTCTCCGATTTTAAACTCTGAATCGAGAATTTCAGATCCCTTAGCAACAACAGTACCTAAGAATTCATGACCAATGATAGTATCAACAGGTCCTTTGATATGCCCTCTATAACTATGTAAATCACTTCCACATAATCCTGAATATTTCACTTTAAGGATAACATCCGATGGATCTATTATGGTTGGGGTTTTTCTTGATTCGGTTCTAACGTCATAAGGTGCATAGTACACAATGGCTTTCATATACTCTGGTAATTCACTCATTGTTGAATGTAGATTGGTTAATTCACTAATAGATAGTGAAAAGAGTGAAAATGGTCAAAAAGTATCATCTTCCCCAGACAGAAAAAGTTCACCACCCACACAAATCCGGCACTTTCTGGAGAAATGCGCATACCCGCTAAATTAGCGGCTAAGGCACCAAACAGAGTAGGTTTACAAACAAATCATTCGATTTACATCTAATTACAAATCTATATTACCTTTGGGGAAAATCTACCAGTTAGATATCCCTTTATACTACCTACTTCCTCTAACAAAGTTCACTAAATAACGTATTATAGATAATACTTCCAATATTACCCATCACTGATTTATAACCTAAGACTCTAGTACCAATATTATAAAATGAAAATACCAAGATATTAACACAAATAATATCACCAATTAAAGCATATAATACAAATATTCCTACTGTAGCCAGCTTTAAAGAAAATGATCTTGGTTGTAATGATGGGAAGAATGAGATTAAAACATCAGAAAATTTGAATATTAAACTTTGATCCATAACTGTACATTCCCAATCCACAGTTGTTTTAACACAAGAAGTTTGAATTGATCTTGATATCCAATTTATGATTAATTTACCTATGATTTCAAACATCAGAAATTTATTATAATTTGGATCATCAGTAAAATAAAAAATATCTCCTTGATGTTTCATAACTTCAAAATGACGATCTAACATTAAAGTTGAATCATGAAGTACATAAGTTAATACGTCTCTCATAAAATTTTCTGAAAAGGTGATATAATTACTAAAAATGAATAAATTCCGGATAATCCCATGTAAATAAGCACTTGACGCCAATACAAATGAACTAAATCGAATCACTCGAACCAATATCATAAGAGTTCTAGCCACAAACTTCATTAAGAGAGCTCTGATATTATGAGGACGGTATTTCCTCCATAGTTGTTTATAATGAAGAGCAGGTATGGGTAGTATACCAAATAACCAAATGAAATAAATATATTGAAATCCATATCCTAACCCTCGTTGATGTAATTGTAGTTCTTGAAGTAATTCCAACTCCCGTTCTCTTAATCTTAAGTATTGTCTATTCTCAGCTCGAGCAATCAAATAATCATTCAAATTATCTAATCGCTGATTATGTTGTTCTAATGGTATACCTCTAAAGAATTGACCTTGTTGGCCACGACTAAAGATCTCAATCAAATCAGTATCTAAATCGGCAAATATATCCAAATGATCATCATCAGTAGCACCTATAGCTGTACCTGTCCCAGTACCAGTACCAGTACCAGTACTCGCTTGATTCATGATTGATGATGATACGATCGATAGGTGTTCTGAGTAATGAAATCTATCACTAAATCTGAAACTGTAATTATTTTTTTTTTGATGGTGCTGCCAATTTTTATTACCACAGTTGATGTCATGTGCGGCCTCCGGATTATTAGACGACGATACTATATGAATTTTATTATTATAGATCTATATAAGAGTACTTACTATATCAGGTATTGACTTATGTTGTAATTTGAATGAATTGACCCATGTCTTAATTAATTCTTTACTCTCATCAATAGTGTCAGCAAAATCTTGACTTACCAGTTTCTTAAGACATGATTTAGTTTTTGGGGCAATTTGACCTGAAGTTGATTCAATATATTGTTTATCATCATTTTTAATTTCATAAGATTCAGATAATAATACTAATCGATTTGATAATTCATAAACTTGAGGGATTAATAATACATTACCATGAATTGAACTCCAAATATCATTGGTTTCTTCTACTTTTGTGGTAACAACCACTGAACAAATCTTATCAATTATATCCCAAGCATTTTCATAATTATTAAGGATATTTTCATGATTAATAAGTCTATAATCATCATTATTAGTAGGATAAATATAATGGCAATCTGATTTAATTAAATAATGATTTCTTAACATATAAAAGAAATAAAGAGTTCTTAAATGAACCCCTCCAATCATTAATAAACACCATAAAATTCGATCATAAATAGGAACTATCATATAATCATCATCATATACATAACTTAAATTTTGAATATAGTTATATACCAGACTTAATAATCTTCTTTTATCATATTGTAAAGCACATTTCTCACCACCATATTCATCTTCAATAATAATCAGTTTAGATTCTAATTTAGCTAATTGTTCTGAAATTAATGCATAAGTGATATGAACTTTACTCTGGATATTAAAACCATCTTGATCAGGATTCTCTTCTTCATTGTCTAAACTTTCATTTAATGATGTAGCCAGAGTTGTGAGATATTTAACTAAATTTGATTTTAAATGAACAGTTGGACTATAACTCTTACAATATCCAATATAAATAAGAATAATTTGAGCAGTCTTAGGTGTTAAAATATTATTATCAGGAGGTATAATAAGATATTCATCTAATTTAATTAAGAATTTATGAACCCATTCAAACTCTTTTTCAGCTTGTTGATAATCTTGTTTATAATAAGGAATAAAACCTAAAATAGTTTTATGAATCACCATAAGTTCAACCATTGACCAAGTTTCTCTGGTACCTTTAAGTTTTCTTAATCTTGATATTAAAGTCACTGGTTCTAAATTATAATTCAAATGTTCTAAATTAATAACGGCATAGGAAAGTTGATTATTTAAATAAGATGCTAAAAACTTTTCTCCTTTAATAATATCTTTAAATAAGTATAATGGACATAATGATAAGATAGAATTGAAAAGGATTAAACTAGTAGATTCCATTGCTTGAATTTGAGTTCTTTCATTCATCCAATCCATTAAATTCAGATATACAAATAATAGATCTTGATTAATCTTCATACATAATTTACCTAATGAATTATCAACTATAACACCACCCATATTTATAATTGATTCAGCTTGAAGATGAAGAGCTTGGAAATGAGGTTCAAAACTTTGAGTTATATTATCTGACTTATTCAATAACTTCTTTAAACAATCTTGATCATATAAGAATCTATCTCTACTATTAATAAAATCATGAGTTGAATTCTCAAATAATTCCGCTTTAGAAGTTTCCATTATTTCCCCTGCACATTTCAAACCACGATCTTCCATATTAAGCTTCATGAATATATATTGAAGATGTAATAGAAACATTCGTTTCTTTTCTGGAATGAATTGAAGTTCAATTGATAATGTTATTGATCTTAAAGCTGGTTTTATCCTACCTAACCCAAAGAACGTCATACCAAAGAGAAAATGAAGTTCAGGAGGGATGGCCTTTAACATTCTGAATTTAGGAATCATGATTAACATTTCATATAATTGACCTTTTTTATAGTAAGTTTCCAATTGATGTAGATCAGTTTGAATATCTTGAATTGAATATTGATCATTCAATTGATCTGGAACTAGGCCACTTTGATGAATATCAATGAGGGCATCTTCTAAATTAAGTTTAATGAAATCAATCTCTTCTTCATAAGATGTCATTTCCATCTTATTTGTCCTTCATAAGTCCTCTTCAACCCTGGTTAAAAGTAGTTTGCAACAAAAATTTAGTTCATTTTCAGAGCGGCTACTGCAAAAAAAACAAAAAAAGATCTCACACAGAACGAGACCAAAAAGAATAGAGATCTACACAGAAACAATCAAAGAACTATAAATGACGATGATGTTGATGACATATATTTTCAGATTACTTAACTAATCTTCTTCATTGGCAGCATCTTTAAATACCGAGAATGAAACTGGCCTTATTCTTTTCTTAGCTGATTTATTACTTATGGCCTTTGGATCACTATCACAATATTTTAAAAGTTTTTGAATGAATTCAAAACATTGATAACATAAATTTGCATCAACTTGTAATTTAATTCTTAAATAATTCTTGGGTAATTTCAAATCTGGAGTTTCAAATTTTGATCTTGCTTCTATGATGATTAATATTAATGCCATTCCAAACACTGTATAAGTATCATATATGACGAATATGGGCAATGATGATAATAATTCTATAAGGGTTGTAGTTTGTCTTAAGATTTCTTGCTTTTTAGAATAATATATGGAATTATCAGGAGCAGATTCTTTAATGAGATCATCTCGAATATTATAAGGTAATTCAATATTTAAATCGAAATTCAACGTTTTTAAAATCACTTCTTCTCGATATAATAATTGATCTCTAAACATCCAAAATACTTGACTTTGTTCATCAACCACTCTACCTGGACTAGCCACTATAGCTGCTTCCAAGGCAATCTTAGCCGGGGTTCGATATGTATCATGTAACTTACATGCCAATGCTATAGCTGCACATGCCACAAATTGTTTTGATGATTTTTTAATCGGTATTCTCATAAATACTCGATTAATATATATAGAAGCAGCTAAGATAGTCCTGCTATCTAGTTTTAATTTAGATCCAATTTGAATAATGAATTGATGGCTACTATCTCGTTCTTTTAATTCTTGAGGTATAGTTAATTTCAACACTTGTCGACTTGGAGATGATTCAAGAAATGATTTTTCCAGAAATAACCATGAATCAATATTAGTTTCTAGATTCGAGTTATCAACTTCATTAGACACCTTAGGTTGATTGTCTTCGATTTTGATATTATTATTATTATCGGCACCACCATTTTCTTGTTTGATATTAGTATTGGGTTCTTCACGTATCCTTGTGGCCAGCATATTCTAGATGGTAATGGAATAGAACTTGCAATTCAATGCTTGTTATGTATATTTAAAAACTTGTAATCATCCAAAATTTTCTGGTTCTGTTTGATAATCGCGATTTTTCTTCAAATTGAATCTGTTTAATTGGTGTTAGAAGTCACTGTATGGTATGATTTTATATGATATTCATGACTTTATACAGAAATAAGTTAGATAGATGATTTTTTCTATCTATTAGCATCAATTTAATACTAATTAACCCATATCCCACTAACTATTAATACCTATTATATCTAATAATTAACTTAGAATCTACCTATTTCCTGCATACAACCACCCATATAAATTTTTTTGGTGATGAAAATTTTTTGAAAAAAAAAAAACTTCAACATCACAAATTGAATCAAAAGAACAGTGAAAACCATTTATAGATAGATCAAAATTCAATACTTATTATAGCTACTATGTCTGGAGAAACATCTTTTATGCATTTGGTTAGACCAAATGTTTCTGCTCCAGCTGCATCTGCTGCCACTGGAACTGCCAATATCAAAATACATGCACCAGCTCTTTTCCAAATCTTAGAAATTGTATCTAAACAAGTTCTTTCAGCTGAAAAGAGAATCATTGGTACTTTAGTTGGATTAAGATCTGATGATGGATTAGAACTTGAAATCAGAGATGCATTTGTGGTTCCATGTAATGAAACTGGAGATTCCATCACTATTGAAGATAGTGTTCATAAAACTTTATTCCAATTATATAAAAAGGCTCATCCAAAGGAAGCAGTGTTAGGATGGTTTGGAAGTTCAAATCAAATAGATAATACTACTAGTTTGATTCATGATTTTTATTCCAAGGGAAGTGATAGAGCATTTCCTCATGCTGCTATTTATTTAAATGTTGAATATTTAACAGCTGATAATCAAATAACTGTACCAAAATTATCAACTTATATTGGTGCAGCAGTTGGTAAACCAGCTGCCAATACTCAAATTGGTTGGAAAACCACTACTGTTAATAATTCCTATATTTTCACTCCAATTCCAAATCAAGTTGTTAATGGATCAATTACGGAAAAGATTGCCTTTAATATTTTAAAAGAAAAATCAGTTAATACTCCATCTACAAGTTTAGAATCTGATTTATCATATTTATCAAAACAATTACAAGTGGTTGATACTAACATTGATAATATATTACATTATATTGAATCGAAAGGTTTAGAAACCAATCATAATTCTGATAAAGATATTGATTTATTAAGATTATTAAGTAATAATTTATTGAATAGACCTCAACAATTAAGTAATAGTGAAGAATTAAAGAATTTATTCAGTGCTCATAATCAAGATGTGATTATGATTGAATATTTAACTAAAGCTGTTAAAGATCAAATTGAATTAAGTGCAAGATTAACTGCCAGTGCTGATGCTGAAAAGAAAGTTTAATCTCATTTAAGACATTATTCATGCATATCCCATCCAACAATCAACAAATCATCATAACGTTAATTCATTTATCATTATTATATACATTTCCAACCTAATCAATCTGTGTAAAGTAGTTTTTTTGTTATTATAAATGATTTTCAGGTGCAAAAATATTTCATACTAAATACATGTATATAGATGGAGATTGTACCTTGAAGTATTATAATAATACCTTTAGAAAGTAATACAAGTATTATTTCGATAAGTAGTGTGTGTACCTGTAGAGTAGTGTACTTGTCTCTAACTTATATCTTGACCCGTATGGTCACACTAGGAATATCCATCCACAGTTACAGTAAATATTTCGCAGTAGTTAGTTAAAGGTGAAATTTTAAACAAAAGACGACAGAGAGAGCCTCATCTCATGAGGGTTACAAAACTAAAAAAAGAAAATCCCAAAAAAAATTTTAACAGACAAACCGTTTACATAGATAATAACGATACAACTGCTTACAGTCAATATCATAACAATCAATCAATAGCTATTCAAGGTTCGTCTATCTAGACCATTGTGCTATCATACCACGCTATCCATTTCAAACGATTACTTTCCTGTTGCTCAGCATCTTTTAATTGGTATAAGATCAATCGCATCACAAACATACAAACAAACAGATAAACGTCATCAAGTGACAAATCAAATTAAAGCTTTGTAAATCATAACATAGCTTGTTACTTACTTTCTATTTCATTATATTTGAGGATTTCATTGCTAAGAACTCTCAGAAATAATATTATGTTTAATCTTAATAGGCACTATTACTTTTTCAATTCAAGTTTCCCAGATTCGGTAATATACCTTTGCAACCTTTAAGGAGACCCACCCATTATTCATACAATACTATAGATAATAGAGATTTATAAACAGACAGACAGATAACAGATAAGCAACCACAAACAAAAATCAAGTATGGCTAAAAGTCCCAAAGTGCCATATCATAAGAATTCAAAGGCAGTTTCAAATGGCTTGAATTCAAAACATTCAACTTCAGTTGGAGGGAAAAACTTTAAATCATATAAAAATCAATATTATAAAAATGGTCATAATAATAGTATAAAGAATCGAAGATTTAGTATAGCGGAATCATCTTCATCTGATTCAGATAAAATTTATGATAATGCTACTGTATATGAAGTTGAATCCATATCAGATTCAGAATCTTCTTTGACGGCTGTTTCAGATGATGGTAATAATACTACATCCAAACAAAATCAATTCACATCCGCAAAATATAATAAAAAGACTAAAAGTGGTATTAAAGGTGTAAGTAATAAGAAAAAATCATCTAAAAAGTCCATAAATTGGGATTGGAATCAGAATATAAATGATAATTCCGATGACTCTGAAGATGATGATGACGATGATGATGATGAAGAAGATTTATTCTCTAGTTCAGATGATGAATCAGATGTTGATTTCATTAAATTACAAGCTCAAAAGAAAGTAAAATCACTTCAAGCTGCTCGTGCCATGAAAGCTTTAAAAGCAAAACAAATCCCCGTAACCACCACTAATGTTGATGATGGTTCAGATATTGATCTGGAATTAGAATCTGAATCGGAAGTTGATATTTCTGATATAACTGCTCTTGCACAACAAAAACCCACCACTAAAAAACAACAAATCAACGATAATCATAATAATAATAATAATAATAATAATAATAAAGCTAAATTCGGTAGACGTCGGTCAGATGCGGTAATACCTGATGGAATCAATTTCACATTTGAATTCGATGATTTCGAAAAGAAAGACAATAGTGATAATGAAAATGATGAAGATCATGATATCGATGATGATAATGATGATGAAGATATGGAATCTACCACTACGAGTAACGTTGATGAAAAATTCGAAATACAAGAAGAAGATATTGGTGAAGAAATTGATATTGATACGGAAGGGAATATACCGAATAATGCTGATGTGATTGATAAAGTTACTGATTTTAATTTTGATTTTGATAATCAATTAATTCAAGTTCCTAAAATCAAAGAAAGTGAATTAAGTTCTGATGATGATTATGAAATCGATGATAATGAACTTTTAGCCACTTTACAGGCTGATAATGATTTAGAAGAATTCACTAATAGTGGGGTTGAAAAACAAACTAAATTTAGAAGAAGTAGTTCAGCAGATTCAGTTGGAGATGATGAAGAAAATGATCCATTTTTAAAAGAAGAAGAAAAATTCTTAGTTAATGAATTTGAAACTAATGGATTTGATGAAGAAGAAGAAGAAATTGGTATTGAAGATTATAATTTCAGTGATTCATCCAATCGTAAAACTTTAATAAATTCTTTTAAAGCCATTGATACTCATGGTGATTCAACACATGTATTACAATATGAAAGTAGTATTGATAGTGGATCTGAATCAGAAGTCGAAGATGATGATGAAGATGATGGATATGAAGATTTAATTGATTTTAATGCTCCATTTTTCACTCATAACAAACCACAACATAATAATAATAATAATAATCATCATACTGATGATGCCAGTATTAAATCACAAACCAATAGTGAAGTACTGGATATAAAAGATAAGAAAGATAAACATAAACATAAGCATAAACATAAGACAAAACCAAGTGCCATGAATAGTGATGAAGATGATGATACCTATTTATGGAATTATTTCTTTAGTTCAGATGATGGAGGATCAAGTGATGAAGAAGATAATGATGGGTACGTTGAAGATGATGATGATAAAATAGCGGATGAAATTTCAAAAAGCATGGATACCAAAACTTCCAATCGTCGTATGACTTTAACTGCAGCCCTTAACAATAATAGAAGAAAAAGTGTCGCCCCAAATCTTGAATTCAGTGATCGTTCAAACATTGATGATGGATATGAAAGTGGAGAATCTACAGATGAAGATTTAAACTTACCTACGTCAACCAATAAAACCAAAGTTGGTTCACAAAAGGCTAAAGAAGTTTTATCATCCAAGACTGCAGATTATCGTCCTCCAATATTAGGTACTTGGGTTGCTCTTGATAGTAAACCATTTGGAATTATTGATGGATTATCAACCAGAATCTTACAAACTGGTAGTATCAATAAAGCATTTGAAATTAAAAGTAAAGCAAGAAGAAGTATAGTAGCGGCTCATAATGATGTTTCTGATGATGCTATGGGATTAGATGAATTATTAAATGTAAGTGAACTTGATAATGATGATGAGAATGATATCAAGATTTGGAGAGATTTCAATAGTCAAAAGAAAAAAGTTCCACTTGGGGCATTTAGAAATAAATCAATTTTACAAAATGCTTTGGTTCATCCTGAAAATGTCACATCTCATTATCAAACTAGTAAAAGTTCTTATACTAATAATAACAAGCATCGTAAACCATCAGTGCCCAAAGTATCCAGTCATGTGAACAAGCCAAGTAGTAGTTCTAGAAAGAGCTCCGTAGTGGCTGTTTCTGTTGCTGCTATACCTGCTTCTGCTATTCCTGCTTCAAGTTCATTATCTACAAAACAAAAGAGAAGAAGAGCATCAATTGTGGAAGCAGTTTCAGAAGGGTTCAGATCGACAAAATCAGGTTTATTCAATGAAACTGCACTTCTGAATGTAGAAGAGATGCTTGGAGATGATAATGATCTTATGGCATTGATCAAAGGACTTTGAAGTAGCTTTGTTTGTTTCAGTTTATGGCATCATATTTGTGTTTCAGATTATTTCTCCTATCACACAATGTTACAAAAGTATATTATAAAAAATTAAAAAATTAAATTAAAATTAAAAAAAAAAAGAAAGAAATTCGGTTTATAAGTAATTGGTTAGGGTGTTTTAAATTAAATAGTAATGTATAACTTTTTGATTGTTTTAAATGTGTTTCAGAATACTGTAAATGTAAGTTGAGCTTATCATACTTTTCTTTTTGTAAGGGTCGTGTGCAAAGTGCCAAAAATAAAACCGTTTAAACGTAAAAAGAAAATTTGTCACAAATTGAACTTTTTAAAAACTGGTTTGTTATAAGTATCAAGTTAGAGATATATCAAGCTAAACCATTTCAAAAGCCATATATATTAAAGTGTATATCACTCGTTGTCTAAAGTACACTCTGTGGCCAAGAATACTCTCTTTTTAATTAAGTAGAAGATATACGTTTTTATTATTAAAAATTCTATTTCTATAGTACCCCAAAAAGCTCTTTTGAATTCGATTTATTCAATTTATTCAGAATCAATCACATACAATATAATATAACTCGTCCAAATAGTAAGAAGTCGATGGTGTTGGGTACAAGACGCTCGTCAAGAGCTAATAAGGGTCAGCATTCAAAGAGACTATTAGAGGCCGTTACCATTGGAAGCGACGACTATGATAGTGGAGATGAAATAGAAGAACTCAAATATGTCAAGAAGAAACCAAGAAGAGCAGGAGGTAAGAAGGATGATAGACCAAATAAGAAAGGTGATGCTAATAATGATGATGATGATGATTATGTTCAAGGAGGGGAATCACCCGATGTTGAAGAATCAGAAGTTAATTGTACTCCTTGTGGTACTAATAAATCAAATTATGATGAAAATAATGATAAAGGTGGGACATTTGTCCTTTGTGATCAATGCAATACTTGGCAACATGCTAAATGTATGGGTTATAAGACATCAAAGGATATTCCCAAGAGTCATGTGTGTAATATTTGTCTTGCAAAGAGAAATAAAGAAGATAGTAGTCTATTAATTAGAGAAAAGTTAAAGGATGAACATAGAGTTAGCACCGCTTTAGCATTTTATAATTATTTTAAGAAAAGTTTCCCCCCTGGCTATGAAATAACTAATGAAGATAAAGAAAAGAAAGTTTCAGATTGGGCTTTGGAAATTGAAGATATTATATTTACAACATTTCCAAGTAAAATGTATATATCAGAAGGAAGAAGAATTTTATTCTTATTAAAGAAATATTTCATGAAAGATATCATTAAAGAAACTATTACCCTTGAACAAGTGGTAAAGAAAACTCCAAAGGAAATAAACCTTGAAATTGAAAGAGTGGAAGCTTTAAATCATTCAAATATGAAGAATATTATTTTAACTGAAAATAGTGCTACTGATATTATTCGTAGAACTCATAAAGGAGATATCATAAGAGAAAATGAAAATGATACACCTGATACTATTGATATAGGTATCACTACTAAAAAAGTTGATCATAGAAGATTTTCAGTCGATGAAGATGAAGATGTTATATTAAAACCAAGAGTTGTTGCTGATAGACAACTGGTTAGTGAATACAATAACATCAATCCTCGTATTGAGGAAGAAGATGACGATGAAGTAAATGGAGCAGCAGATGTTGAACATAATAGTCAAGATGAAGATGATTTTGCAGCTGGTGAAGCAACTAGTGTGGATGGTGAAGGTGCTTTATCTGATTTAGCCGGTAATCTGAATACAGAAAAAACTTCAAGAGAATCAAGTGAATTAGATCAAGTTAATGATTTAATTGATGATAAAGACCTTGATAAAATCATTGGTATAGATTCTGAAGTTTCAGTCCCAACTCCTAAAGTATGGAATGGATTTGTTAAATTTCCTGACTTTGCTGAATTTAATGCTACAGGTAGTTTTTATTCTTGTACTAGAATGAATGAATTAGAAAGATCTACAGCTGTTTGTAATGATATTCTTACTGCAAAGTCATATACTGTAATGGGTAGATTGGATAGAATCGTGGCTGATAAATATTTAACCAAAATCATGAAATCAAGAGAATTGTATTTTGTTGAAATTAAGAGTCTTGCTGAAAATGATGCAGATTTTAGTAGATTATACCTGTATTTGCTCATGCAAAATAAAGTTGGAGTGTTATCAGGTAAACCTGCTTTCGTTAAAGATTCATATCTCATACCCATTGATTTCAGAGATAGTAGAGTACCAGATTATATTCAACACCATAAAAAGGATATGAGGATTGGTTTATTTGCTGTATTTGTGGTAAAGAGTGAATATGTACCAAAGGAACTTAAACAACCTTCATCTACATTTGGTAGATATTAGTGTTTACATCTCTCTCTTCCTACACAACCAATACCCACCCAATAGCTAATTTGTAAACTATTGTATATAGCTTAATGTCTAATGTATTATTATTATTATAACTATAATTATTATTATTTGAAATAAATTGTGTTTTAAATTTTTCAGTCGCGTTAAAAAATGTAAATTTTGAAAAATGAGTTGCAATTCATTTGATCTATAATTAAGACAGACTTTACCATAGAATGGTCTAATGACAACTATACAAATGAGTGTAAATCGAGATACAGATGAAGGAAGCACACTCGCCAATGGGGGATACCATGATGACTTGAATAATAGTCTTGTGTTTCGTAATGATATTTCTACGGCTGAAGTTAAAGAAACTCAAGCTGATTCACCATTCAATAATCATACTCATGCCAATAATAATAATGGTATTCAATTCGATGAAGGTGTAACTCAAGACGATGACAATATTGAGACTACCTTCTTAGAGAATGAAAAACTGGACCATTTCTTTGATAATCTCCCAAAATATAATATTACCACTATTCCTCCACCTTCTTCAAATGAAGCTAATCATATCGATACATCCAATATTCTACAAGATGTACCGACAAGCCCTGTTAATGTATTACAGGGAGTCAAAGATATTTCGTTATTAACTGCTGATACTCAAGTTATCCCTAAGCGTAACTCTATACTAAATTCAAAGGAAGAAGGAGATAGTGATGTCATAAGTCATATCCAACTTGATTTAGTTGATACTCAAGTTATACGGCCAATTACAAGCACAAATGAACAAGCTGATACACAAGTCATTCGGCCAATCACAAGTACTAATGATCAAGCTGATACGCAAATTATACAGTCAAAAGAACGAGTTATATTTTCATCAGATGAAACTGGAGCAATCACAACTTCCACTTCCACGAAGAGTACTGATTTCCGTACTCCTTTGAAACCAACACCAAATCAAGATGATACAGATATGATAGACACGTCAAATATAGATGAACTGACAATCATAGGACCTGACGAAGAAGTTAAGGCAACGCTTGTACAAGTTCCATCCACAATTGAAAGAGTTACTTCACATAGGCAGGTCCCTAATACTCAAGATTCGAATGTAACATATTTGGAGGATGTTGGTAATAGTACAGAAATCTCCATCCTTGAAGTTTCCAAGTTTGTAGATGAAGCTGATGTGGAAGTTAATTCAGATATAGAGAAGGACCCTGAAGCAGATGTTGATATCAAAGTAGAAGAAGAGGAGGAAGAGGAAGAACCATCAATAACGTATTTGGAAAACCCATATGAGGATAGTTTACTAACGAATAAACTTAAACGAAGAAAGCTTGTTGGTGGTGATGATAAGCGAAGCTCGTCATTAGATAAAGTTTTCTTAACTGACACAAAATCCATATCAGAATCTAGTTCATCTAAAGTGATAGAATCATCCATATTCAATAATACTTCATCATCGCCAGTGAAGATATTGAAGAGACGAGCAAAATCCTTAAATGGTTCAATTGATTTGAAAGTTCCAGGTATAAATAATCTGTTTGATGATATCAGTTCTGAAATTGAAGATATCGATATTGAAGAAGACATAAAGGATGAACTGTCAAGACAAGATGTTACTACTAAAAGAAGAAGAAAGAATCTTATTGTCGATAGTCAATCTCAACCACTGAATGCAGATGATGATCATGAAGTCATTGGACCCTTAAGAATCGAAGAACTGGAAGTATTAACTGAACAAAATATAAAACATAGGGATTCCGTTTGGGCATCATTTAATCTTAAAATGTATCCTGGTAAGTTGGTTGCACCCTGGAGTGAAGTTCTGCAAATTCAATTCGATGAAGGTATTTATGATATTAAGAATTATGATTTACATTTATTAGATATTAGAATTGGTGATCTTATACGGACGAAGGCAAACATAGCTACAGATTATATCGTTACTGGTTTAAGTTATGACCAATCTGTTACCGGTATAACATGCATAAGAGGATATAACGTCGTTCATGCAAAAAAACTTAAAGGTAAAGCTAAAGCTAAAGATATTGAGCATTCATTTTTACTTTCTGAATGTGTTATGGAAGTTTCAGATTGGATACATCATCAACTGAATTTTCAATTAATCTTTGAAGATCAAGATATGTTAGAAGATACAGATGAAAAGAAATCAATCATTATGACTAAGACTTTTGATGATCAACCTAAATCAAAGATGTCATCTCCTGTAACGTCCACTAGGACTTCTCCTCATAAGAATTCGATCATCATTGATGTCGATAAATTATTCTCCCATATGGTTTTCAGTATAACCAGTATCGAAGGAGAGAGAAAAGATAAACTCTTTGACTTGATTGTAAAGAACGGAGGTAAAGTTGTTAATGATGGATTTCACGAATTAGTAAGTTATGCTCCTAACTCAACCTCTTTGATTTCAAAAGGTTTATATGAATATAAATTTGCCGCCATGATATCGAATGGATTTTGTCGAAGTGCAAAATATTTACAAGCTCTAGCCTTAGGGTGGCCCATTGTTTCTGATTCATTTATTACTGATTGCATACATGACCCCCACAAATTAACTCAATGGCCAATATATTTATTACCAGCTGGAAAATCAAGTTTTTTACATGCTACTAAAAGTTTGGATACTTATAATTTCCGACTTAATTACGATCAAGGTTTGCACTTGGATAAACAATTGGAAAATAATAATAACTTATTACAGGATACCAGTATTATTTATTTCATTAATAATAAGAGCAATGAAACTTTGGATACATCTAAATTTGTGTTTTATGCCTTTGGAGTCAAACAAATCATATATTGTAACAAGGCAGATGATGTCATGCCAGAAGTACAAAAATTAACCAAGGCAGATGAAGGAAAGATAATGATCTATGATGATTCTAGAGCGATCACTTCTATCTTACAAAAGGTATCACCCACATCATCGGCCACTCGCACCAAGAGTAAAGTTGGTCAAAAGTTACAGAATACCCAATTAGGTAAACCCACTGTTAAAGTAATTAATTGGGAGTGGGTAGTTCAATGTGTTATTAGTAGTTATATTTGGGAAGCACCTACATTTGTCATTAATATTTAATAGACTTTTTTTTTTGATTATTTTATTTCATTATTTCATTATAATATACATATATCTAGAATTGAAAAACTTTTAAATAGAAATCATAAAACTTTTTATGCTAATCCAAAAGCACGTTTGAATAAAGCAGAAGCAGAAGCTTTAACTAATGGGAAACCATTATTACTTTTAACAGCATCACCATTTTCTTCTAATCTTCTTAATAAATATTCTTTAGTTTCTAATGGTGGACCCCAAGGAACATATTTGATAACATTATCAACTTTATGATTTTTAATTAAATCATGAGTAATATTATCTGCCATACCTAATAATTGACCTAATACTACATTATTTTTATTTTTATTTTCCTTATCGGTATCCTTTTGTAATTTTGAAGTGGCTAATTTCATGGATTCACCATTATGAGATGCAACGACTAAATGACCAATTGTTTTTTTCATTTTCTTTATTTTCTAAGATTGAATCAATAACATATGAAATACCTTGATTATAATTTGAATCAGTATCTTCTTGTGTCTTGTGAATGATTTCAGCTCTATTCTTTTCAGAATGAATATAAGCACCTCTAACTAATTTCAAACCTAATCTATAGTTATTTTCTTTGGCTAATCTTTCTTCTAAACTTAATAATTCTGCTGATTGACTTAAATACATTTGTAAAGTACCAACTACTGAAACTGGTTCATTAAGTTTATTGAATTTAGCATATAATCTTCTTTGTAATTCATAAACTCCTTCTTGTAAATCATGTTTTTCAGCATCAATGACACCAACAACAAATGGAGCTGATCTTTGAGGGTATTGTTTAGCTAATTGTTTATTAGCATCATAAATGGTTTGACAAATGGTTGAAACTTTCTCAACTAATTCTTCAAATTCTTGAGCATATTTTGGATCAGTTTTAAAGAATTTTAAAACTTTGGCAGCATCTTCAGCAAAACCAGTTGGTTTTAAAGCAACATAACCAGGTGGAATTGAATTAATATCTTTACCTGATTCTTGAATCACTTTTAAAGTATGAGGAACTAAGATTTCATTAACTGATTTAGCAGTTTCACTAACAATATAAGCAGGATCAATATTATCATTACCTTCACAAGCTTCAATAGTTAAAGAAATCATCATATTATTAATACCTCTTTCAGCTAATCTTGTACCAGCTTGTTTAACTTGATCAATGGTTTCACCACCACAATAGATTTTATAAACTAAAGCTTTAATGATTGGAATTGGAGTATAAGGGAATATTTTAATACAAAAATTTAAAATTGGTTTATTTAAAGTACATAAACCAATAACGAGATTAGAGAATACTTCAGATACAGTGAAATCTTTTAAATATTCAGTTTGATTAACATGTAAAGGAGTTGTTAAATTTTTAACCGCTTCAGCAGTAATTGAATTAGATTCATTGGTGGTAGTAGTGGTAGTATTATTATGATGAGGAGGGAAATTAACATTACCTAAAGTGGTATTTTGTTTATTTGGAGTATCATGGAAAGATCTTAAACCAGAAGATTTAACCATTAAAGGGAAATAAACTGATCTGGTAAATAAGGGTAAGCCTACTCCACGACTGGCTAAATACGATGGTCGAAGTATAACTTTAGCACTTGACATTATGTATGATAATTGCTTAAAGAGTAAAAGAGTAAAAAAAATTAATTAACGAAACTAAAGGGATAAAAATCAAATTAGGATACTTTTATGGAGATTTTATATTCCAAGCTGACGATATCAAGTTGGTGATCTCAATAATCCATTTTAAGTTAGTCGGTATAAGTCATCTTAAAAAATGGTTATCATAATTCTCGGAGTAGGGTGGTTATAAGCGATTAAGTGTTTAAGATTATTCCGCAAAAAAATATTAATGACATAAATCTTTGGGAATGGATAAGCGAAGCGAGACACCCCATTTTTATCTCTAATGGAAACAAAGAACGAGCCGTAGGCCATTTACAAAAATGGCATGATACAATTTGAATCACCGAGATGCACATGACTTTAAGTCATATGATCACTCATGTGATCAAGTGATCACATGAACTATCACGTGTATTCTAATCGCGTGATCAATGAGATGAAAAAAAAATTATTGTATTGCATATACAGCTATAAAAAAATTTACAGTCAAAAAGAAAGGTATGTACAAATACCAAATTACCTTCAAGATTCATATATATAAAGTCAGTTCTATCATCATATGTTATTTAGTAGGATAGATACAGTGGGGAAATGCAGGATATTGGCATGTCGAGGGGTACGAACTCCTGGTTTACGATATCTTTCTACCTTTCATAGTCTTGGTTATGATAAAATTAAACATATAATACCTGAAGTTATTCATAAAGAATTACAAGATACTTCTAAATTAGCTCCTAAAGTTCAAGGTAGAAATAAACGAATCTTTTTATCACCATCAGAAATATCTGATAAAGGATATGAAAAATACGTCCAACGATTAAATAGTTCGAAATCTGTTAAAAGAGTTATTAGAAAGGAAGATCAAGGTGATTTTTTATCAGATGAAATCTTACAATTTGATCAAAATAGTCATAATATTATAAAGGATTTAAAACTAGAGCAAGATTTAGAGAATCAAACATCATCATCATCATCATCATCAACACTGAATCGTTCACAATATTTATCATCGTCATCATCATCACGAAAATCTCCTCGAAAACAATCACGTACATCATTAAATAGTTCCATTGATAAATTAAAACCATTAATCTTAAAGATAAGTAAGAAAAGATCAGATAAATTAATCAAAGATATAGATCAAGCATATACCAAACGTCAATTACAAGATTATTTAACTACCAATTATGCCTTACCTGAATTCTCATCCAAGAAAAAATCCATTAATAGAACTAAACCAATTCTTATAGAACGAATCTTTAAAGATATTTGGAATGTTGAAGTGGTTAATTTTAGAAGTTTTAGTGAAGATTATTTATCGGAAAGTTCATTTAAATTGTCTAAAAAGGATTTATTCATCTTATTACTGAATAATCAAGAAGCTCTTGAACATATTCAAAATTGTGGTGCCGAAGTTAAATTCGATTCCAATAAAGATACCATAAAATTTGTTGGTTCATCTTCACAAATCACAAATGCTGAAATCAATTTAAATTCAATTTTAGGTTCAGCATTTACTGAAACTATTGATTTTACAATCATAAAGCAAATCTTAGGAAATGAAAAATATGATAATTTTGCTCAAAAATTAGTTAAAATCACTGATGTCTATTTCCATCATATCAATGATGAAGTTTATGAATTGACTTCCCTTCATGTAAAGCAATTGAAGCGATTCAAAAGATTAGTATTATGGTCATTAGCAGTGGATAGACATAGACATTTAAAGAAAGATTTATTCATTCCTCAATCTTCATTACAAGATATAACTTCATTAAACTTTTTACCATATAAGGATGATATGGCTGTGAGTTGGAATAATAGATCTGAAAATTTATTCAAATTAAGAACGAATGTCAAATCTGATTCTTTACGTAATAATGAAATGTTATTAAAGGAATTAAATAAATTTTCAAACGATGCTTTGGAATCAACTGATTTGTCATTCCAAGATGAATTTGAACAAATTAAAAATGTCATATCTCCTCAGAATGCTATTAAAAGTGATGAAGAAGCACTCTCCTTGTTTAGATCAACCTTGGAACTTGATAATAATGAACTTTTGGATGACATAAAAGAGCAAGAACAAGAACAACAAGAAGAAATAATAGAGGAAGAAATTATTTCTTCTTCACAAGAATCCATTCAATTTAACCTTAACAATACTATTTCTGATTCGGAGGTTGATAAACTTTATGACTTCTTAGTTGATTTCAAATATAGAAATGAATTAAAGGGGGTAGAAGAAGATAATTTAAATAGTCCAATTTTCGTGGCCACACTTGGACATATCTTATTTAAAGGGGAAGATTCCAATTCTGAACGTGGAGCTTTAATCCCCCGTAAACCAATCATATCATCCGCTGAAGACGTATCACAATTAAGATATGATTTCAATACCAATGTGGAGTTGGCCAATAGTAAAGTTCTTTCCTACCCCTTACAAGATTGGTCAGAATCATCAATATCAAAATCAAATCATTTCTTAAGTGAAGATCCTCAAACTTATGTGATTCAACTTCAATTCTTACCTGCTGTTTCATTTGGAAATGTATCAGAAATAAATCAACATGAAGATGGAGATAATATTGTAAAATATCCTCCTATTGAAATTTGGATTAACTTAAATGAAAAGAAGATTCCTGATTTAGATACTTTCCAAGCTGTCACTGTTGAAGGGGAGAATAATAGTTATGTATCATTACCTTCATTTGGATCTGATATTAAAGTTTCATGTCAATTATCTGGAAACTTATTAACGGAAGAAGAAGAAGTAATTGAAGAAACTCAAGCTGATGATGTGGAAGTTGATAAGAATGAAGAATTCCGTTCTATTTTATCAGCCACCACTAGCAGAAACAATCGATTTAAAAGTCAACCTGGTATTTCCAAATGGTTAAAGAAATCAACTATGAATTTCAGAGGTAAAGTTCCTATTTCAATACATCCTGATTTGAATATAATCATAAATGGTGAAACCATCAAATATAATTTCATAAGTATCAACTATAGAAGAAAATTAGAATTCAATTTAGATGATACCACCACCATTGAATTAAATTCAGTTGAAGGTGGTGAATTAGGAGGAAGAAAAGTTGAAATTAATTTCACAGGGGATATGTCTCAAGATATAAATAAACCTCAATTCAAACAATTATTAACTGATGTAACTAAATTTATCAGTGAACTTTAATGAATAAATCAATCAATATCTACAAATGTTTGTTCATTTTTCAATCTGTACATAAATAAAAACAACCCTTTTTTTTGCATTAATACATATATATAGTACCTATATAGAGACACATAAATTTTGTATATATAATTTTTGGTAATGGATTATCGGCATCTGTTTAATAAACTAATAGTTTCTAATTAGCTTTATCATTCATTCTTGAATGATAATATACTATGATACAAAGTATTTTCCCGGAGAATCTTGGGGATAATTAATTATGATAAGTCGATCTAATTACTTACTTTTTGGAATCATCTAAAGAATTGATATGTTTTTCCAATTTACTAATGGAAGCTTGTAAAGCAACAATATCAGCCACAACGGTATTATTAGCTAATTTATATTGATCTAATAAATAATAATATGAAGCAGCACCAGTAGCAGTTACCCCAAGTAAGAAACCAACAAATCCTCCTCTGAAAGCACCGATTTTCTTAGGACTGGAAGTGGCAGTTGTGGTGGCGTATTGACGATATGAGGTTCTTGCTAATTGACGAGTTAATCCAATCATCTTATCTTCTTTAAGTGAATTCGTTGATCCAATTGGTTTAAATCATTTGCTGTAAAAATCGGGTGCTTAATTAAATTTTGAAGTGTTGGAAAAAAATCAAAAATTGACTGGACGACATTTTTCTTTTTTTCTTTTCTCAACTCTGCGACATTTTACTTAAAATGGAACGACATTCTCTACTCCAGATCACACAGTTAATTTTTGCCATCTATACCGGGATAAGAAGGATCTGATAACCAGATCTATCATCTTAATAACTATAAAGAGTATATAGAAAAGTTATATGGTGGGAATGCTGGAGATATTAATAGAGAAATTGATCAATTGCAAAGTTTGAAAATAGTTTGAAGAAAGAAAGAGCTGGATCAAGATATGTTTCGCCAGACATTAAAGAATCAAACTAAATTAAGGTTTACCACTCAAATCAGACTCTTCCAATCAACCAAACCTCATTTCAAGTATAATAAACCTGTAATTCAATCCAGTTTCATCTCTCGTGGTGTGCTTAGAAGTGTAGCAGTTGTGATCGGGATAGGAGGGTCGGTTTATACTGTGGATAAATATGTCTATTCATCATTATTAGCAAGATCAATACGATCCGTCTATACCTTTCTTTGGGTGGCTTATGAATATAGTATGAATACAGGACGATATAATGATATTAATGAATTACATGAAAAATCTGCTGAAAGTTTACTTAATCTATTAATGACTAATAAAGGATTATATATAAAATTAGGTCAAGCAATTGCAAATCAAGGAAGTATCTTCCCTATAGCTTATCAAGTTCGATTTGAAAGATTATATGATAATGCTCCAGTTGAATCATGGGAGGTTATAGATAAAGTACTTAAAGATACATATGGAGAGAATTATGAAACTGAAATCTTTGACTCTATAGATCATACTCCCATTGCAAGTGCATCTATTGCTCAAGTTCATAAGGGAGTTTTAAAAGATTCAGGTGATGCAGTTGCGGTCAAGATTCAACATTCTTATATTGATAAACAGATTGTCATTGATCTTCTTGTATATCGATTGATAGCGAAAGTATATGAAAAGGTATTTGATTTACCATTAAGTTTATTCACTCGATTTGTATCAGATCAATTAATCTTTGAAACTGATTTCGTTCATGAATTAGAGAATGCTGAAAAATTAAGACTGTTTATTAACAATGATTCAAGTTTATCTCCTTATAATGTTTATATACCTCAAAATTACCGTGAATTAACTACAAAATTCGTTTTGGTAAGTGAATGGATAGATGGGTTTTCATTGATTGATAAACAAAAATTACTTGATGCTAAATTCAATTTATCATTAATTATGAAACAATATTTGACTTTATTTGGAAGACAAATTTTCAAATATGGTTTCATTCATTCTGATCCTCATCCCGGGAATTTAATCGCAAGATTTGATAATCATAATAAACAACAACTAGTATTATTAGATCATGGATTATATATCACTTTACCTGAAACTTTCAGAGTTGAATACTCCAACTTGTGGCGATACTTATTTCTGCTTGATACGAAGGGTATAGAAGATATTGGTCATAAATGGGGGATAGGAGGAACTGAATTATTTGCCGCTTTAGTTCAATTACGTCCTGTATTAACTAATACTGACGTTGAAATTGAAGATCATAGAAATGTTAATAGTTTATTTCAAGATTTTATTGGAGATGAGAAGAAATTCCCGCTTCAATTATTATTTTTAACTCGAACTATGAGAATGATTCAAAATTTAAATCAAGGTTATGGAAGTCCAGTTAATCGAGTCAACTTACTTACGAAAGCTCTGATTGATGCCTTGGCTACTGAAAAATCAGTAAGACTTTCGGATTATCTTGATTTACTCTTAATTCGTTTCAATCTATTTTTTAGTGATGTTATATTCTATATGATTAGATTAAGACAAGTCTTGTTGGGTGATAGATATGGAGGAAAGGGTAAAGGGTTTGAAGATTATATTGAAGTATACATGCAGAACACCGCGAGATCATTGGGTATAGAGATGATACTGTGAGCAATCCTTCATAAATGTTTGTAAATAGAAATCTATGTTGATAATAAATTTTGTATATATATATAATGTATGATTATTATGATTATTTTTTTTGGTGATGCTCTGCTCCATCTAGTTGAAAAAAAAAATTAAAATTTGAAAATTTATCGTTAAGAAGACCATTAACCAGTTCAAAGAATCACAGTTATAGACCAAAACTACTATTATGGAAGTGATAAAGACTACTTACAAGCATAAGGATATCGAGCCATTCTATGTGGGCGGTACTTCTGCAACTATATCTTCAAATGGTGAGATTTTAGCCACACCAATCAATGAAGATGTCATTATCACCAATTTATATACCAATGAAATATTACATAAAATAGAAGGAGACGGAGAGTTGATTACTAATATCATCATCACTCCTGATGGATCCAAATTGGCTATATTGTCTCAGTCCCAACAATTACGTATTTTTGATGTGAATCAAGGTCAAATCATCAAAACTTTCAAATTACCATCACCAAGTTATATATCCACCGTTGATGTTACTTCATCTTTATTCGCCTTTGGAGGTTCTGATGGGGTCATAACTGTATGGGATATTGAAGGTGGTTATGTCACTCATTCTTTAAAAGGTCATGGTACTACTGTATGTTCCTTGGCCTTTTATGGTGAATTAAATTCAACTGAATGGAAATTAGCTAGTGGTGATATAATGGGTACCGTTAAAATCTGGGATTTAGTGAAAAGAAAATGTATTATAACCAGTAATGAACATAATAGTGCTGTTAGAGGGGTTGGATTTAGTGAAAGTGGTGAATTCTTTATAACTGGTGGTAGAGATGAAGTTGCCATTATTTATAATACTAAAAATTATAAACCAATAAATACATATCTGATAACTGAACAAGTTGAAAATGCAGGATTTATAAAATTAAGAAATAATAAAGAATACTTTTATACAGCAGGAGCTGAAAATACTTTAAAAATATGGAATATTCATACTGGTAATCTTATGGCTCAATCAGCTACTCCATTTAAAACCAATGAAGAATTAGTTATCATTGATGCTATAAAATTAGATAATGATGACTTGGTCTTGGTTATAAGTGATCAAACATTAATTCATTTAAACTTACAAGATACTTATGAACTTATTCCAGATATGGAAATCCCTATTGCCAAAAGAATAGCCGGTAATCATGGTATTATAGCTGATTTAAGATATGTGGGACCAAATTTCGATTTAATTGCTTTAGCTACTAATTCACCCGCCTTAAGAATTGTTGATACTTCTAAACCATTAGAATTAAAATTATATGAAGGTCATAAAGATCTTTTAAATGCTTTGGATGTATCTGTAAATGGTAAATGGTTAGCCACTGCTTCTAAAGATAATGAAGCTATATTATGGAAATGGGATGATGAAGAAGATGATTTCAAATTATATGCTAGATTCCAAGGTCATGCTGGTTCAGTAAGTTCTATTGCTTTATCTAGATCCGATGAAACTCCAAAATTTTTAATCACTGGTTCAAGTGATTTAACTATAAAGAAATGGAAAATCCCATCTCAATCAAATACAGTGGTTAAGACTTCAGAATATACAAGAAGAGCTCATGAAAAGGATATTAATTCAATTGATGTGGCTCCTAATGATGAATATTTCGCTTCAGCATCATATGATAAATTAGGTAAAATATGGAATACTGAAACTGGGGAAACTATTGGTGTATTAAAAGGTCATAAAAGAGGATTATGGGATATTAATTTCTTTAAATATGATAAATTAATCGTTACTGGTAGTGGTGATAAAACCATTAAAGTATGGTCGTTAAATGATTTCACATGTTTAAAGACATTTGAAGGTCATACAAATTCAGTTCAAAGAGTTAAATTCTTTAATAGAAATAATCCTCAATTATTATCAACTGGAGCTGATGGATTAATTAAACTTTGGGATTATAAATCAGGAGAAATCATCAAGACATTTGATAATCATGATAATAGAATTTGGTCAATTGATATTAAAGATGATGGAATTCAATTTGTAACTGCGGATGCTGATGGTAAAATAAGTGAATGGGAAGATAATTCTGAAGAAGAATTAAGATTAAAAGAAGAACAAACCAAATTAAAAGTTGAACAAGAACAAAGTTTATCTAATTATATCAACAATAAAGATTGGCCCAATGCGTTCTTATTAGCTTTAACTTTAGATCATTCCATGAGATTATATAATGTCCTTAAATCATGTATTGAAACCAATGATGATCCATCATCAACCATTGGTTCTAAGGAATTAGAATCCACCATAGTCAGTTTATCAGATGATCAACTTATAAAGTTATTCACTAAGGTCAGAGATTGGAATGTTAACTTTAGATTCTTCGAAATCAGTCAAAAGTTAATCTCAGTAGTTATACTTAATATTGATGATGAAAAACTTTCTGAAGTTAAAGGGTTAATGAAAATCATTGATTCCATAATCCCATATAATGAACGTCATTTCACAAGAATAGATGATTTGATTGAACAAAGTTTCATTTTGGATTATGCTGTTGATCAAATGAATAAATCCATAGCATAAAAGTTTATAGATAGTGTAAATATATACAAAACAAAAAAAGGATCGATCGCAATTTCCTCCTCCTTCCTCCTTCAAAACTCTTTTTTTTTTGGCTGTAAATAATTCTGTTTCCTCTTTAGAAAAAGGCAGCCAAACAGATTGTGGTTACCATTAGTCAAATCAATCAATCAATGAATCAAGCAATGATGGCATCAGCCTCAAATTCATCATTCATGCCCCCTTTATCAGTAAGTTCTTCCTTTAAAGGGTGATACAACGGTGTAAATAACCATCTCTAACTTTGTTTTTATAGGCATTTACCGCTGAGGAAATTAGACAAAAGAAGTTCACCAAAAGAGGTTTACGTCTTAATATATTGTTAGTAGGAGAAAATGGTACTGGTAAGAAAACCTTCATCAATACTCTTGCCAACAGGCAATATTATGATCCTGCTCAAAGATGTGAAAGTGGTAATTTATTTGAGTTTGGTTCTAAAGCATTTAACATGAGAATCAATACTCATACCATTAGTAAGTATTCTAATATGGTTAATATATGTTGGAAGATATACTAACAGTCTAATGTTTAGGAATAGTGGAACAGAATGCTACACCAATTTCATTGAATGTTAGTTTCACGGATAATTATGGGTTTAATTTAGAGAATTCCACAAATTCAAAAGATTTAATTGATTTTATTGAAAATGAATATAAAGCGGTTCTTACTGAAGAAATTAGAATTGAAAGAAATACTCTTCCTTATGATTCAAGAATTCATGTTACGTTATATTTTGTTAAACCTACTGGTAAACCGTAATTATTACCATTTCTTTTTTTGGAAACAATATGTTTATAAATAATATACTAACTAAATAATAGATTAAATGAATTTGATATTACCAATATGAAGAAACTTGGTGAAAGAACTAATTTAATTCCTATTATTAGTAAAGCTGATACTTTAACTGATTCAGAAGTTATTTTAAATAAAAATTTAATTATGGGAAGTATTATTGATAATCAAATTGAAATTTTTGATTTTTTATCACCATTTGAACATGAACATCAGATTGATGAAGAAGATCAAGAAGATTATTTATATTTAAAATCATTACAAGAATTAATGCCATTTACTATTATTGGTAGTAATTCAAAATTTGATAGTCAAGATGATAAAAGATTTAGAGTTAATACATGTGGAACTATTGATGTTAATGATGTTTCAAATTGTGATTTTAAAATTTTAAGAAATGTTTTACTTGCATCTCATATTGAAGAATTTAAAGAAGCTACTATTATTAAAAAATATGAGAATTATCGTATTGAAGAACTTGTTAGAATGCATCATCAAAAGGAAGAAGAAGAAAATAAACCACCTATGCTTAAGATTTATCAACAATTAAGAGAAGAAGAGCATCAACTTCAACTTCAACTTGAGCAACAACTTCAACTTCAACAACTCCAACTTCAACAGCAGCAGCAGCAGCAACAACAATTTCAACAAGGAGGAGGAGGAGGAGCAGCAACATTGCAAGAAGTTGAAACGTCATAATTGAATAATAAAAAGTTAAGTGATATGATCAACCTTTGAAATTGAGGCTGAACTTCATTAGTTAGATTAGAATTAAATAAATAATTAATTAAATAAATAATAATATATTATATAGAAGAAGAAGAAAAAAAATTTGAAAGATGAGTGATACATTATATACCATTGTAAAGGCCTAAATAGGTAATTTTTATTTGCTACATCATCAAATGCGAGTTGCGAAAAATATTTTTTTGTGATGATGAATGATAGGGTTTCAACTATGATATGATAATAAATATATTATTTTTGCAATGGGAGTTTAACCGAATGAAACTTTATAAAAAAAGAAACTTTAAAGTGAAGCATGATGGTATTGGTTTCAGAAGTTGATATATAAGTAGACAGTATTTCGTCAAATGGTTTATGTTCATTCCCTTCTTTTTTTCCAGTTCTTCATTCTACAATCATATTTATTATTATTATTATTATTATAAGATGTTATCATTTAGAGTTCTTTTACTTGCTGCTTTATTAGCCGTCCATATTGGATGTGCCCTCATCAGACAAGATGTTTATAAGATGGATAATGGGAAATATTTGATCAAGAAGGAAGAAATCGTTGATCAACAAGAATTATTATTAGGAGCTGGAGCTGAGAAAGCTAAGGAACAAGTTGTGGCTCCAAAGAAGAGAAAAGTTAGAGTTAAGAAGAGAAATGGTGTTTGTCCAAATAATTCATCTAGTTCTTCAAGTTTGGTGTCTGTGGTCCCACCTGTTGCTACTGCTACTCCTCCATCGTCCGCTCCTGCTGTTACAACTGCTCCAACTAGTTCTACTACTAGTACTTTCAATTGGGATGATATTTTTACTTTGACTAGTACTACTACCGCTGCTCAACCATAGAGATGTTAGATTAAAATTTGAATTAGAATTAGATTAGATTAGATTGATTTATATTGTATAAAATATATGAAATAAAAACAAATTAGATAATAAATATGAATTATGTATGTGGAGCTTTTTTTTTTTATTTTTTTCTGTTTTTATTAATTTCCTGTTTTAAATGCAATCACCATGGTTGAATTCTTTACCCTTAACGAATTCCAATCCTTCACCGGCATAACTTGTTAATGAACTAACTTCAATCAAAGCATTTTCATCTTTGACAATCCCACCATTTTGTTTAATCCATGAAGTACCTAATTTCAAATAATCATTTCTACAAGTGGTTGGAGTATCATTTGGAGCTCCATCGGCATTTTTCAAAGGAGAAAATTCTTCAATTCTATCCACTTCCAAACATCCGAATTTATCTAAATCGATAGATGGATATACATCAAAGATGAATTGTTCTAATTTGATACCATTTATATCATTTGGTTTTTCAAATTGATTTAATTTTTCATTCCAATTCCCAATCTTCTTTTTAGCAATATGGAAAGGTAAGAATTTAGTTGAACTTGTCCATTGAGGGATTTTTTCTTGTAATAAATCAACAGAGTAATAATGATTAACGATATTAGCAGCTCTTAAATATAATTTAGTTGGATCATGATCATCTTTTTTATTAGCTAATTCCGATGAAATTTCACTATATTCAATGACACAAGGTTTTTTAATATCATCATCTAAGACAATAAGTCCAACTTTTTCATTAGCATCTCTTTTTCTAACTACTTTGGTAGCTAATTGTAATTGTTTATCAATGGCAAACCCAATGAATAATGGATCAGCCACTTTAACAAGAATATTATCAACACAATACATATGAATATGTTTGATTCCTTTTTCTAAGAAATCATCAAGTATACCATTTTGTTGAATAGCTTTATATAATCCTCCATTTCCATCGGGAGATTCAGCATATTTAGAAGGAGATTCTAAAAAGATTTTAGAACCATCAGAATTGAAACATGGTAAAGTACCTTGATTGAAGAATACAATTTGATCAGGATTTAACCCGAAATAATCATGATTATTAAAATAAGTTTCAGTAGTGATTCTTGTAGGTTCACTTGTCATAATATACCAATGTAATTTAGGTTCTGATTTCATATTATATCTTTGTTTAGTTAAAGATTGAATTTTTAAGATTTTTTCAGCTTGAATTTGAAATAATGATTTTTGAGATGGTAATTGAATATCAAAACATCCTTTTGGACTATTAGAACCTAATCTTGTACCTTGACCACCAGCCATTAAAATAACAGCCACTTGTTCATCAGCAACCGCTTTATAACCTAATTCAATCCATTTTTCTCTTAATTCCACCTCTAAATCGATGGTTGATGCAGATTGTTGAGATGGTAATTGAGTATAATGTTTTGAATCTTGACAACTTTGAGAAGCAGAATATTGAATTGCTTGTTTAACGGTTTGAATTAAAGTGATGGGATCAGAAATTTTAGATAATTGAGATAAGAATTGTTTTTGTTGATCTGAAGTTAAGGAATCATAATATTTGAATAGTTGGCCTTGATTGGCTTTCTTGAAACTATCAATGATTTGTTCTGAATTGAAACTTGTCATGATTGATGGATGGGTTGTAAATGATGGAAGTTAACGTGTCAGATCACAAAAGAAAGAGGCTATGACAAATAGATGAACGAATGAACAAACTCTGAGATGGAATAAGGAGATGACTTAATGAGATAGACTTGGTTATAGTAGTTATATGACCAACACGAACCCCTTAAACTGACGAAGAAGAAGAAGTAAAAGTAGAAGCTATCTCAATATATATATATATATATGAAATTTAAAATGTGATCAAAAAAAATTTCTGATTTTGTTTCGCTTTTTGTGATTGTCCCTTAAAAAGATTAATTTTAGTAACAAACAAACAAACAAAAGAAACAAACGAAATAATGATCACTTTTACACAGCCAGATTTTATAGATTTCAATTATCCTGATTCAACTTTTTATGGAGAAGAGTATGGCCTTGAATGATCAGGTAATGTCATGAACATTAAGACAGGGTCATTCCTTTAATAGGGTTAAACCTCACCTCTCGTTTGAAGTAAATATTGAGCTGGTTGATTTTGTGTTAACGCGATCAATTTCATATCCCAATTTGGTAAAATTATAAACACGAAATCTTTCATATTTGAATTTAGACTTTTTGATCCATTGGGGAATGGAAGGAAGAAAGGATGGAAGGAAGGAAGATTGGAATGGATAGACTCGGGATATGATGGGATTTACTTGTAATAATACTGATTTAAATAATATTGTTCTATATAAAAGAAGTGAACAACTAAACTAACAGAAGAGTTTCTTTAATTTGATTTTAAGAATACAAAGATGGATAGACAGACAAACAGATAGATTCAATTTATCTAAAGGAAAAAAGTAATGACAGTTCCAACTAAAGTCATAAATACCATTGAAGCACTTAATAAATTATTTGGAGCATCACTCTTCTTTGAAGATGAAGAACTTGATGAACTTGATGAAGCAGATGATGAAGATGATCCACTTGATTTTGAACCAGACGAAGTTTTGGTAGAAGAAGCACTGGATGATGATGAAGATGGAGCAGTACAAGTATAATCATGACCTTGAATACTACTTGAACTATGTAATTTATTGAATGGACTACAATCAAAATCTTCATTAGTTGAAATCAAACTAAAATCACCGGCTACTAAAGTTAATTTTGGTAAAGTAAAATTAGCAATATCACCAGCAACATTGAAAGCACCTTTAATCTTAGTTAAAGAAGCAAATGAATCATTAGTAATTGATTCTAAAATAGTATTATTAAATAATCTTAATTCACCTCCAATAGTTGATAAATCAGATAATGATAAATCAGTTAATTCATCATTAGCAAAGATTTCAACTGAACCACCAACAGCAGTTAAATTATCAAGAGCTAAAGTATCAAAGATATTATAAGCAATAATAAGGGAACCATTTACAGCAGTTAAATTTTGAGCAGAAATAGATTCAACATCTTGAATAGTTAAATTTGAAGCCCAAATTAAATCATCTAAAACAATTTCAGCATGATCATTATTAAAGGAAATTAATAAAGTATTGGTAACAGTTTGTAAAGGTAAATCAATAGTAGAAATATTTTTATTATTATTAATGTTTAAAATATTGACAGTATCAAAAGTATTAAAACCTTGAATGGTTTGTAAAGCAGTATCTGATAATTGAAGATCATTAACGGTTTGTAACCCTTTTAAAAAAGTCACTAATGATAAAGAAGGTAACGAGATTAATTCCAAATCTTCGACATTTTCTAAAGAAGTGAAATCAATTGATGCTAATGCAGTTAAAGCAGTGATTGATAAAGAACCATTGATAGAACTTAATTGATTTAAATTGATATTGTTGATAGATGAAGAATTAAAGATATTGATATCACCATCAATTTCTTGAACTGAAGGTAATTGTAAACTAACAATTTCATCACCTGTAATTTCAATAGTACCATCTAAAGTTGGACAAGCATTTAAAGATGCTACATCAGCAGATTGAGAAATGGTGGTGGTTGAGAATGAACATCCTGAGTTGACAGCAGCATTGGCGGTTGGTAATAAGTAGGTGGAAGCAGCAATGGCCACACTGATCAAATGATTAAATTGCATTGTTGATAGTTTGATCCGAAGATGATTTGATTGGAGTAGATATTAGAATAGACTAGACTAGTGATGAACAGTAACCAATACAATTTCAATGAAGAAGAAACAAGAAGAAAAAGGAAAAGGAAAAGGAGAGTCGAAGGAATGGATAATATAAACACCCAATGGGAAGGAAAATTTACCAAATGGTTAAATTAGAAAATGGGTATATCTTTACAGTTTACAGGCTAAGAAAAAAACATTTTGGGGATGTTTTGAAAAAATTTGCATTTTCAATTTTTGGTTTGTTTTTGTTTACATTTTAACATATTTCGATTATAGCGTGTTTTTTCTAATTTATTATGGTGGTGAGATTTAAATTTAAATTAATTACTGGCTAAAACGGGAACTATAATTATGGTATCGGCAGGGGGGCCAGCGTAAAAATGGTTGTTTGTTCGTTTGTTTGATCTCGTCATTTAAGCTTAATTAAGCGATCCATAATTGCTAGTTATGTTCTTAATCTAGTTTTGGTCTAGTCAATCATCCCATCATCGAGTTAAAATTGTTTTGTCATAAATTTCCAATTTGTCATTTTTCGCGTATTTGACATCGTTAATTAACAACCAAATTTAATGCTATCATTATGTATATTAGAAGTATATGTTATGAAGATAAGTTATATGAAGATACTAGATATGACCACCTCCTTTAACTTATCTTCAATCAATTACAATAACCTTAAATTAATTTAAACATTAATTTCTCCTTCGTCTAAAACTTTAGTTTTGAATGAGAGTTGGTCACATGACTTTTAGTCATCCTTTCAATCATTTAATCAATTTGCTAGATAAAACTATAAGATAACTTACTCTTACTCAATCTCATCAAGTATATCATATAAGTAACCTGATACTAAGATGATGAAAACAATAATGACTACTCTAATAATCAAATTATCACTTTTACAACCATTTTGTCTAAAAGTCTCATAAAAATTGTCATATTTTTCTCATTCTTTTGTGATTTTGTTTTGTTCATTTACAACAATGAATTCTTCTTTCCTTCTTTAGCATCATTCTTTACATTAATCAATCAATCAATCAATCAATCAATCATTAAAAGGTTTGTATATACCATTGTAACCATCACTACAACTATTTCAACTACTATCATTTACTAAATTTGTTAGTATACTCTCCTTTAAATTGAACTTAATTGGTTAAAATCTGCTTTGGCTGCCAATCTTACACGTCTAAAAATATGTCTAAATTGGTCTAACACAATCAATCAATCAAATTAAGTCAAATCAACTCATCAATTCATCTCATCTCTTAGTTACTCTCTCTCCACTCTCAATCATCATCAATTTCATCTATCCTCCTCCTACCCTTTTCAATCACCACTTCCATTATGATGGCTTTTGACCCTTTGTTCTTTATTATTTCTATTTCCTAATTGGGTCGCACTCAAAACAAGAAACCAAAAAAATAAAAAATGTAAACAAAATTTCAATTTCAACTATTTTGTCAGGACTATTAAGGAAATATAATTACAATCTATCTTAACTATTTCAACTTCCTACTTACTTTCCAAACTTGTTCTTACATATAGTTAAATATCTTCAGCCATTCCTTTATACACTCACTTTTGTTATTATTATTTTACTTTTGCTTTTCCTTTTCCTTTACCTTCGTTAGTCCTTTCTTTTCATCAAACACGTCTATCATGTCAACATCAATCGCTTATAGTGCTGACGATAGTCAAGAATCTCAACATCTAATAAACCCTCAAGATATAATGACTCCCATTAATCCCGCTACTGACATTTTCAAACATGAAAATGAATCAGTGGATTTATTATTAAGAGAAATAAATCCTCATATCATCAATAATAATAATAATAATAATAATACTCCAGGAGATTCATCTTCGATATTTAATTCTCCTACTAAACCATTATATTTCCCCAATGCAAGATCTTTGGATAAAGAATTGGTTCAAAATACTAGTAGTAGTAATAACTCATCAGATACTTATACCAGTGAAAATGAAAAAAATGTTATAACTAATTCAAATTTAAATTCAAATTCAAAACATGATGATTCATTTTTAAGAAATTTCGAAGATTCAGGAGATTTCGGGGTAACTACCATTCAACATCCTGATGGAGATGCCGAAGATTTCTCATTTGTAACTCCAATGACATCAACAGTTGAATTAGTTAAACCAGGTTCTTCATCTCCAAGTAAATCAATTATGAAAACTTCAAAGACTCCAATCAATTCACCCAAGAAAAATGTTGTATTTACAAATTCAACTGAAATTCATCATTATCAATTGAATTCAGCTGATACTTCCAATAATGAACTTCAACCTCCTCCACCTGCTGTATTGGCCGATTCTCCAATCGATCATAAATGGAATAAATTAAATGATAATTTGAATCTTCATGATGTAGAAGATGAGGATGATTTTTATGAACGTCCTCCAGTTCCACCTCCTCATGTAAACAATTCATTTGAAAATTTATTAAATAATCATCATAATAATAACAATCAAATATCAAATAATCAAGAAGATGATAAAGAAATTGATTCAAAAGTTTTAAATGAATATAAATTAAAACATGATAAATTTAGTAATCTTTCCTTAAATGAAAAATTAGATTTATTCTTATCAAATCATCAAAATCAAGATCAACAAGATCTTCAACATAATCAAGATCATCAACATGATTTAGATACTCATTTAGATGATTTAAATGAAGCTGCCAAAAAGAATGTTACTTCAAATATATTTAATTTATCATTATCATTAGCTACTAATAATCTTGATGAACTTGAAAATCCATTGAATTCATTATCAAAATCAGATCATGTACAATTAAGATCTTCAGGATCTTCTCAATCAAGTTTACAATCTTTAAGAGATGATAATCGTGTATTAGATTCTATGCCAAATTTATCTCAATCTGGTAATAATGGTATACAATTGAATGATGGAATTAAAGGGTTTAGTGATGAAATAGTTGAACAATTAGTACCTCAACCAGAAGAAGAAGATGATGATGAACATGATGGATTAATTATGAAAAAGCCTTCAACTGCTTTCAATAAAGAAGCTGCCGATACATTTGATAATTCTTATAATAATTCAACAGAACAATCAATTATGAATTTATTAAAGAGTGCTTCTCAATCTAATCTTGATCAAATTGAATCTAAAGAAATTAATGAAACTACAACTTCAATTTCAAAACCTACCTTACAAGATATAAAAGTCAAAGATGAATCTGAAGATGATATTCATATTAAAGAAGAGGATGAAGATGAACAAAAATTAATCAAACAAGAACAAGATCAAGATGAAGATGTTTCCCTTGAAGAAATTAAACAAGAAGAAAGTAGTATCTTTACAGCCAAATTTGAAACTGTATCTGATGTGGGTAGATCAAGTAATTCTCCAAGATTAGTATCACCATCATCCATGACTCCAATTATAAGACCATTGATTGATCAAATTGAAACTCCTACCAATGAAACTGATGAAGATAGCGAATTGTCATCTCGTGATTCTACTAAAATGTCAATTAGATTTCATATGGATAGTCAATGGAAATTAGAAGATAGTCAAGATGGTGATAAAGAAGATAATGATGAAAATGGGTTCACCACTACTATTAATGATATTAGTCAAGCCCCATCAGAAGATAAGGAAATTCAATTAAATCAACCAATACTTAATGTTGATTTATCACCTAATGTTTCTGCTACTTCTCAACCATTTGAAGATGCATCTGATGATTTAATTTCGAAGACCTTAGCTCCTTCAAGAATTGAAGATGAAGAACAACAACAAGAAGAAGTTGAACAAGAACAACCCCAAGATTCACAACATGAACATACTGAAGAAAATGTATTAGCAAATTCGTCCAATATAGCTCCACCAGAAGAATTAACTTTACCACCGGTTGAGACTCATAATTATTCCTCATTTGATGAAATTACCAGGAATGTAGGTTCTGATAAAGATTCATTTGAAGAATCATTATCTGCTGAACATGAATCAGATAAAAAGGCAAGCGATTTCCTTTCTATATGGCATTTACAAGAAAGACAAAAGAAAAATCCAAGAACTGGTGAATTCTTTAAAGTTTTAGATAATAAGGAAACTATTATAACTCCTGAATCTCAGTCACATACAATTCAACCACAAGTTCCAAAGATTCCATTAAGTTTACAACAAAAGAAATTTAAGGAAGTTAATGTTATAACTCGTAAAGTTGTTAATCCTGAATTTGAAGAATTACAAGTTTCAGGATTCTTACCTGAATTATCTGAAGATTCAGGATTTGAAAATCATTTTAATTTCTTAAGAAATACTTCAAATAATAATTATTCTAATATGGCTAATAATAGAAGAAGCTTTTCTCCATTAAGTACAAAAAATGTCTTAAGTAATATTGATAATGATCCAAATGTGATAGAACCACCTGCACCAAATTCCAACACTAATTCCAGCACCAACGCCCATACAAATTCCATTAAACGAAAATTCTTGAGAAATTCAATTTCAGTTATTTCAGCCACTGCATCAATTCAACATCAACCAACTGTTTTCAAACTGTTACAACCTTTAAGTAATGATAATATTAATAATAGAAGTTCTTCTATACCAAAATCGAAATTTAAAGTTCCATCATTTGAAATTAAAAGATCAAATTCAGTATTATCTCCTCGTGATTTTTATAATGATGATATCTTTGCTGATACCATTGTTAAAAAACCAACTATCAAAAGTTCTGGTATGAAAACTTTACCAAGTATGGATCGTGAAGATGTTAAACGAATTCTTAGTACTAAGAGAGTTATCACTCAAGATGAATATGCTAAAGTTAAATTAAGAGGTCTTAATATTAAAAAGAATTCTATCGTCAATGAACCTAATGATAAATATGATGAATTACAACAACAAGCTTCGATTCATAATGTTTCACCTGAATCAAGTCCAAGTTTAAAATTTGCTATATTACCTCATTTAGCAGGAGAATTATTACAAGCTCCAAATGCATTATTATCAAAGGATCAATTCTTTAAAGATTATCAGATATTCAATAATGGTAATAAGACAGGAGGAATTCAACAACCTTCAGTGGATTTAGCATTCCCTGAACCAGATCCTGAATTAATTAATTCCCCAAATTCAAATATTTTTAAGACTCCTCCAAAAGCAGATATTGATTTAAATGTCGATGATACTATTGATGATGTTCAACTCCAAAAGCATTTATTACCAAATGAATCTCCTATTAATATTCAACTTCCAACCACTCCAAAGAAATCTCCTATTAAAATTGGATCACCTATGAAATTAGTTAAACAAGGTGACAAAGTTACCGGAGCAATTATTCCTGCTTCACCTAAGAAAACTCATAAACCTCAAGTTTCATTTAGTGGGGATGAAATTATTAATAGTAAATTAAGAGGTGAGAATTCTCCTCGTAAAGATTCTATAGCTGAAGAAAATGATGATGAACAACATAAACCAAGTACAGTTTCTGTACCTTCTGCTTTCACCAATAGTTCCCGTCCTTCTGGTACTTCATCTGCTACCTTATTGAATTTTGGTGGTAATCATGAATATAGAACTTTAAAGGAAGAACAACAACAACTTGATCATTCTCAAGATGAATCTAATATTGATATTAATCCTGATGTTAATGATGTTCAAGAAACAGAACCAAAAGAACTTCAATTTACTGAAAGAGGGAAATTATTCTTTAGAGTTATTGGCTTAAAGAATATTAATTTACCTGATCTTGATAAACATAATGCTGAATTATCTATCACTTTAGATAATGGAGTTCATTGTATCAAGACTCCAAATTATAAATTAGAATCTAATAATGTTTTAATTGGAAAAGAATTTGAATTAACGGTTGGTGAATCATTAGCGTTTATATTAACTATGAAAATGAATTATGAAAAACCAAGAGGTGGATTAAAAGAAGTGCATGAAAGGAAAGTTGTTAAATCAAAGAATAAGTTAGGTAGAATGTTTGGATCAAAAGATATTGTTACTGTTACTAAATTTGTTCCATTTGAAGTTAAAGATAGTTGGGAACATAAATTTGCTCAAGATGGTTCATTTGGTAGATGTTATATTGATTTAGAACAATTTGAAGATAAAATTACTGGTAAAGCGCTTAATTTTAATTTGAATTGTTTTAATGAATGGGATAAATATATTGATCCAACTACCAAAGAACTTACTAAAGGTAAAGCTTATAGAATTGGTCAATTAGAAGTTAAAATGTTATTTGTTCCTAGAGTTGATGCTAGGGAAGTATTACCAACCAGTATTAAATCTGCCTATGAAGGAGTTCATGAATTAGGTCAAGAATTTAATTTAACTCATGAAGGTTATTTACATCAAGAAGGAGGAGATTGTGAGATTTGGAAGAAGAGATTCTTTAAATTATATGGTACTTCATTAATTGCTCATAGTGAATTTTCTCATAAGACAAGAGCTAAGATTAATTTAGCTAAGATTGTTGAAGTTATTTATGTTGATAAAGAAAACATTAAGAATTCATCAACAAATTATAGAAATTTCAGTGATGTTTTATTAGTTGAACATGCTTTTAAAATTAGATTTGCTAATGGAGAAATTATTGATTTTGGAGCTCCAAATAAATCCGAAAAAATGCAATGGATTTCAATCTTTGAAAAGATCACTCATAGAAATAAGTTCCGTCGTCAACCTTGGGTTAAGTTGATGTTACAAGAAGCAGGATATGTTAATGCTCCACAACAACTTCAACAAGAAGATCAAAAACCTCAAAATGAAGTTATAAGTTCTCGTTCTTCTATGATTTTATAAATTCGTGATTGACTTCTCTGTACATTACACATATATCTATATCTATATATATATCTATTTAATTGTTAATTTATTCATGTATTATAAAAAGTTAACCTGTAATCAACTCTGTTCAAAGGGATAGTATCATTATTTGCAACCATAATAAATTGGAATTGGGCGAACAATTTCCTGCATGTATGGATGGAGTACTTTTTTTTTTGAGGTTGAGGTTTTTTCAATATGAAGATATTATAGTGATATTATATATACAAATTATATCTATTAACAGACAACGATAGAGATGGCTAATATATCAGACGACGAAGATGATGCCTATCTTTATGGTTCTGATGATGAAAGTGCAAAAGTCCCCAATGTAAAAAAGGAGAGCAATGTTAAGTTAGAGGGAGATGATATTGAAATTGATGAAGTGGAGCAAAGCAAAGATCAAAAGGATATAGTTGCAGAAGAGGATGAAGAGGAAGAGGACGATGACGTGGAAGATGATAGTGATGAAGATTCAGAAGACGATATAGATATTATCATTGGTGAAGAAAAACCCAGTACAGCCCTTGCTAGTACGAATAATGATACTGTTGATGCCTTGGTTGATATTGATGGTGAACAAAGCAAATCTACGACCACAACTATAGTGGCGAATAATCAAGGTGAAAGTAAAAGTGCCATAGATATTAATGCCATTGGTGAATATGAAGGTAAGCCTATAACACAACTTGATCTTGAAACATTAAAGGAAAAACCATGGAGAGCTCCTGGGGTTGATATATCAGATTATTTCAATTATGGATTTAATGAATTTAGTTGGATTGCATATTGTTTCAAACAAGATAAAACAAGAGGAGAGTTCAAACCAGAAACTATCATGGCTCAAATGATGGCATCAGGTAATCCACCTCTTCCAACTGGTGCACCAATGCCACCAGGTATGAATATGAATATGCCACCAGGTATGCCTAATATGCCACCTGGAATGCCACCAATGGGAATGATGCCACAAGGGTTCATGCCAGGTATGCCAATGGGTAATTTCCCTAATATGCCAAATATGCCACCTGGTATGCCCAACATGCCACCGGGTATGCCTAGTATGCCACCTGGAATGAATATGAATATGCCACAGGGAATGCCAATGCCACCAAATTTCCAACCTCCACCAAATGGTAAACCCATTGCTCAATATCAAAATTTTAATGGTGGTCCACCTCCACCTCCACCACCTCCTCAAAGATGAAATAACTCTTTTATGTAACATATATAAATATGACTGTATAATAAATAAATACATATAATTTACAGATTCTGAAACGTTTAAACTTGAAAATATTTACATTATTACTTATAGAGGTATATATGTATGAAACTTAAAAATGAACACAATTAATTAATATATATATAAAAGACAAATAGTGAAAGACATCTATTCTTCGTCACTTTCTTCATCAGCTTCTTGTAACCATTTAACAAAAGGTTTAGCTGCTTTACGAACCTTTTTAGAAATATCTTTAGCAACATATTTCTTTGATACTTTACTACCCCAAGCGATAATAGTTTCTTCACTAATAACTTCTTTATCATATAAGATATGTAAAACAGCTGGGATTCTTGGAATTAATTCTGGTTGTTCTAAACCAAAGAATCTTTCTAAACCTCCTAAGAAAGCTTTTTCAAATTCTTCATCACCATTGATTAATTTAGATAATAAACCAGCATGAGGTTCGATTTGAGTAGCAATTTCATCATCAAATAATACTTGAGCTAAAACTTGAACAGTTTCAGGTTGATCAATGATTTCTAATTCTGAAATTCTCTTATATATATCAACATCAGTTGGTAAATCTTCTTTGGAATCTTCTGATTCTTTTAATAACCATTCACCTAATTCATTAACTTTAGATTCAGTTTCATTTAAGTTTAAACCTTCTAATTCTCTGGCTCTAGCAGCAATTGCTTCTTCAGACATATCAACGGACCAATCTTCATCTTTAACCACCACAGTTTCTAATTGAGCAGCTTCTTGATTAAATTTCTTAGCTAAGATATCATCATCTTCATCACCACCATTGGTTTGAGCAGCAGAAGCATCACCGTTAGAGGAATCTTGAGCAATATCAGAAATAGATTTACCTCCACCAACAACATTAGCAGTAGCAGTAGCAGCTTTTTTACCTTTCTTTGAAGTTGGAGGATTCTTAACAATATAAGAATATAATTTATGTTTTGGTTCAATAGGAGAAATCTTACCACAAGCTTTACAATCTCTTTCTAAATTATCTTTACCTTTAACTTCAATTTCAGTTTCTGGATTTTTACAAGAAGCACAAAGAACAAATTTATTAATGAACCCATCAAGAGAATCTTGTAATTCATTGGTATCATGAGCACCATTGACTAAATAACGATCGGCAGCATCATCCATTGAAGTTTGAGTACCTAATTCATAACCAAAATATTTAATGACGTAAGCTGGTGGTCTACCTAAAGCACGAGCAACTTCACTTAAATTGGAAATTAAAGTCTTGATACCATTACCTCTACCTTCAGTCTTCGATTGAAGGGCAGGCATCTTATAACGATAAAATGGATCGGTATTATCACGACATATATTTATAAATGACATCTTGATTGAATTATTATTACTATTGGGTGGGGGACTGGGAAGGGAATAAGTCTGATTTGAATTGATTGAATGGAGGGGAAGGAACGATTAAGATAGCATTTACGTATGATACTAATACTATGCCTGATACTTGGATAATCTCACAAAGATATGAACTTGATGATGATTAATAAGGACTGTTAACTAATTGATTGATGGATGAAGTTTTGAAAAGTTTTGATGATTTCTCATTTTTTTTTGGTTCACCGCACACCGAAAATTTTTCAACTTTAAACAGGCTACTACAAATTATATACAGATAGTATTGATAGATATTACTTTATTAAACATTATAACTTATGATGTATAGAAGTGTGATTGTGAGTGTTAGTGTAAGAGATTTTTTGTAAATACAGAGTCATACAATAGTAATAAAAAAAAAAGAAGAAGAAGAAGAAGAAGAAGAAGAAGATATAAGAATGATCAATTAATCAAACCAAACCCCATCAGAAACCATGAGATAATAATCATAACTTAACTCAGTCAATGGAATGATTCGATTCAATGTAGTATAAATAGTAATAAATAAAAAGTAATGGTAATAGAAACTTAAATCATGAATGCATGTCTAGAAAAACAGACTCTTTTGATTTTGACCAGAGGATCCACCTGGAGTTCCAGGATTAGAATTATACCCTAAGGCAGCGGAACTTAACGACAATTGCTCCAATTGTTGCATCACAGCCATATCCTGTTGTTGTTGCTGTTGTTGTTGCTGTTGTTGGAATTGTTGTTGCTGTTGCTGTTGCATTTGTTGGGGATACACATCTTGCTGATATTGATATTGACTTTGAGGTTGATACAATTGGGGTTGATTACCTTGATAATTACCTTGTGGGTTCATCATATATTGGTTAGCCATCATCATGGAATATCCACCTTGTTGTTGTGGTTGTTGCTGTTGTTGAGGTGGCTGTGATTGTTGTTGTTGTGGTTGATATGATTGAGGTGTCATGTAATATTGAGGAACACCATAAGCACCCATGATAGGTTGACTATGATCCATAATATTCTTCTGCTGACCATATTGTTGTTGTTGTTGTTGCTGCTGTTGCTGTTGATGGTTATGATGTTGATTGCTATTATTATTATTATGTTGTTGGGATCTACCACCACCATTTGGATTTCTCTTTCTTCTACCATTTGATGAATTCGAACGATTTAATCTACTTGATGATAATCCAACTTCATCCATTAATTTCTTATAAGGTTGGAAATTAGTAATATTCAATTCCAAAAGAATTCTTCTGATTTGAGATACGATGAATTGTTGATATTTAGCATTCAAATTACTATCTGATGATTCACCATCATTCAAAGTTAATAAGAAAGGATTAGTTAAAATCTTATATATAAACAATGGACCAGCTGAATGTTCATGATTTTCCATCAAGATTAATTCTAAAAGTTTTGATTTTTCTCCACCATTATTATTATTATCATCATGTTGATCAAATTCATGGTCTTGAAATTTATCAAAGATAGTATCCATAATCAATTGTTTCAGATTTAAATCAGCTCTATTATTCAAGATTTTCAATATAGTTAAATTGGCTAATTTATGAGTACATAATGCTTCTAAATTAGGTAAGAATTTATTGGTTAATAACAGATAACGATCATCAATAGTTGCACCTTTATCATTGAATGTATCTAAAAACCACGTAATCAATAATGAACCATTATTATTAATCACCAATTCATTAGCAAATTCAACCACTAAAGAAGCTACCAAAACAATTTGTTCATTAGTAATGAAATTATTATCATTAGCAGTTTCAAGTATAGTCCGAATACTTCTAGCTCCAAATCTTCCAAAACTAATTTCCATAAAATTGTCTAACATAACTTCAAATATAAAGTCATTAAATGGTGATCCAAATTTGGTACATCCTTGTAAAACATAATTCCCAAATTGATCATTGAATAATTTAACGGCATATGGTTTTAAACTAGCGCCAATAAGATACTTTTGTTGTAAATCATCTTGTTGACATACATTAATGATTTTTTGAATGGCCCAAGTACCATTTTTATGAATACTTAATTGAGTTAAAAATGGTGCAATTTCTTTAACCATCATTAATCTAATTAAAGGAGATTCGACAAGAGAAAATAATTTTTGAACAATGGTATTACCTAAATAATCATAACATAATTCGGGTAATTCATCCAACATGGCAAGACAAAGTTCTTCTAATTCAAATTGGGATAAGATTTTATTTGAATTTTCTAATGAATCTTCATCACCTTCACCATCATCATTTGAACTATTACCGCCATTATTATTGGTGATTGGAGATGGTCTTGGAGATGGTGAACGATTAGTATTATTTAAGGCATTTTCATTATTTTCTAAAATTTTTCTTAATTCTCTTAATTTTGGTGAATCGAATTGTCTCAATGGAATTGGATCAGGTAAAGGTCCGAAATTATTTTGATAATTTTCTCGAGGATAAGATAATGATTTATTTATAATGGAGATGATTTTATTAATATCAACATAATTTGATTTGCTAGTTAATTTCGTAATTGATTTCATTAAATTTTGTTGAATTGATAAAAGATCAGTTGGTGAAGGTTTAATTGAATCATTTACAATGATATTTGATTTAGTTCCTGAACTAACACCATTCGAAATCCCACTATTAGTTTCATTTCCTGAAGTAGGAGTAATTACAGAAGTAGCATTAGATCCATCACCACCAGCACTCACCACATTAGTATTATCGTTTTCTTCAATAATCTTTGCAAATGCAACATATAAGATAATGCCAGGGACGATTTCCAAATGAGTAAAACTAGCTTTTAATCTCATGGAAATATCAATATTCCCACATTCAATTAAAGCATGTTTGGAATTAGTAGTACTGGCAATTCTTACACTTCTAATATTCCCCAAAGATGAACGTTGATTCGCATTCATTGAATTATTTAAAATATTCCAAAGCTTTATAGAATCAATGAAGGATGGTAAATTATCAATCAATAAGAATTTCGTAGGTCCGAGATTTGGATTTTCAAAATTGGTATTAACGATGATTTGGGAGAAATCAAAATCATCCAACAAGACAGGTTGTTGATCATAGTGTATATCTTGAGGTTGTTGAAACTGTTGTTGTTGTTGTTGTTGTTGTTGTTGTTGTTGTTGCGGCTGTTGCGGCTGTTGTTGGTATTGCTGTTGAGAAAGATATTGTTGTTGTTGTTGTTGAGGTTGTTGTTGTTGGTTGGCATACATATTCAGATGAGATTGATTTAAACTTGATTCAGGAATACTTGGAGTTGAACCTGAATAAGTTTGAGATCTATGTCTTGGATTATTTGAAGCTGCACTTGAAGTAGGAGTCGGTTGATTAAGCATTAAATTATCCAATAAGAAATTCATATCATTAGTCTTTGATGAAACACCACCCATAAAAGGTGATCTATTAATACCATTCCCATTTCCATTTCCATTACTAGTGGTGTTATTATTACTATTTGATGAAAGTTGAGGAGATTCATTAATATAATTTGAAATTGGTAAAAGATTTAAATTTGGAATAGTTGCAGTGGTAGTATACGATCTATTTCTTGGAGCTGAAGAATAAGCTGTATTTGAAGTATTCATAGATCCATTAGTAGTCAAGGTTGAATTTTGAGCTGAGATAATTGGACTTAAATAAGCCGTAGATGAACCATTTGTAATCGGTGGAGGATTGATATTAGTAGGTGTAGTAGCAGTGTTATTATTATTATTTGAAGTAGAATTTGAACCACCAGTTATAGTAGGAACAATTAAATTATTATCAAATGAATGTAAACTTGTAGTATCCAATAACCCAGTACTATGTTGAGAAGAAGAATGAACGGATAAATTATCATCATTCCAGATTGAATTTGTTGAAAACAACGAACCTGATCTCATTCTTCTTGAATTAGTATTTGGAATTGAAAAATTTGGATTTATAGAAGTTGTATTATTGGAGGTATTTACATTTGAAAGGATGGAATTATTATTTACATTGGGAATATCAATAGCATGGGATGAAGGAGATGGCGAAATCCCTAAAGAGATTGAATCCATAGTATTTGGTAAATTTAAGCCTTCATAATTTTGATTACTGGTAACCAAAGGAGAATTTGAATTTGAGATTGAAATGGGTGCATTAATTGATGATGATGGTATATTTTGTAAAGGAGTGATATTCTTAGTAGGAGTGTTTATGAATGAGGAAGGTAAAGTTCCTGCTCTACTTCTTGATTTGAATGGATGATTATTATTGTTATTACTATTATTACTACTGTTTGAAGCTGAAGTGATTGATATAGCGGGAGAAGATGGATTGGTAAAGTTATTAGTTGGATTATTCATCTTCTGTGATTCTATGATAATGCGATAAAAAAAAGGGGTGGAAGGATAATATGCAAAAAGTGGTGTTGGTTGGTTCGTTGGTTGTTGGATTGTGAGAATTTGAGTATGGGGAAGACAGTAGGTGGAGGGGGGGAAGTAAGGGTAAGAATAGGAGAAATGAGGATTGATTGAGTGAAAATGGTATATGATATAGAATACTATTAAGAAATACAATCGAATGAAACAAAATACAAATATAAGTTGACGTTGACGTTGATATTGACGATCAAATGAATGAATGAAATTGAATCTTTGAAAATAAAATGATGTGGATGATTTGAATGGAATGGAAGACAAAATTCTTCACTTCTAGTAATACAATTATGGAATTGGAAGAGATGTCCTGCTGATGATTGATGGTAGGATGATAGAGTCTATACTAGTATATAATTGAATCAAAGTTGGAGTGGTTGATGTTGATGTTGTTGTTGTAAATTTTGGTGAAATTGTGCTGCTGTTGTAAAATATCCAGACAGTGTTGTAAAACTGTCTTCTTTTGATGAGACAGAGTCATGGATGTTTATCAACGAAACATCCCCACTGCAATAACTAGTGCATGTCGCATCATGTATCCCATGTCGTCCACCTTTTCCAACGAAATGTCGTCATCTTATGGTCGTCAAAAATTAAATAAAAAAAAGGTCGTGTCTTCTTTACCGATTCGACCTCCTATTTTTCATCTCTTAACTACTATAGCCACTAATTAATCCATAGGCTTAAAATACATTTTATTAATAACTCAAATTTTATTATTATTCTATTTTTAGTATGTAGTATGTATGTATGAACTAATTATTAAGTTGGAAAATACCGCAGTTAACTAATAAGTTTATTAGTTGGCTTATTCCTTCTATTTACTATCAAATTGGCTTCCATAGCCTTTAAATTTTTCACTTTTCACTCTTCCACACCTCTCATACTTAAATAAAAAAACCTGTCATATCAAAAAAATTGGATTCTTCGAGACATATCCCACCTTTACCGTAGTTTATACTTTGTTGCAAAGCAAACATTATAATGGATGATATCCCGGTAATTTCATGGCTCATGATTCGAGTTATTGCCGATATTTCAAACCTCTTTACAACCAGATTACTAGTACTAACTTTTAATTCTCTATGTCATTTTATTCATTACTTTTTTTGATATTTCTATCAATTCTATATGGATATATATACACTGATGGGGTGGCTATCTTGGGAAGGGATTATTCTTCGATAATACTATACATCTATTGCTATGAGAAAGATATCCCTTTACTTTCCCATTTGTAATCAACGTAGCTAATAAACATTCAATTTCATCTAAGCTTGTTTGAAATATACGAGGTTGATCTTGAAGTTGTTGTTGTTTTTCTGATTGCGAATTCAATGAATATTCATAAGCTAATTGAAAGGCATTAATGGGAACTATATGAGGTTGAGATTGTTTGGTAGTATCTTCACTTTCATTACTTTCTAATTCAATGATTTTATAAGTTTTCCGAAATAAATTTAAATAACATTGTTGTCTTAATAATTCAATTAATAAATAAAGATGATGATTTAAGAAAATAGTTTCAAATTTGGAAATTGATTGATTAAATTGATAAATATTCCCTTCAATGATACTTTTAAATAAATTTTGTTTATAAATAAGGTTTAAATCAGGAAATCTTTCCCAAATATCACTATCTGTCTTAGGATACTTTCCATGATTATATAACCTTAATGGTAATAATAATAATAAAATCTTCTTTAATTGATTTAAATTTAAATTGATATTGTCACTATAATTAGTTAAGATTTGATAACAAGTAATTAATTTTTGTTCTGATTTTAAAAATTCTCCTTCATCAAGTAATAATAATGAACTATAATAAAGATAAATAATAGAATATTTTTTATTTATAATGGTGGTAGTTGGATTTGGTAATTGAAATCTTGCTCCTAATAAAGCTTTCTCTAATGATTTTGCTAATTCTAATTTATTCATTTTAAAATAAATTCGAATTAAATTAGCTAATAAATAATAAATATCAATTCGTTTACTTTTTGATAATTCTAAATTCTTATCATTTAAAGATAATTTAAACCCTTTATTAATCGTATTAGCTAATTGTTCTAAACTTGAAGTTTTATCATATCCATTAATACTACTTTCACCCAATTCATCTTGGAATTCAAAACTACTCATATCTTCAGGATATTTCTGTTGTTTGATTTTATAAACCGCAATCAATTCATTCATAATCTTAATTAAAGGACGATTGATCCAGTTAGTTTGTTGATCACCAGCTCGAATCATATGATTAACCAATTCATTCAAATCTTGAAATGAAGTTTCGATATTCTTCTGTTTATATACTGATTTCATTAATTTCAAATGACTTCGTATCACAGGTCGGAATTTCTCATCAATATAATATAAATCAAAATCATTTGGTTCATTAAATTCAGATTGTTGAGGTCCATCTTGACTTATAGGATGAATACTAACACAATTCAACAATGCCTGGGAATCTTCATTCTTGACGGCTTGATCGAAGATCTGGATATATCTCGCCAATGTTAGAGACATCCTTTTGAATCGTAATTGAATTGCTTGGTAAGATGTAGTTATATCAATTGGCAGCTGTTTGTATGTTGTGTTGTAAATTTTTCTTTCTCTTTAATAGAATTTGGCTTTGTCATTTTTGATGTCGCAAATTAAATTCGACAAAACAGAAAATTTATGACATGACAAAATAAGTTTACGACATAAAATATGGTAGCACTGATTTATAACTTACTTAAACTTGCTTTCCATTGTTATAATAATGCTAGTTGTATATTCCAACATAGTAAACCATCGTAAGTGAAAATTTCTAAGTATGCCTCCCAGTTTCAGTCTACATTATAAATTTAAAAAGAACTATAGTTTAACTAACTATGGGTTAACTTAATTTAAGCTTTTGCAATAGTTTAAAAGACCCCTTTTTTGATTTAAGGTCATAATAGATATATTTAAATAGTTTTATGAGTATTCCTCTTAATATGATATAAGTTGTTGGATTTACCATCATCTGTAGTCATTATCCTCTTCTCCAACTTACGAATAACTATAAAATTATCATAAACTTACACCATAAAAGTGTCCACTTTGTATGGTGAATTTCTGGTGGAGTTTTTTTAGTTTCTTTTTTTTTTGGTTGATGGCGTGAAATGAAATCACCACCACCAAAAAAAAAGACATGAAACAAAAATAACAAATCCAAAACTGACTTCAACTTCAAATCAATCTTGGATCAATCAATTCAATTCAATCAATCCATCAGATTATACTATAGTCTGTTGCATCTCATCATACCATAGCATCCAGTGAAGAGAACCCAACCAACCATCAATCCATTCCATCAGCATATCGTCAGTTTACATTGTTAATCTGAGCTTAATTATATCACTTTGGAGAGTGACCGTCATAATTCTGAATTTAGTGGAGAACCTTAACAGTTTGATCATCATTCATTTTAAAAGGGCTTATTACACAATCAATCAATCAATTGATTCAATACGTCTAGTTATCATCCATCAACCCTTTGATTGTTATTGATCTTACCCCTTCTTTACGTCAACTTATATCTTGATTTGTTATCGCGTTTAATAATTCTGAGTGTTGCCAACTCCCATTCACAACCCGTTAACCGAAACAAACAGGCAAGTTACTGTTATTATTATTGATTACTAATAAGAGTAATATCATTCCATTTCATTCTATTCAATTCATCAAGTTAATTTCTTTCTCCTCATTCATTAATCCTTTTTAAAGCTTGTCGATTATATTGTTCCTTCCCTCACTCCCTCCCTCCCTCATCATTGCATTACTATATAAATCAAGTCATCCATCCTTTTCATCATTGGTTTTATTTATTTATTAACTCATTCTTTTCCTCATTAACTACCCTTGTTGCCTAATTCCAATTCATTAAGGAGGTTTTATGAATTTATTTAATATCAGCATTCACTTTCACATACAATGAGTTCACCTAATAGTGTTGAAGAAGATCCAACAGGAAATAGAGAAGCTACTACCAGAGCAAATTCAAATACAGTCTCACGATATGAAGCTGATTTTATAATGGATAATGATTCAAATAATTTTAAAGAATTAAGAGATTCTATAATAACTGATCGAAGGCTATCAGAAGCTAATAATTCCATTAATCAAATACCCCCTTCCCCTCCATCTCATAAGAATGATAATAATCATTTTATAAATTATCAATATCAAGAAATTCAAAAAAATTCACTTATAAGATTACCCACCGAAATTTTATTACAAATATTTCATAATTTGGATAGAAAAGAATTATATGCTTTATTAACAGTTTGTAGAGAATTTGCTGATTTAATTATTGAAATTCTTTGGTTTAGACCAAATATGCAAAATGATTTATCATTTAAAAAAATTAAAGAAGTTATGGAAATTCCAAAAGAAAAAACTCATTGGGATTATCGTCAATATATTAAAAGATTAAATTTATCATTTATGACTAAATTAGTTGATGATGATTTATTATCATTATTTGTTGGTTGTCCAAAACTTGAAAGATTAACTTTAGTTAATTGTACAAAATTAACTCGAAAACCAATTACTCAAGTTTTAAAAAATTGTGAAAAATTACAATCAATTGATTTAACAGGTGTAACTGATATTCATGATAGTATAATAGATGCATTAGCTGAGAATTGTTTAAGATTACAAGGTTTATATGCTCCTGGTTGTGGTAATGTTTGTGAAGCTTCAATAATTCGATTATTAAATTCTTGTCCAATGTTAAAAAGAATTAAATTTAATAATAGTGAAAATATAACTGATCAATGTATATCAGCTATGTATGAAAATTGTAAATCTTTAGTGGAAATTGATTTACATAATTGTCCAAATGTTAGTGATTTATATTTAAAAAATATTTTTAATGATTTATCTCAATTAAGAGAATTTAGAATAAGTAATGCAGCAGGTATAACTGATAAATTATTTGAATTATTACCATCAAGATATTATTTAGAAAAATTAAGAATTATTGATATAACTGGTTGTAATGCTATAACTGATAAATTAGTGGAAAAATTAGTTATTTGTGCTCCAAGATTAAGAAATGTGGTATTATCAAAATGTATGCAAATAACTGATGCATCATTAAGAGCTTTAAGTCAATTAGGTCGAAGTTTACATTATATTCATTTAGGTCATTGTGGTTTAATAACTGATTTTGGAGTGGCAGCATTGGTAAGATCATGTCATAGAATTCAATATATTGATTTAGCATGTTGTACTCAATTAACAGATTGGACATTAATTGAATTAGCAAATTTACCAAAATTAAGAAGAATTGGATTAGTTAAATGCAGTTTAATAACTGATGGAGGTATATTAGAATTAGTCAGACGTCGGGGAGATCAAGATTGTTTAGAAAGAGTTCATTTATCATATTGTACCAATTTAACCATTGGACCAATTTATGCATTATTAAAAAGTTGTCCAAAATTAACTCATTTATCATTAACAGGTATAAGTTCATTTTTAAGAAGAGAAATAACTCAATATTGTCGAGATCCTCCTCCTGATTTTAATGAAGCTCAAAAAAGTTCATTTTGTGTATTTTCAGGTCATGGAGTTAATCAATTAAGAAATTATTTATTTCAAGTTATGGAAGAACAAGCTTATCTGATTGAACAAGGTGATATTCATGCATTATTTCTTGATCAAAGAAGAAGATTGATGAATAATAATAACATCAATAATAATAACAACAACAATAATAATAATAATAATGATGATGATGGAGATGTTGAAATTGATGATAATAATGATAATAATAATGGAGGTGGTAGAAATGCATGGGATAGAAGAGCTGAAGGTTTAGGATTAGAAGATATTGGAATCCAACCTATATTTGATTTAAATCGTGAATTATTTCGAGAATTAAATGAAGGTAATATGAATCCTGAAGAAATTCAAGAACATTTCCAAAGATTAATATTGAATCGTCATCAACAACGAGTATTTGCTTTTCAACAAGCTCAACAACAACAGGCTCAACAACGTCAACAAGGTCAAAGAGTAGGTGGTGCAGCAGCACCACCTCCACCAGCAATACTTGCACCAGGACAAGTTGGTAGAGCCGGTAGACGAGGTAATAATGATCGAAATCCTGAAAATGCTCCACAAATCGAACAACAAGCTGTATTTCCTAATGAAGATCCTATAATTCCTGATATTAATGATGATGAAGATGTTGATATGGATCAAGTACCATTATTTCCCCGGAATTGAAGTAATGTAAAATTGGGTATATAAGAAAAAGTAGGAGAATAATAATAATAATAATAATAATATTTCCTTTATATAGTTATTTTTTAATATATAGGGTTGCTTTAAAGTAATTATTTATTAATTCGATTATATTAAAATTGTAGGTGTAGAGAGTAATCACAGCTGTTTAGGTGTAATTGTAAATACTGGATTCTCTAGCATTTTACTAATATCATTTAATTAAACACATAACATTATTTTAACATTATTCCTTGTCCCAACAAGATCAAAGTAGCTTTCCTAATCTTTTTAGATTAATGACAAAATAACACTTAATAAACTAACTATCAATAATAATTTTGGGATTTTAATGATTTGAGAATCCGATTTTGGAGATGCAGCATATGATAATCCACAATTATAGATTGAATTATCATTAAAGTCGGTTCCATTTGCATCAAGTGAGACAGTCAAGTTAATTATACCACAGTTAAAGACCTGCAGAGTGATATTTGGTTGTATGTCTCTTGAAACTAACTCCAGACCTAATTGTCTCTTATGTTTTTTCATGTATTTATAATAACTTATTCCACATTGATAATCATCTTCAAACTTTTGTAACACATAACTCACATCAGTCAAGTTAGTGATATCAATTGGGATATTGGTGATAGTGAGATTTGTAGATCCACAATCTAAAAACGTCAAGTTTGATGGGTTTGAAGCATAATCAATCATGCTTCGTTATTGTGAATTCAACTAATTCAATTCATTTTAATATCGTGTGCAAATTCAAATCTATTTAAACTACAACGAATCAAATTCAGATTTGATGCCTCCAAATGTTCAATTTCATCGATAAGAACTTCCTCCAAATAATCCCAATAAATGTTGATGCAGAGCGGTATACTTTCCTGGAAAAATTAAATCATTCTTTATCGCCTTCCCTCAAGGTGGATATTTCACAACTATTCCGAAAGTAGTAATTCGCTTGAAAATAAAACGAGGCAACAGAAGTGTCGATATCATACCTCGTCCAATAATATTTTCTACCTAGTAAATTCACTTAGTCATAATTTGAATAACTTAAGGCAAACTTGCCGTAGATTTACGGGGGAAATTTTATTTCAAGCTGCTTTCTTATATGTAGCGTATGAATGGATAATTAAAGTCTTACCAATGGATAGATACAACTACTGCATCACTATATTGGATTATGTACCTCCTTGTTAATAAGTACTCGCGCATGTAATTGCGTTGATTTCTCTGTTAAAGTTTCCACTAGGGCCTTGACGTCTCATTTACTTCGAAGGGGCTGATAATGATAATGATAATTTTGACACAAGAAGAAGGAATAACCTTGCAAGGGATGATATTTTTAAACCAAAACAAATGTCTGGTTGTGCTGCTCAAATCGAACAACAAGCTATATATATTTCCTTTATGTAATTATTTATTTAAAATTAGAAATCGTAGATTGGTTTCCTTACAGATGTTTAGGTATAATTATAACAATGTTAATCATTAAACGATACATATATATATCTATCAAAAAGCAGAATTAAAAATAAATAAGAATAAGAATAATAAATTAGATAACTAGATTTAAACAATGAATTGAAAGAGAGAAGTAAGATAGACAGACAGACAGACAGACAAGGTTAAACTTTTTCCTTTTCATCAGCTAACATTTGATCAAGATTTTCAGGTGGGATTTCACCATTGATACTATCTATTTCTTCAAGATTTGATTTTGGACCAGAATAAGTTCTATAACCCCATACGAAATAATACACCAATGATAACATCCAAATACTGACATTAATCACACAAGTATAATTCATCGTGTTCTTATCGATATATCTTTGATCAGGGAACATTGACATGATGATAACATAGGTGATCCAGCATACTGTGGTTAAATTAACTAAGAATGAACCAATCTTACCTAAATAAAATGGACCTGGAATAAATCTCTTTCTACCATATGGTAAAATCACTAATAATACTGGAACACCCCATGCTAAAATATTTGAAGCAACAGCTAATGAAAATAAAGCTCCGGAACCAGCAGTACCATTAATTAATACTAATAATCCTAATAATAATGAAATGCAACCGGCAAACATGGTAGCTCTGATAGGAACTTTAATAACTGGATTAACATATTTAACATACATATAAACAAATGGTAAACCTTCATCTCTAGCAAAAGCCCAAATTTGTCTTGAAGCAGCCACCATGATTGAACAAGCCATTAAATATTGTCCTAATGCGATTAAAGCCATGAATGCAACGGCCCATTGTTTACCTAAGGCATCATAAATAATTTGGGCCATTGGAGATCCAGTAGCGGAATCTAAGGCAGCAGCAGTATCACCATCTTTGATACATGCCACAGCGACAATAACAATAAACCAACCCACAATCCAACAAACAGAGATAGAACCAATGATACCGTATGGAATAGCTCTTTGAGCGTTTTTAGCTTCTTCTGAACAATGAATGACAGAATCAAAGGCCCCAATGGTCCAAATGGCTGGCATCCAAGAAAGCATGAATGACCAACCTGAATTCCAAGTTCTAGTATTATCTAAATCACCAAAGATATAATGAGCATCATTAAAACCATAACTTTTACCAGCACCGACTGGGACAGCGATAAGGAATAAAAGACAAAGGAATGAATTGACACAAATAGAAACGGTTTGTAAAGTTGCTGTATGCTTTGTGGTTAAACAACAAATTATAACGTTGGAAATCACACAAGCAGCAAAAATACCATAACATTTTGCATTTGTAATTTCAAAATTACCATCATAATTGATATAAACAGCGGATAAAACTTCAACAGCAAACCCATAACAGATCGAACAAATACCTCCAACTAAACCAAGAGAATTTGAACAAGCAATCATAAAACTTAATGGAACTCTGATTGAATCAGGAGCATAATAATTAGTATAATAATATAACCCACCTGAAGTTGGCATGGATGAACCCAAGATAGTCATTGAAATACCGGTACATAAGATGAAAATACCAGCAACAAACCAACCCCAAACCAAACCAACAGGACCTGATTCTAAACCAGTATAGATAGTTGAAGAAATAGATGGTAAAAGACCCATAATACTAAAGGCAATACCAAACACTTGTAAAGTGGAATAATGTCTGTTTAATTCTTGTTTATACCCGATTTGGGCTAATAATTCATCATCATTGGCCACATGTAAGGGATCAATTGATCTTAATTCTGATTTATTGGATAAAATCGTATGAAGATGTTCTTCAGTTCTTGATTTTATTGTATTCATCGTTGAGTTAAATTAAATTAAAGTGAATAAATAAAAAATGAATAAATGAATGCAAAATAAAAGATGTATAATGGGGGAATTGAAACGGTTAAATATATAGTAAAAGATGATAATGATGATGATGAATGATAATAATGAATTTAGATTATGTAGGTAAAGATAACGGGATAACGGCAATCATAAAAAAAAATTTAAAAATTTAAAATTAAACGTAAATAAAATAAAATAAAATAATAATTAAATTTAACGGAGAGATAAATAGCGATGAAGGAGTAAAAAGGTTTAGATTTTACAGGGCGAGATCAAGAGTGGTGTAAGGAAGGAAAGAAGGGTGGAAGTGGAAGTGGAAGTGGAAGTTGATTTTCACAGTCTAATCTATTTAAATAAAAGGTGCGGCATATGTCCTATTTTGGTTATCTCAATTGATTACGATCAGTTCAATTGTGGAACCATATGTGTGTGGATTGTGTGAATTGGATTGGCTTAAATGTTCCAAGTTTAACTTAATTCATATGATATTTCTCTTTCATAAGTTACTCCTATGCTACTTATGGTTTGATTCCATAGTATCACATAGATAGTTGCTATACAGTTGAAAGGTACAACTTTTGATTTTCTTATCTTTAAATTTCTTTTTTTCTGTTTGTTTGGCGGGTTTGAAAAAATAGCTATCAGTCCCAAATAGGCAATTGGAAGACAAGGCGATAATTTATTTTATTTTACCGCTATAAACTAACAAATTAAGTATAAATTGTATAGTTCACTATTTGATTTGATTGATTGATTGTCTATGTGGTTAATGATAATCTTAGCTTGTCATTGTCATGTCTTGGCTCGTTAAATTCTTTTCGTGTTTCAATCAATCTTGCATATCAGTTACTACCACTGCTACAAATAATGTAACACATATTGTTCCAATTACTTATTTGGGCAGATCCCGGTAAATTCTTCTTATCAACATCGGATTGATCTATTCTGTAAAATTATATCGTACTTAACCATTTAGCGGTTTTACTAAGTGAATCAATCTAGTGATACATATCATTTAATGAGATATTAAATTATCATTATCGGTAAATAAATCTATTAAACACTTCGTAATTTTAAAATGATATGATCCCACTTTTATTAACGAGTTAGTAAAAAAAGAAATATATATGGCTTTAATTTATGATTAAGATAAAATTAAGATCATATCATATCATTGGTGATGATGATCAAATTAATGTTACGGATAACAAGGGAAGGAAGGGTTTTGAATCACTGGGTCATTGTCATTATTACAGACAGATCATCAAACTAAAATGAATTAAAAGATATGCATTATGTATACAATTATTAAATGACATATGGCTGAAATTAAATTAATGGCTTACTGATATGATATGAAGTGGAGTAAACTGGAGAGGAATGGACTGGAATTGGCCTGGACCGTTTTATATTTTATTTTGGATGTAATTTTGTTAGCGGTTAAATATTGAGATTAATTCCTAATTAGGAAGGGATAATAAGTCACCTGCCCATTTGCACGTGATGTAGTCTCTTGTTTAAAGATAATAATAATTCTACTTTGATTAAACAAATTGGGCTTACCATAATTATTTGTCCCAACTAAACAACTGTTAGATTAATGATAAAATAACACTTAATAAACTAACCATCAATAATAATTTTGGAATTTTAATCATTTGAGAATCTGATTTTGTTGCCTTATTTACGGCATATGATAATCCACAATTATAAATTACATTATCATAAAAGTCAGTTCCATTTGTATTTTCAAGAGAGATAGCCAAATTTGATAACCCACAATCATATTCTTGCAGAGTGATATTTGGTTGTAGGTCTCTTGACATTAACTCCAGACCCAATTGTCTCTTATGTTTATTCATATATTGATAATAACTTATTCCACATTGATAATCATCTTCAAACTTTTGTAACACATAACTCACATCAGTCAAGTTAGTGATATCAATTGGGATATTGGTGATAGTGAGATTTGTAGATCCACAGTCTAAAAACGTCAAGTTTGATGGATTTGAAGCAAGGTTAATCATCCTTTCGTTATATATATGTTAACAATTAATTAATGCAAATTATTTTAAAATCCTTGGAAATCGGAATATATTTAAACTATAGCCAAACATTTCCTTGACGGTTAAGTTTTATAATCAACAAATTGATTAACCCCTTCTATGAAACGACAAGTCAAGGCAAGGCAAGGCAAGGTACTAATCGAAACTTTAATTAATGCGATAACCATGCATGGTAAATTTGCGCGTGAAGACTTATTTGCAAAGGAGGTTTATATAATCAATATAGAGATACAGTACTTAGTTTTAATAGAATGATGTGCAAAATGGGCTAATCATAAATCTGTTACCAATTCTCCTTATTTTTGTTGGGATAGTCTCACCAAAGATATCAGTGATGTATAGATTAATGATAAGTAGAAAGTATGGAAGGTAATAATAATAATAATATTCTGCAGATTTGTAGCCTCGATATGTTGTTAAAAATAGTTTCGGAATAGTTGTGAAATTATCCACCTTAATCTTCTTAGGTAAATGCAATACACCTACTAAGGCACCTACTAAGGCATCCTTTAATTGGGGGTAAAGTAAATTAACATAGTTACAGATAAATATGATTTTTATAGTTTCTCTATCCCAACTCATTTCCTTACAATTCTAATTGTATATATAAATGGTACTTACTGTTTTCAGTAAAATATTGTCGAACGTGGTATAACAGTACTTCAAGTTTACTGAAGTAGAGTAAACTAGATTAGATTAGATTAGACTGGAGTTGATCTAAGAGTAAATATGATGGTAATATTAATTAGCAGTAATAGATTAATTGATAATACGCCCAATTAGGAAATGGGATGAAAGTCACCAGGTCTGCAACCCTAACTATAGACCAACACACGTGATGACTATTTCGATTAATTTGATCAATTTCGCACTACTCACCATAATTAACAGTGAGAGTAAAGAGCACTAAATAATCAGTTAACTATGGAGGGCTTTTATATACAGTCCTGATGAAAATTCCTCTTTACAGAACAGTCAGTCAGTCAGTCAGCTCTCTCTTCCAATCCTTGGGAATGAAAAAAAAAATTTATTTACAGTAATAAATAAATAAATAATTCTTTATTATAGTATTCTTTTAAATCAACTATAGAATTAATATATCAAAATGTATGTAACCCATAGACCATATCCATATCATTGGAATGAATAGGAGTATTATTATCAAATTGTTGAAGTGTCAGAATCAATCAACCATCATAGAGTGAATGAATCAATCATGTATCAGTATGGATAGAGACCATAAATATTTTATCATTATTAAAGTGGACAAGGGAATGAAGAACTAATGTGATAATCATATCGAGTCATAGACATATCATTAATCAAATGTAAAGAAGAACTATTCCTAAACAATCATAGAACGATAGAATCAACTACAACTGAAGTATCATATATTTATAACTAATTTTTCATATCATTTTATCAATCCAAGTTATGACCATACGAATCATATTCCATCATCATTCAACTTTTTAAACTAGTAGAATCAATCACAAGATATCATTACATACCCTCAAGTACATCAAATTAATCATTTACAAACTCTTCAAATCTATAATAAACTATCACTTCAACAACACATATGATAATACCATACCATTCAATACATCTAATGTATCACTACATGAAACATTTTATACTAACATAACTCTTTTTTTATAGGACTAAAAGAACTAAGAAGGTTGGTATTACCGGTAAATTCGGTGTCAGATATGGTTCATCTTTAAGAAGACAAACCAAAAAATTAGAAGTTCAACAACATGCTAAATATGATTGTGCTTTCTGTGGTAAAAGAACTGTTCAAAGAGGTTCAGTTGGTATTTGGTCATGTAAATCTTGTCGTAAAACTTTTGCTGGAGGTGCTTATACTGTTACCACTGCTGCTGCTGCCACTGCTAGATCAACTATCAGAAGATTAAGAGATTTAGTTGAAGCTTAGATTAGTTTTAATGTTCATAATAATATAAAAATATCACTTACCTTTCATATATAAAAAATCAAAAACCAATAATATTAATAAATATATTAATTGTATTTTAACAAATCGAATTTGTATTCATTTATATAGGTAATTCTTACCATTTTCGTGCTAGGTAAGGTTAATCTCACTATATTGAACTATTTAATGCACTCTAGTGAAATGTGATCATTAACATTGTAATAACATTTCTATCTTATATAAATGTAGTAGTTAAAGTAAATAGTTAACCCATTTTTCACTTTAAATTCTCTTTCACGTGACCAACTCCAGCTTTAAATTTCTGAAGTGAGATATTTTTGGCCACTCAATCATACAACAACTCTATATTGATATCACCACAATGATATGACTACCACTATAACAGATTTCATCTTTCCTAAGATTCATACTTTCCCACCCTTATACACCAAACAACCGAATTCAACCATCTTATCTAATCAACTTGACTCATGGTGTCAAATAATCTTATCATATTGTGAATATTATCGAATAACATCATTAACGATAAATGGTATACCTAAATATACTCAATTAGAAACTATCGATCTTGAGAAGATTCCTCCTATATTTGAGAATAAAACAATTAATCGAACTACTAATGACGATTTCAAATCTCTGATTATTCATCATTTGATTTATAAATTGAATAAAGCTGAATATATCAATCCTAAGAAACCAGAATTGGGGATTTATATATATTGGCGATCATTAGTAGAATGGGGACAATTGCTTTATGATTATGTGGATAATTCAGGTCAATTAGGTACAGTGTTGACGATTTATGAATTAACTAAGTCGGATGAAAATGGATTACCTGATAGTTTAAAGAATTTAGATGAGACTTTATTGATTAAGATCGTGAAGGATTTCTTGATTAAACAAGGTAAGGCTCAAATCTTGATGACTGAAGATAATGAAATTGGTGGTGTTAAGATTGTATAACATTTTTAATGTAATGATATTTGATAGAATTTTAAACCAGTGTAGGTCCCATTCTTGCCATTGATGTTAGTTTTCATTTCATTTATCAAGTTGAAATTGGAGATAGACATCACCAGGCAGATATATACTAAATAACCTCTGATTATAGGTGATTTCGTTTTTGCAATCACCAAAAATTCACAGGTTATGGCTAATTCTAGGTACTTCAGAGAAACTTTTACTTTATTTTCATTATACTAAGGTTTATCATTAAGATATACTTTACCCATCTCACTTCTCATGAAGTGTATAAATTAGCCTACATTGATAGTTTTATAGACTAATAAAGAATTGTATAACTTCCTAATTAGGCAGTCTAGAAATATTTATCCCATCGTTACACAAAAAAATATCACTTTCTCATCCTCACTATAAAAAATTTTCTGATCACCATATTCAAATTCAAATTAAGTATAAAATCTTCTTCTTTCTTTCTTCCCGCTTAAATCAGTCATTTAAGAGGGCAAATCTATAGATAGAATACATATCATCAATCAACTCATTCCAACTCGTTCGTTCGAATTGTCATTGATCATTTTAAAAAAAAGTGTATTGAAAAAGAACAAATATTGATCCATTTATTTGTTGTTGTTGTTTTTCAAGATTCATAGAATTTATAGACCTATTTAATATCGTGTCAATCGACGTGTTTTAAAAGCCCATTACTCTTGATAACCATCGTGGTAATCCATATTATAAATATTATAAAAGTTTAAAATGAAGTACGTTGTTGTTTCTGGTGGGGTTATTTCTGGTATTGGTAAGGGAGTATTAGCTTCTTCTACTGGATTATTATTTAAAACTTTAGGATTAAGAGTTACATCGATTAAAATCGATCCTTATATGAATATCGATGCTGGAACTATGTCTCCCTTGGAACATGGTGAATGTTTTGTTTTGAATGATGGTGGTGAAGTTGATTTGGATTTAGGTAATTATGAAAGATATTTAAATGTTACTTTAACTAAGAATCATAATATTACTACTGGTAAGATTTATTCTCATGTTATTGAAAGAGAAAGAAATGGAGATTATTTAGGTAAAACAGTTCAAGTAGTTCCTCATATTACTGGTGCTATTCAAGATTGGATTGAAAGAGTAGCTAAAATCCCCGTTGATGATACTGGATTAGAACCTGAAATTTGTATTATTGAATTAGGTGGTACTGTAGGTGATATTGAAAGTGCTCCATTTGTGGAAGCATTAAGACAATTTCAATTCAGAGTTGGACCAGAAAATTTCGCTTTAATTCATGTTTCATTAGTACCTGTTATTCATGGTGAACAAAAAACCAAACCAACTCAAGCTGCTATTAAAGATTTAAGATCTTTAGGTTTAACTCCTGATATGATTGCTTGTAGATGTCAAGAAGAATTAGAAGTGGCTACCATTGAAAAAATTGGAATGTTTTGTCATGTTGGACCTGAACAAGTTATTGCTGTTCATGATGTTAATTCAACTTATCATGTTCCATTATTATTAATTCAACAAAAAATTATGAAATTTTTATCTAAAAAATTACAAATTAAAGATATTAGTCAACCTGCCATTATAAAGGGTGAACAATTATTATCAAAATGGAAAAAATTAACTAGTGCTCATGATAGATCATTTGAAACAGTTACTATTGCTTTAGTTGGTAAATATACTCATTTAAAGGATTCTTATTTATCGGTGATTAAAGCTTTAGAACATTCATCCATGAGTTGTAATAGAAGATTAAAAATTGAATGGGTTGAATCATCTGATTTAGAAGAAGAAACCAAAACCGCGGATTTATCAAAATATCATAAAGCATGGCATTATGTTTGTCAAGCGGATGGGATTTTAGTTCCAGGTGGATTTGGTAGTAGAGGTATTGAAGGTATGATTGCTGTTGCCAAATATGCTAGAGAAAATGATATTCCATATTTAGGAGTTTGTTTAGGTTTACAAATTGCCGTGATTGAAATTGTTAGAAATATCCTTGGTATAAAGAATTCTACATCTCAAGAATTTGATAAAGATATTTCTGAAGATGAAGCTTCAGTAGTTTATATGCCTGATGTTGATCAAGTTAAATTAGGAGGTACTATGAGATTAGGTATTCATTCTACTAAATTTGTGGAAGATTCGAAATGGTCAAAATTAAGACAATTATATGGTGGATCAGATGCTGTATTAGAAAGACATAGACATAGATATGAAGTTAATCCTAAATTAATTAGTGATATTGAAACCAAATCAGGGTTAAATTTCATTGGTAAAGATGAAACTGAATCCAGAATGGAAATTATTGAATTAAAAGATCATAAATTCTTTGTCGGTACTCAATATCATCCTGAATATTTATCTAAAGTTTTAGATCCTTCAAGACCTTTCTTAGGGTTAGTGGCTGCTGCTGCTGGTATCTTAGATGATGTTTTAGCTAGAGATGATTTAAATTATAAAGGTGAATTTTAATCATCTTGTCTATTTGTTATACTCTTTTTCTTCCTTCTTCTTGATTACTATTGTTTCTTAATACTTTACCTTTTTTTGTTATAATAATCATAATTGCTTTATTACTTTCATTTACATAAACCTTTTTGCATAATAATTTGCTTCATATATAGATAGTAGATTTAACCCCCCTCCCCCCTCACAATATACATATATACATACGCTAAACCCCTACGCTCACCCTGTAAAGATATGATAAACCAAATCAATTGTGTTCCTGCCATTATACAGATGATATAAAAATCAAATCTATATTATAATTCTAATAAATAAATAAATAAATAAGCAAATAAATAATATCCTGTAAATAAGGATTTCCCAAATCAACCTCCTAGACCCTTAATTGCTGCAAATTTAATCTAAACATGCACCAACCCAATCTATATCAGGATCTATATATAAATCATGAGGTATATCGTTAAACCGCAAACCTTGAGCTACGATTCGATGGACCAGATCATAATTCAACCATCTACTTCTACTTGGATCATCTTCTTCATAGACATTCCCACTAAGCCCAACACTACCAATATTACCACTTGTGACAAAATCAAATACACATTCATGTACTCCAAAGTCAATACCTTCTCTATCCATATCTCTTAATTCAAATGGTTGTATTAGTAAACCACCATTTGGTTCAATGGTATAATTATATCTTCGACCTGTTGTATTGATACAAGTTATGAAATCGATAATGTGTGACTCATTAACATAACGTATGGCAGAAACAGACGATAATAAGCAAATTAGGACGAATAAAAGTTTAGGCATTATCATTATAGTGATATGATCAGGTACTTACGGTTGAGATACTTAATATCACACTAAAACTTAAAAAGATAAAGAAAATAATAATACCAAAAGATGATGTAATTAAAGTTAGAGGTTTAAACCAATTAGAGACGAGATCAGAAAAAGAGAGTCCGATATTAAGGAGGAGGAGACACACTAAAACTTTAATTATTTCAAATACCGACAATGACAATGATGACCGCCCGCTAAAATTTCTCAGTAAATAAATTAAATTTACCCAGTAGCGTAAATAGCGAACAGACTGACAACACAAAACATTAGCTAACATATGGTAACAGCAATATTCCCTCTACATTACCAAGAATAGTAATAATAAAGTAACGTAACTAAACCTAGATTAACTTTTTGAGATGATTTCGCCTAATACATATTGTAGTCATTAGAGTTAACTTAAGTGAATCATCGTTTCATATAGTGTGTAGAGTAGAGTATACTGAATGATGATGAGGGTTCATATGCATTCATTCAATTCTCACTAAAATAAATCTGGAGAACGATTATTTAAAGGAGCGGGCCCGCTCCTCATTTCCAAAATTTTTATAAATCATTCCATTTCTTCTTCTTCTTCTTCTTCTTTCTTCTTCTTAATCAACCAACGAATTCAATCAATTCAACAGTTTATCAAATCAAATTTTAATCAAATCTTACCATGTCAGCTTATACTCAAACTTTAGTCAATTACGGTGATGAAAAGGGATGTGATTGTGGTCCAGATTGTAAATGCGCTAGTACTGAAAGTTGTACTTGTGGATCCAAGAAATAAGTAAGTAAGTGAATTAATTTGAATCTTGTTTCTTTAATCAATTATGTTTGCGTTTTATGATGATGATGGGGGTCTGGTGTTTATTATTTAATCAAATCACTGAAAGTGATTATGAATGAATTTCATGATGTGTATAGTTGTTTTTATAGTTAATCTTAATATATTAGTATTATTATTTCCTATTATGTATTGTCTAGTTGTAGTATAGTAGTCAATAGCCTTGAATAGGATAAGATAGGCTATTACTCTTAGTCGTATTGACGGAACTACGGATCATGGATATCTCTTTGTTGCTACAATCATACCACGTAATCAATTCCCAAACATTAGTTTAATACTTACTCCTATGTTACACATACACTGACTAGAATGAAGAGGGGATGACTAAACTATGAAACAAGCTTTTACATAGCATCTTAATACTTTCTTATCATAAAACTCTAATAATTGATGGTTCCTACTGTTTAAAGGTTTACTCGTAAATAAGACTTAAACTGCAAAAAAAGAGATTATTTATCACCATTTGATTCCGACTTTAGTAGAATTGTGGTATGATAATGGTTTAGCTTGGTAAAGATAGGGAGTTTCTTGGAATTGGAATGTTATAGCTCAATTGTAGGTATCTTCCCCTTCCCATGCATTTGTAATTTGTAATTTTTTAACAAGAGAAAGTATATAAATAGAGAAGGAAAGTCTTTCCCTTTCATTTTCTTGCTAGTTTTTAGATAAACCATTCGAAATCAATTAAAACCATTTCACTATTATTCAATCAACTACTAATCATGTCTAAACCTTCAACTACTACCAAAGGATGCAAAATCTGTAACTGCTGTCCCATTAATGCTTGTGCTTGTCCTCAATGTTGTGGTGGCGTCTAATTCACGGATTCCTACTTTTTATTAAGTTTATAGTATCTCTTTGTTTATTCATCTATAAACGTCTTTTTATATGTATTATTCATTACTGTACAACTTCACCTTCCTCCCTTACTTTGAAAACTGTTTTATTATAGAACCATACTCTTCAGTAGTTACAAATTCCTCTACTTTACTATTACTCAACTTTTGTAATGATTCATTTTGTTCTAAATATTGTTTAACTTCTTTTAAACCTCCATCACTTAATTTTTTTAATTTATCATTAAATGAATTTAATTTAGTTATGGTTAATATTCCTACCCACCCCTTTGGATAATCATCAAATATTTCAATGGCTCTAAGGAAATTATTTCTAGCATTAATTAAAATATTCATTAATTCTAATAATTTATCCTTTCTTTCTGTTTTTAAATTCTTTTCTTCTTGTAAAAATTGATAATAATAATTCAATCCAACTTGATAATAAATCGGATATATGAATGAATCTTGTAATAAAATCTCTTTAAAACAATGAATCGCTTTATCATAATGTCCAATCTTACTATATTCATGACCTAATTCTGACCATGCTATTAAATCAGATGGTTGTAAATCTAAGAAATAATTCAAAGTTTCAATATAATCTTCATTATCATCTTCATTTTCATTCATACGACTGAATGTAACTAATCTTCTGGCCAATTGTATTTCATCAGGATTTCGATTAATCAAATTTAAAGCTTCTTCTTTATCACCAATAGCTTCTAAATAAATCGATTGTAAAAGCTTTAAACGTTGAGATTTCTTATTATTGCCAAATTGATCTAATAATTTATTCAATACAGTCTTAGCTTCAATATCATTCTTAGTTAATAACGCTAAATAGAATTGTAATTCATAAAGATTAAATAATTCAACCGTAGCTAAAGTATCACCACTTGATAATAAAAATTGTTGTAATTTATCATGATAATAGATTAATTGTGGAGGATTGAAATTAGCAAATGATCCTGATGAAGCAATTAATAAGAAATTGTTCTTAACCACATTTACATCAGCCATATTGAATTGTAGTTGGAACTATGATTGGATGTGATTGATGATACTGTTCTTTGATGGTTGAGGGCTGTTGGCAATATTTCAAAACTTGATTTTGTCCACCATCATTTTTACACCACAGAAAAAAAAAAATGGCAGCCACCACCCACGCTGATTATTGTTTACAATTGAAACCACTATTTGCAATCAAGATAAACCACTAGCAGGCAAGACCAAGCACATCCAACGACATGTCACAGGAACTAGCTGGTGCTTGTGATAAACTACTAACTTCAACTTCTATACTATCGCATACATACGGTATACCGACCATCACTTCAACTCAAGATAAGATTGATGATAAGATCAATCGATTAGAACAAGAACACGTTAAATTATATGATGAATTGACTCATAAATTAGATGAATTGATATATTTGAATGAAGTAGATCAATTACAACATGATGATGAACAAACCATACAGTCTAAATATGAAGAAATTGTTCATTTATACCCTATGCTTCCACCCATTAAATTAGAATCATTCATAAAAGCTCATAATTCAACTATAAAGACTGATTTATTATTGAATAATTTTATCCAATTAACTGGTCCTATACTACGATCCATACATCAAGATAATACATCATTGACCAATACTGAATTGAATATCTTGACTAATCTTGATAAGTTGTATGCTTTGGATAATGGACTTGTGTTTCAAATCATGCAAAAGTTTAAACTGGGGAAACTTCATGAACAAGAATATAATCAATTACTTGATGATAATGAAAAGTTATTAATAGAGAATTTAAAACCTAAATTGATGGCATTGAAAGATTCAAATGAAACGTTATTATCATTACATAAACAATTGATTAATTCAAAACAACAACAAGTGGATGGGATTGATCTCGATCAAGATATAATCAAACAGATTGAATCAAAGTATCATGATTTAGTCCAACAATGGAATTACTTATCGAAACTATGTACGTTCTTACCTATGCTTATCACTAGTTTACCTTTGAATTGGTATGAAGATAAAACATTATTCAATATCATTCAAGATTGTGAAGATTTTTCAGAGAAATTAGATCGATATCAGACATTATTGAATGTTGAAACTATAAAGGATATCGATACAAAGGATCTTCTTATGTTAGATTTCGATGAATTGATAAATGACAATGACAATGTTAATGACTTATGAAAATATGTATTGTGTTAGCTTTAGTATATACAAGAAAATAAAAACGTAATATATATATAATGTGTGAATGGGGTTTAAACTTGGAAAAGTCTTTTATTAATAACATCCCAATTTATACAATCCCATAAGTTTGATAAATAATCAGCTTTACCTGTAACACCATAATCATTAAGATAAGCTTGATCCCAACAATTTATAGCTAAAATAGGTAAAGTATAATCTCTTTCATCATTCTTAGCTCTTTCCTTTAATCCATTTAAATATTCAAAACTACCTTCATCAACTCCACCATTCAAATCCAAAGATTGATTCTTACCATAATAATATGGTGTACCATCATTATTACATCTTATAATCTTTAATGATTTATTAGGTAATTCAACTAAGAAAACCCATCCTTGACCAAAAGATGAATCAGCTAATAATAACATTCTTTCTCTAAATGTTTCCAAATCAGGGATATCTTGATATGATAATCTTTCCAATAATAATCGAGAAGGTCTGGTCTTTTCTGCTTCTGATTTAGGTATGAATTGTTCCATAAAGAGATGATTATTATGAGCTTGAGATGCATAATGGAAAATATGTTGTTCAGTAGTTTGCTTTGCTGTATTTAATAAGATTTGAAATGGAGTTTTCAATTCATTTTCACTCCCACTAGTATGTAATGATAAATTCAACGTTAAATATTTTTGATAATTGATCCATGCTGATTGAAATCCATGGGAGGAATATAATCCTTCAATACCATTGATAACGTATTGATCTTGATTCTTTAAAACAGGCACATCATGAAAGGATCTTCTCGAAGTCTGTATTATTCTTCCTGCCAATCTACTACCACTTCTATGAAACATTTTAGTGATGTGGAGATACTTTTACCTTTGATCGTGTTGTATAGTTTGAAGTTGAAAAAAATTGAAAGTTTGAAAATTTTGAAAACTATCGCCAAAAAAAAGTAAATTCCTGCACATAATGTAGAGTATACCAAATTGGCTGTTAAAAGTGGATTACATATGCACATGAGCTGTAACTACAAGGAACTACCAGTTAAGGTAAACAAGAATATATATTGTATTTGAAATCTACTACTTACCACTTCTAACATACTAATCTTTTATATTGGATTCCGTAACTGTAGAAATCACCGGTATATTTTGGGCCACCCAATTTATATCTCTTAATAATTTCTTGGGATCATTATTATTTTTATTACTAGTAACGATAGTTAATAATTCATCATAGGGGAATTCTTGTTCTTTATATTCTCGTAAGATTTGATTGGTTTCAAAATCTATGAATACTCTGGTATCTCTAATTCTGAATATAACATTATCAATTCTTAAAAAAAATCGACATAATAATAATAAACATGTAGGCATTACTCTTATCTTAGTGGAAAGCATTGATATCCCATTATCAGCTAATTCATCTTCAAATAGTATCGATTCATCAAAGAATAATATCGGATCTGGTTTTAATAGTTTTTGAATTGGAATTGGTTGAGTGGATTTATGAAAGGTTAAATTCTTAACATGACCTTTATAATTAGGTGAATAAGTCCAATCATAAGGTTTCAACGTATCTAAGTTTTCGGTGAATGTAGATATATCTTTGGTAGAATTCTCTTTTAATGCCTTTTCTGATTTTTCACTTGAATTTGATGATTTCGATTTTCGGGATGCTAACCATTCTTCATGATAACTTACTTTAAATTTACAATCAGGATCTAATGAATCTAAAGCATCCAATGCATTGAATTCAATTTCTTCACCCGTTTTATCATTTATAATCCTTACGAAATTATTCCCAAATATCATTTCTGGTAAGGGGAAATCAAACCGATGTTCACTTAAATCATCCAATTCTTGAGAATTTAGTATTGGCTTCTTGACGGTATATATACTCCAATCATTAATGGTTATCGATGGACGATCTTCAATTGGGAATGATGCTTGTGGAGCTGGGATGATGACTCCTCCACAATGTTCACATGAGGGATTATTACATTCGCCATCGTGAGCAATGGCTGGAACTGATACAGAAGCACCTTTATGATTATTATGTCTATTACTACTAGTACTCGGGAATGAAGAACTCATTATAGATGAACTCGTCCTTGTTGTCGTTGTGGTAGTCTTTGATATTAATGATGGATGTTGGGGAATACCAGAGGTACGCGTTATATTAGAAGTTGCAGTGAATTGTGATGAAGTAGAACTTACATGAGGATGAGGAACAGAACCACTAGCTTGACCTGATGGCAATCTTCCACTAGTATGTAATCTTACCATTTCTCTAGCTTGATTTACATGTACAGCTTCAATTCCGGCTCTCGGTAACCTTGGTTGATTTGGTCTAGCAAATATCTTTGAAGACTTCGAATGATCTGGGGTGGTGCCTGTACCCACATGGCCATCTTCCTTACCTTTGTTTTCTGGATTGGACATTATATTTATCTAGGTATTGATGTTGATTTGATCTGTCTTAATGTTGGAGTTATACGATGAATAGTTAGTTTGATCGAATAAAAAAATTATCTCACCAAAAAATGGAGTAATCAAAAAAATGCAAGAAATGTTCTACGCTACCAACCATTTTTCAAAAAGCAAACTAAATGCACAAATTATATTTTAAAAAAAATCTACTTAATTGTATATCTATACTTACAATCTTTTTATTAATCTTCATCATCAAGGACCTTCATAGCATGATCTTTTCTTAATCCTTCTCTAACTGCCAAAACATTATCCACAATAACAGCATCAACCCCAGCTTTCATTTGAATCTTGGCTAATTCAGGATCATTATTATCACCACCATAAGTAACACAGACTAAACCGGAAGATTTAACTACTTGAGCTAATCTTGGTGTCTTCACTATAGCACCTGCTGCACTTACTATTCCTAACAAATTCCATTTCTTAGCAAATCTAACTGCATTTTGTAAAGATGATGCTCTAATATCAGCCATGGGTGAAGTACCTGATTCAGTTAAGAATAAAATAGGCATGGTTGGTTGTTTTAAAGATAATAAAGCACAAACATCAGGATGGAATGATGAGAATAAAATATCTCTACCGGAAGTGTTTTCATCATAAACGGTTTTTAAAATAGTATCGACATAATAATTTAAATCCATGGCAATTTCACCCATATTTTCTTCTTGAGCTTCATCCAACATAGGATATTTCAATTCCATATTGAATCCTACATTCTTGGGAACCTTTTTGAATAATTCCTTTAAAGTAACAAAACTTGAAGCCACAGATAATCCTCTTGCATTACCTTTGAAACCTTTATCTTTCCAAGTTCTAGTTAATTTCATTCTACGAGTATTTTGATAATGATGAGGATCTTCATCTTTTTCAGATAACTTATCTTCTTTATCAATAGTTGATGATGATGTCAATTTGAAATCTCCAATTTTATTCAACTCATGTGATGATTTAGCTCTTGGTCTATATTTCAAAGCTTCATCATCTTGAGTTTTCTTTTCAATATGTTGCTTATTACCATCTTCTTCACTTAATCCAAGGAATTGTTCTGCTGTTAAGGAATGCATTGGAATATCAACTCCTGATTCAGCCACTAAGAAATCATGATAAACTACAGGAACTGAATCCTTAGTTAATTGAACATCAAACTCAACATATGATGCTCCTAAAGAAGCAGCAGCTATGAATGATTCTACTGTATTTTCACCTAATTGTAAGGATTTTTTACCATTTTCATTCTTACCTAACCCTCTATGACCAATAACTCTGGTCGAAACTAATTGTTTCCAATAAGTATCAGATCTTTCAATCGACATTGATTTATGTTCGAATGGAGTCACACATAAATATTCAAATCTAATGGATCCTAAAATATCCAAAGTTGAAGATTCAAGAATTGGAACCGTGATATTATTATTCAATGAACGATAATTACTTCCAACTTTAGTATAGGCATCTTTTAAAATCGCCATGGCTCTACCTAATACTTTATCATTCAGTTGTTGAGGTTTAGCAAGTTCAGAAGTTAATTGATAAGTTGGAATCAAATCAAATGTAATGATAATATCATTTGATTTAACATTATTATTTAATTTAAATGTAATTGGATCAGTAGCACTACCATGATGATCTTCCAATGGTAAATCAATTATAACTGGAGGTTCAACCAATTTATTCGATAATTTCTGTTTACACGAGATTGATAATGATAAAGCGGTATCCAATTCAGTTTTGAAACTTTTCGTTAAAGCAGTTGAAATTTTATTTAAATCAATTGGAGTTTCATTATCCCTTAAATCAGTAGTACCCAAGGTAATTAAAATTAATGATTCATCCGGTTGTAAAAATCTATGGCCAAAAGATTTGATAGGTTTGGCGGCTTTTCTTCTTTTACCAAGAGGAGATTTCGATCTTGGAATTGATGAGGATGAACCAGTTTGTTTCAATTGTTTATAAACATCATTCATAGTGATATGTTTAGAAGTAGGTTCAGGTAATTTATCAATACTTGAAGTGGCTTCAAGTGATATGGATTGAGTTGGAGTGATTGAAGGAGGTAAACTAGCTTCTGAAGCAGCAGCAATAGCAGCAGAGGCCGAAGCAGAGAATTCACGAGGTAAATTATTTTCAGGATGATAAACATCATAAATTAACACTTTTTCATTTTTAGGTTTTAATAAATCAGCAATAGCTAAATGACCTCTTAAACATGCATGTTCCATAGGTAACCAACCGGAACCATCAACGATTTCAAAATTAGTATCATAATCTAATAATAATTCCACTACTTCTTTATACCCTTCACTAGCAGCAATGAAAATTGGAGTCCACCCAAATACCAATTCCCCAATTTCAGGATCAGCTTTATTCTTTAATAAGAATTCAACTAAATTAACATAATTTAATTTAGATGCGATATATAAGGCAGATTCATTATTATGTTCTAAGTCAGTATAATTAATATCGATTTTTCCTTGAATTAATAATGAATTTAAAATTCGAGGGGAATTTAATCTTACTGATAATAATAAAAGATCTTGACAAGTTAATTTATTAGCATTATTAAAGATGATTAAATTTTCAGTAGTTTTAGGATGTTTACCGATGATTGATAAATGTAAGGGAGTTAAATTTTCTTGATCACCCCAAACTTCAATATTATCAATGGAAACGTTGGTATTGATTAAATCCCAATTCGATAAGTAATCCAAGAAGATATTGGTAATTACTTTTAATCCATATTGAGCCGAATAATGAAGTGGAGTTCTTGAATAATTATCCTTAGCAATAAGAACTTGTTTTAAGTTTAATTTAGGATCGGAATGTTCAATTTTATGAAGGATATAAGATAACCCTTCGAAATTATTAGAAATTTTCTCATCATCTGATTCTTCTTCTGGGATTTCACCTTCCTTTGCAGTTTGTTCTTTAATGAATTGTTTCTTACCTAAACTGATAATATGTTGATGAAAGAAATTTCTACCACTAATGTCAGAAGGATCATAAAGGAAATTTTCATAAATTTGAGATTTATTAATGACGAATTTTTCTAAATAAATGAATAATTCATCAATACAATGAGTGGAATTATCAGTTGCTGATTTATTTAATAATGAAATTAAGAATTTTAATGAGATACGATCAGTAACTTTACTTAATTCAGTAATTAATAAAGATGAATTATCAGTTAAGATTAAATCGTAATAATTATCAAGAGAAGATTGATCGAATGAATGTCTTCTTCTTGTTCCAATATTAAGGAATTTAAAATTTCTTGATTCATTTCTAATAATTTCAGCCTCAGATATTTCTTCTTCATCTTGTTTTCCATCATCTAATTGATTAAGTAAGATATTAATGGTATCTAAACTTGAGATCAATTCAGTTTCATTAGCAAATGGTAAAGCATTGACTCTTGTAGATAAATAATTATCTTTGTTTTGATTTGATAATTCAAATGAGAATTTAGTTTCACTTGAAGAATCTAAATTATCATGAATTAAGGATGATATTTTCTTATCTAATTTCTTTAAGATTTTGATAAATCCTTTATGATTCAATTCTCCAAACCATTTTAAATTCCTAAAAATAGTTTTCAATTCTAAAAGGATATGTAAAATCTCATCTAATTCATCATTTGATTCAATTTGATGATTAATGGTTTTTGATTGATTATTATATCCTAAAACTTGAATGATTTTATCTAATCTACGCTTATATTCATTATATTTGACATTATAGAATTCATTAACTCTTTCAATATCACGATCCAATTCAAAGAAGAATGAAGATAATACATGACTGATAATATCTGATATTGATTGAGTTGATTCCAGTTGATTTTGTTGGAAATCATCAAATACTTGATCAACATTCTTAATGATTTTCTTTAATTGTTTATATTGCATGTAAAAGATAGACCATTCAGGAATCTGATGGGATACAAATGTCTTACCAAACTTCATCTTGATCTAGTCGTTAATGTGATGATAGCGATTGATAGGAACGATGAGGAATTACGTTTTTCTTTTGTGATTGATGATCAATCCAATTAATCAATTCAATGAATGGATCAACGTGATAGAATGAACTTGATCAATCGATTGATTCAATACCAAAATGAAAGAAATCAATTGAATCAGTTTGATTGACCGTCAATTTTTGAACAAATTTTATTTATTTATTTCTTTGTATGGAGTTATTTGCAGCCCCAAAAAATTGGTATTACTGTAATTTACACGTGCCTAATTTTACCCTTTTAAATCAGATGAGTGCGGACTCTCCTACTTAATTAAGCATGTCTAAACCAATAGTAGTTATAGTAACTATGACAAGTAATTATGAACAGAGAATGATAATAGTTATACTGTAGGACTTAGAGATATAGGTGTTGAAAATTAGAAATATAGAATGAGACAGGTAGAACTAGTATAATAAGAATAATGAGTTAACCCACAGCACAGCACAATTAAAGGGGATCAACAGTAGGAGTATGCTAAGTCTAAAATGTAATAATAGTAATGTTAGACATAATAATATAGTTAATTAGCCCCCCCCTCCCGTCTATCTTCATACATATCAAAAATAATTTGACATTAAATTGACATGTCTTTAATTAAAATTCAATTTGAAGTTAATTTATGATTTGTCGCAAATGATTTGTCATAAAAATTATGAACACAAAAAATGACAAACCACAAATGAAAAAATGACATAGATGTTATCCTGTATGTAAAATAATCATCATCGTCGTTTTTAATAGTCAAGTAGATTGGATTGGGCATCAGAAGTGGTAAATCTCGGTTAAATTTCTTGTAATGATATTCTTTTGAAGTACGTTAAGAGGGGGGAATGATGATCTTTAAAACTATAGAATAATATAAAATGATCATATCAATCATCGAAGTTAGTTAAAAATAAAACTTTGTTCTATTAAAAGCAATTAACAGAGATGAAAGTGGAGTGGAGTGGAGTGGAGTGAAGGCATAGAAAATAGTATCAAAACATAGTCCAGATTCTATGTGGGGCGTATCAAACAATATTATTAATCAGAATTGTCTAGCCTATAAACTATTAAACCATCTCTCTGTTAATTAACTTTAAAGGAAGTGGTCTTTGTTTATGACGTTTTAATGCTAAGTAAAAACATCCATCGCACTTTGTTTCCCTTTCAGTCGACACGTTAATAAAATTAAATTATCTCTCGCACTCAATTTCTGTTTTAGTCGTGAGTTCCATTCATCATCGCCATTTAATTTACGTGTATGGATATATATAAAGACCAGAGTGTTTCACTAATCATTTACAACTTTTTACTAATATTTGTTCTTTAGAGATAATTCTTACCTTATCACATTTACTATTTATAAACTTATCATCTATTCATAATGACTGAAAGTATGTATAATTATATTTATCTAAATTGTCATAACCATGTTTGTACACCCGCTTTGGCACCAAAAAAATTACTTTTAGCATCAATTTACTAACCCATTTTACTAGTTGAATATAAATTCCATACTTCAAGAAAAGCAGCTATTATTACTGCTCCATTCTCAGGAGGTCAACCTAAAGGTGGGGTTGAATTAGGTCCTGAATATATTTTAAATGCTGGATTTGAAAAACAAATTAGTTCATTAGGTTGGGAAACTGAAGTTAAACATCCATTACAACATACCACATTTGAATCAATGAAATCAAATGAAAAGGATAAATATGGGGTTAAAAATTCAAAAATTGTCAGTGAATGTTGTAAAATCATTCATGATACTGTTAAAGAAAGTTTATCCAATGAACAATTACCAATCACTATTGGAGGAGATCATTCTATTGGTACTGCCACGGTTAGTGCTGCTTTAGAACATAATGAAGATACTTGTGTATTATGGATTGATGCTCATGCTGATATAAATACTCCTTTAACTACGGAATCAGGTAATTTACATGGATGTCCAATTTCATTTATATTAGGTATTGATAAACATAGTTATCCACCTGATTTTGATTGGGTACCATCTAAATTAAAACCAAATAAATTAGTTTTCATTGGATTAAGAGATGTTGATGAAGGTGAAAAGAAAATTTTACGTGAACATAATGTTCCAGCATTTTCAATGTATCATATTGATAAATATGGAATTGGGAAAGTTATTGAAATGGCATTAGATAAAGTTAATCCTGATAGAAAATTCCCAATTCATTTATCTTATGATGTTGATGCTATAGATCCATCTTTTGTTCCTGCTACCGGTACAAGAGTTGAAGGTGGATTATCATTAAGAGAAGGATTATTTATTGCTGAAGAAGTAGCCCAAACTGGATTATTAAGTTCATTGGATATTGTGGAAACCAATCCATTATTGGCTGAAACTGAAGAACATATTTTAGATACTGTAAGTGCTGCTTGTGCAATTGGTAGATGTGCATTAGGTCAAACCTTGTTATAAGATTTGGTTTGACTGATCAATATGATTGATTTATAGAATTAATTAAAAATTGTTTTTAAATATTAAAACTGTGGTAGTATATAATTTACTATATATATAAAATTTTTTGGGGTCAAATAAATAAATAAATAAGAAAAATTATTATTATTATTATTATTATTGTTTATCATTCCTGTGTATGTAGTATTATGTGATATGGGAGTACAATGGCAATTGATAAGTGGTGATAGATAGGATAAGTGGTGATAGTATATAGTATATATCCACCACATGGTGATGTTCTCTCTCTATATAATTTATATACAGGACTACTACGCCCCCTCACATCATTTAACTAGCACTTTGTACTAAAGTGGAATTTTCAATTGTGGGAGCAAGGGAAGACTTAAAATTCCCCTAAATTTTAAAATTCAAAACTGTAATAAATATATATGTATTTTACCGTCTTCTTCTTCTCAATTGTTATCAATTGAATCAATTACTTCATCCTCACAAATATGTCTGCTATCATCGCCTCTGCTATTCCAACTGGTATAACTCAAGATAGAGTTGAGAAATTCTTTTCCTTTTGTGGAGATATCAAATCTATTAAATTAATTTCATCGAGTCCAACTCAAAGTTATGAAATTGTTTTTTCATCTTCTAAAGCTTTAGAAACTGCTTTATTATTAAATGAAGCTGAATTAGATGGTACTCCCATCAAAGTTGTTGAAGATAGAACCACTGAATCTGAAGATAAACCTCCTCAATATAGTGAATCCAGTACCGTTACTGCTAGTGGGGATCATAAAGTTCAATCGGGAGTTCATCATGGTGAAGATGATATTAAACAAGAGGAAAAACCAAAATATGTTATTGTGACTCAATTATTGGCTAATGGATATACTTTAAGTGATCATATTATTAATAAACTGATTGAATATGATAAACAACAAGGATATTCAAATCATTTTAAAAGTTTTTTAAGTGGATTAGATGAAAAATATATTCATTCAAAAGAGCCTGAATCTGATTTTAATAAGAATTTAGGTAAAGCCCAAACTAAATTGACTGATATTCAATCTCAAGTTCAAACTCAATTGCAAAATTCAAAATATAGTTCTAAATTATCCAAATATTATGATCAAGCTGCCAATCATCCATATGGTGTTAAAGTTCATCAATTTTATACTGATTTTGCTAAGGATGTGAAGTCAGTTCATGAAGAAGCTAAAAGATTGAGTGATATTCAAAAGGCTGAAAAGGCCACTCCAAGTAGTTCAACTCCTAGCACTACTACTTCTGAAAAGCCAAGTGCTTAGATAAGAGGTGTGTGTGTGCGTGAAGAGTCCGTAACTAGAACTGTTGTGAGATTGAATTTTTTTAAGTATGTAGTATTTGTTGAATAGTAACTATATAAAAATATACGTTTTAGTTTTAAGATTATAGATTTGATCTAGAAATGGTCTAGGTCAATATTTTTTGCAATAAAAAAAAAAAAAGCGGCGGCATAAAGAAAAAAATAAAGAATAATTTCACAACCACAAATATAAGTGTATAACTCTCTTCTCCTTGATTACTTCATGATGGTCAACCTATCAGATTTAAACAAATTCATGGGATCATTCACAATGAAACCAATTAGTCCAAGTAATTCTATTTATTCATTCATTTCATCTCTAACTATTTTCAATGATTTAGATTATAAACCATATAAATCAAAATATGATAATGATAAAGATTATATTGAAGAGAAAGATGATCCTCCAACTCTTAAGAATGTACCTCTTGAATTACAAATGATAGATCCAAATCATCATCATCCCTCACAAGAGAAACAAGTTCAAGTTACCAATTATTATCATATTAAACCTGATGCTTTATTTTTACCAGTTTATAAAGGGTATGAAATTCGATGTTTTTCAGAATTAGGGTATAAGATCCAAACTAATTTAAAGATGATTGAGGATATTCATATTAAGGATAATGAATTTAGTATTAAAGATGGGTATAGATATAGAAGAGAGTAAGTTATACCCTAAACTTTGAAAGTTAAGGATGATTTTAAGGTACTAACTAATGTCAGTTATTGTGATATTAGATCATTTTTTATTCATTCATTTGATACCCCAAATCATAAACCACGATTTTGTTTAAGAATATATCAAAAGATTGATTTACCATTACGATTTTATATTATATTCTTAAGATCGATTCGATTTGATTGTCCTAAATCTAATCAAAGTAATAATAATAATAATGAATATAAATTTCAATATAATTCAATGATACAACCAAGTTTGATGGATGCTATTAAATTCTTACAATTCCAATTACCTTATTTTGTTCTGATTATATTATATTATACTAAATTCACTAATTATGAAATTTCATATTCATTAGTATAAACTTTTAATTTAGACGCTCTGTATAGATGGGACACTTTATATATATATACGATGACGATATCCGATAAAACTCCGAAATAAATAAATTAATAAACAGATTTACAATTTACACTAAAGTGATATGGGGATATGATTGGAAAAAGATGAATCATCCATCAGTTGACTAACTATTAATAGTATGATAATGGAATGGAATGGATGGGAATAAAACTCCGAAAGTTAAAAATATTTTTATTTTATGAGTCCATTTTTTTTGGTTGGTTGGTTGGTGCTTTGAATTACCCCGGACTTTGAGATTTAGACCTTATTTGATTTGTTAGTTAATGAATTAATTAAACGGTTGGGTTGGGTTGGATAGTGTTGAGTTGGGTTAACCGGTTAATTAATTAATATAATATATGTTATATATATAACATATTTATATATCATTATAATTTATGATCACACTAGTTATAGTATGATGTAACCATATCATATCATATCATATCATATAGTATAATTGTATAAATCCAGTTCCTTTCTTTCATATGAAAAGTCCCTGTAACCCGCGGTCTGAAATAATCAGACAGACAAAAAGTTACCAGTAAAAATCAGACAGACACAAAATTAAAATACTGCAAAAAAAGTCAGTCAGACTTTTTTTTTTTAAGTCAAAGTTCCATGTCTCCGGGGAATAACCATTTTTAAAACTAAAGTCATATTAAATTTTCAGCAAAACTGATTTACCCCGGATTATAAAAAAAGGTCAATTTATTTCTAAATAGGTATATAGTGAATATAAAATTTACCTATTTTCCACTAAAAATTCAGCTGATCCTTTAAAATTTCACTTTCTCTTCTTCTTTATCAAAGTTCTATAAAGTTGTATCTTAGTATATAACTTTCAATTGTCTCATATATATCGATAGAACTATTTCCTCCTTATTTATTTATTCATTCTTCTTATTTATTCTTCATTCATATCCTTTTAATTCTTTCATTAGTCTTGCATTATAGTTAACTTGTCCTCCTCCCATCATCATGTCATCTGCAACTACTACTACAACTACTACCCCACCAAAGTTTGCTCCTAAAAAGAAAGGAAGAGGTGTCACCGATTTAATTGCTGGTGGTACCGCTGGTTTATTCGAAGCTTTATGTTGTCATCCTTTAGATACCATCAAAGTTAGAATGCAATTATATCGAAAATCAGGTAAAAAACCTCCTGGTTTTGTTAGAACTGGAATAAATATCGCTCAAAAAGAAACTATCTTATCATTATATAAAGGTTTAGGAGCCGTTGTTATTGGTATTGTTCCAAAAATGGGAATTAGATTCTCATCTTATGAATTTTATCGTTCTTTATTATATGCTCCAGATGGCTCTATCACTACCGGTCAAACCTTTTTAGCCGGTGTAGGTGCAGGTATAACTGAAGCTGTAATGGTTGTAAATCCAATGGAAGTGGTTAAAATTAGATTACAAGCTCAACATCATTCTATGGCTGATCCATTAGATGTACCAAAATATAGAAATGCTCCTCATGCTGCATATCTTATTGTTAGAGAAGAAGGATTTGGAACTCTTTATAGAGGGGTTTCATTAACCGCTGCAAGACAAGCTTCAAATCAAGGGGTTAATTTCACCGTTTATTCTAAATTAAAAGAATATTTACAAGGTTATCATAATCAAGAAATCTTACCAAGTTGGGAAACCTCTTTAATTGGGTTAATTTCAGGGGCTTTAGGTCCATTATCAAATGCTCCATTAGATACTATTAAAACAAGATTACAAAAAACCACATTCGCATCAAATGAATCAGGTTTAGTTCGTATTGTTAAAATTGGTCGTCAATTAATTAAAGAAGAAGGTACAAGAGCTCTTTATAAAGGTATTACTCCAAGAATTATGAGAGTGGCTCCAGGTCAAGCTGTTACTTTTACAGTTTATGAATATATTAAAGATATTTTAAATGGTAATCAAAATGCTCCAACAGTAGGTTTAACTTCTGCTGCTGATAAAAAATTAAAGTAGTCATTCCCTACTTTTCATATAGTTTAGCTTAATCAAATTAAAAAGTTATATTGTATATATACATCTTTAAAAATATAAAATTATTCAAGTTATAACTGTAAAGTTGTAGGTTGAATTTTGGTGCGTATGTCCTTTTTTGAAACTTCCTTTAATCCGAGGATCAAAAAATTCGTCTTCATATGAAAAAAAAAATAATAATAACAAGACAAATATAATAAACCCCATACTAAATGTCAAATTATTTGATCGGCTCCGATTTTAAAGTATGAATTGACATATTATCTGATTGGACGTTCGTATGTTAATCCGATATTGTCATAATTTCATGCCGAAAGGTATGGGAGTGGTGGGGGGCTGTCCCACTTTGGTTGTTGCAGATGTTCAGTTTAGTTTAGTTTGCAGCTTTATCCGAATAAGATGGTAGCTCTAATCCAAACCATGCCGAGCTTTGTTTATACAAATGGACAATTTTTGAATATCTTAATATTAAAAACTATACATAGCGAGACTTTACATCTCATTGATTTAGAAATACACTTTATTTACTTTACTTACGCTAAAAGGCTTCACCCTTTTCACGATGAATAGAGAATATATGAGATTTAACCGCATCACCTCTAGCAAATAATTTTCCACAATAATCACACGAGAATGGTTTTTCACCTGAATGAGATCGAGAATGAGTTGTTAATCTATATTTTTGATTAAAACTAGCTCCACATTCTTCACATTTATAGGGTTTTTCTCCCGTATGAACTCTAATATGACGAGTTAAATCGGAAAATTTGACAAATCCTTTCCTACATGGTCCTATCGAACATACATGTTTCTTTTCAGTTCGAGGTTGTTTATATGGGACTCGAGCCACCGCTAAATGATCTTCAGTTCGATGATCCAATAACGCTTGATATGATAAAAATGTCTTCGTGCATCCTACCGTTCCACAATGGAATACTCGTACTTGTTTAAAATCAATATTAGAATCAGTAGATGTAGTAGTGGTAATCCCGGTATCGACCGATGAAATCGAAGTGATGGTTGTATCTATAGTTGGATCAGGTTGAACCATTGATTCATCATTAATAGTGGATTGGGAAGTGGGTCTACTAGCAGTACTGGTTTGTAAATCTTTATGAATGATGGTATAATGATATTCTAAATTAGGCATCTGACTGAATGCTTTATGACATATTTCACATTTATGAATTTTTGGTTTAGAATGTGATCGTTTATGATTCTTACATTCTATTGAAGTGGGGAATTCCTTATCACATATTGGACATATCTTTTCATCAATGATGGGTTTTACAACGGGGATCTTTTTCTCTCTTGGTTTTCTTATTTTTGGAACTTTTATAGCTGTGCCTGAATTTGATCTTTTCTTCTTTTTGGAACTTGTTTCTTTAGTCTTCTTATTTGAATAACCTTCTTCGTCTTCTTCGTCATCCTCTTCATCTTCTTCATCTCCGTTCCCTTCATCCTCTCCATTAAGTTCGAAATCTTCATCATCGACCTCGGAATAATCTTCTTCGTGATCTAATACCACCTCCTCTAAATCTTCCACTTCACTGGCTGATGATCTTCTTCTTTTCTTACTTTTACTCTTATCCGACAATAAAGAATCATCATCCCCACCTTCAGACTTAATCACTCTTTTCTTTGGTTTTGATTTGGTCTTGCTCTTGGTCTTGGTATTCAACTTTGATTTTGATGTTTTGGTTTTACTTAATGGTCCCGATTTGCCCTTATTGGTAGCATCCCCTCTTACATGAGAAACAATATTATCCGATTGATCAAAATCAGAATCATCTCCTGTAGAATGTTTTATTCGTGCTCTTAACGCAGCACGAATCTCTGCTCTCTTAGATGGAACTCTCATCATATATGGTGTTATAATTGAATTGACTAAAGTTGATATCGAATGATTAATTATTTGTGTGTGTGGGATTTGTTTTGTTTTTCGTTCTTTCTTTTCCTGATCCTTTTTTTTTTGTTATGATTTTTAATCCCTTTTTGTGGTAGCACTACTCCTGTATATAAACGAAAACAAATAAGCAGCAGTATAAGGTGATGAAGGCAAATGATTATAACTAGATAGATACAATTCAAGTAATTAACAACAGATTATGATAATATGATGAAGATGATACAACTATCAAGATATAGACCTTTAATCAATCGAACTTTACCCCTTATTTATAAACGTACATCATCACCACCAGCGGCCTTTTTCTCCACTTTCATAAATCATACTCAATTTGCTCGAAAGACAAGGATAACTACTGAAATATCAGATGACGAAGTCAAACGATTCCAACAAAGTCAATTAAATAAGAATCAATCGGGAGAGAAGACAGGTTTCTATTATCATGATAAACCATCTACTCATACTGAATCATACCAAAATGAACCTGCTCAATTCCATACCGTATTCAATATCCCACCCAATGATAATGGACTTATAACTCATGATGATGGAATATATCAATTATTAAAAGAACCCACCCTTGTCATTGAAAGACAAGTAGAATTCATGAATTTATTCCTTGGATTCGAACAAGCTAATCGATATAAAATATTCAATTCATTAGGTGAACAAATTGGTTATATGGAAGAGAAAGATATTGGATTAATGAAAGTTTTAGGAAGACAATTCTTTAGATTACATCGTCCCTTTGATATTGATGTGTTCAATATGTATGGAGATCTTTTATTAACTATCAAACGTCCATTTTCATTCATAAATAGTCATATTAAAGCATACTTACCCGGGTATGATGAAGATAATAATATCATGTTTGAAAATATCGGTGAATCAGTTCAAAGTTGGCATTTATGGAGAAGAAGGTACGATTTGTTTAAATTAGAAGATGATGATGATAAGGATTATCAACAATTTGGATCGATTGATGCTCCATTTTTATCGTTTGATTTCCCCGTAAAGAATGAAAAAGGTGATGTTATAGCTTCTGTGGATAGAAATTGGGTAGGCTTAGGTAGAGAAATGTTTACTGATACCGGAGTTTATATCATTAGAATGGATCCTGCCAGTTTTGCTGGTATGGGTGATTTATACCCATCGGTGGCAGGTCCATTAACTTTAGATCAAAGAGCTATATTATTAGGTAATGCCGTAAGTATTGATTTTGATTATTTTTCAAGACATAGTAATTCTGGTGGATTAGGTTTCTTTTCATTTGGATCAAGTGAATGATCATTCTTCTTTTATATACTTATCTATATATTATATTCATCTGAAGTATCAGCATCAAGATAGTGAGATCTCTCATTATATTCCCCTGCATCAACTCTTTGTATAGTTTTCTCTCTAGCACTTACTAACATTTTTTCCCATTCATCATCATTCTTTTCTTTACTAATATTAATCAATAATCTCATAACCAAACCAGTATAATCTTGTCGTCTTAATTCATTTTCATATTTCCAAGTTTCACGTTTCATTAATTGAGTATGTATTTCAAATTCTTGATTTAATCGTTGAGCTCTTAATAATTTATTATCAGTAACAGCTAATAATGAAAATCTTAATTCATTTCCAAAATGACTTATTCTTTTTTGAATTACTCCAGGTAATTTTTCATAAAATTCTTCATTAGATTGACATTCAACATGTCTAATCGGGCAATTTTTTAATCCATCTAATTCATAAATATACCCATTATTATGAATATATCCTACGAAATGAAAGATCCCATCATCCTGATTCGTATAATTATGGTGACGTCTTGGTTTATCGGTATCAATTAAAGATTGAGGTGGAGAAAATGAATTATGAATAGTACGAATTATATCACTGTTAAGAATAGTATCACCTACCATATAACCATCAAATCCATTTACAAATGATTTGAAATTACGTAAATCATCTCCAATATCAATCTCTTTATCTTTATTTAATAATATATTTAATACCGCTTGAGTAGCACAACTATTTTGAACAGTTTGATTAGCAAAGAACATATCTCGAATTGGATAATCATAATCATATTCCCCTTCAATTGGTTTATTACCATCTAAAGCATATTGATGATCAATCTTTCCATATTTGAAAAGAAAAATAACTCCATAAACTGGATCTAATTGTTTTAATGAATCAGAATCAATCGAATAAAGATCATTAATTTCAACATCTTTGACATTTAACCTTTCAACTAATTCACTGAAAACTCCCTAATCATGATAATAGTTAGTATCAATTGAATAATGGTATTACCTAATCAAACGAGTTATACATACTGCATCGGAATCAATGGTATTCCACCCTGATCCAGACATTGTTTTGATAATTATGTTATGTGTTTTACAGCCAATCCTATACCGTATTGCCTCCCTTTTGATCTAAAATGTTTGATAGTAGAACACACCCCTGCCGCAGTACTATAAATTACCTCTCCGATAACATCCAACCTGCAATACTTAACACAACTATACTTCGGTAAACAAACCGTCCTTCTCATTTTATTAAGCACAAATCCCTACCGCAATACTTAAAGAAGAAAAGTTCGGTTCAATTAACAGTTATTTTGTACCTTGCCGTGCGGAATCCTTTACCGATTACTGTTTTTGGATTCAACACCGAAGATCTCCTAATCCTTAAAATTTAAATTAATATCAATAACGTCAATTTGACGTAAAACTATATAAACGAGATCAATTGTTCTTCAAATTACTCTGTTTTCTCTTTTTCGAACTCATTAATTGAATCTAATCAGTTAAACTCTATATAAATAATAAATAAATCAATCATGGCTTCTTTACCTCCAAGTGCTTGTTGTGCCGTTAAATTCGATCATGAAGGTGAATCAGTTGGTACTTTAAAAACCGTTGCTGGTTTACATTCTTATGTTACTGGTGAATCATATGGGGTTGAAAAAGTTATTATTATTCTTAGTGATATTTTTGGTCTTGCCTTAAAGAATAATTTATTACTTGCTGATCAATTATCTGCTTTAGGTAAAATTCAAGTTATTATTCCTGATATTTTAGGTGGTGATGGTGTTGAATCAATTGAAAAATTCGATAGAACAACCTTTTTCGCTGCTCATGGTCCTCATGTTACTACTCCTCTTGTTAATGAATTCTTAAAGACTTATCGTGAAGAATTCAAACCAAAGACTCTTTTTGGTATTGGTTATTGTTTTGGTGCTTATTTCACTATTGAAAATCTTTCCAAAGATGGTTTATTAGATGCTGGAGCTGTGGCTCATCCATCAATGGTTTCAAAAGAACTCATTGAAAATCTTGCTAAACCACTTTTAATCTCCAGTGGTGAAGCTGATGCTGCTTTCACTCCTGAGTTAAGAGAATTAACTATTAAAATCTTATCTGAAAAGAAAGATCTTAGATGGCAATTAGATTTATTCCAAGGTGCTTATCATGGTTATGCTGTTAAAGGTGATATTTCAGTTCCTTTAATTAAGTATGCTAAAGAAAAAACCGTCATTGATCAAATCTATTGGTTTGGTCAATTTTAGATAATTTGATATATATCTCTTTCTAGCTCTAGTTTCTATATAGATTTTATTACATTTACTTTGTTGTTGTTGTTAATTCTTAATCGTGTAGTAGTAGTAATAGTAAGTTACTTTAGTTATATGAGTTTGTGGCGGTCGTGTCGAATGTTCAAATGTTTTGGCGTAAAGTTCAAACAGTTGAAAAATTAACCAGTGTTGATTTACAAGACACGACATGAACACGAGTGATAACTTCCTTCAATTGATCATCCATCATTATCAACAAATAGCATTAATAATATATCAATCATAATCATGACTTACGGCGAATCATATTTGGAATACTCACAATTATACACCACTGGTTCAAAACCAGTGACATTCAGTTCTATAACGAATTTATCAGCATTATTCACTATTTTATTAATTATATTAGCATTTGGTTCATTATCATTAGCATTCATTGGAGATAATAAGAAGAAATCACCTATTTCCTTCGTGTTATACGCTGCTATCGCATCATTATCCATTGGATATGGATCAATCTGTGTATCCAATTATGTTGGTGTTTATATTTAGTTGGTGTCGTCACTAGTATTTCTATCTCGTCATGAAGTGGGAAAGATGAGGTAGATAAAACGCTTAATAGATCGTCAATAGTATGGTTATTTGTTACTTTATGTATATTAGAATAAGAATGAATGATACCAATTTATAGCTTCACAATTTTTGCTTACCCTATTTAATAAGATTCATTATTCAATTTATTAAGTATCTAACGAATTGAAAGTGAAGATACTTCATTATCAATCATTGTAGTTATTTGAACTAACCCTTACAAGAGATGGGATCTCTTCAGCTGTGGTTGTGGTCAAATCATTTCAAGTTTGTTTTCATAGTTCCAGCCTTCATTAAGAGTGAACTAGGTAAATAGTCAAACTTCGCGTGTATCATTCTCTTTCTTCCTGCTTAATACTCCACATATACTGAAATACCCGATTATACCTCAATTGGATTTTAAAAGTAGAGAATTGGCCTATACTTGGTTGCAAAATGACCAAGTATATGCACCTTTGTCCTTAGAATAAACTACAGTAACTCTTTACATTAGCACTTGATGACTCTTCTAGATCATAGGACGACTTATATATTCATATGAGATAACTATAATCCAAGCTATATACCATATATGACAATTCGTTGTTCTTTCTTATAATTTGGCATAATAAAAATTGGTGACAATCCCGAGAATTGAAAACCTCATTTTTTTTTTGGATACGCTGTTTAAAACAGGAGACTGAAAATTTGTAATCTATTTGATCTCCTCCAAACTACTTTCAACTATCAACTATCCATTTCAAAACAATGTATATAGCGAAGTGGACCTATTTCATAGTATTCGTCCAATTACTCACTGCCATTTCAGGTAGAGCTACTGAAGATGAGTATTCTAATGACCCAAACGTATTTGAATTAACTCCATCTACATTTGATAAAGTGATTCATAATACCAATTATACATCAATCGTTAAATTCTATGCTCCATGGTGTGGTTATTGTCAACAATTCAAACCAGTGGTTAAGAAATTAGGAAAATTCTTTAATCAAGATAGTAAATATGATGTTCATGTTGCTGCTGTCAATTGTGATAAAGAATATAATAAACAATTATGTGCTCAATATCAAGTTCAATCATTTCCAACTGTGATGATTTTCAGACCTCCAAAATATACTAATGGAGATGTGGTTAAGAATAAGAGAGCTGCTAGTGAAGTTTATAATGGAGAAAGAAGTTTGAAATCATTAGTGGCATTTGCAAATTCCAGAATTAAAAATTATGCTACGAGATTTCATAATGTTAATAGTGATAATTTAAAATCATGGTTTAATAAAGATCAAGAAGATCAATTTAAGAAAGTTTTATTATTGACATCAAGTAATCTGGTAAGTCCATTATTAAAATCATTGGCTATTGATTTCTTAAATACGGTTAAATTTGGAATGATATCTCTTAAAAAGAATGATAAACTCCCAACAACATTTGAAGTTGATGGAGTTGCCAAAACACTTCCCATAAATGAAGATGATAAAGTCCCTGTATTATTATATTATGATGAAGAAGCTGAAGAGTTTAAATCATTCAATCAATCTGAAAAGGAAAAATTAAATGATAAAGTTAAAATCAGTGAATGGATTATACAACAAACTAAAGTTAACCCAGTTGAAGGTCCATTATCTAAGAAAGAAAAGAAATATTATTCGAATTATAGAACTGGTAAAAAGGTTAAGAAGACTTCAGTTGAACATGATGAACTTTAGACTCCTCTCAATTTGATATGTCAAAAGTATTTTATGAATATTTAGCCAGATTTGAATGTAAAATTTATAAATCAAGATCTTTTTTGTAATATGCTGCGAAATTGTAAAAATTAAGCGCTGAACTATTTATCTTTCAAATTTCAACATTCAACAACTACATGATCCACTGACTTAACTAACTATTACAAGTATTAATGTTTATTATCTATAGATCTATGCTTTACCTAAATTATCTATCATATCCAATAAAGAATCAATATCATCTTCATCACCTTTCTTCTCTACTTTTGGTACTTCTTCTTCTTCCTCCTTCGTGACCACTTGAATCCAATTTGTAACTTGATCAATATAAATCTTTGAATTTGGAACGAAATGACCTCCAGGATGTTTTAATAATTGTGAATTTTCCGTGGTAATATTATAAAATGATAATGATCGAGTTTCATCCACTACGGTATCTAATTCTCCATAAATATGTAAATACTTAAACCCCTTCTCTACTTTATCTTCAGTAGTATAATAACCTTCATACTTACTATTGCCTGATTTTACACTTGTATCTAATTTGAATCCACTATACATGATGATAAATTTTGGTGGAGGGATATTAAATAATTGTTCGAATTTATGAATTAAAATACCTGCTAAGGAAGCACCTTGAGAAAATCCAATAATCCCCACAATAGGTAATTTCTTATCATCATCATCATCTTCATCTTGTTTTAAATCTGGATCAGGAATGATTTCTCCCTTATCGATATAATTCTTTATAGTCTCAATTGATTCTTCAAGATTTATAGAATCATTATTATTATGAGGTTTAACCCACCATGCTCTATATTCAGTATCATCTTCTTCACCATTATTCACCACGGAGGCGAATTTCGATAAGGCATCAGAAGAAGGTAATTGAGCTGGAGTTAATTTTAAAGGAGCATTAAGATAAATTGATTTATAATTAAGTTTGGTTAATCGTTTTCTTAAGGCTGAAGTTTTGGCATAGAAAATTGATGATGATTGGGTATATCCATGGAGGAAGAGGACTTTTCCTATGTATGTTTTAGTAGATTTCTTCGTCATGTCTTGTAGTTCGTAATATGTAGTGTAGATGAGATATGATTGATAATGATTTGAAATAGATTCCACAGTTTTTTAGAAATTTTTCGGATGTGTAAGAAAATAATCTACACGCGATCAAAAGAGTCGTTTCTAAAATTTGCAGTATGTTTAAAACCAATTGCAACCACAATAATATAAAATTCAGGGTGGCGATTTAAATTATGAATTGGAAATCATAGTGGAATGACTTTAAATACGTATATAAAACCAAAAGAATCACAAAATTTTCATTTAATACCTATATATCTATGTACATGTAAAGAATAAACGACGGTAAAAAACACCCATCTAACCAACTAAAATTTAAAAACTTGATTTCTCTTATACCCTAATTCAGATAAGATACCAGAAAATCTACCTTGAATGAAAGGGGGAGGAGGTTTATCTCCACAAATGGCTTTAAACATATTTGGAGGACCACAAACAAATATCTTTGTATCATTTGTAGAAGGAGGAGGCAAATGATCTTGTAAATATTGTTTATTAATGTGACCTTTATGACCCTGATTCCAATCTTCGGGAGCATCAGTGGCGAAATAATGGACTTTGAATTGATGTGGATGAGTTATAGCGATCTTATCCAATTCATCTTTCAATAATATATCATCAACTGTTTTACAGCCATAATATAAATCAACTTTAGTATTATCTTCGGGGTTTTTGATAATAGTGGATAATAATTGATATAATGGAGTTATCCCTGATCCACCTCCAATTAACGAAATTTGTTTAAATTGATTAGGTTGCCATTTAAAAGCTTGTATTGGACCTTTGAAAGATACAGTATCATTTGGTTTTAAATCCCAAACATGTTTGGAGAATTTACCATCTTCATAAGATTTAATCATTAATTCAATTGTTCCCTTTTGATCAGGAGTTGAAATGGGAGTATAAGGTCTCCAAACTTCACCTTTGGGAGTTTTCAATTTAGCAACTATAAATGAAGCCGTATGTAAACCTGATACATCATCTTCATTTTCAAATTGAAATACATAACGTTTAACATCAGATGAAATTTGATGAGATTCTTTTAATTTTAAATCAACCCATCCCATCACACCTGGAAGAGCTTGACCTTTAGGTGGTTTATTATAATAATAGGCGGCAACCCAAGCTGCACCAGTGATTCCTACCACACTTAAAATGGTACTTGAACTCATTCTTCTTAATCGAAACATGATGAATAAGGATTCTGGATGATATTGATTCTCTGAATGAAAAGGAAATACTGTCTACTTATATAATGTCAAACATTGAATAGTTAAATTTACACGAATAAGGAGTTTACGGAGTTCAAATTAGCAATTTCGCACTAAAAGTAGCCCCATGTTTTAGGATATATCTTTTTGGAACCCCCCAATCCACAAGGAGTTTCTTGCCACCCATTGAATAGAGTAGATTACTGTAGAATTAAGGTTATTAATTGATACCTTTTTAGTTATGGAAATGGCATGATCGATCCGAGTACTACGCAACGGATATAATAAGGTCATAAGATACGGTTAGATGAATTACTTAATTAGGTTTGCCATCATCTTGTAACAGTATGCTGTACAGTAACATGTTTATGACTACATGATAATACTATTTATCTGAGATATTTATCAATTACTTACAATGTAGATAAGGTCATATCATGTTCATGGTCAATTGATTGGTTGGAACCACACAAAAAAAACCTGAAATCAAATCAAAACCAAAAAAACAATTTAAATCTTTACAATGGTAATACTTCTTTTCTAATTACCTTCCGATTACTCTGGGTGTTATTGTGCCTGATTTACCTCCTGCCCGTATTATCAGTGTACTTAGAAACCTGTTACCTAAACTAACTTTCGAATTTCAAATCTAGGGAAGCTTACTCTTTTTGGTTTAACCATTTAAGTTTGTTATTTTACTAACCCCATATATAGGCTTTTTACGAAAATCTCATTTCTGTTGAAGAAATGGTTCGAAGACAAACGTCATGATTGTGTTGCCAAGTCCACGTAATTTTTACATTACAACTTACTTATTTGATTCCTTTTATTTATGATTATTTGTATTAACTTTCTATAGGTCTTAAGTGGAAGTGTATGCATATAAAAATACAGTGCCTGTCTTATTTTTTGTTGTCCAAATCGATTAATATACATTTTATTTATATCTATAATGATAGTTCTTTATGATGAAATTGTAGTTGTAATTGTATTTGTAGTTGTATTTGTAGTTGTAGCTGTGGTTATACCTCTATTGATAGTAGATATTTGATATTAATACACGTCCCAATTAGGAAATGCAAAATGAAATGAAAAAGTTTTGAAATGAAAAGATTTCAACTTTTAATCAATTAGGTCGACATCCTAACCAGGTTACATCGAAACTTTTATGGGTCATAGCCAATATTATTAACATGGGCTTTTAAACATCCCTTCGTTAAAAAACACTTACTAACTAAATACACCATCAATTTAGGCTAATTTATTAATATCTAGGTTTTGACATATTCAAATATTGAAAACGCTTCTATGTTTAATTCTTTGCTTATATTGTCAAAAATGATTTCACAAATTATATATATTTTATAAATATATCATAAACCTTCTAACTCTATTTAGGATTAATTTAATTTATACTAACTATAGCAGCGGGAAAGGGTCCTCGGACGTCGATATGGAATAACTCTCGTACCAGTTGTCCTGATTGCAGTATTTAGGGAAACTTGAATACACACTTATTTATATTTATAATAACTTATCATAATGTAGATGTACTTGTAAATGTAGATGTGTAATTATTAACATAAATGAAGTAATTCATCCTAATTAGGAAATCAAAAGGGACCAATCCACAAAAGAAAAATTTAAGAATTTAAAAACAAATGGAAACGATTGAATATATAGTTCAATGACTAGTTTGGTACCAATTATGTTGATTTGAGTTCTACTGTCGTAAAGCAGGTAGCCTTTTGTTCAATTATTGTGTTAATTGGTATGTACTTCTTCTTTGTTTCACTTGATTTCGATGTGTTCCATAATCATTTATAGTCCATTTTCTAACTCCCAATTATTTCTAGATTAACTTAAAACTATCAATCTAGGTTTTATTGTTACTAACGTATTTTAGGTTCTAATAGCCCTATTGTTCTAGTTTTGCCAAATCCGGTTTTGAGGTTTAAGATAATTGAGTTGTTTAGTAATTTCCATAAAAGCTGATTAGCGAGAGTTGATAGTTATTGGACTTACCAAAATCTTTGAAACAATTTAGGTTGTTTTACTAACAATTTATAGGATAGCTTTCTATAGCTGTTATGTTATTATGGTCTCCCATAGCGTTTATTACAATGTAAACCTTTCTATGTTAAATAAATATATATATTTTATCATTATAACTATTATGAAAATTGTAGATTTAGATATAAGATTTAAAAATCATGTAGATAAGTTGTATGTATGTATGTACTTAAATTATACATATGTATATAATTAACTCTATTAAATAACATTTGGTAATTCTAAAATATCTCTAATAATTTTAATTTTACCATCATCTTTGGATTGACTATAAAATTCTTTATAATCCGGTTTAGCAATCAAAGTTTGATATTCAGATTCAACTTCAATAAAATGAATCACGGTACCAAACCCAATTTTATAAGCTGCTCTAACATTGATTTCACTGTCATCAATGAAAGTTTGTAATTTAACATTCTTAGGATTGGTATAATCTATATTAGTTAAAGTTAAACAATTTTCAAAGAATTCTTTCATGGGTTTACAAATAATAGGGAATTTCGAATAATCACAATAAGTCAAACCATCAAATAAATCTCCTAATCCTAAAAATGATACTACTCTTAAAGCATGATTCTTATAAGCATTTGTAATTAACCAGAAATAATCATATTTATCTGATTTTTTCAATTCAATTAACATGTCTCTTAAATCTTGATTATAACTTAAGATATTATTCAAATCCAATGAATCATCAACTTTAGAATTATAATCCAAAGCATCAACTTGATGATTACGAACTAACCCTTCAATGGCCAATCCATAAGTTTTATAATAATTCATATGTAATTTATGAGCTTCTTCATCATCTAATTGTAAGTTATCTTTGAAATATTTATGGATTTTAACTTGCATTAAATCATGAATTTGAGTTGATCTTTTATAAAGACAATTATCAATATCAAAGTAAAAGATACGTTTATTTTGAAACGAAGATGGGATAGGGCCAAAGCCAAAGGGTAATGTAACTATTGTACCTGGTTTCTTGACTTCATCATGTTTGATTTCTGGATTATGGAATGTAACTGGTTGAGATGATGATGAGTCATGTTTCTTATTGGAGGAAGTAGTCATGATGGAACAAGAGTAACGACGCGTAATGGTGAAAGTGGGAAAGAATGATTTGATCAGTTTGTCTGCATGTAAGTATATCTATCTATCGTCTCTGTCTATCAAAGAAGAAGGATAAGTAGAATAAAGTATTGGGTGTAAATAACAAGTCATCTATTTATCTATCCGGAGGAAAGCGAAGTTGGTTAAAGGATCAGTGCTGCTTTTTTGGAGGGTTATCAGATGTCCCAATCAATTTTCTGGGTAGTTTTTTTTTTGCGACAATAAATATATTTCCCACGTTTCATCAATTAGCAATTACAATCAACTATCTGTCATAAGGGGATAACTGTATGATGGTCTATGTATTAAATCTATAAAGCTAGCTAACCTGTGTTATAAAATATATCATCATTAATAGGATATAAATCATTATCAAACTTATTATATATATAATTCAACGTATGAAATGAATCAGTAACGTATTTAACCAATTCTTCAGTATTGATCGTATGACTCCTCGTCGTATCCTTATCGTCATCCAGATCGTCGCTTTCCCCCTCATCTTGTTCTTTATTCGGATTATTATTACTATTTATGAATCCAATTTGTCTTATACTATCATACATTTTTGTCTTTAATTTATCAATTAAGGAAAGTAACGATTTCAATCGAGTTACATTCTGGGATCTAATTTGTTCAAATTGCGATTCAGTTAATTTCGCATCCTTTTTAATCTTCATTTCAGGATCAATCACATATGATCGAAGCATTATTAAATTAATTAATAAGATCTTATAATGAATATGATAGACTTGATTAATGATATCAATATCATTATTCTCTAATCCTTTAATCATATCTATAGCTAACATCTTATTAAATATGGTCTCTAATACCGCCACATTAGGCGTGAGTCCAACATTTTTAGTTTTCTTTTTATAATTATTATAACTTTTATCAAATAAGAAAGATAATGATAAATTAGTGATGAATTTTTGAAAATCGATATCATCATACTTGATAAATGCATTATGAAATAACTTAAGCACATTGAATTGTAATTCATAATCATATCGCTTGTTCAGACTTGATGATTCTTCTTGATTAATGATTTTAGTTTGTAAAGTATCTTTCAAAGCATGATAGCAAAACTTTGCCAAATCCAATTTCTTTTCATTCAAATGATCTTCGTTAAAGTCATAAAATTCAGGCATCACTCTTTGCACCAACTGAACTAAACCAGGATAACATCTTTTATTAAGATTGAAATCACTTATAATTAAAAATAATACTTTAATCATATACTTTACTAAATCTAAATCATCTGGATCATCACGTTGAAGAGCATAAATGGCAAAATTATAAATAATCGTTATCCTCACCAATGACAATTCTAAATTATTATTAAATTGATTTAATTTAACCAGTAAAGTATCTACTCGACTACCAACTCTACCTTTAACCAATCCAATATTACATCCAATGGCTCGTAATTGAGCTTCAACTTCCTCTTTGTCAATGCTCAGTTTACACCTCTCCATATATTTCCACATTGCAATTCCCAATAGATTGACTCGTTGTAATTTATCAAGATCATGAACGTGTAATAGACAATAATTCACAATTGATTTATAATTAAACAAATATTGACTCACATCCACATCATCCGTGATATTGTAAAAGAAGAAATCATTGATTTTGAAGGGAAGTTCATCATATTCAAGATACTTTGATGGGGTCGGTATAAGACAATTATCAAGGAAATAAAAATGTCTGGCATTCGATTGTTTAAAATTATTCTTTAATACTTTTTCAATCAAATGTTCATCTTTGGGAAGAGTATATACTTTCAACCCATTTGATCCATTATCATTCAATTCCTTTAGGATTTGATCTTTCTTGATTATTAATCGTTGATAATTTTTCTTTAATCGAGTTTCTTCTCTGATTAAATCTTGTTTGATTAATTTATCATTATTTGAAATGACTTCATTTCGTTTCCCATCTGTTTCGAATATACTAGGTAATTGAACATTAAATTCATCTTCATCACTTTGATTAGACTTACTAGTTCTTGTAGTCCTTCTAGTATTAGTAGTGGTTGTGATAATCTCACTGTCATTAAAACTATCTCTATAAGTATCATCATCTTCATGAACATCATCACTATCACTTTCATTATAATTCACTTGCGTACGACGTGTAGCTCTGGTAGCTCTAGCTGGTGAAGCAGTCGCTGACCCAGCACTACTAACAGGAGACTCCGATTGATTAACACTGGATGATTTTCTCTTTAGACCATTCACAGCTTCACCATGACGATCATTAGCATTAAAACTGAAAAATGAAGCAGGACTAATTTTCTGTCGTTTAAGATCATCAGCATCAAGATATTTGATTTTAGATGGACTTGATCGAATCTCTCCATCTCCTGCTATACTATTAATACTTCCAGTTACACTATTATTATTATGATTATTATTATTATGATCTGGTTTATTTCCCGTTATAAGATTAATAACATTGAATTGATCATCATCATCATCCGTAGAACCAATGGGATCAGAATCAGTATCAGATAAGGTCATGAATAGAAGATTGGAATTGATCGATCCTTAGTATATTGAGATCTATATCATATACCCTTGATCTATCAAGTGTTATGCTGCCTTTTACAGTCAAATTTTGAAAATTAAAATTTTGAAATGTCGCAGATCAAAGGTCACGTGAGAAATTGATGTCGCTAAAATATTTACGACATTTATCATGTCAAACGATATTTTATTTAAGGAGAGATGGTTAACCATAAATGGAGATCTTTATATGCAAAGTAAATAAGTAATTAACAGAAAGAACGGCTATAGAAGGGATCAGTAAATTAAACTATACACTATAGAAACTAAGAAAACTTTTTCAACTTATAAGGCATTTTATCCATATTAAAAACTATTACATATAAAAAATGCCTAATTTGCCATAGTTATAAACGGCTTAAAAAAAGTGTCAATGTACTGTGGTGTGGATCTTCCTGCGTATAAGTCCTAAACGGCCAAAAATGGATGTCAAAGGGGAGGAGGGGGCTAGAAACTGACAATTGATGATTTAAACTGATTCCTTCCTTCATCAATTGAACTTGTTAATTAGTATAACTTATCAAGATTGATATATCTAAGACATCATGTCATACGAGAAATTACCTTTAGAACCATTATTCGCTAAGATTGATGAATTGAAACCTCAATTCATTTCAAGATTAGAAAAAGCCATTGCTATTCCATCAGTATCAAGTGATGAAAGTTTAAGACCAAAAGTGGTTGAAATGGCTCATTTCTTAGTTAAGGAATTAACTAGTTTAGGATTTGAAGATATTCAATTAAGAGAATTAGGTATTCAACCTCCACCTGTTATCAATAAATCATTACATTTACCTCCTATTGTGTTAGGTAGATATGGTAATGATTCATCTAAAAAAACAGTGTTAGTTTATGGTCATTATGATGTTCAACCTGCTTTACTTGAAGATGGTTGGAATACTGAACCTTTCAAAATGCATCATGATGAAGTTAAAGATATCTTATATGGTAGAGGTTCAACTGATGATAAAGGACCAGTTTTAGGTTGGTTAAATGTTATTCAAGCCCATCGTGAATTAGGTTGGGAATTCCCCGTTAATTTAGTGGTTTGTTTCGAAGGTATGGAAGAAAGTGGGTCATTAGGTTTAGATGCTTTAGTTGCCCAAGAAGCTAAACAATATTTTAAAAATGTTGAACAAGTTACTATTAGTGATAATTATTGGTTAGGTACTACTAAACCAGTTTTAACTTATGGTTTAAGAGGATGTAATTATTATCAAATTATAGTTGAAGGTCCAGGTGCTGATTTACATAGTGGTATCTTTGGAGGTATTATTGCTGAACCAATGACTGATTTAGTTAAAGTCTTGTCAACTTTAGTTGATTCATCAGGTGCTATTCAAATCCCAGGTATTAAAGAAATGATTGCTCCATTAACTGAAAAGGAAGATAAATTATATGATGATATTGAATTTTCAGTTGAAGAATTAAATGCTGCTGCTGGATCTGAAACTGCTTTACATGATAATAAAAAGGATATTTTAAAACATAGATGGAGATATCCATCTTTATCAATCCATGGTATTGAAGGTGCTTTCAGTGGTGCTGGTGCCAAGACTGTTATTCCTGCTAAAGTGATTGGTAAATTCTCCATTAGAACTGTTCCAAACATTGAAAGTGCTAAATTAGATCAATTAGTTTATAAATTTATTAATGATCAATTTAAATCATTAAACAGTCCAAATAAATTCAAAGTGGAATTAATTCATGATGGTGCTTATTGGGTTAGTGATCCATTCAATTCATCCTTCCAAGCTGCTTCTAAAGCCACTCAAGATGTATGGAATGTTGTTCCAGATTTCACTAGAGAAGGTGGTTCTATCCCAATTACTTTAACTTTTGAACAAGAATTAGGAGTTGATGTTTTATTATTACCAATGGGTAGAGGTGATGATGGTGCTCATTCTATTAATGAAAAATTAGATGTTAGTAACTATATCAATGGTTGTAAGACTTTAGGTGGTTATTTACATTATTACGGTAAGTCTTAGATAGTCCCTTTAGTTAGATCTTATTAGTATAAAATTAATAATTATATCCCTTTTAACTGTATACTTCCCATGTATGTATTTGTAGTAAGTACAATTTTTTCTTTGAGTGTTCTGTCCAAAAAAAATTTTCATTATCATCAAAAAATGAGAAATTGTAATTCACAAAAACATAAATTTTACCAATCCTTTATTCATATTATATCCATTCATCCAAGCTATCATTCAAACCTCTATCCATTCCATTCCCTTACGTACTGATCAGGCCATATTCATAAATCAATCAGTCAGTCAGTTCAATCAACGTTTAGTCATTAGCAATCAACTCGCATTCAATTCTGTCAAATCATACGTATACCGTTCCCATTGTTCATTGTTCATTTGATTTCACGTTTTTAAGTTTCCAGCATATCTCATCCATCAAAAGTTATAAATAGTTCATTCCCGTCGTCTCGTTCATTCATTCATTGTACATATATACGCTCCCGTTCCGTTCCTTTTTAACTGTATCATACATCGGTGAACTCAACTTTATAAGTCAGTCGATCATTTCATCTTATCATATCAAATTATAGCATTTTCTTTTTACATATCATTTGCATCTACAAGTATTTTTCATAGTTTCATATCATCATGTCGGAGAATTTAAAAAGAGCTGAATCATTATTCAATAGAATTATGAATCAAAATTCATCAACTTCTTCATCGTCATCCAATTCAAATTCAAATACGATTAATTCATCAACTGATTCCTTAAATGGTAAATCACATCATCAATCCAATAAATCATATAATAATAATAAATCTTATAAATCTAACAACCACAATCACCATCATCACAATAATAACAACAACAACAACTCTAATAATAATAACTATTCATCAGCTTCAATATCAACTTCTTCATCAGTTAATACCATCACTAATCAACCATCAGTCATTCCAGAATCTTCTATCATCTTACCTAAGCGAGATCCTGTCAAATTAAGTCAAGAAATCATTGAAGCCATTCCTCAAGATCATCATATCTTGGATTATTGTTGGACCATATGGCATCATTCTAGAAATAAGTTAAAAGCTCAACAACAGCAAAAGGACACCAATGAAGATGGATCCACTAATGGGATTGTCGGTGGTGCTACTGTTGATTCTTATTTACAAACCACCAATGAAATCAAATTCGTAAATGCCAACAATAACAACGAAGTTGGTGATCAAGATGAAGATGATAAAATCACTACTTCTATTGGTAGTTTAGAACAATTATGGATTAGTTTATCATCAATTAAGAAAAGTTATGAATTACCTATTGGAACTGAATTATTAATTTTTAAAGCTGGGATTAATCCAGTTTGGGAAGATCCAATTAATACTAAAGGTGGTAGATGGATTTTTAGATTTATTCGTCGTCCAACTAATAATGATGATCAAGATAATATAAATAATATTCGTAAACGTACCAGTTTAATCTGGGAACGATTATTATTAAAGACTTTAACTGGGTCCATTATTCCAACTAGTTCTAATGGTGGGATTTCTGATGAAATTCAAGAATTATTATTAAATGATATAAGTGGATTAGTCTTAAGTGTTAGAAAAGATGAAGATATTATAAGTATTTGGAATTCAAATTTAAATTTTAATGGATCAAATAAGGGTAAGAAAGATGATACTACTACTTCAATTAAAGATTCTAAAAAATTAACTTCATTCCAAGCTAGAAGAATTATTTGTGATTCAATTTTAAGAATCATTAGAGAATGTGATTTAATTAAACAAGGATCAAATTCAATTCATACTTTGGATTCAGGTTCAAATGAAAGAGTTTATGGTGTATCATTTGAATATAGATTACATGGAGATATTAATGGTGAAAATAGTGAAGGTAATGATAAATCATCTTCTACTAATTCAAATAATGGTAATGGGAAATATAATGGTAATAATAATGGAGGTCATTATCATGGTCATGGTCATGGTAATCATGGTCATTCATCTTATAGAAGATATAATAGATCAAACAACAATAATAATAGTAATAATAATAATAATAATAATAATAATAACCATAATAGGGAAAACAACAATAATCAAACTAATGCCGTTCCAACCACAAGTGATTAGTTTATCAATCGATCAAAATGCCATACAAAGAAATTAAACCAAGCCAGTCCAACCATATCTAAACTTTAACTCAATTCCAACCATTTATCACGTCAGAATCAAAAGGTCAAAAAATCATACCAAAACAAACGAAGAAAACAAAACTAAACTAAACTAAAATCTTAAACCCCCAAAAAAATTATCATAATAAACGTATAAAAAAGTGCAACAACAACCCCTATATTTAAAATAGTTTAATTGTATGTATATATGTATATATCAAATAATGTATATATATGAAAAACTTTAACTTTAAATTGTAGAACGAATTACAGCAGAAAACAGAGGAAAACAACGAATAGAGTATGAGGATAGTGTGGATGGATGGATGGATGGCTGTATCCCCCGTCCGTATCCCCAGCTTATGATGCAAGTGAATGAATGGAGTGAATATAAAAAAACCACAGGCTATTGAAATTTTCGATTAGAGTTTTGAATCGATTATATACGGATAGTTTAAATAGTTAGAATAAGCTTTTTTGACCAAAATGGTGGGGATGAAAATGATAAGAAAGTAAAAGTAAAAGTAAAAGTATAATTAAACAGTGGTTGGTATCGTACTAAAGGAGGGGGGTTAGTGGTAGAGGGGGGTGGAGAGTTAAGCCTCATTCACTTCACCCATTTCTAGCAGTTAATGATTTATGTCTAAAATTTCATGACAAAGTTTAAAACTAAAGAGATTTACAAAAGGGTACATTATGAGTTAGAAAATAAAAAACACTAAGTTTTTTTATTAAGGTACCGCCTTAGGGGGGAATGAAGGAAAAGGATATGTAAATTATCCACCGTTCATTCATTTATTCATTCACCGCCTACCAACCATTGTAATTAGACATAATAAAAAAAAAGGGCGACAGACAGACAGACCCAAGTGTCCCAGATGGTAATAAAATTTCCAATGTCAATTTTTATTTCTGACAAAAAGTGGAAAAGTAAAGTGGAAATTAAAAATAAAAATTTTGAGATGCAGACATGCATTTAAATCCACTGCAATGTATGTATGCAGCTTCAAATTGGTATTATTATTTCAGACAAAAATATCCCAAACATAGTAGTTAGCCATTGATATTTTTGTCTGAGTTAAGCGAACTAACAATGAATTGTCACAGCTTAATTAATTAATTGTTCATTGTTATAGAATGTGTGTTATATGTATGAACGAAAATTTTTTAATTTTTGATGGTTAGCGGCTAGAGTCAAATCAAAAAATGTTATACAAAACGGAAGTATTAGATATCGCTAGCTAGATAGATTGATCAACAAAGTGTGTGTGTGTGTCAATAGGATTAATAAAACGTTCGACGGTTTTGTAATATTCACCATGTGGTAATCAATCCATTTTAGAGGTAAATCCTTTTTGTCAAAAAAGTGAGTTTTGTCATAAAAATAAAAATAAAATTATTTCTTTTTAAAGACCTTCATCAACTTTATTTGTCATAAACTAAAACAATACTAATGTAAATTCTGACATAGTTACAAATCTAAGCCATAGGAGAATCACTTCTTTATTCCTTCTCTAACCTTGTGGTTAATTATAAGTAATTATAATAAATGGCATATGTATGTATAATTTAAATAATTTATAAAGGAAAAACTATCAATACTGGGCCGGAGAAAGCAGGTAAAGTACGGTTATATGTATGTAGGGGGCTATATTTACTCAATTAGTATTTCCTTTAAAATAATATAGTATACCACTACTATGAATATTGCAAAATGAATTACATAATACCTTATGTAAAAATTACGTGATTAGTCAAAAAGTAACACTATGATTATTTAGGGTTTATTATCTGTAGTTAATTTCTATTTTATTTCATATTAGAATTCGGTTTGATCTGATTGGAATGAATGACTTACTATAAGATTGGTTTACAAAAAAATAGTAAAGTTCCTATACTCTTGCTTACAACTTGATGGTTAGTCTAGGTCAATTGATGATGTAAAGAAACGACTCAAACTGAGCCTTACCGTGCACGACCCGATGGATAAATTATATGTAAAATCTGACAAAAAAAATCAATTAGTACTACTACAGTAAGAAAAAGCAGACAAAAAGCATAATAGCTTAAAAAATAAAAACTTTTTATTCAATCTAATTTTTATCCCAAAACAGAGAATGAACCAAAAAAAAAAGAGAGAGGAAGGTCAGACACTTATTCGCACACACACATTAATTCTGAAGACTCATATTTTAGTAAGGGAAAACAAAAAAAAAAGCATTCGATCAGTCAGGTACCAATCATATACTAATTATATAATTTTATAAACCTATCGTAATTTGATTTATAAATAATATTAATAATGAAGTCGAGTGATGTTAGACAGGAGGTGATTCTTTTTTTTTCAACTTCATTAATCCAACCATGGGGTATTTGAATATAAATAAGGTTGAATCTGATATTTTTGACTCCATAATAAGCAGTATGTTTTTGTCATATTATTCGTATTGCAAAAGAAAAAGACGACAAAAAAAAGACAAGACAATTTCCTCTGTGACAAGACACAAAAGACAAAAGACAAAAGACAAATAAAAAAAAAAGAAACTAAAAAAACCACAACAAACAAAAAAGACAGACAGACAATTTATAAACGCACAGACAGACACTTTGTGAGAGAGAGAGAGAGGAAAAAAAACAGAAAAGAGAAAGAGGAAAGAAACAGAAAAACAAGAACAAAAAAAAATTTAAAGATCTCCACTCTACCCTCCCTTTTAACTAAACAAGATTACACTATATATATATATACCTGAACTTATCACCTCGATTCTGATAGAAGAAAAGAGCAGATCGAAGAACGAAGAAGAATAGAAAAGAAAAGATAAGAAAAATCAACACTGATCCATACCTTATTGGAACCAATATTATTGAAAATAAAAAGAAATATCATAAAGAAGTATATAAGTCATAATAATGTCATCAAATTCTCCTTCAAATGAATTTGAAGGAGGTCCTTCCGTAGTTGAACTATTCTATTCCGCAAAGAAACTACTTTCCTTACAAACCAGAGTTGAGAATAGACAGTTACGAAAACAAAACTCCAGAAGTCAATTAAATCATCTCATTTATGAACAAGAGCAACTTCCATTATCATCATCGTCAGATTCCCAAGTTATGGATGATGATAGAATGGATATTGATCAAGCACAAGGAGTTCAACCTCAAAAGAGTCATGATAAAGTATTGGATTTGTTAAGTCCATTGTCGATTGATGATTTAAAGAATTCTCCATATATCCCAACTAATAAATCTTCAAATACAACCACAATTACCACAACTACTAAATCAAGTCCCCTTAGTAATAATAATATCATATCTGCATCATCCATCAATCATAACAGTAATACCGGTAAGAAAAATCATAATAATTCTCAAATGAATACTCCTGCTTCTTTAAATGATGATTCATCTCCAAATTCAATGGTACTTTCAAGTCAATCAAGTTCAAGACATAATAGTGATACCAATAGTAATGCTACTAGTACAACTAGTACTGCCAGTAATAATAATATTACTAGTCAACCAACCACCACATCAACTAGTCCTGTAACGAAAGCTACCAATACTTCCAATCCATCATCATTTACTAAAACTTCATCATCACCCCCAAAATCGAATTTAACTTCGTCCTTAACTAAATTAAAAATCGAACCAAATGAAAGAAGTAGTCTATCTTCATCACCTATAAATACCCCTTCCAATAATACCCCATCATCGAACAACAATACCAGTGCTACCAAAACTAAATGTTTCAATTGTAATACTTTAAATACACCACTTTGGAGAAAAGATCCTCTGGGAAATACATTATGTAATGCATGTGGATTATTTTTAAAATTACATGGTACAACCCGTCCGTTAAGTTTAAAGACTGATGTCATTAAAAAGAGATCATCCAGAAGATCATCAACTGCGATTGTTCAACCTACCTCCATACCTAATTCATCTAATGCAAATAATAATGGGAAATTATCATCATCACCATCTTTCATTCAAAGTTCAAATTCTTTACCTTATAATAATGGAAGTTATGGAGGGATTAATGGAAAGATTAAATTCAATGCCAATTATAATGGTGGTGGTATACCGATTATGAAATCTAATACCATCAATAATGGATCGTTAGGAAATTCTAATAATTCAAATAATAATAATAATAATACTGCTTCATATATATCCTCATCAGCTTCATCTACTTCGCTTAATAATAATCGTCAGCATAAGAATATTTTAATTTTACCAAAACCTTCATCATCATCATCTCAACCAAGTTCAACTCCTGCATCAAGTACACAAAAATCAATTCCAATCCCAAGTAATCATTCTAATAATTCTTCTAATATGAATAGTCCTGCTTCACCATATTCGAAATTAATCTTACCTTCATCATCTGTGAATAATAATAATAACAATCAACAATTCAAGAGAAAGAAGTCTGATATTAATCTTGTCGATAATTATTACGGTGATAATTCATCTTTCAATAATAACACTAATAGTAGAAGAATATCAACATCGAATAGTTTTTCGAATAGTTTTAATAATAATGGATCATTAATGTTTGCCAAGAGGAATTCTCTGGTGAATCAATCACAAGGTCCAGCCCAACAGACTTCATTATTATCGAATTCTTTCCAATCAACTTCATTAAATCGTAAACCATCCATCATCAACATCAACAATAATTCAAATAATAACAAGAGTAGAGGTTCAAGAAGTGATAGTATAAGCTCTGCTTCCAATTCGTTAACTTTCTCCAATATCAATCTCCTTAATCAAAGATTCAATAATATGTCGAATAATAATTCTTATTTCGATCAACCTTCTTCTCTCCAACATCAAAATAACGTGGCTCCATCCATATCAAGACATAATAGTACCACCAGTACCTTCCTTATGAATAATAATGGTAATGGATCACCTATCCCAATAAGACATGCATCCGCCACGTCCTTATCTCAATTCAATCATAGTAGTAGTCATCATAGTCATCAAAATGAATTCAGACTGAGACATAATACGATCAGTAATAATAGTTCGAATAATGTTCATCTGATAATTAATGAGGATGATATGATTGAAAGTGCAATGAGTATGCCTGTTACTCCTATGAATGTGATTGATTTATTACCTAGTAGTGTGAGAAGTACTAGTAGTTTAAGTCGGGGTAGGGAGAGAGAAAGAAAGAGGAATTATAATGATGATGATCAAATCATTGATTTATTAGAAGTGGATGTGATTAATAATGTTGGAGATGGAGATGATGATAATGATGAACGAGATGATTTTTATTTCAAAGATGGTCGAAATCAAATAAAGAAGGAGAATCCAATGATGATGTTGAAATCTAGTTTGACGGATGGATTAATGAAGAGTCAAGGGAATACTCATCAACAACAACAATCATCACAATCAATGAAAGGAGATGATACGGCTAAGGATTTAGATTGGTTGAAATTTGAAATTTAGGTGGGGGGATTTAACTTTTACCTTTTATGATACCTATTACTTATGAAAAATGGAGATACTAAAAAAATATAACTAATCAATAATAAAAAAAATTACTATTACTATAAATAAAATCAATCAGGTGGAATCTTAAAAATCATGTGTGCTTTAAAAATGACAAAAATTAAAAAATAAAACATATCGAAATCAAAAATAATAATACTACTACTACTACTACTACCACTACTACTACTGCTAAAGACGTTCCTTTTATATTACTAACTTTCTTTCTTTCTTTCTTTTTAACTATTGCTTGCTTTCTTGTTTTACAATCTTATAGACTTCAATTATTACTTACTTCTCTTTGATGATTCTTTTTCTAGTTCTACTTACTTCTACTTCTTCCTATCTTATTATGAATTTATGATTTCAATTGTATTTATCCCTTATATATTTTCCCTTTAGTTTTGATTCTTGTTATAACTAATTACTACTTTTCTATTAGTATCAATTGTTGTATGATAAATAGTCTCTTCTTATACTATGTTATGTTAATATATACACACTATCTATACAAATCTGATAACTTGAATAATCGTACTATTCTTACACTTGCTCAAACTATAGGTTTTTGCCATTTTGCAACCTTTTCAGAACCCAATAATTCCTAATTAAAGTAAGTTATACACACATGGGTTAATACAATTAGCATGTGATTTTGGGATACGAGATCGTGCGCTCGTTCCCAAAATAAAAATTTTTAAACGTGTTTTATTTTTTTTTTGTTGACTTCCCTAAACAGTCGGCTCTTCTTCCATCGACGAGTTAAATTTTTTTTTTTTCACGATCTCTCAACTATAAATTTACAACACTTTTCTTTCTTCTTTTTGATTTCTTCTTCCTTTCTTTCCTTCTTTACGACGAATCAATTGGAATCAATCAATCAATCACTCGTATCCAACCCCATCAATCATGTCTGCTCCAGCTCATAACTATAAAGTTTCCGACATCTCCTTAGCTGCCTTTGGTAGAAAAGATATTGAATTATCTGAAAATGAAATGCCAGGTTTAATGTATATTAGAAAAAAGTATGGTCCATCCCAACCTTTAAAAGGAGCTAGAATTGCTGGTTGTTTACATATGACCATTCAAACTGCCGTTCTTATTGAAACTTTAGTGGCTTTAGGTGCTGAAGTTACTTGGTCTTCATGTAACATTTTCTCCACTCAAGATCATGCTGCTGCTGCCATTGCTGCTGCTGGTGTTCCAGTTTTCGCTTGGAAAGGGGAAACTGAAGAAGAATATCTTTGGTGTATTGAACAACAATTATTCTCCTTCAAAGATGGTAAGAAATTAAACTTAATCTTGGATGATGGTGGTGATTTAACTTCTTTAGTTCATGAAAAATACCCAGAAATGTTAGAAGATTGTTTTGGTTTATCTGAAGAAACTACTACTGGTGTTCATCATTTATATAAATCTTTAAGAGATGGTAAATTAAAGGTTCCAGCCATTAATGTTAATGATTCCGTTACCAAATCTAAATTCGATAATTTATATGGTTGTAGAGAATCTTTAATCGATGGTATTAAAAGAGCCACCGATGTTATGATTGCTGGTAAAGTTGCTGTTGTTGCTGGTTTCGGTGATGTTGGTAAAGGTTGTGCCATGGCTTTAAGAGACATGGGTGCTAGAGTTATCGTTACTGAAATTGATCCAATTAATGCTTTACAAGCTGCTGTTTCTGGTTATCAAGTTGCTCCATTAGATGAAGTTGCTTCTATTGGTCAAATCTTTGTTACCACTACTGGTTGTAGAGATATTATCACTGGTGTTCATTTCGAACAAATGCCAGAAGATGCCATTGTTTGTAACATTGGTCATTTTGATATTGAAATTGATGTTGCTTGGTTAAAAGCTAATGCTGCTTCTGTTGTTAACATTAAACCTCAAGTTGATAGATATTTAATGAAAAACGGTCGTCATCTTATCTTATTAGCTGAAGGTAGATTAGTTAATTTAGGTTGTGCTACTGGTCATTCATCATTTGTTATGTCTTGTTCATTCTCTAATCAAGTTTTAGCTCAAATTGCTTTATATAAATCTAATGATGAAACTTTCAGAACTACTTACCCAGAATTTGCTAAAACTGGTCCATTCGATGTTGGTGTTCATTTATTACCAAAGATTTTAGATGAAACTGTTGCTAGATGTCATTTAGATCATTTAAATGCCAGATTAACTACTTTAACTACCGTTCAATCTGAATATTTAGGTATTCCTCAAGAAGGTCCATTCAAAGCTGAAATTTACAGATATTAGACACATCTGTAATATTTTCTAAATCTGCCAATTTTATTCATTCTTCCTTTCTTATACTTTTTTCCTTATTATTTTTAATGATATTATGTTCTTTTTTTATCTGCATCAACTGCATTTAATGACTTATACATGTTTTTTTACACTCCGAAAGTCAATCATTCTTTGATTGATCTTCTATGTTCTATTTTTTTTTATTAACTTGTCTTTTACTTTTTTTTTTAGAGGTTTATTGGTTTAAACAAATTTTTTATGGGGGTTATTTTGATAATTCATTTATCAAATATAAATAAAAATGGTAGATTTTATAAATTACATTTTTTATATTCAATCAAAGAAGAAGTGTTTCATACATTATGTCATGCTTCTTTATATATATTTTTAATAAAGGTTATCCTCAACGGATTAAAAAAAAAATTATTATTATTATTATTATTTGTAGATCATATTTTTACAGTTTACGATTATGTAATTCAATTTTTTTCTGCTGGTTTCGCAATTTTGGCAACACCAATATACAGATAAAAAAAAACCAACTTAAATTTACATACCAATATTCTCACTGCATTTCTTTCTTTACCTTCATCATACTTATCTCATCCATTAGTGTCATGTCTGAGGACTTATTGATTCTAAAGTACAGTTTTAACTTGTATTCTAAGGTGAAAGATGGTGATTATGTCGTCGATACATCAGATCAAGAACCATTAGATCAGTACCATTCTTCACTCCAACCATTACTACAATTAATTACTGAAAATCATGAACAAGATAAAGTCAACTTTAACAAGATTGTGGAAATCCTAGATCCTGATAATGTGATTAATGATAGAGCTAAGGTTATCTCAATTTGGCATCGGTATAGTAGGTTAGATGTGTTTGAAAGGTTGGAATATAACGCATTGGAATTAAACGCTACTGCAAACAATTTTATTAAATATTTGTACACCTGTTGGAACTCAAATTATTCTTCTTCCCACATTCAGATTGATGATATACGGACCATGTTCATTACTATGGTAAACCTTAGCGTAGATCCAACTAAGTTAATAAATACTGAATTTCGAATTCCACCTGTTGAAGAGATATCATTTAGTACCTTACTTGGACAAAATAAGAGACCAAATAAGATAAACAAATATATTGGCCTCTTTCAACCTCAATCCAGAATCAGAAGTGGCATGCATCAAGCATCTGATTTCATCAAATTTAGTTTAAGATTTGATCTCAAAACTTACGACAAGCTTACCTTTAATATTAGGATTCCAACTTTACACTCATATTTTGATTCAGTTTTGGAACAAGGAAACGTAAATGCTTTCAATACCAATACCTTAAATCTTATAGAACCATCGTTGACTAAGAATATTGGCTTGACTTTAGATGCTAAACCTACTGGTGTTTCTTTAGAAATGAAAGGAAATTTGTTTAACATCGTTCCAGACGGAAAAATTAAAATAGATGAAGCTCACACTATACCAATTGAAATTAAAAAAGATTTGAGTCTTGTTTATAAAAAATTTAAAGAGAGTACCGATCTTAAGTGGAAACTCCCATTTTGTCAAGTCTACTCTCAACTCTTTAGAGAGTGTTTGGCTTGTGAAAGTTTTTTTGGCTTCCTTAGTGATGGTTCTATGATTTTATTCGTAAAATTCATGATTGGTGATGATCTCGAAGTGGAACATCTGAATGTTGGTAAACAGATTTATTATAAAATCCCTTGTCAAATTTATGAAATTTACCTGAATCTTGAATTCCTAAATTGTGTTGTTTATGCTGAAAGATTTACACAAGATTCCAAGGAAAAGCTTACGAATGATGTTGTATCTAGATCATTTTGCCTGGAAATATCTCCAAGGTATACACTTATCAAATCATACCGTAAAAAATTCCAAATTGCCTTAGACTTTGTAGCAAACAAAATTAATAATTATGTGGAGGAGGAACATGAAAAATCCAATGCCAATATATTAGCCATTGTAAATGATCCATCATCAACTACTACCAAACGCACAAAGTGTGTTGATAACGAGTATGAAACTGCAATCAAACCAAAGTACATGGAAGTACTTTTTGAACTAAAGCTGATGTATGGTGAAAAATTTGAATCTATTTCAATAGAAAATGAAATGAATAAAGCCAATATTGTTGATATTTTAGGTGGCAAAAATATTTTTAAAAATAATGGATTGGTCATAAAACTCAAAAAAGGAAATAGTTTCCAAATTATTAAGATTTACGACCCATTTTACTCGGCATCTTTTGAAAGAAAGAATTATGACTATTACCAAGCAATAAAAGACTCGTTGAAATCGTTTCTAAAAGAGGCATGTAGCTACCAATTGTTGAGTGATAAAAGCTATATTCCCCAAGTATTTAAAATTGGCCTCCTCAATAGTTCCATAAATCAGGTTGTATCACTGTTAGACATGAATAACTTGGAAAATTTAAATTTCAAAGGTTTCCAAGGCTTCTTTATCAGCATGCAATACTTAAATGCAGTTACTCTTAATTCTTTAAATACCAGTGAATGGCAGTTTTATAAATCAAGCATTATAAGTAATCTTAAAGATATCCATGCTAATAATATGTGCCATGGAGATTTGTTTCCTGGAAACATACTCGTTTCTAAAGTCAAGATCGGTTCATCATACTTCCCTATAGCTTATTTTATTGACTTCGGAAGAAGTAAACTTGGTAAACTTAGAGATGGAATGCTGTTTGAAAATATTACCTCTAAACCGGCACAGGTGTTGGAGGGTATAGCTAGGGATAACTTTGTTATTGGTAATTTATTTTCAGCTGCAGGTTCAGAGCCAGAGTCAGGGCCAGAGCCAGAATATTATTATTAGTTGCCTTTTGCCATAAATTATTTTTTGATTTTTGATTACATAATTAAATTGACAACCTTTTTTTATATACATTTGCATACATCTGCTAAATTGCATTTCTATAAAATACCTTCTGTTTATTAAAATTATTAATACTTTATATATATATATTTTAATAAAGTGTTCGACTTTTGAACTATAGGATTGCAAATTATTTTTCAAAATTTATTTCTCGCATACCGCAAATGGAGCATTGGTTTCAATAATACAGTACCATTGCTATACTTGCCTCCATATCTTTTAAAATTATGCTTAATTGCAAAAATTATTAAAGTAATTGCTTAGAAAATGTGATAATTTTTATAAAACTGTTTGATATTTTATAAACTAAATTTAAAAAGTTGATAAGCTATTAAGAATATTTCATTCACCCTAACTAAAGACAATGCTACAAAACATACTCAATTTCCAACACACCAAACAAGTTGTTGATGATATTTTATTAAAACCAAATTTTGAAATTGAACTTTCAGATAATTCAATCGCATGTCTGAAATTTCTTATATCTCAAGAACAGTTATCGAATTATTTAACTCAAGAATCAAGTGACGTCCAAGAATTTAATTTAGAAGTCAAAAACACAGTAGATCCAGAGAATCGTTTCAACGATCCTATCAGATTAGCTAAAATCTACCACAGGCTCCAGTATATTGATGTTTTTATGCCACTAGAAATCTCATCATGTGAACTTAATATTGTCATTAATAACTTTTCAGAAAAATTAGCCAGTTTATATGTGGACCATATTCATGTAAGGCTCTTACAGCGAGCATTTCAGCTTATGTATAATCTTTCATTAAGCCCAAGGATGCTTTTGGGAAACGTGCTGTTACCGATTTTAGATCAACCAACACGAAGACAATTAGGGGAATTGGATAAATCATTAATTGATCCTATACAGATCCAAGAGAATTCAAATCAACAGCAATCACAGACATTAGAGGAAGATCAACTTGAAATTAATATTGAATTGCTGCGAGAAAATCAATCAAGTGATTATCCTGCTAAAGATCAATCTTATAGTGCTGATGATCAATCAAGTGATTATCGTGCCACTGATGAATCAACAGATAATCGTGCTAATCATCAATCAACAGATACTCGTGCTAATGATGAATCAGAAGAATCTAGTATTGTCAGTTCGGCAGGGTACAGCATCTCTTCGGTAGTACCAGGATCTATTGAAGCTTATTCCGATAAACCATCAAATAAACATCATGAAAGAATAAATAGACTTAACGAATATTTAGGTCTATTTTTGCCTACGATAATAGTAAAACAGTTTGAATTTCCAATTCGGAAGTTAACACTAGATTTCTACGACGGTGTTCGGAGCTCTGAAGATTTCCCTGACTTAGTTGAAAAGATTCAGAACGATCTTGAAAAATCAAATGTGGAATTTTTTGAGAAAAACTCAATAGAAAGGATATCGTCTTCATTAAGAAGAAAACTTGGATTAACAGTTGGTCGTGAAAAGAAAATAGACTTTGTTCTTGAGTCAGAGAAGTTTCATGTAACTCCAGACTTCACATTCATTATGAAAGGTAAACAAATTCCAGTTGAAGTAAAAAGTGATCTAGTTAATCTTTTTCATGAATATGACGAAAAAGATTTAGTTAATAAGAAAAATGAACCATTCATTAGTGTCATATCCCAATTGTTCAGAGAGTGTATTGCTTGCAATCACTACTCTGGATTTATCACGGATGGTATAATAACTCTTTATGTTGATTTTGATTTATCTGCAGATCTAAAAGTAGTAGGAAATATTGGTCACTATCAGGTACGAACGTTGCCGTGCTGTATTTACAATATCAGGCTGAACAAGCACTTAGTAGAATGCCTAGTTGACAGCTATCAGCAGATACATAGTCAATCGCTTCAGGATTACATTAAAACAAAAGAACTTGTGAAATACCTTCAAATACTGCTTGTAACCAAGTCTATCATTAGACGTTTTCAATCTGACTTGCAAAAGATTACCGAACAACTTAACTCAGTGATGGCCGAAGTCAACGTAGCTACTGCCAGCAAGATTGGTAATATAGAATCAAGATATAAAACTGCAGATGTTCTTTCAAGCAGTCAAACTATTAAGGATACCCCACCAAAACTTAATACAAGACATTTTCAATTAATTCAAACCATTAAGAAGTCATACGGTTCACGCTTTACTAGTGAATCTGCAGCCAGCTTATTTGGTAAGATCAATGTTTTGGAAATTCTAAGTGGACATAAAATGAATACCAATAATGCCCTTGTACTTAAAGTTATGTACCAGCAGGAATTACATGTATTAAAGATATACGATCCCATATACACAAATTCAATCAAAAGACAAAAGTTTCGTTACCATGATACTATGAATGATTGCAGTCGTTCATTTGTAAGAGAGTGTATATCTTATGATATATTAGAAGGAAAAGATTTCATTCCTGAAGTGGTTGCGGTTGGAATTTTAACAAGTCAGAAGCATGATATTATGGAAAAATTCCCGTTTATTCAAAAGAAGGTGGCCGAAACAGTTGAAAGAAGTTTAGATATAGAGAAGGTTAATTTACAAGGCTATTTTTTGATGATGAAATTTATTGAAGCAGATACCTTTGAAGAGCTCTCACCTACAAGAAAAAGTTTGTGCAATGATCTCATAATGAAAACATTAGACAAAATCCATGAGGCAGGTATTGCCCATGGTGATATATTTGGAAAGAATATATTAGTCCAGCATCGTGGAAAAAACAATGTACCATATGCTACTGCAAAAAGATTCAAAATCATATTTATTGATTTTGGTCTTAGCAGAATCTCAAAGGCCAGGAAAGTAGTTAAGTATGTACCAATCGCTGCAAGTGCCAATAAAATGGAAAAGGCTAAGAATAGAGATAAAGCGTTGCTTAAAAGATTACTTGGAATAAGCAAAAGGCAGAAAATTTAAACTAGTAAATTAAAATTTGAAATGAATATATTTTTTAAATATGCTTGGTTATCCTAATTAGATATAATATGTAACTTAGTCTTTCACGATGGAATCTGACAAAAACATTTAAGTAATCTTAAATAACGTTTTTATAATTTCTAATAAAATGTTCGACTTTTGAACTATAAATAAAAATATTTTATACTTTTGAGTAATTTTTAACTGTAAACTTTTATAATTTTTTTTGTTTTTGACTAAGTGAATTTCAAACTAAATGGATCATCACACGTATCTCCTTTGCCAATTAACTTAATAGGAATTTGTTGGAATTTACCATGACCATGAGAATTTTCATTATTGAAACACCATTTACTTAATCCTCCATAACTAATTTCAGTAGTTTCTTTATCATATTGGAATTGGAATTTCGATGGTTGATAGAAGGATCCACAACTTAATTGACCTTCTTTATCAAATCCACAATAACCCTTTGAAGATTTTAAATTATATCCTCCAAATTGACTCTTAACAATAGTGAATGTAGCACATGTACCATATTGATACCATTGACCATTCGAAATAATACATCCAGCATGATTTGGTAATTTAATATATCCTCTATCACCACCGATTGGTTTTGAAGGTGGAGAACCACCTGGATTACCTGGATTTGGAGTTGGTTTCCATCCTTTAGGTAAGAATTTGATACCTTCTTCTGGACAATTAGAATTTAACAAGGAAGATATTGGTTGGAATTCTTCTTGTTTGATTGACCCCTTTAAATAATGGTAGTACCAGATTTCTTGTAATACTTGATAACGATTACATTTGAAATAGACTTGTAAATCATCGAAATTTGATGATAATGCGTCATTGATTTCCTTTTTGGTATACGTCTTAGTTTCACTTGGAACAATTCCAGCTTGTTCTAAGAATTTAAAAGTAGGTAATTTTTCATAAATGTTCATTGAAATCTTATAAAAATCATAAATGTTTTGATTCTTAACATATGGATAATAACATGTTGGTCTCAAAGTCTTAATACAAGTACCATGTTTATTAAATTCATGAATCCATAAATTTTCATCATCACCGTTAAAGTTTTTCCAATTTAAAACCATCTTCTTATACAATTCATCGTCTTTAAATTGATCAACTAAAATGCTTTTGATTTCACGTGGTTTTAAATTCAACTCATCATCACAGAATTGTTCATAAGAACCATCACAATTATCGGGCCATAAACCATGTAAAGTAAATGAATCATTAGGACCAATTGGAGGATAATAATCCCAGAATTGGGTTTGTAAGAAGATACCACCTGGACTTTCAAAGCAACATGAGTTATAAATGGGGGTTGAATTGGAACAAGTTAATGGAATATCAATAGGACATGAGTCACCTGCCCCACCATTCAAGAATATATCTTGTTCAGGTTCCAGAGCGCCAAAACCACTGAAAATTGAAAAGATTGGAGATGAGAGAGTTGATGGGAGTAATAAACTCAAGGATATTAAGAATTTAGTCGATAACATATTGTGATATAGACGTGTTTACCCTTGATAGTAGGAAAAAACACCTAACAAGAAGTTATATGGGGGATTTCTTGTGATAACCAGAAAAATGCACGTTGATAAGAAACTGTTCCTGTATATTAAAATCCATGTCGCGGTAGTGTCCCTTGTCCAAGCACGACATCCCATTATTATCCGACATTTTGATTTACCAACGACCAATCCACTCGAAATTTAAAATTAAAAAAGAGCAGCTCTTAATATATAATGAAGGATGAATTTATCAAGTTAGTGACATTTTCATCATAATCATCATATAAAGATTCAATGTCTGAATCAGATATCTTGTCACCAGCGTTTGCTCCCTTTTTTGGGTTTGCTGGGTGTGCAGCAGCTATGATTTTATCATCAGCTGGTGCTGCAATTGGTACTGCCAAATCTGGGATTGGTATTGCTGGTATTGGTACTTTCAAACCAGATTTAATTATGAAATCATTGATTCCAGTCGTCATGTCTGGTATATTGTCGGTGTATGGATTGGTTGTTGCTGTCTTGATTGCGGGAGGTTTATCCCCTTCTGAGAATTATTCCTTATTTAATGGATTTATGCATTTAGCTTGTGGTTTATCAGTTGGATTTTCATGTTTAGCTTCAGGTTATGCCATTGGTATTGTTGGTGATGAAGGGGTTAGACAATATATGCATCAACCAAGATTATTCGTTGGTATTGTTTTAATTTTGATTTTTGCTGAAGTCTTAGGTTTATATGGTATGATTATTGCATTAATCTTAAATACTAAAGGAAGTGGTTAAAATAAAGAGTTCTTATTCTTCGTTTTAATCGTTAATTTTTATATTTTTCATGTCATATCTATTCTTCATTTCATCTTATACCGTTTATCTGTTTTCTAATTATATTACCTATAAAAAATAGACATTATTAAAGTTCAAACTTTCTCTACATTGTAAGATTTTCTACTAATTATTTTTATCAATTTCATTTTTTAATTTCTAAATTGTTAATACTAGATATATTACATATAAAAGAGGAAATTACTCATTGTTTAATCAGTTTCCATTTTATCTCCATCAACCGATGCTCCATTGGTTTCAGTTTCAGTGGTTGTAGGTTCTTCCTTTTTAGGTTCTGAAGTTGTATCCACTTTTTTAGATCCTAAACTTACATAACCTTTATTATCAATGAATTGATCAGAATTTTCTTGAAGATATTGCACTGATCTATCAGAATCTAAGAAAAGCATATAACCTCTCTTAATATCAGGAAGATCAACATTATTACTTCTTCTTTTTAAAGCAATTTGTTGGGAAACTGAAATTAAATTAGAAGCATATCTTAAACTTGTTTCTTGTCCAATCTTAGTTAAAAGAGCCAAGGCATCACCAGTTAATTCAACTTCTTCTTCATTGGCTCTAGTAGAAAGAATGGTTCTTATTTCATCTGCATTATAACCGGTTGTATGAATGATAATTGATCTATCTAATAAATCAACTGGTAAACCATGAGGTGATTTATAATTAGTACCACGAGTTTTTGAAATCCCTCTATTAGTTGCCATTATAACAATAGGAGCAAAATCATCTTCTAAAGCTCTATTTATAAATGAAAAACATTCAATATCTAACATATGAACTTCATCAATAAATAAAACTCCTGGAACAATTTCAGCTTTACCTTCTTCTTTCCATTCAGCAACTTTAGTATTGATTTGATCACGAACTTCTGATCTAATTTCTCCAGTATCACCTGAAAATAATGCTAAAAATCCTTGTTGTCTTGAATTTATAACATCAATTTCATGTAAGGAAACAGTATGAACCACTTCTTTTCTCTTTTGTAATTCACCTTCTGGACATTGAACAAATTTAGTTTCTGGTCCCATAGCATCATAATCTCTAGCTCTAGTAAATGATTTACCTAATTTTGTTATTTTACCTGATGCTTTATCAATTGATATAACGTCACCAGCTAAAACTTTTTCTTTGGTTAAACCTTCAATCATTTTATTACCTAATTCATAAATAGTTTCCATATCAGTAGTCTTTATAGTTAATTTACCTTGTTTATGACCACCAGTTATAGATCTATCAATTTGAATTTCAACGACTTCACCTTCAATTATTTCAGTTTCTTCTTTTATTCTAATTCCAATTGATTTACGGAAAGCTTGAATTAATGATTCAGTTTTAGATAATTCTAATGAAAATACTTCAGAACCAGCTATGGCAGTAAAGGGAACTTCCGATCCTAAACTTTGAGATAATCCCATAGCAATAGCAGTCTTACCAGTAGATGGTGGACCAGCAATTAACACTGCACGTCCAGCAATCTTACCTGCTTGAATCATTTTCAATATAACCCCTGCTGCTTTTCTGGCTTTAATCTGTCCAACCATACCTTCGGCTGCTTCCTTTGGTTTTAAATTCTCATCCAAACCCAATCCTGAAATATGAGAATGGGCAGCAATGAGAGATAACCCATTCAAGTCCTTACTTTGTACTTTTGTAGATATGGTTGTGCTTGACTATATCATTAAAACGTTAGTAAATTTTGATTCCTCTCTTAATATATACAATTTAATTGATCGATTCAACATACCATTTTGTAATTCAATATTACTCAATCAGTAATTCTAACTATCTATCTATGTATCTATTGGTACAAAGAAGTTGAAGAAAATGATGATGTGCCCTTCAGTTTGTGCTTTGATTTTATTTTCACTGTGAACAAAAAAAAATATTCATAAATCCAAATGGCAATGTCGCAAATTAATTACTCGACATAATGTCGTATTCGTTTTCAGGATTATCAATTTTGCAATCATAACTGCAAATCATATTATGTATAATGTAAATACCAATATTAAACAGATTAACTTTGGTCTTTAAGAGATAAATATACACATAGATTTTTTTTCTGGAGTATAAATAATTCTTGCCCTGGAAAATAATGAGAAGGACATAAAGTAGACTATTATAAAAATAGGTACTTCCCATTTCGACTTGTTATGCTAAGTATTTCCAATACCCTATTTATAAAACAATTTTAGAGTTTTATCAGCAAAGATCAATATTTAAATTTTTCATGGGATCATAAACTAGCTATGTTAACTGAATTGATCAACTTAATATATGCCAAGGACTTTATTGAGAAATTGTTTGCTGGGTATAGTTTCGATATTTCACAACAAACTAATGTGGTTAAGAATTATTATGCATCTGTCGAATTGATATTGTTTCTTATAAATCAAGATACTTTTGAAGTAAGAAAATGTATAGATCAAATCAATAATATTTTGGATCCTCTTAATATCATTAACGATCGAACCAAGGTCGTCCTCATCTTGAATAGGTTTGTCAGATTTGATGTCTTTGAACCACTTGATTTCAATGCAAGAGAGCTAAATATAACAATTCGAAACTTTTTGAACTATGTCGAATTAAAAAATATAAAATATGAAAACAACCATATGAAAACAATAACAGCTGCCTTCTATGTCATGATTAATTTTTCTCTCAGTCCACAGAATCTACTGATGGAAACGCATCAATTGCAACATTCAAACGTTACCGCTTGTGATCATAACAATACGAATTGCTTTCCAAACAACAGCATTTTACAGTTAAATTGGGTTTCAGACAGTAATATTTCAAAATTAAATAAGTATGATTTAGGACGAGATCACATCTATCATCATTTTGGACTTTTTCAGCCTGTGATATACGAAATGGAACAACCTTCTTTTTCAATAGTATTCAACAAGGAAAAGTACGACCTTCTAGATTACGAATTCAAAGAAGATTTGGTAATAAATGAAATTTTTGCTTATCCAACTGTTAATAAAAATATTTTGAGAAGAATTTCTAAATACTTACTGCAATTGTTTACTTGCAAACTTGAACGAATTCCTAATGAATTTCAGTTTGAATATGATACAAATGAATATAATATGAGATTAGATAGGATTATATCTTCATCTGATAAGAAATCTATCCCAATAAGACATTACAACGGATTAACGTTAGCATATAAAATATTCACAGAATTAAAATCAAACAATTTCCTGGTCGAAGTTAAAAGGTTACCCTTCATATATCAATTTACACAAGTGTTTATTGAAACCATTGCATGTAATAGTCTTTGTGGATTTCTAACTGATGGTAAAATGGTCTTATACATAAAAATTAACCCTGATCTTAATTGTATGGGAAAATGTTCTAACTATTGGGAAAATAGAATGGTTCCTTGTCAGATATTTGAAGTCCAACTGAATAAAGACTTTATTAATTGTGTTATAGATGCTGCAATTGATTCAAGAGATGCAACATTTCAAACAAAAATTTTAGAACTACGTTCTGCTCCATCAATTCTTGAATATTATTATTGTCTTTTACAACAGTTTCTATTAAGCCTTACAGAAAAACTTTTCAAATCAAAATTTAATAGAATATCTATTAGGACAAATAGGGATGATGAAATATCTACATTTGTGAAATTGTATTTCAACAGAAAACTTCGTATAAATATCAATGAGGTTGTTCCTATAAGATATTTCAACCTTATTAAGAGAATCAGGCTTTATTATGGTAATAAATTTATTGTACAAACTTTACAAAATGCTCTTAAACCATTCAAAATATTAGAAGCATTTGGACAAAATGCATCATTTAGACATAGCAGTGTTGTTTTGAAATTAGCTTCGAATGATGGGCGTCAATATATTCTTAAGATTTATGATCCTATATTCAGTGAGAGTATGATTAAATACAATTTCAGTTTTAATATATCTGTACAAGATAGTATGGCGTCATTCATAAGTGAATGTTGTGCTTATTATATCTTGAGAAAGCAAAGTTTTGTACCTAAAGTATTCAAAGTTGGTCTTTTAACCAGTGAAACGAATTCAGTAATGAAACAATTCGACATTGATAATATGAATTTGAAAGGATTTTATATTCTCATGGAATATATTGATGCTCAACACATCACTCAAGAATCATATAACAAAATGGATATCTGGCAAAAATTAAAAGTAATGCATAACCTAGGAATTAGCCATGGTGATATGTGTTGTAACAATATTTTAGTAAAAGATAAGGGGAAGAATAACTTGCTTTTAAAGCATCCTAAATTTTATTTTATTGATTTTGCTAAATGCAAAATATCCAACGCTAAACGGAATATGAAAGTTTCGTCTCGAACAGAAGACTATGAGTTAAGTGTTAAAACGGATTTGGAGATCCTTAATCAAATAGGGTTCGTATCGTTTTAGTTCATGAAAAAAAAATTTTGTTTTACGTTGACTTTTTGCAGTATTTTCTTTACAACTGCACCATAGAGTTAAATTATGTAAATAGATACTGTATTTGGTAATAAATTTATTTGGTAAAATAATTTTAAGGATCCAAATTAGGCAACTGTAGAAATAGGACTTTCCCAAATCTGTTTTAACGGTCTATAAATAAGTCTGTATGCTTTCTCACAAATAGTTGAATAGCTCGATATCTATGACTTTTAAGAGATCATATTATGATCATGTTAAATGAGTTAATCGACTTAACATATGTCAAGGACTTTATTGAGAAATTGTTTGCTGGATATAGTTTTGATATTTCACAACAAACTAATGTGGTGAAGAATTATCATGCATCTGTCGAATTGATATTGTTTCTTATAAATCAGGATACCAGTGAAGTAAGAAAATATATAGATCAAATCAATAATATTTTGGATCCTCTTAATATCATTAACGATCGAACCAAGGTCGTCCTCATCTTGAATAGGTTTGTCAGATTTGATGTCTTTGAACCACTTGATTTCAATGCAAGAGAGCTAAATATAACAATCCCACACTTTTTGAATTATCTAACAATAAAATCTACCGATTATAGTCTTATTAAAGGGGAAATAATACCTATTGCATTCAATACTATGATTGATTTCTCTCTTAGCCCAAAGGATCTATTAAGTCCTTTAAATACATTAAACACACTGGAAATAGACGAATTACAATTAAAATCACCCTCATCACCCTCAATTCCAACTTCTTCGTTGTATAGCAGCGACTCAAACAATGACAATCGAAACATATATCATCATTTTGGATTACTTCAGCCTCAAATATATGACATGGAAGAACCTTCTTTTGCTATTGTATTCAACAAGGACAAATATAAACTTCTACCTGTCCTGTCTCCAAAGGATTTGATTTCCAAAGGAACTTATATTTTCAGAAGTCTTCAAGACAATGTATTAGATAGAATTACAAAATACTTACCGTTATTGCTTGATTGCAAATTTCACTCGTATTATAATTCCTTCAATTTTAAGTTTGGCTCAAAAGAATTTATGATGTGGCTGGGAGGGATTATATCTTCACCAAGAAAGATCTCCATTCCAATAATATGCCAAAGTGGATTAAAAGGTATGTATGATAAATTTAGAGAATCAAAGCCAAATGATCCTCTGATAGATGTTAAACAACTACCGTTTATTCATGCATATACACAATTATTTTTCAAAACTATGGCTATAACTGGATTTATTTCGGATGGTAAAACAGTCTTATACATAAAATTTAAGCCAGACCTTAAGGTTATGCCTGGAAGTACAGACTATTGGAAGAATCGAATTGTTCCCTGTCAAATATTTGAAGTCCAACTGAATAAGGACTTTATTAATTGTGTTATAGATACTATAATTGGCTCAAGAGATACAACATTTCAAACAAAAATTTTAAAACTATGTCCTAAAAAGTCAATACTTCAATATTATTATGGAATTTTGCAACTGTTTATATCCAGCCTTGCAGTAAAGATATCCAAATTAAATATCAATGATGAACACATTAGGAAAAGTAGAATTGTTGACAAATTTATATTTAAACAATTGGATCTTAATAATGAACTTGCTATAGATATCAATGAAGTTATCAGTCAGAGGTACATCGATACTATTAAGCTAATCAAGCTTTATTACGGAAACAAATTTGTCGTACAAAGTTTGGGAAATGTTCTTAAACCATTCCAAATATTAGAAACCTTTGGACAAACTTCTTGGGCTAGTTTTAACAGCATTGTTTTGAGACTAGTTTCAAAGGATGGAAATCAGTATATTCTAAAGATTTATGATCCTCTATTCACTAAGTCCATCATTAGACACGATTTTAGATTTAATGAATCTGTACAAGATAGTATGAGGTCCTTCATGAATGAGTGTTGTGCTTATTATATCTTGAGAAAGCAAAGCTTTGTACCTAAAGTATTCAAAGTTGGCTTTTTAACCAGTGAAACGAATTCAGTAATGAAACAATTCGACATTGATAATATGAATTTGAAAGGATTTTATATTCTCATGGAATATATTGATGCTCAACATATCAGTCCAATGACGTATCAAAATGAATATCCAAGTATCTTAGGAGATAAATTAGAATTAATCCATGATCTAGGAATCAGTCATGGTGATATTCGCAAGAAAAATATTTTGATCAAAGATAAAGGAAGGAATAAAAAGAAATTGAAGCATCCAAAATTTTATTTTATTGATTTTGGTAATTGTAGGATATCTAACTCGAAGCGAAATATGCCATTTCTAATATTTGCGTCTTCGACAATAGAGTTTGATTCAAACGTTGACATAGATTTGTTTAAACTCACTATTATAGGATCTGTCAAATTTGGGAAATGAAGCATAGAAATTGTTTTGGGCCTCTCTATTTATTTTATCTTGAACCTATCTTTATTTTTTTTAGTGTTTGATTATTTTTTTGTAGAAATATACATTTATTAATATTCTATAAGTAAATCAATTATAACTGTTATAATGAGAATGAGATAAATACTCTAAGTATTACAAGTGAGATGGAGTGATAAGCCATTATGATGCATTCGTAGTTCATCGGAAAAACCTCTTTTTTTTCGGTTGAGGTTTTGCAATAATTTTTCGCAGTTACCTCTTTTGTCATTCAAACAAACCTGAAACATTTTACGCTCGCATAATAAGATGATTTGATAATGTTTAGTCCTTTTTTAATATCCGAATTTCTATAACGTTTTACTTATCTTCATCTAACATAGAATACCAGAATCATCATCAAATATGTCAGCAGATCCAAAAAAATTGTTACCAGAATTGTATAGCCTCAAATACGCTCTTGATCTTTGTACAAAGATAGAGATGGGAACCTTAAGTGTGAAACCTTTTGAGCAATCTCAAGTTTTGGAAAATTATATTAACTCAAAGGAAGCATTAACGGAGCGTCTCAATTTAAAACTCAAACCAGATACTGTTATTATTAAAAAAATGAAAATGGAGTTAGATCCTAATAATGAAATAAAAGGTGACTTTAAAGTAGTTTTCATGTGGCATAGATTTATAACTATCGATCTTTTTAACCCCTTGGAGTATAGTACTGTGGAGTTGAATCTTACAATTGGTAGATTTGCAGGTTACGTGAAACAAAAATTTGCTGTTCGTAATCACAGAAGAACAAGTATAATACTTGCCGCATTTGAAGTAATGATTAACTTATCGATTTCTCCCGGTTTATTAATATCAGAATCACCAACGGAACCTACAAAAAAGCTTTCTCCAATTCAAGAGGCTGATGAAGATTTAGAGCTTGCAGAGATTTCTGATATTCTGCCTCAATCCCAACCCCCAAGAAAGCGTCACCATATTGCTTCAAGTAATAATGAACTGAGTGGTGGTACTTCTCAATCAAAACTTAAATCAACTAGTGCTTTGTATGAATATAACAGAAGAGACAATAAATTAAATAAATATATTGGACTATTTATCCCAGAAGTGCAAAATGCTGATATATCAACTTTACCACAACCAAAGCCTGATCTAAATTTTGATGAAGACATGTATAAAAAGTTCTTAATTAGCAATACATTCAAGCCTTTTGAATCAGTCAAAAAAAACAATAGGGAAGAGTCCAATGTTTTAATTTTTGATAACAATATTTTGAGGAAAATTGATCCTTATTTGCTAGCATTCGATAGGAAAGGCTTTATTAATGAATATCTGTCTGTTTTTGAACTTTCCAATTATACCTTCACAATAAAGCCTGATAGAGTAATCGAGCTATTAAAAGGTATCTTCCCGATTGAAATAAAAACGGAATTGAAACATGTTTATGATATTTTTAAATCTCCAACTTCATCTTTTAAAGACAAGCTTCCATTCTTCCAAATATTTTCCCAAATGTTTAGAGAATGTGTCGCTTGCAATAGTTGTGCAGGTGTATTAACAGACGGAATGATCACCCTTTACATAAAATTCAGTCCTAAGCAATTTGATAAAATTAAAGCAAGTTTGACTGATGATTATGCAAGTTGGAATAATTATGGTGCTGATATTTATAGAAATATGCCGTGTGAATTCTTTTCAATTCGTCAAAATAAGGATTTATTTTATTGCTTACTTCATTCGGAGGACTATTTTACATCACAATTAAGAGAAGCTGTCCAGAATCATCTATTTTTGCACAAAGAACCGATACAACTTATATGTGAAAAGCATTATATTGCATTTGAAGAAATTTTGAAAAGACTAAAGGAAAAACTTGAAGTATCATTAGTAGCTAAAGCACCCACACACGAGGATCAGTTAAAGGATGTATGGTCTAGTAGTCAACCCAATTATACCACAGAAGGTACAATCATTAATCAAAGGTATGATTCAATTCTTCAAGATATCAAACATGATTATAACGACAGGTTTACTTTTGAAGACACAGTTGAATTCTTTAAAACATTTGAAATCATCGAGTTACTTGGTGGTGAAGAGAGGTTTTCGAATAATGGAGTTGTTTTCAAAATAAAATATCAGGACAAAGTATGCGTTCTCAAAATTTATGATGCTATTTATTCAAAGGCAATGCCTAGAAATAATTATGATTTTGAAGCCTCAGTGATTGATGTTACTCGTTCCTTTACCAAAGAAAGTTATGCCTATCATTTGTTGAAAGACAAGTCGTTTGTACCAAAGGTCATAAAAGTAGGTCTTTTATCAGGCAAAAATAACATTATTATGAAATCAATTGACATACCAGATGAAAATGACAAAGATAAGAAACCACTTGATCCTAAACCGGAAATTAACTTAAAAGGTTTTTTTTTAATTATGGACTTTATTGATGCCGTAAATCTAGGTGATTTGCTTCCCAATGTTAGGAAAAAATTTAAAACTCTTGCTCATAATACTTTAACTTTACTTCATAAGGAAAACATCAGTCATGGTGATGTTTACAAATACAATATATTAGTGACGTGGCACAGTGTAGGTTCACTTTTTATGAAGAAGAAGGTATACTTCGTGGATTTCGGCCTGAGTCGAGTATCTAAATATCGTCATGGTTCTAAAGTACGTTCACTTAAAGCAAATACTTTGGCCGAGAATATGACACGGGATCGTAAATTACTTCGAGGATTATTTCCCAAATGATTAAGATTTTCTTCATTAACAACATTTTTTATATTTTCTTGTGTTTTTTTAGTTTGTTTAGTTTTTATCTTTTTACACTTTATTTAAATTTCAATCAATTGTTTTCAATATATATAAATATCTTATATTTTGAGTATTGTAGAATGAGATCTTACCTCTTTGTATCATATTTAATAAACTATTTAAATAGTTTATAATCTTTCTTTTCTAATTAATGAACCTTCAGAATACATAGCATCAATTTGGTTTGAAAAGAATTTCTTTGCAATTGGTCTTCTTAATTTTAAACTTGGAGTTACCACATTTCTTTCAATTCTTAAAGGTTCAAATTCAATATAAATATTATGTAATTTTTCAAATCCTCTTAATTTATCTGAAATATTCGTATTTAAATATTGTAAAATTTGTTTCTTAATTTCAAATTTATTACAATATTCCAAAATTTGTTCAGTAGTTTGTAAATCATTAATATCAACTTTACATTTTTCAACTAAAAATTGAACACATAATTCTCTTTCTAACCCAATCACACCAACTAAATAACTCTTTAATGGATCACCATGAGTATAACATTGAGTTAAAATTGGATTGTTTGATAAATAATGATTTTCAACTTTTTCAGGAGTAATATATTCACCTTGAGCCAATTTAAAGAAATTCTTAACTCTATCAATAATAAATAATTTACCATCAGTTTTAGAAATTCTTGCCACATCACCAGTATAAAACCAACCATCTTTATCAAAAGCAGAATCAGTAGCTTCTTGATTTTTATAATATCCTGGTGTAACTTGTGGACCTCTTAATAATAATTCACCTCTTGGACCATCTGCATCATTAATATGATAACCCATTTCTGGTAATTCTCTAATTCTCATTTCACAAGTTACACTACATGAACCACAACCACCAGGGCTAGATTCATGAGGAATACTAAAGGCAATACCTCCAAATGATTCAGTTAATCCATAACCTTGAGAAATACCTATACCTAATGATGCCTTTAAGAATTGAATAGTAGATGCTGAAATTGGAGCTGAACCAGTGGTTGTCATTTGCATATTATCAAATCCTATTGAAGATCTTAATTTGGAAATAAAAAATTTATCATAAATTAAATGTTTACCTTCAGCACCATCATATTCTTCTTGACTAGCCAATTTATAATTGATAACTTTGGAAAATAATTGTCTAGTAACAGCTGAATTAGATTCAAAAGTAGCATTCTTAATAGCAGCTTCTATTTTAGTTAAAATTCTTGGAACATTTGACATAAAATGAGGTTTCCAAATTTTTAAATCTTCAATTAAAGTAAGTGGACTTCCATTTAATCTTGGATAACCGACACACCCACCATAACATAGAACAAAAGTTGAAACTGCACGTTCATAAATATGAGCTAATGGCAAAAAACTAAATGATTTCCATTTTCTTCCATGTCCAACCAAAGTTAAATTGAATACAGTGGCAGCAGCAGCAGTTTTATGTGTTAATATAACCCCCTTTGGATTATTACCAGTGGTACCAGATGTAAAACTAATAGCGAAAACTTGATCAGTAGTTGGTGGTAATTCTTGCATAGGGAATAATTTACCAATTTGTAAAACTTGATTTAAATCAAATAATTTTATTCTAGCAGATTCAGCAGCATCAAATAAATATTGATCTTCTTTATCAAGTGGATCCATAGAGATTATAGATATAATATGACCTAAAGCTTCAGGATCATCTTTCTTAGCATCAATTAAGTTCTTGATATGACCTTTTGAAGCTACAATAACTGGACTTTCAGTTAATTGTAAAATATATTTTGATGATTCAACTCCTAAAGTATCATATAATGAAGTACTGGTAACTGAAAATGAACTACAAGTTAAATCAGTTAAAGTCCATTCCCATCTATTGGAAGCAAAAACAGTAACAATAAATGAAGTATCTTCAGCATTATAATTCTTATAGTTTTGTACGTGTGAATCAATTTTAGCATGAGATTCATATTTAGCCAGATCTTTAAATGGATTTGATAATAATAAAAAGAATAAACCAGCACCATAATTAAGTTTCATTTCATTAATTTCATTATAAGTAATTAAAGAATATTCTGGAGCTGAAGTTTTAGTTTTATAATCATATTTTCTATAACCAAATCCAGGGTCATCACCAAAATTAGTAACTGAATTTTTAAATAATGAATGAACAGTATCTAATTCTGAAGTAAAAGCATGTTTCAAACCATTTGGGAATAAAGTACTTCTATAAACACTTGAATAACCTGGTTCTTGAGTGCCTGGAATTGCAACTGAGTTTTTAATATTCTCACGACGTAATGGAGTATAATCATGAATTAAATCAACTATGGATACATTTGGACCTGGGTCTTTGAAAAGATAAGGAGATTCATCATCATCAAAGATTGGATTTTGTTGTGGTAATGAAGGTAATTTAGTCATATTTGATTTCTAAATTGTAGTATTAATGATGAGAAATGGGAAATAGAAACTAAGAAATTGAAAATGGAAAAAGAAGTGGAAATAGACAGACTTATACTGTTTATATATAAATACCTATATATATCCTATCGGGAATACAAACATATTTTTGAGGATATAGATCATTATATGGATAAACAAATCTTAACCCCCAAAATTAGGTTAGTGATGGCGGATACTCAGAAAATTATCGAAATAAATGTGGGGTAAATTCCAAAAAGAAAAAAGCCAAAAACTGTCGCAAACAATGTTTAAGGAGGAGATATGAATATCCGATAATCTCCCTTTTAATTATTAACATATTGTTCTTAATCTAGAACAATGTGGGAGGTAAGGATCATGATGGTTGGAAGTATTCTATGTATATAAAGAAATGGGGTTGAATGAATTTGATATTAATTATATAGTTATAGAAATCGGCAATTATGAACCGATAATTTCAATTTCTCATCGGTAAACCTATTTCAATGCGCGTCCTGATTAGGAAATAATTCTAAGGTTTTTCACACTGTAACCCCAACTCCCCAACATTTACTACTATGTAATTTGTAGTAAAGTAGTACTAATATGATTGTGTAATTGATTAGGAGGTATATCAGTTAGTAAATAATGGATTTGATTTAATAGGTACTCGTGGTGATTATTCGGAATATACTTATAATGAGGATTGATTGTCATTTTAGTAGGCCAATTGAAATCATCAACTTCAATCACTTGACCTTCATTCTTTGCCATAATCAATAAATCAGTACAATTCTCAATAATTATACGATCATTCATCACTTGTTCTATTATAATTATACAATTAGTGATATTATGCAATCTTAATTGATGACAATTTAATATCAATATACTATACGATACATCATGAATAAAGATTGGTCCTTCAACTTTCAAGTTAATTATCGAATGTTTAACTTGTTTAATATGAGTTGAAGATGGTATCATTGATTTATCTTGATCGATTATACTTGATTCAACTCCTAATAATAATACATGTTTCTCACTTTGTTCGACACTAAGTTTAAACCGTTGGTTTGAAATATCCTTAAATAGTAATTCATTATAAGTATTAACATTAACGTTTAATCCCGTCTTTACGATCTTACCTTTAGTTTGGATCATATTAGATTCAGGTGGAATCGGATTTCCCTTAAATTCAAATCGATTTTGACTTAATTGTATTCGTTTTAATTCAATGGTTTTGAAAAGAAAATCAACTTCAGTAATGACTCGTTTCTTATCATACGGAGTGAATTGAGATAATTTGATTTCAAGAATTTGATTAAGTCTTAATAATCGATCTTCAATATCATCAACCTGTGGTTTTGTAGTTACATTTGTAAATTGTTGTTTTATATCTAAACAATATCATATTTTGTTAGTAAAACTGTATGAAAAAGGCATTCCTATCATTGGATACATACTTTTGATTTCATCATGGATCGATTCCAAATCATCTCTGATTAATTCCATTCCATTCTATGGGTTTAAACTATCTTGACCGTCAATTCCATTCTTCCCATAAACCATTTTTGATTTTAACACGCGTTTTGGGAACATCATCACAAATACGGGCGCTACCACATATACACATACCTAAAACCTACAAAACTCAATTTTAAACAAAATAAGGATATGATATTAATAAAACTATATAGAATAAAGAAAAGAAATAAAATACGTTTTTAAGTGATGATGATGATGATGATGGGTTTTTTTTATTTATTATTTCATGGTTTGACAAGACGAGTTCTACCAACTAATTGATCAGCAATATCCCTAGTCTTAGCCCAATGAATATTCTTTGGCATTCTTCTACCAATTTCAGTTTCAAAATCATATAATTGTCTAATGGATCTGAATTTCAAATGTGATGATTTAACTCCCAATACAGCAGCAGTACCAGTAATAGTTTTATTATCAGTAGGGAAATCTAATGCATATTTGAATTCTAATAATTCATCACTGGCGGCTTCAATGAATTGAACTGCTTTGATGGCAAATCTAGCAGCTCTGGTTCTATCAATAGGAGATGGTAAACCACCTTGTTGAACATGACCTGGAATAGCGGTTTTAACATCGAATTCTCCATTCGATTCTGATTTCATGATGTCAGCTAAAACTTCAGTAGTTAAAACTTTAGAAGCATTTGTACTTTTTAAAATCAATTTACCTGATTTTGATAATCCTCTATCGATTGAAAATGCTTCTTTTAATGATTTAATATCCAGTTCTAATTGATCTAATGCAATACCTTCTTCTGGAACATATGATGCTTGAGCTCCACTAATTAATGATGCATAAGTTGCGATATAACCGGAATTACCTCCTTGAACTTCAATTACAAAAGCTCTATCTCTAGTGGCGGATGCAGAAAGTTTAACCACATCACAATATTCCATTAATGAATTTAAACAAGTATCTGAACCAAGAGAATATTCTGTGCCTGGAACATTATTTGAAATAGTAGCAGGAATTAAAACCATTGGAATTCTAAAAGCAGGATACATAGGTCTAGCTTTTTCTAATTGATCTAATGAAACAAAAGCTTCAAATCCTCCTACAATCACTAAACCATCAAATTGATATTTTTCAAAATAATGAGCAATCATACCAATATCAGTATCTTGAGGAGTTTGTCTATTAGTCCCAATTTCCGAACCTCCAACTGAATTCCAACCTTCAATTTCTAACCAATCCATCAGTCTAACTGATTCATGTCTTGATAAACCAGCAAACCCATTATGAATAGCATAAGGAGTATGACCTCTTGACATACAATATGTAGAAAAGGCATATACGGCACTATTCATACCACCGGCTGGAGCACCAATATTAATAATAGCGATTTTCTTTCTTTTTTCCAAGGGTAATGTAGGTTCATTATGATTAGCGGAATTCATAGCGATGAAATTTGATAAATGTTCCGAAAATTCTGAATCTCTTAATGACATCGCTTTTTCAAAATCTTTATTTTGAATGGCTTCCGCTACTGATTTTGTGATTTTAACTGCTTCCACTAATGGTTTTCTCACAATTTTATTTTCTTCAATAGCAATTAATGGTGATGGAGTATCTGGAGTAACGTCCAATACGGCTTTAACGGCTTCAACCCCTTGTAAAGTAGCCAAGATTCTATCAAAAGCAACAGCAGTACCACCTCTTTGAACATGACCTAAAGTAGTAACTCTAGTATCTAAACCTAATCTTTTAACTAAGACATCTTTAACATCATTAGCTGAAATAGGTTGTAAATCAGATGTGATGGCTCCTTCAGCCACGATAACAATGGTCTTACGTTTACCTTTAGCACGATGTTTACCAACAATGGTACACATTTGTTCTTGCCAATCTTTTGATGAAGATGGTTTTTCAGGAATTAAAATATAATCAGCACTAGTGGCAATACCAGCCATTAAAGCTAACCAACCACAATGTCTACCCATAACTTCCACAACGAAAGCTCTGGAATGTGAATTGGCAGTAGCATCAATATAATCGATAGCACGACAGATTCTATCTAAGGAAGAATAAGCCCCGATGGTGGCATCAGTAGTAGCCATATCATTATCAATTGAACCAACTGTACCACAAATATTTAAATGTTTATAGGTATTAAAATCTTCAAGGGAGATTTCATTTGTATCTTTTAATTCTTGAATTAATGAAGGCCATTCAGCTCTAAAGAGATCAGCCCCAGTTAAAGATCCATCACCCCCACAAACAATTAAAGCATTAATACCAGCTTCAATTAAATGTTTACAAGAAATCAATCTTCCTGCCCGTTCTCTAAAGGCCATACATCTTGCGGTACCAATATTAGTACCACCTTCAGATAAATAACCTCTAACATCATGCCAAGACATTTCTTTTATATATTGAGGACCACCTCTTACTAAACCTTCATAACCTTCCATGATTGCAAATGCTTTACAACCTCTATAAATGGCAGCTCTAACGACAGCACGAACATTAGCATTCATACCAGGAGCATCACCACCAGAAGTCATAATGGCGATGTTTCTTTTTGGACTGTTTTCACTATCATCATTTCTTGATCTATCAGAAACAGTTGTACTCATTAAAGTTGATAAAATATGTTCTTCACTAATGAACTTTTCGATTGGTGGTACAACCGCCAAGGGGTTTTCTGAAGTAGTGAATCCTACGATATTACCTAATGGATCAATGGTATAAACTTCATTAGGGAATAATTCATTGGGACTAAGTTGAACTGGTTGATTAAAAGTTTTTAAACTTGATATAAGATTAACTAATTCAGTATATTTTAAAACAATGGTAGTTTCTAATGATCTCCAATCGTGAACATTTAAAGATTTGATTAAAGTATCTCTCTTGGTGATGATTTCATCTAGGGATAAACCTTTCTTTGGAGAAAGAACTAATTTGACAGCTAAAGTACTATCATCATTAGATAAATATAATTTATCTTCATCTTCTGAATGCAAGGTTAACCCAATTATATTGGTATAAAAGTTAATGGCTTGATCTAATAATTCTTTGGATGAAGCATATAATGATAAACATGAAGTACCATTAACAATTGGGATAGCCATGATTGAGTTAAGTTAATTTTTGATCTATAAATGAATTTGAATATGACAAGAGGAGGAGGGGAGTAGATTAGATTTGAATGCAAAAGGATGAATTTTTATGATTGATTCTATGGTGAAGATAGATAAGTATGAGTTGAATGATAAGTTTATAAAGTCAATTGAATTGACTAAGTAACTATATATGGTAAAAATGTGAAGAATATATAGTAGTGATGATGATGATGATGGTGGTTGTAATTATTTAATTTCCCCTTTCATCGTTCTCTCTCTCATTCATTTTAACTTTCACCACCTGATGAAAAAAGAGTGGTACTGCATACAAATTCCGATTTTTGGTTTGGTGATGAATATGTTTGAGTAAGGTGATGGGAGCAGTTAAGTATTGAAGTTTGGATGTCGGAACAATGAGGTGCGGACATACTTCAAATAATTCTTCAAACCACCACCAAAGACAGTTATAACGATAAAGACTATAACGAACAGATTAAGATGATCGTATGTTATTTTAAGAAATATATAATGGTCGAATAGGCGAAAATCAAAAATTCTATTATTAAAAAATAAAATAATTAATTATAGATAGATAATGGTAAGTTGATGGGTCCAACTTCATTTCATTTCGGAGTTGACCAAATCATTTTTTTACGACAAACCATAATTGGCAAATGTCGAAAATAATGAGAATTATTAAAGCTTTTGCGACAAATGAGAAATGACAAAAGTGTCGTGACTCATGATCATGTGACCAATATAACGGATTTATATAGTTAATGATATCAACTACTATACAGATATACTTATTTGTCAATTTAATGAATTAATTAAACTTATAATGTATATTCTGGAGTCTTCCAACTAGTTTATACTAATTCAAATTACATTACATTAACTTAAGGTTACTTTTGACTATTCAAACTAGTTTATAAGATTACCCTACAATTCATTACCCATAAGTAATTCCATTTGAACTTTACCAACACAGTAAATTCAATCATGATTCATGTAGTCAATACTACTAATAATCATACACATAACTCAATATATAATTTCAAAGTGAGTAGATCAACCTCTATATGATATAATAATTTAATTAGTACTCACATTTACACTACCTCATTCCTGTTAACTATACACTCTTCATACATTCCCTCGCAGTTAATCTGAGCACGCTACTTAATCCATACAAAAATCATCAAAAACAAAAAAAAAAAATTTGTTAGTACCCAAATTTCGTCGATTGAAAAAAATTGATTTAAAGAGCAAATGGGATTGAAATCAATCTTGGTTTGCAAAAAGGTCTATTGTCAAACTTGATTTAATCCTTGTCATAGATATATACATACATAGACATAGAGATATACCATGTCACAACAACAATCCACTCCAGTTCCTATAACTGATCTTACCAAGTTTACCATTCCAACTTTACCTGGTGTTACTACCGCTCCACCTAAAGCAAATGGATTTTGGTCATCAAATCCCGTATTTTCATATTTAAATGATGTTTATATTACTATAAGTGAACATAGAAAATCTTTAGGTTTAACTAATCCTGGTACTATTGAAAATTTAAATAAAGAAGTTTCAAGAGATGTTTTCTTGAATCAATATTTCTTTACTGGTTTAAGAGCTGATTTAAATAAAGCATTTTCAATGTCTCCTGTATTTCAAACTTCTCATACTTTATCAATTGGGTCAAATGTTTTACCTCCTTATGCCTTTTCTGCTTTATATGCTACCGATGATTATTTCATACAAGGTAATATCGATAATGAATTATCATTTTCTGGTAGAATCAATTATGGTTGGAATAAATATAATATTAGTAAAGTTACTTTACAATTAGCTCATGGTCAACCATCAATGGTTCAATTAGAACAAGATTATCAAGCTTCTGATTTCTCTATCAATTTAAAAACTTTAAATCCTTCCTTATTATCAGGGGGTTTTAGTGGTGTTGCCGTTGCTTCTTTATTACAATCTTTAACTCCAAAATTTGCCGTTGGTTTAGAAGCTATGTTTTCCAAACAACCAGGTCCAGTTCCTCCTGAAACTTTAGTATCTTATGTTGCTCGTTATAATGCTGGTAATTGGATTGCTTCTGCTCAAATCCAAGCTCAAGGTGCTTTGGTTGCCTCATTCTGGAGAAAAGTTTCTGATAAAGTTGAAGCTGGGGTTGAAACTCAAATTGCTGCTTCTTTAAAACCAGTAAATGATCCATTATTAGGTACTCCTATTGGATTTGAAACTGCAGTTGAAGGTCAAACTACTATCGGTGCTAAATATGAATATAGATCAGCTGTATTCAGAGGTCAATTAGATTCAAATGGTAAAGTTGGTGCATTTTTAGAAAAAAGAATTTTACCAACTGTTTCTATATTATTTTCAGGTGAAATTGATCAATTTAAACAATCTTCAAGATTAGGTTTAGGTTTACAATTCGAAGCTGCTGGTAATGAACAATTAATGTTAATGCAACAAGGTTTAATTGATGCTAATGGTAATCCAGTCCCAGGTGCTCCACAACTTTAAACACCTTAAAATCTACAAAAAATAAATCACAACCTATCCCTTCATAATCCATCCAAAAAAGTTCAATGACTATTTAATGAATCTAATAAATTAGCAACACATCCAAGCATCATCTACATCATTAATAAAACTATTCTACCATCATCAACTTCATCTCATCTCATCTCTTTGTATATAAAATTACCTCTTACCCTCATTCACCTCCCCCATATATTATTACATTTACATACATTTTATTAGTACTATTATTATATTATTATTATTAGATAAACAACCGTCGTATTTAAAATGTATAACAAATTATTAAAAATTTGAAATATTTACCTTACACTATATTCTGTAAAAAATAATGATTTTTATCTTTATTTTAAAATTTCTCTCTAATTTACATAATATAAATAAATAAAATAAATAAACTATCATAACTAACATAAATAAAATAATACGTGGGGGTACGGTGTATCGTGGTACAGTACTTTTTCTCACCATCCGAATAATCTTGATGTGAATGATGTCGATCTCGGTATGGTGTTCCCAGCCAGTGGTGTACGTGATGAATTCGTGATATTGGTGGTATTGGTGGTTGAAATATGCTTTTGAGGAGGGATTCTGGCATTATGTAAATTCTCCTTCTTCGAAATAAGTTGATATATCTCTGATGATCCTAATTTATACGTATTCTGTGATTGATCGATATTGGTGGTGGAATTAGGATATAATCTATCTCTCTTTTGTTGAGATGATGATAATTGGGATGATGATGAGCCTCGGAAATCACTTTGAACATTGGCTGTTATTGTAGGTAATCTATGATTTGAATCATCTTCAAGACCAGCTTTTAAATTCCGTTGAGCAATCGATTTATATATATTTCGATAAGTCTTATTCAAATCAAATTGAGGTTGCGATTGGGAATGACCTAATGAAAGTGAAGCTTGGGAATTACTATTAATACTATAATTTGATTTCGATTTTGTAATGATTCTTGGATTAGTAGTATTAATATTATTATTACCATTTGGAGTATTCACACTGATATTGGTTTGAGATTGGAAATCAAAATTAGGTTCCATCCAATTCGTCTCAGAAGTATATAATTCACTTCTGGATGAACGTCTTGATCTGACAGCGCCTCCACCGCCTCCTCCACTATTATGAATCCGATTATATTCACTTAAAGATGTAGATGGGAATTCTTCAAGTTCGTTATTATTAGGATATACTCGAGAATAATTTACTGATGAATATTTAATCGAAGATGCCATAGATTGAGGACGAGTTGGGGGACGAGATCTTGTAAAGGTGATCGATTTCGTCTTGGTGATATTTTCTTCATATTCATCTAATAAAGAATCCATCGATGAATCAGATTTATCATCATCATGTTCATTCAACCGATTTAATTGATAAGGATTAGCGTTAGTATGAGCCATTTTCTTTGGTTTAGGTTGGAATAAACTCTTACCGGTTGGTGATAATGGTAAAGGATTCACATCAAGGCATGCCATAACAGTGGTTATCGATTGAGACGATGCTTTTTTATTCAACTGATGATGGGTTGTATGAGGTGGTGCTGGTGGCTTAATAGGGCTTATAGGAGCATATTCTAATCCGTTATTATGGGGAGATAAAGGTGCTGAAGGAGGAGAATCAGGAATTTCATTAGATATAATAGGGAATTGAAAATCGTTTGGGGTTGACCTGATTGGATCCTTAGTCTTGATGATCTTAGGTATGGTTGTAGTCTCTTCAATTGGAGTATGAGCTTTAATTTCATGTTTAATATCAGCAGTGGTTCCCTTTATATATAAATTTCTATACTTTACAATTCTCTCAAATGTATTTTCTAAAACTTGAATGACATTAGGTTCATCTGAATTAATGATAATTTTCCAATATCTCTCAGGATTAATCAATGGTAAGATAAATTGATTGAAATTGATCCTTAAGATCTTTAATTTTGGTAATAAAGGATATATGAATGATGAACCACATGATATGTACGTTATATCGCCTTTATGTAATTGAAATATTTCTAATTCTCCAAAACTTAATAAAGATCCACTATTATTTGAATTATAAGAACTTGAATCGTCATCATCATATACGAGTATTTTTGATGATTTATATTTGAATAATGTTACTTTTTCATCCATATTAAGGTTTGTATTGGTAGATAATGATTGTGATGTAGAATTTACAGGTGGGGAGAATGAAGGACTCGTTTTATTTGATTTTAAAGTTCCTTTTAACTCATTGATATAATTAAGATCTTCTTCACTTTGTTTATGTCTCATTAATGTTTGTTTCCTAGGACTTAAAGTTTGCCTAAGACCTGTTGATTTGATTTGAAATGGTGGTTGTAAAATATCGTTATGTACTTTATGATGATTATCACTGGTTGGTTTATCTTTGATGATATGTATTTGAGGAGTGGGTATTTCCTGTATTATTGGAATGTTTTCATCCACTACTTCATGTTTAGTCTGTATCACTGGTTCTTCTGTTATCGATATTGATTGTTTCTGATCGTGGGGTATTTCCGTAGTTTGTACCACTACAACTTCTTTCTCTTTCTGATTGAACAGTTGTGATTTGTTCTTTGACTTTTGTTTCCTCTTCTTTCGTTTCGATATAGACTTGGCATTGACTGGAGTGATATGATTCTGATCCAGTTTGCTTGATTCTTCCACTTGTTGCAGTTGTTGATGATGTTGAAGTTGGTGGGGAAGTATAGATGCATTCATGAGTGGTGACGATAGTATTTGTCCACCATCGTGATGTACCCCATTTCTACTACTCGACATGATAGATGTTTTCAACCTCTTCTCATCAATGGTTGTCCTAACTTATGGGTTGTTATTTCAGTTGGACCCCTTCAATAATGGTTTGGTTCAATTGTTTGTTTGTTTGTTTTGAATTTTCTGGTACTGTGAAAGTTCCCGCGGACAAACTAAAAAATTATTATGTGTGGGGGGAGGGAGTTTTTTTTGATTTATCATATAAATAAATAGAGATCTATAAAACTGTTAAAAGGTTCAAACTATACACGATGGGGGAGGATTTGGGGTTGTTAAATACATAAATAGATAGATATGATTAAGCTCCTAAGACATGACCATCACCTCTGAAAGTGGTTTGTTCAGTGGCAGCAGCAGTGGTGGTGGAAGTGGAAGTTGCTGTAATACCAGTGGAAGAAGTTAATGAATTAAAGAAAGAACCTAATTCTAAATCTTTATCGAAATGAGAAGTATAACTGATTTCACGATGATTATCTTCTTCTTTATAAAAGATCACTAATCCATCTAATTTAGCAATTGCCCCCGATAATTTATTTTCAATAAATAAAACCACTTTTGGGGGTGGGTATAAGAATTTAATATATCCAAAACTTAATAAATAACCTGAAGTTAATCCAAATAAATGACCAAAGAAGGATGAACCTGGAATCAAGATCAAACATAAGAATAAAGTAATCACGGGAGTATATAACGTTGGAATGGTATAATCTCTATTATTATAATGAAATAAATGAATGGTTTTTCTAAGTTTAGATTCATTAAAAGCTAAATAACTTAAGAATGAAAACGCAATTCCAGATAATCCAATCACACTAGTATCTGGATAAAGGAAAAGACCAACAATGGTATATTGAATAGCAGTTACCACTGCTAATAAATTTAAGGTAATTCCAGTATGAACAGTACCATGATTTCTTTCAAAAATGGCCAATGGAGTGAATAAAGTTACCACATTAAATAACCAATGAAGGATATTCTTATGATATAAAATATAGAATGACACTCTATTTAAATCGAATTCACCTATAGATTGAGGACTTAATGAAAATTTATGGGCAAGATAAAATGATAAGAAGAAATCATCAATGATATATAAAAAGAAGGTGAATATGGTTAAACCCACGGTTAAAGCAGGGTATTTGGATGTGATTTCAAAGAACTGGGCTACCGGTGAGGTAGACGTGGTTGATGAAGTCATTGAACGATGTGGTGTTGATATATCAATGGTAGTTGGCTCCTTTAAATCAAGTGGTTGTAATAAAATTTTAACTGTTTTGATTTTGGAGTGTTGCGCGTTGTTCACAAACAGGATGCAAATTTTGCTGTGCCTTTTAACTTGAAGACACAAGAAGAAGACAAGACAAGACAAGACAATCAAAGAGATGAACACGTATGGTTTAATGATAACTAAGATTCTCAGAGTGTACAATTGAATGTCATTAACTGCCTCATTAGTTAAACAAGAAGATATTGTACTATCATTACTGACCTTATTTGTAAAAATCTGCATATAGCAATGTGACGTAAATATCAACTACAACGACGATATAATCAAATAAATAAGATCTATATTGTAAAGTACATACATCTATTCAACTCATTTCTATATCATTATTGATCTCGTTAAGGACTTTACTCTTGAATTTATTCAAAAATTGATACTTTTTACCATTATTAAATTTCAAATTATCAATTTTAATCAGTCTAGCTTTTAAAGTTTCATTTATCCCATCAATTTCCAGTAAATATTGTTTGATATTACTTAATTTTAATCGTATACTACCAGCATTATTATCAAAATCTTTAGCCAGTATATTTCCAATCTTTAAATTATGAATTAATGTGAATAAATCAGGTAAGATTTCTATTTCTTGTAATTTAACTATAGGATCGTCATCATCTTCAATGGTATCTCCAACTACTTCTTCTTTCACTTTCACTTCCTCTTTCACTTCAGGTTCTACTTCCTTATTATCAATCTCATTCTTATTATCACTTTCATTAACTTCTTCCATCTGTACATCATTATCAACATCAACTTTCTCCACCACCTCCTGTTTAATCTCACTTTCCTTATCTTTATCTTCACTCTCTACTACATCCTCTACTTGTTTAATCCCTTCTAATCCTATAGATGGTTCTTTATCATCAAGTATAGATGTTATGATTGGAGGTTCTAGTATGGGTGATTGCGTAGTCAATTTAAGCATAGATTCATCATCCATTGATATATCCAATGATGGATTGGTTGGTATATCCCCGTTTATATCTGACATTGTCCCTGTTGATACTATTCTATAGTGTAAATGATTGATTGATTGATGGTAATATTCGTTTGGTGATAGTTAAATTTTTAGTTAATAAAATTCAAAAATTGTCATTTTTGTACGACAGTGAGAATAATTCAATTTTGACAACATGTAACAACCTTTCCTTTAGTTACCAATCACCATATCACTTTGCTCTATTAATTGCTATCAATAACCCCCATAATCACATCTCCTATCACATCATGGATACTTTAATATCAATACTAGGGTCATGTTTACCTTGTTTTCCTGATTTATCATCACCATACGTCACCATTAAAAATGTTAAATATAGAATTATAAAATTATTAGGAGAAGGAGGGTTTTCTTATGTTTATCTTGTGAAATCATCAGTTAATGATGCTCAATATGCTATGAAGAAGATAAGATGTCCGTTTGGATCTAATGATGAGACTTATAAGAATTCAATTAAGGAAATTAAAAACTATCATCGATTTTTAAAATTTGGTACTCCTTATATTATTCAAAGTATTGAAGAAATCATTATAAGTGAAGTTGATGGATCAAAGACAGTTTATATCTTATTACCTTACTTTGAAAAATCATTACAAGATATCATTAATAATTTAGTCATGAATGATGATAAAATGCCAGAAGAGGATATATTAAAAATCTTTATTGGAATTTGTCGTGGTTTAAAAGTGATGCATAATTATAAAACAACAACATCTCAATCAGCTCAATCTGTTCCTAATAGTATTGCTGATGATGTTCATAGTTCTACATCAGCCGATGAAGATGGATTATTATTACCTCCTCAAGGTCCAGCAAGTGATGATGAAGATGAAGAAAATGGTGATGCACCTCCATCAATCCCAACTGAATTACTGCAATTAATCCCATTTGCTCATCGAGATATTAAACCGGCTAATGTCATGATTTCAGCCGAGGGATTACCCGTATTGGTCGATTTAGGATCATGTTCAAAAGCCAGAATAAAAATAAGAAATAGACAACAAGCTTTAACCTTACAAGATTTCGCTCAAGAACATTGTACTTTACCTTATAGAGCTCCTGAATTATTAGATGTGGTGAAAAATAGTGAAGTAACAGAAAAGACCGATATTTGGTCATTAGGATGTTTATTATATGCTTGTTGTTTTGGATATTCACCATTTGAAAAATTAGAACTTGAACAAGGTGCAAATATAAGTTTAGCTATATCTCAAGGGAAATACATTATGCCCAAGAATAATGGTGGATATTCTTCTGAATTAATGGATATTATAAATCAATGTCTTAAATTGAATCCTGATAAACGTCCTACTGTGGATCAATTATTAGAAACCACCATTGAATTATCAAGAAATCTGGATTTGTAGGTGAATAGTGTTAGGAGGGACGAGTTTGGATGGAGAGTATGTGTCGATGTCTACCGTAACTTAGTACGATATACCCACTTTTTTCAATTGATTTGATAATTGGGTAAGTTTTCATGTTATTCAATAATACCTCAAATGAATGACAATGTATCTGTTGTATACTATATATATACATTTAACGATTAACTCATAATAAATCCTCATTTTGTAAGACGCAAAAAAGGCAGACGATTTGAGTTGAGAATTTCACATCCATTTTTTAAATTTATACGATCGCCTTAAAATATAAATATTAACACGTAATTTAATATCTACTTCTAATTACTTCAAGTTAGTCCTTCTTACGCGTATATATATATATATATAAACAGGTATTTCGAGTATTTGATATATATATATATATATACTACTTTCATTCGTTTAGTTTGCTTTTAGCTTTTGCTTGTTTTCATTTGTTTTGATTAAGTTCCATATCAGTTAAATAGAAAGGTCTCAAGAATGACACTTACTAAATATCAACGAGGTGAACAGATGGAAGGCTGGAATGATTGTCCTTCTGTCATGATGAAGTTATCCAATAACAGTTCCAGTTCAACTTCTTTGAATTCACTTCGAAAAAGGAGAGTTGGATCGGGTGTTAGTATCTATTCTATAAATGACAGCTCATCAAGTCTTAATTCGGGTTATCCAGCTTCAAGAACCCCAAGTCTTTCGTTAGATAAGATAAGATCGGTATCTACTACATCCACCACCATTTGTACCACTCCTCCACGATCATCAATATCAGCTCCTCCTCAAGAACCCATTTCCAAACAAGAATTAATTTCTCAATTAACTACCGTGTTAGAATTACCTACATCAATGTCTGAACGGGAAATAGCTCAATATAAATCAAAGTTAACTTCACAGTTCGAAATAATATCAAATGACAATCATATGAGATTCATATCACGGATGTTTAAGTTCATTGAATCAAAGACTGATATTGATTCTATTAAAAATGATATTGTTCAATATATGATGATGAATGAAGGTACTAGTGGTTGGTGTACTCCTTTAAAGAAGATAGTGACAAGTTTGAAATAAAGCTTCATACTTACTCTCTGATGACGATTTATACGATATAAAGTAAAGTGTTATTTATTATATATATAAAATATGTAAACTATTGATAATATACACATAAAGATAGAATGAATCATATATGTAAACATAGACAATTATTCTCTCTTTCTTCTTCCAATTTGGGCTTGGAAACCAGTCTTAATGGTTGACACAGATCTAGTTGATCCACAAGCTTTACAACTTAAGAAATGTAATCTATTAGTAGATTCTCTCTTTAAATCAGTATTCATGGATTTACATGTTTTACAAGTAACATATTCAAGAATATATCTTCTTAACACTGATTCCATTTGTTTAGGTTGAAACTTACCCTTTAATACTAATCTCTTTTCACCATCAATAGAACCTGAAGTACCTAATTCGGCAAATAAAAATTGAATTAAATGTTCTGGATTTCTTTGTAATACAGTAGCGATTTCTTGAACATTGGCAAATAAAGTCTTTTTAGACCCTTCTCTTTGACATACTGGAGGTGGGATTCTAAATTTAGGTCCTGATCTATCACCAGCTAATTCTGGATTATTAACTTTCAAAAGATCAAAAAATCTGGATAATAAAATTTGATATGATAATCCAGATACAATTTCTTCTTCATCTTCATCACCATCAACAAGACTATCATCACCTGCATTTGGACTGGTGACACCTTCAATACCAGCTTCTTCTAATTGAGCTTCAAAATCAATGGCATCATTTGAAGTTTTAGACTTCTTCTTCTTTTTCTTTAAAGTTAAATCAGCTAAACTATCTTCTAAACCAGGAGATGGAGATCGAGAGTTTTCTACTGATTCTTCTTCAACAAGTTTCTTACTACTTGACTTCTTCTTTTTCTTTAATCCAGCAAATAATTCATCTCCTCCGATATCAGTTGTTGATGAAGGAGCTGGTGATGCTGATGCTGATACTGATGATTCATCAGTTGGCTTCTTTGACTTCTTCTTTTTCTTTAAATTTGGATCAAATCCTAAATCACTCATATTGTAATAATGTGTATGATAATGCAAAAGGAGTTGGTATAATAATAAATTAAATAGTTATATGCTTAAAAGATAAGTTATAGGATGACTAAATATAGGATTCTTTGATTCTGTTTTAAAAAATTTTACTGAAAAAAAAATTGGTGTTTTGATCTCACACGACTTTTATCTTACAACTACAATGATTGTATCTATAATATATATGTACATTTTATTATTATGTTATGCTAAGAGTTTGAATATGGATATGGGGAATTGAACATGATAAAAACAAACAACTATCTATAACTCCAACTTCTCAGTCTTTTCTTGTATTTCCTTTTGTTTATCTTCTTCTTCTTGCTTTGCTTTTGCAGCACGTTCATCGGCTTCTTTAGATTCAGATCCTGGAGTATAAGTAATCTTAGTTTCATCGCCATCTTCTTCGATTTTGAAATCATCCTCTACGGCAAATTTCTTTAAAAACCAATTCTCAACTTCAGTTTGATTATTATTTTCAGCTTCAAATATAGCATCATGATTTGATTTATTCTTTAAAAATACATCACATTGATATTCTTCAACTAATAACTCCACAACAGGTAAATGACCACTGAATGCAGCCCAATGTAAAGCAGTGTTCCCACTTTCATTTGGTATAGAAGCATATTTAATCGCTTCTTCTTTAGATAATAATGTTAAAAAGTATTTAACTACTTCTAAATGACCATTTCCAGCAGCCATATGTAATGGAGTACTCAAAGTTATATCATCTTTGATTGTAAGTAAGGCTTCTGATCCGATTTCTTCGAATATTTCTTTAAGAGTGGTTAAATCACCTTCTCTTGAATCATATATCACGGCATCCATCTCTTCTTGAGATAATTCTATAACGTCTATAGTACTCATTTTTTAAGGTATTTCTATGGCACTTTTTGGAATTATTTTGAATCTAAGTTCGATCAATATGACTTCTGATAGTCTGTAGTTGTCTAAATATCTTATAATAAGGATAATACTATGAATAACCTCTTCATAATCTTCATCAAATTGCTATTTTTGATATTTTTAAATAATTTTTTTTCGTTTTTGAGATGTGCGACCAACCACAAATAACTTTAAATTTCTCTTATATGGTAGCATTGTATGGAAGTAAGTAAGATAATGTAGTATTTATTTAAGAATATGATTGTTTATAGAGTGTAAGAGTTGTTGAATATAATTAGACTATCCATAACTGAATTGTCACATTGATCTGTTTCCACAATAAGGTCACTAGATAGTGATGCAAATCAGCTCAATCCATTTAATATGGGGTTGATAAATTATAACAGGGCTTGAGTTTTCCAGACAACAATTGACCAATTACTAACACAAATCTGCAGCTTTCTTATCATTGACTTTTCTCCTCTACTTGTCTTAACCAACAATATCATCATTCCAATATCTATTATAGTGAATCCAATGTAATCTTCCCATAGTTAATTCTATATGCAGTCTTTAAATCCTGCATATACCATCAATATAATTTTCAAATTTAAAGACTATTAATAATGATGATTTAATACTATATTTAAGTGGATTAAGGAATGCTGCCACCGCCAAAGATAGAAGAGATAGAATCTCCTATCATTGAATCAGAGGTGAGTCCCACCGAAGACAGCAGTATCAGTTCCACTGCTGTCAAAAAACCAGTTAAGAATCCATTTTCTGTCAAGCCAAACAAGAAAACTACTATCAAACGAGATGCAAAGGATATATATCCCGTCAAGAAAGGATTGAATAAACCTCAGAATGTGGGTAATAAGCCCATAGATCTATTGTTTAAAGATTTAGAAGATAAATTAGGTGAAACTCCATATCATCAGATCACCCTTGATCATCTTTATCAATCATTCTTTTATAATGATGATGAACAAGATCGATTTCAAAAGAGATTTAAAGTGATTCAAGTCTTATTTGAAAAGATTATTCAAATCCAAACTCTTTCTGTTCAGAATGCTAATCAATTCAAAGATAAGAATTTAATCAATATCTCCCTTCATGATATGAAAATATTCAGCAAAATCATTAATCTTATTATTATACATGGAGTTTATCCCACACTTACACCTTTCAAGATAGGTGTTCCGTTTGAAAAGAGGAATTTAAATGATTTTAATAAATTAGGATTTAAAATACCACAAGTGGAATCATTATCTTCATTACAGGAAATTCATAAATTGATGACATTAATATATACTCAGTTTTATCGAATATTCTCATTTGAATCAGATGTTAAAGATCTTTTACTTAAAGGTACAGGGTATTCTGATTTCCTAACTATAACTATTGCTTTGAGGACTATTCCTAACTTTCCTAAATTCGCATATGATGATCAATATCATACTGTTATAAGTCTACCTCTGACATTTGAATTATTTCAAACATTCACATTATTAGCAAGCACATCATCACCTGCATACTTCAAAAGACCAATAATCGAATCACTTATCACTTTACATTATGATGCACCAAGAGGAGATGGTGTATTAACCTTGATTGAGTTCGTGTTAGGATTAAGAGATCAAGAAGAGATTAATATTGAAAAATTCGAACATATCTCAAATGTAATATTAACAAAACCAAAACATTTAAATACCGTCGATTATTTCAAAGTCATAGGTCAACAGATTTACGACTTATTAATCAATATCAATCGTCCTATAATCACAAGTTGTTTAAGTTTTGTATTGGAAAGATTATGGAATCGAAATGCATTAGTAGCGAAAGATTTCATTCTTGTTAGAATTTGGCGTAATTTCAACCCCACTACAGAAAATGTTAGTGAGGCAAATTTAAACAATGTGGTGAATGTGCTTATATCATTAACTAAAAGATCATTGGATAGAGACTTGTTATCAGCTATATTTCAACCAATCTTACTTAATATCTGGTCATATTATGTTTTTCTTAACAAGCAAACCCGATCAAGTGAAGTTATAACCGGGGTTTTGGTCAGTTATTTCACATCGATGAAAGAAAATCAATCATCTGAATTAGATATCATTGCTAAGAATTTACTTTTTGAAATGGATGATTTTGAATTCGAAATTGGACCTAATGGTCTTGTACAAATTTCGAAAAAGACAGCGAGTATCACATCTACATCAAAGGAGAACAAAGTTAATCAGTTTTTAAATGATTTAGATTTTAATTGTAATATATTCATAAAATTATTAGAATCTTTAGAAGATGAAGATTTATTACATAAATTATTCATATCAATTTTGAAAAGATGGTTACAAACTCAGAAAGGTCAACAATCACAAACTATTGAAGAACAAAGTCCATTTTTGATTCTTATTGATTTAAGATTATTAGAAAGTATGGCTAATAAATATAAAGATAGTTTGGCTAGTACTCCATTTGAGATATTACAAATCGTTTATAATTTCCTTTCCATTGATATCGTCAAGAAGAGACCAACAACCACTATCAAGTCAGAATTGATAATTAAGAAAGAGGAAGGTGATTCTGATGATGAAGATTCCGATGATGAAGATGATTTTGATGATGACTTTATACAACAAACTTTGCCTACTGTTTTAGAATTGTTATCAGCCATCTTATCTGAGCATACTGTCGAATTAGATGATGCCTCCATTATAGTTCTTAAACAGATTCAAACAACATTAACCCAACTTATAAAATCCCCTGATTCAACCACCACCATTAAAAATTCATGTCAATCATTATTTGAACGAATCGATACTTTACTAAATGGTGAAACACCAGTAACTAGTGAATTGGATGCTCAAAGAAAAATCCTTAAACGTGCCATTACAAACTTAAACGATCCATTGATTCCTATCAGAGCCCATGGGTTATATTTATTACGACAATTAATTGAATTGAAAACATCAGTAGTCACCCTTGAATTTGTGATTAATTTACATTTGATCCAATTAAAGGATAGTGACCCATTCATCTATATCAATGTTATAAAGGGATTGGAAAGTTTGATTGACTGGGATGAAGTTCAAGTTGTAAGTATTATGGCTAATCTCTACGGATCTAAAAGTGAAGATATCGATGATCGATTAAAAATTGGGGAAGTCTTACTTCGATATGTACAAAAGTATAACGAGTTGTTTGTTGGTGAGAGTGCAAGATTATTAGTCGAGAGTTGTTTAAATATCATCAGACGGAAAGTGTCGGATGAACAAGAAGAAGATAATCGATTAAGAATGTCAAGTATGTCAATTCTCGGAGTCAGTTGTAAGACTAATCCACTTGGAATCATGGATCATTTAGAAGATGCTTTAGATTGTGCAATTGGAATCCTACAATTAGAAACTTCTAAAGATGAAGCAATAATGAGAAGAGCCGCCATTGTATTAATCAATGATATGATTATAGGTACAAGTTCAGTAGATTCAACCGTTCCATTTCCTAAATCATATCAAGAGAAAGTCATTAATTTATTACAATATATTAAAGAAACTGATAATGATTTATTAACTCGAGAACATGCCCAACTGGTTTTAGATACTATTCAAGAGTTATCATATGTCCCTGTTGAAAACTTACTGATATAAGCCATCATGTGTATAACGTATATGTAATCTATGTATATAGGGTAAACTTAATAGATGCAAATTTTATTTGCGACCGTTGCGACATTAATAGATGTAAAAAGTCGTGATGATCTACGCGACATAAATTATTGCTAATCATTTAAATTTCAATTTGTAAGGTAATTATACTTTCTTTTGCCATTAAACACCAGAAGTTTAAAGATAAATGTCATTCTCAAGGGGTGTGTTGAGTGAAGAGCAACGGGCTCGAATAGTATGTATCGATTAAGATACGGAACTAAGAAAGAAACGCGTCAAGATTACTAACTTTTTTATAGGAATCAAATAGAAAGCGAGCTTTAGAAAGGTTACAAGCTAGACAAGGAGGAAGTCTAACTGGATCAGTAGCAGCTTCAACATCAACAACTAGTCCTAATAGAGTTGATAAAAATCATAATGTCTCCCCCTCAAAGTCAAAGTCGGATTCGTCGACACTTGCTATACAGAGAGCATCAACTATGACTCAAATGAGAGAATCAAATACTCCCATCACGTCTAAATTCATTGATCCTACCAAGAAGGAATTAACCCTTGAACAAAAGAATATCATCGAAGCTAATAGACAAAAGGCGTTGGAGATACGAAGGAGGTTAGCTGAAACTAATCGTGATGGATCAATTAATCCTCATATTGTGGAAGATAATATACGGCTTAATCATAATAATAAGGAAGATTTTTCAGCAGAGAAGAAAAGTTATAAGTATGAACCACCAGCGATTAAGAGAAAGGATTATATTGAATATGATTTTTCTACCATGAAGGATAGTCGAGGTGGGTTTTTACCTGATGAACTTGAAGAAAGTAGTAGTAAAGAGAAAGAAGATGCTATGGGACTTGAAGAATGGAAGGAGAAACAAAAGAAACTACAAGAGATTAAAGAATTACCACCACCATTGAATATAGAAGATGCTCCTAAATGTTTTGAATGTGGATCATTAGAAGTTGATCCTAATTTATATACAAATTTCCGTCAAGTTAGAGCATGTCGGAAATGTATGAGAGAGAAACCGGAGAAGTATTCATTATTAACTAAGACTGAATGTAAAGAAGATTATTTATTGACTGATCCTGAATTAAAGGATTTAAATTTATTACCAAGAATTGAAAAACCAAATCCTCATGGATATAGTCGAATGCAGTTATTCTTAAGGTTTCAAGTTGAAGAATATGCTTGGAAAAAATGGGGATCATCAGATGGATTAGATGAAGAATGGGAGAAAAGAGAAAGTAATCGATTGAAAAGACGAGATAAAAAGTATAATGATCAATTGAAAGAGATGAGAAAGAAGACTAGAGCTGAAGAGTATACTAGGAAATTGAGGAATGGACAAGGATTAGGAGAAAGACATGTTCATGAATGGTCAGCTGGTATGGCAATACCAGGTAAGGGTAATGAAAATATGATTAAGAGGAGATGTATGGGATGTGGGGTTGAAACGGAAGAGATATTGATTTGACGAACTCAATCATAAACGAACTCACTCATAAACGAACTCAGTCACGAAGGGAGTGAGTGAGTGCGTGAGGAAGTTTAGTGAGTGAATTAGGCAGACCAATCCAATTCCTTTCAATTCCCTTCAATTCAATCCAAATGGTTGATTCTAATTATTGGTTATTAATAGTGTAATAGTTACTCTAATTTAGTTAGCGCCTGCATATAAATCCCATAGAATTTCATGGAAAATTCTTTTTTTGAAAAATGGACGACATTTGCAACAGCAGAAAAAATTTATAAAAAGGGAGAGGATTGTAGCCAAATCATATTTACAAAACCTAAACTCTTTCCATCGCCATCTATCAATTTAATCGATTGTGTTTAAGGAAACCATTTGATAATAATAGCAACAAGTACAATGTCTGACGGTAAAGTTGAAACTCATGAATTCACTGCTGAGATTTCTCAGTTGATGTCTTTAATCATTAACACTGTTTATTCTAATAAGGAAATTTTCTTAAGAGAATTGATCTCTAATGCTTCTGATGCTTTAGATAAAATTAGATATGAAGCTTTAAGTGATCCATCTAAATTAGAAACTGAACCAGAATTATTCATTAGAATCACTCCAAGACCAGAAGAAAAAGTTTTGGAAATTAGAGATTCCGGTATTGGTATGACCAAAGCTGATTTAGTTAATAATTTAGGTACGATTGCTAAATCTGGTACTAAATCTTTTATGGAAGCTTTATCTGCTGGTGCTGATGTTTCCATGATTGGTCAATTCGGTGTGGGTTTCTATTCCTTATTCTTGGTTGCTGATCATGTTCAAGTTATTTCTAAACATAATGATGATGAACAATATATTTGGGAATCCAATGCTGGTGGTAAATTCACTGTTTCTTTAGATGAAACCAATGAAAAATTAGGTCGTGGTTCTATCTTAAGATTATTCTTAAAGGAAGATCAATTGGAATATTTAGAAGAAAAAAGAATTAAAGAAGTTGTTAAAAAACATTCTGAATTTGTTTCTTATCCAGTTCAATTAGTTGTTACTAAAGAAGTTGAAAAAGAAGTTGAAGTTGAAGAAGAAGCTAAAGATGAAGAAGAAAAGAAAGATGAAGAAGAAGAAGGTGAAGATAAAAAACCAAAATTAGAAGAAGTTGATGATGAAGAAGAAAAGAAGGAAAAGAAGACTAAAAAAATTACTGAAAAAGTTACTGAAACTGAAGAATTAAATAAAACTAAACCTTTATGGACTAGAAACCCATCTGATGTTACTCAAGATGAATATAATGCTTTCTATAAATCTATTTCCAATGATTGGGAAGATCCATTAGCTGTTAAACATTTCTCAGTTGAAGGTCAATTAGAATTTAGAGTTATCTTATTTGTTCCAAAAAGACCACCATTTGATGCTTTTGAAAGTAAAAAGAAGAAGAATAACATTAAATTATATGTTAGAAGAGTTTTCATTACTGATGATGCTGATGAATTAATTCCAGAATGGTTATCATTCATTAAAGGGGTTGTTGATTCTGAAGATTTACCATTAAACTTATCAAGAGAAATGTTACAACAAAATAAAATTTTAAAAGTTATTAAAAAGAATATTGTTAAGAAATTAATTGAAACTTTTAATGAAATTGCTGAAGATCAAGATCAATTTGAAAAATTCTATACTGCTTTCTCAAAGAATATTAAATTAGGTATTCATGAAGATCAACAAAATAGAGCTGCTTTATCTAAATTATTAAGATATTATTCTACTAAATCAACTGAAGAATTCACTTCTTTAAGTGATTATGTTACTAGAATGCCAGAACATCAAAAGAATATTTATTATATTACTGGTGAATCTATTAAAGCTGTTGAAAAATCTCCATTTTTAGATGCTTTAAAACATAAGAATTTTGAAGTTTTATTCTTAGTTGATCCAATTGATGAATATGCTATGACTCAATTAAAAGAATTTGAAGATAAAAAATTAGTTGATATTACTAAAGATTTTGAATTAGAAGAAACTGATGAAGAAAAAGAAGTTAGAGAAAAAGAAATTAAAGAATTTGAACCATTAACTAAAGCCTTAAAAGAAATTTTAGGTGAACAAGTTGAAAAAGTTGTTGTTTCTCATAAATTAATTGATGCTCCAGCTGCCATTAGAACTGGTCAATTTGGTTGGTCTGCTAATATGGAAAGAATTATGAAAGCTCAAGCTTTAAAAGATACTACTATGTCATCATACATGTCATCTAAAAAGACTTTTGAAATTTCACCAAAATCTTCGATTATTAGAGAATTAAAGAAAAAAGTTGATGCTGATGGTATTGAAGATAAAACCGTTAAAGATTTAACTACTTTATTATATGAAACTGCTTTATTAACTTCAGGTTTCTCTTTAGATGAACCATCATCATTCGCTGGTAGAATTAATAGATTAATTTCCTTAGGTTTAAACATTGATGAAGATGAAGAAGAAGAAGTTGAAGCTGAAGTTGGTACCACCACTACTACTTCTACTGAAGAACCAGCTGTTGAATCTGCTATGGAAGAAGTCGATTAAACGAGTTAATGTTAAAGAAAAAAAAATAATCCTTTGTTTTGTATTTATTCTGTTTTTGATACTACTATTCCTCCTCTGTTATATAGTTTAATTATCTTATCGTTGTTTTGATTTTTCTCCTCTCTATATATATATAAATAGAAGAAACCAACCAACTGTGAAAAATGATATGAAATGGAAAGATTAGTATATTAATTCTAATAGTCATTCAATGTAGTAGTCGAACTATCTCCAATTTTCATATGAAAAATATTGCCTAATTAGGAAGGCACCTCTGATGAGATTTGGTTTGGTGAAAAAACGTTTTTGTTGAGCTCTGATTTAAACTATTTTGATCAAGGTGTATTTACCCCAGATAAATCGGAACAAACTATTGATTCACCGTCATTTGATCTGTTGTTGGTTATTGAACATAATCAAACCTTGAAAAAGAACTAACAATTAGTGAAAAATGGGTCTTTTCATACCTGCCAACAAGATTGCAAACTTGAAGTTGTACAAATACTCTTCAGAAGATCATTCAATCATTTCCAAATATATCCTTAAGAGATGGTGGAATTACTTTGTTCAAATCTTTCCCATGTCAATGGCTCCTAATTTGGTTACATTATTAGGTTTATTCTTTATACTAGCCAATTTAGCCGTGGTATTCTATTATGATCCATATTTAAAAGGTGAAAGTCCAAGTTGGTGTTTATTCTTTTATGCCTTTGGTTTATTCATGTATCAAACTTTCGATGGTTGTGATGGTGCTCATGCTAGAAGAACAGGTCAAAGTGGTCCATTAGGAGAATTATTCGATCATTGTTGTGATGCTGTGAATACTACTTTTGGAGCTATTATCTTTGGATCAGTATTAGGAATGGGTTATGGTGGATTATTAATGTTAACTCAATTTGCTTCTGTATGTAATTTCTATGCTTCAACTTGGGAAGAATATCATACTCATACTTTATTCTTAAGTGAGTTTAGTGGACCAGTGGAAGGAATCTTAATGATTATAGTGGTTTATATAGTTACTGGTATCTTTGGTCATCAAATTTGGTCAATTCCATTATTTGATTTGAATTTAACCTCGATTGGATTGGATACTTATAAACTTGATAGTTCTATAATCTATGTGGTGTTAGGGTTATCATCATTATATTATAATATTCAAGCCGCTATGAAAAATGTTTCCAAATATTACCGTAACAAGTATCCTTCTGATTCAGATAAGTCAAATCAAGAAATCGATGAAGCTTATAAAGGATTAACACCATTCTTTGTTTATTATGGATCGATTATTTTATTAGCTTGGGTTTATCCTGAATCAATCACGACTTTTGGATTCCCAACTGTTATTTCAATCGGTTGTACAATTGCCTTTTCGGTAGGTAGAATAATATTGGCTCATCTTACATTACAATCATTCCCTCATATTCAATTCCCAATGTTTGTTCCTGTGACTGAATTAATCATAAGTTACATTATGATTAACATTTACAATTTTGAATATGAAACCACTTTATTCTCTGTAACTTGGTTAGGATTTGGGGTAACATTAGGTATTCATGGAATGTTCATTGCTGAAATCATTTATGAAATCACCACTTATTTAGATATCTATGCCTTATCAATCAAACATAAAAAGGCATAGACGTACCATAATTTTCTACATTATTTCATAGATATAAAAAATTTTTTTATCTCTTTTAACTTGCTTTCTTATTTATGTTATACAAAACATGAAATCTAACTACTGTTTTTTTATAGATAAATACATCACGAAACTAATAAGATTTATTTGATATATGTACAAGGGGAGGACATTAAATGATGATGGTGGATGGTAAGGTGTGATGGTTATCTGATCTATGCTATTTATCTCTTTTCAGCAAAGGCACCTTCAGAACCTGGAGCTAAAACATCTTGAGCAGATTGTTGTAATGAAATATCCTTTTCCATTTCTTGTAATTGAGTTTCAGCTAAAATAGCTAATGATAATGGAACACCTAATAATAAAGCTGATGAAGTTAAAGTCCATAAGAATGATCCACTTGAATTTAAACCAGAGTTAACATATGAAACAACAGTAGATCCTAAATTGGCAATTTGATCTCTTTGTTCAGGAGCAATTATATCCTTTAAAGCAACTATTCTATCATACACAGTTTCACTTTCAAAATCAAAATCATCTTCATCTTCTAATTCAGATTCAGAATCACTTTCATCACTTTCATTCACAGTGGTCTTTGGAGTTGGAACAGTTTCGACGTTTTCAAAAGTTTCGTCATCAATTTGAGTTAATTTAACCATGGTGTATATGTATGTATTAGTCTATCGGTATCACTTGTCGTATAATAAACAATCACTATCAATATAAACCTGCTGTAATTGCCCTTTTGACATATGTTTGCTGCTGCTGCTGTTGGTCGAAGTTTTTTTTTTTTTTTCCACTATAAAATATTTGTCACTGGGGACACGACCACTTCCTAATTGGGAAGACAGTTTAAATGACTGCAAATGCTAAAAAGGTTTATATTATTATTATTGTTATTATTATTATTACTATTATTAAAGGGAAGGTATATACTTAAAAGTAATCTTGATCTTCGCTAAGATTTAGAAATGGAATATCAAAGTCTTTATCGATATGATATCCAATTGATTCCATTTGTTGAGGGTATTTTCTAATATTATAAAACTGTAATAATGCTCTTAAAGCAATTTCTTGATCTAAAGAATTATTAAAATCACTTTCTAAATCTTTCCCACTTAACCAATTATCCTTTAAAGTTAATTTTAAGTTCAAATAGATTAAACTAATCAAATCCATATTAATGGTTTTCCATTTCCTACCTTGATAAGGAATTAATTTCTTTAGCGTTTTTAAAATAGGTTTGGTAAATGCTTCATTATCATAATTCATAACTATCATTTTGAATAATTCAGTTGGTTTTAATTCATTTAAAGTGAATATCCGTTGTGTCACATTCTTGATTAATATCTTTTTAATGATTTTTAAGATATTAGATAATATAAATGCAAAATTATCATTGCATTCGGAAATATATACATGATTAATATTATTGTCATCAAGGATTTCAGGTAACAGCAGAATCAATCGTTTATTTATAAGATTAATCGATTGAAATTTATCTTGATTTAAATTCAAACAATTATTAAAGAATTCAAACGATGGAATTCGGATTTTGGGATTCATTAATTTATTTTGATTAATTAAAATCTCATATTCATTTAAATCTTCATGAATCTTACTATCTTGACTTGATAGATTTTGTAAATTACTATTATTAAAACTTCGACTTAAATAATCCAAACTAATGGCAAAAAATTGTTGATCAAATAAAATCGAGGTAAGATAATAATATTTTAATACATGACTTATCTTGAACCATTTTAAAAGTAATAAGATAATACTAGTACTTGCTTTTAAAGTGATTTCTTTGACATTAACAACTTCAAGTTGCAGTAATAAAATATGATTAATCTTTTCTCTAGCAGCTTCTTTATCAGGCAAATTTTCGTAATTATTACCTTTATTGGTAGCAAAATATGAAGTTTGAGGATTTAATTCCATTTCCGCAAAATTTAGATTATATTCTAATCGGTTATATTTAATAGTATCAACTAATACTTCAATGAATGCATTAAATCGGACTAAATTCTTATTATAGAATCTTTCAACTCTTAAAATGGAATTAATCTCAGATTTATGGTCAGGATACAAGTCATATAATTTAGATTTATCCTTTTCAACCGTATCATCATTCACATCATCAATATCAATACTATCTGTTTTAGGTTTTTGTTGTTGTTTTTCTGTCTTATCTTTATCATATTCACTTAAATATCCTCTTTCTTGTTTCATGAATTTTTGTCTTTCATCCCATAATCTCTTTAATGAATAACTTTCATAAACTGAATTCTTCAAAATCTCGTCTGCTTCTTTAATGGCATAAGGTACTTCAACATTATCTGATGATGTATCTACTAAAGATGATAAATTAGGATAAATAAACGGCATGGCTTGATTAACCTGATATGATCTTCTGATTTTCTCTCCTCCTGACATATAATCTGATGTTTCAAGAACAGGTGATGGAACTGGTGTTGCAATATGTAATGTTTGAGCAGGTAATTGACTTAAAACAGTATGGGATTTATTTGTCTTTGGTCTTTCTACTAAATTAGTTAATGAATTTGAATAAGTATTCATGGCCATGAAATATTTATATCTATCATCAAGAGATGTAGATGACAGAACACTGACGGTATCACTTTCATCTTCTGAATTATCTAAATTTTTATGAAATTCACTAAAATCAAATACTTTTAATTTAGTATCATTGTATAAGGGATATTTATCCAATAAATCTTCTCTGAATGCAAAATAATCCAATGGTGAACATGTCAATCTTGTTTCTGGTAAGTCCTTTCCCTTCTTATTCTTGATATCATTTGATTTAATTAAAAATTCATCACATTTCTTTAATTGAGTCGAATCTCCCATTTCAAAGAGGATTAATTTCCAACTTAAGAATATTAAATATCTGATTCTATATGATGTATTTGGTTTCCATTTCCAATGTTCAATGAATTCAATTAATGATGATAAAAGATCTGTCTTAGCTAACCACTGTCTGAATTCTTCAATTTCAGGTGAATCAGGAAGGTTTATGGCAGATTGAACCATTACATAGATCAAAGTTAAGGTTTGGAAATAGCTCTGTTCAACGATTGGTGTTATAGGTTTCAAGATTGATGATGATTTATCTGTAGTTATTCTATGTTTAAAGAATTGTTGTAATAAGGAAATTAAAGGAATGTAAACTTTCAACTTTAATAAATTGGTATTATTTTCCAAAATTGAATTCAATTGATCTTGTACGTATGATTTATTCTCATATTCTCCTAATGAATAGTATATTAACACTTGTGAGACTTTAGTAATACTACTATCTGCCTCCCATAGTTTTCCTACTTTTAATATTGGTAATGAATCTTTAAGCAATTCAATCTTAAGATCTTCAAGGGGGAAGTTATCTCGTTGTTCTTCTAAAGTCATCTCATATACATATGGTAAAGTAGTTAATCCCCCCAATACATTCAAATCATTCTTAGTAAACCATTCATTGATCTCTTGTTCCAATTCTCCATAATCAGTATATTCATATTGAAGATGATACTTGGTGATTAAGAATTGATAGTTGACAGTCCCACTACCAGGTCCAGCACCACCACTTGACGGTGATACTCCACCAGGACCATTGTCTTGACTTTTATATCGTCTATCATATTGATTTGATTTGATCTGTTCTGCTCTTGCATTCAATTTCTTTTGAAACGTTTCATCCAATGAATCATGTAACTCCTGCTTCGTTGATGCGTCTGGATGATCAATGATCTGATCCTCCAATCGATCAATCAGCACTTGTTCATCTTGCATGACATATGATGAATCAATGGTAACTATCTATGGTTTGACCGTCATAATTATATTATTAGCAACTGCTGTTTTTAAAAGTTTATTATGTTGTGACTTATATACAGTCCTGTAGGTGTGGATGTTTGCGGTATGGATTTACTTACATCACTTTTTTTTCTCTTCTTCAACTATCACCACACGGCAGAATCAAACCTTTAAATCGTTTTTGATCTTGTTTATTGATGTCTACACCGATTTGATTCAGGGATTTGAAAGTTAATTTAGATCAGTTGTCAAGATTCAATCGTTACTGTTGTCCACACACATACACACTCACATTTTTTTCATTGCATTTGGGGAGAAATCAAACGTATACTGCGGTTATTATTTCATTGATTACTCATAACATACCTTCCTTTGGCATCATCTCTATTTTACTTTCTGCATTTTATTGGGGGTTTTTTTAAAGCATATTTGAATATCATTCATAGAGAAAGATTATTTCATTTCATTTCCATTGTTCAGTTTATTTATTTTCATCATCATAACTTTCCAAGCCAAGCATGTCTATGTATTTTAAACATTTGGAACAAATTATAAATTTAAAAGTTAAAATCATAACCTTATTAGATGAAGCTATTACAGGCCATGTGTTTGCATACTCTACATCCAATGAAGTGTTGGTACTTAAGATAACTGATGTATCTGATAATAAGAATACTACCGCCAATAATCATAATACCCATAAAAAGGGAGAAACTTATAGAATAATTAACACAGCATTTATAAAAAATATTCAAGTGATTAAAAAACTTAATAATCAACATGTGGTTCCTACTCCTATGGCTGAGGATTCATTAAAATTATCACCCATCTCCATTTCTGATCTTGAAACTTCATTGCAAGATTCAATCACTTCTTATAAACCTGAAGATCCTCATTTATCACTTCCTCAAGTTGCAACCACTACTAGTAGTACCGCTGGTGTAACTACTACTACAGGAGCTACATCTCCAAGATCACATTCTCATTCCAATAATAGTCATACTAATAATAATAATCCACAACCACATCATCATAAAAGTCCATCTAAAGCATCAGTTATTGCAACTAAATTATTCGATAAATTATGTAAATTATATGGAGTTGAAAATATTAAATGGTCAGGTCCAGGAGCCAATAATATCATAATCTTTGATGAAATCAAATTATCAAAACCTTATACTTTAGGTAATAAAAGTATTCATAAATTAAACAAATCTGATTCCAAATATTATAATGATATTCAAACTATATTAAAACAATTTTGGTTAGATGTTGATAATGAAAAGCGTGGTGGGTAAATTAAAAAAAATTTTAAAACATATACATACAAATAAATAAAAATGGTAAAATTTCTTTCTTAATAATTAATAAATAATATTCATTCCTTTATAGCTATCTAAAAATATAATATAAAACTGATCTATAACCTTTTTTATTCCTCCCAATGAATTTCTAACTTTTCAAATAATTTAAACCCTTTTTGTTTCGTACCTTTAAACCCATCAAATTGTTCCCATTTTAATGATATGGTATGATTTGGTTCAAATAGGATGTTGAACCATGCATAACACCATGATTGGAAAGTTAATCGAATATCAACCAGTATGATTGGAATCGGAGTGTTGGAAGTAATGTAATAACTGTTTTCCTCTTCGTCAACGTTAACTTTACAATTTTCCATATTGAAGTCGAATACCTTGTTAATCAAAGTCAAGTCTTTATTATACTTCTCTATGCCTAAATACAAGTCAAATACACTCTTTAAAGACAGTTGTAATCCGACAACTTTTATACCCACAAACTTTCCCTTAAGACTTGTCTCTATGTAGTTCAATCTATCCAATTCATTCAACTTTAAATACTGATGCCAATACTCCAAGTATCTTCTTTGAGATTGGATTGATATTCCATCCCCCGCAAACTCTTTCATTCTAATCTTAGTATAATGATCAATAACATCAGATACATTTGCAACATCACCATTCAACATACTCTCATACATGATATAAGCACAACATAATGTTCCTGAACGACCTTTGCCTGCTTTGCAATGCAATATAGCTACATTCTCTCTTGACTCAGATAAATACTTATCAATTGATTCACAACTTCTTATCATGATATCTAAAGTCGGTACTTGATGATCAGGGAAACCTAAATGACATACCCGATTATACACATCCAGATCTTGATACCCTCCTTGATCTTCACTACGATAATTCCAGATATACCAATGATTCTCATGATTGAAATCTAAGAAATGAACAAGATCCTGGATAGGATATCGATAGAATGATTTCCAATAGTTATTAGTAGGACCAGAACAAACTATCAATTGAGGGGTGATATAGGATAAATCCAATTGAATACCAAGAGTTGAATCATAATGGTTGTTCTTGGGTGATGCCACTATCGATCGAAGTAGTGATTTCATCCTCCTCTCTCTTCTTCTTGTTTCTTCTGATGGTGGTGATACTCCAAACTGACGGTCAAACCAAATCAGTCAGTCGCAAAAAAACATCTACACATTTTTTTAACCGCTTCACAAAGACAAAATAATTATATATTTATATATACAAAAGAGGATGGAGGGGGACCATCCTTATCAAGAGCAGTATTTTTTTTAAGACAGTGGGTGGGCAGGGTAACATCAGTTGTAGTTATAATTGTTAATTGATGAAGGTCATCGTAAATTGATATAGGCTGTTGTTGTTGTTGTTTGGTTATGAACTGATTGGTGGGGTTGGGGAGGATTGAAAATATTTTTAATTTTTCATTTTCCAAATAACAAAAAAAGATATACTAAAATATAAAAGGAATATACAAGAAAACAAAATACGATTAAGATGAAACAAAGAGACTCTAAACGATGAAGGAAGGAATGGATGGTGCAATGACTAATTTGTTGATTGGTTGAGTGATTATTAGGGATATGGGTGAGTGATATTCTATGACTGACTGATCTTATTGATAACCAGTGGTATTTCTCATGATTTCATTGATTTTAGAAGTTAAAACTGGATCATTCTTAATTCTCATTTGCATTTTACTTGCTTCAGCAAAGGAAGTAGCTTGAATCTTTTCTTCAAAAGTTCTAGCTAAATCAGCTGATTCTTCAAATAATAAAATAGCTTCATCAACTTCATCCTTTTGTAATTTGATTTGGGCTAATGAAATCTTGGCTAATTCAGATTTTGGATCTAATTCACAAGCTTTTAATAATAATTTTTCTGCATCATCTAATTTCTCTAAACTTTCTCTGGAAATTAAAGTAGCTTCATTAATTAATGGTAAAGCACCAACGGAAAAATTTGGTAATGATTCTTGTAATCTTGCTGCAATTTGGAATTGTTTACAAGCTTCAGCAATATCACCTTTATCAGCTAAAATTTCACCATAATAATTTGGAACTTCTGGTGAAGTAGCAAATTTTAATTTAGCTGCCGTGAATTTTTCAGTAGCTTCATTTATACCTCCATTTTTATAAGTAATACAAGCTAATTGAATATAAGCATAAACATTATCTTCATTTAATTCTTTAGCTTTATTGAAATTAGCTTCAGCATCAGCTAATTCTCCTTGAAGATAATGGAATTGACCTAATTGATAATAAATATCAGGACTATTTGGATCCAATTGTTTAGCTAATTGGAAATCTTGAATAGCATTATTCATAGAACTTGCATCAGCATTAATTAAAGCTCTAATCACAAATGATCTTGCTCTTGGTTTTAAATTAATGGCTTGTTCAATACTAATGGCAGCAGCAGCAGGATCATTCTTTAAAAATTGGAAAGAAGATAAATATTCTAATGCAATTGATGCAAGACCAGCTTTTGGAGATTCCGAAGTTAATTCAGAAGTATTATAAGCTTCAACCGCTTGATTAAGTAAAGTATCAGCAGTATCATAACCATTAGCAGTATTAGCATTAATTTCTTTCAAAGCTTCAAACAAGTATTTATCAGCCACATCTTCAGATTCAGCACTAATTCCATCAGGACTTGAATCTTCAACAAAAGCACCAAAGAATGAACTGATAGTTGAAGCAGAAGGTAATCTATATTGTTTTGGTTTATTTTCGACAATTTTAATCGAATGTTTCTTTAAAACTCGTTCTAAAACAGCTTCAATTGATTTATTACTGAAACCACCATAAATGGTTAAAGCAGTTAAATCAAACATAGCATTTGGATAATCTTCTAATACTTCATAAGAAGTAGCTCTTCTTAATACACATTTAGTATAATCAGGTTTTAATTTGATGGCTTCAGTAGTATCAGCAATAACATTTTGATGATCATTTAAAGCAGCATAACAAGCAGATCTGTTAGAATAAAAAATTGGATCAATTTTTAATTGTAATGCAGCGGAATAAAAGGCAATAGCATTTTCAAATTTTTTATTTTTAAATTCATTATTACCATCTTCCTTTAAGGCTAAAGCCCATACTTCCTTTTCATCCCCAGATAAGTTATTCACAATATCTTCAGTGATAGCAGGTAATCCTTCAGAATTAACTGGATAAACCACAGCAGCAGTAGTAGTAGTAGAACTAGCTTCTTCAACTGATTTTGATCCAGCTGATGAAGTTGGAGTAGATTCTTCACTTTTGCCACCAGCAGAAGTCTTCTTCTTCTTCTTGGACTTCTTGGTTTTCTTACTACCATTCACATCTTCAGTAGCACCAGTTGAACCTTGTTGATCTTGTTGTTGCTGTTGTTGAGTGGTATAATAATAATAAGCACCCACAGCTGAAACACCAGCCAAAGCCGTGATGGCAATTGCACCCCTGTTTCTAGTAATAAAACTATCCAAATTGGACATGGCGTATATCACTACTTTACAGTTGTTGTTTCGAATGAACTAGGAACCAAAAGTACAGATATTCGTTACTTTGCTTTAACCGTATTTTTAAATATATGATTTCTGAACGGCAACTTTTTGGGCTCCTTTTTTTTTTCGTTTGAAATTTTTTTCACTGGTTAAAAGTTTGATTATGTAAGAAATTATGTAAGAAATGGTAGCGCATAATTATATATATATATTTAATATACTATATAAAACTATTTATGTAAGATTATTATAATATTGTTCATGTTGTTGATATCTTCTTCGAGCTCGTATATGTTCTGAATTATCTTGGTATGACGATTCAATCATGACATCAGCATAGGTGGGTAATTCAGCTGGACTGGTACTGTTCTCTAATTCACTTGAATTGACGGAATTATCAAATGAAGGTCGATGAATGGGTGGATGTGGAGGTTGAGGAGGGGAGGTATATGCTGGAGATGATTGGGATTGGGTGAATGAAGATGTACGATGATTATCTATCGATGAAGCATAACTACCTCTCTTTTCTGGCGGTCTTGGAGGTTGTTGGGGTGGAGTGGTGGACATTCCATTTGTAGTTGATATACTTGGATTACGAGGTAATGATGATTTTGATGCATTAGAATGTAATGAACTTGTCATGTTTAATCCACTTAATACTTTAATATTGGTACATAATAAATCAACCGTTTTAACTTTCTTATTAACTTCAGATTGATTTCTAAAATCAATAATCTTTTCACTGGAAAATCCACCACTAATCTTAAGATTATATCGTCTGGTGATATTACAAGTCTTAAATGATGGTGATAAATAATCAGGTAAAGTACAATTTTCAAAATACTTTTTCGGAATTTCAAATTCATATAAATCATTAGCAACTGATGAAGAACTAGTTGAAGTAGATGATTTTAATTTCTTACAATGCATTAAATCAAATTTCAAATTCTTGAAATTATTATTACAAATTGAAATTGTTTCTTCTTGTTTTCCAGAATGAATTTCATTCACTAATCCTCCATCATCTTCAAATACCGTAATCATCGTTATCGAAGTTAATTCAAATTTCAAATTTTGTAAATATACAATCCCTAATCCATTTGATTCATCTGGTTTACCATATTCATTCAAAGTATATCTCGTTGGTTTTGATTTCGATACAAGATATAATTTAAACGATGGAGTCTTGGTAGGGATCAAAAATGCCGGATGTCTGAATCTAATTTCAAATGAAAATGCGACATCTTTTGATTCAATTTCTTGATAATATTGATGAGGACCTTGTTTCTTTAGGATAGGAGGTGGAGGTTGTTGTTGTTGTGATGAATTAGGTGTAGGATTATCAAATATTTTTTGAAAGAATCCCTTTTTAGGTTGAGGTGGAGGTGGAACATAAGGAACTTTTGGTAAAGTTTTCTTTTCCAATGCTTGAGGAGGGATTTTAATCCCAACAATTTCAGGTATTCTATCTTTAAAAATGATTTCTTTCCTTACAAATACTTCTTTATATTCTTCATAATCCGCTAATGATGACATTTCATTTATATTTAAATCAAGTGGTAAAAAGATAAATGGATCAAATGATCTTAAATTAGTCTTTAAAAATGATGATCGTTTACAAGTTACTTTAACATAATATTTTATATTAGCAAATTCCCCAATTCCACTTAATGAAGGAGGTAATTGATTTGTGATATGATAATTTTGAGTATGAGCATTCCCATTCCCATTTACAGATCCATTATTTATAAATTGTTGAGCTTTATTTCTGATCATATTTGAATTGAAATTTCCATTATTAATGACTAAATCAAATGTTTTCTTATTAAACAGGATTTTATTGGTAACCCCTTGTAATTTAACACAAGAATTATTCAAAGGTAATTTAAATTCAAATGGATAACTATAATTTCCAGGGGTTAAAGTGAATTCTTTAGCTTGAGATACTTGACGAACATTATCAGGAGGAAATACAATCAACGTATCATATAACACCTTATGAATATCTTGGAGGATCTTATCTTTGTTATCTCGATCTCGTCTTCTATTATGTCGATCATGTCTTGATTGTTGTAGACGTTGTTGAGCAGGAATGATTAATTCTGATTTCGATACCCCTTCAAGTTTAACTTGAATATAATTTAATGAAATGGAACTAGTAACACTTAAAGTGACAGTACCTTTGATAATATCATAGTTGGTGAAAGTTCCTCCCGTATAAGAACGGTCAATCTCTATTTTGACGTCACAAGCAGATCCCATTTTTTCTTGATTGCCATACCAAGAGATAAGAAAGATTGGTGATAGTGATACTCCAGTTGGTGGGTTGGTGGGTGGGTTGATATGTATCCTTTACACTGGTTGATGTTCCTTCTATGACGTTAATTGGATAGGGAATGATTGACCAAGGATAGGATACTTCTTGGTAACTAATGGCTAATTCTAAATTTTAAAGGGTTGTCCCTGAAATACTGTGCCCTGTCTCTCTCAGTCTGTCTTCACAGTTTGTCTCACTCCAAATTCTGTTTTGTTAGTGTGCACAGGATCAATTTTTCATTTAGTATGGCCACAGAGATGGAGTTAAATGATTCAATTCCGTCTCCAAAGGATATTACTGGTGGTATGAATAGTAAGATGATACTGAATGATGGGTAACTACAGTGATGGGATGATAATTGTCGTACAATAAATAGCAACCATAGAACAATGAATGTACGTACTGGTGGAACCATTATCTGTTAACTGTGGAAGCCTCGGAAAAAGTCATACTATACATTGAATGAAACAACTATAGTATAACTTCATCTCATCTTAATGTAACTCTATATACTTATTAGTATTAAAGATGGGTAATGGGTAATGTCAGACTATTCCTATTTCAGTAATTGTTCAATTCCATCAATCAATTTGCGACATACGTCATATCTATATATTCAATCTAGGACTTTTATGTCTCGTATATTAGACACACTTCAACCTTTCAGATATCCTTATATAACTATAGATCTAACTTACTTGGATAACCATATCAATTACTCTGTTTGATAACATCTTCTTAATTTAACGGTTGTAATAGTATTACTGAGTTCCCTTACCTGCATATAATTTTCATTCCTAAATAGGAAATGCGGCTCAAATCTTTGTCGTTTGCGGTTCAACAACCAAAAATCATCCATCCCCCTTGGCAAACCATTGGCCACCAACCATCATCCATTTCAATCTGATTCATCATCATTGTCAATGCTAGTTAGTAGATCGTCTAGAATCTTATTCAATCAATCCATTAACTACTACAAACCAATTGCCCTTTCAAATCGCAATTACAGATCCTTTTCCTCCTCATTAAGAACCATGTCTGCTACTCAAATTGAAACCATCTCTGAAGGTGATGGTAAAACTTTCCCAAAACCAGGTGATACCGTCACTATTCATTATACTGGTACTTTAGAAAACGGTAAGAAATTCGATTCTTCCAGAGATAGAGGTAAGCCTTTCACTTGTACCATTGGTGTTGGTCAAGTTATTAAAGGTTGGGATTACGCTATTCCAAAATTATCAGTAGGTCAAAGATCAAAATTAACTATACCTGGTAATGAAGCTTATGGTGATAGAGGTTTCCCAGGTTTAATTCCACCAAATGCTACTTTAATCTTTGATGTTGAATTATTAGGTGTCAATTAAATCTATTTATAGTATATATAGGTCTAGATTAGATTTTTTGTTGCTTCCAATATAATCCAGTCTTACTGACTAAAATATGATCGTCAACTGATAATGTAGGTAACATCATCTTATATTGTACATCAAACACTTTGAATAAAGGTAATTTAATCCTCTTTAATTGATCTCTTTCTTCTTGTTCTTCAAATGTTAATTTACCATAAAATTCCATTACATGACGCGTAAATGGTAATACAGGGAATGGCGTTTGTCTAATAGGGATTAAATTCCTATCATCATCAAAACTCCATTGATACGGCGGGGTTGGTAATGGAGGTAATCCTTGTGGTTGTTCTTCAACAGTGGTTAAATGCGTAGTAAATGTGAATATTCTCGGAGTTGGATTCTCAAGAATATATCGAAGTATAAATGAATCTGAACTTAATTGGTCAATGGTTAATAATACTCGTGGATCAGACAATGGAAGGACAATCTGCCATTCATCACTATTGAAAGTATTAATTATCTCTTCATCTTGTCGTTTCCATTTAATCACTATCGAAGTTCTTGTTTGAACATCACGATGAGAATATCCATTCTTACTCTTGATCGTAAATAATTGCTTATAAGTAATACTTTCATCATCACTTTTACTAACATCACTAATTAGATCAACGATTAAATCAGGATTCACCGATTTAATCTTATAATCAACATCAAGAATCTCTAATTGTTGAGGACTTTCATCTTTATCATGTTGTTCGAATGTTTTAAAATTATCAATTATGGAAACTTTCCCTAACCAAGCTCTAGTAGCAATAGGCATCGATGATGGATGTTGAGAATCAAGTAAGAATGGGGATGGTAAATCAATCTCATCCAATCTTATTCTAGGTCCAATCATATACTTGAATTGAAATGGTTGTAATAACATAGGTAAATTATACTTGGCAATATCATAAATTAAACTATCATGAATTGAATTATCTTCCTCTGCTGAAATTTCTTCTTCATCTTCTTCTTCTAAGATTACAACTTTAATATCGATGGAAATAGTATATCCTCCTTCATCATCTGCTTTGGAAGTGACGGAATTAGGAGGATTATTAATCGTGATATTTAAATTATGAAACTCTTCCCCATTTTCCATCAATGCTTTCAAATCTAATGATTCATCATCTTTGAATTGATCCCAATTAGTTCTAATATTAAACTTATCTGATTTTTGATTTGATTTATTTAAGATCGACACGGTAGTAGATAAATGGATTCTCTTATAATCAATCTTCTTATGAGGTTGAACGAAATTTAATTTAAACGTCACCAGTAATTTCTCTCCTAAAATAATACAATTTAATGAACTTGGTGAATGCAAATGAACAGTTAAATTTGGTTTCAAAGGGGAGATCTTGATGGAATTACGCGATAATGATGATGAATTGAATCTGATAAGTTTCTTCTCGAGTTGATTGGTGGATGATGATTTTGAATAATACAGGATATGATGAGGTGGGATCTCAGTCTTCAGAGGGTTTGGATTTGAAATTATGAAATTCTCAATCTTATCAAGAGTGACAGTTTTATCATCATGGCTTAATTTAATATTATAGGATAATTTAATTGATTCAATCTCATAAAACCCTGAACTTGAAATCATTTGAAAAATTTGAAATATATTTGACTTAGCGATCATTTGAGATAAGTTTGATTCAACTTTATCTGCATTATCATCCAATTTGAATATCTTTAATGATTCGGCGGCATCGTCCACATCGGGATTATGAACAATAGTTATATTCTTTAACCCTCTTGCTTTCTTCTTCCCGCCACCATCTAATCTATCAATTTTAAATTGAATCGAATTAACAATCAACTCTACCTTAGTGTTTTCTGGCATCAACTTCAATAATAAATTCAAATTTATCTTATAATCAACGATCAATTGAATTAAGGCTGTATCATACACGAATGTCTCAGGTTGGAAAGTTTCATTCCCGATAAATACATTCAAATTGAATAAATTACTCACATCAGAAATATCAAAATTATCCTCCACTCCATCAAATTTGAATTTATATGATGATAATGATGATGATGCAAAAGATGGATATAACAGTAATTTCAATATCGTACTTAATTCCAATTCTTTATTTTCAAGAATTGAATAACATTGTAATAATTTTAATAAAATAATGGTTGAAATTTGAGGCCAATAATGAGAATTGGTAGTGGTTGATAAACAAGCTAAATAATTTTCGATAGCATTTCTAAAATTCTTTAATTTAAAGTATTGTTCACCTAATAACCAATTAATCAACGATGAATAAAGTTCAAATGAATCTTCTTGAGATGAGATGAAATTTGAATTCAAATCTTTGGTGATTAATTTCGATGATTCATTTAATAAATTCACTTTATGATCATTCAAATCATGTTCATTATCAAAACTTGATAAATAATTGAATTTACTAGGGATAGAAATGAAATTATCAAGATAATTAAATGATTTTAAAAATATTAATCCTGAATTAGTTATAATATCATCCTCATAATCTATATCATCATCAAATTTAATCCCTCCAAAGTATCCAAATAAACTGACTTTATTAGATGGGTTTCTGGTTAATTTCTTTATCGCGTCCGTATTTAATCCATTTAGTATTGATATAGGGACTAATTTCATTAATTGTCCTAACCATTCATACTGAATAGAGACCCATTTCAAGCGAGATTCAGGATCGATAATTGCTTTCACTTTAGATATATGAGATTTATGTCTTCTTAACGCTTGAATAGGTTCTTCGGTTGAAAATAATCCACGAACGATTTGAAATGCTAATATATCAATCAAAGTTCGAACTTGATTATATAATTTAAGATCATATTCTGAAATATCAATATCATCGCGAAGACTCACTTGCATATCTTTTAAAATATCAATTAACATCTGATACGCTTGTTCCATGAATTTGATACTTACATCTAAATCATGATAATTTATAAATTGATTTATGATTGATTGTTTAATTAGATTTCTGGCTTGTAAAGATCGAGGAGATAATTGAATTTTCATAGATAAATGGGAAGTTGATGGGACGGAATAATATTTCTTAACTCTTTGTTTAATCTTATATTCGATATTATTATAAAACTCAAGAGCTGTAGGTTTTAAATTAGATAATAATGATTGAACTAAGATTTCACAATCTCGATTTAAAGTTGATTTATTGGATCCATTGAGATATAAAAGTCCAACTAATCTTGGTAATCCGGTATTTACTCTCAACTGATTTATAATATCCTCATCACCATTATTATTACCATCACCACCTTCTTCTGTTTCACTCTTGGTGGATATAATTATGCAAATGATTTTGATCTGTTGTTTGATACAGCCTTGTTTCAATTCATTAATCTTACGAGTTAATTCTACCACATCAGTCTCTTTAGTCAATTCAAATGTGAACACAACCGCAAATGGGAAATCATTAATATACTTATTAAACCATTTATCATTGATGATCCCATTAGGAAACAACTCAGATTCATTATTGAAAGGGGATATGATTGAATGTTTTTCAGTTTGAGATATCTCCCGTTGAGGGATTCCTGTACTAATATCTTTAGATTGAATGATGAATTTAGGATTTTGAAATCGATTTCGTATCACAGCATTATCCCATACTTTATGATGTAAATTATGTTGTTGGAAATGAGTCCATAATGTTTGACATGATTCAACATCAGCATCATGAAGTTTAACTTGGATATAGGGAGCCAATTGTTGCAAGAACACGGGATTGTAGTTCTCCATTTGACAAATCGCTCCTTTCCCTTTTCAATTCCAACCTGTTGAGGCTATGATATACCAATCTTGTTTTGACGAACTGCTTAAAGTTAGACTTTTAGATTCAGGTTTGGTTGTAAATAAAACCACAAATCATAATAAATAGCGGTGTGGAGCTTTATTTTGTGGCATGGATGTTTTGATTTCCAAAAAGAAATTTTCCATTTTTAATTAATAAGAATTGATAAAGATTAGAGGAAGCAAATCAACTATATCATATCATAACACAAGAACGACATGTCTGATCCTATAAATGCTAATCCAACTATAGTGGATGTATCGAGTCTACCTACAAGATTAAGTCAACAACTGGGACAACAGGTGGGGTTCAAATATAGTGATAAACAACATGAATTAGTGGATAAGATAACATCATTATCGTTATTAAGTTTGAAGAACAAAGCTTCTAATGGAGTTGTTTCCAGTGTGGTTCCAGAGTTGGTATCAGATGTTGATATGGAAAGTAGTACTGATGAAGAATTACTTGAGTATGACGATGATGATGAGGTTGAAGATGATGATAATGAAAATATAGATGAACAAGAGATATTTGATTTGATATCAAGTATTTCTGATCCTGAACATCCTTTAACTTTAGCTCAATTAGCCGTGGTGAATTTACCTGATATAAGTATTAATAATGCTAGTTCCAAGCAAGAGATATCTGAAATCTTAATTAAAATAACTCCCACCATTACTCATTGTTCGTTGGCAACTTTAATTGGATTAGGAATAAGAGTAAGATTAGAAAGATGTTTACCATCTCGATATAGAATAAAGATTTTGATTAAAGAAGGAACTCATCAATCTGAAAATCAAGTTAATAAACAATTAAATGATAAGGAAAGAGTAGCTGCTGCATGTGAAAATGATCAATTATTAGGAGTTATAAGTCAAATGTTAAGTAGTTGTAAATAATTATACATATATATATATATTATATTAATATCATTAATGCAATCTAATCAATAGAAAGAATTATAGCAAAGTGAACCCCGTAGAATAGAATAAAATAAAAAAGAATAGAAATACACCACAGTAATAAATAAACACAAATTAAAGAACAAAAAATAAATAAAACATAGAACATAAACTTATTAAATACATATTGTAACACATGATTAAAATAATCAGGAAAGTTTATTGCAGCCTCTTGATTAAACCTTTACTATTCATATACCCATAATCCAATACTAATTTCAATACATCAATAATGATGAATTTGAATAATTTATTCTTAATGAAATCCAAATATTTCGTCCATTTAAGTTGATCAATTTCATTTGTACCTTGTTGAAGTTGTTTCATTAATCTTTGACTGATGGTATATAATCGAATTAAATGAACATAATATTCATATTTTTCCTTTTTATTATCAATTCTTTGTTGGAAAGTTAATGGAACATTAGAATATGGTGAGTTTGCTTGACCATTGTTATTATTATTAGTATTGATACTAGGAGGATTTGGATATGATCTTGCTTCATTTAAATCGGAAGTGGAACTGATTCTACGACGATTGCTAATGGTAGATGATCTTGGTGTAGAACTCATGGTGGATGCAGTCATGGTACTACTCACACTATTTCTATTATTAGAATGAGTATAGTTTGAATTATTAGGAGTGGAGATTATAGGACCATTAGGAAGGGTTGGAGTGGTTGGAGCTCCGATATTACCATTTCCATTTGTGGAGGATGAAAGTATGGAATTATTAGATGATGATGAAGAATCACGTTTTTTTAATTTATTATAAATTTTTGATTTTGATAAGATTGAATTTAAGATTTCTCCATTTGAATTATGTTTAAGAGTAGTATTTGATGATAAGGATGAATTTACATCGGCAGTGGTGGATGAAATTATAGTAGCATTATCATTTTCATTGGTTTTATTATTATTATTATTATTATTATTATTATGACTTGTAAACATGGAGAATCTCTTTTTACCTGATTTTCTACTCAGAACATCTGAATCATCTAAATTTGGTGAAGGAAATGATTCTTGATCTTCATAATTTTCATCAGATTCATTAAGACTTAACATGGGTGGAACATAATTATCATTACTCTTTCCTGGAACATTATAAACTTTATAAGCAATTAATAATTTTTCATAATAATTAATTTGCGTATCGATATTAACATTACTATTATGATGACTATGTTGAGAATTGGTTTTAATTAATTGTTGTTCAAACATACTATTGATTTCTTGTAATAAAGTAGTTTTGATCTTACTATCTTTGATAACTATATCTTCAATTAACCAAGTATCATTTGGAAATTGAATATTTGGAAGTAAATGAGTAGTGGTGGATCTGGTGGTGATAGTTCCTAATATAGCTTTAGGATCATCAAGATTCAACACTTGAGTTAAGAAAGCACATATGATTTCATATTCCTTAAGTTTCAATTGTTTCTGTTGTTGCTGTTGTTTTTGTTGTTGAGTTTGTTGAAGGATATATTGTTGTTGCAGATTAAGTTTAGGTTGAGATCTTTGTTTTTGATATTGAAAGTGTTCTTGTGGTGGCTGTTGTTGTTGTTGTTGTTGTTGAAGATGATGTTGTTGTCTCTGTTTCTGAAGACGTGGTGAGTGTGAATTAGATGATTCATGATGGGGTTGAGGTTGTGTGAGTTGTTCCTTTGGTGATGGAGATGATAATGTAAGTTGTTGAAATGGTGGTTGTAAAAACTGAGTGGGGGGGTCGTCTAACATGGGAGGTTGAATAGCAGTATCACCCAACATTTCCCCTATTCTATCCTTATAAAAAGTATGATTCTGATGATGATAATGAGAGATATCCTTAGATAGGTAACGATGTAAACTATGAAAATAAGACCTCTCTTGTAAATATAGATGTAAAAATTAACTTATTTGTTGATACTTTGTCTTACTTGTCTTTCCTTCGTGTAAAAATAAAAAAAACTAATTGTTCTTTTTCGTTTCTGTGGTCTCTTTTAGAAAATTGCGTGTGAAGATGAAAAAAATTACCGTTTTAAGAAATTTAACAGGGACTCCAGCTTTACTATGGGAAATAATTGATAGCGAAGAAGAAGAAGAAGAAGAAAAGGGAGGTGACGATGAGGGTTGAGTTGAGAGATTGGTAACTAATTATATATCTTGGATTATCTATGTCAAGGAATTTAAATTTGTTCGTTTAATAGAAACCGGCTCATTCAACGTATACCTCTTTAAAAAAATTCATGACGACGCCTCATACTTATTTAAATGCTGGTAATCCTGAAAGGAACAAACAATAAATTAGGCTGAATAGGTATTATATTGTTAATTACATTGTTTGACATATGACTATTTCATATTAGTAAAAAAAGGTTGTCTCTTCCCTTCCCCCTGCCTCTACCTCTGCCCCTCCTCCCCTTACTAGTGAGTTAGTTTGACTGCAAATGATGATGACATATATAGATAGTATCAGTAATACTAATACTAATATTAACCAACTAATCATATGACAACTCTAACTATACATATAATATCATCTTATCATATCTATAAACTACTAAATCTAAATATAAATCTCTTGAAATATAGTTTTAAATGTCATTACCCTTATACCATATAGTATCATCAAACTTTGTGTTGTGCCCAGAATGAACCGCACTCTTCCACAAAAAAATCAGCATGTAATTAAAACTGAAATTACCTTAATCATTTTTGTTACTTTACTACCATCTTTATCATAACAACATTATAATAGATCTATATCAGCATCATTTAACCATACAGGGTGATATCTTCATCGTCTAGCATCAACAACATCTACTTATTACATACCATTGTCATTATCAATTATCATTGTCAATTATTGTTATCTTTTATTCTCCCGTACGGCTACAACCCGGCTTAGCCATCAATCATGTTTTCATCAAATAGACCAAAGTTCTCCTTTGATCTTACCATAAATGAATTATCCAATATACCTCAAGTCAATGGATCTTGTTTCATCCAATTATCCATCAGAGATGGTAAAAATCATAAACTTCTGGATAAATTAACTCCTCATCACCATCATCATCATAACTCTAATGTATCATCCAAAGATTCAAAATCATCAACTCATATGCAACCAAATGATTCAACTTCAACATCGTTATCATTGAATTTAGCTAAATTAAAATCAGGAAGTAATAATGGCATTGGAAATAATAATAATACCAGTAGTTCATCAAATCATATTTCAACTACCACTTCAAGAAAGAGAATTCATAATTTTAAATGTACTTTTAATTATAATTTAACTTGTAATTTGAAATTCCCCTTAAAGAAGAATGAAAATTTAATTGGTAATAAATATTTACTGTTAAGAGTATATTATGTTACTGAAAAATCAACTCATCGTCGTAAAGTAAGTGACAATAATCAATCTAAAAATAATCCCACCAATGGTAATGAAGATTCTTCAAAATCATCTCATGATGATAATGAAACCGTGATTGATTTAGGTAGAGTTGATGTTAATTTATCTGAATATTTGAATTTCAATGAACAAATCACTTCAAAATATCTTTTAAAAGAATCAAAAGTAAATTCAATCTTAAGTTTAAGTATATCTTTATCTGAATTACCATCAAATTATGATTTCCATACTCAATTACAAATCAATGATAATCAATCTCATTCAACTCTTTCAACAGCACCAACCAATTCAGTATCAAGAGGTAATACTGATTCATCACTTGGTAAATCTTCTACTTCAAACCTTACCAATAGTGATGGAAATAATGGAACTCATACTTCAAATTCTGGTTTCAATGTCCCTCAATTTGAACGGAAAAATGTATTTGGAGGTATAAACAATGTTTTCTCTGATAATCATAATAATTCATCACATAGTAATTTATCATCCGCATCGGAAGAAGATTCATCTCCACCACCATCAACATCAGGAATATCAAACACAACCGCTACATCCTCATCATCCAACTCACATGCCTTCTTAGGGAAATTAAAACGGAATAATAGTCATTCTAAAAAATCCCATCCTCTGAATAATACAAGTAATTCAACTACTACATCAGGTAAGAATGATTCTCTTCAACAGAAATCAAGTGTGATAATGGATCCATTAATCAATGGATTATATTCTAAAATCTTGGAGAATACGTGGGATCCTGAATTATATCATTTATTAAGTTATAGTCCTGAAAAATGTATTAATGATATATTCGATAATCCGAAAAATCCATTAGGTTATAATCCCGATTTGATGCCTTTGAAAGATGGTAAGAGTGGTTCAACTACGGATGAGAATGGTGATGATGATGGTGATGATGAAGGGTTTAGAGAAATTAATGGGTTAATTAATGAAATCAAATTTAGAGATGATTTAAAGAGTTGGAATATTAAAGTTTAAACATCGTATTTATTAGAAATGAAACAAAGTAATAATAATTTTTTTTTTCTTTTTTATAAAACTATATATCGGATATTTAATACAATAATAAATTTATAATGAAAATGATCTTAATTTAAAACTTAATTTAGTTAATGGATTCGATTTAGGTAAATCAATCTTTAACGTACTTGCTGAAGGTTCTGAAAAAGATGAATTTAATTCATTTGATTCATTTTCATTATTATTAGTAGTGGTAATAACAGTATTAGTTGAATCAATATCTTTCTTATGATAATGATTATTATAATATTGATAATAATATTGATAAAATCCATTCAACGTTTTAATAGTCTTACGTTTCGAACTTTCTCTTGCAAGTTCATGATTTCTTAATTCAATTAATGGAAGATTCATGGGACTTGAATCATCCTTTATAGCTTCAACTTCATGAATTTGATTTAAAATATCCTTTAAAAGACTCTCTAATGCAATTTCAATTTCTTTCGAACTTAAACTATTATTAGTAGTGGTAGTGCTAGTAAGTTTATTATTGAGTTCATTTCGAATTGACCTTGTTTCTAATACTGTATTCGATGTAATTGGTAAAATATCATTGTTATCAACATACGGTTTATTATACCAACCATTTCCCATATCATTATAATATTCATCATCCTCATAATCATCTTCATTATCAAAGGAATAAATAGTGTCACGATCACGACTGGCACTAGGAGTGGGACTTGGAAATAAACTTGGAGTCTTATTACCATTATCATCATCATTTTTAGAACTTGAACTTTTCATACTTGAAGCAGTAGTTGGAATTGGTGCTTTATTTTTATCACCTCTATTAATAACTTTTGAACTTAAGGATGATGAAACATAAGGAAGATATCGACAATACTGACATGGAGTATAAGCTGTTTCAGATGTATGACCAATGGGACATCTAAGAGTTCTAGTATCATATTGATTTCTAAATTTCCCAAATTGAATCATTTTAGGACCTGGTGTTGGACTATATCCGACATCTAAACTTAAACTTAAATTTGATCTTACAGAGATTGGTCTTACTCTTCTAGGACTCAGTTGGGCATTATTATTGGAAGTATTAGAAGCAACGGATTCTTGGGCTGATAATAGATGACCATATCTATCAGGGTCATGGGTTATTTCAATATCTTGTACTACTCTATCATTGTGAAATATTGAATATGCCGCTTGATATAAACCTGTAAAAGTATCAGATATCCGTGGAGAAGGAGGGGGTAATTCCATTTCTTCAACTAATGTAGCTAATTCTGTAACTTCTTGAAAACGAACTGATGGTTGTGATAAACTGAAGGGTGATCTTTCACTGTTTAAATGTAAAGGTGGAACAGAAGTAGTTAAGTTTCGAGGTTGAATATACTGTTGAGAAGGTGGCAGTGGAAGTGGAAGAGGTTGTAAACGAGGAGTTGGTGGTTGATTAATATCATTGAGAATACTTGAACCTTGTTGTCTGATAGGTAATGATTGTTGTTGTTCTGGTTGTGATTGTTGTGGTGGTAATTGTGGTACTGGTGGTTGATTATCACCTTGGGAAGTAAAGTGCTTTTGGTAGCGATTATATGTCATAGCGGTAAAGAAAACTAATGATTATTGAAATAAAGCAATGATATTAAGTATAAGACAAAGCAAAATTATCAACCTTTAGCTATTAGTATATAATCAAAACTTGAATTTAATCTCAAAACATTAAGATATTTAGTAAAGAAATCATAATACTAAACCGTTTTTTGCAATTTATTTTTGTGGTTACGTTTTGGTTGGGACACTGAAAGATTGAAAAAAAGATTGAAAGTTTCCCTCTACATAAAAAAAAGACCAACAAATTTAAAGTAATAAATATCGTGCATTTTAAGTTATGAATCGATAAGGTAAAGTACAATGACATACTAAGTTTCATTATCATGATCCTAAATCCCACCTGTAAAGCTATACTACTTCAAATAAAAAAAAATCATGAAAAAGAAAAAAAATAAAAGAAACTAAAAGATGCAAATATAAATATATATGGGGAATATATACATATATTATAAATTATGATACAGATTCATTAAACCTTTATAACGTTAAAAGAAGTATTATCCTGGTTTGAATAATAAATAATAATAAGGGGAAAATGTGCAATTTCGAACTGAAAGGATTAATAAGGGATTTATTGATTGTTGTTAGAATTATCATTATTATTGTTATTTTGGTTATTGTTGTTGTTGTTGTTGTTGTTGTTGTAACGACGGTTACCACCTCCATTTCTATTTTGATCATTTCTGTAATGGCCACCATTACCTCCTCTTTCTCTACCACTACCACCTTGTCTTCCAGAATAATTATTATTATTATTATAATTTCTTTGATCATTTCCACCTCTTCTCTTTTGATTTCTATTCCTTTGTTCCATGTTTATCATGTTTTGTTCTTTGGCATAATCCATGACTTCTTCAGGTAATCTTAAATATTTGATATGATTACCTCTAATATAAATTTCAGGAATCTTTACAAATTCTTCCCCATTTGGACTGGTTTGTATGACATTTTTTAAAGTTAAGTTCATCCATGAATCACAATTGACCAATTCACCATTTAAACTTTCACCATTCTTTAATTCTATTAAGATTTCTTTTGATTTAGCTGAGGTTAATAAATATAACGGCAACTAGAAAGATTAGAAAGTTAGTATTCTGATTTCCAAAAAAAGTGGTTCAACTTTGATGGATTGATTCTAAATCAAAACGTCTATGAAAAAGAATCAATCTAGTTTGTAAATATAAGATACATACCATTGTTATCTGTTTATTAATTACTTAGCTTGATTGCAACCTCCTTGTTTTAATTGGTAGTATAGATATTTGAAGTCAACAAAATTTTTCTCTGTCTCTGTTCTATGGTGGTGACAATTTTTGGTATTTTGACACGTCCTTTTTCAGTCGCACTTTAAATTTTTGTACCAAAGCTGTTTAATGAAGTTTGGCAGCAAAGGCTTCTACCAACAGCTCTTTCTAAGGCGACATTAGTTAATCCATCAATATGATGGATCAATACATTGAGTAGATACCGTATAGTTATTATTATTCTTTATGAATGTGTTTGTACTAACATTTGAGATTGATTTGACTGGAATTATGTTGTCTGCCACAGAAACAAGGAATTTTGGCAGCACATTCGCTAAGCTGAAACTCTCTCCGCTGAAAACAGTTGTATATACATTCTACTACCATTTACATGATTTATCTGTGCATGTGTGACTTGGGTATGATAATCGATTGATTGATTGCCTTTATTTAATAATTTTTAATATTCTGTGTCTATTTGGTGACTAACTAGTAGATTTATTACAATTTTAATGACAAATTACAAAATAATTAAAAGTTTTGAATTAGCTTTAATTTGGTCAATTTTGTCTCTCATACTCATTATTAAGACTTGATACTAACACCTTGACTTATAAGACAGTTTAGATTTAACTAATCAATCCATTGATGCCATTAAATGGCCAAATATGAATGTTCATCCATCATTACTCTAAAGAATAATTCCTCTAAATCACCCATAAAGCATCTTCCTACATCAACTACTCCAAATGTTACTTAATCAAGTAAGTACCATTTATTTACTTAAAGTGTCACCTCCGTTCATGTCAATGGCAAAGGTGAGATTGTGTCACTGAAGCAACCGTACCGCAATACTTAATTCCATACGGATAGATACCCCCAAAGCGTTCGGCTTAACTTCCCAATAAAGCAAAAAACGGTTATCTATTTGTAATCAGACTGTACAGTAACCATTTTTTTTCTTTTCATTTAGGCAGACAGATAATTTAAATTTGGAGGTTTAGATTTTTTTTTAATCGTGTTTCAATGTATGGCAACGGTCTATCTACAAAAATTTTCCATTTAAAACTTTGTTAATTTCATTATTTGTTATTTGGTTATTCTTTTCTTTTTAAGGTAATTGTTATTTATCAATTTAACAAAACTGAAATGGAACAAATAGAGGCAATTTCTCTAGGTTCAGGTCATCTCCCCAATAGTTGGAGTTTACTCAGTAATCTTCCTGTGTTGTATTTATCGAAAAATTATACTTCGGAAAATGATGGCATATCAACTTTGTTAAAGAAAAATCATACTGAAGTTGTTCCTCAATCTTGGTTAGGTTGTGATTCAGCTGTTGATGGTTGGGGACCTCTTTCATCAACTTATAATGATTTAACACCTTGTTTCTTACAAGGTATACTATTTGGTTTATCAGCCGTATTAATGATATTGGTTGGAACTTATCAAATTGTTCAATTAAGAAATAAAAAAATTACCATTAGTAATAGAAAGACTTGGTCCTTCTATACTAAATTATTATTAGTTACTATTCAATTAATATTTCAAATCATTATTTTCACTCAATTTAATGCTACTGGTATAATAAAATCTGCTTTAGCTGCTAATGCTTTTGCTACTTTTATCGCGTTTGGAATTCATTATCTTGAACAATATAAATCAACCATTCCAAATGGTGTTTTATTATTCTATTGGTTATTCCAAGTCATTTTAAATGCTGGTAGAATTGTTAATCTCGAATTAAGAGATGATCTTAAATCTGAATTCGGTACTTTTATTATTTTATCAACTGTAAATGCTTTATTCATTTTATTAATTGAAATTTTATTACCACCAGTTCCAATTTATGCCAGTTTAGTTAAAGTTTCTCCTTATGATCATGCTAATATCTTTTCAAGAATTACTTTTGATTGGATGGGTGGATTAATGAAAAAAGGTCATCAACAATATTTAACTGAACAAGATTTACCTGTATTACCAACTGAATTAAAGGCCACTGCTACCACTAATGAGTTTAATGAATATTGGAAAACTCAATCCAAACACTCATTATTCTTGGCTATTGCTAAAGCTTTTGGTTCCAGTTTCCTTTTAGGTGGTGTTTTTAAAGGTCTTCAAGATTCTTTAGCTTTTGTTCAACCTCAATTATTAAGATTATTAATTAAATTCGTTAATGATTATTCTGAATCTGCCAAGACGGGTAATCCAATTCCATTAACTAAAGGTTTTTTAATTTCTATTTCTATGTTCATTGTTTCGGTGGTTCAAACTGCTTGTTTACATCAATATTTCCAAAGAGCTTTCGATTTAGGTATGAAAATTAAATCTTCCTTAACTTCCGTCATTTATAATAAAGCATTAGTCTTATCAAATGAAACCAAACAAGAATCAACTACGGGTGATATTGTTAATTTAATGTCTGTTGATGTTCAAAGATTACAAGATTTAGTTCAAAACTTACAAGTTATTTGGTCAGGTCCATTCCAAATCTTTTTGTGTTTATATTCTTTACATGGATTAATTGGTAATTCCATGTGGGCTGGTGTTTTCATTATGATTATTATGATTCCTTTAAATGCCGTTATTGCTCGTTATCAAAAGAAATTACAAAAGACACAAATGAAAAATAAAGATGAAAGATCAAGATTAATTAGTGAAATTTTAAACAATATTAAATCTTTGAAATTATATGGTTGGGAACATCCATATTTAGAAAGATTGAACCATGTTAGAAATGAAAAGGAATTAGCTAATTTAAAGAAAATGGGTATTTTCAGTGCTTTTTCAAATTTCACTTGGTCATTAGCTCCATTCTTAGTTTCTTGTTCAACTTTTGCTCTTTTCGTCATTACTCAAAAGGATAAAAGTTTATCTACTGATTTAGTCTTCCCAGCTTTATCTTTATTTAATCTTTTATCTTTCCCATTAGCTGTTGTTCCAATGGTTATTACTAACATTGTTGAAGCTCAAGTTGCTATTACAAGATTAACTAAATTCTTAACTAGTTCAGAATTACAAAGAGACGCTGTTATTAAAGCTCCAAGAGCCTCTAAAGTTGGGGAAGTTGCTGTTCAAATCAAAAATGGTACTTTCTTATGGTCAAAGGCTAAAGGTGAACAAAATTATAAAGTTGCTCTTTCTAATATCAATTTAACTGCTAAAAAGGGTCATTTAGATTGTATTGTTGGTAAAGTGGGTTCTGGTAAATCTTCCATTGTCCAAGCCATCTTAGGTGATTTATACAAATTAGATGGTGAAGTTACTTTACACGGTAAAATCGCTTATGTTTCTCAAGTTCCTTGGATTATGAATGGTACCGTCAGAGATAATATCTTATTCGGTCATAAATATGATGCTGAGTTTTATCAACATGTTTTAAAAGCTTGTGCTTTAACCGTTGATTTAAAGATTTTACCAAAAGGTGATAAAACTGAAGTTGGTGAAAAGGGTATTTCTTTATCTGGTGGTCAAAAGGCTAGATTATCATTAGCTAGAGCTGTCTATGCTAGAGCTGATGTCTATTTATTGGATGATCCATTAAGTGCTGTTGATGAACATGTTGGTAAACATTTAACTGATCATGTTTTAGGTCCAAATGGTTTATTAAAGACTAAATGTAGAGTTTTAGCTACTAATTCCATTAAGGTTTTAAGTATTGCTGATAACTTACATTTAGTAAGCGATGGTAGAATTGTCGAACAAGGTACTTATGATGATATTATTAAACAAGAAAGTAGTAAGATTCGTCAATTAATTGAAGAATTTGGTAAAAAGAAAGATACTTCTAGTTCTTCATCATCTACTATCGCTGGTGAAGATAAGAAAGAAACCGATGAAACCGATGAACTTAAAGATGATGTTGATTTAGCTAACTTAGATTCTGATTCTGATTATGAAGTTGGAAGTTTAAGAAGAGCTTCCGATGCTTCCTTGATTCCTGATGAAGAACGTAATGTCGAAGACGAAGAACCCGAAGATGAAGAAACAAAAGCTAGAAAGGAACATCTTGAACAAGGTCAAGTTAAATGGGCTGTTTATAAAGAATATGCCGATGCTTGTAATCCAGTTAATGTTATTATCTTCTTAGCCACTGCTCTTTTATCATTCAGTATTAATGTTGGTTCTAACGTTTGGTTGAAGCATTGGTCCGAAGTTAATACCAAATACGGTTATAATCCAGATATTACTAAATACTTAGGTATTTATTTCTTATTAGGGGTTGGTTTTTCTGCATCTTCATTAGTTCAAAATTGTTTCTTATGGATTTTCTGTACTATTCAAGGTTCTAAAAAATTACACAATGGTATGGCGGTTAGTGTTTTAAGAGCTCCAATGTCTTTCTTCGAAACTACTCCAATCGGTAGAATCTTAAATAGATTTTCAAACGATGTTTACAAAGTTGATGAAATCTTAGGTAGAGTTTTCAGTATGTTCTTCAACAATTCCATTAAAGTTATTCTTACAATTGGTGTTATTTGTTTTTCAACCTGGCAATTCATTTTCATTATTGGTCCATTAGGTATCTTATATGTTTATTATCAACAATATTATTTAAAGACTTCAAGAGAATTAAGAAGATTAGATTCAGTTTCAAGATCTCCAATTTTTGCCAATTTCCAAGAATCATTAGTTGGTGTTTCTATTATTAGAGCTTATGGTCAAGAAGATAGATTTAGATTCTTAAATGAAACCAGAGTTGATAGAAACATGTCTGCTTATCATCCAGCTATTAATGCTAATAGATGGTTAGCTGTTAGATTAGAATTCTTAGGTTCAATTATTATTTTGGGTGCTGCCGGTTTATCAATTTTAACCTTAAAATCAGGAAAATTAACTGCTGGTTTAGTTGGTTTATCTGTTTCTTATGCTTTACAAATTACTCAATCCTTAAATTGGATTGTTAGAATGACAGTTGAAGTTGAAACTAATATTGTTTCTGTTGAAAGAATTATGGAATATTCAAGATTAACTCCTGAAGCTCCTGAAATTATTGAAGATAATAGACCTGCTAAGGACTGGCCTCAGAATGGGGAAATTATCTTTAAAGATTATTCTACCAAATATAGACCAGAATTAGATTTAGTTTTAAAGAATATTAACTTAGATATTAAAGCTAAAGAAAAGATTGGTATTGTTGGTAGAACTGGTGCAGGTAAATCATCAATTACATTATCATTATTCAGAATTATTGAACCATTCCAAGGTCAAATTGATATTGATAACGTTAAGACTGGTGATATTGGTTTAGCTGATTTAAGACAAAAATTATCAATTATTCCTCAAGATTCTCAAGTATTTGAAGGTACTATTAGATCCAATTTAGATCCAACCAATGCATACAATGATGAACAAATTTGGAAAGCCTTAGAATTATCTCATTTGAAAGATCATGTTCATAAAATGTATGATGACAGAGATAAAGAAATTGAAATTGAAACTCCATTAGATGTTAAAGTCAGTGAAGGTGGTGGTAATTTATCGATTGGTCAAAGACAATTAATGTGTTTAGGACGTGTTTTATTAAAGATGACCACATCTAATATCTTAGTGTTAGATGAAGCCACTGCTGCTGTTGATGTTGAAACTGATCAAATTCTTCAACAAACCATTAGAACTGAATTCAAAGATAAAACCATTATTACCATTGCTCATAGATTAAACACCATTTTAGATTCTGATAAAATCATTGTGTTAGAAAAGGGTGAAGTTGCTGAATTCGATACTCCAGAAAACTTATTAAAGAAGAAGGATTCATTATTCTACTCTTTATGTAAACAAGGTGGTTTTGTTCATGATGATGAATAAGCTCAATCATCATCTCATTACCTCATAATTATTCCTTATAGATTTGCCAAATTTTGATATTATTTATTTTCGTTTTATTTTAATTTTTTTTTTTGACATTCAGTTTTAGCTTTTTATTGTACTTTTAAAGTTTGATTTCCAAACCCAAAAAGAAGAATGCTACAATGATACTGTGTTTGAATATAGATTGTATAGATATATATATATATAAATAAATATAAAATACAAATTAATAAAACGTTATTACTAGTAAATGAAGAGTGGAAACCATCCAATCATTTAAAAAGTTTCTTTAATCTTGAAGTTTTCTTTTCCTTGTCTTTCTTCTCAGGTGACGAATTCATACTTAAAGATGATGAACGTTTTTGATAATGCAGTGGTACTTTTGAATTTGGATTTGGAGATGCTGATGATGACGATGATGATGTTGTAGTTTTAAAATGTTGTGATTGTGGAGGTTGGGGTTGTGGGATTGGAGCTTGAGGAGGTTTTGGTCTACCATCTTCAAACAAATAATTTGGAGGATCACTTGATTTATGTTTTAATTTCATTAAATGTAAATCAAGATCCATTACACTTTTAGCATTATCAATACTTTGTAATCCTATTAAGAAATCTCTTGGTTTTAAAATCGATTCCGAACCAATATAAATGTCTTTATTTAATGATGATGATAATTCATACATTGATCTTATTTCAGAATAAGTCATCCCACCTGCTATATAACAGAAAATCCTTTGTTTAGTAGGTTGATGATTATAATGATTATTACTATGAGAATTTGAATTAGATGCATTTATGGATTGAGCCCATACTGGTTTAATTCTCGTATTTCTTAATGATCCATTTTGATTACTATTATTACTATTATTGGAATGAGAATCATTAAGATTTTGTGCACTAGGAGGTAAATCTTCCATTAATGGTTTATCTCTAAAATAAGGAAACCATTCTTCATCTAAATTATATTTAATTAATCCTTGAGTTAAATTCTTAATGGCAGTACCATATCTTGAAGTATTATAAGTACCTTGATTATTTATAGTATGAAACATCTTTTTAACTACTTTTTTATCTTTAACATCTTTTTTGATAACGGGGAAACCTAATTTATGTAAATTTTCAAAACATCTTGATATAAGAGATATGATTTGACGATCATTAACACCAATGAATTTAACTAATTTCATAAAATCAGCTTCAATTAATCCTCCTCTATATAAGCCATAAATCAATACTAATCTCATTTTATCATTGATATGTAAATCATCTCTAGCCAATAATACAATAAGATCATTATGTAAAGTTTTATTTCTTTCACCTTCAAACGTTACTCCTTCTGAAGCACAAGTTTGTTCGAAATCAGCAGCAAATTCAGCTAATTTTCGTTTAGTATTAAGATCAAGACATTCTTCCACTAAAGTTTTATGTAATACCATTAATTTTCTTTCTTCATCGAACCCTTTTAAATGAGCCATGACATACAGGATATTACTAGTGGTGGTTACTTTTGATCTATCTACTAATAATTGATTATTTTGAACAAAATCATTAAATATTTTAATCATGATTTCTGAACTTTCAATAATATGATAATGTCTAAGACTTATCCAAGTTGGATCATTTTCATTTTCCAATAATGCTGTGGTTTTATTAATTTCCCCAGTTTCTGTTTCAAAATTATATTCATAAACTCCTTTTCTTTCTAAACTTGGAACAATATCCATGGCCATGGCTTGATAAGTGAATTCATGTAATAATGGAGCATATAAATCAATGGTTCTATCAACAATCAATAAGATTGATCTTGGTTTATTTTCCGATGGAGGAGGGAAATCCAAATGTTCACGAGCATAATTATCAATTTGTTGTTGAAATTCATCAGCAATTAATTCTGATAATCGTGAAGCAGTATAAGGATGATGATTTAAATGATTGTTGGGACTATAGAATCGAATTAAAGGATATTCACCTGTGATTATCATTAGATTAACTAAACTTTTAGCCGCTAATTTGATTTGAGTTAATACGAATTCTGAACAATTTTCATTATAATAAATTGGCATTGAATTGGGAGTGAAATTATCAGTTAAGAATACTTTTGATTCTTGAGGATAAAGATCAATATAACAATTTTTGATATCGATTAAGTATTGATTGATTTTGGGATTGGATAAGAATCGAGATGAATTAAAGAAATTAAGGGTATTATTATCATAAGTTGGTATAAATAAACCAATTCCATTTTTATATCTATTAGTTTGAACGTCAGCAATGATACATTTCAAGTTGAAAACCGTCATATCAACCAAATAGATTGCTTGTAAGAAAGGACTTTGTTTCCTTTTTTCATCAATCTTTTCAATTGAAGTAACGATTCTTAATAATTGATCTTTGGTTAGTACTCTGAATAAGATTGATTCCACTTTATCATCAATGATTAAAGAGTATAACCCACCAATGTTATTCCCTTCAGCTGCTTTGATTTCATTTAGGATGTATTCTGCCTGTAGATTCAATAATGAACTCTTGTCCATATTCTTTTGCAGCATGGTTGAAAATGGGGTTTGGCTGCCTTTTTCTGATTTGAATAGCTATTTTGATCCCAGGAGAGCCGTCTAATCGATTGATTCACTATATCAAACTGCTGTGATATGATATGATATGATATGATATGATTGATGGATTACAATGACAAGCCATACAATGCCTCCTTCTTCTGACTTCCTTAGTTTAAGGGTTTTCAATCCAACGCCTTCCTTTGAATTACCGTTTAAATCAGTTTGGTGCTGCCTTTTTTAGATAATTTCAGTTTTATAATTTGTTCGTCTTTTTTTGGAGGTTTTTTTGTCTGAATTTCCTAATTAGGATTATCAGACATTTTTATCCTTTTTGTTCTTTTTTGTCTTGCTGTTGAGTTTTTGGTTTGAGGTGTTTGTTTATTATCATCATCAATCCTTTACCCAATCCATTTGGATCATTTCATTCATTCATTCATCATCATCATCGTCATAAAGGTCTGTGTATGTATATATGGGCTAGACTGTGCTAATCAGTATCAACTATTATCAATTCCCGTTTACTAGAGATCAATTGCTCAATTGCTTCCCCCTTGTTTAGCACTCCACAAACACTATTTACCGTCAGTCAACCCATAAGGCGTTGATCATTTCAGCATTCATCATCCTTCATCCATAATCAACCCCCTCATCAATATAACCATATCCATCATTCATGGACTTTAAATACCCCAATCCTAAAGGCAAGTCACGATCAGTGTCTTTCAATCATATCAAGAGCATGTCAATATCATCCAATACAAATAGCTCGTCTTCTATAACAACCCCTTCCAATTCAACCCCATCATCTCCTACAGCACCTAGTAATACAAGTACTACCTCTACCACCACCACTACCATGAATAAACCTAACGATAATGAAGATAGTGACGACAATAACATCAACAATTTCAATAACAATAATAGTAACCTAGAAGATGTAACTGCTCCAAATATCAAAATAGGTAAGATTCAAATATCAAGACGAACTTTTGAAGCTATCATATATATACTAGGTTGGTACCTTTTTTCATTATCCATATCAATCTATAATAAATGGATGTTTGGTAAAGCGGGTCTTGATTTTAAATTTCCTATCCTTATAACTTCATTCCATCAATTTTGTTTAATGATCTTAAGTTGTACTGTACTTTATTTTAATCCCAGTTTAAGACCAACCGTAAACAATTATCATTATCAACCAAACTCATCTAATCGAGGTAATTTATTACAATTCCTTCGAATCTTTCAAATTGGAGGTTTAACCTATATTAAACAAATTTTTCCTTGTTCATTAGCATCAGCTGGTGATATTGGATTATCCAACGTTTCATTCAAATTCATTTCTCTTAGTTTATATACCATGTTAAAGACTTCATCATTAATGTTTGTTCTTTTATTTGGATTATTATTCCGATTAGAAAAATTTAATTGGAGATTGATTGTCATTGTATTTATTATGACAGGTTCAGTAATAATGATGGTTAAGAAAGATCCCGTTGATTTACTGGATTATGAAGTTGAAGATGAAAATAATGATTTAGGAATAATATTAGTGATTGGAGCTTCAATGATGTCAGGTTTAAGATGGTCATTCACTCAATTATTATTAAAACGAAATCCATATACTCCCAATTCCATATCAACCATCTTTTATATCTCACCATCAATGTGTCTTATATTATTAGTTATAGGATTAATCTTTGAAGGATGGGAAAATTTTACTGATTCAACTATATGGGATACGATTGGATTCTTTAAAACTATATCATTAATGATTATCCCGGGAATTTTAGCATTTATGATGACATTAAGTGAATTTAAATTATTAACGGTAGCTCAAGTTACAACATTATCCATTGCTGGAATCTTTAAAGAATTATTAACTATCGTATTAAGTTCATTTATATTTGGAGATCGATTAAATTTTATAAATTTATTAGGATTATTCCTTACCATAATTGATATTGCATGGTATAATTATTATCGATATTATGAAGGGAAAGAACAACAACAACAGAAACAACCATATTATTTAAAAGTCAATCAATATCAATATTCCGAATCAAATGAAGATTTGGAACATCAGGATGAGAATAAACGTTTACAAAACATAGAATTAAGAAAATTATAAACATACAACTAATTAATTAAAAATAAAAAAAAACATATTCATAGGGTTAATTTATCAGTAATGGTTTTGGTTTCAACTATATATATATATTGGAGTTCATTTCAGTTTTACTTTTACTTTTTATTTCATCATCATAATTATATAATTTACATATTATAATATACTTATTTATTTATTTATTTATTTATTTATTTATTTATTCATTTTATTTTATTTTATTTTAGTAGTTCTATAACAGTTTTTACTAAATATTATTTATACACAAATCTATTTTTTTTTATTATTAACTTTTTTTATAAAATACAAATACTTATAAGAAGCAAAGATAGTATGAAGAATATTTGTTTAAAGTCAGGATCGGTACCATTAATCAACATTGATTTACTCTTAAATGAATTTCCTCCATTTTTACTAGTAGTGGCATTCTCACTAGCAGCACTAGCCACACCCGGTAATAAAGTTGTAGTATTAGAAGCTAAGGAATTAGTTGCACCAGCAGTAATAATGATTTCCCCACTTCGAATCACGGCCCCAGAGAATCGAGCTGGGATATCTAAATTAACCCCAACTCCAGATTCTTCTGATCCATCAATCGAGGAATAAGTTAAAGTCACATCAGGAGCATAGGATTGAGAGATAGCGAATGGAATGAATCCCGATTGAATGTATCCAATTGACAGATGGGCCACCACAAGTGTGGCACTAACGTTGGTTTGATTTAAAGTTGATATCGATAACGCAGCAGTTGAAGTTGGAATCGTGAATGGTTGAACTTTACCAGTGGGTTCTAAAGCACTTTTACTAACTTGAAGATTTCTATTAGCATTAGCTAATGCAATTGATTTCCCAGCATTATCCACGGCAAGATAAATATTAGTTATGAATGGTAAACCTAATGAATTAAATCCATTTAATGATGATGGTAAAAAGGTTAAATAACATGCTTTTTCTCCATTACTAAATTTTAAAGTTTTTCCATAATAATTAGCATCAACTATGAAATCTTGTAAGGGGATTGGAACTTCTAAACCTCCAAATATGAAATTTAATGTGGCTTGAGAACCGGTTATCACATCACATTGAACTATCCATCTTTCAGCTTCATTACTATAATAAGCATTAGTTTGAATGGCTAAATTAACAATCATATCCAAGGGGATATAATTATACGATGATCTTGAATCAAGAATTAAAGCGATTGAATCGCCTGGAGTTGATAATAAAGAAATAGTTTCACCATTTAATTGATTTTCCACTAATAAATCATCTAATTGTAAAATAGGTAATACTAAGTCTTTTAAAGCTGTATTTGAAAATATATCAAGATTATTATCGGAGGGGAATCTTATACCGGAATGATCAGGGATTTCAAATGCATAAAGATCACCGGAATAATATTTTTGATCTATAACTCCAGGAAGTAATTCTCCAAATGATTCACCTGTACCTTCTGTACAATTATTAAACCATAATGAATACGAAGGGGATTGAATGATTCCTAATGAGGTTAATGTATAAAGGAATCCACTACCTTGAGGTAAACCTGCTAAACCTAATCCTCCAAAATACATATTAGTATCATTAACATTTATAAATGTGAAATTTGATAATACCACTTGATGATTATTAGTAGTATTGAAATAAATATCATCAGTTTCAAATACACCAGTAGCTTCAATTACATTCATATAAGGGATAACATATGGATTACCATTTTTAACACCTTCGATAGTTGCAGTTGGTAATACAATCAGATCATCTGAAGCAGAAGGAGTTGGAGTGAAATATAATCCACCTTGACCACAAACAGTAGCGATATATTCTGGTTCCGTAGTTACGGCAGCAGGATATACTGAAGTTGAATTATAAACTACTTCTTCGGATGAAAACCATGAATTAATGAAATTACAATCATAAAAATCATTCCCATTCATAACCCATAATTCAGGTTGAATTAAATCCAATCTTAAATCAACGGCATTTTTACCAGAAGATGAATTAGTACCGACTTGGAAACCAGCATTATAATACGAATCCCCTTCTTGAACGGTTAATATCAATTTAAATAAACTTTGATCATAAGAATCTTCTGAAACAGTGGTGGTAATTCCTGTAGTTTCATGATAAGTTGATGTTTTAGTGGTTGATGTAGTGGTAGTTTCACCTCCAGTTGGTATATTTGGAGTTGTAGGATTAACAATAGTTAATTTCAAGATATTACTGGTATCAGTCATGGCATTCCCATTTCCCCCACCCGTTATTATCGAAGTTGATGCAGCCGTGGCTGTTGCTAATAAGATACTTGGGTCAACAGTTTGATTTGGATCAGTGGCTGCTAGTTTAATTTCCACCAAATCTGATAAGTTTGATGCCACAGGAACAGGAACAGGAACATCTTCACCAATACTTATCCGTATCATAAGATATAGAAGGGTTAACTTATTCAAGAACATGATGTGTATAATAATCGTCTATTCGTATAATGGTATGGCTATATTTGTCTGTCTATTTTGTAGTCTTTCCCCACACTGCTCTTATATACACATGAAGTAATCTATAGGGGGTGTGTACCTTCTTAACGAACAAGAGGTATGGATGGATTTCAAAGTACTGTCGACTTCTGACAGTGGGATATGGATAGTTATATATATTATAACGGATAATTGTTACAATTGTTTTGGTTCAAACCAACTTTTTTTTTTTTCTTAACCATTTTTTTTTTCTTTTCCTTTTTTTGGCGATAATTATGTTTTAAAAATAGTAACAAATTTAAAAAGGATAACACTATAGTTAATGGTTTAAGTTTTGGTTACAATAAGGTATGATATGGCATTATACGATATATAGTAGTATGAATAGAAGTTAAAATTATATAAAGCAAACGTTAAATATGGGTAGAATATCAATCTGTTTATTTCATAGTACTACTTCCCTCTTCAATTTGCGGATTTGCAATCACAACTCCGCTCATCCTACTGCTTTATTAGCAGATGAATTATAATGATTGATAGCTAAATCAATTTGAATCTTATTATACATTTGTTTAGGCATATTGAACGTATCATCTTCATCATCATTGTCATCATTGTCATCTTGTACTTGTTCTACTCTATGACGATGCTGGTGATGTTTCTTCTTACCTTTGTTTTCACCCCCTTTTCCTTGGCCATCTTGATCTTCTCCAGGTTCCAGTTGATCAAAATAATAGATTAATCGATTAACATTGGTTAAACAATCTTTGACATCATTGAATGATTGGAAGGTATAATCCAACTTTATAAATATCTTAATCTCTTTCTTATTATTATTCTGATTATTGTTATACTGATTCTGATTCTGATTCTTTTCATTGGAGAACAACTTCTTTAATAATGATTCATATTTATTCAACTTATTAATGATTTCATTGAAATTTGTAATCGAAATAGTGATATTAAAATGCTTGAATCGATTAATATGATCAATTAAATCTTGATCATCATTAATTAATCGAATTGGTAATCCCATTGATGATGAAGATCGTTTATGAGAAGCACAATAATAATGAGGTGGAGGTGTCCATCGGGCAGAATTTCGAATTATAACCACTTCATCTTGACCATTATTAATATCCTCCTCATCATCACTATCTTCACCATCATTGATCACATTATCAAATTGAAATTGTTGTTCATATTCAAAATCAGATTCATATTCATAATCTTCATCATCATCTTCTTCATCTTCAAAAAATATATCTTGAGGTTCATCATAAAATGTATCATAATATTCATCAAAATCATCAAAATAGAAATCAGAATCCAAGTTGTCTAAACTTTCATTATCATCATCATCGTCATCATCGTCATCTGATATAAAGTATTCATCATCCTCCTCCTCTTCATCTTCATCTATCAAAGTATGACTATTGCTGCTTCCCTCACCATCAATATCACCATCATCAAACGTTATGATATACTTCCCATGACGATAAATCTGATCATAAATCCCTGGGATGAATGATTTATTAGTCAAGACTAAATTCTTTAAATCATCCATATTTAAATATTGATAAATCTGATAAAGAATATCATCAGGCAAATCAACCAAAGATTCGGCTGTCATCATCGTTGCGTTGCGGTTTATCTTCTCTTCATATATGGTTGTTTATATCTATAATTGAACAAGTTCAATCTATCTCTGAGTTGTATGGTATACTGGTGGTATCTTACTTGCCCCTTAATCCGATCTTCGTCTTTTCTTATCTGATTTCAAATCTTTCGCACTGTGGACCCCCCACACACATCTCCTCATTGATCTTACATGGTAGCGCTGGTATTAATTTATAATATATATTTACATATGAAACATTACTTTTTAATGTTCACTTCTCTTTCTTAACGTATTTATAGTATATAATGGATAATAATCATCTCTTGATTCAACTTGACATTGATTTAAATTTGAAATTCGTTCAATGACATCATCATTAGATATCGATGCATCGAATAATTTCCCCTCTTTAAGGTGATAATATTGTAATAATTTAGTGTTTTCATCCTGATCATTATCGACAGAGGCAATGATGGTATTGGTGTTTTCAATCACGGTTATATCGATGATAGAATGATTAGTAGTGAAAGTTTGAATATATTTAAAACTTGATGAATCAATTAATTCAAACAATAATAATGCAGGAGTGTTTTCACATAAGATTATAATATATTGATGATCATTATGATTCAACATTAATAATTTTGAGATTGACATTTCTCGTTCGGATTCTTCCGTTAAGAATCTTTCCGGTGGTAAATGACTATCAGTTAAGAATTGTTGAATTAAATTTTTAATATCAATTTTAGTAATAAATTTAGATTCATACCAATTCCATAAACTTATAAAATCATCCCCTCCTCCACTGATTAATAATGATGGATTCAAGCTTGGAATGGTTAAAATACTTATGAATTCTTTATGTTCAGCTCCAAATAACCAATCTTTAATCACATAAGTCTTAGGATAATTAGTAATTCTAATATGTTCATCTCTATCTCCCGTAATAATGAATTTCTTACCATTATATTTAGTGATTAATACTTCACTTAACATTGATACATGACCTAAAATAGGATTTAATTTCTTTTCATCCACCACTTCTAATCCAATAATATCCATAGTATAAACATCACCGAATTTATCAGCCACAATAATGGTATCATCATCTTCATCGATCGATATTGAACTTGGACGTTTTGGAAAGGGTTGACGTTTAATAAACTTAAGACAATTTTCATTATCATCTTCGACAATTTCAAATATAATCACTGATTTATCACTATCACTTATCCCAATCAAATATTTATCATGATGACTTAAAAATAATGAACGAATATAATTATAAATTGGAGGAGCTCCAGGTCCAGGAGTAGGGATCTTAGGAACTTTGATCGGCTCACCATTAGTAGCGTTCTTTTCAAGTACTTTGATCTTTTCTTGTTGTTGTTTTTGTAATGGTTGTAAATTATCAATTGGATCAATCCATGAACCAAGTAATTTCCCCTTTGACTCACCAGTTAATCCAAATACTGAGATTTCATTCTTGACTGATGTAAAGAGATGAGTTCCTGCTTCATTGGCAAGAACTATTTGAAATGGATGTTTCAATGTCATGGTATAGTTGGTTCCTTCCTTACACTGTTCACTTCAACTTCATTTTGAAAAACTTTTTTTATTTTTATTTTTGAGATGTGCTGCTGCTGCTGCTGCTTTTTTTTTTGGTGGGATATCTCAGACCTTTTTTTGCAGTAACAATTAAGACATATACAGATATACAGATCTATAAGAATCAACTTCTATATTGGGTATATATATACTTACTAACATACACACGACTATATCACTTCTTTTTGAATCCCCACGTAGATGTCCAATTCGATATCCTTTTCCCAATCGGTTCTACAGATTCATTTATATTTACAAACTCATTGTCATTAGCAATGATAGTCGTATCATCATCATCATCATCATAGTCATCATTGTCATTGTCATTTTCGTTATGTTTCGAATGGGGGTTGTCGTTATTATTATTATTGGTTGGTCTATCATTTTCCTTCGATGTACTATTATCTTCCACTATGAATTTCTGTGCTTTGGATTCCTTATCAATGATATTAGCTCCTGAAGTGGAACTGGTGGATGAAACTGGTGTAGCAGGTTTGAATTTAAAACTATTAAAGAATTGAGTGATTTGATTCGCATTATTAAGATGAGATGATGTATCTATTAAATCAAACGATATATGATTTGGATTAATAAAATTAAAAATAAATTCATCCGCCATAAGATTCCAAATCTTGAAATTTTGACTTCGTTTCCACATTTCAATATACTTATCATTAAAATGACTTAAATTACCTAAATGTTTAACATTGGTAATGACAGGATTATTGGTATTATTACTTTCAAATCCAGGAGGAAATTGATTAAATTTATCCACATATTGTTGAAATCTAGTAGTAGATAATAATGATAATAAATAATCTTCAAATTGATTACGAATATAATCATCATTACCATAATAAGATCCATTATCTCCATTTAAAGTAATATTATTTATAACTGAAGTAATGAACTTTTTATCTTGAGCTGATAATGATAATTCTTCCGGTTTGATATTATTAGTCATAGGGAATTTTAATTCATAAGTATCTAAATTTATAAATAAATCAATCTTAAACGTATCTAATTGATTCACAAATAAATAATTCGAACACCCAATCATAAAACTTTCAATTAAGGATAATTCATTCAATTGTTGTAATGGTAAATAAGGATTCCAATAACTATTCTTCGTATTAAAGATTTGTAAAGGTAATCCAAAGAATCTTAATTTTGATTTTCGATTAATCAAATTTAATGAAGTTGGTTTTATTAATGATCCTTTATTGGTTTCAATGAAATCTATCAAGGGACAACCTGAATTATCTAAATTATTAATTAATTCTGGAATAAGACTAATTAAATTATTTTGAAATTGAGTTAGGATTTCAAGATTATTATTAGAATAAATTAAGATCTTCTTTTCTAATAAAAGACTTTTAAATATGATTAAAAAATTAGATTTAAATTTTAAAATTAAATTTCTTAAATTAAGATTTATGAAATTTTCTTCATCTTGTTGATTATTATTTAATGAAGGACTTAATTGTAATTGAATAGTTTGAGGATTGGAATCATCTCTTTCTTCAATTAATTCTTGTTTCAAACTATGATTCAAACTATCAAATAAATTAATTAAAATATCATAATTATTAAAATCATCTTGTTGAAAATAACTATGAGTACAAATCGATAATTTTTCCTTAATCTTGGAAAAGATAGGTTTATTACGAACGATAATAACGACAGATTTTTGAACTATAGATCGAGTAATATCCTTATGACGATCTCTTTCTTCTTGAGATAATTCACTGGTTTTCAATTGTCGAACACATGAACATCCAAATAATGTCTTAAGATATCTTGGATCACCTTGATAATGATTAAGATCTTCTCCATTATCAATCGATATATTATTTTTAAAATCATATACTAAATTAAAATTTGAAAATGTTTCTTCAAATAAATGTGATCCATCAGGTAAAGCTTGAAAGGGTAAATTTTTAAATAAATTAGCATTATAATCTTGAAAATAATTTGATTTCCACCATTGAATCTCAGGTCCTCTTTGATGATGAAAATCAACTATACAAATAGCAAAGATTATATCATCAACATTAGGATCAACATGAGGGATTGAAATTGAAGATTCAACTCCTGAAGCTGTAGATGAACGATCATTATCAGTGGATATTGGCAATGCTTTGATTTGAATAGATCGTCTTTTAGGAGTAGGAGATATGACATTTGTGTTTGTGGATGCAGATGATGGTGTTGATGGGGGTTGGATTTTAGTACTACTACTTCCTAATCGCATAGGACGACATTGGAATTCATCATTATTAGCTTTATCAATAGCAGCAGATGCTGATGTATTAGATGAAGTAGAAGATGATGACGATGTAGATGATGATTTACTATGCTCTACTTGTTTCACCAATCGAATAGGTTTTAATCCAGGTTTAGATTCATCAGATGATGGTGGGACATAAGGCTCAATTCCTAATCCTATAGTTTTATTTTGACCATGATATGATTTTTGTTTAGGACTTATATTGTTGGATTGGCCTTCATTCATTACCAAATCAGTAATTCGTTGATAATGAATCTAGAATTCAATGCAATTGGATTGTTTTGAATTTGATTTATACCAACCTGTTCTTTGAATTAGATTATGACGGTCAAAAATATATTTTGGGCTGCTAACACAAATAGAAATTTAAATGAGGTCGTGTACTTTTGTAAACTATTCTTGGCGTTACATAGTTATGATATATTGGAGAGTTGTTCTATAATGAAGATTGATGTGGGTATGGATGATATTTGATAAAAAGAATTATTAGAGTCAATCTAGAATTGGCTGATATTGAAAGTTTCCTAATAATAATATTCAACCATTCAAAATAATCAACTTTAAAATCAACTTAAAAATTGAACTATAATTTAAAAACAGTTGCAAATATCTATTATTAAACTGCAAATGGTGTCTACATAACATATTCAAAATAATTTAATTTGAATAAACATCACTTATCAATAAACTGGACCATTTCTTAATATATAATAGTTTTGCAGGTCTATTTTCACAAAAATTCTTCTTTTAAGATAGTATAATAAAAATTATTTAAAAACTTTCTTTACTTAACAAGAGAATCCATTTCAAACAGAATAAACATATTATTGATTTAAATAAAATACACAATTATCTTCTTGAAGTTTTCTAATACATTTCTAACTAAATAAAAAAACCAAAAACTACTATTCCTCTATTGGATTTAGGTTACTTGAATTCATTTCTTCTGCATGTCTTTTACGTGAATCATATTCTATCCCAAGTAGTTTATTAAGTAGCACAACATCTCTTTCCTGAGCTTTTTTAATTCCTTCCAAACTTGTAGCAATTGCTACTTTCTTACCCTCTTCTCTCTTTTTGGAGATTCGTGATGATCCGAAATCAATGTAGTATACTTTTATTAACTTTTTATCAACGTAAAGTGTACCATTTTTAAAACGATCTTCAACGAGAATATTGTTTTTATAAATATCCCCATGGGAAACTTCATGGGAATGGATTATGGCCAATTTTTCCTTAATGACATCGCTGCAAAAAAGCCTTCTTCTAGAGTCAAGCTCTCCAAGAGTCTTTGCTTCTATAAACTGAAGGATAATATAATAGCCTTGTAAATTTAGCTTCTTTTTATCAAGTATTTCATCGAAAGGAAATTTTTGCATAAAGCTACCCTTCCCACTAGTCAAAGTTCCTACTTCGAACACCTTTGGAATGAAACTTTCTTGCTGGAGTAAATGGTAAGCACCACACTCTTTTACGAAAGAACGAGTACATTCATTCATTGTATCATGATAACGATATCCCTGTCTAATTAGTGACTTAGAATAGTTAGGATCATAAATCTTAACGATACAATGTGATTTCTTATAAAGAACCTTGAGCACAACAGCATTATTAGAATCTTGTTTCATTCCTCCAAATACTTCTAGTATTTTTATTTTACCAAATAATCCACCTAAGGTTTCAAAATGAAACCTTACATCATAAATCTCTTTTGTTTTTAGTAATAATTCTGCATTGCTTTGTTTGAAACTTGTTGAAGGATCAGCAACCACTTGACTAGATTGTAAGTCGGTATTCACATAGCCATAACCTCGAGTGTGACTTCTAGTTCTAATGCCTTTTGTTTTATTGAGATCGGTAATTATACCTTTCAAGTCGTTATGAAACTGAGTCACAAACGATTCACCTACCAATATGTATTGAAGCTTATCAAAAAGACCTTTGCCCAACATGTAATCTTGAATTGATGAATTAGGTAAGTAATAACTTGTAAGCAAACATTGAATAAACTCTTTATTCAGTCTAACCACCGTTAGATTATAAGGAATTCGATAAACTTGATAAGGTCCAATATTTCCTAAAACATCGAGATGATGCGGAAGAGTGAATTGGATGTAATAAGTATTTATAGCGTCTGATAAAAAACCAGCCCTATGGTTTAGAGCAACACATTCTCGAAATAATTGACTAATGTCATAAATGAAAGGTATATTTCTCTTATTAAGGATATTAATTTCATTAAACCTTTCATACGTAACTTGTATATTATCCTTTAACTCTATAGGGATTCTAATTCTCCTACCTTCCTTTGCTAAACTTATTATGATGTCGGGAATAATCTGGAAGGACAAATCTTTGATGGTTAAATCGATTTTCTCTTCTTGGTCAACGTCTGTAGATAGTATTTTACGTAAGAAACGTATAGTAGGATCTAATACATTCATGAGGAAGAACTTGACATTGGATTTCTCATTTTTATCTTTTATTTCCACACTTAGTGGATCAGACATTCCAATTTGAGCCGCCTTTTTGATTTGTCTAAACAGTATCGTTTGAAGTGTAAATTCTAACTTACTATTATCCGAAACTGGAAAATAAAGCCCGATATAGCCACTGAGCATATTGTTTCTTGTATGAAGTTTAATTAAACTTTGCTCTGATGGCTTAATTTGACCACCCGATCTTCCTGCAGAACCTTGTCTTGCATTACTACTTTCCGTAGTTTGATGTCTATTTGATTGATCATCAGATTGACCTTCTGAAAGTGGAAGATTAACTTCTTGTTGTTGATCAATAGGTTCTATAGTTGGCGATAACTCTCTTCCTAAAAGAGACCTTGGAGATAATGAAAGACGAAACATAATTTGGAATGCTGCATACAAGAAATTAGAACCGGAATGTAATTTATATATTTCATTTTCAAAACCAGGAATTACCAAGTTGAGTTCATCAGCTTTAAACTCTAATGGACTGTATAGATCAATTCTATGTAATCTATTCCAAATGGATATGATTTTCTTAGGATCTTTGATAATATTATTGGGATCTAATTTTGCAGTCATATCTGAAACACTCTTTTTAACTTCTTCTGTATCTTCATCTAAGTAATCTAATAACTGTTGTTGAGATGTTTGATATTTCTCGAAAGCTTGTAAATTATCTGAAATATCAATTTCATAATCCTCATTAGAAAGCATGATTTGATAGATGGCAGTAGTATACTTGAAGTCAAGAAGATCTTGAAGTGGATTAGTAGATTCACTCATTTGTTAATGATATATTCTTAATAGTTTCAACAATAAATAATCAAATTTTTGAATTTGAGAGAAGATTATAAGCATTAAGTATGAATTTAAATAAAGTTTTTTTACTAATTAGGGTAAGATTAAAAGCATTACTGCAACGTAAGGTTAGCTACAGTATTATATTTGTTTCAGGTTTTGTTTTTTTGCAATAATTTTTCAATTGCAATTGTTATATATAGGAACATGTCGTGTAGTGGTCAAATTCCTCTAAACAAACCAAAAATAAAAATCACGTAAGATACACCACCAACTATTAACACCTAAACTATGGTAAAATAAGTACTACATGAGTTTCGTTCCTTAAACATATAATATTGATGAATTCATTCATAACATAATACGTAACTTTTGTAAATTATCGAAATAAACATTGTGATATTATCGAGAGCTGATAATGTCATATAATATTACCGTAGATTATTTTAAAAAACGCGATAATAGAAACGGCTTACACCAAAAGAAACAATGGGGAAGATAATTGAATACATATAATTCAATAGGTGTCAATAATATATATGTATAGATAACGTATATAATAATTAGCATACTGTGAACTGCCTCTTTTACTTCTACATGTACATCTACTTCATCCCCTGCTCCTCCTTTCTCCCCTCTTCTCTCTCTCTCTCTCTCCCTAACAAATTAGCCAAGAAATTTCATTCATTTCTGGGGAGAAATTTGAGAGAGAGAGAGACTGTATGTGAAACGATGTAGCGAGCAGTGGCAAATAAATTTTACACTTGGGGAGAGGCTAAGGATATCAGATCTCTAAGCCGCTATGAACTATAGAGAAATATTATCTATACAGGTTTGCCACCCCTTACTTAATAATAATATTAATGGTTAAGTTGTTGTTGTAGTGTGGTGAACTGTTTCAGGTCATCCGTCATCTCCACCAATTTTGTTTCACTAATAATGATTTTTTTAGTGATAAAAAAGATCGGTAATCTCACATTTTACCACTAGCTAAAAGGGTTAAGCTTTTTTTATTGTAAACACTTGTTCTAATCGGTCCGGTAGTTAATTTACCCCTTGTTGGAATTTACTTTTTAGATATTTATAGTAGAGTATAAATTCTACTGTATACATCCATCATGTGGAAGTGTTCGTACTGTGCCATCATTCTACTTGTAGTGAGTTATTAGTGTATGAGCGTAGGCTATTTTTAGTGATTTTTAGTGAGTAAATAAAATAAATTTAGTGTCATCATTTTTATTTTATTTCTTTTCTGCTAACAGACAAAAGGAAGGCAGTGTCTGTCTTGTTTAGCTTTTCTTTTTTTGCTCTGTTTCTGTTACGCAAACTTTGATACATAAATAAATATTTCAAACCTCGTTCAAAACAACTATTATTACATCAACCCATCATCAATTAGATTCCCCTTTCATTTCTCTGTATCTTCACCTTTTCTGATAGCTTCTAACATCACTATACAATGGTATTACCGTCTATGAATATGAAGAATTCATTACTATGCTTAGTGGCTATCAATTATTTATCTCATTTAGTATCATCAGAAGCAACAGGGTTCAAACTTGATTTCCAAGTTAAAAGAGCCAATTCAAAACGTGAATTATTCGATCAAGATGAAAATCATGATCATTCCCCTCGAATCTTAACTAAAAGAGATTCAAATGGTTATCTTAATATGGAAATTCAAAATGAACAAACTTTTTATATGGCTGCTTTAAAACTTGGTTCTAATCAAGATGAAGTGGGTGTTTTGGTTGATACTGGTTCTTCCGATTTATGGGTCATGTCTCATGATTTAACTTGTGTAGATGCTCCTTCTCAATCGAAAAGACAAGTTGTGTTTGAACAAGATGATGAAGAATCTTCACAAGATGATGACTCAACCATCCAATACGTTGATGATATTAATGAACCTGAAATTGACGAAGAAGAATCAAATGATAACTCCTATAACGAACAAGATAATGATAAACAACTTCAAAAGAGAGATGATAGTGCATCAACCACTGCTAAAAATTGGTTTTGGCCATTCGGTGGAGGTTCAGGGGGTGGAGGTACTTCAGGTTATTATTATACTACGATTTATTATACCCCAGGTGTGGGAGGTGGATATCCAACTCAAGCAGCTCCAACTGGAACTGAAAGTTATCAAACCACAAACACTTGTTCTCAATATGGTTCTTTCAATACCGGTAATTCCGATACTTGGCAACAAAATTCAACGGCTGATTTTGAAATTCAATATGCTGATGGTACTGAAGCGGTAGGACTTTGGGGTAATGATAAAGTTATCATTGGTAATACCACCGTTGATTCCTTATCTTTTGCTGTGGTCAATACTACCAGTTCCAATGTCGGTGTGTTGGGTATTGGTTTACCTTCTTTAGAAGTTACTTATGCTAATAGTGTGGCTGGTACAAGTTATACTTATCAAAATTTACCCCTTAGATTAAAAGCATTAGGAATTACGGAAAGAAATCTTTATTCAATTTATTTAGGTAGAACCATTGATCCAAGTGGGAATGTTTTATTTGGAGCTATTGATAATGCTAAAATTTCAGGAAATTTAACTACATTACCAATCTTATCAACTTCAGGCTATAATATTGCCATGAGATCTCAAGTTCTCGTCAATGGTATTACTTTCTCCAATGGTAAAACCACAGAAACTGTTAGTTCAGATAGTTATGCTGCTGTGTTGGATACCGGTACCACTTTAAGTTTCCTTCCAACTGCTTTATTACAAAGTTTAGGTCAAGCTTTAGGTGGAACTTATAGTTCATCATTAGGAGCATATATTTTACCATGTACTAGTGATCCAAATGCTATTGTAGCAATTAATTTCGGAGGATTTAAATTAAATATCCCATTAGGTAATTTATTAATCCCTGCAACTCAATCAACTTGTTATTTAGGTATTTTCAGTCAAACTTCAAATTATTTATTATTAGGAGATATCGTTATGAGAAATGCTTATTGGGTTTATGATTTTGATAATTTAGAAATCAGTGTTGCTAATGTCATTTATACAACTGATGAAGATATTCAAGTTATTGGTGCCAATGAAAATATTCCTGGTGCAGTTAGAGCAGCTGATTTTAGTCAAACTAATTTAGGTAAAGTTGGAACTCAAACTTCTCTTACTCCAGTAAGTTATCAAACTGGTAAATTAACAGGATCAAACGCTAATACTGCAGTAGTCACCACTGTAACCGGTAATATCTTTAGTAATAGCAATAATAATAATAATCAAGCCACCACCACATCATCATCAACTGGTACATCTTCACGTTCTACATCTGGTTCAAACTCAGCTTCAACAAATACAGGTTCTTCATCAAGTGGAAGTAGTGGAAGCAGTAGTACAGGATATCATTATTCTATTCCAATTACTTTTGTATGTTCTTTGGTTGCTATTTTATCATTTTCATTCTTCGTGTAGGTTTAAAAATAATTATTATGTGTTTAATTTAGTTTTATTTATATATAATTTTATACAGTTTCGGGACATTCAATTGAAAAGAAAGAAAAGAAAAGAAAAGAAAAGTTTTCACCATATACATTAAATAAAAGACTCCTTTACTATTTAGATCATCATGTAAATTGCAATTGCAATAGTTATCGTTTGAAGTTATAATGGTTATATGTGTCTTGTGATACTATAAATTTCTTTGATTATATAATTTCTTATGTCATCATAAATTTGTGATTTGATCGATCACACAAATTTAGAAATATCTGATTACACAATTTCTCTAAATTGATTTCTAATCACTTTACAATTTACCTTGTTAAGTTTGATTCACCAAACTCATACAACAACAACTCATATACTCATAGAAGAGAGGAGTAACACATTAGTTCGAATATCAAACGATATTGATTGTCACCCACCCTTATTTATTTTACGGTACTTTTAAATTTTTACTTGGCCCTCTCTTTGTTCCCCTTCGTGTAACGGTAGAGATCATAAATATTACATTTCAATCCCGGTTAATTTTATAGACATTTCCTTTCACAGTCATATACTCAGATCATCATGAACAATCAACCGTCTGGTAATAATCGGCAGGATGATAATGATGTGAATCAAGATCAGAATCAATCTCAATCTCAATCAGGTCCAAGAAGAGCTCCTTCCCTGGCGTCTACATCCTCCAACCCCAATACCACCAATGCTCCTTCTCATTCAGCTAATTCCAATCCCGATGATACCGATCCTAATAGAGTCCATAGAACTCATATGAATCTCTTTGATAGATTCATGGATAATATCCGAGATAGAAGTCGAAGATCAACTACCACAAACCCAACTACTGATACTCCATTCCCAAGAGCAACTACTACTATTACAAGAAATGAAAGAGCTACTTTAATAACTGAAACTCATAATCCTACTGATTCCGAAAGTTCAAATTCAAATTCATCAGGTTCTGCTACTGCTGGTCCTGGTCCAAATACAAATACAAATCCTAATCCTAATGTTGATCCTACTAATAATATCGAAAATGATGATTCAAGATCAATTGTTATTACCGTTAATTATGTATTCTCTGATGAAAATAATCCTCGATTCCCTAATAGAGCAGGTTCATTAATCATGTCATTACCTAATAATTCCACCAATAGAGATCCAAGAGCTATACAAGAATTTATAAGAATAGCAACTCAAATGGCTTATTCATCAATTTTACATGGGTTACATAAAGAAAAAGGTATAACAGTTGATAAATTTAATTCATTCCCTAGTGTTCATGATTTTAATGATGATGAAGATGACGATAATGACTCAACCCATAGAAATCATAATAAAACTTGTTCTATTTGTTTTGAAAATTTTGATAATTTAAATAAAGAATTGAATATCATTAATAATGAATCTGGAATTAAAGATAATAATGATGAAGATGTTGATATTGATAATGATGGTGATACAGATTCAATGGTTAATGTTAAAAAAAGAAAATTACGTACCGGAACTGTCGATCCAACCGATAGTAGATCTAATAGTAGAAATGGAAATCGATCTCAACCATCAGCCACTGCTACCCCTGAACCATCAACTACAACTGAATCGGGTCCACCTCCGACTTCAGGTCCAGCTCCAGCTGCATCATCTACCAGCCCTGAAACTCCACCTCCAAACCCTAGAACTGAATATTTATGTACTTATACGGGCCTGTTTGATCATTCCGCTATTAAAATGCCTTGTGGTCATATCTTTGGTAAAGAATGTTTAAGTGAATGGTTGAAAGAACATACTACATGTCCATTGTGTAGATCATCTGTGGCTGAAGAATCTTCTGCTAGTAGACATCTTGAAAATTTTACTTTAATTAATTTACCATTTGAAAGATCTGTTGATCCAAATACTAATTCATCTGCTAATAATGCGGCTGGAGTATCTGATAATGTCAATGTTACTCATGAATCGGAAACAGTTCCAAGACCTAATACTGAACCATCAGCAACTTTTACATCAAGAAGTATTCCTATAAATGTTCCTGCTGCTTCTCCGGTCCCAACCAATGGTCCACCTCCACCACCTGCTGGTACTGCAGTCACATCACCAAATTTATCATCCGTTACAACTCCATTTTATAATTCAGGTAATAGATTTCATTATTTTGGTATTACAAATTCAGGTCTTGAACCATCATCATCATCATCTGCTTCATCTATTAATCCATCACAACCACAACCAAATTCGCATCGTTCATCAAGATCAAATTCAGGTGGAGCCCTTTCTCATTTGTTAGGATACCTTCGTAGACCAAGAACTAATTCCGATCAAGAACCTGAAGTCATTTTCCCAGCTGGAATGTCAAGTAGAAGAACCAATAGTGGAGTTGAAACTTTTGCTGTTGATTCCAGTGATGATATTGCTGATTTATTAAATTTAAATTCATTAGTTCGTCCCCAACCAGATAATAATAATGATGATGAAGATGATGAAGATGAAGCTACTACAAATTAGTTTATTATTTATACCCACCATTTCTAAATTTGTATATATAGACCTATATAACAATGCATGCATATACATATATAAAAAATTATTATTATTTACATTTTAACTAAAAAATTTAGCGTATTTAACCTTTTCAGCTAATTTCTCTTGATCAATTAATGATTGACATTTTTCGAATTCTCGTTTAATTAATTCATCAGAGGGTAATAATTCATGAGCCACCTTCAAATTAATCAAAGCTTGTTTATATTTCTTAAATTGTATAAGATTCAATCCTTTTCTATAATTGATCTTTGCTGATTCAGAAGTCGATAACGATGATGGCATATCTAATAAATAATCACAATAATTCAAGGATTGTTTATAATTCTTCAATTGTAAACATACAAGACTCACATTCAAATAAGTTTTCTTCTTTAATTCGATATATTTCGCATACCATTCTTTCTCTTGATCTTCATCAGGAATATATTCCATAATGTATCGAATACATTTCTTCCATTTCAAATACGCTTCTTGTTTCTTCCCTTGTTTAAAAAGTAAAGTTCCACTTTCTTTTATGATTGAAGCAGCAATATATACAGATTCACTTGAGTCTTTATCGATATGTTCATCATCGTCAGGATGTTCTTCATATATATCCCCTCCGATAGGATCATAACTTGCATTGAAAACCGGTACATCCATAGTTTCATCCCATACACCACAATCAGAAATTAAAACTTGATCTTGAGGGATATTTAACTTGTTGGTATTGACTCGTTCCATTTCTCGCACGACGGATTTCCCATGGATGACTTGACCAAACACGGAATGTTGGCCTGTTAAATGAGGTTGAGGGAAACAAGTTATAAAGAATTGAGATCCATTGGCATTAGTCACGTTAGGTTCATGAGCCATACAAAGTTTGAATGGAGCATCGATTGCTTCAGTAAGATTTTCATCAGGGATGGTTTTTAAGATAGATCCTTTCCCAATGTTTGATTCATCGATATTATCTGACATACCATAGATCACATCACCAGCTTGAACTACGAAGTTCTTTAAAATTCGATGGAATATATTATGTTTATAGGAATAAAATTTATCATTGATAGTAGTACCTTTGATGAGACTTAGAAAGGTTTCGGTGGATTTAGGAGCTAAATCATCATATAGTTGAACCACTATTCTTCCTATAGGTTTCTCAGCTATGGAAATATCCAAATAGGCATGTGATCGAACCATTCTAACTGTTATTGGTGTTTTTTCTATAGCATGTTTATAGATATTGGTTAATGCTTTTTCAGATTTAAAAAAATTTTGGAACATAAAATGTCGCGATGATGTCGTGAATCAGAGATCGATCTGCGACATCTTTCAAAATGCTTTACTGAAAATAGCTCAGTTAATGAAAGTTTGAAAGTAGTTGCTTTTCACTTTAATTCAACCAACATGTTCAAATATGGTAGAAGGTCATTACTGATAAGGCACTATTCAATTGGATCTTCTGTGCCGTCAGATAGATATAAAGTTCAATTATATAATGCTACTGAAAATATTAATAAACTTCTCGAAAGTCATGATCGATCATCCTATATTTTAGCCCAATATATACCTGAGCCAGCTCGAAATACATTTCTTGCTATACGAGCCTTCAATTTAGAAATTAATAAGATCAATGATGGAGGTAACAATTTAGAATCAGTTCAATCTCGAGCTGCATCACATTTAACTAAAGCTACTGGGTTTTCAACTTCTGATCTTAAATTTCAATTTTGGAATGATTTAATTGCTAAAGTATTCACTCAAGATCCTTATAATGATCAGAATGATTTAGGAGAACCGATTGCATTTTTACTTCGAGATGGATTAAGAAATCATTTAAATCTTGATATTAGTTATTTTCATCAATTTTTACAAACCAGAAAACATTTCTTAAGTCATAAACAATTTAAAAATATTGATGATATATGTTCTTATGGTGAAGGAACTTATTCTCAATTGAATTATCTTACACAAGCCGTATTATTATCCCCATCAATATCTCCATCCACCATCAAATTACTTGAATATTCTCCATCGTTACAATCTAAAATAAGTGATATTGCTGCCCATATAGGTCAAGCCACAGCTATAGGAGCCATGATATTAGGAATGCAATATTATGCTAGTTCTAGAAATCAAATAACGTTACCTATTGATGTAATGACTAAATTTGACTTATCTCAAGAATCATTATTAAGATTAATGCAAGGCCATTTAAAACCAGATGATCCCCAAGTGAATGAAATTAAAGAGAAATTGAAAAATATTGTATATGAAACTTCAATTAGAGCCAATGATCATATGTTATCAGCTAGAGATATTTTATCTAAATCACAATCAGAGATAAAAGAGATAGTAAAAGCTCATAATCAAGATTCATTAATTCAAGGTCATTCTAAGAAATGGAGAAAAGGAGTACCTGATGTTTTATTGACTCCATTCATGGTATCTATCCCTACATCGTTATACTTGCGTAAGTTGGAAAAGCATGATTTTGATCTTTTCAATCCTAGTTTACAACAAAAGGAATGGAGATTACCGTATACTTCCTATAGAAATTATTATCAAAGACGGATCTGATCCATTTCTTTTATTTTAATTAACTAGCCCAATCTCTTAATTAACACTAACACCATGTATATACCTTATAAACTCACTTCTTCTATACCTATTTTGATCCATCTATCCATGTTGTATATCTATAAATAGCACTAAATTGAAAAAGTTGAAATCGCGTACTTAAAATTGTAACATCCATACCGCGTCTGGGCCTACATAGTTCTGATACAGCAACAAAAAAAAAATGCTGTTGTCAACAAAATTTACAGCACACCAGATTTTAAACGGATACTTTTATCAAATAACTCAGATACAACCAATCGAATCGATAGATCTAGCCAGTAGAGACATTGATCAATTGGAACTGTTTGAGATTGAGTTGAAGAAACTAGAATTGAAAGGTTGTCAGGTGTCAGTGGAAATCAGTGAAACAAACAAGTACGCCTTTCCCCCCCCATCCATCCTTCTTTTGTGTGTGTAATTGATTGATTCGTTTGAAATATTTGTATAGATCAACAAACATCTTTCCCATCACATCACTCCCATCAAATCACATCAATCCATCATCATCAGCATCATCATCAGCATCATAAACCATAGAACCTCATATCAATGTTACATCCATTATCAAAGTCGCCTACTCCAACTTTGGCATTCTCAAAATTGAGTCTACAATCAGCAGTCGGGACCGCACCTCCACCAGCTCCATCTTATGGTCCAAATGTGGTAGCCATTGATCCTATAACTCTTATGATAAATGAATGTATGACCATATCATCTGCCATGAGAAAAAGAACTAGATGGTCTCAAAGTGGGGTTGCAGCCATCTTAGGAGCAGGAGATTTATTTTCCAATGGTGATGAAGATTCTTTAACTCATAATTTAGGATTAACTTCTAATAATTTACATAATAATAATGGTGGTAATGGTGGAAGTAATAATTCCAATCATAGACAAATCAATCATAATCCTTTATTATCTAGCTTTTTACAATTAAGATCAATCTTAATGGATGCTAATGATTTATATGATATTGATAGTTTAACTTTATTACAACCATTTTTATTAGTGATTAAATCTTCTTCAACTACTGGAAATATCACCAGTTTAGCTTTAACTTCGATCACCAAATTTTTAAATTATGAAATCATATCTTTAAGATCAAAGAATTTAAATACAACTATCATACAAATCATATCATCTTTAACTCATTGTCGATTTGAAGCTGCTGATCAAAATTCAGATGATGCGGTGTTATTAAAAGTGTTAAGACTATTAGAATCATTAATTGAAAGTCCATTCTCAAACTTATTACCTAATGAAGTCATTTCTGAAGTGGTTCAAACTTGTTTATCCTTAGCATGTAATAAAAAAAGAAGTGAAGTTTTAAGAAAAGCAGCTGAAATGGCCATGGTTTCTATCACTGTCCGCATTTTCAGACAATTACATGAAATAGAACCTGAAAATGATAAATTGGAAGAATTACAAACTAAATTTCAAGATACTCAATTACCTGAAGATCTTATTGGTGGTACTGATTTAAAACCTTCAACCATTGGAACTCCTAAAGATCTGTTATCAGATGATGATAAAGATTCATCAAAACCAAAAAAATCAACCGATCTTGGTGGAACTCCAGCTCCTGTGGTACCCGCCTTTGATGAACCTTTTGGTATAGTATGTATCAATGAATTTTTAGGAATATTAATTTCAATGATTTCTCCTTCTAATCAATATCAACATATGGAAAGTACGAGAGTATTTGCTTTATCGTTAATAAATACTGCAATTGAAGTTTCAGGTCAAGAAATTCCTAATCATCCATCATTATTAGCCTTAGTATCAGATCCTATTTCAAAACATATTTTACAAATTATAACAACTACTGATTCTCCTGCTTTATTACAATCAGCTTTACAATTATTTTCCACCGTGGCTATTGTGCTAGGTAGACAATTAAAACCTCAATTTGAATTGACTTTAACTTTGATTTTTAAATCAATCTTACCGGAAGGTGGTGATAATAAATCCAATACTGATTCTAATATAAATACGGCTAATATCTCAAGCAGAAATGCCGTTTCCAAAGAAATGTTAATTGAATCATTATCTTTATTATGGACAAGATCACCTGTCTTCTTTACTCATTTATTCATTGATTATGATTGTGATTTCGATAATTCAGATTTATCTACTAAAGTATTAGAATCATTATGTAAATTCTCCTTACCTGAATCAGCCATAAATACTACTGATAACGTCCCACCTATTTGTCTTGAAGGTATATTATCATTTATTAGTGGTATAAATGATAGAATTAAAACTCTTACTTCAGATATAAAGGATTTACCGGTCCCTGATTTAATTCAAGATAGAACTAAAAAGACAGCTTTCATAAGATGTACAGAAATGTTAAATGAAAAACCAAAGAAAGGTCTTCAAGCTTTACAAGATGAAGGATTTATAAAGTCAGCTGAAGATCATCAAGAAGTTGCCAATTTCTTCTTTAGTAAAGCAGGAAGATTAAATAAAAAAGTATTAGGAGAATTCTTAGCTAGACCTGATAATGCTGAATTATTTAAATATTTTATGGAATTATTTGATTTTACCGATTTAAGAGTTGATGAAGCTTTGAGAGTTATTTTAAAAACTTTTAGATTACCAGGTGAATCTCAACAAATTGAAAGAATTGTCGAACTGTTTGCTGAAAGATACGCTACCACCAGTACTGGTACTACAAAAGAAGGTGAAGAAGAAATAGTTAGACCTGATCGTGATTCTGTATTTGTATTATCATATTCCATCATTTTATTAAATACTGATTTACATAACCCTCAAGTAAAACAACATATGCTTTTGGAAGATTATAGAAGAAACTTAAGAGGGGTTTATAATGGAAAAGATTTCCCAGAATGGTATTTGTCCAAGATTTATCATTCTATAAAAGATCGTGAAATCATTATGCCTGAAGAGCATCATGGTACTGATAAATGGTTTGATGATGTTTGGCATAATTTAGTTTCATCTCAAGTTACACCTGCCAATAGTAGTTCTAATTTCAATTGGGTTGAAATATGTCAATTCGATAAAGTATTATTTGAATCATTGGTGGATACTTTGATTGAAACTCTTGTTAAGGTGTTTAAGGAAGCGTCTGATGATCATGTAATTACCAGATTAATGTCATCCATTGATAAATGTGCTAATATTTGTCTTTATTATAACCTTACTAGTTCAATTGATAAACTAATTGGTTCATTGGCTGATTTAACTGGATTAACTAAAAAGCAATATAGAGTTCCTAATGGTGATGATAATTTACGTGAAGAAATTCCAATTACTCAAATTAAAATTGAAAAGAAAGATGAAGCTATTACAGTTAGTGAATTGGCCGTATGGTTTGGAAGAGATTTTAAAGCTCAATTATCAACTGTGGTTTTATTCAGATTAATTAAAAAGACTGATTGTAGAATAACTTCATCATGGGATAAAATTCTTAAGATTATTTTATCATTATTTGAAAATTGTTTAATAAATCCTAATTTATTTGGAGAATTTCAGAAAAAGATTCAACTTTCTCCTTTGGCTAAGGTTAAACCACGTTATATTATTAAAAGAGCTAAACCATTAAATAATTCAGGTATTTTATCCACATTCTCATCATTCTTGAAGGGTTATTCTGATGATCCACCTGAACCAACTAATCAAGAAATTGAATCTACTTTATCTACTATAGATTGTGTTAAATCAATCAAAATTGGTGGTATCTTTGATGTTATTTCAAGAGGTTCATCATCTAATTTAAAACAATTTATTGAACTTTTATTAATATCACTTCCCGAACCATCTGAAGCTACTAAAAGATATTATGAAACCGAAACTCTTTTTATTTTAGAAGTTATGGTTTGTTTCTGTTTATTATTAAGTGATAAATCTGTTATTAATCAAGTTCTTGAAAAATTAAATCCCAAGGAAATATCTAAGAAAAATAGACTTCGATTAATCACTTATAAATTGTTATTAACAAGATATAGTGATGAATCATCTAATGTGGCAGAAACTATTAAAGAATTAAGTGAATTTGATAAAGACATTTTAAACAAACAAGGATCGCAAATCTTACAACCTTTATTATCATTAGTTGATGATGATTCATGGTGTTGTAAACAATTACTTAATGATGAATCTTATTGGAAACTTTTAAGATTCTTTGGTTCTTTCCAAGTTTATGCTAATGAATTACTTCAATTCCAAGAAGGTATTGTTAAGAATTCAAGTCGTGAATTGACTCCAACTAATTATATGTTATTCCTTGGATTATTAGATGAGATTTCTTCATTAGGTGCTATTGGTTCTCAATATGAACAAGAAAATGCTACTTTAGGTTCAGAAGCTGATAGTTCTTATTTCAAAGATATAGTTGAAGTATCGAAAAAATCAATTTCATTAACTTCAGAATTATCGAATGTTATTACTCGTTCTGAATTTAAAGGAAAGGAATTATCATATTCATTAATTCAAGCCTTAGCTCATCAATGTTTCAACCCATGTCGTGAAGTTAGAAGTTATGCCCTTTCTTCATTACAAGCAGTGGTATTATCATTTGAACTTGATGAAGAACGTACACCATTTGGTATTTTTGAATATGGTTTATTCCCATTATTATCAGAATTATCTAAAGTTGAAGTTTTACAAACTGATATTAATGGATTTTCAAAGACTCAAGTTGAAACTTTAATGTTAATTAGTAAAGTATTCTTAAATTATTGTGATAAATTTAGTGCCCAAGAAACTGATAGAGTTTGGTTAGGTATCTTAGATCATTTTCTTATTTTTGATAATCTTGGTGGTAAACATAAAGTTGAACAATCATTTAAAGAGTCTGGTTCAGAATTACTTAAGAATATGATTCTTGTATTACAAACCAATGGTGTATTAGTTGAAGAAAAGACTGAAGTTTGGAATGCTTCCTGGGATAAAATCAGTACGTTATATCCTGACTTGAGAAAGGAATTGGATCCACTGGCTGCTGCTGAAGCAGAAGCAGAAGCAGAAGCAGAAGCAGAAGCAGAAGCTGCCGCTGCTAAGGAAGAGGAACAAAATGAAATTCCAGCCAATCTGGAAGAGACTGAATCTACTACTACTACACCTTTACCAGAATCAAAGGATGTCATTGCATCGTAGATTTTATAGACATTTAATCTATCTATAGCTTTAGTATATTTATAATACATATAATCATCATAACTATTATCTTGTAGCATGTTCTGCGCAATCAGTAAAATTTGTCTGGAGAAGAGCTTTGAAAAAAAAAAAAGAAACATCACAAAACACAAAAAGTGAAAATTATCAACTTTGGTGATACTACGTCAACTCTAAATCTACTCACAATCATATCAACCATGGTCAATATCGAATCCTACACTGCCAGAGCTAAGGTGCATGCTTCTCCAGTTGCTCAACGTCTTTTCAACTTGATGGACAGCAAGAAAACCAACTTGTGTGCTTCAGTTGATGTTAAAACCACTGAAGAATTATTAACTTTAGTTGATAGATTAGGTCCATACATTTGTTTAGTTAAGACTCATATTGATATCATTGATGATTTTTCATTTGAAGGCACTATCAAACCATTATTGGCCTTAGCCAAAAAGCATAATTTCTTATTGTTTGAAGATCGTAAATTTGCTGATATTGGTAATACTGTTAAATCCCAATATTCTAGTGGAGTTTATAAAATTGCTCAATGGGCTGATATAACCAATGCTCATGGTATAACTGGGGCTGGTATTGTCAAAGGTTTGAAGGAAGCTGCTCAAGAAACTACTGATGAACCAAGAGGTTTATTAATGTTAGCTGAATTATCATCCAAGGGTTCTTTAGCTTATGGTGAATATACTCAAAAGACAATTGAAATTGCCAAGACTGATAAGGAATTCGTCATTGGATTCATTGCTCAAAGAGATATGGGTGGTGCTGATGAAGGATTCGATTGGATTGTTATGACTCCCGGTGTTGGTTTAGATGATAAAGGTGATGCTTTAGGTCAACAATATAGAACTGTTGATGAAGTTGTTTCAACCGGTACTGATATTATTATTGTTGGTAGAGGTTTATTCGGTAAGGGAAGAGATCCAGATGTCGAAGGAAAAAGATATAGAGAAGCTGGTTGGAATGCTTACTTGAAGAGAACTGGACAATTGTAAATGTATATATATAATAATAATAACCACAATTAAACTATAGACAAGAATTAAATAAATAAATAAATAAATATATATAAAATCAAACTATTTACATGAGATGTTTTAAGCATCTAATACTTCATAATCATCAAAACTATCAGATAATCTAGTTCTCATGATTTCAAATACTAATAATCCTACCGAAGTAGCTGGGATAGTAGTTAGAGCATTTCTTACAAATCCTTTATACCCAAGTTGAAACCAAGTAGTTTTCGATTTATTCTTGAATTTGACAATTTGATGATAAGTATCAATATAAGAATTGTAATATAACTTTATGAATGGTTTGGTTTCATGAGCAGCGGAATTATATATATCCAACGCTTCTAATCTTGATAAATGAATCTTTTGAATTTTAGAAATAGGGTATTGAATAGCTAATAATGAAAAGGCAGCTGAAGCACCAGCTAATAAAATGAATGAAGATTTTAATATTTTTGTAGTTCTATTACGTTCCAATTTTAATAATCTTTCATCAACTTGTTCTTCATCCAATTTAGTAAAAGTTAAAAGTTTTTCTTTAATCTTTTCTTTCGATCTTCTATACGCTAATATCGTTTTATAAGTTAAATTATAACCTTGAGTTTTAACAATCTCAAATGTAGAGAAATAAAACGCAAATCCAAAACTTTCTTTAATTAATGAAAATGAATAACCGGCAAACACTCCTACCAATCCAACTTCTTTTAATTTATTTAATCCATAAATCCAAAGATTTTGATGTTTACCATTCAACATTTCTGCTGCATTCAGTCTGGTATAAATCGCATCAACCGGAGCAGCAGCCAATGATTGAACCGCTCCAGCAATGAACCCAGCTCTCCAAGTATCAATCGGAGAATAATAATTGAACGCCAGAGGAGTTGAACTATGATGATTATTATTAAAATGATCCAACGTAGTTAAATATGTGGCATAAAGGATTATACCCGTGGCGGAATTGGCAATTAAAGGAGGTAACACTTGATCAGGTATGAATCTGAATCCTTCCTTTCTAGCCACGGTTACCATCATTCCAATTGATGAATGGGATCGGAATTTATATGGTTTTTCATTAATATTATCATGTTTATTAGCTAATTCTCGAACATACGCTAAATAATCAAATCTGGAAGGACGGAATAACTTTACAGGAGTTCTAAGATATAATACTTGTAATTGATAAATCAAAGCACGCATACCAGCAGCAGAAAGGGAGACGGTTTTATTACTACTTTTATTTGAAGATGATTGTTTTTGAGATGAATCTTCGGTTGACTCAAGCATATCGAATTGATTACTGACATATTCCAGCAGTTCTGAAAGTATGGGTATAGATCGTCCTAGAAATGACGGTATTATAGTATGTGATAACGACATTCGAGTATGAATTGGCAGCACGTAGTGATTGTGGTTGTGGTTTTGCCGTTGAGTTAGGGTGTCATTTTCACTCATTTTAACTCTTTTATTTTGAATATTTATTATATGATGTTATATCATGGAAGAGTTTATATGAACTGAACTTCACTGTGTAGTTGATAATGAAGTGAATTGATGAAATGATGACTTATCATTCATACCCCATATCCAATTCTAACCGTTAAAGATTTTGTAGGAACTTTTTTTTCTGAGGGTTGATACTGCTAAGAAAATATGAGAGAGATCTTGATTTCATTTACATAGAGATTTCGTTAAAACTTGGAGGACATACAATGCATATATTTATTTATGTTTGGTATCACTAAACGATGACAAGAAGGCAATTACAGATCTCTATAAAGGATTATCTCAGATTGTTTGAAATATCTTCTAGCATCCTCATCAATCAATACTAATGAAAGATAAGTTCTAGTAGAGAATTTCTTATTAACATCTCTATAAGTAGGAGTTAAATCATATCCTCCTAAGAATAATCTAATGGGGATAGCTTCTCCTTTCACAGGAGCTCCATCCATGATTTCAAATCGAACTACGGTTTCGCTATCTGTGATTTGATTTGGAGCTGAACCTACTGTTTCTCGTCTAATTAAGGATAATTCCATATGTTTGATTTTAAGTCTTACTAATAAAAAGTAGATTCTACCTATTATCACATCTTTCAATGAGAATCTTGATTTCAGATATTCAAATTCGATATGCAAACAATCTTCAATACCGACATCCATTTTAACAGTTTGATTACCATCTTTGGAGGGGGTGGTGGGAGGAGTTTGTACTGGATTATGATTATGATTATGATTATTATTGTTATTCCCTTTCGATACCGTGGCTGTTATGGATGATGTTGGAGGTGGAGGTGTTATATATTGATAAACCCATAATTCCTTTTCTCTTGTTATTTCAGATGATGATTTTCTTGAAACCACCACTTTTAAATAATATCGTAATCTTGCATTCTTACCTCTATAACTTTCATATTGTTTTTCGACATTTTTAAATTCAAATGGATAAGTTTCAGGATGACTTAAAATTGAAGGGGCAGCTAATTCAGTGGCCAACGATAAGAATTCAGAAGTAATTAATCCATCAATATTAGTTTCAATCAGTCCAAACAATTGAACTTTAACTCCAAAATGTTCTATCTTTCTTCCTTCTTTGGTTCTTATGGTAACTTGACCTTTAACTGATTCTCCATCTTTGAATATGGGTAATTTTTCCATTCTACCATGAGGAGTTTTAACTTCAACATGTTTTCTGGTATCTTCGTTATCTAGTCTTATATCTATATCCAATGGAGCCTTGAAGAATATGGACATGATGTATATGATTGATTGATTGAATGGTGGGTGGTAAGTCAATTGGGAGAAGGTTGTCAATCACAGTGTTAAATTATACTGTATCTCTGTTTTGTAATTTCTGGTTGGTGACGATTTGGATTTTATATGCAGGAATTTAACATTTACTGCAAATTTATCATTAACAACAGAACTACAACTTATGATATAGATTAACGAATAAGGGTTTATATATATATATATTAGAAGTAGATACTCACTTTGAAGAAGGCATATTTTATTTCGAAACTGAAAACATTAATTATAGAGAAGATAAGACAAAAAAAGAAGACATTAACATTTTTAAATCATGATTATAATTTAGCAACATATTCTAATAAATCAACAACTCTAGTAGAGTAACCGTATTCATTATCATACCATGAGATCAACTTAACAAAAGTTGGAGATAATAAGATACCAGCCTTAGCATCGAAAACAGAAGAATAAGTTGAAGATAAGAAATCAGTTGAAACAACTGCATCTTCAGTATAACCTAAGATTCCCTTTAATGGACCTTCAGAAGCTTTCTTAACCACAGCACTGATTTCAGCATAAGTGGTTGGTTTTTCTAAATTAACCGTTAAATCAACCACGGAAACATCAGTGGTTGGAACTCTTAATGATAACCCAGTTAATTTACCATTTAATTCTGGAATAACTTTACCAACAGCTTTAGCAGCCCCAGTTGATGATGGAATAATATTACCTGAAGCAGTTCTACCACCTCTCCAATCTTTATGAGATGGACCATCAACGGTTTTTTGAGTGGCAGTAATGGAATGAACAGTTGACATTAACCCTTCTTTAATACCGAAATTATCATTAATAACTTTAGCTAAAGGAGCTAAACAATTAGTGGTACAAGAAGCATTGGAGATAATAGTTAAATCTTTAGTAATTTTTTCTTCATTAACCCCAACTACAAACATTGGAGCATCAGCAGATGGAGCAGTAATGATAACTTTTTTAGCCCCGGCATCAATATGTTTTTGAGCCCCAGCTAATTTAGTGAAAATACCAGTTGATTCAATAACGTATTCAACTCCATATTCCCCCCATGGAATATCAACTGGATCTTTAAATTGGAAAACTTTAATTTTTTGACCATCAATAACTAAAAAGTCACCTTCAGCTTCAACGGTACCTTTATATCTACCGTGAGTAGAATCATATTTAAACATATAAGCGGCATAATCGGCAGCAATGAATGGATCATTGACAGCAACAACTTGAATGTCTGGTCTACCTAAGGCGATTCTTAACACTAAACGTCCGATACGACCGAAACCATTGATAGCGACTTTAACCATTTTGGATAATTGAGTGTATTTATTTGAGTTTGTATTTATTAATTGATTCTTACTAAGAAGATAATTACTGAAGAAAGAAGAAAGAGGAAAAGGAAACAAGAAAAGAATAAACTAATTCAATTGAGATGCAATTGAGATATATTCAATTATTTATAGTACCGTAACAAAATTTAAGGAATAGCTGGAACTACAATAAATGAAAATTATCAAACTCCAGTAATAAAACTTTAACTTAAAGGGAAAGCCATCACATAACCATTAAACTAAAAAACTAGTTACAATAACCACATGGCTCCCCTCAATTAGGTTATAACTGCTAATAATAATAATAATAATAATATTAATAATAATAATAAAATCGCCACTGTAATAAGTTCTTCCATAATAAAACTCAATTCATCATACCACTCTGTAAAATAATTGATGTAATCAACTCAGTCCCGTACTCCGTACAAATAATGCTGCTGCCCCCTTTACAGAAAAAAAAAATGGTTTTACATCATCTGGTGATGGTGCACTGCACTACACTGCGCTTCACTCCCCCAGTTCTCTGGGGGAGTCGTCGCTAACAAACAAAATTTACCAGAAAAAAAATGGCATGATCATCATACACGACCCAAATAATTTAGAGTATTACTAGTGGGAACTCAACAGTTTATAGTAGTTAATGTAGAATATGATTGTAGGATGTAAGGTAAGGGTAGGCACGTCATGGTTAAAACAGGTGGTTTTTTCTTATTTAATTGAGGGCTTTAAGTAGTTATGTATATAATTAATATCTCGGTAAAGTAAATTATTTTATATTTACTGTTAGTTTAGTTATGCCGTTTTACTGTTATAATGATGATCCGTTTAGTGAATTAATTTCTTTAGTTACTTCCTTCGGATGAAGTGATCCATATTGATGGTCTCATTGGTAGATACATTAACAACCATTGAAGTGATAATTGGTATTACTAATATAACCTACCTTACTTTCGTATTCCATTGAATCTGTTACCTAATCTATTTGGTGATGAGAATACTTACCCTGACTTTACAATCATAATCATGTACTCAATTGATATGTTACTAAGTATACCACATACCTGTATAACTCCATTTGCAACAATTTCTTCCTTACTTACTTCTACTAATACTTGGTGGTGGGTGATAGTGAATGACACAAAAGCGCAATCAACTTGTTGCAAGTATCTGCCCCATTTTAATGTATTGCTTCACCATATTACTCTAAAATATAATATGTTAAACCAAATAAGTAGTCTTATTTATTATGATTCAATACTTTGATAAAGATTTTCATTATTTATATCATATCTATCTATTCCATTCCTATATATACCATTTTGAACTACTTAATTTTTTAGTTAATTCTAACTCTAATTATGCCAATACGTCATATTGTCTAATATTTATAATTTTCATATTTAATCATCATTACCCCTCCTCCTCCCCAACTCGTAATCCAATGCTTCCATTTCAGATCCTTTTCTGTTAACTATGTCTTCCTCATACATTGTTTGATTTTGGTCTAACCTGTCTCCAAAAAAATTGATCCAAATTAACCTGTAAAATACTTTTAACCACTATAATTTTTCTTTTTTTTTTACAGTTTGTGATTTTTTTATTTTTTTTTTGAAGGGAGTTCTCTTTTGATTATAACGGCAACCAACCAGCCCAACCAACAACATTCAAACTGAAGTTATTGATAATCCCCAATTGAAACACTTCATACCCAATCAATTGATATTATCATACTAATTGATCTCATCCGTTCATAGATTGATTGATTGATTGATCAAAGTGAAGACTTTTGTGTACATCATACTTGCTTTTCCAAAGTCAATCTAAAAAAAAGGCAGCACTAATCAAAACAGAACTGATTGTGATCAATCACATATTTCATATAATCAGACATCATAAGTATATGCATTCATCATGTCTCAATATATGGATGAAATCGCCCCTGACGTGATTTCTCCTCATGATAATAAATTAAGAGTTGATCAACCTATAAAACATCTAGATACCGTCATTGCATTATATGAATTCCCTGGAACTCAACCTTCTCATTTACCGTTAAATCTTGGTGATACCATCTATGTATTATCTAAATCAGATTCAGGTTGGTGGGATGGGGTTGTCATCACTAATACTGGTGAATTACAAAGAGGTTGGTTTCCTCATAATTATGTTAGATCGGTTAATTATGTTCAACCGGTATTAAATAAATTAAAAAGTAATAAAGAATTAGATTCAATCACCGCTGCTAATACCGCTGCAAATGTCTTAATCCCAACGTTTGCTAATCTATTACAAAAGAATCTAATTGAATCAGAAAAGAATACTCCTTCAAATAGTACCAGAAAAAATTCCGTGGTTAGTTTTGCAAGTTCTGAAACAAGTATCCCATCAGATTCAAAAAATCTAACCAGTATAAGTCCTCAACAACAACAAATGCAAACCCTGCAACTGCAACAACTGCAACTGCATCAACCTTCTTTAAGTACCATATCTTCTGGTTCTCATCAAAATCCTTCTGTGTCTCATACTTTAACTCCTGGTGATTTAAATGATAATGTAATCTTTGCTGATGTAGAAGAAGTGGAAAGATTAGTCAAGAAATATAAACAAGATAAAAAGAAATTATTAATGTGGATTCCAAAATGTACTACTAATGGAGATTTTGTATTTTATTGTGAACAATTAGATATTTATTGTGAATCAATGCCAATGGTGGATTTTTCATTAGGGGATATACCTCCAAATATGGCAATCCCCAGTACAGAAGCTCTAAATAATAATCTGGTGGTTCCAGTAGAAACTAATCGTCATAATTCAGATGGAGGAGTTAGTGATATATTAGATGCTAGAGCTGATTCAGCTGCAAGTTTTGATCCATTAAAAAGAGATTCAAGTGCATCTTCTATATCACAAAGTTCAGGATCATCTTATCATCATTTTACAAAACCATTTTTTGCCGTTGATAGATTATTTTATAAACATCCTCAAGATTTAACTAAATGGAGTGATTTAAAGAAACAATTTAATTATTTATTGGATTTATCAGCAAAATCATTAAAAGATCATAATAAACAATTATTCAGTACTCATTTTTCAAGATTAAATAAAATCATTTCTATTGTGTTTGCTGCATCAAGATTAAATCAAGAAGATTTTATCGATACCAAATATGAAACTTCAGTACGAAGAAAATTAAAAAGAATTGCCAGTTCATTTGCCCAAATTTATATTAATGGTATTTTACATTTAAGTGTGATGCATCATTCTCAAGCTACATCAGAAGGTCAATTGTTTAGTTTTGATATTTTTAAATTAAATAAATCAACTAGTACAAAACCAGGGAATTCTTATCAATCCAATATTTCATCAATTTCAACTGTTCGTCAACTGTCTCAAGATACTTTGAATTCAATCTCCCCCGGAATTTCATTTGATAATACTAATCAAGGACCAGGGGAATTTGTAAGTTATTTTCAACATATTGAATTTGAAATTGAAAATTTAAGATTAAATATGAATGTCTTGATTAAAATCATGACAAAGTTAAGTAAAGATAAAGTGATTAGAAGATCCGATTATGATTCTTCTGATGCTTCTGAAGATGAAGGGGAAGATAGATTTGATATTTTACCTCAAACTTATCCAAGATTTATCACCGATGAATTTAATGGAGGTAATTGGTGTAATCCATTTTTCACTACCAGTAATCCTATATTAAATGTTAGTGGTGATGATTTAAAGAATCGATATCATTCAAAAATCATTATTGATCATCAAGCTTATGATTCATTATATCATTTCCTGGAAGAAATGACGAAATTAAGTAATGAAACTTGTGATTATTTAAATCCTGATTCTCAATCATTATATTATAATACCAGTTTAAAAAATGATAGAAATACTCATATTTTAAGATTAATTTATAAATATTTATATTATGCCAGTTCTACTATTGATTTAATTGAATCATTTGATTTCACTGTGTTTTGTCTTATAAAACGTTATTCATCAAATGAAGAGAATGATGTCGATAAAATCAATGATCAATTATTAAAAGGAGATAATAAAGATAAATCTCAAGATTCATCAACCGATCCTAAAAGTGAAGATCCAAAGGCTACTACCACCGTTGAAACTACATCAAATTTAACATTTGATTATCCTGTAGTTTTAGAATTCTTTCAATTAAAACAAGAATTTCATAATTTAATTTTAAAAATTATCATGGCTACTCAAACTTTAACATTAGATGATCCTGAAGTATTTAAAGGTTTAAGAGATGAAGATCCATTATTTTATGATCGTGATATTTTGAAATTACCTACTGAAAAGGCATCGTTATTATTAACCAATATCTTAACGGAACAAATCAATCAATCAAAAGGTGATGCTATATCAGTTAATCCTGATACATTAATGTTATCCTATTTATTGGATGGTACTAAATTCTTTGAAACTTTATTAAATTTAGTTCAACAATTGATTGATGAACGTGAAACCATTTTAAATTATGCCACTAGAGTTATGCATGATGATTTTAATGTTCAATTACTTGTTATTGAAAGAAATAATACTATTTTAAGTGATAAATCAGATGATCATTCTTATTATAGTGGAGGTCATAAAAAGGCTAAAGATTTACCTTGGTATTTGGAAGGTGATGAAGAAAATGATTTATTATTAGATTTGAAAGGTAATATTAAAGGTGGTACTAAAGAAGCCTTAGTATCTCATTTAACTCATCATGATTTATTCGATAGTAATTTCAATTCGGCATTTTTATTTACATTTGCAACTATGATGTCATTAGGTGAATTGATTGGATTATTAATTAGTCGATTTAATATTGAAGCACCTGAAGGATTAAGTTATGAAGAATATAACACCTGGATTACTAAAAAGCAAAATCCAATTAGAATTCGAGTTATGAATATCATGACATTATTAATTGAAAAACATTGGTCTAAATCTTATTATAATGAAACTATTTTAAGAAAATGGCTATTATTTAGTCAATTACCTATTGTTCAAAGTTATTCCATTGGTAAACAATTAAATAATGATTTAGTCCGATTATTGAAAGGAGAAATGGTATATATTGATAGAAAACCAGTTATCCCAACCACTAAACCTCCAGCACCATTAATTAAAGGATCATTAATATCTAAAAAGATGAAATTAATGGATATAGATTATGTTGAATTGGCTAGACAACTTACGATTCGAGAATTCAATTTATATGCCAAGATTTCTAAATTTGCCTGTTTAGCTAAAGTTTGGGGAAATAAATCAGGATTAAATGAAACTATTGAAAATATTCAAAGTTTTATTCAAGCTTCTAATCAATTAACTAATTATGTGGCCTATATGATTTTACGAAAGACCGATGCTAAAAAGAGAGTTCAAATAATTCGATATTTTGTTCAAGTGGCAGAAAAATGTCGACAATATAATAATTTTTCATCCATGACCGCTATTATATCAGCATTATATTCATCACCAATTCATAGATTAAAGAAAACTTGGAAATATGTTCATACTGATTCATTATCACATTTACAAAATATGAATAAATTAATGAATACTTCGAGAAATTTTAATGAATATCGTGATGTATTAAAATTTAGTGGTAGTGAACCATGTGTACCATTTTTTGGAGTATTTTTAAGTGATTTAACCTTTGTTTATCATGGTAACCCAGATAATTTATTAAATCGTACTAGAATGATTAATTTTGCTAAGAGAGCAAAGACATTTGAAATTGTTAGTGGAATTGATAGATTTAAAGCTACAGGATATAATTTCCAAAGTGTGGTTGAAATTCAAAAATATTTAGATTCATGGTTTGATAAATGTCCAAGTGTTGAAGAGCAATATCAAATTTCATTAGAATTGGAACCTCGTGAACCAACCACTAGTACGAATAATACCACCAGTAGTAGTAGTAGTAAACTTCATTCTACCAGTACCCATTCTACCGTGGCTACTTCTGATCGTGATTTAAGAAATTCAAAAGGTTCAGGTCCAACCACTAATCTTAGTAGTTTTGCATTTAAAGGTCTATAAATTAGATGTATATATATATTTATATATATGTATAGTACAGTATTATATATTTATTTAATTATTTATTCACAATGGCTTATTTATTTGTATGATTAGACCTTTCATTAAATTTCAAATTAAATTGTTTTATTTCAAATGTATTAAATGGAATTGAATTTGATAAATTATCAACTGAATCATTTAATTCTGATATAATTTGATTATTTTCATAATTTAACATATCAATTAAATAATCTAAGATATTAGTAAGATTCTGTTGTTGCATAGTTAATTGATGATGAATTAATTTATTAGTCTCTAAGGGAGATTTTAACTGGAATTGTCGTACTTTGAAATTATCATTAGATACACTTGAGATTGAAGTTGCTGTGGTATGTTTTGACAATTGTGATGATTGAGTTGAAGTATTTGATGAAAGGGATGAGAATGAATTTGATGAACTTGTCGATATGGATCGTTTTGTATTCCCTTGTTTCCAGGATTTGCTGGGTATGATAGAAGGATGTTGTAGTTGTTTTGGGTGTTGTGATTGTTCTTCATTCTCTAGCGGCAGTAGTAATACTTGATCATTATCACTATCTATGGAATCTGGTATATCGAGAACGATACTATCTAGTTGATCAAAAAGATCCTGTCTATGTTTACGACCCATGGTTTGATTTGAGTTGTGTTGTGATATATTATGATATGATATGATATGATATGAAAGTGATTCGTGGCTGACTGGCTTATCAAATGAGATTATAAACCAATCTTATATGAAAAACGTATGAAGAATATATCTGAATTAACCGATTCTAATAATTTAGACGATATCAAATAAATCAAATAAAATCGCGTTATAAAATGAATCAAAAGTGAAAAGAATAAAGAAAGAAAGAAGTAAAATGTTAACTAAGCATATATTATACGGAAAGATGCATGTAAGTATATATTTACCTTAACTAATTGTAGTTTAGTCGTCAAGTATAAATAAGGGGGATTATTCACTATATTGTGCCTATTAATTGCTATTGTTTAAGGTGAATAGACTCCTTTGTTAATTATTGGCTCAAAATGGAAATCAAAATCTCAATTTTTACGAGACACGTCTCTCTTTCTTTTATGCATAATAAATAAACAAAAAAATAAACAAAGACGTGTAATTATTTTTTTTATTTCCGGTCCATTATCACGTGTGTGTTTGGTCGTATCTCGGTTATTATTGCAATAATTAATCAATATCTTTAAATCTTAACACTTACTATTTGAAACTTATTTGATAAAGTTATGAACTCAGATTAAGTTAGATTCCGTTTTAAGAAGTACTAATACATAATGATGATTACTTCTTTTCCTAACTTATGTCATGAACGATTGTATAACTATAAGTCCATACGAGCAAATCAAAATGTATTGGAAAAATACAACTTACGAAGAGATCCTCCACATTTGTCATCACGTCATATCCATCTTTTGAATTCATATATATATTATCACACATTTATGTCTCATCGGTAATGTTCATATGGTTACCGCTTTTTCATTTTAATTATAGTGGTAAAAATGCTCCGTTGGTCCAAGTGACACAAAATTGATCGACTGCGAAATTTGGAAATATTTTAGAGTAATTAGGCATTTGTCATCATTTCATCCTATGGCAAAAGATTGCAATCATTGTTGGGAATATAGTAATGGATTTCCCCATTGTGTAGTACTTTAATTTTTTGATTGGTTTAACCTTTCGATGTTATGGATGAAAGAAAAAATGATTTATATGTAGTCATTTGCTGCAATTTGCAACTTTATAAAAGTTTAACTATGTTTCCCAATTCCGTATCATCCCACATAATCATCTAAATAAATCATGTCTCCTGAACAATTAAGAGTAATCAAAGATAATCAAGATTCAATATTCGATCAATTAACTATCGAAGAAGAAGAACAACAACCCAACATCCATGAATATCCCATCGATGGCAAATTCGCCATAATTTCCTCCTTCTGCGCCATGTTCCTTTCGGTATCATCATGGGGTGTCAATAGTGCATTTGGAGTATTCTTAAATTTCTATTTAACCAGTGATACATTCCCCGGTACAAGTCAATATGATTATGCCTTAGTTGGGGGCATGGTGGTTTTCTTTGGACAATTATTAGCTTCCATCAGTATTATATTATATAAATTATTTGGATTTAAAAAGATTACATTTATAGGGATAATCTTACAAACTATTGCATATTTATTAGCTTCATTTGCAGTTAAATTCTGGCAATTATTTATGACTCAAGCGGTATTAGTTGGTGTTTCATTTGCTATGATTTTCGTTCCGGCTACGGTGGTATTACCAACTTGGTTAAATAAACGAAAAGCTACTGGATTAGGGATTTGTTTTTCAGGAGCAGGATTTGGAGGAGTGATATTTTCATTAGTTATTAATAGTTTAATTACTAAGACTGGTGATCAAAAATGGGCATTAAGAATGTGTGCTATCGTAACTTTTGTAATGTCATGTATATCAATTTCAATCATGAGAGAAAGAAGAGATGTTAAAGTGATAAAAAGACCAAAGCTATCGATTCAATCGGTAATTGATATTTCAAAACAAATATTCGATCTAAGTGTATTCAAAGCATATGCCATTAAATTAATTTGTGTTTATTATACAATAGCAGTATTTGCATATATTTCAATTTTATTTTCCATGGCATCATATGCCAAATCTCTTGGATTAAATTATAATCAAAGTTCAGCTTTAACTTCCATAATTAATGGTGTACAAGTGATTGCTCGACCAGGAATGGGTTTAATTGGAGATAAAATTGGTAGAATCAATATCACCGCTTCGATTTCAATCTTATTTGCCATTATTTTATATGGATATTGGATTAATGCAACTACTTATGGGTCATTAATTGGTTGTTGTGTTTTAATTGGTATGTTTATTGGAGTAGGAGGTACTATGCCTCAAATAGTTGCTAGTGATTTAATTATTTTAGATGGTATACCCGATAAATTCCCAGCGGTATGGTCAGGAATGAATTTGGTTCTGTGTTGGTTTTGTCTTGTGGCAGAAGTTATATCATTAGCTATGGTAAGATATAATTCAAATCGTCCATTTTTACATACTCAGATATTTCTTGCCAGTTGTTTTATAGTATGTTTTTTAATAATGCTTGTGATAAGAGAATGGGCGGTAAAGAGAACCATTGAACAAAGGTTAACTCTGCTTGAAAGTTCAACAACAGAACAAGACCAACTAATTAAGAAGTATAAAGATTTATTATCATCAGGGTTCATTCCATATCTAAGAAGGATGTTTAATATTATAAAAGTTTAAAAAGGATCATTTCCTAATTTGGACAAAGTTTAATCATGTGATCGAATCTGAATCTCTTTCTCGTAAATTTCGGTTATGGATGGAATTTTAAATCGTTCTGTGGGAGTCGTATATATCGATAATTAATCCTAATCATCACAAGATACTTATAATTCAATGGAGATATTTCAATCTAAGTAGAGTTTATAGAATTGAATAATAAGTATACATTAATCAAATTAAATGTTTTCTAAGGATATTGCAATTGATGGTTCATTATTCCCATGGAGTGTTGACAAATCGTACTAATTAACCTTCATTCTCTCTCTTTCAGATGCCAAAGGAAGGAATATACAATTATACATACATACCACAATAACAAACATACCAAAGGAGTAACTTCAAGTACAAAAGTTCAATTTGATAAAAGTAGTAATTCCCACCGGAACATGTAAATTAACTTAATTCCATCGATATAATTTCTAATTTGACATTAATTGATTTTAATATCGGATTGTTCCGCGGGGCGGGTGAAATGGCTATATACAGGAACATACTTTAAAAGGTGAATGACTATGACCAAAAAGGTTAATTATATAAAGAGGACCATATGTTGCCAACTTTTTCAACATTTAAATTTTTCATATTTTATCCCTTTTTAACTCTTAATTATTTATTTTGAATCATCAATATAACAGCTACTAATATAAATCATTAAATAATAATCAAATCAATTAACTAACTATCATCATGACTACTACTACTTCTAAACCTGAAAAGACTGTTTGTGTCTTCTGTGGTTCATCATTTGGAAATAAAGCTAGTTATGCCGAAGAAGCTACTGAATTAGGTAATCAATTAGCCCTTAAGAATTGGGGTTTAGTATATGGAGGAGGATCAACTGGGATAATGGGGGCAGTAGCCAGAGGTTGTGCTACTAGTGGAGGGTATGTTCATGGTATTATACCAGAAGCATTAATTTCGAGAGAAAGAACTACTGAAACTGAATTAAATACAAAATTAAAAGAATCAATTGATAATCATGATGGATCAACTCCAATTCCTGATTCCAAAGAATATGGAAAAACTACTTTGGTTAAAGATATGCATACTAGAAAAAGATTAATGGGAGAAGAATCTGATGCATTTGTAGCATTACCAGGTGGTTATGGTACATTAGAAGAATTAATGGAAGTTGTAACTTGGTTTCAATTAAATATTCATAATAAACCCATTGTGATTTTTAATATTGATGGATTTTATGATAATTTCTTAAAATTCATTCAAGATTCAATTGATAATGAATTTGTTTCGATTAAAAATGGAGATATTATTAAAGTTGCAACTACTGTTGAAGGTGTATTTAAAGCTATTGAAGATTATAAAATCCCAGAAGGTAGATTCAACTTAAAATGGGATTCCACTTAGTTATCATCTATCCTACTACATTGCACTTGCACTACATTGTTTATTTTCGTTAGGTTTGATATTTGATATGTTATATGCTTAATAGATTAATTTATATATATAAAAACACAACAAGTATCCATAAAAATATATGAGAAAAGGTTTTATTATTAATTGAAAAATTTTTCATTGTAATTGTCATAGTTATAGTTGTTGTAACATCGTGGGGTAAAAAGTAAAAGTGAAAAATTAAAAAAAAATCCACAATTTTCCATTTTTGGTTTAAGCTTTTTCTGTCAAAATTGGTTTTATTTATGTCTTGTCGAAAATTATAAATTAGACATCTCCACGTGAATACATAAACTTAAAGTAATGGATATTTAGAGATATAAACATGATATCATTCTCTACAATTGGTTATAGTAAGATTAAACAGATATTTGTATATTAAATGAAATTTTGATACGTACCATTGAAATTGTAGTAAGGAACCTAATAATTTATTTAACTACACATTAGTGTGTTTAAACACTAACATGTAATAGATTAAAAGTCAAACTCTAGAATGAGTTAGTAAAAGGATTATGCTTAAATAGATAAGTTTGATTAGTATAGATTAAACTAGAAAGTTAGTAAGTGCCTAAATATCAAATAAATTATAACTCTGAAATCTGAGTTAATAGTTAGAAACTGTTGTAAAAAAATGACATCCAGATAGTGAGGACATAGTCAAATGGATAGAATCTAACGACCCAACTCTTGATCTTGACGACATTCCCCGCTTCATCTGTCAACCGAGGTTACCTATGCTTTAAAAAGTGACTCCAGTTATAGAAAGAAAGAAAGAAAGAAAGAAAGGGTAAATAACTTCAAAGTATATTAAACTCATAAAAACTTTTTCAATTGAGATCATGACATCCTTACCGCAACATAATCAACAATATTTACTATTGGTATATTACATTTAGTTTAATTTCAAGAGTAATGACAATTCTTTACATAATTTGGAGATTTAATAACTATACTTTATATTTAAAAAATTTATAAAGATAACATGGATCCGATTTCTAAATGACTCGAAAAGCAGCAGCTAAGATTCAAAGTTTTGCCAACAGGTCCTAACGCATAATGCTATATTAAAGTTATTATGAAATTCCTAAGTATATAGGGTAGTTAGTAATATAGATCAAACTGAATTTTACGCCAAAAAGGCAAATCGATAACCAGATTCTAAAATTAATAACAAAAACATTTATTAATGTTTCAACATTATATCCTATAACATTGTAAGTAAAATGAAAGAAAATTTCTTTCTTTCTTTCTGCCTAAATATGAAGTATTACACTATAAATTTATAGTATTAGTTAGGAAGGTATTTTATCCCTGGCGAAAGCTTCGTTTGCGTTGCTGTTCAGCGATTTACCGTGTCCGCCCTTATGTGGTATTATCTAAACAAGGATTAGTTTAGAATTAAATTTTCTTTTGATATTTAAAAATTGAAAAATTTATTTTTTATCCTACCAGTCATAACGGAGAAATCCATACACATCTTTTGATCATATTATTAAGGATACCACAAATAGGATACTCTAGATCTATACTTAATATATAAGATTAAGATTAATAATGATAACTATAATTTAACTGTTATACTAATGACCATATCCCCTAGACTAACCATCTGTTTAAATGATAAATTGATGATAGTTTGTGCTTAAATTTCAAGAGTAAATTGAATTCACTACCTTACATGATGAAGAGATTTTAACTCTTCAATTGAAACCATTTTAATAAATTTATACGTATATTTTATAAATACCACATCTATACCAGACATTACGATAACATTCAACAAAAAACATACCAGGTACCCATTGAAATAAAAGTCAGAGTAGTATAGCATTTCTAATGTCATATATATATATTATTCTTGAAATTGGACTTGTCTTTGATATCAAACATTTAGTCTAGAAGTTAGTATTAAAACCTAAGTATAAAATATCACAGTTAGTAGAATCCCTAAATCATTGTAAGTTATAATGTTTCCTAAATAGAATATTATCATACTAAGATTTAAATAAAATCTGTAGTATTGTACGTTATAACGATAATCTCATATCGTAATGCAGAATTTACATAAAATCAAACAATCAAGTTTGTACCAGATGCTAACCTATAAGTCACTGAAGAAGGATAATGATCTATTTGATATTATATTTGAATTGGATCAATCTCCTTTTATACATCCACAATCACTCCCACACACGCTTAAGTTATAAAATATATAAACATCCATACATCCTACAGTATAGAGATCTATCCCTAATATCAATTATATCTATACTTAATCTACATAATGACCCTAAGATCAATAGAGATAGATATATCCAAACTACATATCTTTACATGATTAAGAGAACACCACTTCTAATATTAAAACCCATTTTTAATAAATTTATACTTATATTTTTATACAAAAGACTTACCTGATATAATAATCATAATTAACAATCAACTATTATTCCAATTGAAATCAAGAACGACAATGTATAAGAAGATCAATTACTATTAAGGATGCTATATTGACTATTGTATATCACCCTACAACTTGATAATTTTCACTAGAAGTTAGTTTTTTGATCCTAAGTATAAATATGATGGTTAATAATATCCCTAAAACGATGGTAAGTAAATCAAAATCTGGTTGCCTAAATATTGTAACATAGTTAACCTTCATTAACTTGATTTTTCAACAGGACTTCACGAAATAACGAACCGACTAAATTCAGAGACCATTACATATAATCTTAACAATTAATAAACATTTGGTGATAGGGTAAACCTTTTCCCTTTTATAATTAAATTTGCCGCCATAATGAAAAAAAAGGAAAACATCCATACACCTACAATTACTAAAGGGGGACCTTACCATAAATAGATACTTATATCAAAATATTCTATAGATCTATACTTCTAATATACACTTAAAATTCATTAACTATTAAGATTAATGACCATTATGATCACCTAATTCATCTTCATGACCTCCTTCATCATGAATATGAAATAAATCTTCATGTTCATCTTGAGGAACTTCAACTTCAGATAAAAATCCCGTTGATACATCATAAATTAACCCCCAAACTTCAATATCTTTATCTTTTAAAGCTTGAGATACACTTGGATGTCTTTTTAAATTCTTTACTGAATTTATAATATTTAATTCTGATAATTTACGAGCTTTTAATTTGGGATTGGAATTGAATTCAGCTAATAATTTTAAATTATCAGCTCTAATTTGTCGAATTGGATTTAACCAAGAATCTAAAACACCACCAATTTTTTTAGATGATAATGATGCCCAAACTCCTCCACAATCAGTATGACCACAAACGATAATTTTTTTAACTTTTAAAACGTCAATAGCAAATTGAATTGCTCCTTGACTACTATTATCATTTGAATTTATAATATTAGCAATATTACGATGAACAAATACTTCACCAGGTAAAGTAGCTAAACATTGATCTCCTGCTCTTGAATCACTACATCCAATCCATAAAGTATGAGGAGATTGACCCTTGGCATTTAAATCAAAGATTTGAGTTGAATGATTATGTTTTAAATTCTCAACGTAATATTGATTATTATGTAAGAAATCTTGTAATGTTGAATCTTTTGATAAAGTAAAGGGGAAATTTGAATGAAATTTAATCTTCTTTGGAGGAGGTTGTTGTTTTAAAAATTGTTGTTCTTCAGCTAATTTTCGTTCTTCTTCACTAATACTTAATTTTAAATCAGTTTCATGATCATTATGTTCTAATTGATATTTTAAAATATTTTCTCTACCCATTTTATTAATTGATGAATGAAATAAATTTTTTTGATGTCTTTTAGTTTCAATTAATAATAATCTTGATAAAGATTTATTATTATGGCGATTTATCACGATTTTAAATAGTATTTTTGAAAATAATTAAGGAAAACAGGATATGTATATATATAAAAAAAAAGGAAATTGCTTAACTGGTTGAGAAGGAAACTGAATGAATGATGATGATATTATATGATGTAATTTTTATAATAATAATAATAATAATTAAATGATATGATATGATATTTGATACGACGAACAGTGGTGGGAGGGTGGGTGTATCGGTCGGTAATTAAAATTAAATTTGTTATCCTTGTTATTATAATTGTAAAGTGCAAAAAAATAAAATAGGCCACAAAATAACACTATGATGATGATGATGATGAAATAATGTAATTGACAAGTGTAAGGTATCAATGGTGATGATAGAAAGTAATTGAGAAGAAGAAGAAGTAATAATAAATGACTTTATATATCAACTGATTGTAAAACTTAAATGAAAAATTTTTCAATTAGTTAATCATCATGACTCAAATATCATCATCATCATCATTAATTGATTATAATTAATTTAATTTAAATTCGTCAATATAATTATTTAACTATGGGATGGTTAAGGTAACAGTGGATTGTGTTTAAATTGGTGGTGAAAAATATGATTGACATCATCAGCTGCAAACTGTAAATTGTTACGATAATCTTACAGGTTATGATTGACCTCATCTATAACCTGTAAAAACATGGTGGTTTTTTTTGGGGCGTCTAATTTTACTGAAAAAAATGTTCTATTTTTTTTTGGGTGCGTGGCGGTTCCTTAACTAATTTGTTGTGCTCAACGGAATATAATGTCTTTGTGGTGTGTCACCAATAGTTAAAGTTTAGTGTTACCGTTTTAGTTTTAAATCCCTTAACATTAGGCATAATTGCCTAATTAGGAAACGATATATTATTATTACAGTTACATTATTACCCATATATAAACACCAATTAATATCAACTTATATTTAATCATAAATTGATATTCTAAAATAATCAAAGAAATAATATGGATCTTGATATAATATATTACTTAACCATCTAATTCTTTCAGGTTCAACTTCATCAAGATCAATATTGGTTTCATAATTTCCATAATATTGATCATTCTCATTATTATTAGTACCTGTAGTACTAGTAGTTTTATCAATTAAATAATAATTATTTCTTCTAGCTTGTAATCTTTGAAATAATTCAGAAAATACTCCACTAGCTTCAATTGGAACTCCATAATTATCAAAATTCATTGGATTATAAAATTCAGGTGGTGGAGGGGGATAATTATTAAATCTACTTTGATCAATGATTTCTTCAACTTGTTCTTCATCATCATCATCATCTTGTTCATATGATTCATCTTCTTCTTCATCATCTTCATAATCTTGTAATTCTTGTAACTTTGATTCTTCTTGAAATTCATCTTCTTGTTTTAACTCTTCAATTACTTTAGTATGAGGAAATGCAACAGCAGTATCACATTCAAAATCATTACGAATTTCTCCATTCTTAAGAGCTTCTAAAAAATTAAATACTTCAATTCCACCACTACCAATAACAGTTTCAGAATCAAATTGCAGAGTTTCACTATCATTATTATCAATAATTTCAATCACGGGTTCAAATTCATCAATTGCATCACTAAACAAGGCATCTAAAAAGGAATCATCTGATAATCCAATATTTGGAACCTTAACTTTATGATTTCTCTTTGATTTACTCCCCTTCTTATTCTTCTTCGATTTCTTATTACCCATGTTTAAATTTTGGCAGCCAAAAAGTGTTTAAATTTATAAATTTAATCCCTCTAATTTTATCAAAATCAAATCGAATCAAATCTGTAAATGATATCTGATTGATTGTACTATGAAGATTAGACTAATAGATTCTACCGCTGTTAGTATTTATTGAATTGGAGATGGATGGCAAAAGTTAATGGTAAAAACCCCATTTGTGGTATGAATTGGTATGTCTTACATTATTAATACCACAGAAGATTTTAAATGAACTATTAGAAAGGTATGATCACTTATTATCTTATCAATTGATTGATTGATGGATTCTTTAACCTATCTACACTATTTGAACAAGTTGAACTAAAGAGAAGATGGTAAGATACTTATAAAATAGTTATTTAAAATAAAATACTTTTCTTGACCGTCATAATTTGATCTAGACTTCCTAATGCGGAAGTGTATCACAACTGATCAGAATATTAACTTTTTCCTTTTTTTTAACCAGATCAATTAATGAAAAAAAAAAAGAGAGAGAGATAGATTACGCGTCTATTTTAGTTAGATACCTGTATCAACCCATCTTTACAACCTTTAATATATCGTGTAACATATACTAAGATAGAGATGACTCCAAGTGTGATGGAAGTCATCAATATAGAAGAAACTGAATCGGAAAGTGAAATCCATTTAAAAGAATTGATTCAAGAACAAGAAACTATCAAACACGTTAAACATCAAAATGGCAGCCAGAATGATGATGAAGTAGATGAGTTCAATCATTTATCCAAAGATCGTAAGTTAGATCGTTTGAATAACTTAATTCTGAAGTCTCAATTGTATTCTCAAATCATTGCTGATAATATCTTACAAAGTAGTTTATTAAAGAGACAGCAGAAGGAACAAGAACAAGAACAAGAACAAGAACAGCCACAACAACAACCAACTCCCGAAGAAACACCCACTAAAAGAAGGAGAGGAAATCCAAGACTGAAAAAACCAAAGGGTAAGGTTCAACATGATATCACTTCAATGTTATCTACCAAAATATCTGATTCTACCAAATCGGCCAAACAAGCTATTGAAGAATCTCAAGATAATTCCACCACTTCAACTATTCAACAACCAAAATTAATTTCAGGTGCAACTTTAAAGAATTATCAATTAGATGGATTAGAATGGTTGATCACATTATATGAAAATGGGTTAAATGGGATTTTAGCTGATGAAATGGGTTTAGGTAAGACTTTACAATGTATCTCTTTCTTATCATTTTTAATTGAAAATGATATTAAAGGACCATTTTTAATTGTGGTACCATTATCAACATTAACTAATTGGGAAAATGAATTTAAAAAATTTGCTCCCAAATTAAAAATTTTTAAATATAGTGGTTCAAAACAAGTTAGAAATAAGATTAATTTAAATTATGAGATTAATCAAAAACATTTAAATATAATTTTAACATCTTATGAGATTTCAATTAAAGATTTTAATAAATTAAATTATATAAATTGGAATTATTTAATTGTCGATGAAGGTCATAGATTAAAGAATAATAATTGTGTTTTAATTAAATTTTTAAAGAAATTAAATACTTCAAATCGGTTATTATTAACCGGTACTCCATTACAAAATAATTTAAATGAATTATGGTCTTTATTGAATTTTATTTTACCTGATATTTTTCATGATTTAGAATTATTCCAACAATGGTTTAATTTTGATGAATTAACTAATTTAGCTAATGATATTGGTGATGATGATGATAATGAAAATGATGATGAAACTAAACGTTTAATTAAATTAAATATTCAACAAAGTTTAATTAAGAATTTACATACCATTTTAAAACCATTTTTATTAAGAAGATTAAAAAGAGATGTTATAAAAGATTTACCTCCTAAAAAAGAATATATTATTCATATTCCATTAAGTAAATTACAAACTAAATTATATTATGATTGTATTAATAATCGATTATATTATAGTTTGGTGGAAATTTATTTAAAAGATTTCATTCATTATAATCATTATGAATTATTTAAACAGGATTTTGATATAATTGATCAATTTCTTAATGATAAATTTGGGGAAAGTACTAAAATTGATAAAAGTAAAAAATTAATTCGTAATTATCAAGAATTTGAATCTGATGATGAATTTGAAGATTTCTCAAATGATCCTACCGATGATGAAAAAGAAAATGAAACTTATGAAACGATCGTATCTTCTAGAAAGAGAATATCAAAGAATCAAAAACAACAATTGCTTTTAAATACTTTATTCCAAAAGATTACTAAAGAAGTGAGAAATTTATCGTTACAAAATTTAACTATGCAATTAAGAAATATTTGTAATTCTCCATATATTTATTATGAACCATTTTTAATTAACAATGAATCAGTTCATGAATCAAAATTCATCGAAATCTTATTAAAAAATTCAAGTAAATTTCAAGTGTTAGATCAATTAATTGAATCACTTTTAAAAAAGAATCATAAAGTGTTAATATTCAGTCAATTTACAAAAGCATTAGATTTAATTCAAGATTGGTTGAATTTAAAACACATTGAAATCTGTCGATTAGATGGATCAACATCTCAAGATAATCGAGATGAAGAAATTAAAAAATTCAATAATTCGAAATTAAATCATAAAGTATTTTTATTAAGTACAAGAGCAGGTGGATTAGGAATTAATTTAGTGGCGGCTGATTCGGTGATTTTATTTGATAATGATTGGAATCCTCAAATGGATTTACAAGCCATTGATAGAGTTCATAGAATTGGACAAACTAAACCGGTTAAAATATTCCGATTCTTAGTACAAAATTCAATTGAAGAAATTTTAATTACCAAGAGTTCTTCAAAGAGATTCTTAGAAAAATTAGTTATAAATCTAGGTCAATTTAAATTCAATAAGTTAAAATCTTTAATTGATACTGGTGCTGGTAACAATGAGAATATAAGTGTTAAAGATTTATTAGAATTTTCCAAAATGAATTTTAAATCTGATGAAACTATTGATGAAGATGAAGATCATCAATTTCAATATGATTTCAGTTCAACCATTGAAAACAATAAGTTATTAAATCAAGATGAAATGAATGAATTATTAGATAGATCCATCAATTGTTATAGATCCATTGATGATTCTAATTTCAAACATATATCAATCTTTGAAACCGTTAATAATATGGATAAAGAAGATTAGATCTTTGTGTAAAGAGGGGGAGGGGTTTTGATTTTCCTAATTAGGAATGTGAGATGGTTGCAGATTGCAAACAAAAAAATAGATTTACAGGTTTATAGATTTAATTTAATAATAATAAAACTTCTATTCGATGCAATAAAATAACATAACATAAACTAAGTATATATATAAAAAAAAAGAATAATAATAAGCATGACACCAAAAAATATAAATAAATCCTACTTATTATCACCAGAAGAAAAACAACGTAAAATTCTAAATTGGTTTATAAAAAAATAAGGAACATAAAAATATAAAAATATAATAATAAAAATAAAAAAAAAAAGGTAATACCAACAATTATGAATAAAAAGCAGAAGATGAACATGATAAGAAAGAAGATAAATATCCAAATCCCATAATAAAAAAATAAAAAATAGTCATAATAATAACAATAGTAATAATAATAATAATAAAAAAATTCATGAAATAAATAAGAACCCCCATCATTAGTCATTTAAACGTTAAAGTTGTAAAAAAAATTTATAGTTTGTTCTTTTTTTATCTTTCGTTTCATAATACCCTTTATAAATTTATTATATCTTCCCATTATCCGTATCTGTCTGTCCTTTTTGATTGTTGTTGTTGTTGAATCACTCTTTTTTTTGTTTGTAGTTTTCTCTCTCTCTATCAAATAAAATTTTCTAAAAATTTGATTCTAAAATTTGTAAAGTCTTTTCTCTCCATCTAAATGCATTCCAAACTGCACTATAACTCCAAGTTAAATCTCTAGCACCTTGCATAAATCCATGATATTTATTAAATTGTTCAGACATACTTCCATTATTATCAACATGATCTTTAACAATTTCTAAGAAAGAATCAGAAAATGATGATAAATTAATTGCTAAAGTTTTATAACTTTGAGATCCAAATCTAATTATAACATCAGCATTTGCATTTGAATCTGAATCTGAATCTTTGGCTGAAACTAAATCTTGAGCAGGAATTTTATCAAAATCAATAAATTGTTTAAAAAATTCTTTATTTTGTTGATTAATAACAATATCTTGTTTCATAGAAATTAATTTATGAATAAATTTATAAATAATTTCTGAACCAGAAGCAGTTGAAATAAACCATGGATTACCTTCTGATGTACCATAACCATCATAAATATCTTCAGGATATCTACCAAGGGCAACACCAATAGCATTTTCAAATCCAATTTTTGGATGATTAATTGGATATCTATATTTCATATCAGCGATCATAGCACTAAGAGTATTAATAAGATAATTATTATCAATATCAAATGGAATATCATCATAATTACCAAATTCAATATTATGAGCATGTAATACCCCTAATAAAGTACCAGCATCTAAACCACATCTTTTACCTAATTTTAATAATGAAGGAGTTTCAATAATATAAGGTAAAGTATTTGATTTATAACCTGAATCAAATTCAATAAATTGTTTTAAATTATTAAAAGTTTGATTTAATTGAGTTAAAAATTCATTTGATTCAGGATAATTATTTTCTTGAATAAAAATTAAAGCTGATTTTAAAGCACTTAATTGAGTAATTGAAGTATAAAAATGATGACTATTAATTTCTTCCCATAAATCAAATCCTTCTTTATACCAATTTTTAATAATATAAATTAAATCAGGTTTAATAATTTCTTCATAAACAGAAGTTTGATTATTTAAAAATTGATTTGAAAATGATTCTTGATGTTTATTTAATAAAGAAATATAACTTAAAATAGTTATAGCTCTTAAACCTGGACCATCTCTTTGAGGTCTACCCCAATTTTTTTCAAAAGGTTTATTATTTGGATAAAATTTTGGTTCACCTAAACCAGATTTTGATTCATCATCAAATTTACCTGATAAATTATCTAATCTTTGAATATAATAATTATTTTCAATATAACTTTCAATAATATTTTTAACTGGTTCAACATTTTTAAATTTTTCATCATCAATATGATGAATTAATGATTTAATAGTTAAAGCAGCATCTCTTGTCCATTGATAAAAATAATCAGGTTTAATTCTTGATGGAGATGCAATAACAGCACCTTCACTTACTTCAGATTCTGATAAAGTTGAACTTATACCTCCAATATTATTAAGGATTCCTTGGAATGAAATATCTTTTTGACGATGAATCCAAGATTCAAAATCAGTATTAATATCATTATTTTCATCTGATTTTAATTCAATAACATTTTCTTGATTAAAAAAGCTTGGTAAATAACCAGCTAATACTGATTGATAATAAGAAATTGATGATGAAGCTGATTTTGTGGTTTCAGCGGTAACTAAATCATTTATATTTGGAATGACTAAAGCTGAAGAATAAGATATCCAAGTCAATGATAGGATAAGATAGGATGATGATAACTTCATTGTTTTTTTTTATTATTATGTTATTAATTTAAATGATATTATAAAGTAGTTAAATGAAATAACAATAGTAATAAATAGAATGGAATGAAAAACTATTTTAACAGTTAAAAAAGATCAACTAAAAAAGATTTTTTTTTTTGATTTTGTGGTTTATGTGGGGGAGGGGAGGTTTGAATCAGAAAAGAGTCAACAAACGGAACAATAAAAAATAATTGTTTATGTGTGTGGGTGTGTGTGTATGACTCCCTATGCAAAAAAAATATGGGATGATTCTAGAACAACTGTAATTCTAGGTAAATGTATGAGATATATGTGTGAAAAATAATTTGAAATGAAAATGTTGGAATCTATTTATATATAATATGATAACAACAATAACAAATTAAATTAATATGACAAGATGATATGAAAAATCTATGTGATATAGTACAAGTATTGCTTTTAGTTAATAACTTTTTTTAAAAAAATGATGATCTAGTAGTAGTAATAGTAATAGTAATGCTTTTTTTTTTGTTAATTTAAAAACAGCAAGTCTAAATTTTTTTAGTATAATAACAATCTAACAATCTAACAACAAAAAATCAAATTTAATGTGAGTGAAATATGAGGTGAAATGAAATGAAATGAAATCAGATGAAATTCTTGAAAGCACTTTTAGTTAGATATTTATAGTTGCTACCTGGTGTTAAAGAATCCAAATTATTAATGGGTTGTTAATAGCAATTATATGACTTAGGTTGATTTGACTGACTAATATAACCTTATTAAGATAGTTAGAGCAAATGATGTGATTAATCCGGAGAACCTCTGATTTTACGTGACACAAAATGTATAGAACGAAAAAATGTGAGACAGGGAAAAATGGGAGTGTGACCTTTTGTCTGCCTGAGTTGTCTTAAAACGGCTTTTTGTCGTGTCTTGGTTGATTGCTCACTTAGTAAGGTAAGTATGTGAGATCTTTTAAAAATGGTGATACTGTACTATCTAATACAATATTAATCTTTTGATTGATTGATTGATTGATCGGTTAGGATGAAAGTGTGATGATAGATGAAATCAAAGATTTATAAGTAAAAGTAACAAATCAAAACAAAACAAAAGTAAACTAAAACTAAAAAATCCAATTGAACCTAAATCTGGGGAAAATTTAAACTTATATAGGACAAATTGTTTTGTTTACGTTTTTTTCAATTTTTTTTTTCGATGGATGATCTATACAGTACCCCCGCTTTAATATTTAAAAAGCGTGATCATCTAATGCATTATATGAGTAAATATTTACTACAACAATATTAAAAATTTCTCTTTACACCCCATATAAATCGGTGTTTAAAACAGACCTTTACTAAATTGATATTAATAAGACAGGTTACAAACTATAATGTAACCAAGTGATGTCTCTATACTTCTTCGAGGGAAAAGGGAAAAATGACATGAAAAAGTTTTTCTAGCGATGATGATGATGATGGAAAATCGGAGTTTTAGCGGGCCACGGCCAGATTTAGCGTAAGCTTGTCTAGCCTAGCTACTAGGTAAAAAAAAAGAAAGAAAGACAAGTGACGCTAACGATCATTCTTTAGCCTTTCTTTTTTTTTTTTTACCAACCTACCTACCTACCTACCTACCTAGATCTTTTTTTGATTTGGTTTGGTTTCAGATTATTAATGATCCTGAGTCATCATCATTCATTGATCTTAACCCTGGTACCTGATCAAATGTAATTTAATATTAAGTTCATTATTAACATTCGTTAAATTGTTATTGTTGTCTATTTTATTTTATTAGAATTAGAAATTATTTTTACCTCGGATAAATACCCATAAATTGTTCCATTCTCTTCTCTTCTCTTCTCTTCTCTTCTCTTCTCTTCTCTTCTCTTCTCTTCTCTTCTCTTCTCTATAGTAACCAAAAGACTTTCCAAACTAAGTAAAGCTTGATTTTTATTACTTAGTTACATTTACGCTAATTTTTATTATTATTATTTTTAAGGTTATTTTAACTGACTATTTCTTTTCTTTTTAGTTATTTTATTTTACATTATTATTTTATTTACTGTAACATAGTTGAATGAAAAATTTTTTTTGGGGGTGTACGTTTATTTATTAGTGGATGTTTTTACTTAAAGTAGCGCTATTAGTTTAAACCTTATGAAACAGTTGTAATCATCATCATCATCATTAGAGTCATCTTATTAACAAATTAATCATCAGTGAATCTTGGAGTGTACTAATGGTATTAATAATACTGATTATACCCCCCCCCCCCCCAACTCCTAAATTTACAGTCAGACATTGACAAATAAAATTAGACTATAAACATTAGTCTAAATTTAAACAGAGTGAACTACAACAACCCACAACAAGAATAATGGAGGAGTTTTTCCCCATCGACAATAGAGGTAAAAAAAAAAACACCAAATTTAAAAAAATTTTCTCCATTATTAATTTACAACCCTATATTTTTTAACAAAAAATGCTTATTTCTACCGCCGTCCATCAGTGTTTCTCCTATTCTCTTCTCGTAAGGACAGCATAATTTTAAATGAAATTCACAACTGATGGAATGGAATGGATTTAGGAGAATTAGTGGTGGTGGTCTGTGGGTGTTAAATTCTAAATCAAATGATCAGAGGTGTCAAAATCTCCACATTTCAGTTCGTACTTGACTAATAAAATAAATTATTATTCTAAATAGATGTAAGTAACAACAATAAAGAACTACCACACCGTGTCCATAATATATACACACATCCTCCAAGAAAATTAAAACCACAACAAGAACTAAAATTCGTATTTCATATGAAATCTCGAGTTTCATAAAAAGTTATCCTGTTTGATGCTTATTTAGAAAAAAAAAGAAATTTTAATTTCCAATAACGGTTTCCTTTCCCCATCTTTTGATCTACCTCGCACGACTTTTAAATGTCATTTCTTTTTTAGCAGTTTGTCATAACAACCAGTCATTCAGTCAGTCAGTCAGTCAGACCTTTTGACAAATCTTATGACAATTATTATTATTATTGATATAATATGACAACGCCTGTATCGGCCAATATTAATAACTGTTAATAATCACACTTAGGAATATCTGGTATGAAAGTTAAAATAACTTATTACTATCCTGTACATATTATGACCTCTCAATATTTTTCCTGTAACTATAATTTTTTAGTGTTACTTTCAAATTGCTGCTAAATTTTACTGAAAAAACAACCAAAATAAAAATAATGAGGATTACTCTTAGTTGTTTCCATCTAACCCCTACAAGAGTTTTCCTTATATAGTTTCTCTATCAAATTCCTTTCTTATATACTTAATAAATGCTACTCAATTAGAGAAAAAATGAGCAAACTATAAACAATACAAACAACCAAATATTAAGAAAGAATTTATATTTTTACTAATATACAACTTAAAAGAATAAAGAATAATACAATATATATATATAGATTTATATATATATAAATTTCAAATACATATTATAAAATAAAATACAACGATATTTAAAAACCCCCCCCAAAACAAAATTTATAACAAAATAGAACGAATAATAATAAAAACCATCTAATATCATCTAAGCAGATGATGAAGAATATTTAGTAACAGCTCTAGTACCTTCAGAAACAGCATGTTTAGCTAATTCACCTGGTAAGATTAATCTAACAGCAGTTTGGATTTCTCTAGCAGAAATAGTTGATTTTTTATTATAAGCAGCTAATTTAGAAGCTTCAGAAGCAATTCTTTCAAAAATATCATTAACAAATGAATTCATAATTGACATAGCTTTTTGAGAAATACCAGTATCTGGATGAGTTTGTTTTAAAACTTTATAAATGTATGAAGAATAAGTTTCCTTTCTAGCTTTGGTTCTCTTTTTACCACCTTCAGATGAAGCAGTTTTTTTAGCAGCTGGTTTCTTTTCAGCTGGAGCTTTGGAAGCAGGTTTCTTTTCAGCTTTAGGTGGGGCCATTTTTGATTATTGATATTAATTTAGTATAAGTTAATTATAGAAGAAAGAAGAAGAAAAGAAAAAGAGAAAAGAAAAGGAAAGAAAAAAATTTAACAAAAAGAATAGATTAATAAAATCAAATTTCAAATGGAATAACCATTGGTTTATATATAGATTGGTTAAAATTTAATATATGGGTTATGGATTGTTATTGTTTATAATTTGAGTTGATTTGTGGTTAAATTTGAGTTACGCACTCACTTACTATACTCACTCATACACTCCCATACTCTTAATGATCATTACTCTTAATCTCCTGTACTGTTAATTACCCACTCTTTATATATTAGAGCCTCATTATTTACTTCAATTCATTACACAAAATATTATATAAATTTTACTTAATCATGCTTTAAATTACGCATACCCAATAATAACTTCGCGTGAATGTACATACTTGAATTTACACACCAAAGGGTGTAAATATGAGTACTATTTATTATTGCTTCAATTTTACGCAACCAAATGTGAATCAATGTTACAAAAATGGAAATTTCATTAATTAAACAATCAATCATTAATCAATCATAAGGTTATAAATAATAAATTAAATCATCATCATTTAATTTAAAATATTGACAACTTCTTTTTCTTCTTCTTCTTCTTCTTCTTGTTTTGTCAAATCAATTAAATCAAATATAATATAATTATCATAAAATGTCAGGTGGTAAAGGTAAAGCTTCCGGAGCTGAAAAAGCTTCAACTACAAGATCAGCCAAAGCTGGTTTAACTTTCCCAGTCGGTAGAGTTCATAGATTATTAAGAAAAGGTAACTATGCTCAAAGAGTTGGATCTGGTGCTCCAGTTTATTTAACTTCAGTTTTAGAATATTTAGCAGCTGAAATTTTAGAATTAGCTGGTAATGCCGCTAGAGATAATAAAAAATCGAGAATTATTCCAAGACATTTACAATTGGCTATTAGAAATGATGAAGAATTAAATAAATTATTAGGTCATGTTACCATTGCTCAAGGTGGTGTTTTACCAAATATTCATCAAAATTTATTACCAAAGAAATCTGCCAAATCTACCAAAGCTTCTCAAGAATTATAAATTGGTTAATTATATTATATTAATAATAATTATCTAATGTTTACTTATACATATATTTATATAAAATAGTTTTTGTCTTTCTTTGGTGGTTGTTTTTTCTTCTCTGTTTATTTGTTGCTTCTTTTCTATATTTAAAAAGGTTTTTTAATTATAATATGTATTATTAATTCTTATTGTATATTATCTTTATTGGGTATAATTTTAATTTAAAAGAGTTGTAGAATGTAGTTATAATTATAGTATTACTAGTAATTATAGATAACAACATCATATGGTTGCAATTTGGGGCATTTCCTCTTCCTCCCCTCTCTTAGCAACCAAAATAAAAACTCCGCGGTATGGATGTTTCGGTTCATTTTTTAACTTTCATCATCGGTTATTTCTCAAATTGAAACAAAAATTGCATGAGCACTATATAAACTCATAACTATCCATCATTTCCATTACAAGGATAATAATAAACTATAAACAAATCATTACAAATCAAGATGTCACTTCAGTTTAAACCACCAAGTAATCGTAATAGAAACCTTAAATATATTGGATTAGGATCCCTAGTAGTGATTGGTACTTCCTATGTTATTTTAAATACATTTCCTCATTTAAAAACATCAATTTATAATTATGTTAATGGTATAGTTGATGAAGATGAAGAAGATGATGGATTAGTACAGAAGGATGAAGTTAAGACTGAGACTACGACTATTAATGACGATAATAATGATAATGAACCAATTGAATTGAATGATTCGATTAATAGTTTAAAAAGTAGTAAGAAATTAACTCAATCAATTGATCAAAGTATAGTTGATATAAATGAATGGTCAAATGATAATTTAAAAAGTTGGTTACAAGATGTAAGTACCTTTTATTTTTTAATTTAATTACCAAAAACAATACTAACAATAATTAAGAAAGAAATTAATATTCCAACGAATACTAATCATGATAACCTTGTATCCCTTGTTAAATCAATTCAAGAGAATTCTAATGAATTATAATTTATTAGTATTTAATTTCAGTATATCTCAATTGTTCGTAGCGTTAATGTTAACTATACGAAAATATTTATTAACTTAACAAGAGTTAAGTTTTAATGTGTCAAGTCAATCTAAACTAAATTTAGCAAAATAAAGTAATGTTTTGCTAATTAACTTAATGTGTAATAATCCAATCTAATGAATTAATTTAATAGTCTTTATACATATGTTATAATGTATAATATATATAAAATACAATGTATACAGTGTTTTTACTTTTTATTCATACCTCGGGCCGGAATTTCTCATACCACCGGGGGGTTTTTTTTTTCATATCATTGACCGGAAATTTTCATCTAAATCCTTTTTCTTCTGCTGATCTTCTTTTTAAAGATATTCCAAACACTGTAATAATCAACAAATATTGTTGTTATACCAAAGACAGATCATTGTCTATGACAACGGGGCCTAGTTCTGACGAGACACTTCAATTTTAGCAATCTGTTCTCGAAACGCCCGTTCCTTTTGATATTGAGTAATCATAAAATAAATCATGAAAAAGCAAAATATCCACACAAAGTAAACCACCAATCTAGCTGAGCTACTAGATTTATTCGGAGACTTGACGTCATACATTTTGTTGTTGCTCATTGTATAAGTTAAAACAACTGTTTGTGAATTCTGATATCTGTGTGTTCTTCTGCTTAAGCGACGAGAACTTTTTTTATCTGTTCTTGAGCGGAGTTCACTTTCTTTTATATATTATTTCACAACAGTTAAGGGAGGAGGGGGCTTTCACACGTGTAAGCGGAGCACAACTTTTGTACGATAATTCCTTGAACCACATGCAAAAAGCGCAAATTCGTTGTGTGTCAAAGAGATGCAAAAATAAGTTGGTAAAGCCAATAGCTATACTTAGAACAATAGCCCGTAGAAAGTATTTGAATAGGATGTTTTCTTTCTTTCTATCGCCTTTGTTGTAGAAACTTCCAAGTAAGCATTGCGTGGTAGGCTATTTGATTTGTCATATTCCCGTATTAATTAATAAAGTAGCGTCATAAGTATGTCTCTTTGTTCGCAATCACTTTCACTACAGAAACTACTATACTTGAGGATGCTCACCACATACCCACTCTTCTTTTATTTTAACATAATAAACATCAACTCTTTTTTTTATTAAGGGAAATAAGGGCCTGAGTCATAAAAATTAGCAAACACAACTTTACAGTTATAAACCAAAAAAAAACTGCTAATACAGAGAATCGTTGCTGATTATGGTGGGTACAGTTATGTATAACTAATACACCTATGCATCGTCAGCACCATCTTTGCTATCCGAGCACTGATTGTCAATACCACCATAGGAATTCCAATACAACTCACCTTTAAGAATATCCATCCTACCAATGTCATTGTAAGTATCAGCCTGACCATCAACATTTATTACATTTAAAATCACTGTAAATAAAATGATTCTCTAAAGGTAATGTCTCATACTCTACAGACATAAAGTCAGGTTCCAAGTCGAACCTATTCCCTAGTCCGTCTACTTATTCATTAGCTAGTTCTTTGCTTTGAAGTTCATTATATTTAGCAGGAGTTAATCACATAGAGCAATTTTGTTGCTCACTAATTTCGATTAATTTAATCCAACTGACTTGGTACAGAAGCGGTATGTAGCTGTAAGATTCAATAACGATGAACTGTCATCTAATTGATATGAATATATTTGCTAATTGCTAAGAAAATAAAAATTGTGGTATGAATATATTTTAATTGGTATGAAGAATTGATTTACCACTGGTATGAAAATTTCCGGTCAATGATATGAGAAATTCCGACCAAAGGCATGAATAAAACGTAAAAACACTGTACGGAACTTACGATGACTATATATAGTCCCATCTTATCTCCTGCATACAACTTATCTCTCGTCTCACTCACTCACTCACTCACTCCACAATTAAAAAGGGGAGGAGGAGCTAAGGAGAGAAAAGAGGGAAGGAGGCAAAATAGAATATTCTTTCTACTTCCTTTAAATAGATCTTTCTCTCTAAATTTGATGATCATACAGCGCTGGATGGATGGCAAATTAAATTAATTAATAAATCATTATTACTTATATTGTTTCAATTATCATTTGATTTAATATATATTCCTTCCTACCACTATCATCATCTCAATCATCTGGTACCACCTCCTTACCCCTTCTTTGCTTATTACAACTATTTCAATTGTACTAACAATAAGAACTTATCGCCTCACCTCAACCTCATTTTACCCCCTTCCCTTTTTTTTAAAAAAAATAAAAAGGAATCCAATCCCCCTTACTCCACACCACCATTTCAATTTAGTTTTACTTTGATAGTATAACTTATATCGATCAATCAAGTTAATCATGAGTGATCAAAAGTCATCTTCTCCTTTGAAGATTACTATTAAGGTTACTCATAATAAATTATTAGTTCCTTCAAAACCATCAGTTGAAAAGGTTTTATCAATTGATAAGCCCGAATTTGATAGAATTAAATCAAAACATGATTTAATTAAACATTTAGCTCCAATCTTAAGTTTAAATGTTGATGAAATTGATCAATTGAAATTATTTAGAAAATCAAAAAAACATAAAGAATATGTTGCTTTAGAGACTACTGATGATTTTAAATCTTTAGCAAGAAGTTTAAAAGTTAAAAATCATATTAAATTGATTATTAATGATAAATCTTCTGCTTCAGTTTCATCATCAAATAATAAAAAGAGAAAGATTCAAACTATGGACTTTTCAAGCTTAGGTGATGCTTTACTTGAAGCTGCTTTTGAACATTTCAAAGAATTATTTAATGATGATTCTAGTGCTGCAGCTGCTGCAGCTGCTAGTGCTACCACTGCAACTACTGGTACTACCACTGCCACCACTGGTACTTCTACTACTACTTCAAATGTTGCCACTGCCACTGAAGATGCTCAATCATCTTCTAATGAAAAGACAACTTCAGAAAAAGCAACCGCTGATGCTTCATCATCATCTTCATCTTCTGTTAAAGATGAAAAGCCTAAACTTGATATTGATGAATTCGTTCATACATCTGTTGCATGTGATTCTTGTTCACCTGATACATTCGTACCTATTACTGGAGTTAGATATGCTTGTTCAGTTTGTCCAAACTTTGATTTATGTGAAGCTTGTGAAACTTCTCAACATATTAATAAATCAAACATTGGTTCTCATTCTTATAAACATCCAATGACCAAAGTTGCTTATCCTGATACTGAATTTGATAGAAGAAGATTTGGTCGTAGAGGTGGTTGTCCTGCTGCTGCTGGTGCTGGTTTCCCAGGTGGGTTCCCTGGTGGAAGACATCATTTTAGACATTCTCGTCATGGTCATGGTCATGGTCAATTCCCATTTACTGCATATCAAGCTCAAGCGCAAGCTCAATCTCAATCTCAAGCTGCACATGCCCAAGCTCACGCTCAAGCCCATGCTAATGCTCATGGTCATGCTCATGGACACGGTCATGCTCGTTCTTCTCCCTCACCACCACCACCACCACCACCACCATTTTATTCTTATTTCCCAACTGCTTCTCAATCAAATGACTTGATTTATGATATTCCTTTAGAAAATTGTAATGCTGAAACTAAAGCCAAATTGGAATCATTTTTTGAGAATGAAGGTATTAATTCATTCATGAAAAATGTTCAACTTTATGTTGATAATGCAGAAAGATATGAAGAATTAATTAGAACTGCTTCCCTTGAAGATAATGAAAATCAATTAGATGATGAACTTAAATTCACTCTCTTGAAGAGTTTATTAGATGGTGGCTTAAGACCTCAAACTTCAGAATCTGCTCCAACTCCACCAGTTACTTCAGAATCGGTTACTCCAGCTCCATCCACTTCAGAATTCTCTGAAAGATCAACTGTCATTGTTCCAAAAGAAATTGATACTACTGATAAAGTTGTAATTAGTACCAAGAAAATTGGTAATAATTCAAGAGTTATTTCTTTAATGTTAACTAATAATACTACTCATATTATTAATGGTGGTGATTTAAAATTTGAATTTTATGATTCTATCCGTAATGAAGTTGTCATTGTTAAAAATGCTAATCTGGTTAAACCTGGTCAAACTAGATTTTATAATTTAGGTGGTATTAATAAGATTTTCGATAAATTATCTGGTATGAATATGAAAATCACCACTTCAAATGGTATTTTAGAAGGTGTTTATAATGAATTTGATGATTCTATTTTATCATTTGTTTCAGTTGATGATTCAATGGAAGTTGATCCAAAAGAAACACTTTTAACTTTAACTAATGAAGATGAAATTAATGTTACTCTTATTCCAAAATCATCATCTTTAGCTCAAATTATCATTCATAATAGATCCGAAAAAACAGTTGATTGTTCTGATTTGAAATTAGAAATTGTTAATTGTTTTGGTAAATCAGTAGTTGGTGTTATGATTAGAAAAAGTCATGGTATTTTACCCGGTAAAATTGGTAAATTTAATATTGGTTTAATTAATGCTCATATGAAATTCCCATTCAAATTAATTATGAGAAATGATTATAATATTGGTCATTGTGAATTAAGTTTAAAGAATTTAAGTGGTAATTTCAATTTTGATCCTCAACCAGTTGATAATCAAGTTGAACAACCAGATTTAATTAATCTTGAACAAACTCCAGAATTTGATGGTGAAGATGCAGTTATGGAAGAAGATGATCATTCTTCAGGTACTGAATCAATCATTGATGAAAAGGAAGAGATTGAAGTTGTTACTGAAGAAACTAAAGAAAGAGAAACTCCAGAATCAGAAGAGTCTTTATTAGAAAGTGGTTCAATTCATTCAATCATTGTCCCTTCATTACCTAAAGAATCTGTCCCTCTTGTTGATTCCGAATATTTGGATGCTAAAGATACTGTTACCGAATCAAAGGCTGAAGAAGCTGAAACCCCAGCCGAAGAACCTCAACATGAAGATGATTATGATATCATTAGTGATGGTGACCATGAATTTGATTCTGATTTTGAAATCTTATCTCCAGTTACCAGTAATCAATAGAACAGATGAACTATTTTACCTTTTTCTATATTAACACCTATGGCACCCCCTTACTTAATTACTATTTTTTATTTTGCTTAAGTTTTTTTTATGTTTCAATTCATTATGATAAGAAAAGGTTGCTTATTCTTATCATTCCCCAATTTACGTTTAGTTATTAATTTTTTTATTATTATTTTTACATCTTATTAGTTAGGCTGGTTATTGAAGGTTTGGCTATTTTTTATTTACATATTCAGCATGAAGTGGGTGGTGAAATTTTATACTTCTTTTTAGTATCACTTTTATTTATTTTTTTATTATCTGAGTACTCTGTGTTTGCTTTTACATTATTTTTATATCATAGTAAAGTTTATTATTAATATATGTTTTTATCCATTAATTCAAAGGTTATGTAGTTTAAAGTAAAATTTGGAAATTATTGGCGCTACCAATAACCAACTTAGTATGCACGGAGGTTAATTCACAATTTTTTCTTTTTTCCAAAATTTGTTATATATTTTCTCCTAAATGCTGTAGAACTCCATGAGTAGATTATAACGAAATAAAAGAAGGGTTGAGAGAGGTAAAGCTAAACCTTCTCTTTGTAAAATAGATCGACGACGTCGTCGTAATTTATGAACATCAAAGAGGTATCGATCGAGAGCGATAAGTTGTATTTTATCTAGAAAATTTTTTTCCAAATATATTCATTTGTTCGTTTTTTTTTTTTTTTTCCAAATTTGTTATATATTCTTACTCTAAAACACTATAAAACTATAGAATTTATATAAAGAGAAAGTATATAACTAGTTGAGGGAGAGAAAGGTTAAAAATAAGAATTATTTTAAACTCATAGCAAAACTCAAATAAATTCAGACAACGAAAAATAATGTTGAGATTTAGCCTTAAACCTGATAGCGTAGTCATCAATGTCAACCTTTGAAATGAATATAGAAGACATATTTGTATGTATTATACTTGTTATTCTATATATCTATACACTTAAAACAAAGGAAGGGAATATTTAGGTCTATTTATACTAATTCCATATGGGATAAATAGCCCCTATTACCTATTACCCTTATTACTAATTCAGTTTAGTACATAATTAATTTCTTTTTATAATAGTTATTTGGTTTATGAGTGACCATTTTCAATGAATCACTCCATTCATGATTTATGAGTGACCTCTTTGTATAAATCACTCCATTTATTTCTTTTGCAATGGCATGATAATTCGCAACTATTTGCTCCTTATATCCATTTACAACAGCCTCCCATAAGGTAAAATATGTTGAAGCCCGAATGAATATAATTGCCTCCCTTAATGTGCCAATAACTGCAACGTAGAAAGGTTACCAATACCAGAGATATAGTAAAGATGACGATGAGTATCAATAGGTAACGATTTGGTAAGCATATCAGCAGGCATATCTTGAGTGTTTAAATAATGAATACTAAAATCTTGCCCAATATGGCTTCGAATGAAATGAAAGCACCGCTTGATATGCTTTGTGCGATTATGAAATACTGGATTAGTAGCAATTTTCATAGCACTTTGACTATCGCAATGAAGTTGAATTGAATCTAAATCTAGTTGTAATTCCTCGAACATCTCTTTTAACCATAAAAGTTCTTTACCAACAAGACCCAAACTGTAATATTCAGATTCAGCAGTGGACATTGCAACAACTTGTTGCTTCTTGGATTTCCAAATGACAGGAGATTGGGCTATTTTGATAATATGTCCTGAAGTAGAACGAGTATTTGTAACGTCGCCGCACCAATCAGCATCACAATATCCAAGGATATCAAATTTGGGTGTTTTACTATAAAATAGGCCAAATTCGAGTGATCCACTAAGAAGTCTTTTCGCAGCTTTGAGATGGTAGCTTGTAGGATTGTTGAGGAACTGCGACAAATTGGAAACAGCAAAACTAATGTCAACGCGAACAGTATTTGCGAGAAAAAGCAATTTGCCAATGAGGCTACGATATTCTCGATTATCAGCTGGTGTAGCACCATCAGGAATATCTTCAAGATGTTGGTTAGGAAGTAATGGGGTTTGCACTGGATTAAGATCTTCAGGCACAAGATCATATGAAGCAAAAATAGACTTGGTGTAATCAGTAGCAGCAAGAGCCTTTGAACCATCTGGAAATTGAGTAATATTGAGACCTAAAAATTTGGAACAAGCACCTAAGTCCTTCATTTGGTAATGTCTCAGCAACACAGTTTTGACTTGTTCAATTTCATCGATACTGGTTCCACTGATGAGAAGATCATCAACATATAATGCAATTATGATAATACCAGCAACAGAATGGCGAATATAGAGACCATACTCAGATTCTAATCGTTTGAATTGAAGCAGTTGTAATGTTCGATTAAAAGTTTGATTCCATTGATAATCAGATTGTTTAAGGCCATAAATGGAATTATTTAGCTTAAGCACCTGTTTGGAATTATTTTCATATCCAGGAGGTTTTGCATGAGATAAAGCTCTTCCTCCAAATCAGCATTAAGAAATGCTGTTTTAACATCCATTTGATGGATGATTAAATCTAATTGGGCCAGGATGGCTAAAACCAAACGTACTGACTCGTATCTAACAACTGGAGTAAAGGTATGGAAATAATCCACATTCTCAACCTGAGAAAAACCTTTGGCAACTAATCGAGCTTTGAATACACCATTATCCTTCATAGCTAAAACCCATCTGCAACCAATAGCTTTACGGTTGTTTGGAAGTTCACATAGACTCCATGTGCTGTTTTCCAGAAGTGATTTTAATTCGTCATCCATAGCTGCTTTCCATTGAGCCTGTTGTGGTGAACTAATAGCTTGCTTATATGTATTTGGTACAGTGACAGACAGTTGAAGATGATATATATAATCAATTGGAAAAGCATCGACATAAGCGGTAAAGTCAGGATCCTCACTGGAATAATCAATTGGAGAAGGAGTAGGAGGTGGAGGATTATCAGAGTCATAGTACTTAATTTGTAACTGCTCTGGAGCAGAATGAGCCCGCTTTTGAAAAAGTTGATTAGAGTCAGAATCTGTAAATTTTGGTTCGGAGTCTTCTTCGGAAGATTCATCAATAGAACGTAAAATGATATCACTAGAGTGATCTGCCTCGCGTCTCTTTCTCTTCTGTTGAGAACGCAGTGTAGTTAGGAATTGCAATGGAGATGGATCTGGAAGAACTAGTGTTGCATTATTGGTTTGCATTAAAATACTTTCATTTGATTCAACAGAGTTTAACAATGGGGAAGGTTCTTCGTTCTACATTCATAATCTTTAAATAAATCTTTGCTGTTCATAAATTACGAGGACGTCGACGATACATCCTACAAAAAGAAGGTTCAGCTTTACCGCTCGACTCTTCTTTTATTTCATCATGGGTATCGTTCTACATTCATAATCTTTAAATAAATCACTAGATTGATCTTCAATTTTCAATCAAATCTTACAAAATAGCTACTTTATCATCAAATCAAGAGAGTTTTAAGTTTAAAATAATCCTTATTTTTAACCTTTCTCTCCCTCAACTAGTTATATACTTTCTCTTTATATAAATTCTATAGTTTTATAGTATTTTAGAGTAAGAATATATAACAAATTTGGATAAAAAAAAAAAAAGATTGTAGGAATGTCAAGGACCTGCGACAGAAATGCATTGTCAACGGGAATAGTATTTGTAAGAAAAAGCAATTTGCCAATGTGACTACGATACTCTCCATTATTAGATGGTGTAGCAACATCAGGAATATCTTCAAGATGTTGATTAGGAAGTAATGGGGTTTGCAGTGGTCTTCAGGCACCAGATCATATGAAGCAAAAAGAGTTGGTGTAATTGGTAATTTCAATTGTTGCAAATAGTTTTATAGTATTTTAGAGTAAGAATATATAACACATATAAGAAATTTGGAAAAAAAAAATGAAATTAATTGGATAAAAGAATTAATCGCAGGACTAGAATGGGATTGTCTATTAACGAGGCTGAATAAAGAGATTATATTCATTGTGGTTTGATGATAGATTGCTTAGTTGGATGTTTAATTTTCTAGCTTTTTTTCTCTTATTTCATCATGAGTATCGTTCTACATTCATAATCTTTAAATAAATCATTAGATTGATCTTCAATTTTCAATCAAATCTTACAAAATAGCTACTTTATCATCTAAACAAGAGAGTTTTAAGTTTAAAATAATTCTTATTTTTAACCTTTCTCTCCCTCAACTAGTTATATACTTTCTCTTTATATAAATTCTATATATATAACAAATTTGGAAAAAAAAATAGTATATGGTGGTAGTACATGACGATTTATTTGTTCCAGATTTGTTATATATTCATTTTCTCCTAAATCGCTATACAACTATAGAGTTATTTTTTCCAATTATATGAAAATATATAGCCATTGATCTATTATTGAAAGAGAAGGTTCGGTCTTGAAGTTCTTTTTGTCTTTCATATCGTCTTGGCTATCGATCTACTTTCATAATTTTTAAATGAATCATTAAATTGATTGCAATTAAATCTCAAACACGTTATATATTTTCTCTTTTTAAACATCATTCTATAGTTTTAGAGTGTTTAAGGAAGAAATGAATGTACTGTATTATATAACAAATTTGGAAAAAAATTTTAGAAACGTCGTTGATATAAAAAAAGATATAAAGCAGCGACCACTAATTCACATATTTCTAGTTTTGGATTTCTGTCGTTTTTGTTATCTGACCCTTGATTCTTAACCCATGTAAGCGTGTTTCTATCGAAAATTTTAACAAATTAATACGGGTATGTTTCGCTAAGATTTATTTGTAATGTATTTCTAATTTGTCTTAGTTTTCAACTTATCTGTATTGGAAACTTGTGCTATTCATGATCTTTGGAAGCTTTGGGAGTAGTTACCTTCTTGTGAGAGATTATTGTTAAGCATGTTCATTGTGTTGTCCCTCAAGCGTATACGATGTTTTTCTCAACTAGGCTAATTGTCATACAAGTATATTAAACAGAAGATTACAATTATATAATTTGATTTACCTTGATACGTGTAGTTTAGATATGACTTCAAAAAAATGCTTGTTTTTAGAGTTCAAATATACCTTTGAAATTAAATCCAACAAGACTTTTCATGGTTTTGCAACTTTTTTTAAACATTGATAATGGTCGTGCGTCTTGCCGAAATTTCTTTCGAAAAATTGGTGTTTAAATTCAACTAAGCATAACTATACTATATACATTTAGACAACACTTTCAACAACAATGAAGCTGCAAATTAAAGAACCAGCACCAGAAAGTGAAGGTATGTTATAATTCTAGACCCAATATTCATGAGTTTTTACTAACAGTATTTAGAACAAAAATATAAACAGAAATGCAAGGAGCTAAAAAGGAGAATTAATGAAGTTGAAGAGACTAACGAAATAGCAACATTGGCATTGATGAGAACTAAAGCTGTTACAAGAAGATTGCGATTAGAATATGCCATACTATTAGAAAGGTTAGAAGAACGTGCAACCAAACTTCCATCAGGAATTGGCGGTTTTGAAGAAATGGCATCACCTCCAACTCCTAGTGTTTTAGACGAGTCTTTGAACGTTAACAATTCTGCTGCTTCCAAAAATGGAGTGCTGAAGAAGGGAAATAAAAAAGCTAAATTAGTTAGTACAGCTTCTGGAGAGAGCGGTAGTTCTTCCAGTGTGAAACAAAAAATACGGGATCCTGATATGCCAAAGAGACCAACCAATGCATACTTGATCTTTTGTGATATGGAAAAGGAGAAAATTAAGAAAGAAAATGAAGAGAAAAACCCTGGTGTTGTTAGTGATTTATCTAAGAGTATGACAGAAGCGTGGAAGGGTTTGGATGAAGAAGACAAAAAGCCTTATTTTAAATTATACGTGGATGACAAAGCGAGGTATGAAAAAGAAATGCAAGCGTATAACTTAAAAAAGCAAAAACCCGAAGAAACTGACGAAAATATTTTACCAAAGGGAGAAAAACTAGATACAGAGACACCTTTAGATACCCCTGAACCAGCTGAAACAAGTTCACATGATTTTGATTCATCTATTGCAGAAAATGATCAAGAAGATGTAGCTGATGAAGACCTTGATGAAGAGCAACAAGTTGATGAAGTAGCTGCTGATAATGATACAAGTGAAGCTACTCCCGTGCTCAAGGATGAGGTTGAGGAATCAGGAACACCTGCTGCTAACGATGTTAGTGATTAGTTACAAAGTATATAATTATTATCATAGTTTTAAATTTGTATATTAGTATATTAAAGAAGTCTATATAGCTCTTTTCTTTTTACTACGGTAGTAGCCATTCTCATCCTTTTCGTGTTTTCTCTTTTCTCTAAATCTTTCATGCTTCCTTAATTTCCTCTTTGCTGATATGTCGGGAGCATTTACAGCCATTTGAGCTCTTTTTGTCTTTCTTTCTTGTCTTCTTAAATTGACCTTCAGTTTAACTTGAGCATAAACCTTGGTGTAAGTTGAAACACCTAACTTCTGTTCGATTAATTGCATGCATTCTAAAGTCAAGTTAACAATCTCTTCATCTTGTCTGCTATCGGAAGGATCCATTTCAGTAAAGTTGTATAAAGCTAACAAGATTGCTTCACTCGATTCTATAAGCCTTTGCTCGTTGAAAATTTGTATAAGCATAGCAACAAGCTTTATTCCACTCTTCTTAGCAATAAATGCTGTCCTTTCTTGTCTTAATACTGAGCATACTCTTGATATAAGAAATTCATTAGCATGTTCATACTTTTCCCCTGTGCTTTCTGTTGGTTCATTGGTTTCATTTTCTTCATACTTTATATTATTGCTCTGCCAATACATTGAAATTAAAACCAAATTTTTTACAACTTGAGTTCCAAGTTCCTCTGTGATTCCTGGAGCTGATAATTGACGTAATAATCTATATGCAATCGTTTGCAAGGTATAATTTGAGAACTCAAACGATACCTTGTCAAGTGATGACAAAAGAATACCAATTAATCTTGAAGAAATCAATCTCACCCAAGCATGAGGGAACAAAAGGACATTGATAATGGATTTCCATGTTGATTCGTACTCGTCTTGAAGGACCTTATTTTTCAATTTTGAACAAACTGAAGAAAATAATGATAAAGATGAGTATAATAACTCCCACTCCACCTGCTCGTCATTCTCTGAGCTTGACATATCTATAATCTTTCGAGCATTCTCTAAAGCTATCTTATCAAAGGAACCATCTTCTGAAAATCCAACCTCGTTGACATACAATTTATAAATAATAAATCCACATCTTTTCAATAACGTATTGTTTGATTGATTTAACCATGCAATACAATACTTTTCAACATTTGATAAGTTATCTCTTCCCAACTTCGAAAGAATTGTCCCAATAAGTGCACTGGCCATCTCTCTACATTTTGGAGAATCGTCTGAAACTATGACATTTGCCAAAGCAACAAAAAATGAACTGGAAATCTTCTCAAGTAATTCCAAACCGGCCTTAGAAATGACTAAATGTACCAACTCCATTACTGATTGTCTTCCTGCTTCTGTAGGATATGCTAAATTGTTCACCAAAAATTTAAATTGCTTTTCTAATTTTCCTCTACCTTGATCATATTCCATCAAGAATTGATAATAAATCCTTCTTGAAATATCTCTAATTTCTTTAGAATGATTAACTACCATTATTTTCGAAACTTTATCCATTGTATCATAAACTTCAGGAAGCATGACGTGCTGTGCAACGACAGCTCTAAGGAAGTTAAATGCCAACCCTTGTTTGTTAGGCTCTTCCAAATCAGGAAGAACCCTACTTAAAACATAGGCAAAAGCACTATCTTTTAAACCTATATCAGCTTTATTACGAAGTGCAGTAGCAAGAAATTTCAATGAAGATTGACATATTTCAGAGTTTGTCGAAGGAGAATCTTTAATTATCTGCAACGATCTTCTGACAGCCGACTTGAAAATAGCATTTTCTTGATCAGAAAACTCAAGTCTAATGATTATATTAAGAGCCTTAAGACTTGACATTACCACTCCTTCACTTTCTGATTTAAGACAATCGTCTAACAAAGGAACGAATCCTTCTAAAAGATGAGGAGATAAAAGTGAATCATGTCTAGTAATAGCAGTGCTTAACATTTCAAATGATAATTTTTGTAATGTTTGAGTAAGCTGAAGATTGTTAACATGCGATTTATTAACCTTGGAGTTTAAATTGACTAAGAAATGCTCTTGTGTTTTGGATTTTGAGGTTCGTGGCTCAGAAACTTGAGGAGTACCTTGTTTATGGATTTCATAACATAATACAAGTATATCTCTAGATCCGGCCTCTTCATTGTGGTTCAATCCCAAGGCAAATCTTCTCAACAATTCATCCAATTTGTTTTGAGTCTTGAATGAAATGGTTTCTCTCAAAAGTAATTTAATTGGGTTGATGAGCAAACTAAAAGAGGCTAAGTTAACGTTACTTGAGACAATTTCACCACTATCAAAACTTTTCTTGAATTTAACTTCCTTCATTTTACTTGTATAACCTTCTGCATCTTTTTCTTGACCTGCAGCACCAAATATATCCTCCATAATGATCTCAACGAGCATTTCTATACAATCGTCTAAATCCCCATGTTTTAATGAAGCAGAAATAGAAACCAACAAATAGTGAATTGTGTAACTTAAGACGTGTATTTGAGAACCTCTAGAAAGAGCAGCTTTTAACTCTTTTAAGATAAATCTGAAATACTTAGGACCCAATAAATTCAAAATATTTCCTAAAGTTTTACGGATTGCATCTCTCAATTCTTCGGATCTAGATCTCATAACCTGACAAGTACTAGTCAATACACCTGGTAATTCAGATTCGATTAAATTCTCTGAAATACAAACAAGAAGACAAGACAATGCTTCTGCTAACGGAGCTCTTGCAACGATTGTATCATCTTTTCTAATCACTAAAATTTTCAACAATGGTGGAAACATTTCCTTCAAGATAAAATCATCGATTTCTGACTGATCAGATGGAAGATTGCTAATATTCCTCTCTGTTGAATCTTCTCCTTGAGATTGCTTAGATTCCATAAAACCTTTAGAAATAGACACAATCAAGTTAACATGAATTTTAATTTGTGTTTCTTTACCTGATCTCAAGTTACTCAAATATCTTCTAAATAATGCCTTAAAGTGATTCCAACTAATACATTTGATAAGATGATTTATAGTTTCAACAGTTTCACTAGCAATATTTTTTAATCTTTCTTCGTCAGTGAAAGCATATCTTTCAATGATTGGTAAAATATAATGGGAAATAGAATTTGCTGTCAATTGATTACCATATTCCAGAAGTCTCTTAACAGCTCTTTGTCTTCTATGAACTTGGATGTGGTTAATGTTCTTGAAGAAATTAGATTCATCATCATTGTGGAAAGTAAGAACTCTCATGTCTTGTAATTCAACAAAATGTTTTGATTCAACAACTATATGTTCTAAGACTGAAACGTACTCACTTTGAATCTCTTCTTTATCTTTTCTTAAACCAATTTTAAGGTGAGGTAAAATTAAGTTCTTGAGTAATGAAACATATTCTGCAACTGTTGATTCATCAGTTATAGCAGAGTAGCAATCGATATATCTTCTTAATGTGTAAGCTCCATTTGTTCGGATAACAAGTTCTGTTGTATCATTAATAAAGAAAAGAGCACAACACAAAAGCGGCATCCATTGAGATGGAGTAAGTGAAAGATATAATTCCTCATTAAGTAAGTTAAAACTTTGTAATCTCTTTTCGAAATCTAATTCTTGCATTCTCTTCTGTGAATAGGAGTTTAAACCTTCAAGAAGGCTGGCAATTTCCTTGTAATCTTCAAATTTGTCTCCAATACTTCTGAAAACATCAACTAAGGTTTCCCTAATTCGCTTTTCAGGGTGAACCCTGAATAACTTGGAACATGAATTATACAAAGGTTCAATATCAGCAAAAGTACAATCGTAATCCTGTATTAATGAAGACAAGGTAATCAAAATACTAGACTTATCTGATGAGTCCATCAGACTAACTGGTTTTTCAAGAGCCTTGGTTAAAGATTCTATTAAAGATGATCTCGTAGAATCATCATCAATGAAGCCACCATCAATCAAAAGCAACAATACATTGACTGCTTTTGAATTTATCTCACGATTATGAATAGATTCTATCATAGCTGGTAAATTCTTTAATAATGAATCTACTAACAAAGCTAAAAATGTAAAATATTGATCATGAGTAACTTTCTTAGACAACGCTTTAATAGTAAATTCCAAAACGGCTGAAACAACACTTTCCTTGGCTTTGGTTGATCCAAGTAATGAAATTATAGCTCTTGCAGGAGCAAAATCGTCAATAAATAAAAATTCAACTGTATTTTCAGACTCTACCCAGTTTAACATGATTCTCATTAATGAAGAAACTTGTTGTAAATTCTCTGAAGAAAAGTTTGGTAATCTTGGCTTCATTAAATTTTCATAGATAAGCGATATTTGATCTTCCCAAGAATAAGCATCACCAACTAATTTGAATAAATCATTCAAACATCTCATACCCATTTGTCTTACTGATCTAGCTGCCTTATCTTCATTAACACTGACTTGGCTTGAAGAATTTGTTTCTGAATCAATTCTTTTCTGTGCCACTACCAATGAGAATACTAAAGGTTCAACAGTAGAAAGTAAAGCAGAACTGAATTTAGATCCTAATGTACTATAAATTTCACTTAATAAATTGACAAAACCATTTATCTTCTTTAAAGTTGGAGCATTCAATTCTGGTAAAGTTCCGTCCATAAAATAATCCATATAAGCAATCTTTTCTGAACCTAATTTTATAAATTGAATAATATAATCATCTGAAAAGTTTGGTAACACTGATATAACGGCGAATTTTCTACCAACTTTGCTATTACTTTTGGTAGCCCCTTGAACACGACCAAACAATACTCTTAATACAAGTGGCATTAATTCAGCTAAATTGGCTTCTTCAATTTTACTGTCAGATCCAGGATTAATAAAGTTGGAAAGTTCATCTCTGAAAATAGTATCGTCCAATAAATTTCTCAAGTTATCTCTGTATCTATTAACGGCTGGAATTCCCCAATTAAGGATTGCATCTAAAGCCAATTTTTGAACCAGTAAATTCTTATTAGAAAGTAATTTTAATAAATGATCATATAATAAATCTGCATCATTCACTTTCTTTAATTTTTTGAACTTTGCAAACAATCCGATAAGTTCATTTCTATCTTTTAAAGACCAGGTAGCTGAAGCACTATTTTCTTCATCATCTTCATCAAATTGATTCAAGGCTAATGGAATTAATTTGCTGGAGTTCTTTTCCGCAATATATACCACATGAGTAAGTGCTTGGATTACTTGTGATCTTACTAATTTACTGTAAACATGTGTTTCTCTTGAATTTTCAGCAAACTCTAAAATTGAATTATAGATATTTCTATATTTTGAAAGAAATATTCCATCAAATGAAGTAAAATTATTTTTTAAACGTGAATTGTTTGGTTGCCAATCAATTAAACTACTAGTATGTTCAAATTCAGTTTCATCAACAGGATTATATGTGTATGATTGATCATTATAATCAAAAGTGATGAATCTATAAGCTAAATTCCATATGAGTTCAGAACATGTAGTAGCTAATTCAGGAAGACAATCATAAACAGCTTGCCAACTAGGTTGAAATCTATTTGATAATAATCCAAAAAAGTAATTAGTTATATAAGTACATTCAAGTTCTGATGGTTTGGAATGGGCTTTGAATTCCTTTGATAAATTCTTAATTCTGAGAGTCAAATCTCTACTGGTATTAATGGACAATGGAATTTGTTCAATCAACTTTATTTGAGGTAAATAAAATGGAGCTGTCATACCTGCAACATCATAAAAGGTTTGAATAAGATCAATGGCAGCAATACGAGACACATTACTAGGAAGGAATAAATTTTCAGCTATTTTATGTAATAATGAATCCACTTGTTTAGTTAAAATACTTGAAACTGATTGTTTAAACTTAATCAAAAATCTATTAAATGCAATGACGAAAATGGATGATTCTTTTAAGATATCAAATTTTTCGATTAAATGATTATATATATCAACTTGAGTTTCAGTAGAATTTATATCTAATACTTCTGTTAAAGAGTCACATGAAGTAGCTATTATATCATGATTAAACATGTTATCTGAATCACTGGAAAGTAATGATTTAATAAGGTTTACCAATACTTGAGGATTTAATGATTCTAATTTATTTCCATTATGTCTTAAGATAAGTAATCTCCAATATAATTTTTCCAAGTCATTAGGATATTGAGAAACTTGTTCTATTAAAGATACCTTTAATGTATTAGGGATATCTATTTTTGATGCAATTTCGTTATTAGTCTTATTTAAAGTAGCTAAAAATAATGATAACTGTCTTAATTCGACTTCATTTTGAGGAATATTATGAACATAATCTTGAATGGTATTAACTATACCAAAATTAAGTAATTTCTCTTGATTTACTGATAAACAGGATTGAGAAAACAGTAAAAAGTAATGACCATTATTTATTGATATCATAAAATCAAAAATTGATTTATGATTTTTAGTTAATGTTTGAATACTAGCATTTCTGAAAAAAATTGAAAAAAGGTATATCATACTTTCCATTAAATCATTATAATTAGATTCTTCTTCAAATCCTAAAGTGATGGTTATTTTATTCATTAATGAATTAACAACTTCAACGATTGGTTGCCAACTATTTATTTTCTTACCTGATTCAGCAAAACATAATACATTAATAAGTTGACTAACTGAGATTACAGAATCTATCATGGTGGTTTCTTCTAGTATTGATTTAAGGTATTGTGAAGTTAAACTGTAAAATCTTTCACATGAATCTTCTGATCCATGATTGATAATATCTAATAATATATCAGATACTATGGAGATATATTTACTTTGGATTGAAGAATCAGGATTTGATAAAGCATTTTCTATAAGATTTGATAATATAATAGTTGATTTGGAATGGAAGGTACCTTGAGTATTTTTCATTGATTCACTGTATAATGTTATTAAAGATTCACAATATGAATCATTTTCTAAAATAGTTGATGATTGATCATTAAATGAAAATTGGATAATATTATTTAAGGCATCAATTTTCAGTTTTCTAATTAAAAATGATAAAGCTTCAGCACAAAACCGGGAAATATAAGTCTTTTGTTCCACTTTCAATATAGGTAATAAAGTTTCAAAAGTTGGTTTTAAATCATCAATTAAAGATCTTGATAAATATTTAAATGCAAAAGTTAAACAATTGAAACTCCACTCTAAAACGTTTGAAGTATTTCTATCATTTTGAGAATCATTAGGATCAGTATTAAGGGCAATTGTAGTTAAAAGATTTAAGAATCTGATATAGTAAGGCATGAAATCAGGACCTAAATCATGAATAAATTGGGATAATAATTCTAATAATGGTTGAATTGAATGAACATCATTTTTTTCAATACTGGAATATAATGCATCGAATATAGAATCTTGATGATGTAAAATCTGAGGTAATGATTGAGAATTGATTTCTACTTTATCTAAGAAGTCAGTAAAGTTACCACTTAAGTTTATTTCTTTCCAATGTTGTAAAGTAGAAAGGAAATGGGAAGTTTCAGCATAATCAAACGCCCTTTTGGATAAACTTAGATTGGGTTCGATCTTAATAGAATCCACCCTCTCTCTGAATGACGAGAACGCATGTCTCTTAGAAGACTCAGTAGTCTTAACTCTAACGGGTTTAGCCATGACGCCGTTTCTAGTTAAGTAGTGGTTGAGTTACTTTAGGATAATTTTCAAGGGTTTCTAATTCATATATGGTATAGCTGCTATAAATTTTTTTTGTTAGCAGACCATCGCTTTAAAAAAAAAAATTATAATCTCTATATGCAGTCCCATAGTTAATTTTTTTGATTTGGGTTGGGTTGGATTGGATTGCAAAAGTAGTAATTTAGTAATAATAATAATAATATGATTATTACTTCATATCTATGTTGTATTCACAAGTATTTAATAAGAAGAAAGTCAGTTGATGATAATAAAGTAGTAATTGTTTAACCTTCTATCTTGTGTTAATGTATTAATATAGTTGTGTCTATTCTTTTTGTCGAATTTATTTTGTTTTGTCGCAAATTCTGTCATTTTTTTTTAGTGGTTTGTCATGTCATTTTTTGGGTGATGGATTAATTTGATGACGAAAGGGACAAAAACCAAGACTCAAGAAATTAAGCGTAGTTCAAATTTAAATAATTCAATTCAATTCAATTCAATCATCTTATCATATCCCAATTCATAAGCTACATCGCATAGTAACTACAGGAATCATGAGTTCATCTACTTCAGAAAGAATTCCTTTGCTAACTGGCAAGATCCCTGAGAATCCCATCATATTACCTGGTGATAGTAAAAACCCTGATATACTACCGTCAATTAATAATAATAATAATAATAGACCCATCAATAATACAACCAATAAATCCCCTCATCTTCCTCAAGCTAATAAAATTGGATCCAAAATATCTCAATCATCCAAAATCGGTCTCCAAAGAACAAGTAGAACTTCTCAAAAACTTAAATTATTACCGGAAGATCCTCCTGATTTAGAACATAAACCAGTAGCTTCGACTGATGATGATGACGATGATGATGATGATGATGAAGGTGGTCTTCAACGGACTAGAGTATATTCTCAAGTTAAAAAAATTACCGATACTTCAGCCAGAAAAGATGCTGAAATATTAGGTAAGCTGCATCGTGATTTATTACCAAGAGTAACTGCTTATTGTACTTGTGGTTCATATAGAATGAAAGATTTATTAAGATGGTTAAAAGATAGAAAGAGAATACATAATACAAGTCCTAAACTTTTCGATGAATGTCTTTATACTCCATTCATTTATAAAGATTGGAGAAATGATTCTGATCATAATAATAATCTTAATAGCATCAATAACAATAATAATAATAATAATAACAACAATAATAACAATAATAACAATATCATCAATGGTGGTGGTGAAGGCTCAGATAATCATACATTAATCAGACTTGCTGATGAAGGTGGTGAAATCGATATAGGTAGAAAAAATGATATTTTTATCTTTGAATATGGTGTGATTATTCTTTGGGGTTATACTAAAAAGGAAGAAGCTCATTTCTTAGAAGATTTAGCTAAATTTGAAAGTGAAAAATTATCATCTGAAGATATTCAAATTGAAGAATTTAATTATTATATTACAAAATCTTATCAACCTAGAATTTATAATGATTTTATTACTTTAAGAGATGATAATAATTATATGTTAAAATTATCAATATCTCATGCTTTAGCTCAATCGGCTAAAATTTCTTTATTTGAAGAATTAGTCGATAATACTATAGAAGATACTCAAGATATTCCTCAACAAATCGCTCATACTGGTAAAGTTGAAATGACAAGAGATGAAATTATGAAATCCATTGGGGAATTATTCATTTTAAGAATTAATATTAATTTACATGGTTCAGTATTGGATTCTCCTGAATTAATGTGGGCCGAACCTCATTTAGAACCAATTTATCAAGCTACAAGAGGATATCTTGAAATCAATCAAAGAGTTGAATTATTAAATCAAAGATTAGAAGTCATTTCTGATTTATTACAAATGTTAAAAGAACAATTGGGTCATTCTCATGAAGAAAATTTGGAATTCATCGTGGTGGTATTGGTGGGAGTTGAAGTATTGGTTAGTGTAATTAATATTATTATAGATATATTAACCTACTAAGTTTTTTTCTATTATAGAAAACTATTTTTTAATGAATATATATGAAAATACTAAAGCTCTTGAAATTTATCTTGTTCATGAATTTCCTCATTATCAAAATATATCGGAACATTTGAAGATCGATTAACATGTAATTTAAATACATCAAATCTATTATATCCTCCAACTAAATCATGAAATTGTTTAGGTTCAACCGTATCATTTAAATCAAACTCAGCATATGCAATCCCTTCTTCAAATCTTAAATTATCTCCAATCTCATTCCCCGATGGTGATAAGAATAACGTACTTCCTTGTGACATATTTGAATAAAATGATTCATTACTGGCATCATCATTAATTAAAAATTCTAACATATCCTTATCAACAAATGAAGAACATAAAATTCCAAAACATTTCCCTTCAATACATTGAATTCCACATCGAATTATATTAGCAATAGTATTATCAAACCCCTTTTTCTCGGTTGATGTCGATGGACGATACATATCAGCTGCTGGTGGCCATATCGAAATATGAATTTGTTCACCTTGGCTTAATAATGTAAATCTAGCTAATGAATTGGTATTTTCTCCACATATTAAAGCCCCAATTTTTCCATATTTTGAATCTATCACATTTAATCCAGATCCATCACCATTGGCCCATGTAAGTTTTTCAAAAAATGTGGGAACAAGCTTTCTATGATGAGCTCCGATATTACCTGTTTCATCAATTAATACATATGAATTCCAAATGCATCCCACACTAACTTTAGATTTTTCATTAAATCCTAACAAGACAACAACTTCTAATTTTTTGCATAAAGCTTGTACACTCAATATTTCAGGTCCATCAACGTAAATGGAACTTTCAGTTATCCTTCTAAATAAGTGATGATTGTCAATGGGTGCTTTACAAGCTCCCCATAATGGGAATGCAGCAACATATGTTTCAGGGAATACAATTAATTTTGTACCTTTTGCAGCAGCTTCATGAATGCTGTCAATTACTTTTATCATAGTAGCATCTTTATCTAAAAGGACAGGAGCTAAATGACATGCTGCTACTTTAACCTTTGGTAAGCTCATCTTTGATAATGGTTTGTGGTTCAGATATATGCATAATTCAAATATTGGGGACTTGTTGCTATTTATACTTTTTGTCCTAAAATTCCGGGGTTTGACGTAAATACTAAAAGAAGCCTAATCCCTGCAAAACAATCTATATTCGCTATTTATATATGTCAATACATTCATGTATACTTCATATATCACATTTAAGATAACATAGTCCATTTCACCTATTCATGTTTGCCGCTATCATAGTGATGCAAGTTTTTTATCTTTTTGCGGCATTGACAATTTCTACAAAAACGGTGGGGTACCACCATCAGAGCCCGAAAATTATTAAAAATAAAGTACTGTTTAAATATGTCTTCTATTGATTCTTTTAAGTAAAATCTATATATGCTAATTATTCCTTCTTCTTTTCCAATTTTTCTACTGATTCACTAAAATCTGGGGGTACTTTTAAATTCAACTGATTTGCCTGGTTTTACAGTAACATAACTTAAATAATCAGAAGAAGTGCTTTTCAATTTATCAAAGGTTGAACCATCAACTGATGGAGGTGGTAAAGAAGATTTAGATGGACTGATATAAGTAGTATCTGATGTATATGATTGTAATAAGATGTTTCTAGGTCCAATGACTTTAACAAAATCTTGATTTCCAACTAAAAAGTTATAACTTGAATTTCTTCCTTTAGAAAAATATGAAAATATAGTTGAGAAATATGATGATAATAATTGACCATATTGTCTGAATTTTGATGCGGCAGTTGCATTAGATCTTATTATACCTAATAGGCTAAGACTTGGTGCTTGTTTTTGAATGATTAATTCCAGTTTATTACTAGAATCAACAGGAAATGAATATTTTATAACACAATTTTGTAAATCATAAGGTCCATTAACGGTTATCCCTAATAGATTTTGTTGATTAATTAATAATTCTTCACCAGGTTGTAAATTTATATTATAGATGGATCCATTTCCAACCAATCCAACTTGTCCTCTTCCGGTTAATAATGTATAACCTAATCTACTCCATGTTGATAATCCAGTTGAAGTTTTTTGACTTATATTTAATTGTTTTGATAATCTTTTTGAAATTGTTGATGGTAAATGATACAATCCAATGTTTAATGAATTCCCTGTGAACACTTGCAAAGCATCTTTATTTAAGATAGCCCAATCAGTAGATCCATCTAATGCTAAATTGACAAATGTTTTATTTTCTGATTTTTTAAATAAACTGAAATTTCGAGAAATTGATGAAATTAATAATGAAAAGGGAGTTGTGGAAATCAATTTTTGATAACTTGATACATAGCCTCCATAAAGATAACGTCTGAATGGATCTATTACTTCTAAATGACTTTTAACTGCCAGTATTGATGAGTTATTGAAACCATAAATTGAAAGCAATGAACCTCTTCTAACATATACAGGTACGGAAGGGGGTGAATTGACTGATAATATTGATTGGGGATTACCTAAAGCTTTAAATTCAGCTGTTTCTAGAGTCTTTATACTTTCTAGTAATTCGACATCTTTTATATTATGATTTTCAGTTACTGTATTGGAAAGATTTGATCCTGACACTGAAGTTGGCGGTTGAGATATAGAAATCGATCTTGCGAAAATCAATTGATTCGATATCCTTCCAAATTTACTCGACACAGACATTCCTATATATAATTATCTCTATGAGACGTGTTTGGTTGTACTATGGGTTATTCAAGGAAGTCTACACCATGATTCAATTTGGTGTGTTTTTTCTGGTTTTGTTTTCATTTTTCCACTCTAATTGGATTGGTTGAAGTGAGACTCAAAAGTGAAAAAAAATTTCTGATCATTTTTTATTGCTGCAAAAATTAGTGTATCATTCTCTATTATGATGAGACACAGAATTGTAATTTTTTCATTATGAATAAGGTTCTATGTAATAAATAAAGAAAAAGAACGAATCACCAGTCGATTATCGTCTATTATTCAGGTTTTAAAAGAAAATTGTCGTCTTTGAAGCTTGTAAGATTGGACTACATTAGGTTAGTTCGTTCTGCCACGTTTAATTTTAATAGCAATTTAACAAATTTATCTTCTCTGGTCGATCTATTTGTTCATCAAAAATTTGAACATTATTTAACTTAGGATTTACAACCTTATATATTCAGATACAGAATTACGATAAGGATTCGTTATAAATTTTCATGTCTCGGAAAAGTCCGATTCTTATCATGCAGACTTTAATGAAAAGTTTCATGGTTAGTTTCTGGGGTATTTCTATTTTTAAACCAATCGTTCACACACCGTTGTATTATTTTTATCATGGTCTAAGGATAACTGTCATTAATGCTTTCAATTTTACATCACAACTTTAAAGCATGCTTCAATCCTTTTAGTTTTCACTTTTTTTTGGTATGTTAATCCTGTTGATATTTTCATTCATCCTGAGCTTATCATTATGAATTAGGATCTTCAAACCAATCAAATACGTAAATCTTTGAGGTTTCGGAAAGTTCCATGAGCATTTATTGAAACGGAATTTTTTTTTAAATTAAAGGGGTGCGGAATTTTCTTAAATTTGACAGGAATAGAGATAACAAATGAAAAAAGTGAAAAATTAAAGATCTTAGATTTCAAATCAAAACTCTATTTATATAAAAGGATTCCAATCTTTTATCGATTGAGAAAGTGAAAAGTTAATAAAATATCAATACATTGTCAAGTAACAATAATGGCTGTTAAAGAAGATGGCTATGTAGATAGGGTCATTCCTAGAATTAGTCTTAAAGACTGCAAAAATAGAAGACAAGAAATCAAAGATCAACTATTTGAGGCTGCTAAAAATTCAGGGTTCTTTTCATTATGTGATCAAGAATCTCCTTCCAAAAGTGATATTGAAGAAATGTTTAAGTTATCTAAACAATTCTTTGAATTACCAGAAGAAACTAAAATGAAAACACCACATCAAAAACTATTGAATACAGGTTTTGAATCAGCTTCACAAGTCAGACCTTCAACTGGTACTGCAGATCAAAAAGAATCGAATCAATTACAATACCATAGATTCAATGAGAATTGGCCAGCTAAGGAAGATGTTGGAGAAGAATGGAGAAACAAAACCAAAGAATTCTTTTTAAAATGTCATAATCTTGGTCTTTTCCTTATGGAATTATTTGCTGAAGCTTTGGATTATCCAGTGGATTTTTTCTCCAAAGCTCATAATATAACTGTCCCAACTGCTCAATCAACTTTGAGATTATTACATTATTTCGATTCTACTGGAAAAGTATTCGAAGGTAACTATTGGAGAGCTGGAGCTCATACAGATTTCGATTGTTTAACTTTATTATTTCAAAGAACTGGTGATCATGGTTTAGAAGTATGTCCTGGTAGAGAAGCACATACTGACTTTGGATATTCTGATCAATGGACTCCAGTTCCATCTCATACTGGTGATATTGTGGTTAATATTGGAGATATGTTAATGTCTTGGTCTGACGATGTTCTTAAATCAAACTTTCATAGAGTTAGATTACCAACTGCTGATGAGAATCAAAGTGATAGATATACCATTGCCTTTTTTAATCAAGCAAATACAGATGTTATCATTCAAGGTAAAAATAAAAAATACCCAGCTGTTACAGGTAAACAATTTATTGAAGATGCTATGAGAAGAAATTTTGAATTATTAAAGAAACAATAATCTTATATATAGTTAGTAAGTGAGTAGCCCAAATAAAAATTATCAATGTTAAAGTTATAAAACATTCCGCAACCAAAAAAAGACCAGTACAAGATTTTATTCATGGTTGCAAATTTGTTGCGACAAAGCTCAGAGACCAATAACGTTTAACTACAAAAAATCTATATAATATAATGTAGAGAAAGCTTTCAGAAAGTAAAAATTGAGTTTTATTACCAACTTTTACTTTAGTTGACAATCCTTTTATAATTTTATTTAAATATATTCTGAAGTTTTCTGCAAAAAAACATCAATCCAAAGCATACACTTAAAAACCACTCAAACTTCATCAAAATAATCTGGAAACTATGCATATAATATTTAATGTTCTAATAAGCTTATTTAAAGGAATTATAGCCCAAATTACATACAAAAATATAAAAATTTAGGTGTAAAAAATTTTCAAAATTTAGATTTTGATATATGGAAACACTTCAAAAGAGCAATTTCTAATTTTTTGGGTTAGAATTGGGTTGAATGGCTTAGTTGTTCAAGTTTTTCTTGGTCGTGTTTGTCAGGAGGTTCGATTCGGGATCGAGTGGATAAAGCTTTTCTAGGCGGAAATGCGACATTATCGCGTCTGTTTAGGTTAGGCTCCAGTGGCGCAGAGGTTAGCGCTTCGTGCTTATAGCCGTGTTACGACGATATGGTTATGCCATAAGTCACGGTCGTGTGAGGAACGCGACGGTCGTGGGTTCAAACCCCTCCTGGAGCATTCACTAAATCTTCTTTTTTTTACTGACTCACTTTCCCCCTAAATTTCCATTTCCTCACTATTTTTCAATGTTTAATTGCTAATTTCCTAGGGAGAAAGATAACTACATAATGCGACATTTTTTTTAAAAATAAAATAAAAAGCAAAATAATTTTTTAAGTCTATATTCATTAGTTATATATAAAAGCAATTATCTATAGCTACTCAAACCGGTTAACAATGAATAATATAAGACATGATCAAAAAAAAAATAGAACTATTTGACATAGTGAAATGAAAATAAATAAATAAAATGGATAAGAATACAATATATATATGTATGTTTTCTTAATCTGGGATGGATTAGTATACAAACTAAGCTTGTTTGTTCTTTTTTAGATTACCAGTACCCTTACGAATGAATTTTAAGAATCTTTGACCATATTCATCTGCTGGTAAGGCTGATATTGTACTTCTTGAATGACCTAACGAACGCCAAAACGTTTCCAAATGTTTCTTAAGGGAATAATTGGTTAAACAATCAATGATACCAAGATAATAAATCTCACTCATTGGTTCATTATCTTCATTGGTTGATCGAATACCACCATCATGACCATAGAATACAAATGTCGACCGACCTTTGAATACATTTGTCGGTAGATCATGTTCACGATCTACATTTCTAGGTATGGTGGATAAAATAATTGATTTCCGTCGATCATCTTGAACTTGATCAAATTCAGGAGCAAAGATAGATAATTTTTGATTGGTTTCTAAACTATTACCCTTTTTTGTATCATGAATTCCAATTAATAATGAATAATCCATTGCATTGGCTTCTTTTAAAAATTTGACATCTGATTCTAATTGTTTAAAGAATATTTGTTTCTTTTGAGGACCAAAATTAATTAATTCATTTTGATTTAAAAAATTCATATCTTTTAAAGTATATTTTGATAAATCATCATCTTCATATTCAATTTTTTTAGTTTCTTCATTTCTTTTTCGAATTTGTTTTATACGGGTAATTCTACCTAATGTTGAACCTTTTATATCATATTTAAGATGAATATCTCTAAATGGAGGGAATAAATTATTCATCACCACAAAATGATGTTTAGCAAATCCACCACTAAAGGGCATTTTAATACGATGTAAACCATAAAATTGAGAAATCAAAGTATTTGGATTTTCTTTAACATATTTATAATAATGTTTTAAAATTCTTCTTAATTGACGATGTTCAGAATGATGAATAGTTTTAATCAAATATCTATAATCGGATGAATAAAAAAATATAGCTCCTGATTTACCTGCTTTACTGGGAGTTACTAAATCACTGAATAAAAATGATTCTCCAAATGTAGTTAAATAATCTCCTGGATCAATACCAAACGTTGATCTTAAACTTCGAAATACATCAGGACAATAATCTTTAAATTTAAAATCATATTCTGCAGCGGGAGTTAATTCAGTTCCACCAATTTGGAAAGTATATTTTTTATTAATGCTAAAATCTTTATCTTCCAATTTTCTCATTATACCTGAATTTGCAGAAGTATCATGCCTAATACTGGTTGACATACAATAGGCTAAAACATAATTAACATGACTTTTATCAATTTGAGTTCCATAATAAGGATGTCTATTTCCAGTTAATAATTTTTTAGTTCTAATAATTTCTGATTTTGTATGTTCTTGAGCATTTTGAAAAGTATGAGAACGACCTAAGAAAGTGGTACTTCTTGAAGTAATTGGTCTTGAATGGGGTTGTTGTTGTTGTACAATTGAAGATCTCAGATTTGAATCTCGAGTGGTAGTAGTTAAATCAGTGGGTAATGCCATAGATCCTTGAGTAGGAGTTGGTAAAGGACGAGGCAGAGGAATATTATTTATAGTTGAGACAGTAGAATCAACCACATCATTATCATTTATATCTTCTTCAGTATTATTATTATTATTATTATTAATAATATTAGTTATGGGAGTTGAAGTTAAAGGTGGAGTTGAAGTTGAATGTAAATTATTCAATTCTTGTTGAATAGTTTTACTTGAATGAGATTGAGGAATCAAAAGAGTATGATGATCAAGATCTTCATCATCATCATCAACTGAGGTAGTTGAAGTATCATTGGTCATATCTGAAGCTTCTGATCGAGAGCCTTTATAAGAATTTGGAGTAGAAGGACTATTATTATTGGTTGAAGTTGAATTACTATGATGATGATTAATATTTGGCGGTATGACATTTTGATCTGATTGTAATGGTATTATATTGTTAGAAGATGCGGTTGATAAGAGATTATCATTATTATTATTATTACTATTATTATTGGTAATAATTTTTGGATCCACTTTAGTTTCATCATTATCAGTGATAGAAATATTACTACCAGTATCATAAAAATCTTCATCCATACTAGTTGAATCTATTTTAGTATTATTATTTGATTTTAATACTAAGGGAGATGATAATTTAGTGGTTGATTCATGATCAAGATCATTTAAAGATGGTGATGATGGTTTTGTAATATCATTAGTATGACCTCCAAGAGGGGATGAGTCCAGATGTAGTTCAACCATGGAGGAATGTACTTGTATCATTTAATATATCTTTTTTTTTTTTGATTGAATTATTATTTAAATTGATTGATGATAAATTGTGGGCTAATGATATTTCATGTAAACTTGATAATAAAAGGATAAAAGATGATGAGATAATAAGAGAGATAGATATGTAAATGAGAAATGAACAAATGATAAACAGTGTATGAAATAGAACCGAACCAAGAAAGTGAATATGAAAGGGAATATGAATATGAATATGAATATGAAAACGGAATGGAATGGAATGAAATGAAATAAAAAGGAATGAATGAATGTAGATAGAAAGGAAGAAAGTACTTTCTAATCAAATGAAAAGGGTAGTTATTATCAATCAATCAATCGATTAGATTATGAATACAAGGAATAGATGAGACCAAGATGGATGAAAGTTGGAGATACTTTCAGATATGAGATGATAAATGATAAATGATGGATGATGGTGGTGATGGTTGACTGTCAGTGTAATACAGGGACAGCTCAAAAAAAAAGGTGGTGATTTTAGTCGCAAGGGGCTGGTGGGAATGTTTAAAAGTGAGTGAGGGAGGGAGTGAAAGATATATCTAGATTAACTTGACTAGACGACGAATCAGATGAGTTGAACGTGGGAGGGATGTGTAGACTATTCTATCCTCTATACGTCTTTAGTATAGAGAGAGATATCAAATAATAAATAATGAATAAAATACATAAAATTATTTAAATCGTCTAATTGAATAAAATGACAAAAGGAAAGGCCCAGTCAGTTCAGTTCAGTTTCTGGTTTATTCCATCTGTGTCATGTACTGTATATAAAATAATCAGGTTCAACAAAAAAGGAAGAAGAAGAGAGAAGAAGAGAAGGTCGTGTATTAAACTGTTTCCTCTCTCAAATTTCATCTGTGTGTGTACCTTAATTAGTACAATTTAAAAACATAACCATCCAGCCCATATCCTATCTTCACTATGAAATATACTACAGTGAACGATGCTACCACCTATCAAATCTATAAAACTTTAAATCAAACCTAATCATTGAAAGGAGATAAGTGTTCTTTCGTTAGCTGATTTGTCTTGTCTTGTCTCACAATGAATCGGATATATGTCTCTTATTATTTATCGCTATTGTTTACCTTTTTTTATATATAGTACGGCATAGTATTTACTCGGTTGCTAATTTTATTTCCTGTATATACTCCAACCGGTTAAAGTTATTCTTTTTGCAATACATTATTGCTCTATTTTATATGATTGCGCTTATGATGTATCAACCATGATAAGATCTAAAATCTTACTTTAAAACCTCAAACCATTTTAAAGTTGTAATTTAACTTTTTGCTTATTGTTAATTAATATCTAATCTGACACATAATCTATTTACTGATGACTAAGTCATTAACAGTGCAATGCAAAGGTACAACATCCAGGGGGAAAAGATGTAAAGCATTGACAAAATCAAACCTTAGTTTATGTCATTTTCATCAACCATCCGTTATCAATGATCTGGCTCCTATATTCATGAAATGTCTTGGTATCACTTCGAAGAATAAAAATTGTAATATCAAGGTCCATATAAATGAGGGTTACTGTGGTTATCATAAGGATCAAATGATTGTCCCTACTGTTTCCAAAGCAATAATCAATATTACTTACACTATTAGTCCCGCTAGAATTGGTATTGGATTGATCACTATCACCAATCCAGTATATCTATTATTTTATTTTTCAAGCAGATTTATCGCGTTAAACTAGAACGCTCTACAAAATAATTATAAATATCTCGAATATAAAACTTAACTTTATTATTTCTAATATACTCAAACTCCAACCCAATTGAATGTTTTTGATGTAATAAATTTATCTTCAACTTCAATCTTATCCGAACTAGTACCAACTAAAACTTTATATGTACCTTTATCAGATTGCCATTTACGTTTCAGTACATTCCAATATGATGTGGCTTCCTTTATACTGATTGATAATTCAACAATACCTGATTTACCCGCTTCTAAATGAATCTTTCCAAAATCTTTCAATTCTTTCTTTGGTCTTGGAATTAATGGATTCTCTTGTTCAATATATATTTGAACAACTTCAGCTCCGGCTAATTTACCAGTGTTGGTAACTCTAACTTTAATATCAACAGAATCACCATCATTAGTAACAACTAATTCATCAAGTTCAAAACTTGTATATGATAATCCATGACCAAATGCAAATAATGGTTTAAGATCAATCTTTTCATAATATCTATACCCAACAAATACATCTTCACCATACAAAACTTCTCCATTAGAAGAACCAAAATTAAAGTATGATGGATTGTCCTGCAATCTTTTTGGGAATGTCATTGATAATTTCCCTGATGGATTATAATCCCCAAATAACACATCAGCAATAGTATTACCTAATTCATTACCTCCAAACCAGGCTTGAATTATAGCGGGAACTTTTTCAGCCCATGGCATAGTAACTGGTGATCCAGATTGATTGACTACAATAACGTTAGGATTAGCCTTAACTACTTGTTCAATTAATTCATTGGTTGATCCTGGAATATCCATATCTGGTCTATCAAATCCTTCTGATTCACATTCTTTAGAAAGACCAACTACAAGAACCACAGTATCAACTTCTTTAGCTAATTTAACTGCTTTTGAAATTTCAACTTCAGGAGTAGATTTAATTTGAATACCGAAATAAACTCCACCAGCATCTTCAAGTCCACTTTCTAATGTATATGTAGGAGCAGTACCGAATTCAACTCTGACATTATAAGAAACACCCTTTTCTAAATGAACTGAACCTCTTTCTTCTCTGGTACCCATACCTAAAAAGTAAGCATCCCCTTTCGTTTGTTTGGTTTTATTATCAACCACTAAAGCATCATCAACGAATATTTGAGCAGTACCAACACATGAAGTACCAAAATTATATTCAGCAGTTTCATCAGGAATATAAGTACCGGTGAAATCAACATAGTATAAAGGTTTATTGGGATCTAAGTGTTCACTACTATAATCAGAAAGTAAAACTCTTGAAGTTGATAATTTCAATTCTTCTAATAAAAGTCTATCCCCTTTATGACCTGGTGGATGTTTATAAAATCTAGCATTAAGACCCTTTTCACCTTCTTCATTGAATAAAGTGAGTCCCACATCAGGTAAAGTACTATCTAAGAAAGCTCCTAAAGAATATTCTAAACCAACAGTATTGTTTCCTTCTTCAAGTTTAGTTTGGATACCTTCCCAAGGAGTGATTTTATAACGAGTGGTCATAGAAGCGGAACCGCCACCTGAATCTTGAGCAACTTTTACATTTGGACCAATGACAGCAATCTTTCCTTGACCTTCAATTTTAGTCTTGGATAATGGTAAGATATTATTTTCATTCTTTAATAACACAATCGATTCATCACCCACTTTTCTTAATAATTCACCAGCGGCTGGATCATCATTAGGAGATTCCACTACATCATCAGGTATTTCAGCCTTTAAACTTTCATTAACCAATCTTAAAATATAACGAACGTTTTCATCAATGACATCTTCGCTAACTTCATTAGATTGAACGGCTTGAAGAACTTGATTTATTTGTCTAAATCTAGTTGGACCAGGCATTTCTAAATTCAATCCTGCATCCAAGGCTTCTTTGGTTGAATAAACTCCATACCAATCAGACATAATAGTTCCAGTATAATTCAATTCCTTTCTTAAAATATCCTGTAAGATTTTCTTACTTTGAGATACATGTTCACCATTGATCTTATTATAAGATGTCATAAATGATTTTGGATTGGAATCTCTAATAGCAATATGGAAAGGTTTTAAATAAATTTCTCTGAATGCTCTGTCAGTTAATAAAGTATCAACAGCTCTTCTGTCATCTTCTTGATCATTACAAACGAAATGTTTAAGACAAGCCACAACTTTTTCATTTTGAATACCTTTGATAACACTAGCAGCAGCAATACCCGATAATAAAGGGTCTTCAGAATAACTTTCAAATGATCTTCCACCTAAGGGAGAACGGATAATATTACAAGTTGGACCTAAAATAATGGCAGCCCCTTTTAATTTAGCTTCTTTTCCCATTAATTCACCTGATTCCACTAATAAATCTTTATTAAAAGTTGCTGCTAAACCGGTACCACAAGGGAAACAATTGGATGGAACACCATTGAAAAATTTCGTACCTCTAATACCATTTGGACCATCTGAAACTCTAATGGAAGGGATTTTAACTCGAGGAATTGGAACGGTATGCCAAAAATCTTTTCCGGCTAATAACGATATTTTCTCAGCTAATGTTAATTCATCGATTAAATAATCAATGTCTAATTGATTATAGCTAGTTGTCTTGATAGGACTCATGATACTAAAATGTCTTGAATAGTACTAAAGATGTAACAAAACCGACAATTGTGCTTTAAGTAGAAAAGTAAACACTTATATATATATATATATATTTTACAAAATTCAATGGAGAAATACGATCTATTTTATTTAAAGGGGGAATATGTGTCGATTTGCGGGAGAGAAAATTTACAAATTAGTATGCTCTCCTATAAAACAAGTTGTTATGTATCAATATCGGCCTAATGATTTTCATGTTACAATCATATTCCTTATACTGAGCATATCTTAATCTTACACCCCCAAGGAACAGCTGTAGAATCTTGAGTTAACCTTTAAACAAAGCCTATGGACCATCTAACAAGTCATTGATTCATTTGGTTTCCCCCCACCCTTTGGGGTGTGATGATAAAGGGTATCTTTCTCAAATGGGAAATCCTACCTTAAATCCAGTTCAGTAGAAGGATGCTCTGCTTAAACTAATTGAAATGATGGAGATTGTTTACCATCAGTCCCTAAAGCGCGTTAATTTTTAAAAATTACCCCACCTTTTTTTTAGTTAAGGTTGAGCCCTCGCAACATGTCAAAAAAAAGGTTAAACTTGATGATTCTCCGCTGCTCCACTTCGATTAGGTTAAATCCAAGTTTTTTTTACCTTAATACTGAAAGAGAATACATCTATAAGGTTTGCACGGATATCCTACAATTTAAGAAGTTAATTGGGTTGTGAGTAATAAGACACGTAGGAACTTTAAGAATTAACTGGGGATATTACTATTTACAGAAAAAAAAATAAAAAAAGAACACAAAAGTTTAATAATTTATGTTTCCAAATCGAGTAGGGATTCCTCGCAAGATATTTCGCTGAGGAAAATATGGGGTAGGGTTTTATGTTCTCAAAGTCATTGGTGTATAATATTTCCGCTTATCTAATTAATTTTGGTAACTTATTGAAAGTGTTCCGTGCAACATCTCTCAAGCATAGAAGAACCTTGTTGGGTTCAAATAATTTGGGGGACCTTCTAACCTTATTCAATATATGATTCGATTTGTTTTATTCTTTACTTATACTTTATTAACGTGTAGCTGTGAAGAAACGCTCATACTGGTCGCTCATACTTGTCTTGTCTTGTCTTGTCCTAAACGGTTAATGATTTAGTTGAATTTATCAAATGACAAAAGAATGAGCTCATTGATTGAATCTTTTAAAATCGCATACTTAGTTATTGTTTACCATATATCTTCTTTGTCATTTCATTAAATTAAAATTATTAGAAATTGTATTCTATCTATAAGTTATTGCAATTTCAATTTTCCAAAGATGGTACAATTGGTATCCTAATAGATTGGAAGTTTTAGCCTTGTATTCCTCTTCGTGACTTCTTTGTGTGAGTGTGTTTTAAAAATCAACGGACGATTGTACTATTTTAGGAAACGGAATTGCGAGAATATCAAAGTTAATTAGCGAAAGTTAAAAAGAAAACCTCACATATAAAAAAATGGGGAAGATACATAATTACATAGAAATGGGGGAAGATACGTAATTATATTATAAAACTACAATATAGTCTGACACATTGGTTGTCAAGCCAAAAATAAAAAAATGAATTTGAGAAATCTGGAATAATTTGCGCTAGGTGCTTGAATATGGGGTAAACAATGACCTCTATCGGAATAATACGCGGCCTAACAATTATACTAAATCTCTTTCTGAGGGTGGCTCAACTGGAACAGAATTTGAAGTAGGATGATTTGTTGGCTTGCAGATTTCAACAAGCTATATCAAGCCATACACCATCCAATACTTATGAAAGATAATGTTCTATTAGGTTGAAAAAAAAAGACAAACTTATTTTCGGTCATTTTACTAGGAAGCCCGATCTGTTAAGAAGCACAGAACTAGGAGGGGAAAGTATTTGACATCAAATCTATTAAAAAATACTATCTATAAATCGTTCCCTTACCTATTTCAAACATTGTCAACCGACGTAAATGGAGAAAATACCTAGTTTGTAGTTTTGCTCCTTTGAACAAAGCTTATATTTATCATGATATTTTTGAACATTGATACATAACCGATCAAATCATATGAGGAATATTTTCCGAGTTTATAGTTTTGTGAAGTTGGAATTGGAGAGTAATTCCAGGAACAAAATTAAATCAGCCGTCGATATATATATGAATTGAACATTAATATTTAAAAAGCCTCTTTATTTTGTGGGGTATGCCTTATATTCTTGGGGTAACAAATAATCCGTAAAAAATAATCATAACCTACATACGCTCAAGTGTTACCTATCAACCCAAGAGGTTTCTATTTAATTTTAGATTGTCTAGTTAAACTTTTAGTGGCTGTTTGTGTAGTTACAAGTTTGATGACACCCCCCTCTTCATATTCTTGTGTGTTTTACTGGTTTGTGTTTGCGGAGAAGTAAACTAACCCTCTTTTATTTACACAAATTAATAGAAAGTTGCAAATAATAACAACATTACTAAAAATAATAAATATTCCGACTCTAATGAATGCAAATTTACCGTACACTAAATCTAAATCCATAACATTCGAATGGTCAACAAAATTAGAATCTTAAAACCTTATATTATTACACTTTGGTATATATACACTTAAATTATCCATTATCGATTATCATAATTTCATTTTAATTCTTTTTTTTTATAATTATCTTCTGTCCTGGCTAATCTATCTTAGTACTTCTATTAAAAGAGAAACACGTCACTGGTTGATATATAACTGAAGTCCATCATAACACCACAAGACTCAAATTTTGCACCTATGTCAGAAAAGGTTGGATATATAAAGGATCAAAATGATTCTGTTTCCATCACTGGTAATATTCAATTACAACAAGAGTTTTTAAACAGTGAAGATGTTGAAAACTATCTTTACCATGATAAACCTTGGTGGAGACATTCCCATTTCCGTTGGTTACATTTCTATATCTTTATAGTTACTATTACATCTACCAGTAATGGTTATGATAGTTCTATGTTGAATGGTTTCCAATCCTTATCAACTTGGAACATAAAAATGGGTCACCCAGAAGGTTCAGTTTTAGGTGCTCTTTCTAACGGTACTACTTTTGGTGCCATTGCTGCTTTCTCAATTGCTTCATGGCTTTCTGATAAATATGGTAGAAAAAAATGTATTGCCGGGGGTGTAAGTATTATTATTATTGGTGCTATTTTGCAAGGTGCTTCTACTAATTATGCTTTCTTCTTATGTTCAAGAATTGTCCTTGGTATTGGTTTTGGGATTGCTACTTGTTCTTCTCCTTCATTAATTGCTGAATTATCTTTTCCATCTTACAGACCCACTTGTACTGCTTGTTACAATACCTTATGGTATTTCGGTGCTATCCTTGCTGCTTGGATTACTTATGGTACAAGAAATATCAAGGGTGATAATGCATGGAGAGTTCCATCATATTTACAAGGTTTTTTTTCACTTGTTCAAGTTATATTCATTTGGATGGTTCCTGAATCTCCAAGATTTTTAATTTCTAAAGGTAAGGTTGAACAAGCGAGAAAGATTTTACATAAATATCATACTGGATCATCTGAAGATGAAAGAGCTCACAGACTTGTTGATTTTGAAATTAGAGAAATTGAAGCTGCTCTTGAATTAGAAAAAGTTTATTCTACCACTAGATTCGTTGATTTCGTTAAAATTCCAACATTTAGAAAGAGATTATTCTTAATTTTGTTCACTGCTTGGATTATGCAACTTTCTGGTAATGGTTTAGTTTCATATTATTTGAATAAGGTTTTAGATTCTATTGGAATCACTAGTCCTACTAGACAATTAGAAATTAATGGTTGTTTAATGATTTATAACTTTGTTATTTCTGTTGTTATGGCATGTGTCGTTTATAAATTCAAAAGAAGAACGGTATTCTTAATTTGTATAAGTGGTATGTTGACTACTTATATTATTTGGACAGCCCTTTCAGCTATCAATCAAAAGACCAATTTTGAACATAAAGGTTTAGCCAATGGTGTTCTTGCTATGATTTTCCTTTATTATCTTTCTTATAACTTTGGTGCTAATGGTTTACCATATTTATATATTACTGAAATTTTACCATATTCCCATAGAGCTAAGGGGCTTAATCTTTTCCAAGTTACCCAAAATATTATCCTTCTTTATAACGGGTTTGTTAATGCTATTGCTATGGAAGCTATTGAATGGAAATATTATATTGTCTATTGTTGTATTCTTGCTTGTGAATTAGTTATTGTTTACTTCACTTTTGTTGAAACTTATGGTCACACCTTAGAAGAAGTTGCTAAAGTCTTTGGAGATGATCCAACTACTGGTATTACTTTTGCTGATAATTCTACTTCTTCACCAGCTGAAAAAGTAGAAATTGAACATGCAGAACATGCTGATAGTGTTTAATAACTAGGTTGAGTCTAAAGTTCTTGCTTTCTCCTTTGTTTTTAATTCTTGTTATTCATATTGATATGAATATTAAATATAAATCTATAAATGATATGACTTTACCCTACTAGTTTAGTTTCTTTGTATCTTAACTAATCTATAATAAATTTCTACTTTGAATCTTCTGTAGATTTGAGATCCTAAAATCCCGAAATAGACAATACCGATATGGGATTGATATTTTTAGACTGCAAAAGGTACTAATACGAATCCCGTTATATTATACTTCAAAAAAGGGTTAAACTCCTGTTATCGCCATTAAAACCGTATCGACGCCTAATTAGGAAACGACTATTTTATAAATCTTTGTAATCTAAACCATCTATAACAACTGTCATCGCCGTCGGGACCTGTATATAGTATGCGGAATTCGGATCGAAAAGTTTTCACTAATTTTTTTTCTTTCTTGTGCCTTCAAAGGATAAGGCAGCCATATATTTAATGCTATAAAAATCTTTATCAGATCTTTCATCATTTGCCATCCACAGTATCATAAACAAGGCTTATTACTCTTAGCGTGTGAGTTTCAGTGTGTGGTTGTGTATTCCTATTTGGATTTAGTTTAGATTAAGAAAAATTTTCCATTTAAACTAGAAAAAGATCCTGTTATCTATATTCATTCCTTCCTTAGTTCGTTTCTTTCATCATCCTTATATATATATTATACGTGTTTCATCTATCATTCGTCATACTATAGAGTCGTTTAGATAGAGAATATTTACCCATCAGTCATAGATTATATCTTTTTATTACAAGATCCACGATAGATCACTACTTCTTATAGATACAACATACCTTCAAAAATTCAATACAAATGGGATTATTCGATAAACTTATAAGAAGAACTAGTCAAAATCATGACGAAGAAGTCAAATCCAAAGGGTTTGAAATAGCTGATTGTTCATTTGATTGCGAGAGTTGTGATTCCAAATTCCCTGCCTCTTTAAAATTCGATGATGAAGCTGATTTATGGAATTCAACTAAACCTTATGGTCTTCATTTCATTGTATCAACTGGTAAAACCGATTGGGCCCATGATGCCACGGGTGAATCAAATACTTTATCTCATTCAGTATCGAAATGGGCTGGTAATAATGCAGGAAATTTTGTTGGTCTTGAACTGAGTGCTATTAAAACTTCAGTATCATCCTTATCATCAGATGAATTATTGATTAATGATGATTATAAACAAGAATTAGTTGGTGATATATTAGTATTACCATTTTTCATTTGGATTAAAAATATTCATTTAAATCAAGTTGACGAATTCTTATCTACTTTTATACCTAAATTAATTGAATTTAGAGCTCAAAATTTAACCAGTTTAAATTTTGATAGTTTTAAACAAGAATTCCCCACCATTAAATTAGAAGTTGATACTTTTAAATCATATGTCTTCCTTTGTTCTCATAAACATAGAGATAAAAGATGTGGTATAACTGCTCCAATCATGAAAAAGGAAATTGAAATTCATTTACGAGATTTACAACTTTATCGTGATGTTGGTGATAATACTCCAAATGGGGTTAAAGTTGCATTCATTAATCATATCGGAGGTCATAAATTTTCGGCCAATGTTATTATTTATTTAAGAAATCTGGGAAAAAACATTTGGTTAGCTAGATGTAGACCAAATAATGTTAGACCAATCATTGATCAATGTATATTAAATGATGGTAAGATTTGGCCTGATAATGTTAGACTTATTCAAAAGTTCCATCACATAGAATGGTAGTCAGAGTGTGTTTTTTTTTCCTTCAAAAAATTACTATATAGATAGCTAGACTTTTAATACCTATATAAATACCTTTAATATATTTAATCTTCTTTCCATAGAATCAATGATAGTTGATTTTAATTTGGCAATATCATTGGTTAAAATGTTAGATAATCGATTGATTTCATTATTAAAAAATTTTTGAGATTCTTCAGTACCATCATTAATGATTTTATTAAGTAATTTTTTATAATAATTTATCATTTCTGAATCTTCAAATTTTGAAACTTCTTTATTTAAAATTTCAATAGCAATGTTTTTACTAAGGGTAGATTTACTTTGAATAATTCTATCCAATTTTTCAATTCTACCAGCTCTATCAGATAATCTTCCACTTCTAATTCTATGAATCTTGGTTAAATCATTAATCTTTTCTAATAAACTTGGTAAATCACGATTTTTAATCACAATAGGATCATCTTTAAGATCACTATTAAAGTAAAGGATAGCAGGTAAATATTCGACATTATACTTTCTAAATATTTTTTCAGCTTCAACCACATCCTTCTCCACCACAGCAAATTGTAATTGATTCTTATCATTAATGAAAATATCATTAGATAATTCACTAATGAAGGGTTTAAGCTCTTGACAATATTTACACCAAGTAGCTGAAAATACCACAATAGAATGCTTAACTCCAGAATCCAAGATTACATTATCAAAAGTAGCATCATCTAATTTAATAATATGATCTTCCTTTTCATTTTCTTCTTCATTATTCATATATTCAAGGATTTGTTGTTTATCTTCAATTTGGTTAGTATTATCTTCACCAAGTCTAACCCCACTAGCAACTTGAATGAAATTACTGATACTTTGTAAATCTCTCATTCCATCGAATTCAATCGGTTTATCATCACCATGAAATAATTTCAAAGTTGGGAATCCAATATCAGCATATTTTCTAGCCATCTTCTTCCCATCTTTATCCCCGTTAATCTTAGTAATGGTGATTTGATCTTGATATGGTTCGAACAAATCAGCCAATTCTTCAATGGTAGGCATCAAATTGGCACAATGACGACACCAATCAGCATAGAAGTCCACCAATACGTATTTCCCTGATTCAATAGCTACTTTCTTGAATGAATTATCATCAATTTGAATTAAATTTGATGAACCTGAATAAGCATGAACAACGGCACTGAAAAGTGTGAATGAAAACAATAGTATATGATATACTTTTAAATTAGGCAAACTAACCATATTGTCGTTTTAGTTTCTGGTGAAAGAATGATACGATGAAATGAATTTGAAAAATTATTGAATTATTTGTCTTATTTATGCTGTTTATTATAAATCAAAATCATTCTGCTAAACAATTTTTTTGCCATTTGTTTTAACATCCATACCACAATAATAAATAGAAAACTTTGAAGTGTGCTACCACATACGCGTAAGAAATACCGATGAAACCTACTAAACTAATAGTTATATTTAATATTGTACATTGAATCATTAATATTACATATTACAAACTATTTAGTTTCCCCCTTTGAATGTTTTTAATGGTATAGGTGTTAAAGTGAAGTAAGAATTATGTTTAGTTGCAACACCTGCAATTGAATTATACCAACCGACTAATGCGGTTATAACGCCAATCACTCCAGCGGCTCTTATAACCGAGTCACTTAACATTAAATTACCTATAGCAAGAAGTAAAAATGTTAATAATAACAATACAAATAAGGAAATGAATGCAACTGTTGATTTGAAAGTGGCCATTAATAATAAAAATGTAAATATGGCTGTTCCTAAGAATAAGAATCCTATAGCAGTAGGTAATTGATCAGTTTCATCATATGCTTGATGTATACCAAAGGCCTCGATGAATATGGATGAATAAGCTATAAAAATGGCTCCATATGATGTTAAAGCTGTAGCAGCGAAAGTATTACCTTCGACAAATAACCATGCACCAGCTAAGAATTGAACTAAACCACCATAAAACACTGCTAATGATATGAAAACATTTGGAATATCGATTCCCATGGCATGGGCATTAAATAATGAAAGTAAAAAAACTGTGAGTGAAAGGGCAACTAAACCTAATGGAGCTGTATTAAAATCATGTTTGGGATAAGGTCTTACACCAGGATTTAATGAACCTCCAAACGCTAACATTAGTTCATGACGATAATATTTCTGATTCCCAATGATAACAAATTCATCGGAATCACCAGAATATTTGATTCTAGTTAAGGATGGTCCGGATTGTATGGAAGTGATTGAAGCAGAATCGTTATCAGCCATTATTAGTTATTATTTTTTGTTGAATTATTATATTGATTTTTTTTAATGTCAGTAGATAGTATACTTAATTTGGATTTGGAATAATATTGATTACAGAAATTTATAGATACAAGATGAGATTGTAAAAAGATGATACAGAAGACTTATACAAACATTTATAAATTACAGGGTTTCGAGCAGAATCGATTGTTATTATATGAAAATCATCATATGTTTTTGCACTAGTTAAAAAGCCCGATATTGGTTTTAAAATTTAAATATTGCAAATATAAGAGAGAGAGAGAAAACAAAATGGAATTTGAAAACCTTCCAATTACGGAGTCATATGACCGTAAAGGTGCATTTTATAAAAAAACTGTTCGCTACAACATTAATAATTAGAGTTATAATTTAGAAAATGGTATGAAAAATGGCGTTGTAGCCCTAAAATGTAACAATAATCTAATTTTAACTATGGAGAAAAAAAAAAATACTAAAACGTTGCATCGGAATAAAATAAGGTGGAAATGCATAATTTTGTTAGCGTGAAAAATATTGGATCTACAAACCAGCATAAATGAATAAAAATTAAATAGGAAAAACTACTGACGGAAGGCATCTGACCGAATAGAGTTTTATGAATAGTATATTATCTTGTTTACCTCGAGAAAGTAAAATATTTCTATAATTGGCTCCAAGGCTTTTTTGACTAAGTTCTTTGATGATTTTTTTTTGTTCTATGTCGGAAAATCTAAAGATCAAAAGGTTGATCTTAATCTTTTAATAATTAAAATCTTGTCTTGACTTACCTTCTTTGATCATACACAACGACCATCATTTAATTGGAAACCAATATGAATCGGATTATTGAATATATTAAATCCTTTTAAACCTTAATTTAAACTAGCATTAATATAATGATAATTACATATGGGGGAGGTGGAGAGCATTGGCGATATCGGAATATCTCGCTTGACCACAAAAAAACCTAAATGTTTTTTTTATTTTATTTTGTTTATAATAGTAAATGATGCTTAATTTTTGTCTACTAACGTCTATATCCCGATCTCACCGAACTAAATTTGTTCAATTATTGTTTGAATAGAATTTAAAGCTAATTTGAGATGAAGTTTAACTTTATTTTTCAAACGTTTAGTCATCTTCTAAAAGTGATGTTTTGAACCGACTTTACAGAAATAGTAACAAACTATAGGTTATTTCTCCTCAACTTCTGATAATATTTGAATTTACTCTTCGAGAAATAGAATTATAATCTTTTAATTATCAATTGTTAGTGTTAATGTTAAAAATCTGATCTTTTACTTCTTTAGATTATGGTTCGGAAGGCTATATACGAGGTCATTTCCGAAATTTTAACTATGGGAAACACGTGAACTAAATAGACAATTTGTGAGAAACATTTTAATTTTTATCTTTCAAGAAATGGTTTTGTGGTCTAGTTGGTTATGGCATCTGCTTAACACGCAGAACGTCCCCAGTTCGATCCTGGGCAAAATCATATCTTAACTTTATTTTTTTTTCATTATTCAAACTGTGAATTTTGATTTGTTTTTTTGAACTATAGATTGAAAAATTATGATCTGATTTTAATACTACTTCAATGGAACTCCCCCCCACAAATCATAATGTTAACATTGAATAGACTAATAACTCCAAAGAAATTAAATCCAAGAATAATAAGATCATTGTCAGTGACTTCATCTTTAGGACTTGAAAAACCTTCATTAACATTTTTCACCAAGAAAACTTGTATGTTGTGTACTAATGCTCATCAAGTTTTAAATGATACTTTACATAATGAGTCATTGAAACATAAGGATATAGATTTGAAAATCATTGATATCATGAATCCAGAGAATCAAAAATGGTTTGATGTGTATTGTTATGATGTACCAGTGTTACACGTCGATAGAGAAAGTCAAAAGAAACCAGTTAAATTCATGCATTATTTATATGAAGATAAGTTATTAGAGGAATTCAATAAAGAATGATAGATAAATTTTTCATGTACATATTTAGTTTCATTAGCATACCCCCCTTGTAAATATAAATTTCATTTTTTGGTTTTCCTTCTTGGAACTAAAGGAAAGTCATCAACATTTGCAATTGAAAATTCATCAAATGTATCATTATCATTATTAATAGCAGATACTTTTCTTTTCTTTTTGTCAGAATTCAGTGGCTCTTCAAGTTTCTTTGTCGTTGATCTAGATTCCAATTGCTTGATCTTGCTTTCAAAATTTGTTTGCAAAAGTTTTTTTTCATTTTCGGATTTTTTCAATTGGTTTTCTAAATTTGATAAACTAGACTGTAACGATTCCTTCTCCTTTAATTGAGATTTATTATCTATTTCTAACATCTTGATCTTTTCTTTGAAACCGATAATATCATTCTTATATTTTGCTTCCTTGACAGTAAACTTCTTATTTGACTCCTTTAATGAATTCCCAATATTTCTAATTTGATCATCATGAATTCTCTTGTCATAATCATTCTTTTGTTCAGTTTGAAATTGTTTGGTCAATTTATCAATCTTTTCATTCAATGAACTTTCAATGACCCCTTTCTCTGTAAGCTTATTGTTAACCTTTAATAATTCCTTTTGAGAAGATTCATACTTTTTTGTAATTTTTGCAATTTCACTTTGATAATTGGATTCATTAGTCTTAGTTTTCATCTTTAAAATTTCCAACTCTGTAGCACTTTGCTTAATCTCTCTTTTAGATTGCTTTAATATTTCATAATCTGCTTTAATCTTTTCTAATTCTTTAATTTTCTTAGTTAATGTATCTCTTTCAGAAATATTTTGAATCTTTTCATTATTAGCAATGGCAAGAAATTCTTTAAGTGATGCAATCAGGGTTTTAAAATTTTTAGTTAATTCTTGCTTTTCATGTTCGGCAGTTTGACTAACCTCATCTAATTTCAGTACTTTTTGCTTTAAATCTTTTTCAAGCTTAATCACATTGGCTTTCAAATTTTTGATCTCAGTAGTTTTAGATGATGATTGTAACTTTTGCGTTTCAAATAATTTCTCAAAATTTAGAATCTTAACCGCAGCATCTTTCAATTCTTGGGTAATTTTCAACTTCTCATCTTGATACACTTTAATTTGATTAGAAAGTTCAGATATTGAACTATTCCACAGATTATTATTAGTCAATTGCTCTTCTAACTTCACCGATAAACTAGTTAACATTTGCTTTAATTCTGAAGTTGAAAAATTAGCATCCTTTTTTATGGCTGCGAATTTATCTTTTAAAGAGGAATCTTGTAAATTATTAACCGTTTCCAACATAGTTTTGAAATTGGATGAAATATCTGAAATAGAATTAGGAAACACTTCATCAATAGATTGTATACTATTTTTAATCAAGTTAATAGATTCAAAAGTGGAAGTTGTGTATTCCTTTAATTGAGTTTGTAATTGGTTGCTTTCTGCTGCTAATTTTCCAAGAACACTTGTTTCGAAAGATTTAGAAAATTGATCAAATACATTTTCAATATGTGAAGAAACTTGTTTCAGATTTTCTACTATTTGAACTTTTAAATCTTTATCAATCTTATCATTCAACAAATTAAACGATTGGTCTTGTTTTTCTATCAATTGTTTAGCATATAATTCACTTGTTTCGTTAAGTTTATTATTTAAAGAACAAACTTTAATTTTTTCTTCGGACAAATTACCAGATAATTCATCAACAGATGCTTCTAGAGTTTTTATCAATAAGTTCTGTTTTTCAAACTTTAATTTAAAACCATTTGATCTTAATTTATACGATTCTAAGTATTTTGTTGTTTTGGATAACCTTTCCTTTAAATGTTGAACTGATTTCTGGGTGGTTTCCAAATCCAGTTTTATTTCTTCAATATAATTTGATCTTTCACTTTTATCAGTCTTCATTTCTTTTAATTCCAGAGCAAATTCATTTAAGATAGAGTTTAGTGAATTTAGTTTTTGAGTAACTGTAGTTACTTTACCTTGCATTGCTTGTAATTCATTTTCCTTTACCGATATGACTTGGTTGGATTTTGTTAATTGGTATTTGTAACTAGTACACTTTGATTCTAATTCAGTGATAATATTAAAAAATGAATTAGAAAGAGAATCATTAGGCCTGAAATCTGATTTTACAGTCAGAGAAATTTGTTTAACAGGTGCAACTTTTATTAAATCATGCTTACTTTCAATTTGTTTGAGAGTAGTTGAAGTATAACCATAATCAATTGATTCAGTTTTAGTATTTTCTTTCCCCTCTTGATTATCAATATCTGTAGATTGAGAAGAAGAAATTCTTGGAGTTGATTTAAAATCAGAATTTGATTTAGGAGTTGTAGAGTATATCTTATTAGAAAATAATTTAGTACTTAACTTACTATTACCAAATAAGAATGGTTGTTTAGTTGGAATTCTTATTTTAGCTGGTGTTGAAGAATCAATGACTTCGGAATCACGTAAACTATGATTACTCCATTTATAATTGAATCCATCTGGTTTAGATTCAGAACTGTTTGCCATTGATCTCATCGATGAAGTCTCCTGAGTTTCATTATGATTTACTTCTTTAGTATCATTTGATATAGATAAATCCAAATCTACTGAAGTTACATCTGATGTATCATTTGTATCATCTTGTCCACCACCATCATTTGCAATCGTATTATTAACATTGTTATTTCCAGAATCAATCAACTTATTATCATGAGAACTCAAATTAAGCTGAATCCTAGATTCTTGAGCCACATCTTTAAAGAAAGTCGACATTGTTTAGTTTAGATAGATGATTATACAGCTGCTCTCTAGATGTGATTGATTAAAAGATCATTTTGACCGTCATAATTATTCCACAAAAATGAATAATCCTAACAAAAGAGGGGACTGCCTCTTTGGGACGACGTGATTTATTTAGTTGCGATTTCTTTCACGTGTGATTTTGTAAAGGCACCATTTCTTCTGGTTTAAAACAAGTTAAGACTTCAATTCTAGGGGGGTTCTAATGAAAGATCATAGTTCACATTGGTTCATTCTTCAGTATATGGTAGTAACTTTAGTTTATTGTTCTAGTGACCTTACCATTTAAGCTGTAAAGCTTCCACACACTAAATTTTTTTTCCTTTTTATGCCCCGCTGCGGAAATTTGAGATAAATCTTAAGTATAATAATAGAAATTGATCCCTAAATTATCTCTTCTTTATAACCAGTGCAATTGATTTCATTGACAACCGAATAAGTGATATTCAAGAAACGATTCATAACAAATCATAGCACTATGTCAGATCAACGTCAAAAAGTGGCCTTAATTACGGGTGCTTCATCAGGAATTGGATATGCAGCTTCAATAGAATTTGCCAAGAGGGGATATAAAGTATTTGCTGCTGCTAGAAGATTAGAACCAATGGAACCATTGAAGGAATATGGGGTAATTCCATTCAAATTAGATGTGTCTGATTTAGATAGTGTGAAAAATGCCAAAAAATTCATAATTGATCAAACTGGTGACAAATATTTGGATATTCTTTATAATAATGCTGGTCAATCATGTACATTTGCAGCTTTGGATGTATCAGATGAATACTTTAAACAATGTTTTGAAGTCAATGTATATGGTCCAATGAGATTGGTTAGAGAATTAGGTCCATTGGTTATAAATGCCAAGGGGGCTATTGGATTTACTGGTTCTGTAAGTGGTATTGTTCCATTCCCATTAAGTTGTACTTATTCTGCTACCAAGGCTGCCATTCATCAATATGCTGCTACTTTAAGAATTGAAATGTTAGGATTTGATGTTAAAGTGCTTAATTTTATTACTGGTGGTGTTAAAACTGATATTGAAGATAAAAGATCTTTACCATCAACTTCCATCTATAATATTCCTGAAATGGAATATACTCTTAGAGAAAGACAACAAATGGCAGCTAGAAATAATCCAATGCCCGCTGCAGAATATGCTAGAAGAGTAGTAAATGATTTTGAAGGTGCTAGATTAGGTGGTACATTGAATTATTACCGTGGTAAAATGGCTACATTCTTAGGTACCGTCTTATGGTGGTGTCCAAGATTCTTCCTAGAATATATTTTATTAAGAAAATTCAAAATGGATGTTGTATTTGCAGCTTTAAAAGTCAAATATGCCAAACAAAAATTGGATTAAATGAGATATTGTCTATAGATATATATATATATATATGTTTACTTACTTTTTATGCGTAGTTAGTTTTATAATGTTCAATCACAACTGATTTCATTAATGCTCTTGGAGCTGGTTTATTTGTAAACATCTCAAATTGAGCTAATGCTTGTGCATAAAGGTAATTCAATCCATTCACTGACACCCAACCTTTATCTTTATATTGTTTAGCTCTTTGAAGGATTGGTGTTATTAATGGTTCATAACCGGTTTCTAAAACAACCCCTCCTGAGGGACTCTTAAACCAATTAGGAGAGAATTGAATATTGGTAGGTTGACCTGTTATCCTATCTGAACTTGGAACACAACTTATAATAATGGTTGGATAATTGAAATTATTAGGAATAATACCTCCATTGAATTCATCATCATTTAGTAAGATGATTTCAAAATATTTTAAATCATCAATATTTGAATCATATTCTCCTGTTGAAAGTGATGAAGATGGCCTTATAGGTGATAATGAATTATAATAATTAGCCAAATCCTGAGCTTTATTAAATGTTCTATTATATAATAAAATTCTCTGATAACCTAATTGGATCAATGCATATATGGCCGAACGACTCATACCACCAGCTCCAAGTACCAAAGCTGTTTTATTCTTACTGACAGCATTTATAGGCGATATATTATCAATCAACGATAATCGAACTCCTAACCAATCTGTATTTTCACCTCTAATGCAAGTTATTTGATTTGGATTTTCAAAACTTCTTTCTGCCACAATTGAATTCAAAGCTCCAATGATTTTAACATGATTTGACATGGAATCAACATATTTCAAAGCTTCTAATTTAAATGGCATAATAATAGCCGTACCTCCAAAATTTGGTGATTTAACTAATTCAGCTAAATATGGCATTAAAGTTGAACATTCAAACGTGGCATAAGTATGAGGCAATCCTAAAGCTTTATAAGCTGTATTATGTATTACGGGTGATAAAGAATTAGATACATCTCTTCCCATGATGTAGAATTTCAAGCTTGGTAATAAAAATGATGAGTATAAAGCTTGATGAATTTGAGACGATACTAATGATGGATTGGAGCTAATGGGGATATCAACTGGAGTTAAGAATTTATTACATATTTTGGAGAATTTTCCTAATTCATTATTATTAAATGTTGAAATAGTTAAATTAGGATAATTTTCAGAAACGAATTGATTAAATTTGAATATTTTAAAATTATCTGATAATCGAGTTGCAAATGAATTCAATCTCAAATAATTTAATTTTAATTTTCGTGATAATTCAACTATCGCAAGACCATTAATTTTGATTTCTTCATCATTTTCAATAGCATCACTACCACTTTCATCATCATCATCATCAATACTCCAAAAATCAGGATCTTGAGATGTGAAAGAACCGATGATTTTGGTATTTCCTTTTATTTTATTCAAATGATCCATTACTATTGTCGAATCATGATTGGTATCAGGGACGAATAAACCTAAATCTAAAGTAATATAATCCATGGCTAATTTAGATATCGAGTAAAGGAAATTATAATAATAATTGAATACTTCTGATTTAATGGCTTCTGAACTTCCATGAGTGAATTGATTAATATCCAGAATCGAATTATGAATACTTAATACTATGGGTAAAGAACAATTGGTAATTCTTTTCAATTGAGCTATGAATTCTTCTAATTTTACTATCGCATAAGCATTATTGATTTGTCTTGTTAATAAGATAATATCGATTTTAACTTCTAAAGCATCAACTCCATAGATTATTTCATCGATATTATCCCAGAAATTAAGATTCAAAACTTGAGGATATCTGATTTGTAAACACAGAGAGAATTTCTTATCGATAGATAATTTCAAATGTAAATCTCCGGATATAGTTGAAGCCGAGTTTGAACCTTTGATTATGAATGTTAAGAATTGAACAAATTCTCGTTCCAATGGTTTTAAAAGCAAATGATGATGATGCTGATTAGTATCTTCATCTTCATCTTCTTCTGAGTTGTTATCGGTATTACCAATTGAGATTAGATTTCTTTGAATCATAGTTAAATCAGAATGAAGATTAAAGAAATTAAAATTTGCAATGGATCTATATTTTAAGACTTTAGCTTGAATCATTTGAATTCCCTTTTCCATATCATTTGAATATTCCATATAATTAAGGATCCTTAATTCTTCACATTCAATATTTATAATACAATACTTTTTAGCATTCTTTTGTAAAAATTCAACCACTTTAACATTATCAATTGATGAAGAAGGTAAGACATAAATAGAATTTTTATGTTCATTTTCAGTTAATGATTGAGTAATCAATCTATATTGTAAATCCTTATATTCATCCAATGATACTTTATTTAAATATAATGCTTCTGGCATACCAGTATAATCACGAACACAATTTTCGACACCAACATATTTGAATTTCAAAGCTGCCAGAGCCATTAATGCCAATGTCAGTTTCCCCACTCCTCTTAACCCAATTAAAACGATAGCATGAGTATGTTGGCCATTCTTGGTTCCTCCTTCATATTCAGCTGAAGTCTCTTCGTTAGATGAAGATACTGAAGATTGAGTACCTTTCCTTTCATGACGAATATTACTATCACCCGCATTTCCCACAGCATGGAAAGTAATTGTATCAGTATGACTATGTCCATTGGGACGAATGACCGAAGTAGGTGGAGATTCGATAGTTAAATTAGCCGTTATCATTGAATTGTTTTGATCCATGATCTATATCTGGGTAGGCTTTTAATGAAAATAAAAAGGATTATATACTTTTAATCAACCAAAAGTTTAAAGGGGAGAAAAGTAATAAAAAGAAACACACACACACATACACGTTATAAAATCAAGTAAACACACATTGAATAACATTAAAATAATTTAATAATTCATCCTCATTATTAGTGTTTTGAAATCTAGTATGATACCCCATAATTGCGAAATTGAAATTTGGTGAATTGGAATTATTTTTTGCCATGTCTGGAATTACATTTAACCGTAAAAATAAAACATCCTCACCGCGAATTAATTCAGAGCAACTTATGGGATGATCTATAAGCAATATAGAGCAATGAAGTCGTTATATGACTATTCATTGAAAGAAGTCGATGATTCTATATTGGCTTAGGATTACTTATTATCGTAATACATTTGTAGTAGTAAATATTGCGTTTGCAATAAGCTGTAAGCATCCTAATTACATTGAAATAGTTGTTTACATTTAAGCTTTTGAAGTACATGTATATAACCCTACATTCTATTATATCTTCAACTACTAAGCTATCTAATTACGAACTATGTTGGACATCTGTCTCTCATAATATACTTATTGCAAAAATCGTTTGGGTGTGATAAATTGCTTTTAAAGTTTTTAGTCCCCGCGCAAAATCTATTTATATCAAAATCAAAAATCACAAACATAAATAGAAATATTAGCAGAACCAAACCTATTGACATCCCATTAAAAAGGACAACCTTGATATAACTATGATCAAATGTCAAGGAGATCTTCATTAACACCATCCGAACCATCTTTATGGTATCGGGATAAACAAATATTAAAAATTGGTCAAGTTAATCGGTATACCATCACTGTGGAACGACAAGATTCCGATATTGATCAAATATACTTACGATTGAAAAACATTGAACGACCCCCAATTCGAGCTTTTCATCTTTTAAATGGTCCATTCATCTTATACTGTCATATAGTGCCTTATAATTATAACTATCAACAACGATTCATACCTGATGATATTGAAAATAGTAAAGAAATTCAATTTAATCATGATATTAAACCAGGCGAAACTTTTAAAGGAATACTACGAATGAATGAGAATTCTCATGTAAAGGACAACATCTTTCAATGGGAAGTTGATATTATAAGTCAAATAGTCATCACTGATAAGACAAATATCAGTTATGATTTAGTTATTGGGAGAGATATGCAAATGTTAAAAAAATTACATCATATGAATAGTCTTCAGAATACCTTAACTACATTATCCACCAATATAATCAATGATAACGGAGTAAAACTTGAAGATGGTAATATTGAATTAGAGAAATCAATCCATCCTCATTTAACTGTGGTTAAACAAGATACGAGACAATTATGGGATATCAAACCCAAGTATCCGACTAAACCGGTTCATCTTATAATATTAACACATGGGATCTTTTCAAATTTGACAGCAGATATGTTATATGTAAGAGATACTTTATTAAATACCAGTAATGAAAATATCATCATAAAAGGGTATGAAGGTAATGCAGGTAAAACAGAAAAGGGAGTTAAAAAATTAGGTAAAAATATGGGAAAATATCTTATAAATTATATTGAAAATGAATGTCCATTTAAGATTGAAAAAGTATCATTTATAGGTCATTCCTTAGGTGGATTAGTTCAATTATATGCTATACGATATATTTTATTAATCAAAGGTCCTAAATGGTTTGATCAATATGGATTAATACCCCATAATTTAATATTTTTAGCATCACCATTATTAGGGATTTTAAATGAAATAAGTTTCTTTTTATCATGGTTCTTAGATTTAGGTACATTAGGTAAAACAGGTCGAGATTTGACATTATCAAAGAGGAAATTCCCCACATCTTCAAGTTCAGCTGAAACGAGTGATGATTTATCTATGAAGCCAGTGTTGGAATTATTACCTGATTTCCCATTGCATGAATTCTTAACTAGATTTAAACATTTAACTATTTATGCTAATGCTATAAACGATGGTATAGTTCCATTAAGAACAGCGGCTTTATTGTATCTTGATTATGAAGCATTAGGTGATGTTAAAGAATTGAAACATCATAAATCAATTAAATCAAGTAATCAACTGCTTCATCATTCAATTGAAACGAATAATACCATAGATACAGTCACAGAAGTTCCGGAAGATGGAGATGACGATGATGCAAAGGAGAAGAAATCAAAAGGTAGAGGTTTAATTGGATTATATAAACAAATTATAAATCTTAATTTAGGAAAATCAGCTAAGATTAATCCAACTCGGAAATTAACTAATCGTGAAAAGCGATATTTAAAGATAAATTCTAAAGGGATAGATACAATTGATATGAATCATGATGATAATAATACCAATCAATCATTAACTGGGTCCACTTCATCAAGTAATGATTCCAGTAATAATTTAACGAACAATACTTCCACTACAACTGCTAGGATTGAATCAACTACACCAACTAATATAACATTAAATATTCCTCCTCGAGCTAATGTGGTTGAATCGGCTATAAATACGATATTATGTCCGATCCCATCTACGAAATTTATCATGGATCCAAATTCAAGAGATGATGTTATATTTCATGATAAGTATTATAAATTTGAAAATATTCCTCAACATGAAGATGAACAACAGAATCATCAACAATCGGAAGATAAAAAGGTTCAATTCACATGGTCATTGATTAATCATGATTGGAAATTAAAGAAACAAGTTAAAATCGCGAGAAAATATCATACTGATAAATTAAATTGGAGAAAGATTTTAGTTAATTTACCTCCTGATGCTCATAATAATATTATTGTGCGGAGAAGGTTTGCCAATGGGTATGGATGGGGAGTTATCGATCATTTATGTTCTAATTTGTTTATGGATGGTGAAGAGGAAGTTGAAGTAGATACAGAAAAGGAAGTAGAAGATGATGAAGAGGAGGTATTACTTGATGATAAAGAGAATGAAATTGAGAATAAGGATTTAGTCAAAGCCAAAATGTAATTAGTGGGTCTCTTATTCATTCAATTATGGATTCACATATGTATTTAGTTTGTTTTGATTTATTTATTATAGGTAGTCGGTATTTATAACGGGGAATAATTTAATATATGGTTTTTTTAAAAGTAAGTATGGAGATAGAGGGAGATAAAAATGACGTAGGACCGAGATTGAGCTCGGTCGAAGTTAATGGGATGGCACACGACCAATCAATCAAGAGACACACGCCGATACGGAAACGGGAACTCGTCCCATTAAAGAATTAATGTGACACAAAAGATCATATATTATGATAAGAAAAACCAAAACCAAAACAAAACGATAAGGAAGGTAGAAGTGGAAGTGGAAGTGGAAGTGGAAGTGGGAGAAAGAAGGAGTCAAAAGAGATTGAAAGAAGTAGATGCAGACAAAGGGGACAACTGAGACGACGAGGATTATTTCAAGCAATTACTAACTATTATTTATGATATTTGTAGTTATTAGCTTATTTTATTTATATTGATGACGATGAGATGTAGTAATTGTGAAGTCAGATTATGTTATACTATGAACACCTAAAAGTCAACATGGCTGAGGAGAGATTAAGATTAAAAATGTAATTACAGATAAAGTTTTCCCCATCTATCTTAATAATAAAATAAATTGAATGAATGATGATATCATAGGCATTTCTTAAGTATTTTTGATCATCCATCGTTTAACCCACCCACATACACCCACACAGACACACTTTACTCCCATCATAAAGTACAGCTGCACACAACAATATAACCCACACTACAACACGACACAACAGAATAGAATACAACGTAACCTATCCCGTAAGGGAAGAAATCCAAAAATTTTAAGGGATACAAAAGCCAAACATTTAATGTTTTTGGTGATGACCTCCGATATTTGTGCGAGGGAAGAGGATGTAGTGCCGGTAGTAGAAAAGTTTGTTCCGACCGAGGGAAGAATATTTACGTAAATAGATAGCTTTGCAGTAACTGTACAAGACTAAGTTGTGTATTATCCTAATGTAAATTTGCTAAGCACAACCCCATTACATATAAATAAGAATTCTCAAATTAGGTTATGATTTGGATTATAATCACTTCGCTACGCTAATGAATAAAACGAGCCCTTCAATACGGTTAAGGTCCCCAAAGTCAAGGTTTGATAATTGCCAAGATTATATATTTGCAACCTCACCATTGAATGGTAATTTTACGATTCTACAAATTTGAATAGTCAAGTAACACTATTCTTCACCTTTAATGCAATGGATATCATTATTATACACATGTTCAAGAGAATTCTATCCAGAAAAATGATTGATGTTAATTGATAAAACCTTATTTCATCGGTTTTAATTACATTACCTTTGACATCAGTTTGATTATAAAATTACGACAATCCCCATATACTTCCCTATCAATTTGCTGAAAAAGATGAGTAGTTACCAAAGCAAATATGTCGTTTTTTTCCAATCTATCAAATTCAACATTTTTAGATTGTGGTAATTCATATGTCATAGTTTCTAATGATTTCATTGATGCAAGTAACGCAACTAATGTAACTGATACTGCTACTAGATATGATATTGCATATACCTGTGGATCAGATTATTATTTGTACACTTTTAAAAATAATACCAATAACCAAAAATTAGTATCAAGAAATGTGGAACCGTATATTAATCAAATTGTGGTACACAACAAATATCGGTTAATATGGGGAATACAACCAATAAAAATGATTATGCTCTATATAGTTGTGGTTTAACCCATGGAGTGTATAAAGCTGCATATCCTATCCCAAATCAGATTCTGAATTGATTAGAGTGCCAAAATTATTATTAATTTTAGCGATGTTAAGTGTATTATGTTCAATCATTTAGTATTGATTCAATCGATCAAAATCCGATAGTCTAGAAAGATCCGGTCCGAGGTGATAACAGACAAAAAAAAAGCCGTAAGATTACAAAGAAAAAAAAACGTTGAAGAGAAAAAAGTGATAAAAGATAAGCGTGTTACACAAAATATGAACAGTTCTCTGTCTGTCTGGTATTAGGTTTGTTTGATTTATGCTAAATTTAGGGAATTTTACTATTTAGGGGCAAATTAAATGATTTTACGTAAAAACATGAAACTTTGAATATTTGTTAAGGTAAGTTAGTTAAGATTTGGTGTGTGTGGTAGTTAGTTATATAATTAGTTCATTCATTCCTCTTTGATCTGATTTTTTATTTACACAAATTTGTTTCTTTTCTTCTTCTTCTTCTTCTTACTAGTCACTCCCTTATACAGAATACTATGGAACCAATCCCTAACCATGATGTAACTTACAACAACAACAAACACCACAATCACAATCCCCATCATATTCATACTCATACTCATAATATTTCAAAACTCTCATTTATCGTGATTGGCGCTGGATTAATTGGTCCACGTCATGCTTCTCATATCATATCAAGACTGGATTGTCAATTATTCGCTATCATTGATCATTCAGCAAAAGGCCCTATAGTAGCTCAACAATTAAACACGTTACTATTTAAAAATTTAGATGAATTGTTTCATTATTGTCAATCTCAACGGATTTCATATCCTGATGCTGCCATTATTGCAACTCCAAATCATACTCATGTTCAACTTGGTTTAAAATTAGCTTCTAAAGGGATCCATCTTTTAGTTGAAAAACCATTGGCTCCAACTGCTTCTGATTGTAAAACTTTAATTGATTATTGTCGTTCACATAAAATTCATCTTTTAATTGGTCATCATAGAAGATTTAATCCTTATATTATTACCACCAAGAAAAATTTAAATAAATTAGGTAAATTAGTTGCCATTCAAGGTTCATGGACTTTATGTAAACCTCCATCTTATTTTCTTGAAAAACATTGGAGATCATCTGTTGAATTAGGTGGTGGTACTTTATTAATTAATTTAATTCATGATTTAGATTTATTACAATATTTATTAGGTCCTATTGATAAAGTATATGCTGAATTATTATCCAAACAAAGAGTTGATAGATTTGATGATAATAGTGCCATTGATTCTCTTGTGGATGAAGGTGCTGCTTTAACTCTTCGATTTAGAAATGGTTGTTGTGGAACATTTATTTGTTCGGATAATGTAACAAGTCCATTTTCATTTGAAGTTGGTACAGGTGAAAATCCAACGGTTCCATTTAATGATTCAATTTCAGGTTTTTATAGAATCTTTGGTAGTCATGGTACAATTTCAGTCCCAGATCTTAAATTATATCATCAACAAGATGATGAAGATGTTGTCCAAGATAATAGTGAACCAATTGATAATTCTATGAGAAATAATTATAATGATTCAAGATCTTGGTTAAGACCTATTGTTACTGAACAATTGAAAATGGATCATGAGACTGATGAATTAGATGATGAATATATCGATGTCGATATGGAAATGAATAGCTTATTACCAACTCCATCACCATCACCAAATTATAAAGAATTCACTCCTATTCATAAATTGAAAACATCATCTACAACATCTACAACAACCACTTCATCAACTAAGAAATCATCTTCTAAACCAAAACCATTTGATTTACAATTGGATCATTTCATTAATATTCTTAATGGTAAAGAATCAGTTGTCAAATGTACAGGTGAAGATGCATTACAAGCTTTATTATGTATTGAAGCAGTTATAAAATCAATTAAATCAGGATTGCCTCAATATGTTGAAGATATTGATACTATCACTCCAAATAACGAATTATTGAAGGAATATATGTAAAAAAAATTAGTTATGTCAAAGTATATTAAAAAACAAAAATGATAAACAAAAAAAAACAGAAGTATCAAAAATTGGCTTTAAAAAAAAAAAAAACTGCAAGAAATAGTTCACCAGTGGTGGTTATCCTTCCTCCTTTCCTTAGTTTTAATTCTCTACTCTCCTTTTATTATCTTATTAATTTGTATATTGTTTATTTAAAGGTTTCGGTTATCCTAATATATGTGTTATTTATTATTATTATAAAAAAAATTAAAAAACTTAAATAATGTAAAAGAGAAAATCACAATTTAGAATCTTCATATAAATTATCAAAATGATATTTAACTGAATGATTACCCTTTTTAAATTCTTTCCAACCTCTTTCAGCTTCATCAAATGCTTCATAACCCCATAAGAATTGTTGAAAACTTGGATCTGCCCATCTATTAGGATATCCAATCTTTGGAGGTAAATCGGCCAATTTTGAATCCCTAATTAATTGATCTTGACCATCTTTTAAATGATAAATATTTTGACATTGAGTTGATCCTTTTACAATTTGAGTTGATCTCCATTTTCTTAATGATTCAGTTAATTCTAAAATGGGATGAATTTGATCTTTAGATTCAATATGACTTAATAATCCCGTTAAAACTGCCGCATCTTCTAAAGCTGATGAAGCTCCACTTGCCAAATAAGGTAAAGTAGCATGAGATGCATCACCTAATATAATACAATTGGAAGATTTATGAGTCCAAGTTGATAATTCTCTCAGGTTTTGTAATTTCCATTTTGAAGTTGAATGAATTAATTCAAATAATTTAATTAATCTTGGATCCCAATCTTTGAATAATTCGGTTAATTCTTCCTTTGAGGAATGTTCAACAAATACTCCTGGTTCTAAATTATCAGGACTTAATATAACCACATTACATGTCTTTCCACCTTGTAAAAGATAAACCACAATATGAGATTGAGGACCCCACCAAAAGTTTATATTTGGTTTTTCATAAAGAAATTTCAATTCATCATATTTTTTCATTTCTTCAACATCAATTAAAGCTCTATAAGCTAAATCTCCTGTATTATAAGGTAAATCAGGATATCCCAATATAAATGATCTTAATTCAGATTTAATACCATCGTAACCGACAATGATATCTCCTGTATATGATATACGAGTTGAAGTTGTAACGGTATTTGAATCAAAATCAATATGATCAACACGCGAATTTAATAATACTTTAACGTTCAACTCTTCACATCTTTCCACCAAAACACGATGATAATCAGCTCTATGAACATGAATATATTCTCCATGATATTGATCTTTAACATAAGGGATTAAATTTTGTTCTGAAATCAAATTACCTGATTTCCAACTAAAAATTTTAAAATCATAAGGTAAGATAGCTTTTGATAATACTGAATCTAAACATCCAATGGTTTTTAAAATCTTGGATGAAGGGGGAGGAATTTGAATCCCAGCTCCAACTTCTCCTAATTCAGCAGCTTGTTCTAACACAGTAACATTATGACCTGCTAATGTTAATCCAATGGCTGCAGTTAATCCTCCTAAACCAGCACCTACAATGATGATGTCCAATGATATTGGAGCTGTAGCAATGGTAGTGAATGAAGTATAAGATGAATTGGAATCAGCGGTGCTGTCGTGATTAATGGTTGGGGCTTCACTTATAGTCATCGTTAATAATATGGTGTTATGGAGTTTGGTGATATTAAGAAATTGTTGTTGATGATGATGGTATACGAATGGAATGGTTATTTCATTCTGATTATATATGCCAGATCATAAAAACAGTTGATAATAATTTATCCCAAAACCTTAGTTTCCTATTATCCAAGTCATTTTCCACAATAATAATTGTTAAATCAATCAATTAATCAACCAAGTCCATAAGGCTAAAATTAATATTTATCCGGACCAAATTTCGAAATAATCGCATAAATAAATATCCGCCAGTTGCAAAAAAAAGAAAAAAGAAATTTTAATTTTTTTTGTGTGGGGAAATTTTAGATCCTCGAAGAGGAATGGTATATAACAAAGAACGATTATCCGACAAAATTAGACTACAAAAGTTATAGTGAATGAAATGTCTAAAACTGCTAGGGAAGTACGATTTGCGGTGGAGTTGGGGTTGGTTGGAAATAGGATAAATTCTCTTTTCTAAAGTAGTATTGAACTTTATCAATGATCGTTTTTATGAATTATAGTCGGTACTTCGGCATTTTGATCCGCATTTACGATTTCCATCTTTCTCCTCCTCCTTGTGTCTCTCTATGTCCCCAATTCAATTTCCAAACATTTAACCAAGGTTTATCGGTCATTGCCGATATTAACATTAAGAATTAAAACTAATATCTTATAAATAATTACATAATATCTTGAAAAATATCGAAACTACTACAAAAAACTCACACACACATAAATAAAATGTCTAAACCATATAAAACAATGATATGAATATTATTAAAAGGATGTATATATAAAGTTAAAAAAATGGACAAGAAAGCAAAATCTAATATAAAGAAAAATCAATCATTATAACTTAATGATGATATATATAAATATTTTTTTTTTAAAGGAGTTTTTAAAATTTTTAAATTTTTGGTATGCACGAAACGACTATTCCTCTCACTTTGTCTCAACTTATTGTTGGAAAACATCCTTTAAGAAAGCTTCTTCTTCAGCAATATGCATGGCTTTAGAACCAGCAGCAACTGATGCAGATGGATCTCTACCAGCATATCTAACCTCAGAATCTTTATGTCTGGCAGTTTCCTTTAAGGTAGTAGCTAATCTTGGAGCTACAAATGAATAAGTACCCATGTTTAATGGTTCTTCTTGACAGAAAACTAAATCATCAACATTTGGATAAGAGTCAATAAGATCTCTTAATTGAGCAAATGGGAATGGATGTATTTGTTCAATTCTAATAATAGCAGTATGTTTATCTTCAATAGTAGCTCTCTTTTTATGTAAAGCAGCATAAACTTGACCAGTAGCAAATACTAATCTCTTAATACCATCTTTAGCACTAATAGATCTACCTAATTCAACATCATCAATAATCCATTGGAAATGAGATTCTCCAGTAAATTCACTTAAGTCAGATCTAGCTAATGGATGTCTTAATAAAGATTTAGAAAAGAATAATACTAATGGTTTTCTAAATTGTCTATGCATTTGTCTTCTTAATAAATGGAAAATATTGGCTGGAGTAGTAGGATAAGCAATTTGCATATTAGCATCTTGATGTTGTCTTTCTAATTTTTCTGGAGCTGGGAAAAATCTTTGATCTTCATTACATAATTGTAAATATCTTTCAATTCTACCAGATGAATGTTCTGGACCTTGACCATCATAACCATGAGGTAATGAAACAACTAAACCAGATCTTTGTTTCCATTTAGATTCAGCAGCAGCAATAAATTGATCAATAATAACTTGACCAGTATTAGCAAAATCACCAAATTGAGCTTCCCATTGAACTAAAGCATCAGGAGAAGTTAATGAATAACCATATTCAAATCCTAAAACACCATATTCTGATAATGATGAATTTGAAATATCAAATTTACCTTGATCTTCAGATAAATGTTGTAATGGAGTATAAGTTTGTTCAGATGATTGATCATGTAAAACAGCATGACGTTGAGAGAAAGTACCTCTTTCAACATCTTGACCAGAAATTCTAACATGATAACCTTCTAAAGCTAATGAACCAAAAGCTAAAGCTTCACCAGTTGCCCAATCAATACCTTCACCAGTTTCAACAGTCTTCTTTCTAGTATTTAAAATTCTCTTTAAATTTCTATGAATTTCAAATCCTTTTGGAGCTTCTGATATAGTATTACCAATCTTCTTTAAAATTTCTTCATCAACAGCAGTTGGTAAATGAGCTAATACTTCAGTAGCTAATTCTTTTGGAGATTTAAAATCTTCCCATGGAGTAGTTAACCATTCTCTTGAAGTTGGTTGATATTCTTTAGATTTAGTAAATGATTCTTCTAAAGTATTCCAAACCCATTTTTTATGTTCTTCAACATCTTCTTTAGAAAATGATTCTTCTTTAATTAATTGTTGAGTATAATATTCTAATACAGATTTCTTTTCAGCAATCTTATTATACATTAATGGTTGAGTGAAAGCTGGTTGATCAGTTTCATTATGACCATATTTTCTATAACCAACAACATCAATAATAACATCAGAATGGAAAGTAGCTCTCCATTCAGCAGCTAAATCGAAAACAAATATACAGGCTTCAACATCATCAGCATTAACATGGAAAATTGGAGAATTAGAAGCTTTGGCAAGATCAGATGGATATAAAGTAGATCTAGCAAATCTTGGATCAGTAGTGAAACCAATTTGATTATTAACAATGACATGAACAGTACCACCAGTTGAATAAGCTGGTAAATTGGCAAAACCCATAGTTTCATAAACAACCCCTTGACCGGCAAATGCAGCATCCCCATGTAATAAAATTGGCATAGCTTTTTTGAATTCACCAACATCTTGTTTATAATGTTGAATAGCTCTGGTTTTACCTAAAACAACACCATCTTCGGCTTCTAAATGAGAAGGATTAGCAACAATGGATAAATTGACATGTTTACCTGAAGTAGTTGGTCTAGCATAATTCATACCTAAATGATATTTAACGTCACCAGAACCTTCATCGAATTCTTTTGAACCAGTGAATTCAGAAAAGATTGATTCATTTGGTTTTCTAACCACATTTGATAACATATTTAATCTACCTCTATGTGGCATACCAATGACAACATCTTCAACACCATATTCAACAGAAGTATCAATTAAAGCTTTTAAACCTGGAACAGTGGCTTCAACCCCTTCTAAACCGAATCTTTTATCGTTAGGGAATTTAGTAGCTAAAAATGATTCAAAAGAACAAGACCAAATTAAACGATCTAAAATTTGTCTTTTTTGATCAGTGGAATATTTAAATGGAGATGGAATTTCAATTCTTTCTCTTAACCAATCACATTGTTCTTTGGATGGGATATGAACATATTCAATACCATAAGATTGACAGTATAATTTTTCACAATTATCAATAATTTCTCTTAATGATAAAGATTTTTTACCAGCATCAGCAAATCTTCGTAAAATACCAGCACCTAAAGTGATTTGTTTATTTAAATCAGCTTCAGTGAAACCATAATGATCTAAAGTTAATTCTTTTGGAACTTCACTATGATTACCGAATGAAATACCTAATGGATCAATTTTAGCTTTTTGATGACCTCTAACTTGATAAGCTCTAACTAATAATTGAACTTTTAAATGAGTAACAACATCTTCACTGATATTAGCACTGGCACCTGGGGAGAAGAAACCAGCAGTACCACCAGCAACAGTTGGAACAATGGTTGGAGGAGCTTGGAAAGCTTTTGATGGAGGAATATTGCTTGATTCAATGTTTTTGAAATAAGCATTCCATGATACATGGACACTAGATGGGTCTTGTTTCCAAGCATCGTACATTTCATCGACATAATTGGAATTGTTACCTTGTAAGAAAGTATCAGAGCCAGTGGCTAAATAACGAGTTGAAGTAATTCTTAAACCTTGATTTATCAATGGTTTGAATTGACTTTTCAATAATTGAGCGCGAGGAGCAGCGCTTTTGAATGCTCTAAGCATGATTGGTGGAAGAGGGTTAAACTTATTCCTTGATAGTAATAGAGATTACTATGTAATCCTAATATCAACAATTGTTTTAAGAAGAAGAGATTAAAACTATTATTGAAATTAATTATTTCTTTTCTTTTTTTATTATTTTTTTTGGTAATTTTGGTTTAATTTGATGTTGGTTGGAGGAGGTGGGCCAGGAGGAGTTTATTGCGAAGAATTAAAGGGAAGCAGCCTGGGAGAAAAAAAAATGAGATCATTACGACGGCCCGGATATATTCCGGGAAAGTTTAATATATATCTTTGGAACCATTATGAAATGTTTAAGATAGTTTAAAGAGGGTTATATAGTCTACAAGGATCTATAAGTATCACTATTTTACATTATGATATCCATTTTGTTAAAAGAACATGAATATCGTTAGACATTGCTTTCAATTCATAGTTGAAGTTACGAGGTCAATACCGAGATATTAGACACACCTTTTGCGGCGAAAAATAATTCTTACGTCTGGGATGGGAAATTGCGGCAATTTCTGTTGACTACTGGAGAACTTTAAAATAGCAATATGATTGATAGCTGATGAGAGCATGAAGAAAATTGGTTTGATGTTGGGCTTGATAGTACATGATGGTATTTTACTCCAACTCATTCATTTGTTTTTAGCATTGATAATTGAATACACTCAGAAAACGGTCGGTATAAGTAACGGCGGCTCCAGAAATCGGAGTACAGTTTGCGACTTGACACGACACAAATATCTCTCATAAAAAAATGTTCTTTGAAAAATTAGGCCCCGGAGTGACAAGGGAATTTCGAGCTGCTCATCACAAGAAAATAGACCAGAATATGTCAACTCCGCTAAAAATGAAAACGACCATAATAATTAAAGAAGATACTGTAATACTGCTTCGGTCGTCAGATTAGAACGATCTAGTTAATAGAACTACATAGCATATATAACTACATTACTCTTATTCTCTATAACTATGATGTTGAAATCGATTTGTTTTGATTTCATAATTTTACCCCATGAAATCATATTCGCACGCCCGGGCTAGAACCCATTGCTAAAACCAACCACAAAAGAATTTTTATTTTTTCACGACATTCTATTGGCTGAAAATTGTTTGAATGATGTCACGTATAAAGTTACAACTTCCTAACATAGTCCGACAATAGGACAAGTAGAAGTGGAGAGAAACTAAGCTTCCATTTTTGAATGACCATTTTTTTAAGATTGGAAGCACTAATCTGTCTTGTGAACATAACTATGTGTAAGTGAGTTATCCTCGGAGTTTTTAGGGCCTGGGAAATGGGCAAACCCAGGCGAGACTAACAACCAAAAAAATAGAACGAATTATATAGCAATTCCGGTCAATCTCACAATGTTTTGACACGTGATCCATAACCGAATTTTGAAATTTAGAGTCTCTATTATTTTGCAACTGTTTTTCATTCTTGAACTGTATCAAGTTGTACCATTATGATACTGATAGAGGCTATTTAAACATTATTTAATACTTTTGCATTAGAAAGGATTTACTTATGTAGGTTACAGGCTTCTGATTCATAAAACATACTTATTACTTTTTAAATAAATTAACTAATTATGTAAATATATATATATTTGGAGTTGTATATTCAACAACAAGACTATGGAGACGAATATAATAGGTGTGTATGTACAGATAGAATTAGTAGTGACAAACAAAAGCATAAACGATTTTCAAACACTAACAACATAGAAACAAAGCAGCTAAATTGGAACATAGCGAGTCAGACTGGTTCATCAAATTTCTATTCGATTCTATTCCAATTAAAGGAATTCCTTTGCTTTTCTTCTAAATGCATTACAGTCTCTTAACCATTGCTTGTAATCATTTAAAGAATAAATCTTTTCCCCATAGTAATCAGGAACTGGATTAGAAAATGATTGAGAAGATGGATCAACTCTTTTATCTTTAATTCTAGCTAAGAATTGTTGATCTCTTTTATTGAATTGATGTAATATTCTTCTATTTGAAAGTTTAAATAAACTTGAACCAAAAGTAGGTCCAAATAAATATCCAATACCACCACCTAATATAACTGTAGTACTTAATACTATGACTGGATCGAAACCAAACATTGGTTTTTCATCAAATTCAATATTGGCAATGGCTCCTAAAGTTATAAGAACCCCTCCTAACCCAGTTATACTTGATGCACCGAAATTAATGAAATTCTTTTGTTTCTTTAATTTAAAATATTCTTGCCATGAAAATGATTCATTAACTTTAGTAGAATTAAGTCTTTGAAATATCTTATTACCACTTTGTTTGAATAAAGCAGATGAATTTTTGGAAATTACACGGTTAAATATTCCTAACTGATTAGTTAACATCTTGAATGAATGAATTATATAAGTGTTTAGTTGTAAAGGAGGTGATTTATAAGTATACAAGGAAATGTATTAATAATTATGGATGCAAATGGGGTATCTAAAAGATCTAGTAACTTGAATTCTTCTTCTCTTTTGAATGCTGTAGTTATCTACTATGACTATTTCAATATGATACTTGTAAATACAACTAAGTATAGATTGAATAATTGATTGATTGATTTGATAATTCAAGATAGTTCTAAATAAACCTTATGATCCTTTTTTTGAAATTGCTATCATTTTTGGGTACGAAAATTTTTCGTCACTAAATTCAGGTTGACTGCATATAATGTTAGGTTAACTATGTCAAAAACATTGGTATTAAAAATGTTTAGTTTTGTATTAACGCAATTTATAATCAGGTGGTGACTAGAAAACAGGTATATAAGACATGAACTTACTAGATTAGAACAGCAAATCATTTATATTATAATAGTTACTTATAGAATTTGTGATGGTTTATATTGAAGATTAAGTAGAGAGTTGATGTAAAACTTCAAGCTTCAAATAGAAAGTAATAGAAGAATAGAACAGATACTCTATTTCAAGATAGAAGATTAACGAAATTGACATGTCATCCTGATATGTATTTTTGACTTAGAAGCTAGGTAGCAAGATGCAAATAAATTTTAAAAAAAACATTTCTGAACAACAGAATGATTGATTGCAAAAAAGTTCCAACAAAAGAGGCGCGTGAGGGAGGTGAATTTCTATATACCATTTGGATGTATAATTAACAACGAATCAAAAGATTTGGCTTGTGATGATATAGTAACTATGCTAGAGAATTGACAACATGATTCAATGCATTTCAAATGAGACTTTCTAAGTAAAATGAAACGCGATGGTTGATATTTAAGTGAATCGATTTCTACTGATGCGTCCACAAATAGAAATCTATTATCACTCAGAAATATAACATTACATATCTGGTTTCAATTTAAAAAGTTTGCCAAAGACCCTAGAGGACTACTGAATCATAATCAATCCAACACTGGGATAATCAAGCTAACAATATTAAATAAAGGGTTGATAAGCTAATTTATTAAAGTAGTAAACGGGATAAACTGTAAAAAGACGCCATTTTATGTGTAAACTGTAAAAAATCAACGAAAATTTCAACCACCAAAAAAAAAAATCATCAACAGAAAAAATGATAGAAAAACCAAAACAGTAGCTGTTGCCAAAATACACTTCTAATCAATCATCATAAGATCAGAATACATCACCAAAAGGTACGATTATCAACAGCTATCACCACCACCGTACAAGTAGTTGCTTATTGAATATACACGTGTTGGACTGTGAACTAGACTAATTCTATTTATGGCTCACCCTTGAATCGTTTCCATTTCATCACCACTGATTTTTGATACTTTTTATTTTTTTATTTACAGCCAGATCCGACATACCGATCAATCAATCAACTAATCTATTGATCTATCAACTACACCGTACTATAGGATACGATCGATTGAAACTTGATATTATCTGTTGTTAGGGCTGTTTCTAATATTTTAATTTATACACTTTTTTTGTTTCATAATTTGTACTATACACTAGGCTGGTAGCATATATTCACCAATCAATCAATCAATCAATCAATCAATCAATCAATCAATCAATAAATCAATCATGAATGGAGGCACCACTTTAATAAATGGCAATGGTACCACTAATGGACTTTTAAAGTATACTCCACCATCGTCTTCAGCAGTAGTTGCTTCTTCACAACAAGCGTCTACAACCACCACCACTTTTAATTCTCCGGATCCCATAATAGATTTCCCTCAAACTAAAGATGAATTAAATCAACTATTAGGAAGATACTACAAGTTATTAAAGACATCCCATCAGTTTAAACAAGACCATGAAGCTAAAGTTGAAGCTTTGAAAGAACTTGCTCAAGCAAATGGAGATTTACCAAATAATATAACTCATACCAACAACAATGATACATTTAGTGCTGATTCTGCTAGTGATGAAGTATCTAATGTATCTAAAGACAATTCAAATCTAGAATCTTCAGCCACTCCTAGCTCTTCGGTTGATTATCCTCCATTTATAGATCCAACTGAAAGAGAAAGATTACTTATTGAAGAAGTGCTATATAAAGTTTCATCTAATCAAGATGAATTTCTTGCCAAACAACAACAATTTTATGATGAGTTATTAACTACTGAAATTGAAGCCATAGAAAACACCGATGATGAATCATTCGATTTTGATTTGTTTACTAAACAAATAACTGGATTACAATTATTATCAAAAGATTATGACTTATCAGAATCATTACAATCAACTTACACTAATGAAACTAAATCATCTCCGAGTATTGATATTGACACCATTATTAAAAAATTATCATCATTTGAATCTACTGATTTTATTTCAAGAGCTAAATTATTAGGTATCAAGATTCCTCAAAGTTTAAGTGACTTAAATCCATTTGCTGCACCAATTGGAAGTTATTATACTGATAAAATCTTAACTAATAAGATCTCAAATAGATTAAGAGAACTTGAAAATTTACCTGGTAATTTAGGTACTTTTGAATTCAATCTGATTGATAATCATAAGGTTACTACCAATGATAGTTTAAAGATTAAAGCTCTTATTGAATTGAAATCATTAAGATTATTATCAAAACAAAAGCAATTGAAGCGTAACATACTTATACATGAAGCTAATCAATCTAAATATATTTTACCAAGCTTAATGAATGATCCAATTTGTTTACAAGAAAAGAGATCGTTTAATATAAGATCCAAAATCGAACAATCTAATCCTCAATATTTAGCTATTCAATTAGAAGAATTAAAGAAACAAGAAGCAAGAGAATTGAAACGTCAATTACATATTTCTAAAATCAATCAAGTATTGGAAAGTGCCCTTACTTCTGCCAATGATAAATATCAAAAATATTATTATAGATCAAATACTTTGGTTAAACAAATATCTAACTTTCATCAAAATACTGAAAAGGATGAGTCTAAGAAATTAGAAAGAACTGCCAAACAAAGATTGCAAGCTTTGAAATCCAACGATGAAGAAGCTTATATGAAATTATTAGATCAAACCAAAGATCATAGAATTACTCATCTTTTAAAACAAACTAATCAATTCTTGGATACTTTAGCCAATCAAGTTAAAGCTCAACAAGAAGAATATGAATTCACCGATAAAAGAGATGTCCCACCTGAAATTATGCCTGAACCAAAGCAAGAATCAGTTGGTGAAGATGGCGAAGTTAAAGATGAAAATGAAGATTTACGTGAAAAAATCGATTATTATCAAGTGGCTCATCGTATTAAAGAAGAAGTTAATGAACAACCAAATATTTTAGTTGGTGGTAAATTAAAAGAATATCAATTGAAAGGTTTACAATGGATGGTTTCATTATATAATAATAAATTAAATGGTATTTTAGCCGATGAAATGGGTTTAGGTAAAACCATTCAATCTATTTCTTTAATTACTTATCTTATTGAAAAGAAACAAGAATCTAAATTTTTAGTTATTGTCCCATTATCAACTATAACCAATTGGACTATGGAATTTGAAAAATGGGCTCCAAGTGTTAGAGTCATCGTTTATAAAGGATCTCAACAACAAAGAAGATCACTACAACATGAAGTCAGATTAGGAAATTTCCAAGTGATGTTAACTACTTATGAATATATTATTCGTGAAAGACCATTATTATCTAAATTCCATTATTCTCATATGATTATTGATGAAGGTCACAGAATGAAAAATGCTACTTCCAAATTATCAATTACCTTAAAACAATATTATAGAACTAAGAATAGATTAATTTTAACTGGTACTCCATTACAAAATAATTTACCTGAATTATGGGCATTATTAAATTTCGTTTTACCAAGAATTTTTAATTCAGTAAAGTCTTTTGATGAATGGTTTAATACTCCATTTGCTAATACTGGAGCTCAAGAAAAGATTGAATTAACAGAAGAAGAAAGTTTATTAGTCATTAGAAGATTACATAAAGTGTTAAGACCATTCTTATTAAGAAGATTAAAGAAAGATGTCGAAAAGGATTTACCTGATAAAGTTGAAAAAGTATTAAAATGTAATTTATCTGGATTACAATATATTTTATATCAACAAATGTTAAAACATAATGCTTTATTCGTTGGTGCTGATGTCGGTGGAGCTAAATCCGGTATCAAAGGTTTAAACAATAAAATCATGCAATTGAGAAAGATTTGTAATCATCCTTTTGTATTTGAAGAAGTCGAAGGTATATTAAATAGTTCAAGATTAACTAATGATTTAATTTGGAGAACTTCCGGAAAATTTGAATTATTAGATCGTATTTTACCTAAATTCAAAGCCAGTGGTCATAGAGTGTTAATGTTTTTCCAAATGACTCAAGTTATGGATATTATGGAAGATTTCTTAAGATGGTGTGATATGAAATATTTAAGATTAGATGGGTCTACAAAAGCTGACGATAGACAAGATATGTTAAAAGCTTTTAATGCTCCTAATTCTGAATATTTCTGTTTCCTTTTATCTACTAGAGCTGGTGGTTTAGGGTTAAATTTACAAACTGCTGATACTGTTGTTATCTTTGATACTGATTGGAATCCTCATCAAGATTTACAAGCTCAAGATAGAGCTCATAGAATTGGTCAAAAGAATGAAGTACGTATTTTAAGATTGATCACCAATGATTCTGTTGAAGAAGTTATCTTAGAAAGAGCCCATCAAAAATTAGATATTGATGGTAAAGTTATTCAAGCTGGTAAATTCGATAATAAATCTACCGCTGAAGAACAAGAAGAATATTTAAAGAGATTATTAGAAGCTGACGCTCGTGGTGGAGAAAATGAAGAAAATGATTCCTTAGATGATGAAGAATTGAATGAAATTTTGGCTAGATCAGAAGAAGAAACTGTATTATTTGCTAAGATTGATGCTGAAAGAAAGAAGCATGATAAGAATTTATTTAAAACAAGATTGATTGAACAAAGTGAATTACCACCAGTATTTACGGAAGATATCTCTAAACATTTTGAAAAGAAGGTAGAAGATATTGGACGTAAAAGAGATAAAAAGAGAGTTAAATACGATGATGGATTAACCGAAGAGCAATGGTTAATGGCAATGGATGATGATAATGATACAGTTGAAGATGCTATTAAAAGAAAAGAACAAAGAATTAGTAAAAGAAAAAAGAATAAGGCAGTCAGAGAGGGATTAATTGTGGAAGAAATTGGTGATGATGAAGTTGGAGAAGAAGACGACGATGAAGATGACGATGAAGAGTATGGAAATAGTTCAAGAAAGAGACAACGTAGAAGTACATCAAGAACTCCACAACCATCTACTAAATCCAAGGGCAAAGCCAGTAAATTCGTTGTTGAAGATGATGATGAAGTAGAAGATGAAGAAGATGAAGAAGAACCTGTTGAAGATGAAATTGAAGACGATGGTCCCGTTGATGAATTGACTCAACAATGCAATCAAGTATTAGCCGAAATTGAAGAATTAGTGGCAGACGATGGGCATGCTGTGGCGGAGATCTTCATCAAATTACCATCGAGGAAATTATATCCTGATTATTATCTGATTATTAAACATCCTGTATCGATCAATCAAATCAAGAAACAATTAGAGCAAGGTAAAATAGAAGATTTTGAACATTTTAAATCTGAAGTCAAGCAGATGTGTATTAATGGTAAGACTTATAATGAGGAAGGATCATTTGTGTATAGTGATGCTGACATAATTGAGAAGTTAATTGATTCTAAAAATTAAATTAAGTTATTATATAGTTATAGTTTTTAGTTATTACAAGCATAATTTTAATGTAAAGTATAAGTACAAAATTCCCTTATAGTCTTGGTATGTTGATATTAACGTATAATGGATTTATCGCTCTCGTCACTTACACAAAAACGCGATAGCCTCATTAGGGAAGGTTTTAGCCAAAAGTACAAAAAAAAAAGAAAAGGGGTGGGGGTGATGGATAAGAATAAATAGTAACGATGTGGCAAGGGACAATCAAAACTTTAATGTAATAGAGGTTATAACAATTGATTGAGATTGGGTGACATTAACATCCGTTATATATTTCCTGATTGAATTGTGACTTCAACTCATTAATGATCAGTTAATTAGGATGAATTTCTCTACTAAATTGGTGAGGACCAGAATGCACGTAGCATCTTCTTCCGTAGCACAAAATTAGCCAATTTGTCACCAATTTCTTAGTCGCGATTTGCATGAAATTTGTCAGCCACTGTGATGGTCTGGCTAGCTGCCTTGTTATCTATCTATCTATCTATCTTGATATGCTATTCATTCAGCTCAATTGAGTTACATGTGATTTAGAAATGAATAAATAAACTATTTAGATAGTTGTACGATACTATTAGACATTTAACGGTTATGAAGAAAAATAACCAGGTAAATAAATACATAATTGCACTAGCGATGATTGTTTTTTGCTTGGCTATCATTGGCTAGATTACTGCTGGTATAAGCCAAAATGAAAATGATGTCGCTATTTTCTATTACACAAAAATGTGATTAGCAGCATGTTCAAGTTCCTTTGTCCCCCTAAAGATTTCCATCTCTCCCTAAATATTATTTTTTTTTCACCCCACTCCACAATTTGAAAAATTCATGCTGTCTATTTTAACTCATTAGTAGTGTCGTTGTCGTCGGATGTTCTTCCATTCACCATATATATATATATAAAGAATTAATATCTCCACTTTCAATTTTTTTTGCAAGGCCCTTTCCACTTTTCTTTTTTTAGAATTTTTACGTTACCCCTAATTTGTTTTGGTTCTTTATAACTAAAATATACGAAGAGAGTTAGTTTTGAACAATGTCAACTCTTGCATTAAAATCTTCTATTTCAAGAATTGCTAAGGCCACTGGTTCTAGTTCTAGAGCTAGAAGTTCAACCTTTTTATTATCAGGTTTAATTGGTACTGGTGCTGTTGCTTCATACTTATATTACAATAACAATAAAAACAACAATAATAATAACAACAACAATGGTAAAATCGTCAAGCCATTATTAGGAGCTGCAATTATTAAAAATGCTCAAATTCCAGAAGGTAAAGGTATTCAAGATTATCAATCTGTTTATAATGCCATTGCTTCTAAAATCGAAGAACATCTTGATTTCGATAAAGGTGCTGGTTACTATGGTCAATTAGTTAGATTATCATGGCATACCTCTGGTACCTATTCTAAATATGATAACACTGGTGGTTCATATGCAGGTACCATGGTTTATGCTCCAGAATCATCTGATGGTGAAAATGCTGGTTTAGCTGTTGGTAGAGACTTTTTAGTTGAATTTAAAGATAAATTTCCTTGGATTTCAAGAGGTGATTTATGGACTTTAGGTGGTGTTGTTGCTGTTCAAGAAGCTGGGGGTCCAAAAGTTCCTTGGAGACCAGGTAGAACTGATCTTTATGATGCTGCTTCTGTTCCAGCCAATGGTAGATTACCAGATGCTTCAAGAGATGGTAAATATGTTCGTGATTTATTCAAAAGAATGGGTTTCAATGATAGAGAAACTGTTGCTTTAATTGGTGCTCATTGTTTAGGTCAATGTCATACTTATAATTCTGGTTTTGATGGTGCTTGGGGTCCACAATTTAACAGATTCACTAATGATTTCTACGTCAGATTATTAGGTGGATGGCACGTAAGAAAATGGGATGGTAAGAAACAATACCAAGATGATGAAACTAATACTTTCATGATGTTACCAACCGATATTGCCTTAAAGGAAGAATCTTATTTCCTCAAATATGTTAAAGAATATGCTAAAGATGAAGAATTATTCTTCAAAGATTTCGCCAAGGCTTATAGTACCTTATTAGAATTGGGTGTTTCTTACCCAAGAGGTTCAAAGCCATTTATCTTCAAAACTGTTGAAGAACAAGAAGACGAGTAATTAATTAGTTAATAGACTTTAAGATTTATTCTTGTTTTTAATCTTTTATTTATTCCTTTGATACATTGTTTTAATTCGTTTATTTAGCTAGTCTTGTCTGTTTGTATACATCTTTGTCAATCAAACTATTATTGTATTAAAAAACAAACTCGAGATGTAATTGTAAGAGATATCGTAACTCGTCTGAATGCAATTGATTCTTTCTTGATAACTTTTTAAACTGAAAGATTGTATGCGATGGATCTTTGATTTTTGTCGATGGTGTGATTTGTGTGATGTCACAATTTTCTTTTTTTTTGTTAGTGAAAACTAACGCGTTATCCCGACAGATCTAAAGTTATGTTTCCCTATTGGAATATTCCTACAATAGTTGATCATCATTCTAATTTACCATTCAATCAAATCATAGTTCTAGACTATTCATTCATTAATTCATTCATTTGATTTTGAATCTTTCTGCAACCACGCAACGTTTTGCAATCTGAAATGTTACTTCAAATAAGAGAGCAGGTTGACTTTTCAACCATTCGTTAGTTAGCTTCTTGATCTATTCAATTATATATGCACATGCATAATTGAATATAAAACGAAGCTTTAGAAGCTTTTCTACCTTTGATTTTGCATAATAAAATGCACAAAATTGATGAAGGGTCGTTGACCTCATCACAAATGATAAACTTCCTTACTTACAAACAATACATTGTTTCACCTTATTTTAATTTACGAAATTGAAAAAAGAAAAGAGAAATAACATCAAATGTTATTGCCAACAGATATATGGCCATTTTGATCTATGTTCTAGATGATACAAAACAAACCTCTCATATTGGGGTAGAATCGTTCATGCATAGAAAATAATAAATGGGTTAGTTTTTTTATTCATTTTCGATCTTTTCTTTTTCTCCTGTCTTTTCTTTTCTTTTGGATGAAAGGTATGACGTTTTCTGTGATCTTGGAGTTCAATTATGAATAACACACACTATTCAACTGTGAATAAGCCACCGTTTCAACGCAAACCATACTGATAGAATCAATATATGCTATGTAATTAAACACAATACTGATGCATTTACCGTTCTTTGCAGCATATCCATTTGTTTACACTTTATGCCGTTTAATTATCATAATCAAGCAAATAAAGCAAATCAAGAAAATCAAGGAAGCGAAACTAAAAAAAGTGTTGATGTTCCTGATTTTCGTTATGTCAAAGAAAGGTCTATAAAATAGCCTAGATTAACATTCGTTGATCGGATCTATTCACGTAATATCGAATTACAATAAAGTTGATTTTATGATTTAACAAAAAGAGTCTAATCCCTTTTACGTCGCCATTGTTAGTCAAATAATAACTATGCGCTGATATCATATCATTATGTTCCTTTAAATTCCCAATTCGTCGAATCAACGGGACATTATACTGAGGTATGGATGTTTTCAATGATAAACCCATATTATGTCAGATCATGCAGAGACTTTTTGTGTCACATAAATTTTTTGGCGCAAATAAATTTGCAAAAGAATAAAATATTTATAAAAAATAATATCATGAACTTTATCCTTATTTTAGCATTATAATAAGAGAAATAGTTCAATTAAAGATTAAACGATCTCCACATTAACAATGAAATCCTTTGTTAATCCCGATTTTAAAAGTTGTATGACTTTAGCGAAATCGTGATATCTGTGATAATTCCATCGGATAATTGTTGAACAATGAAATATTAATTTGCATCAATTATGGAACCCATCTTCATTTCACATATAACATTACCATAAGTTCCCAAATTTCCAAGAAAAAAGGCCAATTTTCATCTCAATCACTATTTTTATCAAAATTCAAGGAATACAGCTATTACCAGTGAAAAATATTGATAAATATTCACGGTACAAGATGAATCTTTTGAGTTATAAAACTCTTATAATCATCTCATTATGGTTCTCCATAACACTTGCGGGCTACTCAAGCTCAAGTGGAGGACTTTTTGATGACTATACCACTTCTTCATCAATATTCGCACCACCTCCATTCACTACGTATACTACTACTGAAGTAAGTACTGATCCTACTGGATCGGTTAGCACCAAGAGTGGAGTTGTAGTTGTTACTGCTGATGATGAAGGATCATTGACTACTACTACCTCTTTATTCCCAGGACCCCAATTTGGCGTTTACATGACTACAGAAGTCATTACTAATTCTGATGGATCTATTAGAACTGAGAGTGGAATTGTTATTGTTACTACTGATGCTACAGGAGCATGGACTACTACTTCTCATTTATTCCCACCTCCACCATATACCACTTATAGTACTACCGAACTTAATACTGATTCTTCTGGATATGCTACTACAGAAAGTGGTGTTGTTGTTGTTACTACTGATGCTGAAGGATCTTTGACAACTACCACGTCATTATTTCCACCACCACCATATACTACATATACTACGACTAACGAAAACACTAATTCTGATGGAGATGTTACCACTGAAAGCGGAATTGTTGTTGTTACTACTGATGATGAAGGATTATGGACAACAACCACATCTGTATTCCCACCACCTCCATATACTACTCACAGTATTACTGAAGTCATCACCTATTCTGACGGCTCCATTACTACTGAGAGTGGAATTATTATTGTTACAACTGATGATGAAGGATCATTGACCACTACTACTTCATTTGTTCCACCACCTGAATTTGGTATTCATATTACTACAGAAACCATTACTAATTCTGATGGATCAGTCAGAACTGAGAGTGGAATTGTTATTGTTACCACTGATGGTGCAGGAGCATGGACTACTACTTCTCATTTATTCCCACCTCCACCATATACTACTTACAGTACTACAGAATTCAATACCGATTCTGCTGGATTTATTAGTACCGAAAGTGGTGTTGTTGTTATCACTACTGATGATGAAGGATCATTAAGTACTACCACTTCATTATTCCCACCACCTCCATATACTACATATACTACTACAAATGAAATTACTGATTCTGAAGGATATGTTATTACTGACAGTGGAATTGTTGTTATTACTACTGATGCTGAAGGATCGGTCACTACTACCACGTCATTGTACCCACCACCCCCATATACTACCTATACAACTACAGAAGTCAATATCGATCCTACTGGAGGCGTTAGTACCGAAAGTGGAGTAGTTATTGTTACTACTGATACAGACGGTTCATTGACGACAACTACATCTATAATCCCAGCACCTCCTGAATCTACTATGTATGTCACTACGAATGTGAATACTAACTCTGATGGGTCGCTTAGTACCGAGAGTGGAGTTGTAATTGTTACTAGTGGCGATGATTCCTGGATAACTACTACATATTTATTACCACCACCTCCACCATATACTACTTATACTACTACAAATGAAAAGACTGATTCTGATGGATATATTAATACTGAGAGTGGAGTTGTAGTTGTTACGACTGATGATGAAGGTTTAGTGTCTACCACCACCTCCTTATACCCACCACCACCTTATACTACCTATACTACGACTGAAGTTATCACTGATTCTGATGGTAATATTAGTACTGAAAGTGCAGTAGTAGTTATAACTACTGACGATGAAGGCTCATTAAGTACCACCACATCTATGTTCCCACCACCCCCATACACTACTTATAGTACTACTGAAATCATCACTGATTCTGATGGCCTCATTACTACCGAAAGTGGAATTGTTGTGGTTACTACTGATGGCGAAGGTTCAGTGACTACTACCACCTCTCTAGTACCACCACCTGAATTTGGTATTCATATTACTACAGAAACCATTACTAATTCTGATGGATCACTTAATACTGAGAGTGGAATTGTTATCGTTACTACTGATGGTGATGGTGCGTGGACTACTACTACACATTTATTCCCACCTCCACCATATACTACTTACAGTACTACAGAACTCAATACCGATTCTGAAGGTTATGTTAATACCGAAAGTGGTGTTGTTGTTGTGACTACTGATGCCCAAGGATCTGTCACCACTACTACTTCGTTATTCCCACCACCTCCATATACTACCTATACCACTACTGAAATCAGTACTGATGCTGCTGGATATGTCAGTACCGAGAGTGGTATTGTTGTTGTAACTACGGATTCTCAAGGATTTGTGTCCACAACTACCTCGTTATTCCCACCACCACCTTACACTACCTATACAACTACCGAAATCGTACCTAACCCTACTGGAGGTGTTAGTACTGAAAGTGGAGTTGTTATTGTGACTACAGATACGGACGGTTCATTGACCACTACTACTTCATTATTCCCACCACCACCTTACACTACCTATACAACTACCGAAATTGTACCTAACCCTACTGGAGGTGTTAGTACTGAAAGTGGAGTTGTTATTGTGACTACAGATACGGACGGTTCATTGACCACTACTACTTCATTATTCCCACCACCACCTTACACTACCTATACAACTACCGAAATTGTACCTAACCCTACTGGAGGTGTTAGTACTGAAAGTGGAGTTGTGATTGTGACTACAGATACGGACGGTTCATTGACCACTACTACTTCATTATTCCCACCTCCACCTTATACAACTTACACCACTACCGAAATCGTACCTAACCCTACTGGAGGTGTTAGTACTGAAAGTGGAGTTGTGATTGTGACTACAGATACGGACGGTTCATTGACCACTACTACTTCATTATTCCCACCTCCACCTTATACAACTTACACCACTACCGAAATCGTACCTAACCCTACTGGAGGTGTTAGTACTGAAAGTGGAGTTGTGATTGTGACTACAGATACGGACGGTTCATTGACCACTACTACTTCATTATTCCCACCACCACCTTATACAACTTACACCACTACCGAAATCGTACCTAACCCTACTGGAGGTGTTAGTACTGAAAGTGGAGTTGTGATTGTGACTACAGATACGGACGGTTCATTGACCACTACTACTTCATTATTCCCACCACCACCTT